CCCCCAAGCCTCAGCCCAGGAACCACCTGCTGCTGTATTGTCACGCATCACTCCCAATAATCCCCCTGCCGCATCTCTCCCCATTACCCGACGTCTCCCATACAATTTAACAACAATATCCATACTTTCCTTATTACCTTCCGATAGATAAACAGACAGATACGCAATCTCCCTTAACCCTAACTACCCAAAACGCAACCTCGTAAAACCCATAATTACAACGCCGCAGTGTGTCCTCCCAGGCAGGCCCGGGCTCCAACGCACACGCACACACACACACACCGGCTCCCGGCGACGGCGACGCCCGCCCGCGCCTGCAAGTCACCTCTCCAGCGGCGAAATTCCACGACGAGTCTCACCGGCGTGCGCGGGATGATGGGGGAAGCGGAAGAGAAGGGGAGAGAAAGGGAAGGAGCTGGGAAACAAACTTGCCTTATCGAGTCACTCATTCCGTAGATCCAAAAATCCTGATTATAATTTATTGTATGTGCGTCTTGCGAAGAGTACGGAGTAGACACACAACACAGCCGCGGTGTGCGCCCGCCTGCCTGCCCGCCACGCTGCGAGGCGAGGTGCGAGGCGAGGTGATCCAGTTGTGTCGTGCTGTGTTTTGCTGTGCTGTTGCTGTGCCTGCGACGCGAGATGTGCTTCACGCATATGGAGGAGTGTATGTGTGAGTGGCATCCATACGGAATACAGATGGATATGTAACTTTGTACATGAAATCACACGTACGCTCCCGGTAGGTATGCACAGAGTACATCACTACCCGTCTCGTACCTTCTCCGTACTCTCGCGCTGATCTCCCACACATGGCGCAAAAAGAAACAATAATCAAGTAGTTACGGAGTATAGGACAAACAATTGCAATCCCTTCGCCCCCCCAACGAGTAATTCCCTACCTATTGGACCGGACAACAGAACACACAAAACAAAGAAATACGAAGTTTCGCGTGCAGTAACGCAAATCGGCCTGTCTCCCACCCCGCGGGAGACGGTCGGATCGGGCTCCCTATCAAACTAGCGCCATGTTGGATCTTGGGGGGAGTTGGGTGCAATAGTTGGATGTGTGACGCACGCATCTTGGTTGACGCTCCACAATCATCGATCGTAGGGTATTGGAAAAGTTTGATGGTCTTGATGTGTATTTACCTGCCGTATGGAGTTACAGTAGTAGGTTGGGCACGGGTATATGGCAAGTATCTTGAAAGTACTCTGTACTCGTAGGGAGGGTAAGATGGGTAGATGAGTGGAAGAGAGGGAAGTCAAGTCTTCCGAGCTTATCGCGTCTACCAGAGGCAAGGGAGCCGAGTTGGAGGCAGTAGTAGGTAAATAAGCATCATCATCCTCTGCATCATCAGCATCAGCAATAACAGGCCAGAGAGCTGAATTCTCATGCCATGATTATTGATATGATTCCTCTAATATCTTGACTCACAACTCCTACCTCCTCTGCCTAATCACCATCTACATACACAGTGTACACAGAGTCATCACATTGGGCATGCCACTACCCATAAACAAAGCCCACACTACACATCCCCTTCAGCCTCTCACACCTCATATCCTTATCTCTCAACCCCAGCCCCAATCTGCATTCATCGTACATCCACCACACCCTCGTCCCACACACCCCGCATGCACATCTTTCGTGCAGCAATCAATGTTGGAAAGACGTGGCATGCTATGCCTAATCATACATTGCCATAGGTGCGTTTTCTCCACTCACTGTGCGCACCCGTACACCCATACATCACTACACGAGGGGGATGTGTGTGTGCGGACGATGGTGAAGAGATTGAGACGGGTAGGGAAGGGCAAGGGTGAGGGTGGTGATCGGTAATCCTGTTTTCCCCACACAAGTCTATATTCACGCCCAGCGTTGGTTTTGAGATACATGTTGCAAAAACTATATTTGAATGCTGTTGAGGATGGGTGTTGAGTATCTCGGTGAGTATCTCGGTGGGTAGTGTCTAGTAGAGTTCGTCTCTTGACCAGTGGGGACGGGAACGGGAGCGGGGAATGGGAGGATCCCCCGTGTGTTTTTCCCGCATTCTTTGATGGGTGACCAGATTGATATTCCAACTTTCAAGCCGTGGATGGACTGATAGGTGATTGGATCGGTGCCGTCGATGGTGGAATGATAAATCTGGGGAAGGGAAACAGCCATCCTCACGAATTAAGGTAATGATAGACAGACACATGTCACTTTGCTTGGTTGCTTGCTTTTGCAGTTTGACAACTTTTACAATTGTAGTCGTATGTAGACATGATGGTTCAAACGGACTGGTTGGTAGTTACAGTGTGGACCTCTCCCATCCATCCAGATCACATGAAAGGTTTCATGCTCACATGCACTGTACTACTCGTCCGTACAAAGAACCATCGCCAAAAATAAGGGAATAGGAACCCTTTGAAACATGATAGACAAAAACACCCATAAGACAGTGACCCTCCCAAGGCTTGTGCGCCCAGCAAAAACAAAATAAACCGCAAGAAACGCCTGGACCCTTGTTTTCCAACGTGATAGGAGAGAGTTAAAAGATGTGGGACAAAATAGAGCGCAGACCCGGCTGTCGCCTCCCAAGGACGGGGAAAGAAAAGAGCTGCCACCCACGCATGCATTGCAGGAATGTCGATACTGCCCAGCGATATGACAGTGGTCGTGCACTAGCCAACTCCCGCGCATCGCTCGTCATACGTGGCAACCCCTCAGTCCAGTAAATGTGGTCGTAAAGAAAAGAAAAGAAAAGAGAAGAGAAGAGAAGAGAATAAGGACCCAGCATGGACTGAAGAAGGTGAGAAGGGAGACCGCCTATTGTCTCATGCAAGTTGATTACAGGAAGTAGGATAGGGTAAGCGAAACCCGTCATGGAAGCGAAATCTTGAAGTCCAGAATTGGAAGAAAGGTCTTTCCCAAGGGCATTGTGGCCGTTGCGGGCGTCGAAATTTTTGAGATGTCGTCCAAAAGGCGTTGCACGTCAGACATGCTAAGCTTCGTTGACAACGTAATCGAGAAAGGAAATGTCTGAAAGGGATGGGCGGGAATTGTCGTTTCAATAGGCGTCTTCATCAGTCCACCCGGCCTCGCTGCCTTCGACAACGCGCACCATTCGACCGCCCTCAGCTTCCATCATGAGACTACCGGATCCCTCGACGCCGCGTATACTTCTGACCTTCTTGCCTTGGATCCCTCGCGGTGAGGCCGAGTGTCCTCCCTCGGGTGTCCAGCGCTTGTTACGCGCCATGGCCTGCCTCTGCTGATAGAAATCTACATCCTGCTCTGGCTCTTCGGATCGCTCACTGAAGGTTTCCCAGTTCTCCGAACCTGATTGCATCGTGTGGCCAGTTCCTGTCGATGAAGTTTGCGATGTCTGTCTGCTTCCTAGAACAGGAGGCGCATAGGTAGGTGTGTAGCCAACACGCATGCTGTGTGTCAGGTATGAACGATCGTCGTATGGGTCTTCTGGCGGAACCTGTCGGACGATGCTCTCGCTGCGGTCACCACGATTGAACTCGTAATGATTGGCCGGAGTTGCCACACGCTCGGGTGGCATGAACAGTTCCTTCATCTTTGGTGGTGGAGCGCGAGGTGGGGGCATCTTTCGAATTGTCGAGTCTTCCCTCGGCACAGGTGCTGGTCGTCGCTCAGGCGAATTTCCACCATGAGGCATCGTCTTTAGGGGTGCACGAGCTGGGATCTTGGAAGGGCTCTTTGCGGCACTTGAGACTGACATAGTAGATGCAGCAAGTGGGTTCCTCGTGGTGCTCGCGGCGAAGCTGGCGGTTGGAGTCTTTGCTCTGCTTGGAGGGGGTCCTCGTACGGTACCTGGTTGGCTCCGCGGTACAGATTTGGGGGCAGGTTTGGCAGCCTGTGGTGCAATGGATGGGGTTTTCGATCGAGGTGGTGGTGCCCTTGAGGAGGTGGAGTACAGTTCATCGAGATATCGTTCACCTAGGACCAAGAAAGGACGGCCATACTCGTCCTCCCACCTCTCAAGAGTCTTTTTCAGCTCTCCCTCTAGCTTAGGCAACTCTTTGGCTATACGCTTGCGCATCTTCTCCTCTCTCAGCAATTTACCTGGGTCGCGTCGTTCGCCCTTGTTGCCACGAGCCATCAGACGGGAAGCATCTTGACTAGAAGCCTGGAGGTCATCTCGCTCCTTGATCAATTCACGATACCTGTCGACCTTTTGGAGAATGGGAAGTCGCTGCTCCTTCAAAGATTCCAGCCTTGCAATTTCCGACTCGTGTGCGGAGAGAAGCGCGTCGCTGCAGACATCTAGTCTCGTTAGCCCATGCAAATTCGTGCATCACATCGCAACATACCAGAAAATGCGGGAGTGAAATCAAGCATCTCCTCCTCGGAGAAGTAGAGCGCATCCCAAAGTTCCTGAAGCTTCACCCTCGCCTCTTCGACGAAGAGATGCAAGTTCTGGCGCTTCAGCTCGTTCAGTCTTGAAAGCTCATCCTCATACTCGTTGATGGTTCGCAGACCACATCCACGATTGCTAGACAAGAACTGTTTACGCTCGTGCTGCTCAATTCCGAGACGATCCCACAAATCCTCAATGGTGGTTCGTAGTTGTTGAAGCTGACGCTCGCGATTTTGCTTTTCCTGAACAAGTCGTTCCTTCCGAGCCTTCAATTGTGCCATATCGTCCTTGTGAAGGCCTAGTTGCTCGGGGGCATCGCGATGGTACTTAACAATCGACGGGTCTGTCTGCGCCTGAGGGGTGCCAAGCTCTGCCCATAGCTGGATGATTTCCTGGCCCATAATCCGAACGGTGTTGATGCGACGCGTGTATTCTTCGTAAACACGCGTGAACTCGTCATCCAAAGAGTGGACGTAGGAAGGAGAGACATCGAACGATGGGGAGATGGGTGCGTCTGGTGAGCTGGGTGGGAGCTTGATCTTGATGAAGGAAGGTTCCAGGTGAGAGGCATATGACTCCAGAGCCTCGGCGAGTTCTATCGGAGGTTAATATTCGATGACCAAGAGCCTTGAAAGGGGATACTTACTTCGTACTTGTTCGAACCTCTCGCGATGGACTTTGCTGACAGCATTGTATTTCTCGTTCAATCCATGGAGGCAGCGCGTCAACGGATAGGTGATTTGGGCGTCGTCGTCTTCTTGACTAGGCCTTCGCTTGTTGTCCTCTAGCGACATTTCCATCTGCCTGATGGTCTTAATCATGCGATGCGCCTCCTCTGTCATCTCGTGTTTCTCCCTATTTACGAATTAGATGGATCTGCGTTGGAGAGCGGGGCAACGTACGTTGTGACTTGACGAAGTTGATTGTGAAGCGTCTCAGACAGAGCCGAGAAGAGCTATGAGCTGTCAGTTGAGTCTTCGTGATGAGTTCAGTGGACATACCTCTGCTTCCCGCGAATCCCGCTCATGGCTCGGAACACCAATCTCATCAAACAAGCCATGTAGCTGGCCGATGATGGTGGTGACCTGCTGGGCCAGGTAGCTTGTGTCCATGACTGCAGCGCCTGCCAGCGGCTTCAGCGAGCAATACTCAATATATCATGCACCTTTGATCGGCGTCGGGAATGGATGGCCCAAGCGAGGAATGCGGTTCGATGGTGATAGTGAAGTAGATGCGCAGTCGTATGGGAACTGCGAGCAAACGAGGGTAATGTTATCGCGAGAAGTGTATGTGGAATCTGCAGACCGTTCAGTAACACCGACAAGAAGAGAAGAACATATGGGAGCGAAGTAAAGTGATGCAATGTTGAAGATGGTGAGGTAGGTCGGCCACGAAGGTGGATCGACTGGCTTGATGTTCGGCCAGGCTGCGCGTTTATTTTCGTGGAACGGTTGCCCCAGTAACAACCGCACGCAACTGCACAACTCGAGATCACGAGAGCGCCCGCGTTTCACCAAGACTCACTTTCGGGCTGGCTAATCCAACAATGATGACAATCTATTCCGTCGCGCAGAGTAAAAGAGTGGAGTCTCATCGAAACAAGAAAAATACATCAACAAAGGCAGGCAACAAACAACCACTTCTGTCACAATACTATATTGTGTTCCTGCAGGTCCCGAAACACTGCGCAGGCCTGTATCACATTGAAAGGCAATGCAAGGACTGGCTTATCGCATACATGTGCAGTTCAACAGAATCAAATGCCCTTGGAGTTTATAGACATACTTTTGCAATTGTTTACGGCCTTGAGCGCGTTAACCACTTCTTTCTCCGCGTGGTGGGACACAAGAGGAGCCCCTTGGATTGAGATTCACGGCCGTACAGCACCTCTGAATGTCATCCAAGACGGCTACTCCGTAATTAAATGACGGCATCTATTTTTACTTTGACTTTCGATGAACCCGATCGAGGCCCGTGTCCGCTTGGACGTCTATCAAGGGTTGATTTACTCGGTAGACAATGAGCATGAATCTTTCGCTCTTCTCACCGTAAAATCTTTGTAACAATTGGAGACTAATCAGGTTCATTTCTAAGACGTTGAATTTGCATCTTGTTCTGTGCTCAAGAAATTACAGCTATTTCCGCCTACCATGTTTTGCGATCAGACTCCTACTTTCTCCACATAACCAAACATGTGGGCCTGCTTCTCCATCCTCTAACCCGCACTCATTGATAATACTATCAATTTGCCGTGACCGTGCGCGATTGGAGCTCAAGGTTGTCAGTCCTTGCGCCCAGCCATACAAGAATATGGCACTATTCAAAGGACCCAGCTCGGCCGCAATGCGAGGGGCGATGGAGGGTAATTTTTGGAATAAATCCTCCTCCGTGGATGAATATACTCGTATTGGTAGTTGAAAGCCTTCGGGGATTGGATGGTTGGATAGAGCAGCCCAGGCAGATACCAAGTCTGCAGGGCTGGTATTCGAGTGCTCGTTCTGGGCCAGGAGCAGATTTGCTCGTGTTTTTTCTGTATCGGTAGCAAGTGTGTCAACAATGAGGTTCATTTGATGCGCAGCCTCTTGTGTGCACACCATTGGATGCGAGCCTATAGCCGGGTATAGGTGCGTTGGCAGCAGCTTCTCTGCTTGTTCTTGTTTGATCTGTGCTCTAACTTCTCCAGGATACCAGTCTAGTATTGGGCATTCCTTATGGGAGATGTCGGATATTAATGCTAGCAGTATAGTACAGTCAACATTCAATGTGTGGGAAAGCGTCCGCGAGCGATCTACTAGTAATTGTGGGAGGACATCAGCCAGCGGCAGAGCTGGCGTGAGTTCATTTGCGCATTGTACAATAGCACCTGTGGCGCGAACTTTGGCGATGACCGCATCTATCTCTTTCATTTTCCCAGACTCGATTCGTGTCAGAACAAATCGGACTTTCGGGGGCCGTCCTCGTATGGGATTCGCGCGGGCAGCACGAGCGAGCTCGCGAGCATTCTTGACAGTGTCTACCTGGTCGTCGTCATCGTCGTCCTCCCAATTGGTATCATCCGCATCGCGCATCTCCTCGTCGTCATCTGAGTCGGAATCATTCTGCCACCCCATTTTCGCCAAATCAAACAACAGTCGTTTCTGCGATATTGTCGATACTCTGATCCACTCCGTGCCATCCGCCGCAACGATGTCCACCAATGCCGCACTCTTCCCTTTGGTTTGACTGCCTTTTGAGTGACTCAATCCACGTGTGCTATGGCCCTCTTGTAGCCTGTTCCAGAAGAAATATTTACGGAAACTTAAGAGGCCAGTAGAACGTTTCGCAGCAGACCAAAGAGCCTCAAAATACACGAGATTCGAGGACACAATCCAATGTCTTGCTTTCTCCTCTGATAATCCAGATCTGGTTAATTTATTTAAAAAGGCGAGTTCGTTTTTGAAATCACTCCGAAGGCTACGATACTCCACTGGATTCTGTACCTTGGCGAGTTTTTGATTGGAGTCGACCGCGGCTACGTAGGTCTCTACTTCGGAGTGGAGCGTTTTGCACCGATTTATGAGGTCGTTGATTGTGGCTTGTAGGGAGGCATTCTTGTCCTCATCTTGGAGTTGTAGATCGTCCATTCCAGAAGTTAGTGAATTGTCGTCCAATCCAGAAGTTAATGAACTGTCATCCATTCCAGAAGTTGATGAATTGTCGTCCATAGTAGAAGCTAATGAATGGTCGTCAATGGTGGTAGAATATGCTTCCCAGAAGTTTATGCACAATTGTTGGAGACAATTTGCTTATAAGAGGGTAGGAATAGTCCGTAGCATATGCGTTGGCAATTACGATGTTGTCCTTGACTCAGAATTTGCTCCAGAAATGGAACATTCGATTATGTTCTTTACCGGGAAACCGCCCTTGCGAACCGCCCTTGACCGTGATATCTCTTGGTGACTGGATCCCCAAGCATCTAGTCCCGGAATACTATTTACAAAAATAAATAATAGAATATAAAGGAACCTTTATGATAGTGGCATAGATTGACGTATTCAGCCCTATATCGCGGAGTAACGTTTCTCCGCTGGTACCCCGCGAAAACCTACCTCACGCAGCAACATTAGTACGACCAGCAATTGAAGTGAACAATTCCTCTTCACGGTCAATTCAACATGCCATATCTGGAGACCAGTGCCGAATGGTACGAGCAGTCGTCGCTGCTTCTGAAAGCACGACCGTCAACGGTACGTTCTTCAAGTCGCATCATTCACCAGAATTTATATTCAACGCAGTTCTGACCCCTTTACAGACACGCATAACCTCCAAATACACCGTCCTTAAACCCTCCGCATCGAAAGTCTCAAAACGCGAAAGATTTGCTTCAAAAAGATCCGAAAGAGGAGGTAGCGCGACAGGTTCACCGCCACCCACCGTGCAGAACCCCGAGGAGCCAGTAGCCACCTTCAAGCTCAAGACATACGACCCCGTGTCTGGAACATGCCTACAATATGAGACAAACAAAGCGGCGGAGGTTGGGAGGCTTATTGGAACACTGAGTCGGTTGGGAAGACACCAGGCGGCTTTACCAGAACTTCCGGAAGGTACGTGGACATTTTGGAACAAAGTCGTGGGGACAGAGCGTTGGACTAACAAACCGACAGATCTGACACAAGCTGCTTCAGCAGAGGGCATCTCGACTCCAGTCGTGGAATCAGACCAAAAGCTTGGGGCGCCAGCTGCTGAGCAGAAAGCTGCAGGAGGCAAGAAGAAAAAGAAGGGAAAGAAATGAGATTTACGATCAATCAATTAATATTATATGAAGACCTAGGAAACTGGCTACACGCGAAAGCATGATACAAAACGTCTGAAAATAAGCAGAACGATGCACAGGAGGCGCCTCATCCCGGCATTTTAGAGTTTGTCAATTTCATCTTTGCGGATAACCGAAGTGGGAGCGGCAATGTAGATACCCTGGTACGCGATGATCTTCACGGACATAGCACATTCAATTGAAGAATTAAACATCACACAAGAGGTCCTGATATAAGCTAATTTTCTAAAGTCTTTATCCCTTTCCTTGAACTGTCTTGACCTTATCGGATATGAAATGATAATCTTGGCAGCTTTTGTCTGTCCACCGACCTCTCCCGCGTCTAAATGCCAGGCATCGCTGCAACAGATAGAACAGCGAAGTGAAACTTCATCTGTGGACGAACAAAATCATACGCGGTGATTTTCTGCAGATAGGATAACTACAGCCATCAGCCGATCGCTATAGTCGACATATGTACGAGCAGGTAATCAGTGATTACTGAATTGACACATCGTTCTTAACCTCATTTTCGTCAGAGATGCTGTCCCATTCCCGGGCGTCCTGGTCGGCCTGGTCGTACGCAAGGTCCTTTTTAACCTCGTTCTTGCTCACGAACTCCCATTCCGACTCGTCGGTATGGATTTTGTTCTTTTTCGTCCGTCGAATGAACTCTTTCAGATCTTTTAGCTCATCTTCGATCTTGTCTGCCACTGTCGGCTCGGCTTTGGAGGGTCCAGCAGTTGACTTGGGGGTTGTATGGGAGTCCGTAGCGCTTTTGGGATGGGGTTCGGGCTTGGACTTGGACGCCTCTCCCTTCTTCACAACTGGCTGTCCCTGGTTGTTCGACATCGCAATCGGTTGGATTCTTCTTGAGAAAGCCGCAAAGTAGACTTGGTAATCGGGATACAGCAGGAAATCATTATGCCACAGAGAAATGGTACCTATATTCTGTTCGCAATCTGCAGTGATTGTCGATGCCTCTGCAGTGAATGCTGATGCTTCTGCAGAATCACCCCCGAATAGGATACCAATGACTTCACATTCATCTAGCACAATACCAAAGCGTCTGGCTTCACTGCCAGACCAACGTTGTAAGACAACTACACCGGATGCTAGCCGTGGCGTTCTCACTCACTTCTGAACACGCATGGGAGGGCCCGTGGCTTGTGCACTTCACAATGTTTCGGTCACAAACACTCATGTTTGGCGAGAAGATGAATGATGGCTGAGCTAAGTGGCTTCAATAACAAATTGACACAGACCACCGTTCCTGTGAAACATACGGTCACCATTTGCCTAACTCTCGCTTCCCTTCAACAGCATGGGCGCACCATAAAGCGCGGCGACAAGTATGATCGCGCAAGCGTTACAACAACCGAAGCCATAGAGTATCTGCGCATATAAAATAGGCTTCCACAACCCATCAAAAGCCTTCGTTAGTAGAACACAAACATCAACACCCAACCAAAACATGAAAACCACACTGTACGGTACATTGTACCTCAACGTACACCATCCCAACATGGCCATCCACAAAACCTACATCGCCTACCCCAACACCAACGAGCAATCTCAAACGTCCATATCTTCCAGTGTCCAATCTAACAACTCACCACCATCAAACTTTTACCCACCGCTTCGCGTCTCAAATTCCTTCTCATCTCTCTACCTCTCCCGCTTCGCGTCCTCCGCCGCGCTCTCCACGACCTCACATCCATCCATGAAATCAACCTCCTCGTCAACCTCCACCACGACGAACAATTCTATGACGGACGCATCAAGTATCACAGGATCCTCCTCGTCGAACTATTCCCACCGGTCGGAATCAGCCGGCAGCAACACGGTTAGATTAGAATTTCACTACCAAGCGCATTCGAGCATGGGCACTACTGCTACTACGTATAGCCCGTTGATCGTACCGAGGGAAAGGTGGACGTGGCCGGAGAGTGAAAGGTATAGAGAGGGATATGCTGGCGGGTGGGTTTGGACAAGGAGGGAGGTTGAGGAGTTAGTGGAGCGGGGATTGTTGGTTGTGGACGATGTGGGCATTAAGTGGGCGGTTGGTGGGGAGTATTTCTTGTATTTAGAACGGTGAGAGGGGGTGTTAGAGGGTGTTGAGTGATTTTGGGGGAGGTACACAGGTTGATGTTGTAGTAGGTGGTGATTAAATTATTGTCTAGACTCTTGGTATATAGTAATTCACTCCTTTGCCTTTTCCTGTCCGTCTTCCTGCGTCTCAGTGGCTTTTAGGACTTCCTTATTTTCCTCGCTTGCACCAAACAATTTCTCTCTCTTCATGAGCACGCCAGCAATCAGACTGGCTACTCCGGCAATAAGAACCGTGATGAAACTCCAGCGAATCGCATCTATGATACCTTCCTGCACTTGCATCCGCACTGCTGCGCTGATGCTATCGCTCTCAAAGATCCGACTCCTAGCTCCACCAAGCGCAGCCCTGATCTCATGGTCGCCGAATCCGAGCCCGCTCAGTGCATCTTTAACCTTGTGGAATCCTACATTTTGGAATATGAGCGACGTGAATGTGAGTGCGACGACCACGGAGCCGATCTGTGCGGTGTTGATGAAGCCTATGGCGTCCGAGACGTGATTGGGGGCCTTGACGGCGGCGACGGAGTATGCAGCTTGCTGGGTGAAGCCGGTGCCGAGGGCGAGGAGGACGCTGTAGCCGTATATTGCGGCATTCGAAGTACTGCGGTCGAGCGTGCCGAAGAAGAGGGCCCCTCCGATCGTGTTCATGACGCCGGATGCAACGTACCAGGGCATGTAGTACTTCAGCTTCGGGAGGAGGTAGCCATTTGCGAAGACTGTGACGATGTTGATGATGACAAGGGGGAGAAGACGGACTGCGGAAGAAACGGCGGATTCTGCTCTTGTGAATTGGAAGATTAGAGGGATATAGAATATTGCCACTGCTAGCACCGTAGAGGTGCAGGACTGCCCGATGAACAGTAGCCAGAATGTCTTGCTTTTGAGGAACCGGAGTGGAAAGATCTGGTCCGTTGGAGTGGTTAAGAAGCTGTACTTCTGCTGTATGCAGAACAGAATAAAGACGAGTCCACAAGCAACGATGCTTCCAATCGTACGGCCATCACTCCAGGGCCATAGGGTTCCACCGATAGCGAAGCCGATCACAAATGACACGTACATTCCGGAGTTCAAAATCACCCCCAGCCAGTCCAACTCTTTCAATCTAGTGACCAAGCTGTCATTGGGCCGTGGCATGAAAGAGCGAATGACGATAAAGTAAACTGGCGAGAAGATCCCGAAAAGAACCAAGTTCATGTAGAATGCCCATCGCCAGGTGGCCGAACTGTCAGCAAAGGCGCCACCGATGATGGGTCCGAGAATGCATCCTGCGCCCCAAACCATGCCTCCACCACTGATGTAGAGCGATCTCTTTTCGATAATAGTGTTCTGGGTCCAAATGTTCAACTGGCCGAGATACATGCCAGCTCCACCAGCACCAGCCCATACTCGTCCGACGATTAGTCCATTCATAGTCGGTGCGGCGCCGCAAAGAGCACTTCCTGCAGCGAAATGGACCAGACTGCCGATGTACATCCATTTCGTATCGAACATGCCATAAGACTTACTCCAGACGGCAATTGTGGCAATACTGCCGAGCGGAAATCCTATACCTAGCCATCCAAGCTTCTCAACTTCGCCAAATCGTTCAACGATCGGTCCTTGTACCACTGCTACAATCGTAGTGTCAAGTCCGTAGAAGAAAGCCGAAGAGTAAACGGCAAGAGCGATAAGTGTCCATTGGATATTGTTGTATTGCGACCCTGGAGCGGCTGGCGGCGATGCCTCGGCTGTCGTGATTGAATCCGGATACACAGTCTCAGGATTTGATTGAGGCTCTTCAGTTGGAAGTTGGGCTGTTGTATTTTCGGAGGTCGATCTAAGCTTTCTGTCCCACATACTGCGCATGGAGTAGCGTAGATCAATGCAGTTGTGGGTCGATTTATGTGTAACTGCAAATTGCTTTTTGTGATTGGAAGGGCGGCAATTGGTTGAAGGTGACAGCGTGCGTGGGGGGAAACGATTTCATATGCTGGAGAACGACATTGTCGCAAACATCACGGGCAAAGTTCACATCTTGTATACGGTTATCTGTTTTCATGATGTAAAGGATCGACGGTGGACTTTTCAGGGAGGTTGAATAGTCGTGCCTGCCAAGAAATGAGTCATTCCCACTCATTCTGTTGCTCAAAGCGGGGTCAAAGCAAGGTAACAGTAATGAACCAATGAAGGGACCAAAAGTGTATGGTATACATGTAGTTATCCGTGGTTGTATTGACTAAACCACTGCAGAAGACATAAAGTCTTCGCCCTTTCCCTCGTAGATCAGCTACTCGCCATCGCTATACCAGCGATTCAATTTGCCCGAGTCGACCCGCGGCGATGCGGACGATTCAGTGCACAACATTATTGGATCGCATTTCCTCATAGAGCCTCATTTCGACAAAGTCTCTCAGCCCTTCCAATGCAGCCTCCCGTGTCGGAACCGAATGCCCTACGACGAAGGGTACCCCATCCTTCAGGAGCATCATGACGAATTGATTGTTGCCGCCTCCCACAACGAGATCGAGGTTGTAGAAGGCCTGTTCGGTATTGCCAAATCTGCGGCGAATCATGTAGGCAAGATTGTCTCACAATTGTCAGTTCCAGGGATATGTAGAGGTTCTGAGTTTGACTTACTTGCAAGCTGTCGTTTTTGAGGATATTGCAGCTCGGCATCGGTTGCCATGAGACGTAGGAGATAATCATGTAGCAGATCGACTGCCAGTGGCATGGTGGAGAAGGAATTTCCTTGCGGAACGAACTGGCTCATGTTGCTTCTTGGTGGAGCTGAATTATGGTATAATTCAGTTATGGTGGAGTTGAGTTGTGGCAGATTGAAAGATGTTGATGGGCGAGGCGCAATATCTAATCACCTTTGGTTTGCTTGTTGAAATGTTTGTTCATTCGTGAGTATCTGTGATTGTCTAATAACCTCCGTCCTTTCTATGTTCTATTAGTATCCAAAAGTATATCTTACTTCTACTAATCCTAAGAAAACATTATGACAATATCTTTAATGTGTTTTGGCCCATTCCCTGTACCAGTCTAAACACTCTGCATTCGCTACGCTTGCTGATGTTTTGACATTCAAACCGCATAAAATTTGCTTCACGGCGCCTTCAACCCTAACAAATGATTAGCAAGATATTGAAAGAATTTGAAAGTGACCCTTACTTCTTTCCATTTGTTGTGACCGGTATTTCTGGACATTCGTCTATCACTCCGGGAACATGCCTCGCGCTCAAAGCTTGCCTGACAGCAACCTTAATTTGGTTTACGAGGTCGGGGGTAAACTTCTGGTCATCCGCCATTTTCAAAAACAAACAAACTGTCTCGTCGGAATCCTCTTCCCGCCTTCGCCCGATGCAAAGAGCATCAGAGATTTCATCGGCAAAGTGCTCAAGGAGGACATTGTAAATTTCTGCCGACCCGAACCTGACACCAGAAGGCTTCAAAATTCCATCGCTGCGACCAAGCATCCAGATGCCTCCGGTTTCGGGATCGAAACGGACGAAGTCACCGTGGTGCCAGATCGGCTGGTCTCGCACCCCGGTGAATTTATCGAAGTAGCTGCTGCGATATTTGGCTTCTCCATCGGTTCCCCAGAAGGCAACTGGTTGACAAATAAACGGCCTCGCGCATACCAAATCGCCTGGCTCGCCGGTTTCCGTGATGTCCTGTCCTGTGTAGTCGAACGCACGGATGTCCATGCCCAAACCAGCAGCTTGGATCTCTCCCTCATAGACAGGAATAAGTGGGTTGGGAGCGCCGAAGAGCGATATGATATCTGTTCCTCCTGTAATGCTGCCAAGGTTTATCTTGGAAGGGAAAGCCTTGTAGACGTAGGAGAAAGTTGATGGGGCCAGTGGGGATCCCGTCGAGTAGATTGCTTCCAGAGTCTCCAAAGATAATCCAGCGGCGCTTGGGGACACGTCTTTCTGCTCTAGGACGGATAGATACTTGGCACTGGTACCGAAGTGAGTGATACCGAATTCGTCGATGAGTCGATGCATTGCAAGATCATCAGCCTCGGACGTGGTGGGGTCGGCGGAAGAAACATAGCGGAAAGGGGAACCGTCGTAAAGAACGAGAGTGGCACCGGAGGCTAGTCCTGATACCAACCAATGCCACATCATCCATGTGCAAGTAGTGAAGTAGAAAAGTCGAGATTCAGGGGTGATTGAACAGTGCAATTGATGTTCCTTCTTGTGTTGGAGCAAAGTACCAATAGCGCCATGAACGATACATTTCGGTTTCCCGGTGGTGCCTGAAGAGTAGAGAATATAGACTGGATGATCAGCAGGTAGCTGCTTGAAAGTCAGAGGGCCCGATTTTTGTAAAGTCGTGAATGTATGGTAGTCGTAAGCCTTCCCTGAAGTAAAAGCGATGGAGGAAGCATCAGTAGATACCGATGCAACAGTCGGGAATAAGACAACCGCTTTCAGGGAAGGCAAAGCTGAAGCGATCTCGGTGACCTTAGGCACAACCGGATGCGCACGACCATTGTAGAACGCTGCATTGTCTGCAAAGAGAACAATTGGCTCAATCTGTCTTAGACGCTCTAGCACAGCATGAACCCCAGTATCTGGACTGACAGCGGTCCAAATAGCACCCAAGCTGGTGGCAGCCAGCATGGCAACCAGAGCATTTGTGTGATTGGCAACATATCCCGCTATGCGATCACCCTCCTTTACGCCCAGTGATAGCAGTCCTGTCTGGCATTGTTTGACCTGTTCACGCAGTTGTTCCCATGTCACGGTCTCGCGTGAGATCTCGGTCGCGGCGATGATAGCTGGGCTGTCGGGGTCGACCTCTTGGGTAGGGAATAGAAGGTTCTCAGCGAAATTGAGGGTAGCACCTTTGAAGAAGTCGGGTCGAGGAAACATAGGGGCACGCTCATTGATTATCTATGTTACGGTCAGCTATGAACACCCCACGCGACGTCGAACTCGTATGATACTGACCGAGGATGCTTGAGTGCTGGCCCTGACACCTAGGAATGCCCAGGCTCTGCCCCAGAACTTTGCAATGTTCTTGACACTCCAAGCATGAAGGTCGTCGTATGTATCCAATTGCAACCCATATCTCTGGTTTATGTCCTGCATGAATCGCGACATCGGGGTTGTGCTTGGAGCGGGATGTCGCCAGAGAACTTTAGCCGAGGGTTTACCATTGCTGGTGATGAAGTCGCCATAGTAGTCGCTGACTGCGCGCCTGCGCGATTGACCGTTGGTTGTGCTCATATTGCGAGGAGAAGAGTGATAAAGGTAAATATAAATTTTGGGTCCCCGAATTTGAATCTTGGTGGGACGGTTACCGTAGGCTTTGAGATTAGGAGCAAGTCGGGGAATAGCCCTGGTTACCCCCCCTCCACATCCCGCCAAAACGGAATCAGGCCGTCCCAGTTCCGAAGCCGAACAAACGAGGGGGAGCGGAGGAGCCATGGCCAACAATTCGATATTACGAGTACCTATGTACTCCGTACGAGTACATAGGACATTAGTTACGCCAATGGCCAATGGCAAGGCAGAAGATGGCTTGCTTTTTTCCAAGTTTTCCAAAGCCGGTGCCCGTGTCGCCATCGAAGAAACAAATAATCCATGTCGCAATAATAACAAGAAATCACTTTACACACCGCAGCACGCATGTAAGTCGAAGATTCGAAAAGAAAAGTATGATCTCTATCCAGTTAGCGCCAGATTCACACCGGGCGGACTGAGGTCAGAACATAGCAGTCGACCGATCTACCACCACCTGCATCCTGAGATTAATCATACGACAGCTCAACCTCCCGGTTCCCCGTCTACGATCCATCAAATTCCAAGATCTCCCCCTCGATCTCCCCTATCATTCATTTCGTGCCACGTGGGTGTTGTGGGTGTTGTAGCAAGGATCCTTACATGTTGGCTAACCCATCTCGGCTTATAGTACTGTAGCAGCAGTTACTCCGTACAGCTTTGGATGAGATGCTCACTGTAACCTTACACAAAAAAAAAGAGAACATCTTCCTCACGATTGAAATGCGAAAAGAAAAAGTCTTCCGACATCTCATATACCCCCTTTTTTTCAACTGACCGGAATCCCTAATCGGCAGGTCCCAATCTTCGATTCGTCCTCCAACCTGATTCCCTGTCAGTGCCAAAAGCACGGACAAAGAGTGAAAGGAATGACCAGGAGTGGCCGGTCAACGAAGAGATATGAGATTGTAGTCGATGGCAACATCTGGGGCCATTTCCATTGCCAGTTGATCCCTCGACCACAACCGGGTGAACTGTCCCGCCTTGGCGACTTAGTATGCACTGCTACGGCATTCCGAAAGCACCAGAGGCACGGGAAAGCGAAAGATGCGCTGGGAAAATCGATACTTGGTTCAGATCTGTCGTACTCGTTTGCCAATTTCACCTGAAACAGCATCTGCAGACTTTGACTCGACATGTCAGTGCTGCTTACAGCGTCCAAGTGTCAAATATGCATTGATTTCGAGGTATACAAGCCCACTCCAATGACTATTAAGAAAAAGGAATCACTAGATCTCGCTCCACGCACGGAGATGAACGCAGAATACGATGGGAGTGATGTGACAACGTTCTGGTGAGTGGGGGGTAGGAAACCTCCCCACTTCCCACCCTCCCCGTGGTCCACGTGCAGGAAATCCGTTCCACTCAGGTCAGGCCATACGAGAGTGTATCGGGGCGTAGATGCGAGATCTCCAGCTTAGATATGCCTTACTGTGGCAAGTCAGGCACGCCAGGCTCGCCTATCTAGTTGCCGCCGCCAATTGAAGTAGCGGGTGGCATGGGATCATGTGGACAGGGGGCTTCAATGATGCGAGTTTGTGACTTAATAAATGAATACGCACGGAATTGTTAACCGTCTGAGATACGAATAGGGCGTATGTGTTACTCTGCACTGAACTGGGCAAGGCTGAAGGTGCTCAGTCACCGTGGCGCTGGAGCCTCCAATTTCAGTCGCTGCTGCAAGGAAGTACGCTATCAGTGCGCCTAGAAGATGAGTTCTCTCGAGTCTAGTCGATCTTTATTACACCCACTTGTTCTCCAGAGTGTAGAAGAGTCACACACACGGAGAATGTTAGTTCATCTATTACGCGCCCAACTTTGCGGCACAGCAGCGATTACGACCGAGCAAAGCCGACCGAGCAAACGGTAGTATGGCCACCCAGGTCTTAGGAGGTCATTACTAAAAACATGGCAAGTCTGCCATTCCCGCGTTGCCTAACGATCGAGGCAACACACTTGGCATACCTGGGAGAAGTGAAAGTAGAGCACGCGTATTTCAAGAGAACTACCAGACTGATACCACCAGGCAACTCCCCATAGCAACTTTTGTTAGTGTAGTGGAAGTGGCAGCTAATAAGCAAAATATGTTTAGGAGTATTGCTACAATCGTTGCTTGCATACCTAGGTAGCTATAATCGCAGCATGCTGCCTCAGCCAAGCTAGCGGGAAGTCCTTCTCGAAGACCAATCTATTAGCTTAGACTAAACACAGCATCATACGAAGGCTTGGTAGGCCCGCCTGCTGAACCATTTGACGGAAGGAAGCGAGCCTGCCGAAGGTGTAACGGGATAAATAGTAAACAGTGAGAGAATGGTACCTTGATGCGCGTTATTGGGAGGCGGCGTCCGACTATTCGTTGCCTAGTTCTCCGGTATGGGGCCAAATACCAATGCAGATCGACTCCTCTGGGCGATAATGAGTGCCAGCCAAACTTCTACAACAGTTGAGTATGCATCAGCGCGCTGTGTAGCGACACCTCTCCGATTTGCTACTTTCGTCCTTGACACTCTGCACTCCTGAATCTAGCTTGTCGACCAGTAGACACCCACTGAGAGTAATTGACATGACACTGCATTTGCTGAGCTTTACACAACCTGCAACGGGAGTGGAGTATTTACAATGCAGACTATGTTCCCTTCAAGCAAGACTGCCACACCTCTTTCTCCAAACCATGGCCTGTTCCACGAACAAGGCTGCATCACCTCTGCCCGGTCAGCTGAGCCCGTACCTCCCCAGCAAAGCACGACGGTTTTATCTCTTCCTCACACTCCCAGATGTGACCTGTCGTTTTGATCTTCCGCAACGCACATCGCGACCTGGACAGCCAACATGCCAGTGTGTGATGAGATTCGACGCGACGTGCAGACGCACGAGACTGGAAGTGATAGCTGCCAGGCCAGAGTCTCCCTGTAGTATCACACGGAGTGACGAACGGTTTTCTCATTCAAAAGCTTGATGGATCCCTCGATGTATTAACCAGCAAAGCTCATCGTCAAGCTTAGGCCATTGCGACGCGACAAAGCGTATCCAGAGTACCATCACCCGCCAACGCATACACCATGGCCGAAGAGAAGTGTGTCACCCCTTCTGGTCCCCCGAGTCTGCTACTGACCTGCATCCTTCTTTCTCAGCCAAGATGATCTCCACAGCGACGTTTCTCGATGCGCTACTTATGCAACAAGCATCAGCGCCCACTCGCTGACGAACGAGGACCCGATGAAGGCTGAGAATAACATCGGGTGTCCAAATACTTCAGACCAAAGCGAGGAGGAAGCATCTAGGGCAGATGGTATCACCGAGATGCACTTTTTCATTTCGATGGATCGTGATATCGAGGGTGTATGGGATGGTGATGATCCACTGAGACCTGCAGAACGCAGTGGGTCTCCAGACTCTGCATATGAGGATGGAGAGGTTTCCATCACTGATGGTAAGAGCCTATTACACCTTACTATAAGACGCAGCCGTTCGAATTAACTTTACTCTCCCAGACACTTCGCTTTCGTTCACTCCCTGCCAGCAACCGTGCCCTTGGCAGCCGCGAATGGCCCCTATGATGAACCATTCATCAGCCTTCCCCGTCGATGTACCATACTCTATCGAGAGATTTCTGCGCGAGACAGATCCATCGCCGTACTTTGATCGCAGCCAACGTGGGGTTCTTCCAATGAACATCTCTACCATTGTAGGATACACTCTTGAGCATGCTAGCGACAAAAGCGAGGGAGGGTCGTGCACTAGTTCAAGAGAATACTAGAAAAGAAGAAGCTCATTTGGGTTAGCCTTTCGATGTTATGATGGTCGTGGTATCGATTCACATAGCGGCTCCCATCAGGAGACGTCGTCGCAGGGTCTTAGGGTAACATTATTTGGGTTAGTCATTGAACAACTGTATGTTCTCTTCTCACGGATACAAAGCGAAAATTCTAGGACAAATTTTGGTATACTCGTCGTCTCAAAGAGGATGTTTTTGATTGACGATGAATTGGAAGCTGCTCCCACGCCGTCGCTGCCCTTTGAAGCACGGAAGCTCTTCCTCCTTTGACTGAGGCCATTGAAAGGTCGACGGCCTTCCTTACCTGTCTCTGCCACTCCTCACCCTCACACCATTATTCTAGCACCAACCACTAGCATATAACTATTCACAGACATACGCTTGACGCACAACTCTAACCTTCGTTATCAATACCTGTTGCACTGGGAAAGCATTCGCGCGGCCTCAACCACACGAACAGAACTCCACGAAAACAGTGTCGAGACACGCCACGTAACCCGAAGTCATGCTGGACGAATACGGTGATTGGATCACCACGTCTGAGGAGTCGCAGGCCGATTCATCTTCGTCAAACTTTTAGTCAAGGGAACAGTCACGTATCACGAATCTTGGACGCATCACAAAATTCGACTTCGAGGACGAGAAACAACAACATCTTCATCCTGAGGGGTATATTTCCGATCCGGTTTTACAACACCTAGTGGAATCATTCAGACCATTTCTTTGGGGCGACGAGTTGGCCCCTTACGGTATCACTCATCTGGCGAGTGAGTACTCTTCTTCAGGCCTCAGGCCCCATCTTATAAAAACCTAATGTTTGCATTGCCATATTGACGACGAGCCTAGGTGCAGTCGCCACGATCATTCGTTATCGTTACCCCGATGTTGAGTCAACTACTATCGCGGTATCCTTGCTTCCATTCCATCACTACACCACGGATCAGGATGGCGACTTCCTCTACGTTTCTATTATCAAAGCCCCCGGGGACATCGATCATATTCTTGTCGCTGATGTTCATCACGGCGAGGCTCCCCTTTCTAAACTGCGTCCACGTGCGTTGTCTATGCTTGCCCATGATTTCGAACAAGGGAATTATGTAGAGAGTGAAGAAAGTAAGGGAAGTGCTGCCACAGAACATACCACGAGGTCCACCCTCAAGTTCATCCGCAGGTCCATCCGAAGGTCCATTCGCAAGACCATCCGCAAGCCCATCTTCTGGCCCATCCACCGGACCGGGCCATCGACTGAGTCATTCACAAGGGTAGCCACTGAATCGATCACTGCAAAAGAGGACTGCGGATCTGCAATGGAACGATAATGGTGTGGTTGGGCCAGGGAAGATTTGATATACTAGTCGAGCTTGCACTTGCACCTGGCTGTGGCCCATCATTGCCAGCAGGTAGCTAGTTTAGATCAACAAATTGCTATAATTGGACAGGGTTGGGTATGCTAAGTGTACATAAATTAGAGTCGAGCTCAAGATCAAGAACTTTAAACGGACAAACAGCCCCCAAGGGCAACATTGAGGCCATCTAAGCAGTGTATCGTAGGCTAATGGACGAATTCAGAACTCCATTTTACTCGGACAAAAAAACAGCAACAATAAACAAAAAAGGGACTAAATCTAGATCCCCACAAACTTCTTTTTTTCTCCTCTCTCCCATCATCTACTCTCCTTTATCCGGACGCAATCACTGAAAGAGGGAAACGTGTTTCTAAAATCGGGCCCGAGGCTCCAATTCTTAATGTCTCGAAGGTGGCTTTCGAAAGCCGGGTTGATGAGCCACTGGTCGTCTTCTTTGGGTACATGGGTGCTGCCATTGGCCCCGGGCGTACTGCCCGCGGGCTGAGGGGTACTCGGGTGAGGCGACCCCGCGTGGACGGCTGTGGAATAAGGACTCGACGCCGGGATGGAAGACGTCGTGGAGAGCGACGACGAATGGATTTTCGAGGCTGGGAGAAGGCAGTCACGTGCTTCGTAGGGCCAGTTGAGGGAGATGGTGGTCGTGAAGGGGATGAAGAATTGGTCGAAGAGTACGAAGGGGGAGTGGGCGATTAGGCGATCTCTTAATCGAGGCCTGGTGAAGTGATTAGTCATTACCCCTGAAATGTTCAAGTTGGAGGTTTAAGTTTTCCGTGTGATGTGATTGGAATTGTCGAACTTACCAAGGAATGTGGTCGAACCAGGCGGGGTGAGATACGAAGAGCTGCGATGGGCGGGGTGACACCCAGTCTGGTATTCTGTCGTAGTTCTCCTGTGACGGTTCGATCTGCCACCGCATGATGAGGAACATGATGAAGACGATTGCTACCTGCTCTGGGATTCCGCAGATGTCGGGAAATGTCCTTAGGATATCCGTGAAGAGCTTTGAGAGCGGGTGCGAGTCTACGCAGCGATCTGGGTATACTAGTGAGGTGAAATTGGGATACATAGGTCCTACTAAGGTCTTGAGTGGAACACCCTCTGCCGCACGAGCCTGGCGATCGTTCAGGAAATCCAGCATAATGACGTCCAAGGGACATGTCGGTGGGACGTTCCGAGGTAATATCTGGTAAGGAACAAACGTCGGCGCACATTGGCCTCCGGTATGGTGGGGTGCATTGGCGGAGGGTGCTGACTCTTGAGCAGGTGGATTTGCTGGGGGAGGCAATCCTGTATCTACCCTGCGCTGATTGTTGTCCAGAAGGAAATCCACACCCAGTCGTTCATCAAATGGTAGGCCATGTTGTTGTTGTTGTTGGCCTGGAGTAGTGCGCGCCTGCTCATAATGTGCGCTTTCCACGGACCATCTCTGGCCTGATGGTGTGTACGCTGTGTACATCCATTGCCGGCCAGGCTCTGGAATTGCTGGCGATTGAACTCCATTGTCTGGCGATGCTAGATCCCGGTGATTGCTATTGTGGCTATAACTCCGACTCTCTTTATTGTGTGGTGTTGGCTCATGAGGTTGGGAGACATCTCGAGGAGACGGTGCTACAGGGGGAGGAAGCGGACTCCTTTCTGCTGCTGCTGCCAATTCTGCATATCATCAGTTCCATACCATCTACCATGATGAATTCTAAACGTACCATTCAAGCCCCCTGAAGCTCTCAAGAGCGGCTGGATGATTGACACTACCGACTCCAAACGCTTCCGAATTTCTGTGTTTTCCGCCTGGATCGCCTCCTTTTCTCGTAGCACGACCTGGAGATCATGATACGGCTGCTGGCTCTCGAGTTCGCGTATTCGCTGGTTCAAACGGTCGATCTGATTCTTTGTTCTCTCTCGGATGGCTCGCTGTGCCTCTCGGTCGTTTGCCCGCTTGCGCGCAAGCTGGTCGGGTGTGAGGTTCGCTACGCCGCGAGAGGACGCGCCTGTACGACGTTTCTTCTGGGCCGGCTGCTCATTCGAGTCCTGCGCATCGCTACCCACCGCGTCGGCGTTGGAGGCTTCTGCCTCGGCCATGATTCGACCGTATGGTCAATCCTGGGGAACCCGGGGATTTCGAATGCAAACTTGTCATTTGATGACCGGCAACTCGACGCACACGACTCAGTAGCAACTGAACATTAGAGACAATCTTGTGCTAGGCTTCATTGGTGTTAGCGTCCATCTGAAGCCAGTGCGGGGAGCTTCCTCGGATATCTTCATCCCATCTGTTAGCTGCCTTTCAATACGGGGTATCTAGTGGAGCCCAGACCGGGGTTTGTTGCCAGTCTAATCAGCAATGGAGGTAAGTGTGTACGACTCTCCATTTCTTGAGGCTTCTAGCCTCGTACCTCCTTCCCATCCCCTTCAACGTCTCTCAAACATACCCTACACCAACCGCACAGTATGGCAGACCAGCAAGTCAGCAAGCTAGGCATTGCGTCTGTGACGCTGAAAGCCAGTCCGTTGTTACTCTCCTACTATAACAGTACCTCAAACGGCGCATACTGACATCGAGATACAGCTCTTGCGGCTTCGGCTCGGCTATGGACATCGCCATTCAAAGGCGAGAAAGGCGCCCACACATACTTCAAAGATGTTATGTTCGCAATGGTGCGGACGCAGCTCGGGAACCTGACCCTCGCCCAAGACCGCCATCTTAACGCAAGCACGACGGAACAATACCTGAAGAGTGCGAAGGACCTCGGCTTCGCTCCCGAAAGCACAACACTTCCAAGCGGGATACAAGGACATTGGATAGGAAACAAGAACGCGAAGAAAGTTATTCTCTACTACCATGGTGGGTTTATAGCTTTTGGTCCTTGTGGATAGTGCTAATCAAGCTCGCAGGCGGCGGTTATGTCGTAGGAGCCAGCGCTGGTCATTTCTCCTACCTCGTCCAGATCAAAGACCTCCTCGTAGCACAAGGCGTAGACGTCGGTATCCTCATCCCAGCCTACGATCTCGCGCCGGAGAAGACATATCCAAACCAATTGCGACAAGGCGTCGATGCTCTCCGTTACCTCATCGAGATCGAGGGCCGCAGCCCAGAAGACATCACACTCGGCGGCGACTCAGCCGGTGGCAATCTCACACTCGGGGTTCTGTCTCACCTCACGCATCCTCATCCCGACATCCCGGCTCTCAACCTTCCGACCAGGCTCCACGCAGCCCTCCTCATCTCGCCGTGGTGCTCGTTCAACGTCCATACGAAAGCTTACGCAGAGAATGCCGAGAGAGATATGCTTGATGACCGTGTCCTGAGCAGATGGTCCGGCGCCTTCCTAGGCAGCGACTCGCCCTTCGCCGGCGACTTCTACAACGAGCCCGTTCTCGCTCCAGCGTGGTGGTGGGAAGGCACCGCAGGCGTCGTGGAGGAGGTGTTGTTCTGGGGCGGCTCGTACGAGGTTCTCATCGACGGTATCGAGGAGACCGCAAAGAGGTTCCAGCAAGGTTATGGAGGCAAGGGAGGCAAAGTGGCCGTCGTGATCTCGCCTAAGGCGGCCCACGTCGAGCCTGTCGTGGAAAACATCTTGGGGTACAAGAAGGACAGCGGAACGGGTTCCAGAATCGTGATTGGGGATTGGCTCAAGGCGAAGCTGTAGTTTTATGTGTATGCCTGTCTATCGTCTGAGGACAGATGTTGTAAACATGTTTCATAGCGTGTATAGTGAGCATTATACATATCTTTGCATCGTCGAATGTACGAACCACCATCATTTCAGACTACATCCTCTCAAGTCATAACTGTTTCGCAAGTTGAATATCGTCGAAGAATCAACTCCGTACTTTCAATCTCATTGTCATTCATCTCAGAGGAGCAAACAAAATAAAGTCGAGCACTCGTACGACGTACCTAGATCAGACAGGCCGGGCACCTGAATTATTGTGGATCCCTATGTGGAGGCCCCCCACATTCCTGGATTTGTCGTTGTCTGCTCTCCGTCTCTCTCTTTCGGGACATGTGGGCACGATAAGATAACACAAATTCCTACCAATTTCCAATGCGAGAGTGCAAGGTTCAAAGATCAAAGATCATAGATGTTTGACTGTTGACTAAGTAAATGCGACACGAACGACGAGGGATAGAAGGCACTCAATGTAAAGTTTAATGATGATATATTATGAAAAGATATAATTGAAAACCAATGCGCTTACACAACCCTCAGAGATATGCTGTCAAAACCTAGCAATATATGAACATCCATACATCATTCACTTAACACCATATCCAATTCTTTTTCATTCCTTCATCTCTTCAGAAAGAAGTATGCATGCATCATCGTCATCGTGCCCATCAGCACCTCACCTTTACGCCTTATATCCCTCCAAAAGACCCCTCAACCACACACCAGCAGCATACGCACCGGGATCAGGAATCTGACTCCTCTCGGCATTCTCATCACCAACATACGTAGCGCGGCCGAACTTCGCCTTCATGTTCTTCGTGTCGTCGGCCTTCTTCTCCGCGACGTCGACGGCCTTCGCGAGGTCCTTGGTCTGGGCGAAGGTGTCGATGAAGGGGATCAGGACGTCCATGACGGTCCTGTCGCCCTCGCGGGCGGAGGTGTAGTTCTTGAGGTTGTCGAGGGCCTTTGCGGCGGAGTCGGCGACGGTGGAGACATCGAGGGGTTTGGAGGATTTGACGGTGTTTTCGGTGAGGGCGTTGGTGAAGGCGGTGACGAGGATGGAGAGGATGGCGCCGAGCGAGCCGCCGACGTCTTCGACGTTCTCGCCGACGGACTCGAGGAAGGGGATGAGGGGCGGGAGCGTGCTGGGGAGGCTGTCGAGGTTGTTCAGGATCGACTTGCACACGCCCGCTACGGCTTCGCCGCAGTCGCCATCGCCCATCTGGAGGTCGTATTGTGTGATGGTGGGCTCGGCAGCGAAGCCATCGTTGCAGGCTTTGCGGAGGGCGGGGATGAGGGAGGAGGGGGTTGCGGGTCCCTTGCTGGCGTCGGCGTGGGAGGCTGCGGCGGCGTTGGCCTTTTGGCGGAGTTCTTCGGTCTCCTTGGAGATCTCGACGGGTGCGTAGCCGTTCTTGGGCCAGGCTGGTGCGGTGGTGGGGGCATCGAGGAGCTCGAAGACTTCGGCGTCAGTGACCTTCATGGCCTTGGCCATGCCGGACATGTTGCCCAGGGTGATGGAGAAGCCCTGGCCGTTGAGGGAGGTCTCGAGGATGCCGGCGTAGATGCGGGCGGGCTTGATCTTCCAGTCCTTCTCCAATTGCTTCAGGGCAATGTTGACGAGAGCCTCGAGCTCGAGGCCGGAAAGACCACCGAAGTTGTTGACGAGCATGACGACGTTGTCCTCGGGCTTGAACTCGACGAAAGCACGGTCGGTGTCTTTGGGGTCCAAGAGGAATCGGAGCATCTCGCTGATGATGGTCTCAGGTGGGGGCATAGGGGTGATTGTTTTGAGTCCCTGGAAGTTGTAAGTACGATGAGTCTGAGGGTTAAATCGGACACGGAATTCCTTACAGGCTCGTTGTGAATACCCATTCCCAATACATAAGAGTTATCAGGGACATGCTCGAAAGCCTCACGTCCAGGGACGTGGCAATGATCCAATGAAGATCCGATTGTGACGAGTTGTGAGTTTCCGAGCTCTCCAATCTGTCGACATCTCTCGAAAGACCAGCCCTTTTGTGAAGCAGCACCAGTAAGCTTGATGACTGTTTCGAAAGATTAGCAATTGACCCAACATGCCATCCAGGAAAATTGATCAGCATACCTAGCAAGTTACCCGCAAGACCTCTCCGTCCCACCTTTCCACTCTTCTCCCGTCCAAGAGCAGCATCCTCAGCCATGCACACAACATCCACCTTGTAACCAAGTGCCTGGCCCTTCTCACGTGCCAGGCCGAAATGGAGCATATCTCCCGTGTAATTAGTGATGCAAAGAATCACACCCTCAGTTGAGGGTGCGTTTCTTATACCAGCCATGACCTGTTTGGTGCTAGGGGATGCGAAGATGTCACCGCACACGGCAGCGGAAAGCATGCCCTCTCCGACGAAACCTGACCACGCGGGCTCGTGGCCACTGCCACCGCCCGATACGATGGAGACCTGGTTGGCCTTGTGTGTTTTGGAGTAGACGACGCGGTTGGCCTCGTCGAGGCCCATGTGTGCGTTGCGAGAGACAAGGGATTGAAGCATGTTCACGACAACACCCTCGGTGTTGTTGAAAAAGTGTTTGCGAGACATGGTTGGGTATATGGGGATGTGTAGGTGCTCTTGAAAGCAAATTTCGGATTGTACTTTCGTACAGAAAAGTGCAAATTCAGTTCAATTGGGGACTTGATTTGTGCCTAAATTGACTCGTGAGGTGTCAGTACGGCTACTTGGTACTCCGGGGTAGCTGCGGAGAGCTCTCCCTCTAGCTATGGTGTTGGATGCCAATCGCATAGGAGGAAGGGAAGAGAAACAAGTACCTTTTTTGCAGCGTCAAGCTATAGAATGAAGGTAATGTCACTCTAGATTAGGAAGAGCAGAGGAGAAAATAATTAGAAAAGCTCGAGAGCGTACAACTGCCACACGTCCGGGAGGACATGACCCTCTCTATATAAAGGGAAAAGGGAGCTCCCCGCACCCCCGCCGCCGCCGCGTGCGCGATCAACACCCCGCCCACATTCATAGTGAGTAATAACTAAGTACCTCGCATAGCACAATAAGTTGATAATTAGAGTGTTCCAGAGGGCCGAAGTCCTCTCCCGGAGGGCAATTTGCTGTCGGCACGGAGGCCATATTTGCCCTTTCTAGACGACTTCGAAATACTTGATGCGGTCAAGTCCATGGAACGATCGTGAGCATGCTGTCAGGTATAGCGACCGGCTTTTCCCAAAGGGGGAGTTCCGGCGCACAAAAAAGTTGTTCCTACCTATGTGGACTTACGTATGGGGACGCTTGGGGATGACGCTTGGGGGAGGCGTTTGGACTCGTGTGATTAAGTCGTACAAGTACAAGCCTACAAGGTACCTCGCATCGGTCTCTGCCAGGGAAGAACGGCCTTTCGCACCAGCTTGTCAGCTGTATCCAAACAGCGCGCAGTAACACCGTAGCGTCCTTTGCATGGGACCCTATGTTTCCTGCAATTGTTGTAACTAACTACGAGTAATTGTGGCGTGTAATGGGTACGGGTACCTCGACGCGAGTCCGGCCCAGGTAAACCGAAGCCCTTTCCGGGCCAGAGTAGGTAACGCAGTTCTACACATCACCTCTATCGCCAGGAATCTCTTCGCGTGCTACATCTCCACTCCCTTCTATTCCTTTGAAATTTCTTTTCGACTATGCCGGAGTGCTTGAGATGAGAGGACACCTAGAGGTCTTAAGAAAATTATAGCCACACGTGGGCGTAGCTGATTCAAATAGAAGTGCGATACGTAAGAATGTTGTGATGCTGAGCGACCAGATCCGTCCTCGTCTCGAGGCTCCTCCAATGTTTGAGACCAACGACACCGTATCGTGACCTTCGGCCATTTGTACTCCTCGCACATATGAAGATTCTGATGTTTGTATTGAATTCGTTCGTATTTGTCCATGTTCACAGATGCGAGGGACGACCGCTGTCTAACAAACAATATTCTTTTATTTTCTTTGCATCGCAACTGTAGGTACTAGTGCCATATAGCTTCCCTACCTCGGCGTGACAAACGCCCTCGGTGGCATTGGGGGGTTTGACCCCTGGGAACAACCCATTATCTGATCTAGACCAAATGACCGATTCTATTTTTCTCATGCCGGTCCTGCGGTATGAGGTTGGAATATGCTCAACGGTACAGCCATTGTAGTATATCCCCTAGTTGTTTGCTTGCAGCGCACACGACAAGTATCGCCCAAAAAAGCTTTGGACTCTATCCAAACAGAACTGTCTTGCCCTTCAACAACGTGCCTCCAACAGACTTTCCAACAGCGAATCCAATATACGCTCCGGTAACTATGGTGATGGGCCATTTCTGCCATTCGCGGTCCCTAAATGTTCATTAGCACCCGGAACTTATATAGCAACCTGCTTGCCAAAAGTAGTTCCTGTTCTACGTACCAGTCCAATGGTATCGGGACAGCGCCCAACCAGGCTCCCAGCATTGTTCCGATCAAGCAACCGTATACCTCATCAATCGGAAGCTCCAAAGATACGATCTCCCTCCATGTCGATCCATCCACTCCGTGAACATATGTCAATGGGATGGCCGTCAAAAATGAAATGTGCGCGGCACATAGCGCGGTGTGCTCCCAGTGCGTAGAGATAGGTGCGCCAAACAGAACGAGGAGGACGCCGAGTATCGGGATACCAGCAATGATCGCGAGAACGAGTGCTAAGAAGGCAGGCTGCACAGGCAAAACGTTAGCTTGATAGATCATCGCAACACAGCGCTGAGACATACAATCACCGTGCCATTGACAGCAGAAGCAACTGGCGAAGGCGCTCCCTTTTTCTTCTCGCCAGGCTTCCTCTTGTCGCCCAAAGGTGTTGCGCTACCTCCTGTAGGCGGAAGACATATCGCAGAAAAGACAACCTGCAAAATACCAACCGCAACTAGGGTTTCCGAGAGCGCAGTAACTGGATTCTCGACAATCGAGTTGAATTTGAATGCGTAGACCGAGAGGAGAAGAACTGGATGTATATGTGTGTAGAGTTTTGCAAGGTCGGTATTCAGGATATCGATGGGCGCGGAGGGAACCCGGGGCCTCGCGGGCTCTTGTACTACGGTAGCCATGTTGCCGTTGCGTTGTCGGTTCCGTTGTCGTCTACGGATGCCTTGTACGAACTCCCGCTCCAATTCTCTCTGCTGTGCAGTCAATGCGCGCCTTTGTTGTTGTAGGATGCTGAATTCGCGGTTGTTGCGGATCGGGACGGCCATGGTGGTGCTTAGCGTATTTCAGGTGCTCGCGTCTGTGGCGGTGCGACAACGACTGCAGAGTGATCCAGTGTTAACGTGGGGAATATCACTATTGAACGAAAGAATATTGTGGAAGTGATTGGTGGAGGATAATTGAAAACATGTTTATGCTTTTTATTCATCTATCTCGTTCATCATGCTTTCCACTTGCATTCTGTGCCTCCCAAGTGTAGCTCTCAGAAATCGGCAAGCGCCACAGATGCGGGTCACAGTAGAGCAGGCCATCATGGTAGCAATTGCTCATCACTGGAAACCATTAGTTCTCTCCTCCCTTGGCCGGCACAAGGTTCCTCAGAGAAATATCATAGACAACATCCTCTACTTCTTTCACTTTGTACTTAAGGCCGTCGCTCCTGCGTCTCAGGCTGTCGTTCTTCAAGTTCAAGATCTGGAAGCCTGCAAGTAAGTCCTTGACGAATTGATTGATGAGAAGAGGGCGTTCGTAGTCTCCAAGAGTGACTGAGTTGCGGGCGAGGCGTGACTCGGAGGCTGTTAGCATGCGTCGAGAGTTTGGGCTGGATGACTTACTAGTTCTTCAACCAGCGAGACCAAAGCGTGAAGATACTCCTCGATAGTAAGATGGAAGGAATCTCGGTCCTTCAGATTGACAGGAACTTTTGAACATTAGCTGCCATTGTAGAGTACGAGGTGAAGTGTACTTACTGTTCAATATCTGACCGACTTCCTCAATGGTCAGAAGACGTCCATTCTTCACCTGGCCGGCATCTCGTTGATAGCCGCCCAGCCATCCCCAGAGCAGAAGGTTGAATGTCTTTCGGTGCTGGTCAGTCATGCGGCTCGCTACAGTATCGCAGCCGAGTTGTACTTACTGCATCCTGAGTCTGTCGCGTCCAGGTGTTGTTGAACTTGTAGTAGGGCACCTTGGACGCGGATGCAGAAAGCTTTCCGATGGTCTCTACGACATTCTGAATTGGGGTTTCGGCAGCTTCGAGTACGGTAGAAACTGGGTAATTCGTAAGCTAATAGGCACTATGGATGAAGATCAAAGGAAGACTCACGATTGGCGATCGGTGTCGAATGAGCGCGAGAGAGAACGAATGAAAGATTGCGGGCTGCCGGTGGTTAGCTTTGAATCTTTCTATATCAATTTAACTATCCGAAAAAGAACCTACTTTGCTTCTCCAAAGTCTGCGCGAAAGCTTTCAATTCCTTTAGATGAAGTTTTAGCGGATGATCACGTGCAACCTGCTGTTGGATTTCTCACGTCTCGCACGGCAGCGTCCTCATCCACGCGCGCCTGAAGATCTTGAAATACGGCCGGATCGACCATTCCGGATTGTTGTGCCATGCTTGCGTACGTGTTCTGCTTGACAAGGGAAGAGTGGTGATGTTGGTGAAGGAGGGAGCGTGAGTTGTGGCTAGAGAATTTTTGAGGACACAACGTCACGAATCCTTAAGGATGAATTATTATCTGGGTAGATATGAGTTTTAAGCCGCAGTCCTCTTCTAATATCTCATAGGAACACCCTATATTTTTGAAGTTTGTCTTTGGCGCATCTAAGCTACCCAGGCATGTTTGCTCCATTCGCCGCTGAGAGGTACTTGTGGGCATACAGAGAGCTAGCCCACTAAACAGCAGCTCCAGAGCGGTTGGACAAGACGAGATCCATCCACCTATGATATATTATACAAACCACTTAGATTACGTATTGAATAGTTCTGCAGTGAAGTGAATGGCCGTGAACACTTGGAACTATTCTCAGTGAATGTCATATCACGTGACCATTTGGGGTGGATGGATAATGATCCTGGTCTCGGCAAATTATCTCTTCGACAGGGGTGGCCTTGGTGGCGAATATCGTGAAGCTGATCTTGCTTTCCTACACTTATATCACACTGCAAAGTACTCTTTCCCCATCACGGAAACATGGACGCAGCGTACAGCGACTCTATGGTCGATGCGAGGCATTTGGGTTCGCTTTGTTATGTTCGTATATCATGACGTTTCATACCTAATCGTAAATCATCAGACCGAGCATATTGCTTCCCGTCAACGCCTATTGCGCATTAACAAAAAGATTGAGCTCAATACAGCTGTTTTGCGACGCGAACCAGGCTTCTGTGCGCTATATAGGTCATCAATGCTCGGATGGGGTTTCGATCCAGTCGCTGCCCACAAACTTGGTCTTCAACGTGCTTAAGTAGCCCTGAGAGATGCCTATAATCCCATCCACACTTTGGGCATTTATAAGGCCTTATCCCTGTGCCACTATCGATGTGGCAGCCGGTGATCATAAGTCCATGGAATTCCTCTTTGATGAATTGTTGCCACCGACGGCACGAGGCTGCACATCGATTGATGATGACTCGGTTTGAATGTTGCGCAGCCTCTCTCCCCGCTCGGAATGATTGAGTAGTGCACTGCCCTGATTCCAAGTGGGCGATCTATCAAAGTTAGAATGTAGGACGCCATTTCGAATAGAGACGTACCAGGCTGCTACACGTAGCGAAGATCTTTTTGCATCCAAGACACTCGTTGAGATGCTCTTCCAAGATGTGCTGTCTTTAGTTAGCCATGCTGGCTCTTGTTATATAAGGATTGATGCCGGAAGAGTCAGAATGCGAGAATGCGGTTCGACGACTCATCAAATGAGATACCCCGCATTCGTGCTCACCGCCTGTTTCGTGATAGAGATGATGATGAAAGAATGTCCAGTATCATACCTTGTCCAAAGCTTCAGGAGTATCAAAATGAATTTCGCATACGGCGCAAACATGGCAACGCTGAAGATGCCAGAAGTACTCCCAGGAGTTGGGGATCCAGAGCTGGCCCGCCTTGAAGTTGCAGCCCTGACATACGACGAAGCACCTGTGAAGGCGGCAATGAAGAAGCAACTCTTCCCATGAGCCAGATACTGAGTAACAGCGTGTGCATACCCTACGGAGATGAGTAACGGCGTGTGGCTACGCGAATAGGACTTACCATGAACGCATTGAGAATAAGATGAGAGACTACGTGTCCAAGATATCATGGGTAAGCCATTCATTAGAGAAGAGAATGATTTGGAGTTAATGACCTCCCCAAGAGATGAAACTCGTGATTGCGGTAAAGGAGCTTGAGGTATGGTGACAAGTATCGAGGTCGGCTCGGTTGGGCTTCGACGTCAAACTGTCTTCCAGAGAGGAAAAATCTTTTCGCTTGTTTGCATCAGAGGCGTGTTGAGATGCTAGATTTATATAAGAAGCAATGTGTGAGGTTTCACCTTCAGGACATTCACTAATCCTTCACTGGGTGAACGAGAGGTGCGGGGAAATTGGAACTCAGAAGCTATTTCCGTCTCAAGCTCATTAGGCAGCAAAGATAAGGTAAATTTGAGTATGACGCAATGTCTGAAACGCTTAAAGCACATCGATAGGAGCAAATAGAGCGCCTGCATGTGGTCACGTGAATGTTCCTTTATACTTCCTTACCATATATCTTGTCTTGCCCCATGCCTTTCGCGTCCACTTACCTCTACGTCTTTTGGATCAAAAGTGTGCATGGTGTACTCAAACACCTATTCCCTAGTTTTTGACTCGCTCATCGGAACTTACTCGATCGCCTTGGGGCGATAGGGCTACACGACCTTAGATGCGCAACGCGACCTCCACAGATCCCACGAGGATTCATCTAGTGTCCTTACAGTTGAGATAATCACGATAGTAATTAGTGTCTTTGCACCTTCAGGCAATGGAAACTAGGGACGATATGTTCACAACTCGCATGCTTCGTTATACTACTGATGCGCAATTTACTCACCCTTACAATGAGTCGGATTAAATTTCACACGATACGAGATACATAGAGCGTATGTGAAATATACAGAACCGAAATGACGCTTAAAGGCCTCCGCCCTGCAAACAAAGCCCAGATGAAGCAAACATCGATGATAGATTAGCAGCAGTGCACAGTGCAACTCACTTTTGTGGATCTTTTGCATAAAGACCACCGCCCCAAAGAACGAAACAGTACATAGGCAGATGTAGTAAAGAGAGCCCATCATGAACAGATTTCGGTCTGGATGTTGATGCAGGATATCAACATGAGAGATGAAGTTGACGTCCGACGCCACACTGTGGCTGAACCGAATGAGATTGCGCCATTTTTGGAATTTCTCACGTGACTCTCGGCCGATTTCCATTACACATCTGCTACCAAATTTGGAACACGAAAAATCTCAGTATTTACTCGCGGAAGTTAGATTCTTTCAGCGATTCTGGCTTTGCCCTTAAGCGGTTTTCTCGCCGAAACCTCGGCATCTGGACTTTCAGGAATGTGTAATCTGTAATTTTAGGCCGTATAATCAGCTAGATGTCGCGTGGATATGGTTATGAGTTCCGTATGACTCCTATGCTTCTCGTATACCTATTCATAACCCATTCTTCCTTCAGTACATAAAGCTGCTTGATTCTCTTGGCATCGTAACATATATTCCAGCAAAGGCCGCACCTTTCCTTCTAGTAGTTGTTTGTCACGGCCATTCGCCACACCTCTCCTTCACCATGGCTACCGTATGCGCAACACAAACAACCCAGCGTCGCCGCCAAAGCATGGCGCCAGTGAATGATGCGCCTATAGAGATGAGCAACATGACCCCTTGCCAGATTGCTGCAGCCGCCAGAGATGGAAATTGTTTAAATCCGAACCCTCCATCGTTACCAGATTGGATGATCAAAGGGCGCCGGGGTTGGAGACGTATAGTCCAGAACTTCATTCCATCATGGGTATGCCTCCTTCTACAAATCAAAGCGAGAGAGGAGGACGCTTTCGTTTCGCTAACAGATCCATTAGTTCGCCGTGACTATGGGTACGGGCATTGTCAGCATACTTTTATATACCTTGTCGACAATGTACACCCGCTTCGAAACGCCATTGCGGATCCTTAGCATCGTGTGGTTTTTCGCCAACATCGTGCTTTTCACCACCTTCCTGGTTATCTCGGTTCTTCGACATGTGTTATATCCGGCAACTTGGACCTTAATGATTCAACACCCTGTTCAGAGTCTCTTCCTCGGCACCATTCCGATGGGCTTTGCCACGATAGTGAACATGTTCACACTCGTCTGCGTTCCATATCTGGGCGGAGCCAGTGCTCAGATTGCTTGGGCAATGTGGTGGATTGATGTCGTTGCAAGCGTTGCCTGCTGCTTCGGACTGCCATTCCAAATGTAGGTTATCTAGCAAGAAGCGAAGCTCATGACACTAATGTTCAAACAAGGATGACCAAACACCAAACCAAACACGAGACGATGACAGCAGCGTGGCTGCTTCCAGTGGTAGCGCCCATTGTTGCGGCTGCTTCGGGAGCCGTTGTTGCGTCTGTACTCCCAGATCCGCAGCACGCGCTTTGGACCATCATCACAAGCTATGTTCTGTGGGGAACCGGAGTTCCCCTCGCTTTCGTAGTGATTGTGATTTACTTCCACCGATTAGCCGTTTACAAGCTCCCGCCCCAAGAGGTCATTGTAAGCGTGTTTTTGCCTCTTGGCCCTATGGGACAAGGTAGCTATGGTCTAATGGCACTCGGAAAAGAAGCCATGCGGGTCTTCCCGTTGACCAATACCTTGCACCCCATGGCCGGTGACTTCCTCTTTGTCATGGGATTCGCTGCCGGACTCGTCATGTGGGGCTTTGGACTGGTATGGCTGTTCTTCGCCACGGCCTCTATCAGTCGTTCAAAATTCCCCTTCAATATGGGCTGGTGGGGTTTCACTTTCCCCTTAGGTGTTTTTGCTATGTCTACATTACATATTGGAGAGATATTGCCTTCGGAATTCTTTAGAGGACTCGGCACGGTAAGTTGTTGCCTCTTAAGTGCATTTCTATAAAGATCATACATACTAATTAAGACCAGACTTTTGCGGTTTGCGTGTTCCTTCTTTGGGTTTTGGTAGCGTCGGGAACCATTCGGAATGTTATATATGGCAACTTGTTCGCTGCGCCTTGCCTCAAGGAGGTCGAGAAGCTGAGCAAGCCACCACAGAATCAGGGAGCATGAAAGCATGCCCAGCACATGGAAAGAATAAAATAAATGCTAATAGGATAGGCGTCTCAGCCATCCAAATTAATGAAATGAATTCTAAATGATATTTGAATCTTGTTCTTGTGACCAAATACCCCTCCCCATGTCTAGATCCAGTACCAGGGAACAGTGACCACCCGGCTCAACAAAACATGAGCTACAACTCGCATCTTCCTTGAGGCATTACTTGAAATCATCACACATTTACACTTAAGTCTCATCTTCACCGCTTTTGAAGAACCCAACAGTCTGCAAGATGTCGGGACCTCTAATTGCCTCTTCCCTGCCCACGATGCCATCATCGAGCATTCAACCACGGCCTCAAATGCACCTCGAACGCCTATCCCGAAAGCTCAAACAAGCTTTCATGCCCATCACAGCACCGATCGCCGAATGGTTGCAAAGCAACAGGCCCATCCTAAGGAGAGACGTACCGTTCGGGACAGATCGACCGCAACTCCTTGGGAACCTCTGTCGTATGAAGATATACTTTTGTATATGTTTTATTTCCGATTTGATATGTGCAGTACTTCATCCCATCATAGTACGTGATCATCCATCGAAAAAGAGACTACCTCAATGCTATGAGCCCTGATCTCATCTCAAAACCTCCAGCACTAACCACCCTATAGCAACACTTCTATACCCTCAATTACATCAGCGAAACGCGCGCACCAGAAACATTGAAGAGCATTGTAACGATCTCCAAATCTTCCATCGTGTTAATGTCCTGTGGGACTTACGCCAAATACGAGATCAGGCGCCTCTACCTCCTGCAGTCTCATCGTACTGGATTGGTGCTGAACCAACTGTGGTTTCTCTTCGGAATGAGCTTGAGCATGTACAGCACGTTATGCTTCCTAGGTTTAATAATCATGAGGAGAGCGGATGCATTGTGGTGGGAGTATGTGCTGAGCACAAGCATAGTTTTGATATGGACGGTTATCATGCGATCGGATCTTAAGTGGATTGGGTGGGGGATGCCAGGTTTTCGGGCGGAGACTCGAGTCCCTTTGCATTCATGGTTTTAACACAGAGACGTGACTCTATAAGATGAAGTTTAGCATACGGTGGTTGATATCTTGGTAGAATGTTGCATTCGATGAATTATGAGGACTTTAGAGCTGGCTAATATATATACTTAATACGTAGGAGAACATGATTTGGCATAGTTTAATCTTTTAGTTTCCATTACGCCTTGCTCTTCCGCTTATTTCTTTATCGTACAACATGAGTTTGAAAGACCGCTATGATATGAAGACCCTATGATACTACCCCATCAATCCTTGGACTTGTTCCGAGCTCAAGTTACCGGTTCTTTGCTTCAAAGGTGGCCTCGCTCCACCTTTTGACGTGGACGCTGTACTGGATTTAGGTGCTGATTTTGCGGGTTTGCTCGAAGCGGTACTTGTAGTTCGGCTAGGACGTGGAGGCTTGTTCGCCTTTTGAGCCTCAACAGCAGCCTCTGCCTCAATGTTTTGCACCGCGCGTGATATGGCTACGCTATACCCGCCGAACCATTCACTCCAAGTTTGCTTTCCGTCATCACTCTTGACAACGGAACTCGAGTCCTCCCTCACTTTTGATGACTGTTTGGCCTTTGCTTTTGCATTTGGCGCTGACGATGGAGCCTTACTCTGCGATTGATTCTGAACGGCTTGAGAGGCCCGTCGCTGCTCAAGGAATGACTTTGCCACATTCTGAGCAGCCGTGACTCCACTTTGTATCGACTTGACATCTTTCATGCTGACGCTCGATGGTAGAGGGATACGATAGCTTCCAGTAAGCGTAACCTGTCGATCACCCGAGGTAACTGTATCTTCAACGCCAGGTTCATTGCGTGGTATTTCCTCAATGAACTCAGAATCGTCAGAGGTCGTCCTCCTTCTTCGAGGACGAGGGCTATAAGTCTCCAAATCTCGGCGTGCGTCCTCCAATTCACCTTCCAGGCGAACTAGCTCTTCGTCTGCCTCCTCCTCATCTTCAGCATTTGTAGTTCCCCCTATATCTGACAGCGTAGGGACTTGCTGGGATGAAACGGACTTCTTCTTGCCCCTTCGTCGTGGCGAGCGGCCACTGCGAGCATCGGCGGCGCCGCTATTGTACAGCTCCTCAACTTTGGCTTCCAGTCCGCGTACTCGAGATTTCAAAGCTTCAAGCTCGCTCGTTGCGGCCGATGATGCCGCATTATTTTGAATTTTGGGAGCATTAGTCGCAGATTCCGTGGGAGTTTGCGAGGCAGGCTCTCGGTTGAGCTTTCGTGGTCGTCGCCTTTGACGATGTGGACCCGTTGTGGATGTGGTGTTTGCCTCTTTCGATGGGGCGGTTGCTGCCGGTTTGGTAGGCGCATTTGAAGACATTTTCTCTTTATCTTTCAATTTAGCATGTGTGGTTTCAAGCACAATCCCACCCGCTGAACCTGCTCTCCCTTCGGGACCTGCAATGACGTCTTGCTCCTTCTTTCTTGGCTTACGTGACGTAGTTACAGGTCCTGGAGATTGTGTTGCAGTTGGCATTGAGAGTTTGGTCAAAACGAATAAAACCTCTCTCACCCCAATAGAGCAGTAGACAGAAGGTTAAAAAGTGCTTGAACGAAGTCGAGTTTATAAAAGTTGGATATGGGCAGACCATCATTGCGTAGTTGGTACATCGAGACTAAGCCGTTTTCGGAAATCGATCACCATGCACTGGAGATCCCCGCGTTCCAGACAAGCGGATTTAACTGGGCCTACCTGTGAACGACAAACCATACTCAGTGTGACCGACGCCATATTTGAGATTCACCAGTCTATATTCTAAGGGTTAAGTCTCACATTAGTTCAGCTAAAGAACGACTGATCTCTTTCGGCGATGACATCAGGCCGTCTCGCATCACCTCACAGTTAAAAGAACGAAAAGGGAACATAGAAAAACCACATTGCAATCTAGTGTATACATGCCCGAGCATAAGATGTCTAATTCAGTTCCCCTCTGACCTACAACTCTGACACGACATGTCCGCACCTCAACATACTCTGAGGATCGGACATTCTACACCACCAACCCCAGGCAAAGCGCAAGGATGAACTGTCCAATGTTTTCAAGGTGCCCAAAGAAAAGAGAGAAGATGTAGAACCATAACTTTTATGAGAGCAGGGATAGAAGAGAAGTACAATGGATGTTTTGAACATGTCGACATGGATCGCTCATTAATCGTATAGTGGAAATCGGAACCAGCATGACATGAGCTCCAAATTGAGCCGCTCTAACCAAGCCGAAAGTTTTACCTCGTACGTCGCATTCGATTGACGCCATAATCTCTGAAGAAGAAGCTGAGTACTCGGAATAGTGCTGCAATGTAACATTGTAAACACCGCCAATCGAATAATATGCACGATTCCACCGCCCGAAGACAGAGGCAAGCCTCAACATAAAAGAGTATTGTTCCGTTGCGCCGACATGGCATGACGCTACGAAACCCGGAAGATACAACCAACACAAGGAACAGGGGAGACAACGATAGTCGAGGCGAAAGACCACGCACACCTAAGAAGCAATGGCGCGCGAGGCATTTCCTCGACCTTTCCTCTTGTTGTCCTTCGCAGGGACAGTGCTCCAGCCGTCATCTTCGAGATTCTGGGTGGTAGAGCCTGCAGGGGCAGCTGGAGTGCTGGACTTGCGTCTCCAGGATCCTTCGCTCTTGGGTGGGTCGCGAACGACCTCCTTGGGCTTGACAGCCTTGTCCTGAACAATGTTCCCGTTTGCGGAGGGATCCACTGCATTGCCACCCTCTGGTGCCTCGTTATCCTCTCCTACACGCTGGAGAATCTCGACACCACGAGCAGTTTTCTCCTCTCCATTTTCGTTGGACTTCTCGGTAGATTCACCAGACTCTTTAGCGGCAGCCTTCTCAGCGGCATCCTTTGCCTTCTTCTCTTCTCGAGCCTTGTCATCTGCCTCTTTCTTCTGGCGGATCGCAAGCTGCCTCTTCTCCTCAATCTCTCTCTCGCGAGTGGCGGTATCAATGGGACGAGCAGCACCGAAGGGGTTAGACTTGGAGTCAATGGAGGCAGAGACCGGAGCAGGTTCGACCTCAGAAACAGTCCGCTTCTGCAGATTCAGCCTTGGGCGGGTAGCTGGTGCGGCAGCCTGAGGAGCAGGCGAAGAGGGTGTGCTAGCGTCGGGAGTGGCAGTGGGGGACTTCGCAGGAGCATCGGGACGCATCTTGGAACGCCATTGGTTATCAAGCTCTGGGGCTGTGGGCTGTCGCTCAAAGGCGGGCTTCTCCTGGAATTCGCGGCGCGGGGGGCGCGACCCGGAGCCCTCTCGGGCCTCACCCCAGGCGGGAGACTGTCGTCGCTCTGGTCTGGGACCATCATTGGTTCGGGCCCTTCCCTCCTCCCTTGGAGGCCCAGTTGGTGCAGCGGGTGAGAGGGGTCCCTTTCTTTCCCAGTTGCCAAAGTCACGGGACTTGCCATCACCTTCAAACGGAGGAGGTCGCCTGCGCTCGCCTCGCTCACTGCCAGCCTCCGAAGGAGCATCGAAGTTTCGGAATCCACCTCGATCAGATGTGCGGCGGCCTGGTAGGTCAGGAAGGGGTCCCTTTCGGGTCCAGTCAGACATGTCCTTGCTCTCTGCGCGGTCCTTAGCTGGATATGGTGTTAGTCAAATCAATCCTCATTGCGTTGGCTAATACTTACGAGGCTCGGCAACACTAACTCGGATGTTTCTACCCTGGAATTGTGTGCCAGACAGGTCGAGTGCCTTTTTCAGGCCATCAAGAGTTCCGAACTCAACATAGCCAAATCCCTTTGGCTTTCGCTCGAGCTTGTCCTCAACAATGCGAACGTTGGTGACTGCGCAGTCGGCAAAGAAGTCGTTGATGTCACCTTCAGTGGCGTCGAAAGACAAGTTTCCCAAATGAGCGGTATATGGGGGCTTCGAGGGGAGGGGAAGCTGTTCACGGACGGCATATCCGCGATCGTTGCGTTCACCTACAGAAAGTTAGTATAAAATATTCCGACATAATCATAATTCGGGTTCAGGAGTAGACTGACCACCAAATCCACGGTCAGAACCAAATCCGCCGCCGGAGGAGTTGAATGTACGCCTCTCGCCTCCGAAGCTGGCTCCACCTATGCCAGGTCAGTATATCACGGTCGACCGATTTTCACGAGCGTGCCGAACGCCTTCAGGGAATATTTACCTCCGCCACCTACAACAATTAGTATCTACGATCGACATTCGTTTTGTACGGGGGAGACTCACCACCAACGGGCATGTCCTCCATCTCGTCAGCCCATGATCCGAGCGCTACAACGTTGTCAGTGGAATTCCGTCGAGTTGGTGGGGAATGCATTTGGCGCATACATTGATCACCCAGAAAGTCCCCCAGGGACATCTTCTGGTTCTTCTTGGCGGGAGCTACGAGATTTCATAATTAGCCATATAGTTCAAGGTGTTAGGAGTGCGCGCCATCGTGAACTGCCCAGAGTCGCCGCGGGGCTGCTGGCGTGTGCGGCCTCCGCACGAAGGGAGTGCATACCCATGATTGCTAGACGCAGTCAACGCGCGGTAGAGAACTGCGCGCTGCCTGAGGATATACTGAGAGCTAGATATGCTCCCACAAATTTAACCTTGTGTAAGTGCTCGTGTAGCGTTGGGTATGTGGTGTGGTCAAACGTTGACCTCCTGCCGTGGAGAGAAAAAGTGGCCGTGCCCAGGTGAAGTTCGTTAACGAGTAGTGGCCCGCCATGAATGACTAAGCAGAATATCTCCGCTTACCGTTCGAAGATTTGTAGGGCGCAGTTTGAGAGCACTTGGAGTACATCAATTTATCAATTCCACGATACTATCCCGCTACATTATATTGTGGCAGTATCCCGTCACCAACCCTTAAATGCGATGACAACTGTGGGAAGATTGGACCGTAATCAGGTCACATATCCCAGCCATGTCGCCCAGCAAGCTGTCCAGATCGGAGGAGCAGCCTGTAAGTGACCCCTTTGTTTCAGCCTGTTTCCACTATGTTCATATTTCCGTCCCTCGTCCTTCTCAGATTTTCCATTGCTCTGGCTGCTCGTATCATACATTCTACACCGGCGGACTTAACAATCCTGGTGAACGAATTTTCATTGTACGCCAAGACATATCACGTGGATGCGGCTATTCACGCACATCTCCTATTTGGGATGGCTACCATAACCATGAGCCCCCGAGGATGATTTACGTCTCTCGGCTGTCTTTAACTTGACGGAAATACTTGTTGCTTGACTATTGATACTCAAGCATGAGTTTTTCCGTTGACTGATCCAGTCCATTGAATCTTCTGTACTCATGTCTATTCCCGCTCCTATATTACTTTCGATTAACCAGTATCTTCTATACTAACGGACCCAGCAATTCCTGGTTTTGTGATAGGTGCCTTCACTGGTACTCTACGTACATCAACTCCTATCCTTTTCTCCCTTGTCTCTGGCATCCAATGGTTTGCCCTAGGAACCACCTTCTGGGCCGTCAGGACCTCGGTGCTCAACCATGTCGGCCTTCAGAATTGGTGGAATTCCACTCGAGGTGCACCGATTTTACCACGGACCGATCTCTCTCCTTCCCACTCAGATAGACTCCGTGCCAGTACCATCTCTGGCGGAGTCACAGGTGCTGTCCTAGGAGCGCTCTTCCGGGGACCTCGAAACATCATTCCGGGAACCATCATGTTTACTTTATTCGGCTTCGGGGGCCAACATGCATATGACTTTCTGGATCAAAAAAATACCGAGCAGGTTCAGAAAGATGATGTCACGGAAGAGGGAGCCAAGGAGAAAGGAACTTGGTTACAAAGGGCAGCGAAGAGCAAATGGAGCCCGATGAAGGTGTTGAGTGACGAAGAATATCTGGAGATGATGAATGAGAAGGTTCTCAGTGTCGAGGCGGAGATCGCATTACTTGATGATAAGATCGAAGAGCTCAGAAAGCAACAGAAGGAGTTGGAGAAGTCGAAGCCATCTGAAAACGAAAAGAAATGAATTCACTCGAAACAAGAATTTCAAAGGGCTCGAACATGATATAAATAACAGAGTCATGTAACTATATATGTACATTATGTACTTCGCTTGGAGTACCTCCATCGACTGGCCAGGCCAATTGTAGTATAATGTGGACCTGCAGTTATACAACCATCCTTAGACACCCATGGAGTATTGTCATACGATGTCGTTGGCCCCCGAGTCAGCTAACAAACCGTGGCCTGGACCCATTTAAGAGCACACTGGACTGTTCCCAGGCCTTGCTGCCGCATTGCTCGGATTCGTCTGCCCACACCCATTCACACTTCCAAGCAGTGTATCATCAACAGCAGCGTTGTATGCGGCGCCACAATTTGCATCACTACCTTCACGTCAGCAGTGCCATCTTCAGCCACTTTTCAAGCCTTACCTCGCTCCGCCACTGGCATTATTGAACCACGAGCAGATATCATGCGAGAAGCAGTCCTGCGTATACGCATTACCCACCGCCGATCCTGAGCATCCGGCACCGCAGCGGCCGTTACAACTGTAGCTGTAGACACGGTCAGATCATTGATCATGAAAGGGAAATAAGATGTTGAACGTACTCTCCGCCATTGACGCTGTTGGTACCAAAATTACTTCCCACCGTGCCGGTCCAACGACATGTTTTTCCGGCAGAATTCGTCCATGTTGCTGTTGCTGTGGAGCCCACCTTGAGGCAAGTGACTGCACGCTTCTCAACGAGAGGAGTTGCAAGAGCTGCCACGGCAAGAAAAGCCGTAAGTGTGATAGTAGTCAATTGCATTTTGTAGACTGTATCTATACGGCTTGGACAAACGATAAAAATGAGAGGTGTAATTCGCGATGGTGACCAATGGTTAGAATATGGACATTGAGGCCTAGAAATACTTTGATATCTAAATAGCGTCCGCCCTTGATCATGGCAATCATTCTCATTCTGTTCACATTGCCGCGCCAAATGATATACAACTCATCTCTCCTCGTCTTCGGAGCGGATATATCTAACTTGATCGGTTTGAACGCATACATGTATCCACCACCTGCTACATCTTAGAGGCATAACCACCTTGGACAGTCTCGCTGAGATTCCTTCAAAAGGGTAAGCTCGCTCTCAAATTCTGCCATTCGCTCGGTGTAGAATCTACTCTCAGCAATTATAGAATCTCACCGCCGGGCATTGTCGAGATCGCGGCCCGATTAGATTAAGATGTCTTGTCGATTTGAGCCCAAGCCTTACCCGATCAACACCCAAATCCGGGGCTGTGCGATGCAGGGATTCGATGTTGTCATATTCATCTACCCCGCAAGTTCTGTACTTGTACCTCGTACCTTGCATCTCTTATTGTCAAGGTCTTCGATGGTATGGATCGTAAGCTACATTTCAGGACGATGTGTATTTGTGATTTTTCCTAATGTTCAACCCGTTCTGCTAGTCTGAGAGCATTATGATTGATCTTGTATCACGAGCACCAAGTGCATCGCAAACCATGATTATAATCATAGATATCTTCAAGATACAATGAATGGCAACCTCAAGAACTATCGTAGCATATGGTTCGACAGCATCACCTATGGTCAAGCTAATGGAAGTTTGCCGAGGCTCTACGCACACCACACTTGCCCGACCTGTTCTGTGGTGACTATTGCAACTTGTACCAGGTTGACAATGTTCCGTTGATAGGAAGGCGTTAACATTGTCCCGTCCTCAAAAGCCAATGCAATAATTGCCATTGCACATTGCCAAACATACATTTGAGCCGATTGATGATATAATTATTTCCCACAATGGATCTCTAGATTAACTTAACCCCATACCAAAAGTTCCACGATCACAGCAGCCAAGATGGCGTACATACATAGCCCCATATGCTTCCAAAGACAAAGACGAAGACTCCAGCCAAACTACCTAAAAACAGCGACGGAAAGCAATACTCTTCGAAATATCCCTTAATAATGGTCAATGAGTTTACATGCATCAAAACCCGCCATTCCAGAGAATAAACTTCCATAGTCCAAAAATAGACACCACGAACCCATGACCATCATCACCATCACCATCACCATCACCACCACAAAACACCCAACCAAACCCCAAACCCCACAAATAACCTCACCCATACCACAAAAACCTCAACCCCCTAAAACACACACACACACACACACACACACACACACACACACACACACATGAAAACCAGACAAGAACCCCAAACCGGCTGAACCACCCCAAGCTACACCAGAACCACACACACCAACGTTTCACAACCCATCCCAAACGAACCCCCTCAACCCCCTCTTTCCCAAAAATGGAAACTCCCCCCTTACCAGATCTGTAGTCCTCAAATGTCCCAAAACGGTGCGCCGCACTACTGTTCACCTGCATTCGTCCATGAATGAGGAGACGAACGGGGGTTGTGTTAGGAAGTGGTGGGGATGGATGTAGAGGGGAAGGGGAGAGTGGGGGGAGGGAAAAGCTTGATTCTATTTTTGACGATTGGTTGTCGCGGATGAACGTGCGAGCTTTGAGGGGAGAGACGTCGATGGTGGTGGGTATCTGGGCTTTTTTTCATGCGTTTATGTTGGGAAATCGAGTTGTGGGTTAAGACTTGATACCGTTTTTGGGTTCACGAGGTAGCAAGCATATATGGCAACAATAGGACCTGATTCGTATCGACCACGTAGGAAGAAATATCTGAAAAACAATATATTCAACCCATAAAAGTATAGCAACAACCATTCTACATCTTCTCCCTCCAAGCTTCCAAAATAACAAAGTCGTTTCGAGTATCCTCTTCGGTCACCCGACCACTGCTTCGAACCGTTCGTTCGATTGTTCGATTGCCCAGTTATTTCGATGTGACTGCGACTGTAGCTGTGTCAGAATACCCATTCCTTCCACGACTCGACTCGTACCATGCTTCATTCGTAGAACAGGCTGAATAATGAGGGGTTCTGGGTGCTGTCGGGTAAAGTTGTTAGTAAGTGGAATGTTCGATCTCGTGGTTTTCGAATGCTGAATTAGGGATACATTCTGTGGTTGGGTCCATGAGACGTATTGGTGAGCTAATTGTTATGCGTGTTGTTGGTTTCCCGTATAGATGGTTTTTGCTTGCGTCGTAAGTTATTTTGCGTTGGCATTAAATTCGGGTTGGTCTTTGCAATGTGATCTCCGCGGCCATTTGGGTCATGATAGTACAATAATAATTCATAGTTTGTCTTTCCGTTTCTTCCCCTAATCCTAAATGTCTCTAAGCTAGCTTTCTTGAATGGTTCGAGAGAAGTTGAGAGAGAATACAACAAAACAACATGCGTTTTGCTCCTCTTGCCAGCCGTACATATCTCCTTGAACAGAAAAGGTTCCGGATCCGTAGCGTTCCTCTTTCGCGGTTCTCCCTTTCATACAGAAGTAGTATGGACAACAACATTGGCGGAACCGCTATACGGTTCTGGCAATCCCTTGTAATCTGTTCGAATTTCCCCTTTCACAAAATGCGTGCACCAGTAATCTTCAGTAGAAACGCTGCAAGCCAGGCTAGAACGAAACCTCCTCTTTCCATTTTAGAACAATCCAACAACAATAAGAAAAGGCTGACTATGGCCGAAAGAAGATTTAAAGTAAGAAATGAAAAAGGCCGCTGATCGTGGTGGTCGGTCGTTTGAATGGTAATGAGTATAACGAAAAAAAAAGGTCGGACATAAAAAACATGAACATGATGTGATTCCCTGTTTTGAACCACCAACACCGGATAAATGCCGCACATTCGCGTGAAAAGGTTGTTGAACTATGGATCAGAGGCAGGTCTGTTGTGCTCTGACCAGTCGATCGCTATGTTCAGTCGTGCTTGGAATACGATTCAAGATTTTTATCCGTCAATTCCGCGGTTCGTAAGTCGATCTCAGTCTTCCATGTACTTCTCACATGTGAAGTCGGATCTGGAACCACAGGATCCTGGAACCAGCGTATATTTGCATGCAAATAGCCACATGAAATTTAAAAGGCGTTGTCCGAAGCAGGAAGGTCGGTATGGATTGCTCTACAATCCGGGCGTCCTTCCGTTCAGCGATCGTTGTCGCTGTGACTACGCTCAAAGTACACCACCAGGTAATTGGACTCCTCTGCTCTGGCTGTCCCAGCCAAATCCGCCTGGGCTCGGTGCTACACTTCTGATGTCGTTGCCACCAACGGTACTGACGTGTCCTTCTGCTGGGGCGGCGTGTTTCCGGAGCATGAACATAGGCTTTCGGCCTTCTTTGTCCAATTGTTTGAAAAGTATGAGGGGTCGTTCATTCAGACCTAGACAGCGCTCTTGATCACCATGGACAATGTAAAGGGCGTATTGTCGCCAATCTGCTGTAATGTTGTATTTCTTGAGTGCGACAGGAAGGACCTTGTGGCAGGGATCGTCGATCGATACACGGAAAGACTTGAATATCTCGACCTGGGGATTCGGCGTGCTTTGTTGATTGGAGTTTGCAGACAGTGGCGGGTTTTGGAGGCTGGAAGAATTCAGAGTCGAGCCGCCTGATAATGGCGGATCATCAGGCGTCGAAGCTGATTGTGCGGTGTTTCGTAGAGGTTGACGAGAAGACAGAGGAGCGGGTGTGTTGCGTTGGTCGCGGGATCGTTCCGAGGCAGCCGTGTTGTCGGTAGCCCAGGTGTTAGTTTCGTAGTCATGGCCGTTGCGCGGGTTGTATTGCCGGCTTTGGTTCTGAGCGTACGCGGGGGACGTTGGAGATGGTTGCGGGGGTTGCGAGGGCGACAGCTGAGGGCCACCGCTCATCGAAGCTGTGAGGTGTGAGGACGCTGCCAGAGCGGCTGCTGAAGGATCGAGAGAAGTGTTATCGACCAGCGTCCGACCCTCATGGATCGTGGGAGAAGGGTTCTTGGGCGCTGATCCAAGGAAAAGCTTCTTAGTGGAAAACTTACGAGACAAGCTACTTCCTGTCCGCGCTTGCTCCACCGGCGGCGAAGTAACATGCTCGTGTGGTGTCGGCAGAGGCTGGTGGCTTTCTTTCACCATCCGTACCACAGATAGCAGTTCTTCCCGTAGACGCCTGTTATCTTCCATGACGCGGGTGAGGTCATCCTTGAGGTGCCTGAGCTCGGACTCGGTCACCTGTATCCGCTCGTCGCGAGCTTGGACGACCTTGATCACTTTGGCGAAGTCATCTTGGGAGGGTGGTGCTTCTTGCGCTGTTGCGTCGGCGGCTAAGGCAAGGGGTCAGCTTGCGAGACTTAGGCGGCGGGGAGGCCAAGTTTCTTTGGGCACTTACACAATGGTACATAGTGATCAGGTTCTATGGGAAGGTTTTGCTTAACCTTTATCTCATAGACGGCTTTCAGGACGGTGAGTCGGTGCCCTACACTGCTGATGCCCAGTTCCTTGAGTTCTGCATGCTGCAGCTCGATGAGGACGTCGCCTGTTATGCCATGCTCTGCAACGACTTATTAGCGCTAGGCGATAGATGCCAGAATCCAAACCACTCGTACCTATGAAAGGCTGTGCATGCTTCTCCAAGCCTAGTTCTGCGATGAAGTCCGCCGTATCCCTCTCATCCCATTCCGTGATCAAATCGTGAGGGCTGCCCCTGCCATCTCTCGAATGTGTGAACGTAGTGGGAGTATGCTCGGCGCTTGCAACCTCGTCGTCTGTAGTTTCGCCGTCGTAGCCGACCTCAGAGGGTAGGGTTGGGCTCATGAGGTCGCGCTCGTGCTCGTCGTCGCCTTCGTAGTCCTCGCTGTAGTCTCGAGGTGTGCGGTAAGTTGCCATATCGTGGAGGAGGAAGAGCGGAGGCAGAGGATAAGGAGGAAGAGAAGAAGAGAGAAGGTGGCAGGTGACGTCGCCGGTCGGCGCGTGTTGGTCGTGTGGATGTGGGCAGAGTGAGGTTCGGAGGGCGCCAAGGCGTCAAGGACAGCTCTGGGGGAGGAGGGGAGGTGTATTAGAGGTTATCAGTCAGTGAGACTCAGTACACAGTAGGTAGAGGGTCGGTCGACAGATGTGTTCCAGGTACAGCAACGGTAGGAACGGTAGGGTACCTGTGTCGACACACTCGACGGTGGGTGGTGGGAACTTGGGAGGATGGGTAATGGTGGTGCCAGGCGCAGCGGGTCGGACGTGGCCCTGGCATCCGGCAGCGCTGCGGTGCGGTGCGTTGCGGTGGGTATGGTATTGGTATGGGTATTGGTATGAGCGTAGGCTTAGGCGTATTGTACAAGTACTGTATACTGTACAGAGTATACTGTACAGGCGTGAGCCTCTAATACCTAATTACCACACTCCTACCTATTGGGACCTAGGCGTGGGCGTTGTGACTTGTGAATCCAGGACCCTGCTGAGACGAAGCGAGATTGAACAGGCTCGTTTCGCGGGTATGGATCCGGTCAACGCTTGGGTCTGGAGGTGTCGGGCGCTTTGTATCGAGTATCAAGTTGCGAAGTGGGGAAACACCAGGCACACACACATACGCTCTCTCTCTTTCTTCCGAACACACTCGGAGGTTAGATAGATTGGGGAACCGAGTAGGGTGGGTGGGTTGTAGGCAGTTGGGTAGGATATGCGGTGGTGAGGCGAGGCGAGGCAAGTCAAGGAGGAGTCGAGGCGTGTATGCCTAGCTACAGGCCATCGAAATAGGATAATGGGATGGAACGAGATGGCACAGCACAGTTGAGCGAATGAGTGGTAGACTGTGATGATTCGGATGTATCTAGTCGGTCGATGGATGAGAGGAAAGAAAAGAAAAGAGGATGGAGGATGGAGGATACGGGAACAGATGAAGGAGTATGGAAGAGTAGATAGGGAGTGTAGTTGAAGACTGTAGGTACGGAATAGAAGAAGAGTACGCGCAGCCCTGCAGATGATAGTGAATGTCTTTGTGCGATGTGAGTGGCCGTTGATCGTTGGGTCGTGGTAGTGGTAGTGGTAGTGGTAGGGTAGGTTAGTTAGCTACCTAAGTAGGTAATTAGTTAGGTACTGAGATGTGAGGATGGTGGTGATGGATCATGAATGGATGGGCATCCTCAGGGCAAAGTCGGAGTTTGTACAGTATGTATTCGTAATATGTATGAAGTGTCCGTTGGCTGGAGTCCATCTGTCTTACAAGTAACTAACAGCGTATAGAATTACTCACTCCTTCTCGAATGTGCACCGTCCGTACGTGCAGATATACTGTGTAATGTACGTAGACCAACATACGTATTTACATACGTACATACTCGCACAGAGAGATATCGACGAAAACAATACAATAATACTCTATGTACGGAGTATCCGCAGTGACGCGGCTATTGGAGGCTCTGTGGCTTTTTCTCTACCAAGGCTATGTCAAGGGAGACCACAAGTAATTAGAAGAGACTTCTGCCAGACACAGCAAAACCCCTTGAAGATGAAGAGTATTACAGAGATTACAGAAATATATGTAGCACATCAAGACAAAGCATCAAGTCTTTGCAAGTGTGGCATAGTATCTACTTGTGTATGTATGTCCCCGGCTCCGGATGTGGGCACTCCCGCAGCCCAACAATAGATGGATGGCTCGCTGTGGCCTCACTTTGACGCCTTTAAACGTGGACTTACTCCGTAACTATACACACTTGGTCTTAAACTTGGATTTGACTCAGGATTAGCTAGCTCTAATAAATTGTGTGTTCTGTCGACAGGCTCTATGAATCAATGTCAACCACACAACATTCGTCCACGACTCGACTCCTATCGTCTCCAAACAACCCTAGAAAGGGGACTGCGCGACGCAGGGGCTGAAGAAGGGGACAAGAAATGTAGGAGCGGAAACAGATGAAGACTTGAGGTTGCATTATCAGGAAGTTCGCAATCAATCAAAGCGCACACGTTCCATTGCGATCAATGTATGATGGTAATGTCTTTCGCCATTCGTCCTCACAGTTACAGTGCGCCCCTGCTGTCTGTCCATTACTCGTCATTCGTTGCACTCTCCTCTTGGTATCGACATTAATATCGACCATTATTATGATGGACAACTAATCAGGTGGCCAGCAGCCTCGGATCTTGATTGAATGCCCCGAATATCATTCCTCCTGCAGACGTGCATCCTGCAGACTGAACTGACCGCTCGTATTGTACCATAGCTACCTACATACAGTGCGGAGTATTACATTGGCTAACTCTGCTTATTGTAGACGCTGGGATCGACATTACAGGAGTGGGAACTGAGCGAATTGACCGGACCCATCCACCAACTACATACAAACTTGCGCACTCACATACACATCAGGTCCATAGAATGCCGTCTTCCAGACTCCAGTACGACCAGTACGACCACCACCACCACCAATGATCTTGAGTTTTTCGTAGTCCTATTCTTGGAGCATCGAACTACCAATACAGGCATCGCTCCGGCGGCTGGCACTTCGATCAGGCGTTAAACTCAGTACCTAGCGAAACAACTAGCCGCTCTAGAAATCCGAAAGAGAGCCTACTTGTAAAACTAATGCCCTACTTGTACGAATGTGACTATTAACTGTTCACCGTGTAACGACGAACTACTGCGAGGATAGCCGATCTGATTCCTCGGTCAGCATTCTTCCCTTCCAAGGAGTCTGTCATCCTTTGGTCGTTTTGGAACACAGAGCACAACTCCGTAGAGGCGCCCCGGTCCACTGTGCAGTGCAGATCCCATCTCGACCCCCTCCACAATATACCGTTCATCCCAGTATTGTTGTGTGTTCCAACAGACGTTTGCCTGGCAAAAACTGGTCTCAATCCATCAACACAAATAGCGTAGGCACAGTAGGCCCAGCCCTAGGTACGCTACTGACCGGTCAGATCTCCCAAAGCACCCTCGCGCATCTCCACTCTACTCCAATAGTTTTCTTTCCAATATTCTTTCTTCCGATAATTGGCATCGATTTCATCCTTGGCGCATGGGAAGCTATCCATTCTGCCGGATTGATCAATCTTGGAAGAATCAGCATGGCATAAGGAGAACTTGCAGCAGAACGGTGCTACCGAGCAGTCCATTGGTGAATGGAGAGTAATATAATTTATCGTGTGACTCTTTCTGTGTAAGCAAATTACTCCGAACAGTATTTTCATTAATTACATATCTCACGCGCACGAGGTGACCATGTTCATTGTTCTTGATTCTTCAATCATCACGAGGATGTCCGAGAGGGACGCACGGAGCCCCCACGCCGCACAACCTCAGAACCTCACCTATAGAGAACTACCCTTCCCTTAACACTTACCATAGACAAGCAGCCGCTCCAAGCACAAGCACAAGCACAAGCCGAACAAGTAATTGCATATCTAAAGAATCCAGGAATCGGCTTCTATCGGTCATTAAACCTTTCCTCGTTCCGACGTCACTCTTCACAACTCTAGCCAGATATACACAACTCGCACAAAGCTCACCGCGCGCATCGGCCTGTAGACAATTGTGCATACATACCAAAGAGCATCCCTGCCAACGTAGCTTCGAAAGAGTCTCTGCCCGATATACCCGTTCGCCCATACAATCCAATATACCACCTCACCAACTCAATTCATCTACACATCAATCCGCACCTCTTCCGCTCGCCGATCGTCATTCCTCCCGTGCCTTGACCCCAGAACGACAAGAGCACGCGCATAACGCGAACATACCTACCTACCTACCTTATCCACATACACACGAACCGCGACCACATCACACCATGTCGAACGGAAGAGTGACGCTCAACTCGGCGCAAGCCCAACAGGAACTCACCCCCGAGCTGCGCAACGACATCTATTCCGCCCTCCTCTGCGGCACCGGCATCCGCAACATCGAATCCACCCTGAATCAGGAGCTGCAGCAATCCGGGTGGCTCGACAAGCTTAGGGGATATATGGTCCAGCAGCTGCGCGACGGCGAGGTGACCAGCGTCGATGAGTTGATGAGCAAGGTCATGGAGAAGCTCAGGGGCAATGATGCGGATGCCAATGGGACTACCAATGGCGTCAATGGTGTTAATGGACACGCTGATACCGAGGAGGTCGATTTGAAAATACCAGATAAGGTCTTGAAGGATGGCTCAAAGGTCGTGAGGCAAGAGTTGCAGCGTGTCTGCGAGGTCCGTTCTCTCGACGAGAAGTGAACCATGAACAAAGGCAATCTCAAAAAAAAAACTCAAAGAGCATGAAGGTTTCGGTCTACGAGGGACGACAGGCGCAGCAAGACAGTCATGCACGGAAGTTGAAAGGCAACCGCACATCAAGCGCGTGCTGTACGAGTATTCACACTGATATCCTTCGACGCATCCCGAATCGAACGACCTACCGCCGCCTACTTGATCTCGTTGAAGTATAAAGAAATTCCGATAGAGCGATCTATCGCTCATCTCCAATGCGCGGATCGAACGATAGAAGCACCAGAGCACAGCCCAGTTCATTCGCAACACGGCACAGTCACCAACATCAGTACATCGTAAGCTCAAACACTACATCGTCAAAACAGCCTTGCGCTCGGCACCACGAAACCATATTTGAACAACATACAGATGTTCTTGCGTTTTCTAGGAATAGCTCTTGACCTTCTCTACGCCACAGAAACAACCACACAAATCCACGCACTCAGGCTTGCAAGGCTCTCCAAGGGTTCCTTTTTGAAGCGCATGACATGGTTACCAGGGAAATAAAACGTTGGATGAAGAACTCAATCTCTGCATACATACATAGCTACAATAAAAAAACCAGAAAGAAGAAATGCAAATTTAAATTTGAATCTCCAAAACCATAGACCACACTACCGTGACCAAACCCTTCTAAACCACCAAACCCCACAATCAGCACCCAACAACTTCCCCTACCCTCGCCACAATCCAGTCCAATCCAGTCCAACCCAAGCAAAAACCAAACAGAGCAGAACAAGGCGGACAGAGAACGAGCAAAACGAAACCAAAAACCCCTCGTCTGACCAACCAACCAACCTCGCCTCACACACGCCACCGTCCTTCCTTCTCGCGCGAGAACGGGGAATACTTTTTACATTACCGCTCACAATCAACACTTTTGCTTTTGGACAATGAAGTAGTTAGACGAAGGGCTGTGAGTGGAAGGGGAGGGAAGGAAAAGTTTTGTATGGGATGTTTGTGGATGGGATGGGTATGAACGTAAAGGAAGATGAACTGATGGAGTTGGTGAGGAGTGAAGGGCGGCACAGGGAATGTACATCTTTGTGTAGAAACGATTAAATTCAATTTGTCATGGTTTCTTATTTGAGACGAAGTAGGTAATCGTTGGTCGTGATTGTGGACTTGACGCGTTTCATTATGAGTGAGAAACATGGAAAAACTAAACAAGATCAATCTGGACAATAATGGCGATCATACGTTTAAAAGTGCAAGGAAGGGTCAGCAAAATGCAAGGGCATGTCACTCTACGGAGTACTGGTCACCGGGAAGTTTCGTTTAAATCTTCATGTTTCGTACTATGGACTGCAAAAGAAAAAAGTCCACGGGTTTCCGGGCCCTCAATTCTAATTTTGAAAGGGGGGATTTAGAAAGTCCCATAATACATTCGTCATCGCCCATGTGTGCAAGCATGTAATGCACCAATTCCATAAAAACTGTGCCCCCCATGTCTTTCACGTATCCGCCGTAGCATCATATGAGAAAGGCTAGCTCATGAACCTGTATCATTAAGGTCAACTTCTCCGATGGATCCCAAAACTCTAGTTGTAAAGATCTTCGTCCTCGCCAGCAGTGCCGAAGTTGCTCTGGTCGGCCTGGGCTTCACCTTCCTCGGGGAAGCGGAAGAAGCTTGATCCTCCACTGTTCTTCATGCTTTGAGCGAAAGCCTCGTATCGGCGGATCTCGACATCAGTGACGGAACGACGAGCGGAGCGCATGGCCTCCTCGAAATGAGCCTTGGTCAGCTCTGGAACAAGCTCGACATCGTCCTCCATCTCGGTATCCTCGCTCTTTTCGCCCTTTTCTTCGCGAGCCTTCTGGCGCTCAATCTCAAGAGAGATCGATTGCTTGATGGCAAGCTTGACGGCACGCTGGGTGACGAAGCCAAGATCGGCACCAGAGAAACCGTGGGTGTTGGCAGCAATGTATTCGATGTCGACATCAGGAGCGACAGGAGTCTTGCGGAGCTGTGCCTTGAGAATACCAGCACGGGAAGGCTGATCGGGCAAGGGAACGTAGACGAGGGTGTCGAGACGTCCAGGACGGCAGAGAGCGTTGTCAAGCTGCTCGGGACGGTTGGTTGCGCCGATGACGAAGACGTTCTTCTTGGAGGTCATGCCGTCCATCTCAGTGAGAAGCTGGTTGACCACACGGTCGGACGCGCCGCCAGCGTCGCCGACAGATCCACCACGGGACTTGGCGATGGAGTCCAACTCGTCGAGGAAGACAACACAGGGTGCTGCGGCACGAGCCTTGTCGAAGATGTCGCGAATGTTGCTCTCGGACTCACCGAACCACATGCTGAGCAGTTCAGGACCCTTGACAGAGATGAAGTTGGCAGCGCACTCGTTGGCAACAGCCTTGGCCAAAAGTGTCTTACCAGTACCAGGGGGACCGTAGAACAGAACACCACGAGACGGTGAAAGACCGAACTTGAGGAATTTGTCGGGATGATCGACGGGGTACTGGACGCTCTCGATGAGCTCGCGCTTGACCTCCTCGAGACCACCAATATCCTCCCAGCGGACATTGGGGACCTCGACAACGGCGACCTCTCGGAGAGCAGAGGGGTTGGACACTCCGAGGGCGAAGCGGAAGTTCTCCATGGTGACACCAAGAGAATCGAGAACCTCGGCATCAATGGTGTCCTCGTCCAGATCGATAAGATCCATCTTCTCACGAATCTGCTGCATGGCAGCCTCGGAGCAGAGGGATGCCAAATCAGAACCAACGTAACCGTGAGTCTCGGCGGCGATCGTCTGTAGATCAACATCGTCTCCAAGCTTCATGTTCTTGGTGTGGATCTGGAGAATCTCGAGACGGCCGGTGGGGTCTGGGATACCGATATCGACTTCACGGTCGAAACGTCCGAAACGACGAAGGGCAGGGTCGATGGAGTTGGGACGGTTGGTGGCGGCCATGACGACAACATTGGAGCGAGCCTTCATGCCGTCCATGAGAGTAAGCAACTGCGAGACGACACGTCGCTCAACCTCGCCGTTGGTCTTCTCACGCTTGGGGGCGATCGAGTCGATTTCATCGATGAAGATAATGGCTGGGGAGTTCTTCTCTGCCTCCTCGAAAGCCTTCCTGAGGTTGGACTCGGATTCTCCAGCCATCTTAGACATGATTTCGGGTCCGTTAATGAGGAAGAAGAAGGCACCAGTCTCGTTGGCAACGGCACGAGCCATCAAGGTCTTACCGGTACCTGGAGGACCGTACATGAGAATACCACGCGGTGGCTTGATACCGATGGACTTGAAGAGCTGAGGATGTCGCAGAGGAAGCTCGACGAGCTCACGAATCTGTGCCATCTGCTTCCTGCAGCCACCAATGTCGTCATATCCGACCTCGTTGAGGTTGCCCTCCTCATCTTCTCGCTGGATAGGCTCGCCCTCGCAGTGAATGACTGTGTCCTGAGCAACAATGCCAAACTCTGGCGGGTCGACCTCCACAACCTTGAACTCCACTTGTCGCATGCCGCCGCGGGCTGTGAAAGTATCGCCTTGTCGGACAGGCCTGTATGCTTCTCGGAAGTATGGTGCAAGGAAAACGTCGAATAATGATCCGGTGATACCCTCGACTGTGTCTGCGATAGGGAGAACGGCAATACGCTTGGCCTGGTGGCAATTGTTAGCAAAAGTCATTCCCATGATAACGCGAGAAACATACATATTTGATGTCTGGGCATGGGTGAATGGTGATCACATCGCCGTGCTTCACCCTCAAGTTGTGTCGGACTACTCGGTTTATCCGTGCTGAGCCATCATCGAGTTCGTCGTCTGCGAGCACGATAAGAACGGTGTCCTTTCGCTTCTTGCCCTTGACCAAGACTGTATCGCCACGGAAGAGCTGGAGAAGCTCCATGGTGTTGTTTGACAGGGCAATGATCGAGTTATCATCGTTGGTGGCATCAGTGACGCTGGAATCCCTTGTTAGCTGTTTTCAACCCCGCAAGACCCGGTGTAAGCTTACATCAAAGAGTTGGGCTTCTTCTTCTTCTTGAGGATGGCGGTTGCAACTTCATCCTGTAGCGGGTCAGTAAACTTGGACTGTGAAATTTCGGTATTCGGCCTATTTACCTCTTTGTGCTCAGCGCCAGATGGATCTCTGAGAAAGTTCGTTAGCTACTTGTCGATCCAGTGCGATGAGTGAGGCGGAGGCAACTTACTTGGAGAGATCCACCTTCTTCGCGGCGTGTTCAGGTTCAGCCGACATTGTGCAGTTCAGTCTCTGTGAAGTGATGAGAATTAATTCGGAATCGATTTCAGACTGATCGGCGTATGCGTAGAGATTACTATGGGGATGGGGAGATGGGGTAGTGGTGAGAGAGGCAAGGTGGTGTTTAAGTAGCTGCGTTGCTCTGACGGTGATGTTATGGAGCTCCGACCAGGCAGTACTTTAGCGGCGCTTGGCGGGCGCTCTTAGAAACCCGCACACGTGACGCTATCTCGAACCTTCCATGGTGGAAAGGCACTCTCTCACTTACTCGTACTCCAAAGCCATAATCCGCCTCTCACTTGTGTTGCCACACGTCTTCTATGTACGAGCAGTATCTAGATATATCTTTTCAGTCTGGTGCTCTATCTACAGTTTGGTTGATTTCAACGTGTCTCTTGGATTCACCGTTGGTTCGCTATACTTTCTACTTTGGCAAGACCCGCATCTGTTCAAGTTACGGTCCAGCCTCCGCATTCGACACTTTCGCCAGACCTCATCGCATATCAAGTAGCTACCATCTCAAGTCTGTTGGAACTGATATCAATAGTTCAGTAAGGGACGGAGAAACTGAGCTATCACAGCGAATAGCAAACATTACGAGCACCAGGTTTTCCATCCATCACTACTGCCTACTAGGGTGCCACCACAGTACCGCCTCATTGAAGACGCTATGACGGAATAGATTGCAGGCAAACAACATGCGGCAACCTCTGCAGCCTTGCCGCTCATCTCCCTTCTGATTATGACTCACTTATCCAATGATTAGTCGAGGATCAAGATACCAATAATTCTCTGTGCGACTTTGAAACGGCATTACCATAGATTTCGATCCGTTTCGGCAGACATACTTGTGGCACTGGGGTGCTCAGACCATGGCCGCCTCCATGCATATCCGCAACCAATGTTGAGCTGGTGCATAATCGAGTGCATGGATGCGAGTGCTGGATGTACACCGCTTCGTTGTCGTCGTCGTCTATTATTAACATCGAAACCCTACATTAACTATTTGGTCCTGCTAGAGCAGGTGTATCAATCTCAACTGCTATGTCCCATATGGAGTACGTTGAGATAGATACGCTCGGTCGACTATCTCGTAAATGCACCGATAGCTTATCATCCTAGGCTAACGGGCGATCATTGAACGGTGCGTCCGCACTAAAATCTGCGGACAAGTCCAAGTTGTATATAACCTCAGATATTGTTGTAATGGAACTGCATTCCATTATTACTGCTTCTTGAATAGTCAGAGATCGGAGTTTACGGACGCAAGCGAGATATTGATCAAGCTTAACATGTCTGACATTGCCATATATATTCCTTAGTCGAAGGAGACATTGTAGATATGTTTGGCGTATTCTGACAGAGAAACCATACGATATATAACATGAGATGTTGAGCGATCACATATAGGAAACAATATCCAACCGTTTGGTAAACAAGAGACATTTAAGCTTTATAAACACACTCTACTCCGTGCCCACCAAGTACCTGCATTCGAAGGACCCAACCAAAGCCCCGAGCACAGCACGCGGAGAAGACCCCCGGCTCCAACCCCCCATCGCCGACCCGTCCGATTCGCCCGACCCACGACCTCCATACCTCCCCCCGGACATCGTGAACCTCCATATCGGACCTGATCTTTCAACTCCACTACCACAATGCTTCAGCCTCATCCTCGTCCTCCCAGCCTCTTTTCTCGTGCGAAGCTTCGCCCAGAAGGCTTGAAATGCGATATTTCGAATCAACAGGAAGCGTTGGAGGATTTAGTAGTGGATAAGCACTAGACACCAAGGCGAGCAGACGGATGATGTATCGAGCGTGTATATAAACAACCCAACACCATCGTGTAGATTTAGAAATACTCATCATATCACACCTACTCCCAATTTCTCAATCTCACCCTTTCACATCACTATAATCACATAACAAACCCATCCCATCACACCATCAACCCAACCTAACAACCCCAATCCCATCTTCAACAACAACCCAACAATGGACCCCCTCTCCCCACACCTCCCCACCCGCGCCTCCGCCCTCCTCGCCGGCCCCTCCAAAGTCCGCACCTACGACGCCTCAGGCGGCGCCGTGACAAAGCGCCTCGCATCCCACAACCTTTCCCTCCTCCCAGCACTCCCCTCCGGCTCCGTCGTCCACGACAACGCCTGCGGACCCGGAACCGTAACCCAGCTCCTCCTCAACTCGCACGCGTCGCCAGAGACGACGCTCAAGATCCACGCCACGGACACGGACCAGATATTCCTGGACGTGCTGAAGGCAGAGGTAGATGAGAAGGGGTGGCCGGTTGAGGTGTCGAACCAAGCGGGTGAGAAGCTGGGGTTCGCGGATGAGTTTTTTGATCTGAGTGTTACGAATATTGGGATTTTCTTCATGTCGGATGGGGGGCTTGATGGTGCGAAGGAGATTTATAGGACGTTGAAGACTGGGGGTACGGCGGTGGTGAATTGCTGGAAACTTATCACGTGGTTCTTTCCGATCAAGACGATTCATGATAGGTTTAGGCCCGGCAAGCCGTTCCCTGCGCCGGTCATCAATTGGAATGATGGGTCGCAGCTGAAGAAGATCATGCTGGAGGCTGGGTTCAAGGAGGAGAATATGCGGATGGAGGAGAGTGAGACGTCGACACAGATCCCCGAAGGAGAGTTTAGGGACTGGGCGGAGAAAGCCTGGGCCTATCTAGGAGGAATTGGGAGGTGGCAGGAGGAGGACGAGGGAAATTGGGATGCTTCGGTCGATTATTTGGTAGAGCTGATGTTGGCCATGAAGACGACGGCTGTTGTGGATGGTGTTGTTCAGATGAAAGCAAGCCAATGGGTTGTTATTGCACAGAAGTGAGATGTCGGCTTGGGCTAGAAAACACAGGATCAGCATTATACGATACAGAGAGACATTGATCAGAAATGTTAGATGGTATGAATGGACATGAACTTTATTATTACTATGCAATGCCCTATTGGCATCCTATCCTGCCCCATATCCTCCGCATTACGGGCTATTCACTTTTCCGATAAACGAAATCACAAGACATTTTACCCGTATGCTATGCGCCCGGCGCAATCATGGTATCATCCAAGAATCAAAGAAACTAAGAAAGTCATTACCCATGCTCAATCGTTCATTACGAATTCTTCACAGGAAAGCCCCAAAAGAAGCTAACGAGTGACTTAGACGCGGCCCTGGAAGACAGGGTTCTCGGCACCAAGAGTGGTGTTGTATTGGTTGTTAGCATTGGTACCGGCAATGGGGGCGGCAGTGTTGTTGTTGAAGGCGTTGTCAACTTGGCCGGCGAAGCCTGTCTGAGGTTGAGCAGCGGCGTTTCCAGTAGGAAGACCAGGCTGACCATAGCCAGCAGATCCAGTAGCACCGGGTTGGCCGTAGCCAGAAGAACCGGCGACACCAGGCTGGCCATAACCAGAAGAACCAACGGCACCGGGCTGACCATAACTATCAACACCAGCGACACCGGCATTAGTGAAACCACCTTGTCCAGCCTGGAGAGGTTGATCCAAGTTAGGACGTCCATATCCGCCAGCTGGGCCGTGGGGCTTGCGCTGAACAGTGGCAATCTTGGGGAGACTAGTAGACTCTTTGGCAGATCCAATGGAGAAGACGGGGCTCTCCCACTTGTCACCCTTGGCAGCGAGCTGCTTGTACTCGGTGGCCTTGGTGCTGATACCACCTGGCAGAGAAATGTTCTGGAAGATAGAGTCCTCCTTCGTGACAGCCACGTTGACCTTGGTGTTCTTGGCGCGCTGCTCGAGCTTGTCCTTCTTCTGCTTGCCCTGCATGACGCGTTGGTTGGCAGCAGTAGCATAGCGCTGGTAGATGTTCTGGAGGTTCTCTAGATCGGGATTGCGCTTGGCCTCAGCCTCGGCCTTCTCCGCCTCGGTCTTGATATCGTAGAGAATGGCGTCAAGCTGGTTGACGTTGTTCTTGATCTGCTGCTCTAGGACACGCTGAATGACGGGACGCATGACCTTGAGGAGAAGTGGCTTGAACAAGCTGAAAAGGAGCTTGTGGTTGCTCTTCTTCAATTTGATCTGCAAGTTCTGGATGTCAGAGGTGACCTTGTTGATCTTGAAGTAGTGGATCTTGTCGTCCTTGTCGGCAGTCTCCATTTCAACCTTGAAGCTGAATCCGCTGCCACCCATGAAGACGTCCATGACACCCTTGTCGGTAATGGAAGGGAAGCCCTGCTTGCGTTTCACGTAGTAAGAGACATCGCGAAGGTCCATTTGAACCCCGGAGACGGAGAGCATGACCTTGTTCTTGTTCTTGTTGGAGATCTTCTTGCGTCCCCAACGCCAGAAGTTATCAGAGCCAAACTCCATGACATTGGGTGCAAGATTGTCACCCTCAATAACAAGGTTCTCGACCACAGCGTCGACCATGGGGTCACTGTACTCGATACGGGGAATGGGAACGTATCGGACGCTCTCGAAGAATCCAGGAAGGATGACCTCGGTAAGATCCTTGACCAAATGACGCTTGAACACAGGCTTGCCATTCTCATCCTGGACGAGGTCGTTGAAGAGCTTGGTGACAGAGTTGGCGAAAGCTTGGTTCTGGGGGTCGGCATCAAATTGCTGCCCAAGGAACTTGAACTCATCCGCAATGCGGTCGGTGTGTCCACGGTAGCGATGACGGAGGAGCTCGCGACCCTGATCATAGATGACATTCCATTCCTCGTTGGAAGCATCCTCAAGAATGTAGCCCTGTTGCTGCAAGAGCTTGTGAATGTACACATTGAGGCGCTTGAACCAGTTCTTCAGTTCGGGATCACGGTCAGCATCCCTGTAGATCTGATTAATGGAATCGATGAGGTCATCGAATGAGGTGCTGTTGGCAAAACGCTCCAAGAGAGTCTTAATGGTGGTCAGTGAACTGTTATTATCAGAAAGAAAACCTAGAGAACAACGCACCTTCAGGTCAGCCTCTGCAAGTTGCAAAGCATCGTCGCTGTGCGCACCTTGAACAGTTCCCTTGCCTTGAACGCTAAGGTCCCTGCCATGGCCGGCGTACTGCTCAGCCAAACGAAGAAGGGTCTCGATGGCACGCTGGTAGTCCTGGTGTCCCTGGATCTCGACAATCATCTTCTTCAAGCGCCAAATGGTTTGTTCGCGGCGCTCCTGGGGAACCTTTCCCTTGAAGTAGTTCTGAGCTCGCTCACGCTGGCGGCGGGCGCGATCCTTGTCCTCCTCGGGAATGTTCTGAGAGATACTCTCCTTAGCCTGTACAGCCGCAGCCTGAGCATTGAGACCTTGCTGAGTTCCCTGCTGTTGCTCGCGTGCTAGAAGGTCAGCGGTGTCGGCAGGGTCCCGAGAGCCAGTGGGATGAGCAGCCTGGTTGATGTCGCCCGCGGCCTGCTTAGCGTCTCCCTTGCCGAAGGGAATACTCTGCTTGAGCTGGTTCTGAAGGTTTCCCTTGGATAGGTCTGGGGCTTCGTGCCAGGTGTTGTCCTCGGCGGGACGATCAATCTGGCTCAACTGCTCCTCGTTGGGCCTGACCTTGTTGGCCGTGTTGGTAGCTGCGTCACCTGCAATATCACGAAGGAGAATGGAGGCATCCGAGAGAAGCTTTCTGAATTGGCCGTTGCTGATAACGAGCGTTCCCAAAGTGCGAAGACCCTCGAGGGCCTCGTTGCCATGTTGACGTGCGGTATCCTTGTCGACTGGTGCGCCCGGGACTTGAGCACCCGCGCCCGTGATCTGCTCGGTTTGCCAGATGAAGTCCTGGAGCAGGTTTCCATCGTTCTTGGTAAGGAGTAGGAGCTTGGCCTGCTCAATGACATTGCGAAGGTCGGTAACGAGGGATTGGCCTTCTGCGCTAAGTTTCTTGGATGGCGATGACAACGGCTTGGAAGCAAGGGCGCTGTTGAGAGCAATGTCGATTTGTTGGTTGGAGGGAACCTTGCCGTTTGCGAAGGCTAGAGAATGTTAGCCACTTCCCAGACAAATAATACCATTGATGCCGCGCGATTATAGAGTCCCATAGCATGATTAACCAATTGCAATTGGGGAACTGGGCCAACAAAACTCTTTTCCCTACAACGGCTCCTCATGACGTAGGAGGATAAACGCACGCGACATCATGGTGTTACGAGATAAATCTGTGACCATAGGGAAGCTTACCTTGCCAAATGCCATAAAGCTGGAGCTTGTTGCTGAGAAGATTATTAGCAAAATCCGCCAATGAATTGAGGTAGAAGTAAAACCTACTTGACATCAATCTCCTTTTGCTTGACGTCCGTAGGGACGTTCACAGCTTTAGAAGAAGACATGACTGTTTGCGAAGAGGGGATTCCTCAATTAGGGTATCTGGGTATCACTAGAGAAAGAAAACAATCGCAAGGTAGCAATGCGGCAAAGGATGAAGCCGCAGTGGGGTGTGGAGCTTAGGGCTAGTGGATGGTAATGGTATTGGAATTGGAATTGGAATTGGAGAAAGAGAAGGAGTTTGCAGCGTCTGAGATGAGGTTGAGTGTGAATGTGAATGTGAGTGTTGTTGTTTATTGTATTAAGAGAAGAAGGTGCGAAAGAGAAGGTGGAGAGGGAGAGACTTTATTTGGTTGCTCAGGGCCTGTGGGCGTTGCCGTGGTACAGGCGCGTATCGCAGAGCGGGCAGCGACGTCATCACATCATCACATCATCAACCTACGAGTACAAAGATGGGGGGAGGAGACGGACAACAATTCCTCCTAATGCTAAGAAGGGAAAGGGAAAGGGGAAGTAGGCTCAAGCCAAGCACCTCCACGCATTTCATCAATTCTTCACCATACTCGCACAAGCATAGTACTCGCGACTTGCCAACTCACAATGAACTTGATACTGTACCTGATTCAGTACATACAGTATTGTTCAAGTTACGTCTTCACATATCCTTACGAGCTACCTTCCTTGTGCCCAAGAGGGTTACAATACTACTCGTACTAAAGCAATTGACATGCCACCAGCACCATGAGTATGTACACATGTATGTACACAACATCTCACCGGCAAAGGATGCAGCTATTGATCCACGATCCACGATCTGCATCCATCGATGAATAGCCACGTCCCAGTAAGGGAAGGGTTGGTGACAGCCACAAAGCGCATCCAAACCCAAGATCCTGGAACACACATTACATACTCGCTCATCCTGTCCCGTCTTGATATCCGCCCCCGCTTCCCTTGGATCACAACCCGTCCCTTGTCCTTCTCCTTGCCTTTGCTAGCGAGATTGTCACTCAATTGGATTAGGTCAGGCTCAAAACAGGTGTCCCCTTGTCCTAATCATCCTGCAGAACGGAGGTTTTGGGATGCGGCGAGCGCTTGCCTGATGTGACGTCTCGTTTCTGCTGATCAGCCGCCAGGATGCCATGCTTCATGCCCACGTCCACGTCCACGCCTATTCGCATCATGTTGTGCACGGACTTAAGACCAGGGCTGCGTCATGGCCTTCTCATCACATTTCAGCCAAAATCACATAGGATTGCCATTCCCATCGGACAATGCCATAGCTATCTGACACGACAGAGTGGCGTCGACATGACATGCAACTATGCAGCTATCAAATCTCGATTGGGGATGTTATGTATCTTGCGCGATTGCTGACAAGATAGACAATAACAACAACAAGCTACAAGCTACAACCAGCACCACCCCAAGTTATCCATGGAGTATAAAGCAGACCAATAAACCAACAAGTTCACTCATTCAATTAATTAGACCTTTTAGCCACACTGTACCCACTCAATTGTACTTTGTATTCGCGGCCAGCCCGTGCCAGCCGATTAGCGCAATGTGGCGCATCGGGGAAGATGTCATTGATCGCAACAATCGATCCAGAATCACGATGACGAAACTTCCCATCTTCGCTCTACGCTTGTTTTTTTCCCCTACGAACACCTCAGAAGTCCTGATTTAATTGGTGAGATTTTCTAATTGCATGATACTGGCCCCGCCTTTTCTTCGCGGCACGGGATCCCGGCATCATACAGCCATAATGGTGACTCTTGTTCAATTGAGGTACGGTGGATCTGGGGATCAACAGCCGGATGATTTCCCTTGGCACGGCTTTTATGCGCAATACGAGATACATTCGACATGTGAAGAATTTGAAGTTTTCATTTTTTTTTTCAAGGAGACGTTGTGGAGCAATGCTTCAATTGTCAGCATGTTGACAAAGTTCGTCCTCGTTGTAGTTGTTGTTGTCGCTGTGCGAAGGAGGCGGCGTGTGCAGGGAATAACCTGTTCTATTCTCCAGACGCACGTTCCTGTCGCATGCTCCAGGTCGGCAAGAAATCATTGATCCTAGTACTTGCACCAATTGGTCGATGATGATGACGATAATGGTCTGGACATTAACTTGCAGAAGCCACATTTTCGCTAAGACCTGAGACTACATTCGTACCACTCCCCCAATCGGCAGTCCATTTGAGACAGCATGGCGTTTGCGATTTAGGCATCTAGTCGAGACAGAGATCGGTATCCCAGTCACTCAGAAACACATCTTACAATACGAACGGTACTTTCGACTAGATGGGACGAGGATAGATCACTACTACATACGAGTACATCGCCAGATCCTAGAGCATATGCAATCTGCAGTTGGTCTAGACCTTTGACCAAAACATTACGCTCCAAAAGACCACCAGTCGAACTCGTACTTGTGGCAGCATAGGGAAAATGTACATTACATCATAAACCTGCAACATTGTGCTTGGGTATCGACTATTTGTTGGCGTTACTTGTTTACAGTATATCATCTATTATATTCAAATCTATGCAACATATATCTTAGATCTCCCATCCAAAATACAATTCACGACTTTTAAGGAGATGCTGTCATGACATACTAGGCCTGTACAGTGGAAGCTATTATCTCCTAACACACCAACATAACTCTCTGCAAAAGTCGGATTCGTCCTAAGGCATAATACCTAAGGCTTCCAAAACAATATCTTCATACTACCACCCCAGATATCAAAACCGCAACCATCCTCTTGCCCTGACACAAATACAAATACCACACGTCCTACTCAGCATCCAACATTTCCACAGGAGATCTGTAATGCAACCTAATGTTCTGCTTTAATCATCCTGTGTCCTTAACAGTCCCACAGCCTCAATTTTCCTGTATCTTTACCTGTCCTTATCTTTATTCATCTTTAAGATTTATGCATGCATCACTTGCCCCCTACTCTAGTAGAAGATAAACAATACACTCGTTTCTTGTATCTGTCACTTTATACCAAAGCAATTCCATCCTCCAACTACTGCCAACACCATAGATCCAACAAACGACTATCTGCACATGTCACATTACTCCCAAACAACAAAGCAGAAACCTCCCACGATGATCCGTTCCTTACGATGTATTGTATTCACTGGGTATAGTTCGTGCAAGGGGAGACAACGCATGAGTGGTGCATAGTAGAGTGTAAGGTAACATGCCGTTGTGAGAGGTGTACGAGTCAAGAGAGAGGGCATGCTATTATGCTTGTTCGAAAGGTAGAGGGGTGTATCAAGTTTTTAAGTTTTTGTTTTATTCATACCTCTTTTCCTTTAAGTTTGTGTAATCACGCTGGGTGGTGGATTCAACAGCATACTGGTAGAGGTATGGTTTTTTTATGTTTAGAGAGTTGGTATTAATGTATTCGATTTGGATTGGAAGGGATATGGTGGGACAGTTATACAGCTGGAGGGTTGCTTGCGATCGTCCATTGTGTTGATAATTGATATTGCGTTGCTATCATTGCGAACAACTACCAAAGTAGAAAATGATGAATAGGTGGACAACGCCGTACCCATCTCCAACTTGACTGTGCGACCCAAACATCGCGACCGAGAGCCAATCTACAGTAAAATGACCGCCGGAGCATTCGCCGCCCCACCCATTCCATCCCCAACCTGACCAGTACCATCACCACCAGCAGCACCTCCCTCCTCCTCCTCCACAACTCTATCCTCCTCCTTCGCCCTCACCCACCTCCCCACCCCAACGCCCTTCCACCCGATCCCCCTCCCCGCCAACTTATCAACATACTCCTGCACCTCCACCGCAAGCTGACTCACCCTCTCACCCACCGCCTCCCCTCCTCTCGTCCACATCTGCCCATCCCACCTCGCGTCCTCCCACTCAGCCGCACAATCCACACTCGTGAAGCTGCCCCCGTCCTCGAAATCCCGCAGGCCCAGGAAATGCGTGATAGCGTCGTAGTTCCCGTTCCACTCCAACCACAGGTCCCTCGGCTGCGCCCTCCCGAGCCGCTTCGTGTTACTCAGGAGGTCGTTCTCCGCGCCGGGAGCGACCTGGAAAGCGACGTCGCGGAGCGTGGAGATGCGCTGGAGGGCGCGGACGGTGGCGATGGTGTTGGTGCTGAAGGGGAAGACGGCGGTGAAGGCGAAGGAGCGGATGTTGCAGCAGGGGGAGCATTCTCGGGAGAGGCGGAGGAGGAGGAGGTAGAGGATTTTGGGGGTTTGCTTCAGGTGGTATTCGTAGGTGCTGTAGGCGGGGATCGAAGAGCCTTCATTGTAGGATAGGTGCTGCCATGGGCGGCGGTGGATGAGGGCGGAGTCCCAGGGGCGGCAGGAGGAGCTTTGGTGTTGGATGGGGGGTTGGTGGGTGTGGGGGTCGGGTTGGATGAGCTCGATGTAGTGCATTCGCATCTGGAATGCCCATGTGTCGGAGCTGAGGAGTTGGGTGTCGAGGAGGCCGGCTAGGGTTGAGGGGGGAGCGGCGACGACGACCCGGGTTGGGTTGAGGTGGAGGAAGATCTGAGTCCAGATTTCGGAGACGGCGCGGCTGAGGGGAGCGTCGGCGGTGGGGATATGGCGGAGCTCGTAGTCTCGTTCAGTATAGACGACGATGCTTCGGATGTGGTGTCTGAGTTCGTACTGGGAAATGAAGAGGACGAAGTTTGCGTAGGATCGCGGTAAGTGCGGAAGCCATAGGATGTTGGGTACGGATTTCAGAAAGGCGTCTTCTTCTTGGACACGACAGAGATTCACCAGGAGGTCGTCGAACGCTTCGTCGAAGGCGAACACACTACTGCTCTTGAATTTGCTCCTCATCTTCGTGTAAATCTGGAACTCATGGTTGCTTAGACGACTGAGCTGGCCCTGCATGTTCTCTATAAGCCGGGCATCGATTGGAACCCATTGCGGACAATCATCTATCGGAACTCTGGAGTAATTGAATAGGATTGGTAACACGATTTTTCTCCACCGCCAGCAGACTAGAGAGAACGACTTTAGAGGTATTGAAGTAGAGCTGGTCAGGCCACCGGATGGTTCGTGTGAGAATTTAGTTATTGAGGGAGGCGGCTGGTCAAGGTGAGTGGCAATCTTGATAATGAGTTCGTTAGGAAGGGAGTCCATGCCGGACCGAAGTGGTTCTGGTGGTTCCTGAGGCTCCATCTCTTGATATGATTATATACAGTTCACCCCGGGATGCTTAGTCTTTGCTCGGAAATAATGAATAGAAATTGGCGGGCTACAGGAGCTGCAATTCTCCGTCGAAATAATAGATATTGCTTAACCCAGGGATAATGTGAGATGTAAAGACGGATAACGACAGAAATGGTGAGCTGATGTTGAGTTGAAGCTGTGTTGTCGTCTCTGGAGCTATTCCTAAGCTTAACAGGATCGACGTCATCCCGGTACAAGGGTCCTCTAAAATAGAACATCCATAGTTCTTACTATCACAAAGTAAGCCGAATGATCAATTGTAATGCCATACATACAGTATGGATGCTACCAATTTCACTCTCTCAAAGCAAGGTCTTTGTACCACCTGCGGCTCGCCTGGCCTGGCCTGGCCTCGTTAGAAACCAGATCTGACGGCTCCTTCAAGCCATGCCACGCCCGCAACCACCCCATCCACAATCCTTATTCTCCGCCCATCCTCCTCCCCAAGTTCCTCCACACACGCCTCCCGCACCATCTCGTCCATCCCCGCCATTCCCGCGCAACCAAGACAAATCGCACCCACGCTCCCCTTCCTCAGCAGCCTCTTCACTGCATCCTTCATCCTCCTCCTCACCTCCTCCGCCGGCGCATCGTGCAAGTCAGTAGCATTCAACCCCGTCGTCTCCACGCCCGCAAACCTCCCCCCACCCTCCTCCCCCTTCGTCCCCAGGAACCCCACCACGGCCTCCGTCAGAATCCCCTCCCACACCTTCCCCGTGCTCACGATCCCGAACTTCTCCTCCGGGTGGATCGCCTGCAAACTCGTGCCCACGCTCGCCTCGAAGATCCCCGTGACGGCCTTGCGGCCATTCTTGATGGCCGCTTTGCCCTTGAGGATGGGTACGAGTGGGTGCTTTGAGTAGCACGCGACCAGGAACCCGTCGTGCTTGTCGAGAACCTTTTCAAGCTCCGGCAGACAGTGCTTTACGCTTTCTACTGCGTCGTCCTCGTCGTTGATGCTCTTGGGCCCCGAGGGCGCGGTGAAGTACTCGTATGTGGTCTGCTAACTACAGTCAGTTGCTGTTGCAAATATAGTTGTAGGTGCAAGGGGTTTGATGGTTACATTTTGGAATTGCAATGAGTCGACCAAGGGCACGAGGGCTTCGGTCATGGACTTTGTCGAGTTGGGTTGGATTATGAGTATCGAGCGCATGTTGCTGTGTTTGTATCGTGCGGCTCCCTGGCGGTATTCTCCCATTGGGGGTCCAAGGCACTTTTCTTATTGGTGATTAATTGTTTTTTTTTGTTGATGGGAGGTAGATTGAAAATGCGGGGTGGGGAATTGGAACATTTGATCATATTTCGCCTCATGTTTTAAATTCGTAAATATTGTAGGTAGGCCTGACGTCACGCTAGCAGGGGTAAGCTTTGTGGGGGAGATCTTGTTGTAATCTTGGTGTGTGTTCAAGTCACTTCCAGTTCGTGAAGTAGGCATTCCACTTTTACAGTTTCGAGAAAGTTTTAATTTGATTGATTACGCTAATTAGGGTATGTGCATGCATTGAATGCAACGACATCTCTGACGTGTGGTCGTTTGTCAGGTAGGTATCTCCATCTGTGGGCAAATGCTAGCCCAATCGTTGCAGTCCGCCCGCATGTCAAACAATCCAGTCACCAACGCCGTCGCCGATAAAGGTCATATTCGAAGATATGGAGAATGGTGTGAAGCAAAGCCTTATAGTGTCAGTCCTTCGCACTGCTCCAGAGCAACGCGCGAAGAACTTACAGTCGTTACATCTCATCGTCAAAGACTATGGGAAGTCGTTCGCGCTTAACGGAAGCAGCTGAAGCGACCGAGAGAGAAGCGGAAGGGAGCCCTGCGAGCACCGTGCCTGTCGACAACGACACCGCCGCCTATAAGAAGATGAGTCAGATCAGATCTGTGTATTGTGTAGTGATGGTACTCGTGGATGATGGTGGTGAGCTTTAAGTTAGTACGTACCGGCATGACGGCCTCCCCAGTGCTTTGCTAGTTGCTTGTTAGTTGCTTGTCTACTAAGTAATCAAGGTATACATATAGAGACTTACTCCACATAAGACCCATAGTGTTTGTTGTGTAGAGGTTTGGTGGTTTGGTGGTTTGGTTTGAGTTGTTGAGGTTGGTGGTGTAGAGAGATGGTTACTTGATTGAGTATGTTGGTGCGAGAAGTCGAGAGGGACGAGGCGAGTCCTTTATATGAGGGTGATTGAGGCGATGCAGTGATACAGTGATGCAGTGATGCGTTGTTGGGTCAAAACCAAGGCCGAACGGAGGGATGGGAAATTTGGTAGAAATGCCTTGTACGTCAGCCAAGCCAGCCTCTGGTTTGATGATCATCCCTCCCCTGTGAATCGTTGGAAGTGTTCAAGTCTCAGCCACAGCTGTGGCGCGTTTGACGCATCATCATTCTTCTGTCTCTCGTTGGTCTTCTTTCTTCCAAGAGGCTTAATGGATCTACAAGTGCCATGGCGTCTTGAATGAAAGCATGGTACGCAGCTTGATAGTCTTATCTGCCATTAAGAAGCTTCGGACTGCCTGCGTGCATTTGTCAAGTAACCCTTGGTCCACTTACCAGCTGATCTTTTCTGTTTTACATATATTTCTTCACAGCATGCCTACTCTTCTAAGTCTTCTTAGAGACCCAAAAGGTCATTGTGCTAAAGAAACTAAGGCGTGCCCTTAGCCAACCGTCCTAAGCTTTTGTCTCGTTGCCGGACCGTCATATACCATGTGGATGTGTTCAATTCTACGAGGTAGGACAGCCGTGACACCGTTTCATATCTGGTTTTCACTGATAGGTAGTGGTGTCTGAACCAACTAGCCGAAGCAATAATGAACAGTGAGGACGAAAACAAGCCAAAACAACCGAAATCTGTAGAGAGAGGAATCGATGATGCATTTGCGCGCTCCTGTTCATTCGAGCGTAAGCGATAACCCTAGTTACTGATACAATGGAAATATTTCCCAAAATTGCCCATGGCGGAACGTCCACGCCGTCCCCCATCTGATAATCAACAGGTCGGCGCCAATAATACAAGGTCATTCCGGTCGTCACCGGTACATGCAGTAATGAACCATTTCGTTATTTTGTCTTTTTTACTATCAATCCAAGTCATTCCGTGGTGTGCGGTGTGGTTGTGTCTTTGTATGTGTGAATATGATCCGGTTGATTGAATTTATCGGCCAGGCATTCCACCGGACTGGGCCATGGCAGCGTTCTGTTCCTGGAAGCGGTCGCCCAATCGCTGAGAGGCCTTCATGTGCTTGTCGACGCATCGCATGACGCAGCCCTCCTCGCGCGAGGTCAGGGATTTGCTCTCGAAGCCGTTGACGCAGTTGTCGAAGCATTGCTGGACGAGGTTGGAGTACATCTGGTGGGGTTGGTAGGTTAGCATTCGAGTGTTGTAGTCCATGAGTGTGGTACTCACGTTCATGAATTCCTTCATCTGCTTCTTCTCCATGCGGGTTTGGAGCTCACGCTGCTCGTTCTGGTTGAGACTGTGGGGAATATTAGGATGGGGTTATGATCGATTGAAACTGGGGAATAGAATAGCGACGTACGAATCCATGGATGCGATGGCGGTGGATAGGTAAAGGGCGGATTAAGATGTGAAGGATTGGATCAGACGGGATGGGTCTTCTGGGTGCGATGATACGACGCTGGTGGTGGAATGGCGGGCGTGTGTGATGGTAGCGGTGGTGATGATGCGCTTCGTAAATTGCAGCTACTTCTTCTCCCCAATTTTTTGGCAGGGGAGCTTGGACACTTCCGATCTCTGGCGGCCGCACCGCCACACCTCACTTACTTCCACTACTATCACATCGTCCTGGAGCACATTTTTTCTTATATTATTCATTACTGACAATATGGAATGCACCGTGCTCTTGGATTCATTGCTTCTACTTATTATTGAAAGTTGATTATTATGTTCTACTTGACTACCTAACCTAACTAAGTACACAGTAACTGTACTCGAACCGGATAGATGTCTCCATATGAATGCCAATGGAATACGCCAGTGTGCAGAGAGGCTTCGATGGATCCTTCACTATACTCTCATATTGCCTCTATTCGTTTGTTTGTTTCATTCTTTGAATTGTTGAATTGTTTCTTTCATTTATTGGTTTCATGTTACGAGATAGTTGGCTACCTTTTCCGTATTGTGCTAGATGGCCATACCCATAGTATGGTATGGCTAGGAACTATAGGACTACCGTTCATCAACACCAATGACTATCCTACATCCGTTTGGCACATTCGTTGGAACACTATCCCACCTAGTAGATGACGGATGTGTACAGTAATTATTAGTTGCTCACTCATGTTTTCATGCATTATTCATTAAGGTATCCATTAACTATTGTTCCGTTCTGTCCTACTTATCGCGTGCGGCTCCCATCCATCGTCATCGGCATCATCCGTCGCTGTCTCTGTCACTGTCTTCATCGCCAGCACTACCACCACCCTTCTATCATCCTGCGCAAAGTTCCTATATTACCACCCACTATTTCTTTCGTTCTCTCTCTTCTTTATCTTTGTCTCTTTGTGTACATTCACCAGCGCGTACCTGGTCGCGCTTGTCGGGCCAGCATCAGGAGCCTTTGTCTGATGCCTCGATGCTCCGACTGATTGACTGACCGAATGGACGGCTGGCCACTGAGCATAACGATATCATCCATCAATCAATTAATAGCAATATTCGATTGATCCCAGAATCCAAACAAGTCCCTCTCCACGTCTTGGCGGTCTTCCTTCGTTCGGCCTTCCGCTCCATCGCAACGTCCGGCATTGGCATCATCGCACACGCCAACCAACAACAGCGTCCGAACAGACTGAATGATTCACGGGGCAATCCATCCATCCAGTCCATCCAACTATCCCAACCATCCTCCCATCCCACGTCCGCGATCCCATCATCCAGCCCCCCATTCAGGCCGGGAATACATGCACAAATAAATCCACCCAGTCATCCAGCCGGAGACGCACATACACAGACGCAGACACAGACACGGACACGGACACAGCCCAGCACACAGAACAATACAATAACCTATAACCACGGATACAGATACACATAATAGTTACATCTACAGATACGGATACACACCCACGTCAACGATCAACGATCAACCATCTATTGTATCTCCGGCATCCACCCTACCCTCCTCCTCTTCTCCCTCCTCATCCTCCTTCTCATCCTCCTCCCTAAGCTTGACGTCGACTCCTTCAGCCACACCTCCACTCGTTGGATCTATTTCCAGAAAGATTCCCGCTTCCCTCGCCTTTCCCTGCCCTGCCCTGTCCAACCTCCAGTAAGTCCAGTCAGTCCAGTCAGTCCAGTCCAGTCCAGTCCAGCCCTGCCCTGCCTTGTCTTGTCCGCGCCAGCTCCTCTGCCGTCGTTGAGTCGTGAGCCGTGAGCCGTGACCCTATTGACGTCGTTGCTGCACGTCGCTGGGAATATCTCATTTCCCATTTCCCCTACCACTTTTCTACCACCTCTTAGCATTTTACCACCTACCCGCCTCTATCTACTAGCCGCCGCCGCCGCCTGTCGCGTTGCTCTCCCGTCGCCTGTCGTGTCAACCTCAATCTCCGACCTTCTCACACGCAAACAAGGTTCCCTCCCACACTCATCACCCACCTCAAAACTCAAATCTCAAGCTGCACCCTCGACCCACCCTCTCTCTCTTCCTCGATCGCCCTTCTATCTACAAGCTGCCTCTCGCGTTCAATCGTCCGCCCAAGTCGCAGCAGCAAATACTCGCCCTTTGAACACGGCTACCCCGCTGCGCCGTTGCAGCTGCACACTGACGACTCCTCGCACGCCGCGCGCGCTCGACTCCCACTGCCAACCTCCACTACCGCCTGCCCACTTTTGGGCCCCAGCTGCTCGCTTGCGACGACTCCGCGACACCCTCTTGCCATCGTGTACCTGCGGTATCACCCTCGTCGGAGAGCTGTGCAGCTCTGCATCAACGCCTGACAATGGCCAACGGCACACATGGACATCTCTCGACGCCGCGGGCGCGGAATGGCGAACCTCAGCCCGCTCTGGCTCCCGAGCCCGTCAGTGCGAAGCGCGACCTCACATCTTGGTGGAAGCAGTTTAGCAAACGTGGCGTCCTGAAGAAGGAAGAAGAGAAAGGTACGACGCTTCTAATCTCATCAACATTCCTACCTCTCTGCTGGGTATGGAACAGTTGGCCAATGGCATCCTCCATGTCCAAACATCCAATCTGCCATTTGGGCCATGCATTCCTCTTGCGCATCGCTGACATCTTTACCTGAGCTACAGAGCCTGAACTACCTAAAGGCATATTCGGTGTGCCGCTCATTACTAGTATCCCATATGCCAACGTCGCAATATCACTGTTCAACGAGACTGGAGAGAGTTACATCTACGGCTACGTGCCTATTGTAGTCGCTAAATGTGGTGTTTTCCTCAAGGAGAAGGGTAAGGATGTCGCGCCTCGCAACGATTCTCCTATGCTGACCGTCTACAGCTACCGATGTCGAGGGCATTTTTCGACTCGCGGGTTCGGAGAAGCGCATCAAAGAGCTCAAGGTTGCATTTGATACTCCGCCCAGGTGGGGGAAAGGCTTGGACTGGACAGGCTACACCGTCCACGATGCCGCCAACATTCTTCGACGCTACTTCAACCAGCTTCCCGAGCCTATTATACCGCTTCAATATTACGATCCTTTCCGTCAACCCCTTCGCAACCACCAAGCCGAAGCTGTCGGCCCCATCGAGGGTCAAGCGCCGTCAGTGGGCGGCTTCGACCCTGACAAGGCCGTTCACATCTACCAGCAGCTTATTAAAGAATTGCCCTCGTTGAACCGACAGCTGCTACTATACATCCTCGATCTTCTCGCCGTTTTCGCCGCAAAGTCCGACGTCAATAAGATGACAACGTCAAATCTTGCTGCCATCTTCCAACCTGGAATTCTGTCCCACCCACAGCACGACATGTCTCCGCAAGACTATCGACTGAGTCAGGATGTGCTAATATTCTTGATTGACAACCAGGATCACTTCCTGATTGGAATGGAAGGCACCGCTGTTGACGAGGGCACAGCAAGGCACATTGAGAGCGGGCCATCGACTCCCCAAGCTCGCACTCCTACAACGCCTGGGCGCAATAACACTGGCATAGGAAGATCTGCTTCGACTTCGTCAAGCGCTGCGGCAGAGAGCATACGGAGATATGGTGGCGTCCGACGAAATGTCTCAACCTCATCGCGGCGATCGCGCCATTCAGGTGTTGCACCTAGCCCTACTACGCCCTCTTTCACACCGTCCAACACATCTGGTGTTCATCGGAGTAATACTTTACCATCGAAGAGGTCGCCAGCACTGTCCGGTGTTCGCTTTCCTAGGGAGAAGCAGCCCGAGACCCCAACTCCAGCTCCCGAGGAGACGCATGCCCAGATTTCGACAACACTCGAGCCTGTCCCACAAACGCTACAACTCCCCGCTCCTGTGCACTCCCCACAGCCAGAAAATGGCCCCGAAGTTGCGCCTGGGCAACAGACCTCTGTAGAGAAGGCCCCTCCTCCTCAGAGCGGGCCTATCAGCCCAGCCCCAGCCCAGCAATTGGGACGATCTATGCTTGATGTTGGACCTGCGCCATCGCCTACGCAACAAACTGTGCGGTCAATGTTGGATATTGGACCTCCTCCCCAACCAGTTGCGCAACCTGCGCAACCTTCCCCCGCACAAAATTCCCTCACACCGGAGCCGATGCAGGAGCAGAGAATTGAAGTGACGAGGCCAACGCCGACAAATGTTCCAGGTGCCTACCCTTTCCCGTCTCCATATTCAGAGGATCCGCCCCATGATTTCCCACCCGCTGCAACAACTGCTGCGCAAGTACTTTCCCCTCCAACACCCAAGCGCCAGCCTCATGCTACCCCTCGTCATACGCCGAGTCGTGAACGATCCGAATTCTTGGAAGGACCCGTGGACTCTGGGCCTTCTGTAGAGATGACACCAGCAGTGCGAACGTTCACCCAGATCCTCTCCAAGGTTTCCCCCTCGGGAGACGACAAGCGGGACGGACGCAAGCCAAATAAGCTACAGAAGAAGCAGCGCCACCCAAGTAGTACAAACCCAAGTGCTCACAGCTCGACTCACTCTTTGACCGGCCATTCTGCCTTTGAAGCGCCCCCCTCACCATTGCCTCATGCTTTCCAACCTCCCCCGATTCCCGAGACTCTACCGACCAGCTCGAAAGAGGCGATCCAGTCCTTCAATACGGATGCCTCGAACTATCGGAATTCGGGCACGACATTGAAGCCCAGCATGTCCCCTTCGGCTTCTTTCAGATCACATTCGACTACCGCTGAGTTGTCGGAGGCGGAGCATAAGGAAGAACCGGCGAGAGAAGAAAAGGAGAAGAAAGGTTTCTGGAGGAGTCATAAGCGTGGCGAAAGCAAAGCCACCCCAACAGCCAGTCAGACCGACTTGAGGGGAAACGTTCCGGGCGCAGATGCAAGCATGAGCTCGTTCGGTAGCAGCTCAGGATTCACAGGTCGTCGTAGTCTACAGTTCGATTCACACCAGGCGAGCGAGGCTTCGATGCTGCACGCGGCTGAACAAAAAGAACAGGACAAGAAGAATCCTTTCAATTGGTTCAAGGAGAAGAGACAGGAGCACCGAGAACGCGAGGCAGCGAAGCAAAGGGCGAAGAGTCCACCACCACCTGGTGCTTCGGAACGGGCAACTCATCCAGCTCTAGTCGCGCCGCAGGAAAACCTTGCCGTTCGTCCCAGAAGCATGGAAGCTCCTCGACCGGCAACAAGCGAGGGCAGCAGCGATGCCACACCAACAGGTAACCACCCAGGTCCTACTGCTTTGACGCCGCAGGTTCCACCATCGTCAACGACAGCCCCTGTCGCCCAGGACGCGAACATCTCGAAGCCGTCAACCACGTCCCCTCCTACAGATTCGAAGCCAGAGCCTAAGCCCGAGGCACAACCTGCTGTCTTGCCGACAACAGCTACTCCGCCGTCAGCTGCACCACAAGCGACCGAGCCACAAACCGTCAATCCCCAACCAGCTGCCGCGCCAGTAGCCTCACCACCAACCGAAGCAACGGTGCCCGCGGAGGCAACAAAGGAGGCATCGAAGCCAGCGGCAGAGTCCACTGCAGAGCCACCTGCGCCAGCACCCGCCAAGACATCTAATTGATGAGCAGCGTTTCCATCTAAACTCTGTCTCCCCGCCCCCGAGGCGTGAATTGGGACACATGCACGGCGTTTATTCCCTCGGGAGTTTTTCTTTTCAGCGTTTAGTAGGGAGGGTAAGATGATACCTCTATAATCCGTACAACGGAGACGAGTAGCCACCCACCAGCTCCGTTGGTTCAAAGATTTCTATTGTTTTTGTGTTCGTTTCTCCTTGGTGTGGGAATCAAAAAGAAGAGGCGGAAAGAAAAAGCGGAAAGCGGCAAGTAATTTTTGTTTCTCTTAGGAATCTTTTCTCCTTTTTTTTGGATTGGATTGGATAGTATTGGAATGGGAATTGGGATTGGATTTGGATACGGTTTTTTGTTTGTCTTTTGCGAATGAAAAACCCGGTGCTATGATGACGGAAAGGAAGGGGAGGGTGGTTATACATTATTGTAGTAGTAATTGGAACAAAATTCTTCTCTTGTCTTAATTTGAGGCTTTGTATGTATGATGAATGGGCGGTTGGAGGGGGGAATGTGGTGGGGTGAGTTGATTACTGGGCTCTTGTTTCTTTTGGGTTCATTGGTGCAGTGTCTGGACTGTGGAGTTGTATGTTGAAAATACCAGGCAGTTGGGGCTGTATAGATAACTGATTCCCCCGGGCACAGGTCTGTCCCAGTCTCCGTGATTCGACCCATTGCAAATATATCACATCGTTGATATCAAGTCTTTCCATTCAACTACCTAGAACCCATCCATCCCTTTTACCCTCACTTTCATGACAACGAACAGAAGAATGCTAAACATGTACTCGGAAGCTATCCTGATATCATCCGACATACCTACATACACTGACATCGGATTGAGTGCAAAGAGAACGAAAGGCTACTCCATCGTACCAGGCAGACATACAATCTGACAACTCGACGGCACTACAAACACAACACGACACGACCTATTCATCACTTCCCGCTTCGTTCCAATACAAGATCACACACACCCTCCCAATGGGATCACACCTTCCATCCATCACCAACTCCGACCTCCCACCACAGTGTCTCCGACCTCAACACAAGTACATCTAAAACCTAAAGCATATACAAAATCAGAGTACACACACACACACACACGTACACCTACCCCCGCCTCCCTCCGCGGGATGCTCAAGTGGCGACCAATTGCACGCGAGGTGGCTATCTCAGCGCGTTGCATTGCGTAGGTCGTAAGAGGGGAGGGGAGGGGAGGGGTGTTATTTATAGATTCCAGTGATATCCGCGTGTGTATTGGTCGTCGTGGTGGTGCTTACGAGTGCGTGTTGTGATGTTTGGTATCTAATGTCTGATATGATAGTTGTGTTTGTTAGGGTTGGTGCGGTTGGTGAGAGGGCTGGATTGGGCTGGGGGACTGAAGGGTCGTGGCTATGAGGTGGATTCGGGGAGGGAGAGCGGTTGTCAGGAGATGTTGGGGGATTGTGATGGGTATGGGAAGTTTGGCTGTGGTGGGAGGTTAGTTGGGGATTTGTTCGAAGGAGGATTGCAGAGCGGTGTGGTATCTAGAGTATTCTACGTAGGCACAAGTATTAGCCTGCTACACTTTCCAGAGAGGCACTACGAATGAGGGAAAACATGATTTTACAGCTAATCCAGAGCGTGAGGATGTAAAACCACATCGTGACATTCCCACTCGGCTGTGTGCATGCACATTAGGAAAGGCTGATTTCTGACAGTAGGCAACTAGCAGTGCTCCGCAGATAGTGCGGCTGGAATTGGATGAATGGTACTGCATGCCGAATATCCGGGTCCTGCTACTGGCCGTTTGGGTCCCGTCGGGACAGCGTTCGAATATGCACACACTCACAGTGGGAAAAAACGCCACTGGCAAGCGAAACGCTAGATTTCCTAATTCGCTCGCCGAACTGTAGTTGCAGGGGGGGCGAAGTGCGTTGCGTTGCTTGTGATACTGATATTTAATATTCGTAGGGATATATGCTTTCGATTGTGAGAAAGTAGGGATTCTCGCCTTGTATGCTCAGTCTAGATTTTTCAATATCCTCTTCGTTGATCGAATTGATCAGCGTGTTGGTGAGCGGGCGGATGCAATGACAATCAAGTGGGGTGGGCGCTGTTGATCTCAGACAATACAATGGGTGGCGGTCCACATTAGGCATTGCCCAAGTGCCCGTCCAACGAACAATGATTCTGTCTTCCTCGCCAGCTGGGTGGGCTGAGAGGAAGAATAGCACGATTGGACAATGGTGGACGAGACACTATGTTTTACGACTATATGCCGAGTAGGCAGGTGGCGATAATGGCGAAGGCGAATGTCATGTGGTTGGTGGGATGGTTCGAGCCTCGATGGTCAACTGCAGGGCTTACTATTGATAGAGGAGGGGTTTTGGCTTGGAGGCTGGATTGATTGGAGAGGTGTTGGAGTTGATGCAGTTGCACTAGGTAAGTGAGTAAGAAATGAAAGAGAGAGGCTTTCCACTTGTGGACATGAAACTTGTAACTCGTACTTGTAGGTACTTGCTGGAAAGTACGAGTACTGGTGCCTACTGAGTGCAGTGCGCTACTCAGATATGGTCCAGCATCTCAGCATTAGACATGCATGGAAGGAATCGAGAAATGGATCATCTGATTGATGTCAGGCAGATTGGGCAGAAATAGTGGTGAGATGATAATGACGATAATGATAATAATGGCAAATTAACGAAATGTTCATCTATTGCAGTCAGTCATTGCCTCAGAGAGACGATCACGACGAAACGAATATTGACAGGTCAGTCTCCTCAAGCGGTCCATAGTAATGACGTTTCGGCGAGCCAGGCAGGGACAGGGATGCCCCGAGTTTGCAAGGGAAAGCCAATGCAAGATGCAGCCGGTTTGGCCTCGCTTGGTTGGGGAACGAGTCTCCGATGGTAGACGAGTAACAAGGATGTCGCATGAAATGTCCCGTCTTTGCCAGCTCCAGCCTCTTGTCAGGTCGACACGTCGTTTTCCCGGTTTCATAGCAGAGGCGCAGAAGCCAGTGAATACATTGTGGCATGATGGAAGGCATTGTTTTGAAGCTTCCAAGATGGCCGAGAGACTTGAATCTGTAGGACAAAAGTTGAAGGGAAGGAGAGGATATTGTCTTTCTTGTTGAGGTTCTTGGAGAGGGGGTGTTACAGTGGAGAGCCGCATTCATGTCTAGTCGGGGAGCTCGGAAGCACAGAGTGTTGTTAGCTCACGACAAGCTCGTGCAAGCTGGAAGACCATCGTGGGTAGCTTGAACACGCTTGGACCTGTCGTGGAGCAGAGTTCAGAAGTGGAGTCGCACTGAGAAGTAGCCGCAGTAGGACTCGGGTCACGGTGAATAATGGTAGATGGTGAATGGTGAATGGTGAATGGTGAATGGATGGAAGAGCATCGCCGCCGCTCTCTCTGCCATGGGGTTTTCAGATGCCACCTTCTGCCGATTGTTATATATGTAACTCGTCTTCGCCGCCTTCTGTACTCGGGTTCTTCTCTTGTCACTTGATCTTCCTTTCTGTGCATCCTACCGGTACTTGTGACGGGACGGGTCCAACGCTCGCTGATCTTGCCCATCGCCCTCTCTTATTTCATCTACTGGCACGCCACACCGTTTCTGTTGATCAGAGAAGAACACATCTCCGTCTTTGTTTCGAAACCACAGCAAAGGAACTGAAGCAATTCGTTTCTTATCGTTGGTTATTATTTGACAATCGTCATCATCGTCATCGCCATTGTCATCGTGTAGGAGGAAGTGGGAAATCGGTCCATCGTACCTATACATTGATTATCGTATCACCAAGAAGAAACCCGGTTATTTCTGGAAACTGGTTACTACTTCGTGGGTGGAGACCGAGAGAACAGACGCCGCCTTACCCGAATAGTCAATTGGCAGCGACCTTCCCTTGCTCGTGCGTTCTCTCACCACCAGGGAAAGTCGACTAAGAAGTACGAGTAGCAAGTAAGCATCCCCATCCTTCAATACCCATGATTCCCATCCCGCTATTCTCTTTAATCCCTCTTACTCACCTTCTTCTTTCTCTTCTTTTCCCTTCCTACCCTACTCTTCCCAGCCTTCTTCTTGTAGATATGATGATTGCTTGCTGATACTTACGCTCCTCTTTTCTAGCACTTCCTCTCCCTCTTCCCTCCCATTCTCCTCGAATTCCACCCCATACAGTCGCTTTCGAACTACCTTATCTTTCGCCATCCTCCACAATGCGCTCGTTCTTTCGCGGCCTCATCCTGGCCCTGCCCCTTGCAGCCACTGTCGTTTGTGACGAACCCAATTCCCCGACCAAAGAAATCAACTCTATCTACCACAATGCGCATGAGGCTTTTCAAGATCTGTTGAATGCTCTTCCTGAAGAGTCTCTCCACGCCGCGCTCAACTCTCTCGGGAAATTCAAGGACGGCGTCTTCCAGTCCGACCGACATGGCGTCGAGCGGGTACATATTGATAATCCTCCTCTGGCGACCAAACTGATCGTGGATGCCATTCAGGACTTGAGAAAGAGGCAAAACCCTCCTCCCGCACCCTCTAACGGCACAGAACCGTCCACTCCTCCCCCATCGGTAGGTACCCCTACTCCTACACCTACTCCTAGCGGAGATGCCAGCGAGCCGAACCAAACCCCAACTCAGTCTCCTACCGCGCCGGATGAGCCTAACCAGACCCCTTCCCAGACTCCTACACAAACCCCCGACGAGACTCCCGTCCAGACTCCCAGCACTCCTCCTCCCAGCAGCAACCCTCCTCCTCCCACGCAGGATTCCACTCCACCCCCGAGCCAGCCCCCGACTACCAATTCTCCGCCTCCTCCACCCTCAAGCAGTCAGGAATCGGCTGTCATTGTACCCGTTCCCATCACCCAGACCGACTCGGCTGGTCAGCCTACGGTTATCTCTTCTGCCATTCTGAGCCAGCCAACTGCGTCCGTTGTAGTCCCCGTTACCCGTACCAACGAACAGGGCCAGACCCAGGTCGTATCCGAGTCTAGGCCTGCTGTCATATTCACTGCTACCGACACAGCTGGGCAGCCTTTCGTTACAACTTCTGCCGTGGATTTCGCACCCACCAAGGGACAAGTCTTGACTAGGACCAACTCTCGGGGTAGCACCTTCTTGACTACATACACCCCAGATGGCGGCAAGGTCTCTTCTATCGTTCTCATCACGACTACGGGCGATAACGGACAGCCAAGCGTTGTCACCAGCTACACTTTCGTGGACCCGGCTGCTTCGCAAACCAACGGGGAACAACCCACAGGAACACAGTCCGGAAACCCTCGCCTCCAGTCCAAGGGTGCCGCGGGCCAGAACAAGGCCATGGGAGCTGCATTCGTAGGTCTTCTTGCATTTTTGGCATAGGCCAATACGTGCAAGATGGTTGTCGCAAGCGAGAGTCCGTCTCGGTGGAGTTCAAGACTCTTCCCTGTTGGCGCCCATTCTTTTTATGCCGCGTAGTCGGTGTCGATATTTTCCCCTTCGTGTACATGACATTTGAGGGCATATCCTCCTTTTCACTGTCCTTATATGGTTCAATTTGCGGTGCATATATGGTGTTTTTGGGATTGGGAAAGTTTGTTAGTCACTTTTCTTGCATTGCATATATACGGAGCCAATGGTTCGGAACACTCCTTTATGAAAAAAGCACGGGATGGATATACCCCATGACGGTCCTTATATACCCACAAACGGAATGTGGATGAGATTTATAGAACGGCCTAATCTGCACATGACGAAGCATCAAAGCATTCGTCTTGTGGCCAGTACAAAAGAGAATACAACAATGATTCTTTGGATAACAGTCGCAAATTCCAATGTCGTGAAACTTGCAGTAAGTCATATCCAACAAGTGATCTTTCTGAACTGTACTAGAATTTCCTCCGACTTTTGTCACTCACTATCTTAATGAAATGCCAAACATCTCGCACTATAATCGAGTTTGCCTTCTCGACAAGGATGTTGACAATGTGGGGTTCCTACGCCGTTGTTCTATTCCACAACGAATTGATCCACATTCTGCCGTTCCCACTTGTCCCCAGAACCAGCCCACACTATCGGGGAATTTATAGATTAATGCATATTGCAGACATTGTTTCTACAAGGTGCTCCGCACAACGGCAATTGTAAGATTCGATAGGACAGGACTTGGCCTATTGCATTGCAAGAGTGCAATAAGTGCAGCGCATCTTCGAATAGGCGGAGAGGGATACTCACTAAATAGATATATATATCGTGGGAGAGCTGTTCGTTATGATCGGAGACGAACAAGGGAAATTGGAGCTCACCTCATAGGAATTCCCACTTCAAGTCAATTGGTCTCCTAGACCTCATAAATCATCATGTCCAAATATCTCCTCCACGCATTCCTCCTCCTAACGCCTTTCCTCCCCTTCAACCATGCCCTCACTCTCCCTCTTCACTCCGGTGCTACCTGCGAGAAGTCTCTCCTCCAAACGGCTTCAACCGCCTATCTAGCCACTCAATCCACGGGCAACTTCACCAACCTAACTCCCCTCCTCTCCCCAAACTTCACCTACATCGAGAACAACAAAGCCATCGCCCACCAGTCCGGCATCCTACACAAAGCCCTTAAACTCGACCACAACCGCACCAACTACGACCTCGTGCAATGCGCCACGTACACCGAACTCGTCAGCGCCTCGGGGCCCTACGTGATCGGAACCCAAATCTTCCTCGACACCACCTCAGGCCAGATCCGCAGCGTCGACTCGATCGTCACGACGACCAACGCCTGGCTCTTCAACGCCACCAAGACCCTCTCCTACATCCGCTCCGAATCCTGGCCCGAGATCCCCGTCTCCAAGCGCGACAAGCGCGAGGTCATCCAGGCCGCCGGCGACGCCTACATGGACATGTGGTCGAACGCGACCGCGCACCTCGCCGTGCCGTGGGGCACGCCGTGCGTGCGTCTCGAAGGGTCTGCGTACACGGGGAAGGGGCAGCCGGATGATAGTTGCACGCCGGGGATCCCGAGTAATCACAACCAGAAGCCGAATACGAGGCGGAGGTATGTGATTGATGAGGCGATGGGGAGTGTGAGTATCTTTTGCGTCTGGGAGCATATGATGGATGCGGCGGATAGTCATGAGTTTAGGCTTGAGGGCGGGAAGTTGAGGTTCGTTCATACGATGACGGAGTGTGGGGGGAAGGTTTGTAAGTTGTAGGGGGCTAGGATGGGGATTGGGGTTGGATTTGTTGATGGGGACGTTAGGGGATTGTACATATCGAATGCTGTCAATTGAATTCAGATTGTTCGGGCATATCTCTGTAAATGAGTGATGTTGGAGTAGGCCTGATGGTGGATTGTGTTGTATGCTTTTGATAGCCTGACCGTGATATCCGTACACCATGCTTAACTACAATATCTTCAACCCACTTGTATTGCACAAATTGGGAAAACAACAGTTCCTTCCATATAGCTGTTGAAACCCATTGCTCCAAAGAACAGCTCTTTGATGTACTAATGCCCATCTCCTGCGCAATTGCGCATACCAAAACCCCTGGGCGCCTTAAATCGACCGCATTCCCAATTACACACCTTAACACATATAAAAGAGCTCACACCAAAATCTATATTCCTCCTTTCATGATTTGATCTCCTCATCTCTACTATGAACGTCTATGTCTGATATCATCCACGGCCGCTCTACGGAATCATAGACGAAGGAACATACCCCAGGTTCTTGAAACGCCCATCCCGATCCTTCAGTGGTGGCTATGCTATGCTATGTCCTTTAGGCAGTTCACATATCGTACATCATCATAAACGAGCAACGTCCGTCGAATACATAAACAGCTCCAATTCTCCCAGCTCCTCACCGCCTATCTCCCAATCACAGAAAAATCAATACCACCCACCAAGTCCACCAAAAGAGAGAAAACAATCCAATAAAGCAATGCCAACCAAAAACACCCTCATCTACCTAACCTTCATCATGGCATCCCTCCTCGCAACCCAATCTACCGCCACACCGCACACTACTTCCCCACAAAACGCCAACGACAACAACCAGCACGAAGCCCGCCACGCCGCACCGGAACCACCACAGCACCAACAGAAACAAAAAGAAAAGAGAGAGCCAAAACCAAACCCAGCCGAAAATCCCCCCAACCCCAACATCGTGGTCGCAAACGGGAAAGCATACGACCTCGAGGGCTCGGAGATCAGCCCCGAGTTCGCGGTGGTGCTGCCGGAGGATCTGAGGGCGGATTTGTTCCAGGACATGGGGTTGAGGGGGGTGGATGTTGATGTTGATGTCGGTCAGGGAGGCTCGGGGGGTTCGGGGGAGAGGTCAAGATGTGGTGGTGGGAGACGTGGGGTGAATTAGGTGTTCTATGATATTTCTATGGTATGGTATGGTATGCTAGTACGTGGTGTGGTTGATTACGCATAGTCGTACAGTGTTGTCGGCCCCTGATAAGTCCGGCTTGTTGTACATATGGATTATAAATCTCTCTCTCTCTCTCTCTCTTTTGGTACATTCACGATCGAGTAGGTATAGATGGTATTCACGTCACGCACGCGGGCGCCGAAAACCCCACCGTCCACTTCACGCTCCCCATAATCACGACCATGGTGCTCAACCCCACACCCACACTGCAAGCCGCATACACCCAGCTCTTCCCCCTCGGCAGCGAATTGATCTCCGCGATCCACGTGCTCACCGTCGTGAGGCACCCGCAGAACCCATCCATGACGCCCTGCAGGACCTGGCAGCCGACTCTGCCGCCGCCCGTGAGCGCGGACCCGATGCGGACGTGCTGGAGGTCGTAGCCCATGCCGAGGACCGCGGTGCCGAAGATGTTGACGGCGAAGGTGCCGAGCGGGAAGGACGGGACGATGGTGTTGAGCTTGAGGCTGGCGTAGTAGCGGAGGAGCGCGCCGGGCGGGCTGAAGACGCAGGCGAAGATGGCTTCGCCGCGCCAGGTTTCGTGGGACCAGGTGCTGCCTTTGCTGGCGGGGCCGGAGGGCCGGTCAGGCGGGAAGACGGCCATGATGATGGCGCCGATCCAGGCGCCCCAGGCGATGAGGACGAAGAGCGGGTCGATGAAGCGGCGGAAGAAGTGGAAGGGGAGGGTCGGCGTGAAGCGGTCGATGTAGTTGGCGAGGTGGATTCCGACGCGGAGGGCGGCGTAGCAGAGGGCTATGGTGGTGGCGATGACGGCGACGACGGCCATGAAGCTGTAGCCGCCATGTCGAGCGACGGTGCTGGATGTGCTGATGGGTGCTCCGGGAGGGTACGGGTGGTTGATGGGTGAGGGTAGGTCGTTTGATAATGAGAGGAATGTGTCTCGCATGAAGCTCGAGAAGCTGGTGAATGATCCGCAGAATCCGGTTGCAAGGCCGATGTACAATGGAATCGTCTTCTTGACCTTCGCGTGTGATGCCTTTGCCGCGACTCCCTCGAGCGCTTTCTCTTCATCTGTCAGTTCCCTCCCGACCTCTGCAGCGGTCTCCTTCCCCCATTCCTGAGCGAAAAGCTTCCTATCCTCCCCAAGAAATCCCATCACCAGGGTTCCTCCAACGTTCGCCCATAATTCAGAAAACGACACGGGCGCGCCGGGATAGAACGTGAGCCATTGGAGGCCCAATCGGGCTAGCGTTCCCAGTATCGAGAACAGGATCAAGTACGAAGCAGTGTAGAGCTCAGTCGCAACACGCGAGACATGCTCACGCCCTCGTGCATCTTGGCCTTCCGCCATGTCGTTGTAATTTCCCGCGTTTGCGGTTTTCTGACTCCGACGCCATGGGGCCCGCCCATCTCGAATCACGGGTAGCGCTGTTATCTCGGCGAAATCGGTTCCCGGGGTCGTCCTCCCGCTCAAGGGTCGGTTCACGAGTGACGATCGCTGCGACCGTTGCGGCAACGCTCGGGAGGTGCGCGACTCTGTGCGCTGTTGCTCTTCTTCCTCGACCGTGCTGTGTCGGAAGACGGTCCTGTCGTGCCAATTGTCGCCTGGTGATGAGATTGAATTGTCGTAGAAGGTTGGTTGTTGGAGATATTCGTCTATGTTTTTGCCTCGCCCCAATGCGCTTCGACTGTAGAAGCTGCGGGGGTTGTAGTTGCGAGTGGGGCTACCAGCGCTGTTCCTCCTCTTTCCCTTGTCTAAACTCTGCCGTCTTCTTGGAATTACGGGCGATGGACTGGGTGATGTCTCGCTGTGATCATCGTCGTCATCGTCATCGCGGAGGATGAAGTTTTGCATCAATTGAGAACTCTGAGGGGGCGGCGAAGACCGCAGGGATCTGTCTGAGCGCAAGGAAGAGCGCTGATGATTGTAGTGGCTATCGCGCTGGCTCAGAGAGGCATCATCGCTGTCGGCAGCCTGTGATGAGGGCATGTTGGCTGTTTACGAGCATATGCGACCGAGGCAGAGTCACAAAGATGTATGTTCAAAGAGTGTCTATTACGAAGGTCTTGAAAAGTTAAAAGAGTGCGCAAAGGATAGCGACGGGAGCATAGACGGGAGGATATGTCATGTTATTTTGTTTTGAAGCACGGAAGGGTTGCATTGAGGCGTTCTCTCTGTGTGATGGAAATTCATGCTGGCGCGTTCATGTTTTGTGTTCCCTGAAGTGCCGGGCTGGTGCGCCACAACCAGATGTCATTTTTCTTTTACTAGTTCCCGAGGATTAGGATGGAATGGCACATGAAAGCACTAGAGGACATGTCCCGTAGTGGTACTATATTAGTATGAGTTTGGTAGACCATGATTGCATAGGTGGAGTTGGATAGTTAGTAAGAGGAGACTCAATGACTATGGAATCATCGCAATTCCATAGTTTAGTTGTAATAGTTATAAGGACCTCGTTCTGAGGTAGAATCCTTGTCGGAGATCACCCAGAATAGGTTAGAAGCAGCCCTTGCATTGTATTGCCTAGGTACACGTCTTATCTCCTGCAGGCACATCCGCTTATCACCAATAGACCCCATGATCACATACAATCACTGTCAACTCATAACACACCTCACATAATACACCTCCCAACTCATAACCTCATACTCGTATTGCTTGTGATACCTTACCCTCCCCTTGACCTGCCACCTAATTACCTACCAACATGGCCTCACAATCACACCCTCCCAACGCTCACGTCTCCTCCCATCCCCTCGTCCAAGCTAAGCTCTCCCAACTCCGCTCCGCATCCACCTCCCCCAAAGATGTCCAAACCCTCGTCCACGAGATCGCCCTCATGGTCGGTTTCGAAGCATTGGGCTCAGCTTTAAAGACCACCGAGTCCGGCACCGTACGTCCATACCTCCTTTCCCATATCCAAATCCATATCATATCCCATCCCATCCCATGAAGCTATACCACCAGCTCCCCTACCCCGCCCAATACAACAACAACCACCAACCTCCCCATTCATTCATAAAAGAACACATATACTTACACAAAAGCCACGCAGGACAAATCCCCCCTCGGCTACACCTACACCTCAACAACTATCTCTCCGTCCCCCTCCTCCATCTCGCTCGTCCCCATCCTCCGCAGCGGCCTCTCCATGATCCCCGCCGTGTCCTCCCTCCTCCCCGTCCCCGTCCCAATCCACCACCTCGGCCTCTACCGCGAGAAATCCACCCTCCAGCCCGTAGAGTACTACAACAACCTGCCCTACCACTCGTCGTCGGCTGGGTCTAGCAGCGGAGGGCCAGCGGACCTCGCTATCGTGGTTGACCCAGTTATCGCGACGGGTGCGACGGCGTGTGCGGCCATCGACACGCTGAAGGATTGGGGGGTGAAGAGGATCGTAGTGCTCGCGGTGCTTGCAACGAGGGAGGGGCTGGAGAAGGCGTGTGGGGAGTGGGCGGAGGGGGTTGAGGTCTGGGTCGGGGGTTGCGATGAGGCGGTTGATGAGAGGGGGATGATTAAGCCTGGTTTGGGGGATATTGGGGATAGGCTGTTTTTGACTATTGGGAAGTAGGTTGTTTATGTTTGAGTGGGAATGGGAATGGGGAGGTAGAAGCGTAGGGGGTTGGTGAAGGGGGTGGAGGGGATATGCTGGATTGGAGCTGTGGAGTAGGTGGGTGGATTTTATGAAGTAACGCAATGAAATGACGAATGCATACTCATGTCAAAGCACCTGGAAGCATTACAGCAATCACCTCCTCATACGTAAAACCAGTTTCGAGTATATTGTTCACGGTCGTGTGTTTATTTCTTTGTATGTGTGATATATATAATCCAGGGTATCCAACCTCAGATGTTGTCCCACCCAGTCCTGTTCCGTTCCCACGCCCAAAACCATGATAAACAGGGGTATTTTGATACACATCCAAAAAGCAAGAGGACTTCCTCCTTCTTTCCCTACGAGAGCCTGAAGCTCTTTCTCCCTCAACTCTTCAACAAACTTGGGGCTTATAGAAACGACCGAAGTCGAAAAGCCCAGTCCAATCAATCAACCCAATTTTTCCTGAATGGAACAGGAAATGGAAAGGATATCCGTAGCCCAATTGTATGTATGTATGTATACACATCAAACAGAGTATATGGAAATATGAAGAAAAGAAAAGAAAAGAGTAAAAATAAACATATAAATAAAGAACAGGCAACCACGTGTCCTCCCTCGAGGATGCAGATATGTCCATCAGTCGCATAGCCAGGTAATGACTGATTTTATGTACAATTCTCCGTGATGCCGTTGGTAAGTACATTGGTGATGTCAGGTCGTCGTGAGGACGGAGACAGGGGTGTTTTCGTATGTAAGGTCGAATTGTGAGATAGTAGTAATACTGGCTCGCTCGCTCGCTGTTATCCAAAACACTTCGGTAGTCGCTTATTCTGAGGTTCAAAGGCTTTTTCTTTTGTTAAGATGGCGCTCATTGATGCTTCATTGCATATTCGTCGTAAAAATATGTACCGACTCCGATATAGTTGTTCCTGGATGCGGTTTGTTTCCACCTGCCAATGGCGACCTATCGCACCTTGGTGGCGATGAAGTACTCCACGCTGTCGCCCATCCAGCTCACGCTACCGGTCCCGGAGTCGAAACGTTCTTCGTCGAAGATGTTTGCAATGCTGTTCTCGTTCCTCGCGCCTTGCTTTCCTCCGCCGCCGAAACTATTCAGGCTGACGACTTTGCATCCGTTCTTCAGCTCGAGGAATTTGTACAGCAGCTGCTCGTTCAACCTTTGCGGGAACACCTTGTTATTGACCAATACTACATCCGCTCTTTTCAGCACTTCGTCGATCTCCGGCGACTCGAGGAAATCGCCGTGTAGGAGGTTGATGGCGCCCAGGGAGAGGTTCCAAAGCTTGGAGCGCGCACGCAGTTCGACGGCTTGCTCCTCTGCACACTTCGATGGTATATCCATGATTTCGATTCCCCAACTCTCCGCCCCTGTTTGCAGTGCAGACTGCATGACTACGTTCCCGACACCGGAGCCCAAATCCACAAAGACAGATTCAGAGTTCAGGTGCGTCTGGTGGAAGATCGTGTGAACAAATGCTGGCATGAGTTCTCCATATGTGGTCTTCTTGTCTCGCACCCGCCTCAGTTTATGTGCTTCGGGAGACACCGTCCGTTGGTAGACTTGTCCTAGGATACATTTGGTAAGGGATAGTGGAATGGCGTGCATATCGTCGAGAACCCCTTGAATGGTCTTGTCGGCAAGCTTCGAGACTATGACATTATTGAAATCGGCAAGAGCGTCCTTGAAATCTGATTTCGAGTTCTTCGTCACGGCACGCTTGAGCAAACGCACCGGGCCATCGACTTCGGAAGAGAGCTTTTCGGCGACATCCACCGGCAAATAGTGGTTGATTATCTCTTCCATGCTGTAATAGAGGTCGCTCAGAGGGTTATAGTCTTCCGTGTTTTCCCCCTTGGGCACCACAACCTCGAATTTCTCTGGCCTTGACCGGCTGGGGTACTGTAGCTCCGCGACCATGATCTCTTTGCTTCCGGAGAAGGCAGGTTGAAAGAGCTTCGCGTATCTACCACGCGTCATCTCCACTCCGTGAATAAGCCTCGTCTTCTGTACATCCTTATCGGCAGCAGCTACATCTTTCCCATTTTTGGGAGGCACTTGGTACCTAATGCGACGCCTTAGATCTGGTTCCAGACTGCGACCTAAACCCGCCGGCTCGATACTGCTACTCGTCTTCTGCCTCTTCCTCCCACCAGAGCCTAACCGATCATCGTTGCCGTCGCTATCGCTCGACTCGTCGCTGCTTGCCCACTGCGGGGTACTCGGTGACGCTTTCCTTTTGCGCTGATGCGTTACGGTTAAAGTCCTACGATCGGATCGAGATGTCGCTGATGTCGGGGCCCGCGATTTGTTTGCTGGTGTGAGCTGGAACCGGCTGCCTGGGACGGCTGCTGCAGGTGCCCGTGGTCCGTTCGAGGTACCGTTCGAGGAGACGCTTCGGGCGGAATTCTTGACTTGCGACGACGAGCGACTAGGCTCAGCTGAAGGGGCGGATGTCTTCTTGATGGGTACGGTGACGGTCCGTTGCCGAATTTTGCTAGGTTTTGGCGCGAACATGGATGGATATGGGGGAGCAATAATCGCGGGTATGGGGGATGTACGGGGATAAAATTTGTGGATGCGGATGAGGATGGGTAATGAGTAGAATACGCAAGAATTGTATGTAAAGACAATGCAACGCTTGTGAAGGAGTGTAGAAAAGTATTTCAAAGAATAGCGAAGCGAAGTTTAAGAAGGAACGAGGAGTACAAGTGGGAGAGAGGGAGAGAGTGAAAGAGAGGAAAGGCTGTCTGCCTGGTGGGAGAGGGTGGTGGTGGTGGCAGGTGCAGGGCTCGTGAGTTACTCGTAGGTAGAGATGGAGAGAGACAGAGAACGCGAAAGCCACGCCACTGGAGGGATTCGACCAATTGGGTTTAGCGATCTGCCCCCCATTACTAAGGTATAACTGGGTCCCCGTTTCCCAATCCTGGATGAGCACGTGAGCATCTTACATTGTGCATCACCGTATCACCACCCAAAGGCACCCATTGTGACACCAATGCAACTCCCTCCAAGGTTCATCCTCCAACAATTGGCCATGTGTTAATCACCAACCTGCGCTCCGTGGACATTCCCACCAAATCCCTTCAGTCTGTTTGGCTCGTTCCACACGGTGATCACCGACACTCTCTTCTGATTGGCTAGATCCATGTCGATTTCTGTTCACCTCACCATCGTCCCTCTTGCAAGGCAGTAATTACGGGTAGATACGAGTACATACGAGTAGCTGAACGAACGAGGTCCATGGATTATATGAAATTGATTGCCGCTTTCGTCGCATCTCATACATCGAATCACCTCTGCCCAATCACACCTTAACCTTTACCCGCAACCCTTTACTATCCGCAGGCCCAAACGGTGAAAAGAAGTCATGTTCGGTGCTTACATCTCTTAAACCCGTTTCAAACAACTCCATATCGAACTGCCAGAACAGATTCGCAATTCCTAATAGTATCTCCTGCTTAGCCAGCTCCAAGCCTACACATTGCCGCACCCCTTTGCCAAATGCGACCATGTGTTTCTCCCTCCAGGCCAACTCCTCTCTCGATCCTATCAACCAGCGATCAGGGTTAAAGGTGTTTGGATCCGGGAAGATCTCTGGATCGAAATGGGTGTCTCGTAGTGACATGGATATAGTGGTGTTGGGAGGAAATGTGTATGTCCTTTTATTGGTTTGATCCGTGTAGGACAGCGTTTCCGTGGGATGTCGTCGAGGTAAACGGCCAGATACCGATGTCCCCATGCGGAGTGCTTCTTTCAACACAGCTTGTAGATACGGCAGAGACTCGACTGTCTTACTTGTGAGGAAGTCACCCTTTGCGACACCGCGCTCCGCAGCAGCTTTGTCGAGTTCAGCCTTCAGAGACTGGAGGATACTCGGGTTCGCTAAGACATGATATGTCAGGACAGTCAGAGTGATGCCTGTGGTTTCAGTGCCAGCGCCAATCAGCACGACTGTCTCGTCGAACACGCGCTGGAGGGATTTCTCCGATGCAGAAAGGCTAGGATTTGTGACTATAGTGCCTAGAACGGTCGGAGTGTCTTTGTCGATCCTCCTCGAGACAGCCGCCTTAGCTTGAGACAGCAATTCCTATTCACTACGGTCACTTCTGATGCTCTTCACCGGTCATGGGATTACTTACTGCTTGGTTATCTATCAGCGCGACACTCGCACCCGTCTTGTCGAACAAAGCGACGAACCAGCGAGGAATCACCCTCACCAAAGGGAACGTGAACCGGATATGTCTATTCCAGTGAATCAAAACGGACGTGCCCCTCAAGGTTCCATTCTCCTTCGCTGCGAAGTCTTCATGCGCCAGATAATTCCGCGTCGTGGGTGCCGCGTAATCTGTAACTACATCCGTTGCAAGGCATCGAAAGGCATTCGAGATGTCCACAACTTTGCCGTCTATCTGGTGCTGCCTCACTCTCTCACAGAGCTGCTTAACGTGAGCTAAGGTTCGAGGCTCAAGTTTGCTCACGTTGGCCCTTGAGAAGAAAGGAGCTACAGCGCCGCGTCGAATTTTGTGCAGAGGTACGGGCACGGTTGTCACTGATGAGTTAGGTGTGCCGAAACCACCATAATAGAAAGGATCTTTTTCCACGCGCGGATTCGAAAGCAATGTGTCGTAGTACGCTGGGTCGCGGATGTGAACTTCCCACGGATTGATGCGTACGACTGGGCCTGCAGTGCGTCAGACAATCTGTGTGTTCACCTATGTAGAAGAGATCGAGGGTTCCTACCGTATACGTCATGCATTCGGGTTATCTCAAACATGTATCTCCCGTCTTGGATACAGTTCCACCAGAACTCATAGAATGTCGATACGGCAGCATACCAGGGCCCCGGGACGCCTGATAAAGGATGGAAGAACAAGCGTTGGATGATCTTGAAGACCACAAAGAGGATCCCGACACACACTGATGTCGACAATATGCCGAACATCGAGTCAGCTGAAACCATACTCGACGGTTCGTGTAACTCCAACAATGAAAGAGTGAAGTGGTTTGTCGGTCTGCGGGTGAGACGGTGGGTTGACTTTAAGCGGTAGCGAAGCATATGCGGGGATGAACAAGGTATATATCAATGACCTTTCCTAGACGGGAAGGAATATTGTTGCTATCTTTGACGACGTGTGGACTGTTTCAAACACGATTTATGTGCAGAGCAGTAGATTTAACTTATGGAGGTCAAACTACGAAGGTGACTATAAAACCTGGCCGTTTCAGTGGAACGAACCTATGGCTACAAGCAAAGATTATTGCTTATAACATACCGCCACAACAGGACGTCTATGCGATAGAAGACTTATGAAACGAGAGTACACAACCTTTCGTACTCAGTATGTCTATTGATAAGACTGCTCTATAGTAAAAGATCTCGTATGTATGACATAATATGCAAGGCATAAGATGGGTCTGATACCACAACACGCCAAACTACACAGAAGTAAATACGTTGATACCAAGTCCATCTAGAATGAATTGGCGGGTTTACAAGAGAAAGATAGATGCATGCTGTAATTCCCACGAATCGCTCTTAAATCATTGGTAGTTAGACACAGACTGTAAAATCATTCATGCTAACTACATGTATGTACACAATAATACAGCTGTATAGCTAGTTGCTCTTCTACTCGGCACAGAAGCCTTCTTGACAGAATATCATGGCATTGGAGCAACCATTTCAGCACTTCACGTCCAAATCCCGACTCCACTCCTCTGTCAACGGAATAGCCTCCTGAAGAAGAGACACCTTAGGAGCTTGAGGCTGGCCCAAGATCGTGATATCCGCAATGACATTATCCGTAGGATATCCAAACGACCCCGTCATCTTGAAGGATCCATTATCGTAAGTAAATTGGATCTCCGACGTTTCTGGCTGCTCGATAGCATCACCCTCATCCAGATACAGCGACCCAGATGCGTGACCAGTGGCATTAGGCGCAATCCAAAGTACGAAGTCCTGCTTTCGGAGCTCGGTGGTCGTGTTGGCGCTTTCGGCGCGTAGTGCGATGATGCTTCCGCCTCGCACGTGGAGAGGGATCTTGGTGAATGGGACGTCGGTTAGATTGACGTAGGAGCCGGTGCCTTCGACCTTTTCGTGGGTGTAGAAATCGTAGAAAGTGTCGTTTGGCAGGTAAATGGAGACGGCTGTGGAGTTTTCCTCGGTGACTGGCGAGACTAGAATGTCGTCACCCCAGAAGAACTGCAAGTCGATGGTGAAGGTGTTGGAGTCTTCTGGGTAGAGGAAGTACAATGGGTTAAGTAGCGGAACACCGGTGGTGCTTTGTCGGTGGAAGTGTGTGTAGATGTAGTCCAGAAGCCTGTAGCGGATCGCAATGGTATTGCGGGCAGCTTCGGCTACGGTTGGCCACTGATAGAACTCCTGGAACACAGCATCGTTCTGAGCGTGGTTTCGGAAGAAGGGGTAGAATGCACCTAGCATCGACCAACGGGCGCAGAGGGTTTCTGTCGTGTTTCCTCCAAATCCGCATACATCGGCTCCAACCATCGGAACCTGATAGAGTGCTGCGAATTCCAGCATCTGAGCGATAGAGATTCGGTAATGATCCCACTGCGAAAGATTGTCGCCAAGCCACTTTCCGACATGGGCACCGGCGCCGGCAAAGGTGCTTCGTGTGATGACAAGCGGTCTCCTGCCTGGACGTCTGGCGAGAAGAGCATTTCTGCTGGCTACACTCATCATGGATCCGTAAAGATTGTGCGTATCATATTGAGCCGAGCCACCATAATTGATGATGTCGGTCCGAACAGTCAAATTGCTGATCGACCCAGCCAAGTTCCCGATGGTGTATTTCGGATTGAGAAGGTCACGACCGGGGAGTCCAATAGCTTTCCCGGTTTCATATTGCCTTCGAGTCAGAGATCTTCTCGTTGGGATGGTGGGCTGGAAGTTCTGAGGGAAACCTGGTATCGCAGGCCTTGCGGAGTTGTTACGGACTGGTGGTGGGTCAGGAGGATTGCCGGCTTCATCAGCGAACCCGTCTGGATCAGCGCAAGGGAAGGGACAGAAGTTAGCTGCTTCATTCATATCGATCCATAAAGCATCAATATCCACACCCGTTTCTGCGTCAAAGAAGCGGAGGAATTGATCATCCCAGTATTTCTGAGTGTCTGGATGGAACCAGTCAGGGAAGACAGTAGGTCTGAAAGACACGTTAGACGAGACTTCGTTAGAGGAATGAGTAGAACAAACCCCGGCCATACAACACCCTGGAACAGTGAGCCATTCTCGTATTGATGGAAGATATTAGCTTCAACACCCTTCGAGTAGGCGTCGTTATCTCTTGTCGAAACGGCAGGATCAACCATTACAACGTAGTGTTGCTGGTGTGCGTGAAGATGATCGACCAACTGGCGTACAAGTGGCAATTGGAATCGTTCTGGATCTAGAGTGAAGACTTTGCGTAGGTACATATAGTCGATGTCTGTCCACATTGTCTAATATGGATTAGTTACTTGCTCAAATGAATGTATGAATACCCGTACCTCGAGGGGAATATTGGCGACTGAGTAGTTTGCAACAACCTCAGCGACATGGAATACGTCTCTATAACCATACTTGCATTGGTGGAAGCCGAGTCCCCAATAAGGCTGCATCGCTGAGAATCCGGCAACTTCAGCATATTGTGCACTGACTTCCTTGGGAGTGGGTCCGGCAAAGAAATAGAGGTCAACGATTCCACCAAGAGTGTTGTACTCGAGGAACTGTCCATCAGTATCGTCAATCTTGATATCCATGCCATTGGAGTTGAGCAAGAAAACACCATTAGTGCCGTTTGCACCTCGATGATCGAAGTAAATTGCGTGGTGCCCATACAAGTTGCGGCCTTCAGGTGTACCATATGCATCTCGGTTCCATTGCTATCATATGTTAGTACTTGCAATAATACACCGTAGACTGAGAGTCATGATTGCGGAATTTGATAGGAACACTTACAGTTCTGGTGTAATTAGTTGTATTCAGGTGAAACGGATCCGTATGTTCTCCCAATCCGTAAAGATGGGGTGCCTCTGGAAGGCTTGTCCTAAGGCGTAGATACTGTGACTCAAAGATGAAACTAGCTGCAGAAGTATCAAAAAGGGTCTCGTTGCTATCCCTTCGACGAATTGCAAATGAGAAAGGCTTCTCTACCCATGTGATCTCCAATGCAGAGTCTGATGGGTCGATGTCCTTGCTGACTGGACGAGGGAATACATCTTCAGGTACTTGATACACTTGCTCATCCGCATCGTATATTTTGACATGGAGTCGGCTTTCTGGGGTTCAATTAGCTCTATGAAATAGAGAAACACTTGACGATCAAGGATTACAGACCAGTCTGGTATACGACCTCTAGTTTGAGATTGGATATGTCTTCTCCATACACATTGCACGCTGCACCAGCGAGGGTAAGATCTGCAGTAATCTTGGACCCGTCATCCTGGACATTGGAGGCAGCGTATCCCGGGCAGTCTTCGAGCGATTGGCTTTGACGGCGGACAGAAAATCCACGTCCATAGGTGGCGAGCGCAAGGCCCAGTAGCGTGAAGCCTTTGAGAAACATGGTGCAACGTGAGTCTGGTTACTCGACGTAACAATGTCGGGTAGTTGAGACTTGGGGGGAACATGACGATATTTATATCTTGGTAGGCACGCACATGTCATTATTGCTTCTAGAGATGGTCACAACATGTCTCCGACCAAGTCTTTGGCTCATTCTATGGGCTACCCACAATATCCCCGCAACCTGGCCCGCAGCTCTGCTGATCTGTCCCCGGACGTTCGTCCCTTTCAATACATGACCGCAGGCCTCGACCAGAAGTTAAATGAACCCCGAGATAGACTAAAGTTGTGGCTTTCTGCAAGATGCCGTTGCGAATGCACAATTGCAAACTGCAACAGGAGCAAAATATCTGGCGAAGACGGATACATAAGAAGCTGATGCGGGGCTGTATCAAGTACCGGAGAGGTTTGTGACGTGATGATTCTGGATAGAGGGACATGTAAATTGCGACTAATGCACCTGCAGGGAGATGAGGAAAGTATGGGGCGGGCCGAGTGTTGTCCAATCAGAACAGATCCGGCATTACATTGGTCACGGAAACATTCAAGCATCAAGCTGGCCCATCCTCGTTCTTGAGCGGTCTCTGGTATAAAATGAAGCTATCGCCGGCGAATTGATGCTTTAGGAAGGTATCGTGAAGCTACGTGTAGACATTGGTGAATAGTCGGATATTCTACTTTGCGCCCTGCTGTATGTACTGCACAAGAGCGGCACGTTGTCGGTTGAGGACGTGCGAGAAATGCGGGATATCAGATAATCCAAGCTTCTGTGAAATCTCGGGAGAGTTCAAATTGATCCTCAACCGATGGCATAGCTCGCGTCGACTAGACACTGGAAGTCGATGTTACTGTGATTCTGAGGTCAACGTAAGCAGGAGAACAGAATGAAGCATGCAGGTTGTCGTGGCATGATCTGAAACGCCGCCAACAATTCGACGTAAGTAAATAAACAAACAGGCAGAAGCCTGCCTAACTACCTAGGTATCATTGGAAAGATGCGATAGACGTGACACTTTGACAGTTCAGTGAAGGTGCTAGTGTCATAGTGTTTGGTCGTGGGAGAAGTAACCATTACTACGCTAATCCCATGATGGCTAGCCTTATATTTCGGCTCAACGTATGGCCGCCCCCAGAAAAACATCATGGCTAGGTGAATGTGAAGCTTTCAACCAACCAACATAGCCGGTCGACGACGACATCATGCTGTGCGCAATCTCCGGAGAAGCTCCCCAGGCGCCCGTCGCCTCGCGTAAAAGCGGAAACGTCTTCGAGAGACGTCTGATCGAGACACATATTGCAGAACACCACACCGATCCTGTAACGGGCGAAGATCTTACCGTTGACGACCTCATTGAACTCAAATCGCCGCGCATTGTCACCCCTCGAGCGCCGAATTTCACATCAATTCCATCCCTATTGAACGCGTTTCAGAGTGAATGGGACGCGATTGTCCTTGAGACGTTCACACTCAAGCAACAGCTTGCACAGACCCGACAGGAACTCAGCACAGCGCTTTACCACAATGACGCAGCAACAAGAGTGATCGCAAGGCTTACTCAAGAGAGGGATGATGCTAGACAGGCTTTGTCAAGTGTTACTGTGACCGGAGGTGCGGCAGGCGGCGATTCCATGGAAGTGGACAGCCAGGCTCTCCCCGACGAGCTGGCCGCGAAGGTTGACGAGACCCAGCAACAGTATGTGTTCTTCATTACTCACTTCGATGCATTTACTAATCGAGATACGACAGGCTTTTCGCAACTCGTCGCAAGAGACCGATCCCTGAAGGGTGGGCAACTGGCGAAGACGTCGCTACCTATGAACCGACCACTTCCACCGAGTCTCTGTATCCCGGTAGCTCTGCTATTTCTGTCGACGAGACGGGCGACCTGGCACTATTTGGAGGAAGCGACGGTGTTGGGGGTGTCTACTCATTATCGCAGCAGAATATCGTGCATACATTGAAGGCTGGCTCCCCAGTCACAGCCACGATGTGGTGGGGATCCCGCGCTGTGGTTGCGACGGCATCTGGCACAGTTAAGATATTCGAGGACGGCACAGAGATTGCGGAACTTGGTTCACATGCCGGGCCAGTTACTTCCATTGCCTTGCACCCAAGCAAAGCCATCCTTGCCTCAGCTGGTTCCGACAAGCGCTTCATTTACCATGACCTATCTACCTTCAAGGTGGTCGCCCAATCGTATACCGAGGCCTCAATTTCGTGCTGCGCTTTCCATGTTGATGGATTGCTATTCTTCACGGGTAGCACTGACGGAAAGATTCGAATCTTCGATGTCAAAGCTGGCACTTCCATGGCGGTGCTTGAGGTTGGCGGACCAGTTCGCAGCATTTCCTTCTCCGAGAACGGAACATGGTTCGCAACGGCTGAGAAGGGCTCGACTACTGTCTCGGTTTGGGACTTGCGAAAGCAGGCTGTTATCAAGGTGCTCGACGTTGGCAGTCCTGTGGATAGCATTCGCTGGGACTACACTGGCCAATTCTTGGCAACGGCAGGTTCTGGCAGTGTGTCTGTGCAACAGTACACGAAATCCTCGAAGAGCTGGTCGGAGCCTTTGCGCAAGGCTGTGGCAGCGACTGACGTTGCTTGGGGAGCGAATGCGACTTCGTTACTCGCCCTGACCCCAGAAGGTGGTTTGAGCGTTCTGGGCGCTGCTTAACAAAGAAAACAGCTGGAGTGGATTAGAGCTATACCCTGAATAATGGTGACTTGTAATCTAGAAATAAAGTTGGGTCACGGAAAAAGCAATTGCGGCACTGATCGGTCGCTTCGAGGTGGAGCCGGATGGTCCTGATCGCACAGCTCATAGCACAGCTGAGGACTTTCCTTTGATTGTTCGGATTTTTTTTGAGGAAAGGCGTAATGATTGTGTAACATAAATAACTTCTTTTGAGATAGCAAGGAACACAAGGACGTCCTTCCAAATGCACCGTCACGTTTCTTTTTCGGATTGACAGGTGAAGCCATGATTTGAAGGGAAGAAGTAATAACAAGCCAGGCGTGCCAGGGCGCCTGCGAATTACAGGTCGCTGCCAGGATCGCGAGCTGCGTGTCTGAACTCGTCTCGCCCGTCTTGTCCGTCTCGCCTCTACTCTATCCGGGAGGTCAGGCGGCAAGAGAGAGGCGAACCATGATGGGGTTGCGGCCCGAGAAGAAGATTTTAGGTTCGACAGAAAGAGACAACGGGGATGGGAGCATTAGCAGCAGCAACATCCTCTATGGAGTATATTGTTGAGCTGGATAAGTGGATAGCCAGTTGAGTTGGTGTGACTACGGGAGGTCCAGGTGAAATGCAGTGAAAGGGACTGTTTCCGAAGCGCGGTTTCGCTGCTACTTTCACGTCGGACGGAAGCCCCATCCATCCATCCTTCATCCTTGCCACAGCCAAAACCAACTCGTAGGTTCTGTCAGGTAGTATTACAAAGAGTGAATTCCGTAGGTAGGTTAGGTAGTTACGATACGAGCATTACTTCAACATTACTACACTACTACAACCCTATCCGCTACATTACTACATTAATGTTGCGTTTGAAATACTATTCACTAACGAGTACAATAGAGAGAGTGTGTGCTCCATACAGCCAACAATCACACAATTACACGCACACATACAAGTACCAGCACCATACCATACCTCGTCTACTCCCGTGCCCGCCGCTCCAACACTACCACGGCCTCCACCACCACCACCTCCTCTTTTACAACCTTCACTCTCAACCTCCCACCCACCCACCCACCCACTCGCTACCCACCAACAAAATCCTCGTCCTCTCTTTCCACCTTTCGCCTCTGTCCCCTCCCATCTCTCAGGCATGGATGGGGATATCAACTTTGGATATCCGCACAGACAAAAGGTAGGTCTCGTCCTCGGGGCACCGGTGCCGCCGTTCTGTACTATCGATGAACCTTGGCTGACCCAACACCACTGCAGCGGTCCCACGCGCAAATGGAGAATGAGGGCTCCTCATCACAGCAAAATTGGGGCTCTTTGCGCCGCCTTTCCACATCTCGCGAACCCTCAATGAGTGCCGACTCTTCACGGCCTCAGCATTCTGGCTTGCATTTGCCGCCTCTTCCTGGCCTCCACAACATGCCACCAGAGCGAATACGAAGATATCCTGGCGATGGATTCGACTTCCGGCGCCCCGCTCCGCTGCAGCACACAGCATCACCTCAACCAGATTTCATCGATCTGACGTCTGATGAACCAGGTCCCTCTGCTCGTAATGGCCACCAGGAGGTCCCAGTACAACGACCGCCACGATTCTCCAGGGAGATAATACATATTGATGAGGAGGATGCGCGCCCCCCAGCTCCCACCTTTGGTTCGCCCGAGATCGAGTTCCTATCTTCTCGCCGCATCTCGCCTGTGCTTCGCCAACCCTCCCCAGACGACGACGTGGAAATAACGGGTTCAGCGCCGGTGCCGGCTGAGCGGAGGGTAATGCAGGCCAGGCAACACCTAGATGTGATGGTGGGAGTCTTCCAGGGGCTATTGCAGAATGAGCAATTTTCACAACGATCTTTTGCTCACTTGCGAGCACATCTTCGGAACGCTGGAAGGCAACAACCTGTCCACCCACCACGGCGACGAGTCGGAGCACGGATTCACGTTGGATTTGTACCTCCTATGATGAACTTTGACGAAGTCGGATTTGATTTGGGCCTGGGAGGGAACGCACCTACTCCAACACCTCCAACGTACGATGCGCCGCCACCTGCACCTGAAGGGTTCACTAGGACGGTCGCGGAAGAAGATACTCTAGTGTGCCCGAATTGCGAAGATGAACTGTGTATGGGAGAATCCGACCTCAAGAAACAGGTGTGGATTAACAAAGCCTGTGGTCATGTAAGTACATCCCCATCACGTAGATTCACGAGCATCTGCTAATATTTTATTAGGTTTACTGTGGCGAATGTACAGCGAACCGGCACTCTTCTAAACGGAGTGCGAAAGGCAAGGAAAAGGCTTCAACATCACAACTAAAAACGTTCAAGGAATGTGTTGTCGAAGGTTGCGGGAAGAAACTTGCCCATAGAAGCGCGATGATCCAAATTTTCTTGTAGAGACTCGGCCATATGGTGTCCTTGTTCTTTCCTACATCTCTCTCTATCTCTTTCTGCAAGCCAGACACCTTTCGGTTGGACCCTTTCTATGACCTGGCGACACAGTTCCGCCTGTGTCTCCACATGTTTCTTCAGCATTTACAACGATACCCATGCATTCATCAGTTTCTCTATTCACTCTTCACTTTCTCTTTTGTCTACTTCCACACCACTGGTTATGAATAGGGTAGCATGGGCTTGATTACCGTAGCGGCACTTCATTCTGAGAATCCTACCCACTTGGTACTATATCGTCTGACTGATGATCTCGCATATCAGAGGGAAAGGGAACTGAACTGCCAGAAATGGTGTTCTTGATGTTTCAATTAGACGACGCAGATCGTTGTACATAGTATGACCTCCTGGTATCCCAAAAAATTACATTACTATCTGAATCATCAAGCTGTGGAATCTCGAGTATCTGCAACTCAAATACTCGTACCTGTATCCGACTTCCCGAGTCACTTCTCCGCACAGTCAAGACCTGTATAAACTTCTCTAGCCCATTCTGGAGGTGATGATCTCACTCTACATGGGACGAGACGGTGTTAACCCGGCGTTTACTTAAGCGAACCCCAATGCCAAGATCCAGGTACCAAATCTTTTGAGCTCCCGAGGCTCAATCGAAGTAAGCACTTAACCTCAGGCGTCAATATCTGTCCAACAGAACCCCTCACACACCTCATCTCACGCAAGCTTTATTTAGACCTACAACCTCATCCCCTACCAATTGACGCGCATCGTAGCAACTGGTGTTTCAATCATGTCCACCAAATCCCAAACGAAACCCAAGGCGGCGGCCTCCTCGCTGAACAATGCTTACCTCCTGGCCTACAACGCCGTCTCTGCTGGATTATGGCTTGGTATCCTCGGAAAGGTGACAACGCTCTCGTTGGAACACGGCGTCGGCAGCGGGAAAGTGTACTCTGAACTCGAGGAATTCGCACGCCTGGTCCAGACCGGAGCGACATTGGAAGTCGTGCACAGCTTGTTTGGTACGTTCCATCCCACTTCCTCGGCCCTCAGGATTTCAGACGACCAGCACAACGGCGCGAACAACATACAATTCCTATCCAATCCCCTTCAAGAGCATCTTATTGACTGAACGCAACACAGGCCTTGTCCGCGCTCCCCTCCTAACCACCCTCATGCAAGTCGCATCGCGCCTCCTCCTCGTCTGGGGCATCGGCTACAATTTCCCCCAGACGACGCAGTACAGCCCTGCGTACAGCTCCATGCTGATCGCCTGGAGCGTCACCGAAGTGATCCGCTACTCCTACTTCGTCTTCAACCTCTCCGGGTTGGGCGTCCCAAGGCTGTGGACCTGGTTGCGGTAAGCCCCCCACACAAACTGTGATACGTCGTTGTTGGAGTTAAGTACTGATGACTGAGATTAGATACAATACCTTCCTTATCCTCTACCCTCTCGGTGTCGGAAGCGAGACTTGGTTGGTGTACCATGCGATCCCCGAGGCTGAGAAGCTCGATGAGAAGTACGGATGGGCGCTCTACGCGATCCTGGCGACATACGTTCCCGGTTTCTACATGCTCTTCACGCACATGCTTAGCCAGAGGAAGAGGATATTGAGGGCCAAGAAGGAGTAAGGGATTGTGTGGTGAAGGATGCCATATTGTGTGGGTGAGATGTGTAGGACCAAATAGGGGTGTAAGATGTGAGTAGAGAAATATTGAGATTGAGATATAGCTCGCTAGCTGGACATATACGTTTGGGCTGTGCGGATATATAAGAATAATGTGTAATGACAGGAGAAAAGAAATCAATAAAATAAAAAAGCCTCCCATTGAGAATCCATGAAGATGATATTCATATACTCATTCCCTCAGTTTCCAAACATAACACATAGCACATAAAAACATGAAAGCATAAAACATAACCACTGCCCCTCTTCCCACCTCATCACGAAGCACCCATCGCCAACCCAACCACCAACATCCCCATCACCAACCCCCACTCCACCTCAACCATCCCCGCCACACCCTTCGAACTCGTACTCGCCGCCGCCGTAACCCCCTCCCCACCACCCTCCAACCTCCGCTGCGTGCTCGTCTGAATCACACTCGACGCTCCCGCCGTACCAGCAACAAGCACAGTCCTGCCCTGCGCGTCCGTAGTAAGAACATACGTCGTACCACTGACCGTCGCCGGCGCGCCGCCGAGACTCAGCGTCGTGCCGGGCGCGAGCACGAACTGCGTCAGCGAGTTCGCGGTCAGCGTTGTGCCGTCTAGCGTCACTACCATCGGACTACCGGTGGTTTGCTGAGGAGGAAGGGTGATGGTTGAGCCGTCGACGATGACAGACGAGCCATCTGGTGCGAGGGTGAGTGTCGTGCCCGACACGACGAGCGTGGCGCCGGGGGTGAGCGTTTGGGAGCCAATGACGAGGTGGCCGAGCGTGTTCACCGTGGCTGTGAACGTGGATGTTCCCACTGTCAAAGTGAATGTATGTGGTGCGGTGGTTGGCGTGGGAAGCGCAATCGTGCTGCCGTCGATGACGACTTGCGATGCCGCTGGGTCGAGGCTAATTGTCGTTCCGGAGACGACGATTGAGCTGCCGGGAGTGAGGGTTTGCGTTCCGACGACGAGTTGGGAGAGGGAGTTCAGGGTGGCGGTTAGCGTGGATTGGCCGACGGTGAAGGTGAGGGCGGTGGATGGTGAGGGCGGTGCGGTTGCGAGTGCAATGGTGCTACCGTCAACGACTACTTGTGAGCCCCCTGGTGCGAGACTAATCGTCGTGCCTGACACCACGATCGAGCTTCCGGGGCTCAGTGTCTGTGTGCCGACGATGAATTGGCCAGACGGATTGGCAGTTATGGTAGATCCGCCAAAGGTGAGTACAGGTGGCCCGGCTGGGGGAAGTGTAGGCTGGACGGGAGGCAAGTTGACGGTCGAGGTGTGGTCGATGATGACCTGTGTGCCCTGTGGATCTAGGAATATCTGAGTTCCACCCACGACAGTCGTGATGCCATTTGCGAAGGTAGAGGTGGTGCCACCGACAGTTATGGCCTGGCCTGGAGACAGGGTCTGCGTTCCGATTATGACAATTGGGACCGTCGGTACTGACAGCTTAGGTAGCTGAGCTGGAAGAGTTATCGAGGGGCTACCTGCCGGTTGTGGTGGAGCGATTGTAGGTACAAGAGTGATAACCTGTCCTGGTCCGGCTGTATTGGTTCCGGGTTGCAGAGTAATGACTGGTGGAGGTATAACGACTGGGGGCGTCGGAGATCCTGGCCCAATTGGCGAGGCTGGTTGACCTGGAGAGGCTGGAGGTGCTGAGGATGCAGGAGGTGTAGGTGGATCTGGTTGTCCGGATGAAGCCGGGGGACCTGGTGGTCCTGGAGAGGCAGTTTGTCCCGGAGGCGCCGGCGGTCCTATAATGACAGTTGTGGAAGATCCCACCCGCGGGGGTGGATTCGACTCGGGCTCAGGAGGTACTGGTACGCTGGTTTCTGGAGGCTGTTTAATCATAGTCCGCGTAGTTGGTGCCGGTCCTGCTGTTGATGGTGCCAATGTCGGAGTAATCTGGCCCGGTACTGCTGTAGAAGGCACAAGGACACTGTTCGGTCGGAGTGTTCGTGGAGGATCATAGAACCCTCCATTAGTGTTGGGTGTACATGTTCTCCAGCCAGGGCGAAGTTGTTTGACTCGCTCTGGGATGGCAATAACTGGGTGGCATGGATCACCTGCGTCACTCAGATATGGTGCGCTTGAGGCCCAAAAATATCCGGGTAGGGTGGAACAGTCCTGAGCTACATCAGAAAGTGAGAGCTGCCGAGGTGGTGGAAATCGGGAAACCGATGCTGTCGTCACTCCTATCTTATCTCTAGTGAGAACACAAGTGGTTACCAGGACCTGGGGTACGATTGTGGTGATTTCGGACAGATCAAATCCCATGGTCAGATCAAAAATCGGATCTTCTACCTGGCCGCAGGAGTCAACTGCCCCTAAGCTTGTAAAAATGAGGTAAACACTTGGAGAAACAAATGTAAAACCTTTCTCGTCCACGTAAACTCTTGACACATCTGTTTGGTTTCCCGCTAATGCTGTGGCAATATCTGGTGGCAGAGTTGTGGTGGTAGGAGAGGACTCTGTAGATGCATCGGGCCAGAAAAACATATCTGAGGATCAAGTCAACACTTCATGATAGAAAAATCGGAGAATCTCATGCTGTTTTCGGTTGAAGATCGCGGGAATTACGACCCAGTCACACATAAACGCAAAGTCACATACCAATTGTCGCTGCCCGCAAGGTACATCTGTCACAGCAGGGAGCCTTCGCACTGACGACTTGGCCAACATTCATCCTTGCTTGGCCCGTCAGTCATTCCAGGGAAGAGAATCATTTAAGGACAGGTGACTTACCTGTGACTGTAGTAGCCCAGTAGCTTTGGGCTGTTATTGGAGCAGTGTAATATGTTTTACCATCTGAAATATATTCGGTGGTTGCCCCGCGCATTCCTGACCAGAATGTCCGGGTGATAGTTGTGCTCAGCATTGGGGGATTTGCAAAGAAATCCGATACACTCCAGTCCATAGTCAGATCACAATATGAGCGAAGACATGTATTAGCCATCGCGGAGTGGCCTGCATGTTCACCGAACGAGCGGGCCTCCTCGCAAGCGTCACTAAATGTTGTCCAAGACTGTGGTAAGTCTGCGGGATAAGTCGTTGGACATTCTCCATTGGATGTGAATGGAAGATCGAAGGAGTGAGATGACTTAGTAGTGAGTTGGAATGAACGTGTATCATTCAAAGATGACGGCACACTTGTTCCTTGAGCCAAGGTCGGTGACGATGTTGCATTGACTGACACTAAGTACGAAGTGGTATGATTCTGGCTTGTCGAAGACAGTGAGCCGCCGTCTGATGAGACCAATGCATTTGCGTTGGCAAACTCTGAAGATGAAGTTGCTTGATCGATAGGAAGTGTTGACGTGCCATTATCTGAGGCTACCAACGAACTTGTGCCGACAATGACCTCTGATGGAGTCTCTTTGTTCAAGAGTAGCGATGATGTTAGGTATGTTGTTGTCTCGGTAGAACGGGTCGAACGAGAAGTGATATGATCAGAATTCGTTATGTGATCGGTAGGGGTTGTGTACTCAGAAGACGTTGACGATATGCTCGTGGTAGAGTTTATTGTGAAATTCGATAACACTACGTCTATATGTCAGCACAAAATCCTCTACCCGATTTGCTCTTCCCGGAATAGAACTGCATCGTTTTGAATGCACGTAAGCGGTTCTAGGAGAATATGATCTTCGAGTGAACCGTTTCATCTGATACTAATCATCCGACCGAGAAAGACCATGAGAGAGCAGGATCACATCGCGGCGTTTACAAGTGCCCTTTTCCTCGGACCGCTACTCGACTGCATGCAAGTACATAGGACTAGTCGAATTTTCTCGTGTTTCCCCAACACAAGCCCACAACACACCAGCAGCAATTAGAACGTAGCGCACGTACCTGGGTCAAGTAGACTTCCCTGTCGAGGAAGTTTGTGTGCATCTGTGCATGATGGAAACAGGACGCTCAAAACAAATGCATAAGCATACAAAGCCATCACAACCATTGTATCACCTCTCGTGAGGCAAGAATAGTACAATTGCACCTCAATAATCTAAGAAAAAGCCCGTGGAGCCATAGTTAAGCGGGGACGCTTGCCGTTGAATAGCATATTCCTCCACGTGCGTCCGTTGACGGATTCTTCCGGCTTCGTACGTTGGAGGTGTGGCCAAACGCCATTTGTTTGTGGCAACGACAAGGCGGGCCATTCCAATGTTCCCGAGGCTTGCTCATCAGGAAGCATGTTACCTCGATGTGAATAAAAACATCGATGAGTGGGATAGTTTAGCATGTTTGACATGGTACAGAGTGTCGGTAAGAAGTAGATGCAGGGACTGCCTTACCACATGCAGAATGGTCAAGTCCACTATATCGATGGCGTTGCTTATTGAGCAGAAATTATCCTTAGTCTCCATGAGACAGGCTCTTGGCCGCTTTTCTAGACCACAACAGCCTCAAGTTGCTTGACCTGCTTTTGGGGTGAAGCGTCCATGTCCCCGGGCATTGTGGGCATGTGGGTGTGGACAATGTCAGATTGGCTTTGACTTTCGTCTTACCGAACCGCCTCACCACCTTGTTCAGGATAAGATGCACCTCCGCCATCATCGCTGTCTAGTTGCAATGCAACCCCATTTGCTGCACATGTCCAACAGCTGGAGGTGAACATCAGTTTGGCAGAATGACAAATCGTGTAACGGCTTACCTCATGACAGATGTTGATGCAAGGCCTCCCGTGTCCATGCTTGCGGCTTGCCGTGCGATAAAGTATGAGTATGCAATTGTTTAGCTAGCGATATCCGCCAGACATCCTACCGATAGCCCCACTATGGCTGGCAAGGGCCCAGAGGTTTTATCCATCACATCTATTCATTGCAAAAATCACAACCTGTCGCAAAAACCCCTTCACAAAACGCTGTATGTGGATCTTAGGACATGTTCAGTTCCACGCTTGATGCCGTGGTGACGATACTGGCACTCCTTCCCCACGGGGCAGCGTCTGCGGTAATCGCCAATAAAGAATCACACGTTCCCAACCCCGTCCGGGCGGAGGAAATTCCCAATCTACAGCGTCGCGTAACAAATTCGACTCCGCCAGACCCAATTGTAGCCAGGTACGTGCCACCATCGAGTCAGAAATTCCAATGATCCTTTGCTGAATCATCCAGCGTATCTCAATATTGGGAAGGAAATGATGGTACTTGGTCGACGTTTGCAATACAGGTCGGCAAGCAACCACAGAACATAAGAGTGCTGCCTTCTACTGCCTCATCGTCGTCTTGGGTCGTGTACGACCAAGGCTGTCCTGCTGATGCACCAAGCAATTGTATAGACAGTCGAGGTGGAATCTTCAATCCAAACAAATCGCTCACATGGGTCCCAAACTCCATCTTTGGGCTGGGAGTTGAGACCTACTCGGATCTGGAGGTTTTTGGAGACTTTGGCTTCGATACTATGACACTAGGCTGGCAGGGTTCTGGTGGACCAACTGTCGAACATTCAATCATTGCAGGAATAGGTGACACCTCTTTCTCATGGCTCGGGACACTCGGTTTGAATCCGCGTCCCACGAATTTCTCAACGATGCCGAACAATCCTCAGGTTAGCTTCGTACAATCGTTAAAGAACCAAAATAGCATCCCCAGTGTATCATGGGCGTACACTGCTGGGGCATCATATCGTGAGTCGTTTGTAGTTTCCTTTCTATGGTACCTCAAATGTTTATGCTTGCTTTGCGTTGTACAGCTACGTGTTTCTTTTCGTGTATGAAGCTTGCGATATCGTCTCTAATCTTGATGGATGCAGGACTAAATAAGGTTTACGGCTCGCTCGTATTAGGTGGATACGATGCCTCGCGCTTCCGGGTGCCACCCAGCACCTCTTCCGATCTCTCGTTCGACCTTTACACGGACGTATCGAGAGATCTACTGGTTGGTATATCGTCCATCACAACCAGTAATACTGTTTCATCGACTTCTGAGCAGCAACTGCTCCAGGACGGGATATATGCGTTCATCGACTCCACACTCCCTCATCTTCGGCTTCCTGTGGCCATATGCAAGGCCTTCGAGGCTGCATTCGGTCTCGTTTGGAATTCTACTTCGGAACTCTACATACTGAATTCCACACAGCATGACAAGCTGCTAAACCTAAACCCTTCTGTCAGTTTCACACTGTCTCCCACCCTTCCGGCTGCCTCTCTCAATGAATCTGTTACGATAACTCTACCATATGCTGCGTTCGACCTCAACACGTCCTGGCCTCATGCAGCGTCATCTTCCTACTATTTCCCACTGAAGCAGGCCGCAAATAACGACCAAATCGTTTTAGGCCGAGCATTTTTGCAGGAAGCATATCTGATTGCCGATTATGAACGCCAGAATTTCTCAATTTGGCCATGTACCTGGGAAGAGAATACGATCAAGGCTGAAATCATCGCGATTGATTCGCTTGATGCTGTCAAGGATCCTGCGCCAACACCGATCAAGACAAATACGAGCCTCAAACCAGGAGTCATTGCAGGAATAGCTGTGGGTGCAGCGGCTTTAGTAATAGGCTCGCTACTTGCTGCATTCATCTGGTGGCGAAGAAGACAACGGCCTCCCGTTGTTGAAGTCAAAACTGGACCTTTTACAGATGACTCTGCAGCGTCTTCTCCTATCTCTCCGACTTCATTCGATAAGGTTTTCGACGACGCCCAAGAGCTGGGTTCGGAACCTCGACACGAAATGGCTGGCCACCACAAATACGGCCCATTCGAAGCGCCGCATCGTCCCAAATTCGAGATGGAGGGTGCAGGTATGCCCCAGGAAGTAGGAGGGGAAGCGAGGAGTGTGCATGAGCTACCTGGAAATACACATTTCCTGCCTCGAATACGAATCCAGGCACCCCCTACGGAGGTTTCAATGGCGTCTAATGCCAGGTCCATGTCACCGGTGCCGGCACTCGGAGGAAATAAAGACAGGAAAAGCAGTATATGCATTGAGCAGCATGAGCTATGAGTATGATTTTTAATGAGCGTTATGTACTTGAATGTAGTTACGAGTTATGTCATTGAATAAGATTAAGTCCATGGACTTCTCTCGCCCATATGCAAACCAAGAAAGTGGTTAACGCCATTAGAAGCTGCTCTTGTCGCAGTGGACTCTATCATTTTCTAAAGCGTCGCATAGCGATGTAACGGTCTACACAGACGCCATGAATTTAGATGCTGATGTCGCACAGCATGTGTTCGGAAATCTGAGTAGAAATGCATGCAGCAGAGCCATGCAAAGGAGCTTGTAGAGCTATTTTTAGATGCTAATCGGTCTTACCTGCTTCTGATCTGAGAGGTGACCCTGCTCGTGCTCGAACTATGCCTTGGTCAATATGGCGCCATGTGGATGGTGAGTTTACAAAGTGGGAATGAGATGTTCGTATTCGGATTGCACCGAAGAAATGAACTCCTGCTATGTCCATTAGTTCCGAGTGCTCTGAAATACCTCCGTGTCTGCATTTCCCTGCCCCTTATTGGCGGAACATGTTGATGCCATCGAAAGGAAGCTGACCAGCCATTGGCGAGAAGTGGGGCATGCAACAGGGCAAGGCACGGTCAAGTTCCAGAACTTCCAGCACCTCTCACAATTTCAGAAGCTCCGATCGGTTAATATTCAACTTCTTCAAGTCCAAATTCTGATGAACGTAGGGACAGCGTATCAAGTTATCTTGAGTCTGGGGATCGTATTGCCTCACAATAATCCAATCCTTATCGATAGGGAAGCGATCTACTAGACTTTGACCCCGGGAAAAGGCGCACCACTCCCCCCTACTCATCCAACAACAAACTCGATTTATTCCTCCGCCAGCAACATTCAATCCAGTAATCCAGAAGAGATGGCACCACCGAAGTCTAGACCAGCCAAGAAAACTGGGAAGAAAACGGCTAAGGAACTCCGTGGGGAGCACGAACCCCAATCAATCATTCCTGTCGACCTGCAGCAACTACTTCTTAACGTTTTCAAAAACTCTTTCGTGGAGAGGCTGGGTGCCGATTTCAAGCCTCTGCTTCAAGAAGTCAAAGGACATCTTTACAATCGGGATTTTCTCACTGCTTTTGGCCGGAATGACTACCTCGAAGTTTACGCTGCCCGATGGAGCCCATCCCGAGCACTGGGATATCTCGACATCTTCGCTAGTCTGAACGACCTAAATCTGTCCACTCCTTCTGTAAACCAGCAAGAAGACCGAAGAGAGATTGTGTGTATTGGGGGCGGAGCCGGTGCCGAGATTGTTGCGTTGGGTGGCTACCTGGCCTACTTACAGAGGACCAACCAAATGCCGTCGCCTCAACCTCAGATGAACATTAAATCAATAGATATTGCAGACTGGGCAATAGTTGGAGACAAACTACACCAGCATTTGACGACTGCTCCTCCCATATCACAGTACGCATCTGCGTCTGCGAAGGCCTCCAACGTACCGCTCCTGGATTCCGACTTACTGAATGTCTCGTTTAAACATGCCGATGTACTGAACCTGGATGCATCTACTCTACGTCCTCTTTTCCAGGGGGTGAAGCTTGTCACAATCATGTTCACACTCAACGAACTCTATTCGACTTCCCTGGCCCTAACGCAAAAGTTCTTGCTCAATTTGACTGAATGCCTAGACGAAGGAGCTCAACTATTGGTTGTTGACAGCCCAGGCAGCTACTCCACTGTCACACTGAACGGTGCAGAGAAGAAGTACCCGATGAAGTGGCTACTTGATCACACACTGTTGAAGCAAGGCCCGAAAGGCGAGGAACCACCATGGACGAAAGTAATCGAAGACGAATCGAGATGGTTCAGACTCCAGACTGAGCTGAACTATCCAATAGAGCTTGAGAATATGCGTTCCCAATTGCATCTTTATTCACGTTCGACGTAATGCCACTACAGATACTATTCACAATCGCTCCAGCAAGTGCTAGAAACAGTCATCAAGCCCACATTTGAATATGCAAGAGTCCAAATCAGAGCTGGAAAGCCGATGTCAGACAGGGGTATATCGCAATTGGGGTTTGTTGAATGGTTCAGCCCTGTAATTGTTGGCGCAGCGTAGGCGTTCGCATACGGCACGAGTTTCCCAACCACAACTACTTATTCCTTTGTGGAATCCAGAATTGGTCTCGAAGAACCTGGGCTGACCTTCTCATGCCACAATAAAATCCTTTTCGACCGTTTGGCCAGTCTGGAAAAAGTGCGTTCAGCCGAAGTCGAGGGAGCGCTTAGGTGCTCGCGTCGGGTGGCCAATGAGCATCGAGAATTGGCTTTCACAGATAGAAGCCCTACGCCACCATAGCCAACCAACTGTCAATTCTCGACATCGAATGGAGATCTACAAAAACATCGGTGTGCTCTAATCCCCCACTAACAATAATAATTAAAAATCACCAATTCCGCGTGCGGCGCGGTCAACGGCGGGGTGTTGATATACCTGGGTTCCTTGCCCTCTTCCCCTTTCCCCCTCCTTCGAGTCTTTCCCACAACATTTGGATTTGGTCAACTTTTGTACTTGGTCAATAACTTCGTTATTCATTCCAAGGTTATCGATTGTTTGGATCAATTTGTTAGGCGTCGCGATGGCGCACTCATCATATAGTTTGGCGAACTCGTCAACTATGCGAACAGTGTACAGATCCTCGACGCAGTCGGCCAACGTGAGTGTAGTAATTCGATTACATGACACCAGTTGTCTAATGTTGCTTGTAGTCATCGGCCATCACATCGCATCCAGTGGTTGCCACAACTAGTCTGCAAGCTTCGCCAACGACCAGCGGACTTTTAATCAGTGAATCAAGCCCACCTGTTCGAGCCAACGATTCGAGCAGTAGATTGTCTTCAAGCCATGGATTCAGTACACTTGCAATTGTTGGTGTATTAGCTGGGACAGCCTTCCTCCTCCTTTGCGTCCTAATCATTGCATTGCTGTTGCGGAGACATAAGAGAAAGGAATATAAGAAGATGTTGGAGAGAAATACAAGCAGCAAGACCAATAGCCCGAGTTTATCAAATGGCAGCATGAAAGGCATAGTGGTCACAAAAAGTGTGGAAAGCAAGGTTGTGCCGGTCCAACTCGAGGATCTTGAGGCGAAATCAAATCGATTCAGTGCCCAGAAGATCCCCAGATGATTACATCCGAACAATCTGGACCAAACTACACGACCTAGAAAATAGCAGTTCGATGGGATGCATTCCATTAACTATTCGCTTATCGCCAGCGCTGTTTTCCGAAAGTTACACGCGCCGATAATCAGTCTGGTGGAAAAGACGACGAAGTCCCTGCAGTACTATTTATCAAGTGGCACCTGCGCCTATCTGAATGTTAGCCGCAAACTCTCACACCACAGAGTGATCGCATATGTTGGCTCACGGTGTTTGTGGTTTCCGCAACTTCGCTTCCACTTGCTCCACCACTGCGCCACGGCTTATCCCTCACGTACTCGCCCTTCTCATTCATCTGCGTCGGCATGGGAGGCGAAACGGCGCTCTCGTGTAAGACATGTTCGTCGTGGGCGGCGGCCTCGGAGGTGCTCTTACTCTTCCTCTTCAAGAATGGAGGAAAGCACATTGTAGTGAATGGACAGATCGCAAGGTCCAACAGTTGGTATCTTTGGGAAACAGGAGTTATGTTTTTCTCGAAGAGTTCTTTGGCGGGGTATCTTGTCGAGATATATCGTTAATAATTATGTTTTGCTGGTTCGATCGATGGAGATCTCCGCGCCTGGGGAGTGGGGAGGAATGGAATGTCGGTGTAATGTTACGGCGCATTCCTGAGCGGAAGGGAGCATTTCGACAGCGATGGACTGGCTATTGGATCGTTTCCTTGGCTAATCAGCAGTCAGTAATATCTTTCTGAAATTAGCATTGTCAAAATAGAGCCTACGTGATGTCATTGTTTGATTGTTTGTCCCGATGTAGCGCAGCTATGTCGAAGAGATTAAACTATTTTATTGCTTCTTATTAGGTCATTGTAGACACATTTCAGAATGAAACTCGACTGGATACAATTAGAAAGTCTTCTCTGTTAGTAGAAAAAAGCTTTGAACGAAAACAAATCTAGGCGTGCGGTTTCTGTGTGAAAGGGTGACTTAAATCAACTATAGCGCATGGGCTCGAACTTTCAGGACATATCCTGTTATTAGATCGCGTAGTACATGTTGCCTTGTGCACTTCACAGGTCCTCTTCAAGCAAAAGTAGATTATTCAGCAGTGACTGAGATAGCCACAATTCAGTATTAGAATTAACGATAGTAAATGTAGGTATAATGGTGTGGTATCTAATGACTATGACGGGTGCCATGAATATACAGTAGTAGGGTTTCTGGTAACCTCGCAGATAGTGAACGATCATGCCTATAGCAGTGGTATGGCAGGCCTTCTGAGCCAGCCTACGCAACCGCCTTTTCGTGCTCAGGCTCACTCACACTGTTGTCCCTAAGGACCTGAATATCGACCTTCTCAAGTGGATCGGTGTTGGCCTCCGCCTTGTGGTACAATTGACGGCTAACGTGCTCAGTTAGGTATTGATCGAAGTCCCTGAGGCAAACAGAAGCAATAATAGCCACGCCTCCCAAAGCAACGGCGAAGTAGTAGACGTAGGCATAGGATCTCGAGTATGCGGTCGAGACGGCAATGTTGGTGGCGCGGAGGATGGCCTCGTTCATTCCGGGGACAGCTTGAAGAGCGGACTGGGTGCCTGCTGCAACGGCGGTCATGAGGTCGGACAGAGAGGAGGATGGAAGGCCGGCGGAGACAACGGCATCTGGTACGGTGGATGCGAGGTATCCGGGGACCTTGTTGACATAGACGGCGATGAAAGCTGCGGTGAAGATGGAACCGAAAATGGTGCGGGATGCGGAGATAACAGCTAAAGACATGGTTAGTTTGAGTTATTACCAAATGAATGGAATAGAAAAGGAATCTTACAGAAGGCAACACCAAGATCTTGGTCTGAGACAACGTACTGCACAATGATAGCAGCAATTACCTCACCCCATCCAATGGTAAGGCCACCCAGAAAGCTAAAAGCAATGGCTTGACCCTTCTTGTCGACTGTGATGCTGGCCATGGCACCAAGGAAGGCAGTCATCCAAATGCTTGAGACGATGATCTGGTAGCGGATATGCTTGATATAGTGCATCAAGGGGCCGAGCAAAACGATACCTCCCCACAATCCGAACGCCGCAGTCGTAGACAGCCAAGCGGACTCCTCCCACGAGGACACCGTAGAGCCGAAAATGTAGGACACTTGCTGAGGCCACATGATGAAAAGCGCAATGTTCATAATACCATAAGTGGCAGAGATAATTTCTAGGCAAGTGAATCCGCGAAGATCACGGAAGAATCGCATGGGGATAATTGGCTGAGCCGGCGTAAGGAATACCTCATAGAGAATGAAGGAGACCGAGGCGACAGCTCCCGATATGAGAAGTCCAAGGATTTTGGGTGAAGACCAGGGTTGGGCTGGCCCACCCCATGAGATACCAAGCAAAAAGAGCGCCAGGCCAGCCGTGAGAAGGAAGACTCCAATGAAGTCGATCTTCTTCAACTCGTCGATCTTGCTAGATTTCTTGCCATGAAGTTGTACGTACGATGGTGGGTGGTAGAAGAAGAACCATAGGAGAGAACCAGGAACTATGAATTGGCGATGAGTTACTGCCTACAAATATGTGATGTGGAGCGGCTGGGACTTACCTTGCATCATGATGAAGATGTAATAGATCCATCTCCAACTAGCTACAACTGCTAGCCGTAAACCGATATAAGCACCGAAGCCAGTTGCAATGACGTTTGGCACAACGACGATTGCCGTTCCAATGTATTTCTCCTTGTTGCTCATGAGTTCACCAGCAAGGAGAGGATACGATGCTGGAACACCAGAAGCAATACCCATCAGGACTTGAGCACCAATCAGGGTCTCGATAGACTGCGCAGTGGCTGCAACAATCGCACCGATGATTGCGAGGACACATGAGCCCAAAGCGAATCCTCTTCGACCGAATCTATCTGAGAGACGGCCGAATAAGAGTAGAGAAATGGGCTGTGAGATCGTCCACACTGTTGGTACAAGAGCCGTGTTGACACTTGGTCCAATATCTTGAAGAATGGCAGTGCTGAGAACAGCAGCGGTGGCTTGGAATTGGAAGTAGGTTGCCACCACAATGATAGCTGTGCCCGCGAAGCTCCCAATCACTCTTGGACTTTTGAAGTAATCAGAAGGAAGACGTGATTTCTCGGTGGCTAAGGCCTGAGAGCGAATCTTGTCAGCTTCCTCTGAGTTCAGCGACGCCGCACTGGAACCCTTGGAAACGTCCTTAGGAACCTCATCACTGGCCTTAGGGGCCACGGTATCGACTGCAGCGTCAGCCATGGCTGGAAGAAAGAGTGAGGAATGGAAGTAGCAAGGAAGGAGCCCTATTGTCGAGGACTGGACAAACCACAAGGAAGTTGACGACCTGCGGCCTATAACCAAGTACTGGGGAATGGATGCTTTTCATGTTGCCAGGCACATAAATGTTTCGAACGGAATAGTTCTGCAGCAAGGTAGAACTGACTCGCCCTGCTTCGACAGCAGGAGCTAGACTCAATAATCACCTTGTACATACATACGACGGCGAGTATCATTTCGATAAAGCGGCGAAAGGGTGTTGGAGTAGCTATGATAGTCGAATGACTCCCGTCATTTGAGAAATGATCCACTCCTGAGTCCTGTCATTGCCAATCGTGTTGTCCGAGCGCTCGTCTGCCCGCAGGTTTGCGCGTCCACCAAATTGACACCAATGCATGTATTCGACAGGCAGGCGGCAATAGACTTCCGCTTCAAGCCAGCACGCGCCGTGCCCGCGAGCCGATCCTACGGCACTTGGGGATAGTCAAACATGCTCTCCTGTACACCCCTGTACAGCGATCGGCACTGCGGAGAATTGGGTGCATGTTAAACGCATGGGCCATCAGCAGGGTTCAAATTGGTTGAGACAGCACCCCTCGGATTCCTTCCCCCGTTAGTTCACTCCTTTCAGATATCAATGTAATCCTTTTGACCACTTGGCGTATCTAGAGCCCAATTCTCACAGCCTTCGGTACCTACTACTGACAGTGTATGGCAAATCTTTAGTAACTATGAGGCCATTTTCGTACGAGTAGTCATACCAGGATTGGCGTCTTGTACTACACTGTAAAGGGCAACACATAGGACAGTCACTGGGATGGTACTAAGCTGATAGCGAGCGAGATAATTGAGCCACTTGGTTGGGCTCCTGTTTGATTCTTTACGGTTTGATCATTCTGGATATGTACTCGGTAGTCATGATAAGAGTGTTCAGTAATAACACATCATATCCAGTTCTAGGACCTGCTAGGTGTGGGTGCTATGTTTGGCATGGTTCTTCTCAGGCTGGATAATAGCCAGTGCGATAGGTGGTATCGAGGAACGGCAACTTTCATACACAGCATACCAGACACTCACTGGTCGTTGTGTTTAATATGAATTTCCACTTGATGTCCGACCATGATGCCGTTGGATGGAACCCCTTGTGGTTCGGTGACAATGTTCTTTTGACTGTGATCATCGCGATCATCCAGAGATGAGTCGCTGCCGGCCATTGTTGTTCCGCCATACACGCGAGTTTCAGTGCCCTTCTGACTGCCCATCTTTGATTTTGTATGTCGGCTCGATATTCCCTCTCCTAGCTCCAGGTATTGATCAGTCGACTTTTGTTGCTTGCTGCGTTTATCGCTTCGGATGGTACTGCGCATAGAAAGGACTTTCTCAAGTAGTGGTCGTAATGCTGGCAAGTTTCCAACAATAACTCCCAGACCAATCTCGGTTTGTGCCCAGGCGGCAACATCCATCGCGTTGTGTAGAAAGTTTTCCGTGGAACTGAGATTCACTGTCACAGATAATCGCACAAGAGGGCCGACCGATGTGAATATTCCAAGACCAAGGAGTGCGACCACAGACATTTTGATTCGTTTGTCCATTTGAACTTTCCATAGTAACGGAATCGGACTAATACATCGGTTAGCAAGGCAATACAATCGAAGAGACTCCACTTACATCAAGGCACAGAACCAATCCGTAACGATGGACACTGCGGAAAGAGCGAAACTGAAGCCAGTGATGTTACTCTGAGCCTTGCAGTGGCCGCCTTCAATTTTTGTAGGCTTCCAATTCATTCTGGTATTGTCAGTGTGATTCGATGGGGGCGTGGGCCTGTGGGCTTCTTACGCTATCGGGTCGCAATGAAAGAATTCGTAGATTGTGGTCGAAACCATGACAATGAACACAGATGCCATGGCAAAGTAGATTGAAATCACGTATACTTTCTGTTTGTTGGCTATTCGCAAGAGCGTGAAGCACACTGCCCACTTGATGGGGACAGCTGCTAGGCACCACATCGTTTGCATAATGAACCACCACTAGGTTTCCAGTCAGCAAATGCTTTAGTCTGTGATACAGCTGTTGTTCAACTTACAAACATGGCTGTTTCTCGTTGAGATTCAGTCAGTTGGGCGTCAGTGAGGCCTCCTCCTGTGAATGCGATTCCTAACATCCCAACTGTGGTAATTCCGTAGAGCGGCTACGTCGTCTTAGTAGACTCCTAACACTTCTGTTGGGTTGATACTCACAATTGCCGCGAGCATACTCCAATCATCCGGACCCCATGCTTTCCGGGAGAGACGCACATAAAATCGAAGCGCCCAGGTTAAAACATCAAAGACGAGTAGAATGATTGTGCAGAGGGCAAGCCCCGGAGCTGTTGGTGCCGCCATCGCTGTCAACGAAAAAAAAAAGGAAAGCAATGCCAGCTACGATTACATCAAGGCTTCAAGCACTGGATGGCCTCGTCGAACGGTGGAGGATGGCACTATAAAACTATACACAATGGATATGGCGTCTTTGTTTTTGACGTAGATCTTCTTCTTCAAGCAAGCGACACATGGGACGTGCAGTGCTCTTCAGGGGATACTGATGGGAACTTCTTTTCACATCATCGCAAATGGAATTGTTCAGAGCCGATCGCAGCAGGTACCAGGAAACGGGCGCGCTCCATGCTGCTCAGGGTAGTTTTGGGCGTAACAGTGAACTCCTTGGGTTCCCAGCTGCACCAATGATCATCCCATAGCCGTTTGATATGAACGTTGAGCTTTCCCTAAACAGTCGGGCAGAGAAAAACCCCTATGTGCTTGTCATTCATACAGCCACGAGGTGAATGTCCATGCATCCTTGTTGCGCCGATATCTTCCGAGTATGGACTGTAAGGAGACCCTGAAAGCAGGCATGGAAGTATCATTCCGTCCTTGGTCGATGTAACGAGATAATACCTAGGCGCTAAAGAAAATGGAAGGTTAAGAGCAGCGCATATGAACGTCGTATGCAACCCCTGAGCACTACAAACCAAGGTCTCTGCGAGACCAACTACCATCAAGTATGAGTGTGGAATTATGTTGCACTACTTCTGAATAAAACGATTTTGTCAAAAATTTCACCTTGCCTCTGCATAATCTTGGTTGAAGCCGCAGTTTCGTCCCAAAATCCAAGAGGCAAGGAACACATGTGATGGACAGGGCCTGAGTAAGTATCAACTGATTCAACGTACCGTGTGGCTACCGTCTTGTCGGTTACAACCCGCTAGTGTATTGTGTAAATAATCTACTGGAAGTAAAAGTCAGTGTGCCTTTCTGAAACTCGTGGAGCCGTGCGGACGGATACTATCTCGCCCATGCTTGTGAAGGTGCTATTCCCAAAGTATGAAATTAGACAAAAGGTATGCTTCCTTTCTACCGGGATCTCCATGTATTGACTGGTGAGTCCGAAACAGGTGAAAGTGATTGGCAAGTCAAACCCTTGCAAGAGGTATAGCATTCAAAAGTGAAGCTACCGAAAGAGTGGCCGATGCACACCGCTTGATTCAAGACACAGGAAAGATGTGCATGAGCTTCTAGGCCACACTGTAGCTATGGAGTAATCAATTGATCGAAAGATGGACTTTTACTTTAATATGCCCTTCAAGTCGACACAAACTAATCTTGGTTCATTTGTATTAATACTCAGAAGTATGCTTGAAAGTTGAAACTCGTGAGGCCGAGGCTTTGCACCCATACCTAGAGAGGCTCTTCCAGAATGATCGACGGGAATAAACAAGAACTCGATATGGCCTTTTGGAAATACAGTCTGCCGAATCCCCTGCTGAACAGGATGAGACAGAAATCTCCGCTGTCAGCCGTGTCTTCAACAAGGATCATCTCCGCTAGGCGCTCCTTCGGATGAATACAATACAATAATATCCACTTGCCGATGCGGCTCGACCCTTGCGGGAAGGAAGCGCGACCCAGGCGGCTCCATTGGCCGGGGAGCGTACCTATTGGCCACTTATTAGTCTATCGTCCTTCGCCTTAGGCAAGTTTGAGCGCAATGTGGGGAATACAAGTCTTCTCATCAACGGACTTGAGCGACACTCCCTTGACGAGTCGCTCTTCTTCGTAAGTTGACAGTGCGGGCTTCAACATAACACAAATTGGTAAGGATCGACATTTACTAAGACAAATAGAACGTTGGTGCCAAAAGTGCTCTATGCGAGCTTGATCTGCCTTGTTGCTTATCTCGGCTTGAGCACTAGGAGTAATCATGAGCAAGTGGAGCGAGAAAGAATACGAGAATAATGATCCAATCGTGAAAAAAAAAGTCTATTCTTGGTTATCCAAAATGCCAATCAACGAACTACTGGGCAGTCAATCCACCATCAACATTCAGGTTGATACCAGTCACCCATGCTGCGTCATCACTCGCTAGATAGACCGCTGCTCGTGCATGGTCCTTGACCTCGCCAAAACGGCCCCTGGGGAGAGCGGCAAGGACAGCGTCTCGTGCCGATGACAGTGCACCACCCAGCGCGTTGTCGAGCATCGCAGTTTGGGTGACTAGAAAATAACAGTCAGTAAATGCACACTACGTATCACAGTCAGGACAAAACTTACATCCAGGGCTGATTGAATTAGCAACAATGCCCTGTTTGGCAACGTCCAAAGCAATCGTTTTAGTCATGGCAGCAACAGCTCCCTTCGACGCGGTGTATCCAGCTGCAAATTTTAATAGATCAGTGATCTGCTGTAGCAAAATCAAACACCATGGAAACTCACTGAGTCCTGCCATGCCAATGTTGGCAACCATAGAGGCAAAGTTAACAATGCGCCCTCGAAGGCCGCTTGCATCCAGCTCTTGTTTCTTCATTTGCTGGATTGCATACTTGCAGCCCAGAAATACACCACGGGTATTTATCCTGAGATGAGCATCAAAAGCGGCCTCGTCTACTTCATCGATAGGCTGAGGGTTATTTGCTTCGGTACAGATGCCAGCGTTGTTCACGAGACTTGGAACATTAGGTGTGAGTTTTCAAACCATTTCCAAGAAAGGTATTCTACTTACATATCGAGCCTGCCGTATTCATTAACAGTCTTTGCGATCAAAGAGACCCAGTCCTCTGCCTTGCTGACATCTGTCTGAACAAAAATGGCCTTGCCACCTTTCTGTGTAATAAGTTCATGTGTGGGCACATCTTCCCCTTGTCCACTTGGACGCAAATCCGAGCAGACAATAAAAGCACCCTCTTCGTGGAACTGGGTGCATATCTCTCGGCCAATGCCCTGAGAAGAGCCTGTGACAATGGTGACTTTGTTGAGCAATCTTGGACCAGGCATTTTGACTGAAATCAAGTTGATAATTGTTTGACTTTGAAAGACCTGGTGGAAGACGGCTATAAACCCCCTTCAGTGCCCAACGCCTTTGCGAAAGTCTTGCTCGCAAAAAGATGCCACGGCTAAGGGACTGATTAGATTCCGTGACGTGTTGCAGTTCATTGCCAAATGCTGTAAAGCTTTGTTGTGCTCGACACAGCTCGCCAGGGTCTGCCCCACGCGAATCCTTGCTGAAGTGGAGTGCACGACTCGTGTCAAAGGACCCCAGCAGTCGCCGCGACATCGCCCGAGGCCGAGACGGGCGCCAGTCCAACATGGGGAAATAATACTGACAGAACTGTCAAAAGTCAGGGGAGCAAACTTGATATGTAGAGAACTCCAGAGCAATAGCGTTGTATGACCCACTCGACAGAGAAAAATATCAACATCCTTGGAATTTGTGGAGCGAGCTGTGTTGGAACAGGCCTCTGCAGGTACACGCCCACCTGCGCAGTGCGTGATATACGTTTGATAGGCGTTTGGTCAAGGTTGAAGTGGTAGGCACAAGAAGTATACATAGCAGCCTTTGCTGTGTTCTTGAAACCATGCATTTCGTCAAGAAAGCAACATGTCGGGACCAATTCAAGGAAAACTAGCCATAATCACTGGAGCCTCTCGAGGTGAGTCCGTAGAGGAATTTCCTGGCTTTGTCTCTCAGACATGAAGATGTGTTAACATATCGAACGTAGGCCTTGGTGCTGCTCTTGCACAGCATCTGGCTGCCAAAGGCGCACATGTAGTCATCAACTATGCTTCTGATGATTCCACTGATGCGGCCAAAGCCGTTGCCTCAGAGATCGAGGCAAAGCACAATGTCAGAGCTGTCCTTGCGCAATGCGATATCACTACCCAGGAAGGCCCTCAAAAACTGATCGAGATCGCGAAATCACATTTCACATCGAATGGACAGTTCCAAATTGCCATACTCATCAACAATGCCGGTGTTGTTAATCCAGCACCGATGGGATCTGTCACCTTCGATGAATTTGACAAAACCTTTGCACTGAACGCAAGGGCACCGCTGTTTGTCACCCAAGCCGCCATTCCATACTTGCCCAAAGATCGTTCCGGGCGTATCGTCAATGTGTCGAGCATAACAACGAGCATGGGGTTCTGGTGGCAGAGCTGCTATGCAGGTACCAAAGGTGCACTTGAGGCCATGGTATGTCCATGCGACCAAATTTCTACATAAAGACTTGCTAATGCCATGTAGACGCGCGTTTGGGCTCGCGAGCTTGCTGAACATGCGACCGTCAATTCAATCAACCCCGGTGCCATGTTGACTGGCATGTACTCAGGTCTTCCACAGGAGATGCTTGAGAAGGTCTGGTCTCTAAACTATATGGCGCCTTTGGCTAGAACACGTGAGGGCATTGATAAACCCGAAATAATCGATGCTGCTAAGGGTCTGGGTGGACGACCGGCATACTTAGAGGAGGTTGCTGGTATAGTGGGATTGCTGTGCGCCCCAGAGGCTGGATGGATCACTGGACAAGTCATTGGAGCAAACGGTGGCGGCGTGATGACGAAGGGTTAGATAACGATGGATCAAAGACAGGACTTTACTCTCTCAAATAAAAAAAAGATTAAGATAGTAGCCGACTACTCATTCATAGCCGACGGTTATATTCTGCATTTCGCTTTTAACAGTTCACCAACATATTCGAATACGGAACATTCCTTTCGATTAAACAAACTATGCAAGCTTCCGAAAATGCGGACTATCTTCCGAGCTTCCAGTTGAGGACTTCTAAGCAAGAGTCTGTCCGAGGGTTCTTGTTCGGGATATCCGATGCGGAATCGGAAGCGTACCCGGGTGTGTGAACCCATGCAGGCTGTAAGATAGACAGCTGTACAGAGTGATAATACATGTGCACTATGATGTAGCCGCCGTATGATACCGGAAAAATTCTAATACTATGATTGTGCCCTCATTACTTTCAGTGTTGTGGTGTAGTAAGATAGGTGAAGCTATTCGGAGATCACGTGTAGAGAAAAAAGCACTCGGCAAGGCATAGATAGATCGAGGCGTGATCCAAGTACCTACGAAGATCTATCGACAGTGGCAAATATCTATCTATCGTATCTATTCATCAACTGCGGTTCGTGCCTGAGATGCTCCCTACTATAGAGGCTTCTAAATGCGAGAGTATGTATTCAACAGCGCCAATCATTGGCGCCCATTGTAGCCCCTAAACATATGAATGCCGATAGCTGACATAGTGATGTTATGAGATTTATGTTATGTATTTATAATTATAAGCTAAAGACAGATCCAATGATCGGGTTTATCCTCTGCTACTAGCCGTGATGAAGATCTTGGGTTTCCTTGGTCATGCTTCTACTGCGTGCCTCCAATCAAATTCGCCCTCAATGCAACATTCAAAACATTCCCCAATCCCAATGCTGGAACAATTCTCAGCATTCTCAGAGCAACGGCAGCAGGCATGTCTCGTCTTAGAACGGCGAACCGTCGCCTCAAGCCCACTCGTGAACGTCGATTATGCATTTCCAGTCCCATCAAATGGAAGGGCGTACTGATAAATTGGACACCAGCGGGTGACAATAACTGCATGGTTCTCAAACTCGCAGTTTCGCTCCCAAACAGATATTGAAATGGGGCTCCAGCGCCTATGCTGAGTCTCGTTGCGTATGGCGCAGCAACTGAAGGGAAGATAAAACATGCAAAGACGGTGACAGCATCTCGTGTCACAAACAAAGCGTAGCTTATAGCAGGAACAGGATCGCTGCGCACGGAAGAGCCATACAGCCTTGCGAAATAACCATCTTTGTACACGCAGATTGCTGTACTAACGATCGTGGTGGCAATGAATTTGAGAGGTGTTCCTGTAACTGATGTTGGCGGAAGTGAATGCGTCTTCGCATAAACAGTATCGATGCAATTCGCAGTTGAATAAGTTCCTAAGTAGACAAGCCAGAGGAGAAAAAATGCATGCGATTTCAGGAGGCGCAACGGCGAGGCCGCCGATTCTTTAATGAATGTTTGAAAACTCGACAATAATGAACCACCCGTAGAAGCCTTTGTCACCACAGTTCTGAATCGGATCAGTAAATCGTTCAGCGAATAACCGGATTTTCGTTGTTAATAAAGAAGCTCTAGGGAGCCATTCTGGCCGACGTACCCATCGATGTAGTAGACCAAAGGAGAAACCACCAGGGAGGCAATAGCTGCCGAGAGAACATCAGCTAAAAACAACCAAAACATGCCACAAATCAATGCCCAGTCGATCTGGCAGCTTTGGGTTTTAAAATGAAGTTTAAGATACGCAGAATACCGGGAGGTCGAGATGTTTGTTGTTGGGTGACGGTGCATAGATAAGCCGGGTCCACTGTGATCCACGAATCGCGTGACGCCCGATAGGAGTTCGTGTCACTACCCCCATTCCACCGTGTTTCTGAGACTCGCGATGTACTGATCGGAAAATAACTTCATCAACGGTAAATTGAACTGAAGCTAGAATAATTACATGATTGGAATGGGTCAAGCGATTGGTACACTGTTGCTGCTATGTGAAAGTAGAATAGTGTTCATTCGGTTCATCAGCACACTGAGAAACAGCACAGGATGCATCAAAATCGGCTTTATGTATGTTATTCATTACAGATATCGTAAGTATCGTAGTTTCGCGGTTTCCAATTGAGAAGAATGCGATTGATCATCAGAAACCGCTTCCGTAGTGGCTGGTGTACTACATAAAGCGTTTGTCTTCCTTATCTCGCTCCACTGTTCTGTGCTTAGAAGTAAGACTCAAGACCACGAAAGCAAAATTGATGTCAGGTGAGAGACAACTTCCAACCAAACCGGTGAATTATGTCTTGCCAATCTCGCTGCTTCAAAGAGGACGAATTCGGGGATAGATCGCGCGACTGCCAGACGGTACGAACAGCAGCCCACACAGTCGAGATATTGCTAATAGGCCATTGCTTATCGACGGTGGTGTAGAACTCCAGAACCGCTTTTCGCTGCTCATCAGATGAGCAAGCGCATCCTGCAATGAAGAGTGGCCACATTGGAAAAGACCTTCTTATCTGATCCTCAATTATGATCTCAGATAGAACGTCAATCAGACTTTTATGGAGAGTCAAGATTGACTGATGAGTAGTTGGCATTGCGAAACAGACAAGTCGAAGGTAGATCTGAATGGCTGCGCGGAACGCTTCTGCGCTTTGTAGTAGGTAATCGTCTTGTGCTTGCCTTATTGCGAACTTCATATCGGTCACTTCCTTGTCGATGAGATTTGCTTGTATAAACAAGTCTTCACGGAAAGTGTCGGAATCGGAAACAGCCGACGAAATCCGGGCTATTTGTTCTATAGACTCGACAAGCTCCGTTGGACAGCCGAGGGACTCGTCAACAATCTTTGCGGTTTCCTTTGATGATTCCGATGACGATGTGGACCAGAAGGAGTCATCGAATTGCTCACTGCATATTTCAAAAGCAGCTGGTTCTGCGTTAGATACTCTTCTCTGCAACAACCCGTTTGCCGATGGTCTCGTAGTTTCCATGAGGATGTAGCGGAATCGAAAGTACGTAAGGACGAACTGCGCTGTACTTGGATCAACTTGGTGTTTGAACTGATCCAGAATAGCAAAGGCTCCTTGCAGATGGGTTAACCAAGTAGGGCGCGACCCGTCTGCAATTTCTAGTGTCGCTAACAGAACACATGTGAGTAGATTCTCATCCGCATTCGCTCCTGAATTCAAAGCGCGTTGCAGTTCTTGAATGGCTTTTACTTTGCAGCTTGAGGACAGCAGACCGTAGTCATTTCCCACCGTTCCAACATTCCTGTCCCATTCCGCAGCACTTAAGGCTAGTACTGCAGATAACAATGGACCTTTGGTGGTGAGAACGACCGGCATGACAGAGGACTGAAAGTTATTCCTTTCGTTATGAACATACACCCTACTGCTTGCTATGATCTCGGCGTCTATATGCGACAGGATCAGCGTATGTATAAGCAACATTATTCATAATACTGACAGTACTGAATTAGCGCGCTTTCATCGAATGTCATTTGTCGTACGCCGACAGGTGGTAATGCTCGATATAATTTTGTGCCCTGAGCAAGGGTTTCGGTGGTAGTTACTAAATGTCCTACATCCGTCGGAGAGCTCTGGTATTCGGGGCAGATGCTGGCCAATTCATCGGATCGAAGGTTCAGAAAGCCATACTTGCCGTTTCTGGACCTGGTTGGTAGAAGCTGTTGGTTTGGGGACGAGGCGATGATAAAATTATGCACCGAGGTGGAAAGTTGAGAACCCGGATAGATACATTCTGTTCCCACTTTCGAACACGACGCACATATTGGCTTGTTTTCAGGGCAACGGCGTCTGCGTTTTCTGCAAGCAAAACAACCACTGCGGCTTCTTGAACCATTGCCGGCCATCTTGAGCCGGATGCACCGTAAATCCGGGGTTGGATAAGTCCATGAGGACTTTGGGGTAAAGAGTGGGGGAGGATGGGAGGGGAGCCCCAGAGTGGATTGCCCCAGGTGATTACTTCGTGCCCAGTCCGCGCCACAACAAAATGAGAAAGACGTCAGTAGTCAACGCCTGCTTGTGCACTCTCTTAACCAGGGAAAGTCTTCACAGAGAGTAACTGGTGTATTCGATTGTAGAGGAGAATCCCACAAGCCGTTCCGAAGTGGGCATTATGTAGGCACTAGCGGTTCACGCTCCTAGTGTGATGCTGTAGCTACTGATCATAGACAATGACCTAGGACTTGGTCGCAACGCTTTAGACTACAATACTTTTAAACGATTTAATGAATATCCATATCATTAGGAACATTCAATTCTGATAACAAAAATCAATTATTCATACTCTTAACGGCCTCGAACAACCATGAAAGACACTTGAGCTGTGTTAGAGCCCTTCGGCCAATCGGCTCCAAAGCCGATGTGGTGAGAAGGATAGATAAGTTCATGAAGATATACAAACGAAGCACTCCCAGATATTATTTGATCTTCTATGTAGACCTGGACAAATCTAACAAGTGTAACTCGTCCTTATGTCAGTGAGCAATCACCCATGCCATGATTATGCTGTTAGCAAATGCACGCGCACATAATATATGGCTACCATGGTGCTAAGGTGCTAATGCTTCACTTTAAGCAACATCGCTCAAAAAGCTTCGCCAATCATCGATTATGGTGAATCTTCAAACCCCGATACAGACCTCAGATGCAAAAATGACACGGGAATGATGAGGTTCTATGTCCCAGCGGCCATGGTCTAGGTTCACGAGAACACGGTCAAATAAAGCCGTATGTTACAATGTCTTCTTGGGTTTTGGTCGAAACCCAAAGAACCAAATGTAAGTTCAAGAATATATATTCTTCAATAAAGTTCATCACTATCGTAATTATGATAATCAGAGGCGTCTTGTCATTTTGTTCGGGTTTCCGTCGGCATTGGATCGATTTTGCGGGGTGACTCAACGTCTTCACGTAGATTAGTCATCATCAAAGTTGGACTCTTTGCTATCAAGAGTCATAGACTCTTCTCTTCTTGAATTGATGGTATCGAACTCAAATAAGAGCCTTTGTCGTCAATTCGAAGCAATAGAAGTCCCACGGTCATTCTTTCAAACATAGATTGGAAGGGCTGCTCAATTGCCACAATTATCTCGTTCCGCTAGAGATTCAGATAGTCAATGATCTGAGGAACCGTCATCATTTCATTGATCCGAAACTTCAAGTACGACTTCCGATACTTACTTGATTGCACTTCTTTGCATCTGATTACGAATTCGGGGGTTTCTCTCGGCCAATTTGCCAATTTCAAATCCTGTATCTGCGACCGACCATAGCGGCTCGATAATTCTAGCGGAGTGAATGCCATCAAGAAAACCATCCGAATCTATCATATACAATGGGATCCGAAAAGAACAGGCTTTTCCATCAGTCCTGGAGGAAGGACTCATACTTCATCTCGACAGATCCCGCCCTCATTCCGATCAAGAAGCTGAACGAAGCCTTTGCATCTGAACAAGTATACTGGACAGAGGCATTACCAGAAGATATATTGCGCGAGACGATCGAGAACTCGCTCAGTTTCGGCCTGTACAGACTTGACGAATCAAAGAGCGAGGCTGCGAGAAACATTTCACCGGGATCGCCCGATCTTGAGTTGGTCGGCTTCGCGCGCTGCATTACGGATTATACGACGTTCATTTACCTCACTGACGTGTACGTCGACGCGTCATGTCAGGGGAAAGGCCTTGGAGCGTGGATGATTGGATGCGTGCAGGAGGTTATTGACTCTATGCCCTATCTCCGGCGCAGCTTGTTGTTCACGGGGGATTGGAAGCGTTCAGTGCCTTTCTATGAGAAGCTTATGGGGATGAGTGTGATGGAATGTAAGAGAGGGGAGGATGGCAAGAGCGGAGTGGGTGTTGCAATCATGCAGAAGAAGGGCCCACAATTCCCAAGTTCACTGAACTGATGGCAGGCATTGCAGTGTGCGACGCGCAAAAGATCGGTCGGAAAGCGGAAAACCGAGCAGGTTGGGATTATGAAGATAACGAAAACGGAGATATGTCTTGATGTTTTGTCAATAGATACTGGCCAAATAGAGGAAGAGGACTTCCAAGATAATAGAAGAGTATTGTAGACATGCAAATCTGGGCCTCATAGTTATTTGATCCTCCCTACTGCCACACCATTGAAGGAAGAAATCGAGACACTCACACCCTATATGCGAAGGTTGAGTGAAAGGGTCGCGCAAGGCGATCGACAAAATGTTTCTATCACCAATATCGACTGCGAGTTAGCTGTACCATCGAATACATCTAAAGGATTAGAGAGGCGAGGGACCATCTTGTTGAAGAGAGCGCGTGCTCAGAGAGCTGACATCCGGTCCTGACATCCAAACGATACATTTAAACAAATCAGCTTTCGTCTATATGTAAGAAACAATTGCCGCCATTGCAATCCGATATCGCCACATGATCTAAACCAATATTCATGCTAATCTCCGACCCTAGTGTCCATGATACTGCTAAACGAGTCACTGTCAGTTGTGAGGCGTGACAGCGATGCATAGTGCGTCGTCGTCAGCATCAGCGTTGCTGCGTACTGCGAGGGATAAAGTTTGTCGGGCGGATCCAACTCGAAGACTGTTCAAGCCAGGACGCCTGGGGTTAATCAATTGCCGTTTTTGTGTTTTCCAACGTGACAATGCCAAAATAACAGGTGCGGCGAGGTTTGGTATCAATGATACAATTTAAGCTATACTATCCTCACCTCTCACAATTCCATAGTTGCTGTCAATGATGCGTGAAGGAACCTGATCCAACTACCTTTTGTTCTATGCAAAATAGGCATACATATGGATAAGGATCCATACTATGAGTATGGAAAGTTGTAAGTACTAACAAGCTGTGTTTCATTCAGTGACACGCCTTGCTGGGCAGGCGCTTAGGACGGCAAGCGCCATGCATTTGTTCTTCAGTATAGGATCTGGAAGGCATGGCGCCCAGGTTCCAATATTATAGGATGGTTCTTGGGTATTGAGCAGAAAAAGAAAATCAGAAGATGGGGTCATACGAGGTTCTGGTGCAGTTCTAATGTGACTTGCAGGGGTGAATATGCATTCGGAAATGTCAAGTGGATCGCTCATGGGGGGCGACATGGGTAGATCTGGAATCTGATGGACCTGCAGCAAACAGAAATACTGTACATACCCGGTTCAATGATGGAGGGTATTCATACCAAGCCGTGGGTGGTTGCCAACAGGTTGCTTGCGCAAACTAAAAGTTTGAAGTGTTCATTGTAAACACCAATTGGTTGCACCTCATGTGCCAATTATTCCTTGTGTGAGACAAGGAATCTAAAATTACCAAATTTGGACTTATTTCTGGCATCGACGACGGTATTTCCAGGACTGACGCGGCGAAAGAACACTTGACTCAGTGGTTCATGTCCAAGTCTGATGAGTTCAGCTTCAAGTCGTCTGGATCGTGAATCATCAACAGACCACCCTTCTGAAATCGTTCAAATTATACTGTTCCTAACGTCATCGATACAAAGAGGCATAGATAGAAGGCCTGTTCTCTCCATAGGGTTTCTCAACAACAGACTAAGTACCATGCTGCTGGTACATATCAGTATCCAATTTAGCTCCACCCTTGAACTGACGCGCGTTAGATCATCCGAATGCCGGCACTCACAAATTCTCTGAAGTATTGATACCGGGCTCATTGTTGGAAATCTACTGGATGATCGGTGCAAGGTCACATTGCCACCGACTACGATCCTCCGGTATCAGTTGGAGGAGACATTATGGATCAAAATGCTGCAGCCTGCGGAATGCATAAGGCAGAACCGCTTAGATGGAACGGCTACCCTGCATTTCCAGTTCCCAGGTTAGCTGTGGGAAGGTAGTTGACCCAACTGGAGCCATGCTCGCAAGGCCAGGCAGTTCGATGTAGTACGGAGTACATTTGCAGTAAATCGACACCTCGGCTTTTGATTGATCGGCACAATGTCAAGCTATGACCGGAGATAGATGGGTGGCGAGACTCCCACTAATGCGAGTGGTCTTCTTCTGTGGAGGTTTCAGGGACCACCTCACTTAGCTTCTGGTTCAAAGCGTGGGATCCCGATGCCCCCTTTACTTGTATGATTACTAGAACCAGTGTGGCCAATGCGTGGGTCCGGTTTCTAGCATATGTGGAATGGCTCTATGGATTCTACGAAGAGCTCTAGATGACTACATGGCCCCATCTCCTGTTTATTATGCTTGATCAATGTAATGATCAGATACACGCGTGGACAATGGTGTCTACCGGCTTGATTGTAGTTGCTAGTTAGTCATTTGTTTGGGGATGAGAACACCAACGGCGTGTATGTGGAATGACGAATGGCAAACGCCGAAAGGCCTTCAGAGTGCCTGTGTAGAGGTACTCGCACAATCCTTGTCTATACCCAGGGTGGGCAACTCCCGAATGACCCCGCCCGCTGATCACTAACAGATAATCTACTTGGAGGAACTAGGGTGAGCGAATTTCTATTGCATTGCACACAGCTGGCAGAAATTTTAACACAAGCTTCTGCAACACAGCTTCTGTGCTCACGGATTTGATGAACAGTTCGCTCAATTCAGGCGGACACTGCCAGTGAAGTCATGAACATTGACGGCTAGATGAGGCCACAGCAGGTCAGACCGGTGTCGGTTGGCAAGCTGCATGCTGGGATGCCTTGTCATCGGCGGTCGAGAACGTCACTTGGACGCGGGAAGATGGAGCGTGGAAATTCAAGGTTTGAAGGGGAGTGACTGTTGAGGTAAAGATTAGATCAAAAAATTTGATCAGATAATGGATTAGATCAATCGGTGGGAGCTGATTTGACGCCATGACGAGGGTTGGGTGGGAAGTGTGGGTATCATGGATGCGGCGCGGCTGGGGGCGAGTGGATCGATACCTAACATAGTCGTAGCTCCAGTCTGCTCGTAGTCTACGGCGCGGCGCCAGACGAACTCAGACCAAGCAATGAAGCTAAACGCAGGGAGACAATTTCCAACGCACACGGATCGAGGGCGGGCGGTTTTCCGGCTCTCTCAAGTGCTTGTTTGTACTCGCATGTATGGTCTTTACATTTGCGTTACTAAACGGCTCAGGTCAGGGTCTCCCGCCGCGACTGAGTCGGTGATGTGATGTGATGCGCTGCGATATGAAGCCACGAAAAGTGCCACGACTACTCCGTACTCTGCCAACCAATACCCTAACTCATTCAGTGCGGAGTTAGTATTTGCCATCATTAATGATCATAGCATGCCCGTCTGATGTATGGCTTCTCATGGCCTGTCCACCTCCGGCCCGTGCCCCACTGGTGCAGCATTTTCGCCGGCTATCCCTCTTTTTACAGCATAGTATCCACTCACCCACTGTAGTGAATTACTGCTCATTATTGCACTATCACTTACCCTAGAATTTTGTTCGCAGCCAGGCATGGGTGGTAGGCAAGGCAGGTTCTACGATGTTTCCCGATGTTGCAAACGCCCCGTGGCGTGTCAGGCCAAAGCGATGAGGCACCGAAAGACCTGCATCTCTACCCTTGCATTCCACACCTCCTAGTCCTCACCTACCTGGTCCCATAGCAAATGGACCGGTCCCGCTTTCGCCTCCGAACCATTGAGTACGAAGTAGCACCAAGTGTGGTGGTGGGTGGTGCCGTGGTAGTTTTTTTCCTTCTCCATCGAGCAGCTATATGAACCCTTGCCAACGCCTGCATTTTTTAATCTTATCAATCTACTCCTCACTGATCTTTGCCCTTGTCGTTCAGTTGTACAGCTTTGTCTGGTGCTAACGGCATAAACAATGGGTTTCTCTATCACGAACCTGACCTCGGGCTTGTCCCGCGGCGAGAAAGGTCCTACCACAACCGACAACGAGAGGATTGGTCCCAACGATGAGGAAACCAACTCCAGGGACTATGAGAAGCGGGCGGCCGATGAGGCTCGTGGACCTAACTCTTCGGAGGAGGAGTTGAACAAGATCGATACTACGGAGGAGCGCGGTACGCAAGCTATGCAAGCCATGGTCCACGTTTGGACGAAGAAGCAATTGATCCTTTGCTACATCTTGTGAGTAGTTCCGACACTGTTCTCTCGCAGTACGAGGCTTTTGGACTAATCAGATCAGTGTTTGGCTCATCAATTTCGTGTTCGCTTTCGGTGGTGGTATCTTTGGCACCTTGACGCCCTACATCACCAGTTCCTTCGGACAACACTCTCTGACTGCTTTGACCGATGTTATCGCCGGTTTGATCGCTGGTATCTTCAAGCTACCGTTCGCCAAGATCATGACTATCTGGGGCCGACCTTTTGCTATGGTCCTCGCCGTCACGCTCGCTACCCTTGGTGTAATCATGATGGCCGGAACCAACAACGTCAAGACCTACTGCGCTGCCAAGGTCTTCTGGTACGTCGGTTATAATTGTGTTGACTTCACCGTTGTCGTCTTCACTGCCGATACCTCGAAGCTCAAGAATCGAGCCTTGATCATTGGTTACTTGTCCTCCCCCTACTTGATCACAACCTACACTCAAGGATATGCTGTTACCGACATCCTCGATGGAATCGGTACCCGCTGGGGCTTTGGAATCTTCGCCATCTTTATCCCTCTTACCTGCATCCCCTTCATCACCATGTTGTACTACAACGAGATCAAGGCTCGCAAGCAAGGTCTCATTCAACCCGTTCCTAGCCGTGGAAACGTGTCCCAGACTATCGTCTACTATCTCAAGGAATTCGACGTTGTCGGTCTGCTTATCCTTGCCACCGGTCTCGCGATTTTCCTATTGGCATTCAACATCTACTCCCTGCAGGCTAAACAGTGGGAGTCTCCAATGATCATCTGCTTCATCGTTTTCGGAGTCCTCCTCATTGCCACCTTCGTAGTTTGGGAGAAGTGGTTTGCTCCGGTCAACTTCATTCCCTGGCCTCTCCTCAAGAACCGAACCGTCATCTTCACCTACAGCATGGCTTTCTTCACTTACTTGGCATTCTACGTGTGGGACAGTTATTTCTACTCCCTTCTGATTGTCCTGTTCAACCAGTCAATCGTGCACGCAACTTACATCAACAGCATTTGGAGCATGGGCAGCTGCTTCACCTGCCTCGTCTACGGTGTCTTTGTTCGTTACGTCTATGGTCGCCTCAAGGTCATCTCCGCCGTCTGGGCTGCACCACTCACCCTGCTTGGTTGCGGTCTTATGATTCACTTCCGTGAGCCCAACCAGGGTGTCGGCTACGTCGTCATGTGCTACATTCTCTTCTCCTTCGGTGCCGCCGTCAACGTTACCAACCAACAGGCCACTCTCATGGCCGTCTCCAAGCAGGGAGACTTCCCAGCTCTCCTTGCCGGCGAATCCATGGTTATCGCCATCGGAGGTGCCATTGGCTCCACCATTGCCGGTGCCATGTGGACTGGTATCTTCCCCAAGAAGCTTCTGGCCAACCTTCCCGCCAGTGCTCTAGATAACTTCGCAAACATCTACGGAGATATTGATGTGCAATCTGGCTACCCCTGGGGAAGCCCCGAGCGCGAGGCTATCAACTTGAGCTACTCTCAAACCCAAAAGCTCATGCTTTCCGGCGCTATGGCCGCTTACGCCTGCGCCTGGTTCAGCATCTTCTTCTGGCAGGACATTGACATCAGGAAGATGAAGCAGAGGACTCTTGGTCTCTTGTAAGAGACCTCACTTTTCCGACATTCATCATGAAGGAACATAATAGGTGGTATGCCGTCGCAGTCTGGGGCTGTGGCCGGCTTGATTACATTCGTTTTGGCTGTATTTTGAATACCTCATATCAACTTTTACTGTAATGGCATGGGGATGTAGATCCATGATGAGTACGATGATAGCACGTTGTACTGAAGCATAATGAATCGAAAATGTTCGTTCGTTCAAACAACCCAACTCCTCTTGACCAATGACCCACCCGCATATGTGATCTATGCAATAACACTCACATGAACATGACCCGATGCCGAAGCCCTATACAATCATGCTGCCGAGTCCTTGGCCAGTTGTATGCGCAGTGAAAACTCTGATCACCGGAGCCAGGGGTCCCTGAAGTCCAACTCCCAGAGAGTCACCCGGGTGCACGGTACTGTGTGTGCGGAGTCTATTCACCCATTTCGGTTCCTTGCCGAATATCTACACGCGGTCTAGACGCTCGAATATGCAAGTGATCCTGTATAGGTCACATGCGCTGTCATCCACCATTGATATTTTCCCCGGGTCTGTGGCCAAGAAAGTTTTTTTTATTGTACGGCGCATTTTATGAGTGTGTGTGAAGCTTCTCCAGTTGTGAAGGTGTGTCTTCGCTTGGGACAACCTATCATTGTTTTTACACATACCGGATATGGGTACATGCCAGGCGTTGGCATCTTATTGATTCTGGGCTCTATTTCTTGATGAGAGTTGTAAGTCAACAAGTTCCATCTGATAACCCTGATTCCTGCACCTCCATCTGATAAAACTCCAACCTCAACCAGGGTTCCATCATCGCGAATGACCATTTTTAGTAACAGCACCACATGGCTCTGAGGATCTGATTAGATCCGCGCATGTGCACGCACAAGGCGACTGCATGTTCAAACATTCCTTTGGTACCGAATATCAAAGCAGACAAAACTATCAAGCTCCGTTCACGGACCCATGGAAAGCTCTGTTGGCCGTATGGGCACAATGAATTTCCCACGCTCGGCGCTATTTTTCCACAATAATTCAGCCTTTCCGAACCCGAAATCATGAGGATTTCTTGCCGTTTCTTCGTGCAATGATCTTTGATCTTATATTATGTGACAACAGCAATTTTCTTGTCTTTATCTATTTTTTTTTGTGTAGGGCAAGATACTCGTCCTTCTACTGTCGCAGACACAACGCGATCTACGGCGAGACTCGTCGCAGAGATCGTATCCAACGGCTTCTACTACGATCAGTCATGAAATAAGGAAGAGGGGGGGGGAGGGGAGGTCGACCAAACCTCCAAGAGAAAAGCCACGGTGCTAATGGGCCGTAGCTTGACGCCTTGATTATTAGCACGCGGCACGACGCGCAGACGCTAGCGGCCTCAGCAGTCAATCATCTCAGGAGAAACAAGAAAAATCTTATCTGATCGTACGAAGCTAATAGAACGCCATTGCTGGTCCTTTGCGGATGACTTCCTTATTGAGAGAGGAGAGTTGGTCCTTGTCATTTAGGCCAACCAACCTCGTCCCTGGTCACACCACACCCTCCGAAATCGCAGATTTTTCTTCCCTCGACAGCTCAGGGCAAGGATTCGTTGTCGGGTCAGGCGGCTGGAGCAAGGACGGAGCTCTTAACCATATGGCAACTTCCGGGGGGGACGAGGAACGGGGGATACGAAGGCTTGACCACGGGCGGGATCCAGTCCTAGGGTGGCTTTTCCGGCGCACCTTTGGTGGTGGGGAGCCTTTCTTTCCCACCATCTGATAAGACAATACCCCCAGTACGAAATGTTAAAGTAAGACAAACACCAGTTACATCCCACGAAGTGACCAACAGTTCGAATGGCTAAGCGCGGCACGCCCTCTTCATGCCAACTCATGGCCATCTTTACCACAAGCACGACAGGCTCTTCAGCCTAGACACTTCAGTGGCGCCCTCGCTTCATCGTGAGAAACGAATCAAAGAGATTCGGCATGATGCTCACCAACAGCTGACTACATATGGACCATGGCGAATGCAGATCCGCGCGACGTTGCCACGATGCAACGCGCTTCGCAGCTGGCGCTGTTGTATGTACGCCATGTGCAGGCCGCGTTCAGCCTTCGGAACATTTGAAGTATTGGGCAGGCGACAGTCACAAAGCGGGCCGATTTCTCGCTAACGAAGCTCATAGGGACTGGGAGGCATGCGGGGTCTTTCGTGACTGACAACATGCTCACCACTGTGAAGAGATGGCAATCCATTAGCCTATGCATTCTACTTTTGACACCTTGTGGACTTTTCTCTGAAGGAAGGGTGGCTGCCTATAACCCTGATGGCTTGCACTTGGATCCAATAGAAGAGAAGGGGTTCTTTGTATTTATTGTGAGGCTCTGATATTGACTGGCAAGAGAAAGTGACGGGAGGGTATTCATTACCATCATGTTTGACAACTGCAATTTTGCATGTGACCTGGATAAATCATGCTCATTTCACAACAACATGCTCGTAGACAAAGCAATTATCCCGCCATGTATGACCCTGGAATGCAATTTGATTACACCTCAAGCTCCGAATTATTGGCGTAGACCGTGTAGCAGACTCGGAAATGCGAGGTACGTATCATGGCTACCAAACCTCCAGCTAATGCACTTCTTCCAACTAGCCCTCCCATGAAGGCGCAAAGGCGCTCCGGTCTGACTGCGGTCCTTTTCGAGTGACGCCCACGCAAGCCTCCGTACGTCATCTAGCAAATACCTTAAATCGACGGACTTGATGATCAGCGACATCGCGGCGGGACTAAAAGTCTTCGTAGGAGAGATCGGTCAGAGTACGCTACTCTTTGTAGATTATCGAAGCGAAAATTGGTCGCTGCTTTATAGGATCGATCGGTCGGATTAGGGACGATGCTTGAGGATTCAGATGATGCAAAGTTGCATCTACCGATGCTGTTCATTGGGGTGGGTGGGGAGCTCCATTCTTCGGACATTCAGTCTTTATAGCGGTGTAGAAGATCTCATAGGAAAGTCGTCGCAGATGAGCTCACTCTTCAAGATTATATTCTAATTGTTGAGCTTTCATGGCAAAGCCAGGGACATAGACGCAAAAACACCAATACACCTCTTGGATATCTTTGGCCCGCGTATTGTGAATTGTATGAGATAGCGTACAGTTGGAGAATATCAATGCCAGGTCCGAACCATTCATGCAATGTAAATAGCCTCGGGATCACCTAAACCGTATCGGATACTTTCCCACGGACTTCTCTCCTTGTAGCATTCCCCAACCAGATTGAAGCACCAGTTTCCACCATGATCATCGGCCACTGTTCCATGATCGCGCAGTACAAATGGAGTTACGGCCCCAGCGCATATGTAAACATCATCCCCGATTTCCGCTTCCTGGGGAGCAATCCCAATATATCCTTTCTCCGTGATGAAGAAACGGCGGGAGTGACAGTGACGCAAGACTGCCTGTATGTACCGAAAATAGCTGGGAGGGAAATCATCCGCGGCCAGATGGAATGGAATTTCGTGAAAAGGCAGTTCCGGAACTCCGTCGTCGTCTTTCACCCCTTTGTTCGAAGCCAACTCCCGTAACTCTTCTTCCCATCTGGATATGTCTTCAAACCTTGTCGACTTGCCGGGCTTTCGGGGGAACAGGAACATCCGTAGTGCATTTGGGTATACCCCTCTTTCAATGGCTCCTAAGACCCAATGGAATGTGTAGTCTAAATGGTCCTGATCACCTCGATAGGCTGGGGCGGGCTCTGCTCGATCAATGGCTTTGACTGTCTCGTCGTCCAACATGTTCCTCCATTCGTGGTAGGGAAAAGGCGTTTTCGATGCGATATATGTCGAACCAATCTTTGCTATCTTGCCACAAGAAAATCCGTGTACGCGTAGCATCTGCGACGTTTTCTCTGGTTTAGATTGCAAAGTCTTGCTGACCAGCTCGGGCATGTATGGGACATTGAAGTCTCTTTTACGATCCCAAAAATGAGTGTAATAGCCCCGTTCCATCCCTTCTTTTCCGCAATTACCAATAAACTCTCTCCTAGGGGGAACACTCCAGTCGGGCACCCACGATGGTAGGTCGGGCAATTTTGAACCACCTTGGACTGCGTGAAGAATGTCCCATCCGCAGGTGGCTATCAGTGTCTTCGCACAGTCTGTGAAAACCTCTGTTGCGGTGTCTTGATACCTTGGCTGTAACTCGATTCGCTTATTAAACTTGCGGAGAAGCGGTAATAAGGCGTACACTTTGTCCCGTGGATCTGTGGCTGCGCAGTGCCTGGATTTGAGAAGAGCATTGAGCATCGCATGCTCTGGTTCATCCAGCTCGAGCGATCTCTTTGGCATGGAGAGTACGAATGGAAGTTCCGCTAGCCATTTTGCGTTCACGTTCCATCTTTGGAAGTTTTGTATCGCGGCCCAGTCAATGGTACGTTTCCCACAGTGAACGATTGCAGAATTCGGCAATGCAATCTCCTGGATAACCCATACTCTGGAAAACCAAGGACGATGGAAGAAGTCGACAAGTGACTTCACCAACTCATCTTCCTTCGGGTAACTAAGCGATGATGCATCTGGTGATGGATTGTCGCATTCAGTGATGAAGTCGAGTGCTAAGTCGCTGTTACTTGTACGTTCGCCCAGATAGACAACTACATTCGCTGCCTCGGAGTATATCCGAGACATGAGAGCGACCTGGGAATTTCTTTCTTCTACATCATTCTGATTGATGGAGATAGCGTCGACCCAGATAGTACGCGCCTGTTGTTTTAAACGCAGACGGGCTAATGCACGGTAGCAGTTCGAAGTAACGGCGAAGCTCACGGGAGCATCAGAAGCAAGACCTCTTATGTGAACGGATTTTGGATCTGATACATCGCCCCATGTGTATGAAAGTGTTTCATATGTCGGTTTTGAGTCGAGATCACTGGTAGATAGCTCTAGATGAATGTCGTCATCTTCAATACCAGGAAGCAACCGAATTAGACGAATATGGCGTTCGGTCTGTAAAAGGAGTTCGGTGTAGACACTTGAATCAGAAGATAGAGTACTCATGTTTGTCAATGGGAACTTTAGTTGAAAGTTCCATTCGATGCATTCTTAAGATGATATATGAGAAAGAGCATGCTCTACCGTGGTCAACGCAGGTGGCGATTTGCCTGTTTTGGAGATTGGCGGGGTTCCAGAAATAGGCAACCAACTCAACCAGCATTCACAGCCTGCCTGTGATCTACCCGATGATCAAGAACCATATTGAAGAAGAACAATTCCAACCATCGGCCATCTAGAACCAATTTCTTCTTCAGAATCTGTGAAGTCCAGAGACTCATTCTCGGTTGGTAGCGCGGGATCAGCAGGAGCAGTCTTCTCGGTGCTGTGACCGAAACTCTAGGGTCAAGCTGACTTATGATAGCGGTCTGACATTTGCCTTCAGCAGGGATGAGAATCGGAATTTCCTCATGTTTTGGAAAATTGGTTCCGTATCATTTTTCTAGGGATCTACTGTGTATAAAACCTCATCGCTAATTAGTACCTTACTTCATGGGACGATCGAACAGGACCTCGGGTATCAAACCCGTTCCTACGATCAATCTAACAACAGGTCAAAGATTGCACCTCCCTACAGTCAATCATTAGCAATTACTGGAAAATGATTGATTCCAGGCAAATTGAGGTGCACTTACAATGCCATGACGTAAGATCCAATGTTGGTCCTACCGTTACTGGTGAGAGTCGCCCCTGATGCCTAGTGCTGTGCCTTCGTTTCGCCCCCAGAAGGCCCCTGGGATGGCCCTTTTCGGCTAACACAGCCACAGCTGAGATGCATTGCCAACACTATACCCAAGCAAACGGAAATTCGACAAAACGTTGAAAACAATGAAACGGAAATTTAATATGAATCTGTATGTTGAAAGGCAGAAAGTGCTCAGCCACATCCGACGTGCATTGGAAAAGCGCCCTTTCAACGGAAAGGCGGCACTTGAAAGCCCTTGCATGTAATTCAGCCAATCATCGATATGGGTGCCTGGGAGCGCTGAGCCTAAGCGGCTTCCTGTAAGCAGCGAGACAGCTGAAACTCTATGCAATCTGCGGTACACGAAGTAATGAATCCAGCCGGAATGGGCTGTAGAGGGTCGAGATGGGAATAGAAGGATTTGCAATATGGGGGCCTACCGGACTTTTGTACAGTATGACTCTAAGTGCGACCATGGCTCTGGAAAAACTTGGGACATATAACAGAAGCTCTCCCACCGTTGATTTTGGGTGAAACAACAAGCAGAATAATTATCCATAATCACTAAACATCATGGCTCCTCACGCAGACGATTCCGTTGAGTCTCAAGTAGACACTCGACCCCAAACCCCCACGAAGCCTGAAGCAAACGGCAAGCAGAAGTCGAAAGGCACCGGTAAAGGAAAAGGCAAAGGAAAGAAGAAGGCAGAGCAACACACCAAAGAGCGAATCCAACGACTAGACCAAATCTACAGCAAGAAAAAGCGAGAGAATTATTTCGTCCCGACCCCAAAATCAAAAGCCAATCCTGAAACAGCGAACCATGCTTCTCACGTTGTCCTCAAGGTTCGCAGAATCATTTGCGACAAGGGATTTCCCACAGGAACGGAGATCGACATCAAGTCCGAGATCCTCACGCATGCGCTTTCAGAAATTTACGACGGCGTAGAGGGGACAAAGCTGAATGAATATCCTCCTGAAGTACGTATGAACCGTTTCTCACCAGCTTACGTTTTGACCCTCTGACTTACACCATATCAGATTAGCCCAGAATTGCTTTTCCACGCCGGACCTGGTCTTATCAAGCGTGTCGAAGCTGAACAGGCAAAGGAAACTCCCAACCAGACTGCTATCGAAGAAATAGGCATTGCTCTCCAATACATTGCCGAAGACTTCGAATCCACGACCAACAACATTCTATCGCTCTCCCAACATGACGAGATCACTTTCGATCTCCTCTGGACTCTCTTTCCTCCCAACACCCCCATTTACTCAAGGGACAACCTTCTCAAAGACGACCAGGTTTTCAAACTACAGCAAGGAACTTATGAGTGCAGAAATGGCTCCAAATTCTTCGCAATCAAAGCGCGATGCATCTCGCACGACGGCGAAAATCTTGGCTGGGTAGACCACGAACTTGAAATCGCCGACTTCGTTGGTGCTCGTAAGGTGCAGAATCTCCCATACTTCCCATTGAAATATCATTCCGATCCTAAGGCCCTCTCCTCCGAGCTCATCGAGCGTGGAAAGAAGTTTCTCGACATGACCAAGGCAACGTATATGGAATACAACGGCCCTGCGATTGCCGAGAACCAGGAAGTATATTTGAACAACCAGTACAAACGGTTGGTCCTCCACGTAAGCATCCCTTCCCCAAATTCGCCCTCATTCAAACAATTTGCTCACATTAATCGCGCAGGCCACAGGCAGAATCATGCTTGACCCAACGACCTGCCTCCAGCAAAACACCAGCACAGAACTTCTCTGGCCCAAAGTCGAGCGCGAACTTACTGTCGATCGTATCTCTGAAAGTGACTTTATCTTCTGCAATCACTGCGCGGGAGGCTTTAGCTTCCGCCAGAAGAAATGGTGTCTCTTCTCTATCAACCGCATGGCGCCTGTGGTGTGGAACACGAACGCATTCTCCAAACTCGTCATGGACAAGCAGAAGCGAGACCTCATCCACACGCTCGTGCGATCGCATAAGAACAGCGCAGAGACTTTCGATGATATTGTTAGCGGGAAGGGCAAAGGGCTTGTTGGTTTGCTGAGCGGAAACCCAGGTGTCGGCAAGACGTTGACTGCGGAGGTCATCGCAGAGGCGACAAAGCGCCCTCTCTACATGCTAAGTGCCGGTGAACTCGGAACGTATACCGGCGATGTAGAGAGGTCGTTAGACCAGGTGCTAGAGATCACTCGACAGTGGGGTTGCGTCCTCTTGATCGACGAAGCCGACGTCTTCCTCCAGGAGCGTGATGGACTCGATCTCGAGCGCAATGCGCTGGTCAGTATCTTCTTGAGGAGGCTTGAGTACTTCCAGGGTGTGCTTATCATGACGACGAACCGGAAGAGGACTATCGATGCGGCGTTCGATAGTCGGATACACTTTAAGTTGCACTACCCTGACCTGTCGGTCGCGTCGCGCGCGTCTATCTGGAAGAACTGCTTGGAGAATGCGCCTGCTGCTGCGAAGCAAGCGAAGCTCAATGAGCAGGAGATCACGCAATTAGCAGAGGTGCAACTCAATGGAAGACAGATCAAGAATGCGGTGGCATGTGCGGTGTCGATTGCCTTGGAGGAGAAGAAGGCGTTGACCGTGCAGGATATTCGTGTCATTCTTGATATGGTAGTTGATGCCGATACTGATGAGAAGATTGGTTCAGGAAAATAGGGACATTGAATGGGGAATCAGCAAAGCCTCCTGCACTTTGTTCAGATACTAAGAGAGCAGTCATTAAAGATACCAATACGTAAACGCTTTCAAATGAAAGCATAGATCAATTCATGCTTCTATACTATATCCTCCTTACAAAGCATATCTAAACTCCCTGTTCTTCAGATCCGTGAGGTCAAAGAACTCATGGTTCTCTTCGACTTTGTAGCTATCTCCTTGAGTTTCTCTTTCCTGATCCCTTTCCTTATTTCGCCTGACGAACAGCCATCGCATGATAAACAGATCCACAGTAATCAAGAAGTACAAAATGACAATCGAAATCTTTGCAGGGAGATATCGAGGCGCATCCCTGGCCTGGAAAGTTTGGGGCGAGATGATGTTTCCGACTGTGTAGGCGATCGTACCAATGACAGACACCGTGATCTTCTTTGTCGATCCGGCGACGTTGGAGGCTTGAAGCCCGAGAATAGTCGTCCAGCCGATGGGGATTCCACCAGAGAGGTAGTATCCGATGAGCGCGGGAGTCTTGTTCGTCGTAGCCATCAGAATCGCGCCGATGATGGCGGGAATATGACCTGCGATACAGGCATATAGTCGCTGCTCTTTCTTCATGGCGATGTAAGTCAATCCGACCAGAGCTACGATTTCGTATGCGCCGAGCGGTGTGACCAACAAGAGTGACTCCTTCGAAGTGTAGCCCATGCCCTTGACGAGAATGTTACCGAAGGAGGTCGCAATCGAGTTTGGGATATTGGCCGCAAAGATCCAGAAGGCATACAACCAAGTCATAGGATCGGTAACAGCCTCCCAAAACTGGTCCCACTTGAAGACTCTCGATCCGATACCTTGTTCGTTGGAACGAATGCGCTCAATGTGGAGAGCTTTCTCCTCTGCTGAAAGGAAACCAGCGAACTCGGGCGAGTCGGGCATGATGAACCAAAAGCTGATTCCAACGACAGCAGTCAATAGCCCAAGGAACAGGAAGATGACTTGCCAACCTTTGAGAGCGGCATTTACGTCTCCGCCGACGTGATTGGCAACGCCATAGGCGAAGTAACCACCAAACATTTGAGCGGCACCGCATACAGAGAACCAGATTCCAACGCGGAAGGCCTGCTCGTTTTTGGTGTACCATTGGGATGTGAAGATGACCCAGGCCGGAACGACGGCGGCCTCTGCAGCGCCTAGGAGAAAGCGGCATACTAGGAGTGAGGCGTAGGATTTGCATGCTGCGAGCGAGGCCAAGACTGCTCCCCAAATGGTGACATTGACCGCGACATACTTGGCAAGTGGGAATAGTTGAATGAGGCGAATTGTAGGGAATTCAAATGCGAGTTGCCTACGCGCATCGTATTAGTAATTTATGTCGCTGCAGTTCGAATAACAAGTACTCACCCGAAGAAGAAGATCGATGCTACCCAATTGAATTGGTTGCCGTGCAGATGTGTTGACTCGAGGATTCCCGTGACACTTGCATACGAGATGGCAGTCTTATCAATGTATTGCAAGAAGTAGACAATACAGATGAGGGGCATAATATGCAGATCGATACGGCGAAGCAGACGCTTGTTCGTCTCAGAATCGACCACACGGTGGACACCGCCAGATTCCTTGAGGAGGTTCAGCGCCGCATCACCTCCACTCTTTGCATTATCTGCCTTGATCTCATGGGCTGCAGACGTCTCGGTAGTGATAGGATCCTTCGTTGGTTCTGCAGAGTAGTCCGCATCTGCTGGAGGTTGTCCGGCCATGGTGGATACGTCGAATCCTGGTGATCAAAAGAGAGTGAATCCACTCTTGATGCAAGAGCTTCTGGGGGATATATAAGGCTACAGTCTGTCGGTAAATCCCAAATCCCGTATTCAACATGATGCGAGATCCATTTTTCAGTAAACTTCAACAAACTGATCATACCACAGGAATGGTCATATCTTTGCCTGAGCGGATAGCTTAGCAACGCCACAAACCGACGAAATAGGTTGAAACTAAGAAGAAGAGTGGATATGGCGTTCTTCGACGGATGCTTGTGTAGACAAGTCTTTTACAAAAATGCGCTGCAAGCCGAAGCACGTAATTCTTCTTTCGATTTGAGTGATCACGTCTTTCCTATTGCAGGCTAGTGCTCATCTCCTGATACACAATCCGGACCATGCCGTCAATGTACCCTTAACGTTGCATCATAACGCTGTTCATGATAATGCAGCGATCATCGTTGAAGAGTTAATTGTCTTAGTATAAGCTCGTTTAGTGACTTCAACTCCGATCAAGCATGATTTCAACGAATCACGGCGACACCCAAGCAACGTCAAAGCTCACTCTGTGGAAAAGCGTCAATGAAAGATGTTGTTACTTCTCGATTAATCCTGTTTGATTTCCACAGAATCTCCTGGAGCCTAGATGTACAGGTATAGTTTTTCAGGCCAATATCTCGGGATTTCCGAATTCTCATTCAATTGCGTACTGACGAATACATCAAGGAGTGTGGAGATATTTGCCCTTTCAGGAACGATTTGTATCCAGTAGTAGGCAGAATCAAAAGAAAACTTAGGCAGATCCATGCGAACTGGATCGGTTAATGGTGAGAGTACATGTCAATTTCCCGATCATCTTCGGTCATTTGTCAATTATAGGGTCACGGTTGGTATTCACCATTAATCACGTGGCCCTGAAGCACTTGCGTTTCAAACCAGAGTCATGAACTACGCCAGCCCAACATGCCAGTATTTCCAATGAATTGAATCATAGAGAGTTATTACACATATCAATATAATTTGACCAAATATTCGGAACCCCAGGTATCATTCTAGTACGAATCTCGGTACCACAATCGGTCGCTGCATGTGGAGTAGTGGAGATGGACATCACGCCACGCCATGGCGTCTAGAGGGTATGGAGTCCCCTACCCAGACACCGGATCTTGATATCCTAGCTTCTTCATTTTGTTTATGGATGAATAGCAAACAAGGTTCATAACGTATGCTCTGGTTGATTGCTGAAACCATTTCGACTTGCGAACATTGAGCTTATGATTTAACGGACCTAGTAAAATGAGCCGCAAGGCATACCGAGAAAAGGGTGAAGACAAAATTACAATTCATGATTTGCAAAAGTTCGTATATGATTGTTCAACATATATGTCCAGTTCACACGGCCATCGGAGCTTTGGCCCTCGCGTGGAAATGCGACAATGAAACAGCCTTGTATTGAGGTCGATAATTGTTGTAACATCATTCCTGAGTTAACGAACATCCGCGACGGGTGGAACGAGAAATCACTGGAGTATATCAAAAACTTGACGAGTAATAAGTTCTCAAGACAAGAATACTATGGGCATATGAGTGACAAGTCTCAGGCTTCAGCGTTATGATTGTGCTCATCGGCATCTTGTATCCCAGACCGAATCGAACAAAGATCGGCGGAGTCAACCTTGGAGAGGCATCAATGATCATGGAATGACCGGGGAATACTGCACTTTGGGTTTTTTTGTTTCACACTTTCATCGTTTATCTCTGAGATCTTATCCGTTTATGTTGATGTGTCGCGTTGGCGAGGGCTGTAAGCGCCCACCCGCTGTGCCGCAGCGCTTGGGTCCTCTGCCAACTGCATAAGAGCCTTCGTATAGCAGATACGAGTCTAGCGTGCAGTTATGGCAGCATCATTGGCATTACCGGGCGCTTGAATATCATGCCAACAACTACTGGTCATCCACCATGCCGATGTTCGCTTCATATATACTCGATCGACTTTTCAGATCGCTTGAAAAACAATTGAGCATACATTTTTGAGGATTAATTTCAATCAATTATCGATCTCTATGTGTAAATTACGTCCCTAGCTGGCCAGCGACAAACGCAACATTACATCTAATACCTTCACATATTCCTTTTCCATCTGTTCACTTTTAATGGAGTCTCCAATCCTTCCTCCCGAATTTCGCGCTCCGTATGGAATATCAAACCTACATACACGCACCGATGAAAGAACCTTAGATAATCCACTCCCACCACCGCCATACCATGGATTCAATTCTTTTCCACACTCCTCGGATGTTGAAAACCCACCATTCGTGGGATCAATAAGATCTGAGCATCCTCCAAGGCGCAGCAGACTTGCAAATCTACGTCGTCTTTACCGGAGACGGGTGACCAAATCACGGATAAGCGGTCCGTTTACTACCGACAAGATCGACCAGCAGCTCGGTCTCGGTATCATCGACGGGCTCCCAATGCATCATGATCAATCGTCTGGTCAAGCAAAAGATGCATCTGTCAAATCCCGCATAAACGCTGCTCAGTGGATCGAAAAGATGATCTTCCAATACACCACCTCTGGAGGCGTGACTCGTAGATGGACGTTAGAGATCATCAGTTGGTGCGTTAGTGCGCTATGTATGGGTGCCATTATCGGTATCCTCATCGCCTTCCAGGATACCGAGATGCCAGATTGGCCGATCGGGCAGATTTTCAATATCCTATCCAAAGTGGCATCGGCAGCACTTATCCTTCCTGTTTCAGAAGCGCTTGGCCAGTTGAAATGGGATTGGTTTCAAGGCGAGTCTCGCAAGATGTGGGATTTCGAAATTTTTGACAACGCATCACGAGGGCCATGGGGCTCCGCCCTCCTTCTCGTTCGTACCAAAGGAAGGTTTGTAGCAAGCTTTATACTGGAACTTGAACACACTGCTAACTTGTATGTGCTCAGAACTCTTGCGTCTCTTGGAGCTGCTGTTACTCTTTTGGCTTTAGCGCTTGATCCCTTCTTCCAACAAGTCATTGACTTCCCGCAGCATTGGGTCGCAATCGACAACAGTACAATTCCCCGAATACTGCACTTAGATCTTCCTTACAGGAGGACGTATTTCAATGGAACAGAGATGTCGACAAAGGATTCTGATGTCACCAACTTGCTAAAATCATTCTTCTTTGATAAAGGAACGAAGTACACAGCTTTTGGTAACGGCACCCGACCAGAAATACCAGTCTTCTGTCCTACCAGCAACTGTACCTGGCCTGTATATGAGACTATGGCAGTCTGCAGTGCATGCACAGATGTCACTGAGCTTCTTGAGTTTGCATGCTTAAAAGCGAACCTAGATTGGACAACAACGAGCGCCGCTTCGGCAAAGTGGGATCCAGTATATCAAAAGTCGATTCAATGTGGATATTTCCTTAATGCTACAAGCGAAAATCCTGTTCTCATGACCGGTTATATGGTTGAACCAGGTCCTTCGTATAATGGGACTCTTCACAAAGAAACTCTTCTGATGAGAACCCTTCCATTGGCTGCCTTTCCGAGGAAAGAGGCTTTATACGGTGGATCCATACACTACTCTCACGTCCGAAACCCGATTATAGACTTTATCGTGGCTAGCACTTCGGGTGGAAAAGAAGCTGTTCATCAAAATTCAACGGCCATCGCATATGAATGCATGCTGACTTGGTGTGTTCAATCAATTCAATCAACTTATCATCGCGCTACCTACAAGGAAGAGATAGTCAATGAGTTCATCAACACGACTAGTGGGCCGTGGCCATGGAAAACCGAGGGCTACTATTGGGACGACATCGGATGGGCTGCTAACCAAGAGTACACTCAAAACATCACTCTCAAGCCGCACGATGACGGGCCAGAGTTCGGGCTCTCAAACAACACTGCATACAACATTAATGGCGTATTCGACGATCTAGCACCATCATATTACATCGACATAGACGAATTACCTGAGCCAATCATGCGTAGCGATATGGCTTTCAGTGGTCCAGAAACCACACAAATTGTATACTTCAACCCATGGATTGCACCTAATAACATCACAAACCACGTCAAACGATTGTCCGAGGCTCTTTCCTATCTAATTCGTTCTAGAGGCTCCCCGGAAAGTATTGTGGGCGTTGCATGGAATGAAGAAAGATTTGTCTCAGTCACTTGGCCATGGCTGACCTTACCTCTCTGCATTTTAATCCTCAGCGCCTTTTTCCTGGCTGGAACGGTGTACAAAACGGCAAAGGATGGTCAGGGCATAGGGGTCTGGAAAACTTCGGCCATGGCAGCGCTCCTACACGGCGGCATCTCCGAGGATATGCAGAAGAAAATGAAGGACCCTCAGTCCACGACTGAGACACTGGCAAGAGCGAGGAAGCTCAAAGCACGATTACTACCAGGCCAGGGCTGGCGCATTTCTGGCGCAATATTTTCTCCAAAAGTCCCAGCAACTAAGGAGCAACATACGCCAGGATGGATATAAATTCGTAATGTTGTTGGCAGGCATGTTTCAAGAGAGAACGTATTGAATTAATGGAGATGCTCAGCGCAAAGAATCTATGAATTTCAGACAAACACAGATGGATGCTATTCTATGCTTAATAATATCCTTCGTCCCCCAAGATGCAGTCACAGGTCTTGATAATTGTACGTCACAGTCTTTTGAGGCCGACATTAGACCAATTAATGTTTGAATAATGGATCAACATATCGCATCTGTAAATAGCAATGGTTTTCTTATCGACAGCTTGTTGCCTCGTAGTGCTGTTGTCGCGATGCTGAGAGTGATAGAACAAACCACCAGTTTTGATTTTGATTTTCGCAGCTAGGGGTACAGTACCGTGAGTACGTACCTAGGTAGGTAGGTGTTCAAAAGAGATATTCTATGATTTCTTGATACGCGAGAATCCCGTCAATATTTGAAATGTACCAACGTATCCCTGAAAATTACCGGATCACTTAACATATATTGGTACACATACATGGTATTACTAGATAATGTACGAGGGAATTAGTACTCTGAGTGTGCATTGACCAGAAGGCAATGAAGACTATTTGTGATTGAGAATGCTCACTGCTGTGACAATAAGTAATGATAGGGGTAGTTACTCACAGGGTAATTGATAGGTAGTGCAATCAATGGACCACCCTACAGAGCAATCAATGGAGGTAGATGAGGCATGGAGTCGGGGTAGAGTTTCACAAGTGCGGCTGCCTCTACTATTTGTAGTCGCCAATGATAAGCAGCCCCGTCATAGGCAGCAGTAATCTTCTGGCAATTAGGAAGACCGAATATATTACAGGCAAGAAATAAGAAAGGCTGCAAAAGGGTGTCTGCCAAACAATCGTTGCCTTATTTTCCTGTACCGTTTTTCTCATAGTCGTCCTAAGTTCCTAACAAGTGATCTCAAGGCACACTAGGACATTTGTGGGGGCAGGGCAGAGCACTATTGTAGGCTTTGCCCCCCAGCGCCCCCAGCGCCCCCAGCGCCTAATGCTGTGGCCCAACACTGCCGGCGCTTACTGCCTGTAGGTTGGTGGATCAATGGAGAACCATTTGTGAACGATCGCCGAGAATACTCGCAGTTCTACGAGACCTTTCGGACGCTCTAGCAAGCTTGATTTGCATATGTACTCGTCCATTTCCAGCTCCAACACTGACGCCGTTAACGACGACATGTACTCCAACCGCGTCTTGTACGATCGCAGCCGAGCCATCACCGCGTGACTCGCTACATCACAATCGAACAACAGCACATATAATTGGCGTATGTTAGCCACTATGGCTCCTATCTTTGACAAGCCCCTACCTCCGGCACCAACTTATGAGAGCGCTGAAGATACTATATCGACATTTACAAAAAACACAACACCTCCTTTCTTCAAGGGAAACCGTGCATCTACCCAGAGTGGCCAGAAGCGTGTTAGGCTTGTCAATCTCCGCCATCTATATAGAAAGCGGGCAGCGCATTCTTACCTCACCCAACCCCATGTTTTCGAAGAGCCTCATCAGAGAAATGATTTCGGGCTGGGGCTGGGGCTGGGGATCGGCGATTTTCCAGAAGTTCGAACCGAAGAGAAATCAACAGAAGCGGCAAAAGCAAGACGAAATGCAGCCCAATGGATCGAGGAGAGAATATGGCGATACACATCGACGGGTAGTATCGTTCGCAGATGGACTCTAGAAATTCTCAGTTGGTCGATCAGCGCTGCTTGCATGTGTGCGATCATTGTCATTCTGATACTGCTCGAAAATAAACCGGTACCCAAATGGCCTCTTGCTCAAACCTTCAACATGCTCTCAAGGGTTGCGTCAGCCGCGCTTATTTTACCGGTTTCGGAGGCCCTAGGTCAGCTAAAGTGGAATTGGTTTAAGGAAAAGTCTAAGGAGGTTTGGGATTTCGAAATCTTCGACAACGCATCCCGTGGGCCATTAGGGTCTGCATTGCTCTTAGTTCGAACGAAGGGAAAGTAAGATCAGATACCTGTTTTGAAACCAGACAGTACACGAGTTGACTCAACCAGAACCCTAGCATCTCTAGGTGCCGCCGTCACCTTACTCGCATTGGCCCTAGATCCATTTTTCCAGCAAGTTATAGATTTTCCACAGCATTGGAAAATTGTGAAAACAGGATCTATACCTCGAGTCATCTGGTATGAGCCTGGTCCTCTAAAGGCATATATAGACGACTTCGACGCGGCTATGTACGACTCTCGTTTGCAACCAGTTGTAACATTATTTGCTTTCGGAAACGGCACGCAGCCTGTGCCATTCGGCAATGGCACACGACCTGATATCCCGCTCACATGTCCAACTAGTAAATGCACCTGGCCGCCATACGAAACACTCGGATTCTGCAGCGCCTGCGAGGAACTTACGCAGATGCTGACTTATGCTTGTAAGACGATACCCGATGACTGGTCAATGGGACACGTGAGTGACGATCACGGTCCGACTTCAAATGGAACAGTGTGTGGGTATTTTCTCAATGCTACAAGCAGTGCTCCAGTCTTCATGTCGGGTTATGCAATAGAACTGAATTCGTCTACCAAAGGAGAGGCATTGCTGGTGCGCACTCTGTCTCTTACTAAGTACCCTGCTAAACAATCTTTATACGGCGGCTCAATTCTCTACAAAGATTTACGAAATCCTGTGGTCGACTTCTTGACTGTCAGCGCAAGGAATGATGTTGAGAGTGTTTACAGGAATGAAATTCCTGTAATGCATGAGTGTATTCTTCACTTATGCGTGAAGACAATTGAGTCTTCCTATGATGAGGGTACATACAAAGAAAAGGTAACCAAGACGTATGTCAATGCCACTGCTGGAGCCTGGCCTTGGGAAAGCACAACCTCCAACTCAACATCTGGAGTGTGGTTCGATGTTTCCTACCGAGAAAATGTAATCATCAGCGCCCCGCATTCTATCAACGGCTCTCACGGATCATTGGTTCAATTTGGAATGTCAAATGTTACTTTTGACCAGGTTGTATCCACATTCGGCGCCTTCTCCGGAAGTACCCTTACCGTACAAAGCTCTTCGGCATTGAGTCGGATAAGGGAGGGCTTCTGGGGCTTGGAACGGTACTCTCGGGATGCATATGACTATCAATGGATGGCTCCTCATAACATTACACAGCACTTATCAAGAATGGCCACGGCAATGACAGACAGCATTCGATCAGCGACCAATACCAATATAACGATTGGACCCGCATTCGACCTTGAGTCTTATGTCTCGGTGACTTGGGCATGGCTCACATTACCTCTTCTGATCCTCGTATTAAGCGCCATATTTCTAATCGGTACGGTCTTGAAGACATCAAAAGACAAAGATGAAATCGGAGTGTGGAAAACCTCAGCAATGGCAACGTTGATGTACGGGGGCCTTCCAGCAGACGTACATGAAAAGTTGAAGCAAAACTCAAATTCAATCGGTACTCCACGAACGAAAGCGAAGAGGTTCAAAGCAAGCTTGCTTCCAAAACAGGGCTGGAGGTTTTCTGGGGATCATTCCTCACCTGGTCTGGCAGATCGTGCGCGGCCGTCGGAATGGGTATAAGCTGAACAATTTTTCTTGTAAATTCAATAATATCATCATATACATGACCATACAACCTTATGAGATACTTTCACTATCAATATCGGACCCATTGGGCACAAAGACGAGCTTTTTGCTGAAAAGCAACTTTCCTTCTGGTGTAAAAACCTAGGGTAACTGTTTGTTGTCTTGCTATTCATTTAAGCTTAGATGCATATATGGGTGAAACTACTCTTATGTAAATCACGGTATGTAAATACGCCAAGATGCACAGTATAGAGTATATGAGTATGTACAATTATTCGGTTTCAACATGCGCAGCCCCACATAGGCCACGTCCTTACAGATGACAGGCAAATGCCCAGTACGACCCCGATATCCGAGACGCAGGCATAGGCACACTTGATTTCATTGGCCATAGATCATGTCGGGAAGGGTAATGCCGCCATGGCCGGTCAAGCTTACCCATTCTCGGGATTCTGAACTTAAGCCTGCGGCTCCGCCACATGTTCGTCGCATTTCGAAGGCGCCTCTTCATCCACTCCAACGGGTCGCGACAGCAGAATAACGACTGCGCCCTGCATTCAACATCGTTATCGGGTTTATGAGCATGGTGAACCATTTCCTTGATGGTGCGTGCGCCTCTATGAACGGGGAGGTCGATCACTAACCACTTGGGGCAGGATGAATATCTCTAACCCTGTCCGCTTAGGCCCCTTTTTCACAGCCACTATGCACGCAGCATAGCTCTGAAGCCAGATATTTGCATCCTCTCATCAAAGCCAGTCTTTGAGGGTTACCAGTCCTGATATAAACACCAGTGCCGTCTGGGACGCAACAACATATACCCAAATCCTCAACCTGGATGCAGTGTGCATCTCTAGGGCTCATTCAACGGCTCTACAAACCCCGATAATCCGGGGGAACAGTTTGATCATATCAATGGCCTGGAAATCGTGAAGCCACATTCTATAACTAAATTGTCCAACAAGATATTCAATAGATCACAAGCGTTCTTAAAACCAGTATGGTATATCGAGGCAAACCCTCCGCTGCCTGTGGTGAATGTAGGAAGCGGAGAAACAGGGTACGTATCACAACCTCATGATGTTGCGTGGCCCGAAATTTTATAGCTCACGAATCTCGTCATTAGTGTGATCAAGCAATACCAACTTGCGGTCAATGCCGTAAAGCAAAACGCAACTGTCCGGGGTATCGGAATCAAGTAGATCTAATGTTTTTCGATGAAAGCGAAGAGGTAGCCAAACGAAGTCAATCAGGGACAGCAACACCGCCAGACCATAAGGTTCATGGTGCAGGGAGTAGTAGTAGCGACTTGGTCATATCTCCAACTACAGCGCCCACAATCTTCCCGGCAAATGTCCTCGAACAAACCGACGACTTAGGCCTCAATTTCTTCATGGCTAATTATGTTGGCTCCGATTCTATCAACTCCCAGTTCATCTATCTTCCTGAATACTACGCACAATCTGGTTATAAGAAATCCGATCTTTGCAATGGTATACAGGCAGTGGGTCTAGTAGGCTATGCAAGAGCAACTGGACGATCTGAACTTGTCGAACCCGCGACCAGGAGGTACATCACGGTCATCAAGTCCGTCAACAAAGCCCTGTCTGAAGCGAACGCTGCTCAGAATGACTCGCTTCTCCTCACAATATTATTCCTTGCAATGTTTGAAGTTATGGTCCGGCCGCATGGAATTGGGCTACAAAATGTAACAAAGCATCTCAACGGAGCTTTATCCATGGCCTTGCTGCGTCTCAAAGAAGGCCAGCAAACTCCACTAGGGCGAAAAGTCTTCGGTTCCCTCTACCAAAGTCTAATCATGAATTGTTGGATTCAAAACATACCCCTTCCAGCGGATATACCCACCATCAAACGACATATGGATCGAAACTCGATGCACTCGGACTTTTTGGAAGTCGTTATGATGATGATGAGATTTCGACATGACCAGGAAACAGAGCAAAGAGATGTCCCCAGCTCGGAAATTGCGAAGGCTTTAGCGCTCGATCAAAAGTTGAGGTCATTCACACAGAGCATGCCACGAGAAGGCCAGTACAAGACCATCTCTATGGAGATTGAGAACCAACTAGTCTTCGACCGTATTTATCATGTTTACCCCACGAACTTCACTGCCCATCTCTGGAACAATATTCGTACATCTCGAATGCGTATACACATGGTGGTTGTAGCCCAGTCTCGCGTACTATTGTCCTCGCCCGAGAGATATCAACATACATTCATGGCAACACAACTCGAGGCATCTGAGAACATTGTGCGTTCTTTAGCACGAGACATATGTGCTACGGTGCCACAACTTGCTGGATACATTGATGATCTCCGCGGCTCATCCTGTACACCCGAGAATAAACTTGGGACAGAACTTGCCGGAACCACATCAAGCGAGCGGGCAGCTGCCGGATCAGCTGTCTCTATCTCCGGGCCTCAAATCTTAACTGAGTTGGCTCGATCCGCACCGCCTATTCCAACCTCCCCTAGGAGCACCGATGAGAATAAGAGACAAAGTTCCTCCAGTGTGTTGTTGAACCCCAAACCCGCCAGTCAATGCCAACTACTTTATCAACTCTGCACACTCAGCCAAATATCGCTCTTACCAATTCATCTGCGCCATTGGGTCAACGATCGTATAGAGTATGTGAAAAGTAAGGCTGAACCAGAAGATTTGCAATTGTTGGAACAAGCACTAGAAGATATGCCATCGGCTGCGTTTCCCTTCTTTGTGAACATCTGATTATGGGATGAGTAAACCCCCTTTAACAACCGAAGTGGAGCACAATCAGCAGCGCGGTAACTCGCTTCGGGAAGTTCGGCTTGACAGATGAATAAAATATCAGGCTTTGGATTAGGAAAGAACGGTGCCGCATTCATAAACAGGAATTCACACTTAGAGTTGTCAAATGATATGTTAAGTTCACTTCCAAGTCTTGAGAAAAGCGCTTGGGGGATTCGGAATGCGAGGCGTAGCAGGAGCATACATACATGAAGCGTTTCGGCAACGACAAAGAGAATGAAATGCAGATAAATTTACTGTGCCACATTTAAACCTGAGATGAGCAAGAAGGGGGAAGAGTGATGTTTCGTTTTTGGAGTATCGCCATCAGCCAATCAGCATGTGCTCCCAAAATAGCCAGCCAATCGCTTAAGCGAGGGCGCTTAAGTATGCATCTGCCAACCTCAAGGCCTTATCCCCTCATCTCCTCATTTTTCGAGCGCCTAAGTACCTCTACCCGTGACTATGCCTTCGCCGCAGACGCTTGTACCCTTAAAGTTCTTATCACTGTATAAGGTCCAACTTCGCCTTGACAACGCATGTTCTACGCCTCATGGCTGCCTACCCGGGCCCCGTGATGGCTTGAAGTGTTTCCAAGTCAACAGAGGGCTTTCGTAACCGCCGGCGAGCTGTGCCTCTTCAATGCGTTGCCTTCTTCTCCAAATCTATATCTGGGGGCGAAGGATTAATTGCATGCTGACATGCATTCGCAATCCAACATGAGCGTTTAGTAGCTTAACATTAGAGGTTGCTTACCAGGCCAGCGCCTACAAATCGATCCCACAGGCCTGGTGAGCAACTGCTGACCCCGGCCGAAGGCCATCCGAAGCGACTCCTCTCCCTAATTGCGCAGCGCCTGAACAAGCAAGCATCAGCCTTCTCTCTTGGCACGTTTCTCGAAAGCGCTGGAGGAATCCTCTGGCGTGAGCCGAAAGCTAATGGGATTCGCCAGTTCCTACATGTTCGTCATCCATCTCTCCCAGAATTGCCGGGCCACACATTTCTGGTGCCAAACATGGCTGGTGTCTCACCCGGCTCCCAATCACGCCGTCGCGCTTCCAGCCTTTTGTTCGAAACAGTACGTCGATCAAGATCTGGAGGCGGCTCTGCTGCCATGCCTATCTGAGATTAGCAACTTTGGCCGTTTTGTCGTGCCGCAATTGCTGCATGATAATTATAGCATATGTACAGATGTATAGAGATCAGTTTCCCATCGTACAACTTGAAGCTGACAGACTCAAAGACGATTTGATCTTCAACACTTACGTCTGAGAAGTTTTACCACACAGGACTTCTTCTGTAAATATCGAGATCAAGCTGTCCTTTCTCTTTCGCCAAAATGATCAGCCCCGGAGTTCTGTCACCATGGCCCGGATACCCGGAGATTCCTATATTCCTTGATACTCGTCCGGATCACAATTCGCCAGAATCTCAGAGGACATCTACAACTACGTTCGATACATCACACAGCAGTGTGTCTCCGGTATCGCCCCTCAACATACCTCATTTCATTAAGGTTACACCGCCTAGTCGTTCCGCGAACTATTCATCCAAAACCCCCAATCGGGCCTCGACACATCAATTTGACCGTCAGTACGTACAGCAACAGTCCAAGAAAACCTCAACTAGGTTTTTGTCCCCCGTGGATCAGACTGAGAAACCGCCGGTGCCGTGGAAGGACGAGGAACTATCCAGCATCACACAAGAGAATTCTCCCCCACAAGGCGCTCCATCCATGTCAAAGTTTCGCTTCGGTGACTTTCCTTCCACACACAAAGGGGAGAAGAATTGTCCTCCTTACGCCAGTCCTGCTGGCTCTGGTCTCGGCATCTCGAATGGTTCGTATGGAACCGTTCCTTCCGGAGTATATCCTTCCCATGAGAAGTTCGACGACACCAACAACTTTGTACAACGTATTGAGGACACACTTTGGCGTTACAGTTTGTCCAGAAACGTATTCAAAAGGTGGCTCCTGGAAACCATAAGCTGGGCTATCAGTGCTCTCTGTATGGCTGGAATCGTCATTGTATTGTTCCGACTTCAGAATAGGAACTCTGATGAATGGCCTTTGGGTAATTATGGCATAACGTTGAATACCTATGTCGCTATCTTGTCTCGCATCGCATCTGCAGCACTTCTCCTACCAGTGTCTGAGGCGCTTGGGCAATTGAAATGGAGTTGGTTTTTCCAGGGCGAATCGAAGAAGATGTGGGATTTCGAAATCTTTGACAATGCCTCTCGCGGACCCTGGGGTTCCTTTCAACTTCTCCTCCGTACCAAGGGCAGGTATGGCTTTCCAGAGCACGCATCGTGCACCTTCTATCTCTGACCTCACATTTTACTAATGAACGCCATAGAAAACTTGCCGCTCTTGGCGCTTGCATTGTATTGCTCGCCCTTGCACTCGATCCATTCTTCCAACAGGTTGTTGATTTCCCAGACCGGTACATAAAGGCAGGAAACGGCATTCTTACAAAGACCAGACTCTTTGAGCCAAAGTTTCAAGAAATCTGGGTAGATGGCGCTCTCTCATCTGGATTGGATGACCTGTTTGTGCGAACCACATATCCATACTTCTACGGTAACGGCAGTGTACCTATTCCTTTCGGAAATAGTGTACGACCCGATATACCTGTCTCGTGTCCCACAAGCAACTGTACGTGGGAGCCATACGAGACTTTGGGTATGTGCAGTGCTTGTGAGAATGTATCCGATCTTCTCACATTCGAATGCATGAACACTCGAATTGATTGGTTCGCAAACCAGACTGGAGTCACCACAGAAGACACATACCCCAACGGCACCGTCTGCGGATATTTTGTAAAACCACCAGGTTCAGAGCCCATACTTGTGTCAGGCTACAGTATTCCTGATCAATCCATCGACGAAGAAGTCTTATTGATGCGAAACCTACCCCTGCTCAGTGCCCCTCTTCGGGATCCATTATTTGGCGATGGATCGATTCATTTCAAGGACTATCGAAATCCAATAATCGATGCCTTAATTGTAACTTCACCAGGCGGAGAGCAAAGTGTCAAGAGAAATGCAACACCAAATGCCTACGAGTGCGTTCTCACATGGTGCGTCAAGGAAATCCAATCATCGTATTTTGAGGCCGCCTATCACGAGGAGATCACTCATATATACCACAACAAGACCAAAGGGCCATTTCCCTGGAATACATATTTGGTCGAAGATGAATTTGGAAGTGGCTATATGGTGGACTATCTGGAGAACGTCGTTATCAATGCACCATCAGATGATCAACAAAACACTCCGTTTGGGGCCTCCAACGATACGCAACTTACTACCCTTCTCGTCTTCGACACGTTTTTTCCATCAGTCTACACTAAATCGAATATAACCGATAACCCCTTGTTAAGGTATAAAATAAGCGATCCTGGACTTAAAATTCAGCAACGGGAGTTGGACATCAATCCATGGGCCATAGACACGCCCCGTCACATGGAGAATTTGGCAACAGCTATGACAAACGCAATGCGTTCTTCAGAGAGTAGAGAAGATGTCGTTGGTCAAGCATATCAGAGAGAAAATTACATTCAAGTGCGGTTCCAATGGCTCGCCCTACCCTTAGGACTACTCCTATTCAGTGGAGTCTTCTTGACTGCAACTGTCGTGCGAACTTCCAGAGAGAAAGAGCATGTCGGTGTATGGAAAACATCAGCAGTGGCAACTTTATTGTACGGGCTTCCGGATGAAATACAAAAGAAAATGGCAGCATCAGCATCGGGTGGTGGAACTCCTCGAACTACGGCGAAGCAGATGAAAGTACAGCTTCAACCGGGCAAGGGTTGGAGAGTTTCCGGAAATTGGTTTTCGCCTTTGGCGGACAAGGTCCGACGAAATCAGCCTCCACCTGGGTGGATATGAGCGTTTTACCTTTTCGGCAACTAGTATTTGTGCCAATAGTATTTATATCAGATATCAACAATGCAAGTAATCATCTTTCAAACCTTTGGCACATGAATGCTAAGATTATGTGAAGTTAGAGATCAGAATCAACAACGAACCGAACCCAAACAAATTCTTTGAAGAGATAGTTGATCAGGACCTAATATAAGAAACTAGTATACCAAGGAAGCCGCCGACAGGAGATTAAGAAGAAAAATCCGTTTGGACAGAGTATAGGAAATAGACACAAGAGAAATGAAAAAGAATCTCCGCCTGGGCAAAGTATAGAAAAACACAAGAAGATGAAGAGAAAACCTGAATCGCCTACTCGGACGACCTGAAGGCGAGAACTCTGGCTCGCTACCCGCCGCATTATTATTTTGAGTTTCTCCGTGGATTCGCATTCAGAAAACTTGGATCGTCTGAGGAGCCCACTGGAGGACTTGATATACTTGCTTCAATTGCCGTTGCCGGAAATTCGAACAGGTCTTGTCTTCCTGTTCTAATTGCCACTTCCACCAAAGCGGACAGGCCTTGTCCTCTTGCTCTTATTGCCACTTCCTCCAAAGCGAACAGGCCTTGTCCTCTTGCTCTTACTGCCACTTCCCCCGAAGCGGACAGGTCTTGTCCTCTTGTTCTTGCTGCCACTTCCCCCAAAGCGGACAGGCCGCGTCCGTTTGTCTTTGGTAGCAACATCTTCATCGTCGCGCTTCTCAACGGTATCATCTTGTGCTTCGGCATCTCTCAGCGACAAGACTGGTTCGACTGGATGAGACAAGGGGTCTCGAACGATCTAAGGACGTTGTCAATATCGGAACCTGGGACACTTATTGATCAGACTAACCTTGAGTGCATCCTTAACTAAAGTTGTGATAGACGAATCCCTCGCTTCGGACACCGGCACCGGCGATGCGACGATGGATAGTACAAGCGCAAAGACGAGGAGAAGAACCCTGCCGAGCATTGTGTGGATTGATTGTTGTTCCAAGAGTTGGTTCGAATCTTGCTAGATAGATCTATCAAGAATTGTTTGGAGAAGAGAGGACTGGTGAGCGAAACTGGAAAAGAATGTGGATGTTTGTATGTTGATTGCCCGAGGATTGGGATGATGCACGAAAGAGTGGGAATCGATGAGGACTTTATGTCCATCATGAAATTTGGAACCGAGACTGTGTAATGCAACGAAACACAAGGAACCTTGACAGGGGCGCACACCAAGCGGCATTGCTCATCCAGTATCATTGCTTGAAAAGCCATGGAAGCACATCAACAACGACGTTGTTAACCGGCTGATTGGAAGATGCATGTTAGCATGAAAGTTCAAGGTACCCAGAGGTCGGGCTGAAACCAAGGAACCAATGGGACTGGAACACAAGGCGTTAGACCGGACCGTGAGGGCCAGGATCCAGTTGGAATGGATGAAAACGCAGTTGATATCACATATCGCAGGCGCTTGAATAGAGGGGGAGAGAAAAGGATAGCATGAGCTGCTTTCCACAGCGCACGTTCAATAGAAAATGAGACTTTGCATTTCCCGCAAAATGACAAGCGTTGGACCAAGTAAACTCCGCCAACACGGGTAAGTGAATTGCAAATGATGAATTGTGACCCTGTAATCTCTGGTTGACTGCGAGGTCCTGGGAGCGTCTCGCAGCCAATGAAGAGCTGTAAACCCCTGAGTTCACCCTTGGCGGCGGTTTGGCGCAGAGAGTCGGGAGCAAGCGATTGGCTGACGGTGCAGGTTTCAGACGTCGCACATCACATTCCGCAACCCCTTCACACCTCTTCAGCGGCCTCGTCACTCGGTCACACCTAGCCATCTTCCCTCTGATCCACCTCGTGATAGGTCGGGCGCTACGCTCCCTATCATCGTCGCTGAATGTGTGACGGTCGGACATTGATATGGCTGTCATCGCACGAAAACAATCCCCATACACACGCCAATTCCTTGCTTGGACTTCAACTCACTATCCGGTAAGCGCTGATCGAACAGGTAGGTCATATAACGCGAATCCAATGCAAGCCTACGGACTTTTCGAGATAGTATTATACGAAACTGGCCCGTGGCGTTCGATGCTTCAACCAGCATGAACCTGTGTAACCACCTGTCTGCCTCCTTGTCTGCCTTTCGCACCTAGAACGACATCTGCAGAGTGACCACATCGGAGCACTCGGCATGTCCCTCCTTCGCATCGCAAGACAGGAGTTCAGCTCTGTTTTGCTTTGCAAACAGCCCATAAGCCATATCAATGCAAATCTTCCTAAAAACGATCCAGTTCATCCATGCCATAATCCCGAGTTTGACCGTTCATCGAAATTGAACTATCAATGCATGGGGCATGGGGGGTCAACAAAGAGGGCCTCTGGCCAGTGAGAGGGCCTTATGGCTTGGTGAACAAGCTTTTTCCCCTTAGGCGGGCGGCCCATGTAGCGACCACCACACGCCCCCCCAGCTCGGCTGCACCCGCCAGCACATGGACGATCACACTAACAAAGAAACTCTGAACCAGGACCGAACAGCCTTAATTGCGCAATGCGTGTGATGAGTGAGTGTACCTGAGCAGCCTTGCACCTAGCGTTCGACGATGGGGTGAATCCGGCCAATCGTCGTGGACGCTTAACGCTACATTGCCGTGTCGTTGGAACTCGTACACCGTGCTCGATCCTTGTGGCGAATCAGTTGGGAGTTGGTGATGTCGGCACTGTGGACGTTCACCACGCGAGATGCAGAAGGACTGGGAGTACGACGCCTTCGTCATCGTGCGAGATGTTGGCTTGCATGCGGCGCGGTTCGACACTAGTGAATGTGTTCTGGGCCGTTGGTACTTAGGATTTCTGATATCCACTCGGTGGAACAGACGAACAGAGCAGAGCGATGTGATTAGTCGACCCTATTGTGACGACCGTTCCAAGCCAACACCATGATCCAAGCCTTCAGGAACAGAAGTCGATATCAAGTTGGGATAGAATCGCCGTTAACCGCCGTGTCGTATTTCATCACAAGTTTTTTCACTTTGCATTTCTTTTCAGACTATTAAACATTGAATTAATGCATCTCAATCACACAGCACCAGAAGAATTTGTAAAGCGGTGAGGTTCAGGTACGAACGCCAGGCGTGTATACTAAGGGGGGATCCAGCCCACCTGCGCCATTGGCCATCTTACCCACGTCTTCTGCCCTTCCACCATGGCATTGTATATGCCCGACATGACATGATGGGTCCAGCCCTTCATGTACCAGAACTTCTCCAGATCGCTCATGAGTACGGCGAAGTACGCATAGATCATCAACGCCGCCGAATCATGCTGTTGAAGGAGCTTAAGGTACGCCTCGTCCATCCTGTACAACCACGCAAACACGACATGGTACTCCCCGTCTTTCCCGTTATACCGATTGTCGTAGCAATTGATCAGGACATCGACAGCTCGAAGAATGGAGTCGAGGTGCTGCGAATTCTGGGATAAGAACTCGACATGTTCTCGAAGATCTTGCAATCTTCGTTCCCATTCGGGCGGTTTATTGACATGGTGAGGTTGCAATGGCTTCCTCGTACTTGATATGTTTATAGCATGCGTCTTTTGGAAATTCTCCTGTGATATACTCTCGATGGTGGATCGTATGCCGCGGAACATGATGAGCCACTCTGATCGGCCATTCTCTCCAAACGCGAGATATTGACCTGGCTGTGGTCCTCTTGCGAATGCTACAAAGCAGACTGCTTGCACTGAAAAGTACACGGAGTCACAGTTGTCCGCATTGAGATTCGCGAGGGCCTCAGTGAGCGGTGGGAGACCCAGACCGTAATGACGGTCCGCGAGCTCGATGTACTCATATTTCCTTGCCGGACGGCAATATGCCAGGTGGAGAGCCGTTACACAGAAGATCAGGTGTAATGAGTGATTACTCTGCAACATCAACTCAGTCATGTTGACCTGGAAAAAGGTGGCGCCGGATTCCCAATTGGATAGTGAATGGCATGTTGCAGTCGTCCAAAAGTACATTAACTCCAGATTGGGAACATCGAGATTCTCAGTCGATTTCGACTGTGCCGGGGTTTCTTTGCCCAAGCCTTGCAGGTAGTCGCAGTTGATGTCTCGGGTAATGCAGTTGGAGCATTGAGGCTTCTTTTCGTCGCACTGTACGCTCCAATCAGCATCACAGAATCTAAGTAAATTCTTGAAACTACCCAATCATGGACTTGATGTACTGCATGAATTCATGGCCACAGGATCATGTACAATGCCAGTAATCGGAGCTTTTTCTAGAATGACCTGCATAGAAGGCCAATGGGCCTGTCCGCTGTGCTGGGTGGGGGAAAATGTGGGAAAATAGAAGCATAATGGGGAAAGAAATGGAATATTTGGACGAATCGCATACCTTTATCCTTCGCCTTTTACAATTTAGACAGCCCAATCGGGACTTTCTGTGAGACTTCCTCGTGATCAATTTCCTGATGCTCTCAGCAGTTTGCGGCGTGCCTCCATGGTCGGGGCTAGTCTCGCTCTGCGCAGGAGAAGGATGGGCTGAGTCACGGCTGGTCGAGCGACCGTGAGGACTGACACCCGGAGTACTTGTAGACAGAGGCGATGCGTCCACCATCGCTGTTCTGATGCCTATATGTGGAACGTCGAGGATACCTTGGGCGAATGGGAGGGCTTGGCATGGTGCAGAAAAGAGAGTACGGCGAAGCTGTCGTATTTGAAGAGGGGCATGCTCGTTTCGTACGGCGGGCTGTAACGGCACTTCACGCCAGAACGTCCTCAACTCTTGAGAGTGAAAACATCAGGGGAAGCAATAACTTCGCAAGCATTTCCTGATTCTATGTGTGTATACGCGTTTCGTGGCTCATGAATACTGTTTGGTCTGATGCAAAGTTGCTTGAGGGTCGTATTTCGGAAGCGTTATCTACTCAGAAACCTTCGTCTCGAAGGTACCTCAAGGCACTTCAGTACTAGTAATGAACGACCAAGTACAACTTAACACAGACAAAAGGAGTAATATTCAATGATACATTTAGTGGTCACTATATTTCGCCTACGAAATTTACTGATCTAAAGAAGAATAAGAAAGAATACCCCCAAGATTGTATGAGAAATCAATGCCTGGTGATTTATTTTCTGATTTGCTTTTACATTCTTATGTTCTTCCAGGCTGCAAAGTCAAATTATTACGCCAAACGTTCGCATCGGAAAACAAGTCAAGATCTGCCACATAAGATTGAAGGTACAGCTTGCCCTGATTGGTATAGGACCGGATCACTGCAGACATATAGTGAATGTTTGGTGGGCCACATCCTTGGTTACTTGAAGGTCATTTAGAAGGGAAAGATTCGTATTCTCTCTCTTCGCGTATTCGAGCGTGCACGGTCCTAAACTCAACACCAAAGTTCTACCATCTACGCAATCGTCTCAAGCTAGATCACAGATTTTCATACATAGCGTCGCCCCTTATGCTAAATTTACATTATGGTATCGATAGGCAGTACCTGCAGCTGGTTTATAACAACCGTAGATGCTCCCGGCCCTCCATTTCCCGAATAACCCGCGAAACTCCTCAATGGCGCCCTCAAACCAACAAGCTGCAACAACAGCTCAGGAAGAACGAATGCATTCAGGCTCCATAGCTTCTGAAACCTCGGGCAAGAAGTATGCGACACCTCTGGAAGCATACCGAGAAGCAACAGCACCGAAGAAGCCTCGATTCTTGACACCCAAAACCTTTCGCGCAGCCATCAACGCCCGCCTCGACAACCCTGTAGTTACCCTTTTCCGGCTTGGAGCTCGAGTGCTTCAGCTTTGTTTTGCGCTGGCAGCGGGGATATCGTATGGCGTCGAGCTCAGTGGACAAAAGTGAGTTACCTATACATCAAATAGTTTAAGAGCAATACTAAAGGCGCAAAGGCTTGGTTCCGATGGGAATTCGTCCTTCATCTACGCTGAGGTTGTATTTGGACTGACGCTTGTTGTCCTCATTCTTGATACTCTGATAGTACACTCCTATCATCTGACCTGGATGATCGAATGGGTGCTTTCGATACTGTGGATTGCGCTCTTTGGCAACTTCTATACGATCTACTATAGATCAGATATTGAACCTCAATATGCAGGTGTCAATGTTGGAAACATGAAACGTATCGTCTGGGTCGACTTGATTAATGCACTGCTTTGGATGGCAAGTGCCCTATTCTCAACAACTCTGTGTTGCTCTGGTGTAAAGGCAAAGATCAGAGGCAAGAAGGAACAATGGAGGTCGAAGAGGGATGCGAAGAAGCACCGTGCAGCTGACAGAACAGCACATGAGATGGAAGAGGGAACCGTTAGGCCACAGCCGCAGGAAGAGAGGTTGCCCCGGTACGAAGAGGTGCCGTTGGATGACCGATCATAGGAAGTTTTGAAGAGGTTCGAAGATGTTTGGATCTGGTGAAGTCACACTTGTTAGGGTCGAATGCCTATGATGCCTATGCACATTGCATTGATAGTTCAGGGGCGTAGAACGATTTCGAAAGTGCATTCTTTGAGGTTGTTATGCAATTCTGCCATTAGTAATTCAATATCACGACTTGTTATGAGCATAATACCAAGTGGAAGGATCCAAGATCAGTGACTCAACAGGCACTGTATCAACACAGACTAGTGTATAGCACGTGAATAGTTCAAGGAGTCATAGCAAGAGGCAGTGCTTGCCTTCCTAATAGGTAATGCGATAGTTAGAACTTCGTGGTCGGGTTAGTAGAGGAGATGAAGGCCGAAGAGCGATGACGTGACATGCTCTGCTCGTGTCGGTGATATGGGGAAAGGTTCCTCCGTGAGTATGAAGCTAACTGCTTCCGGTAGGCGTCTGCGCCCTCGCTGGATAGAGCGCCCGAGTATGATACCTATTAAGGGAACACAGAAGTGACTCACGATGAATCAAGCGCTTGGGGAACTCATATTGTACCAATAGTATCTTCAATAACAGGATTAGATTGCTATCGATAGTGTTGTTTTGATTGTTTCATGTGGTAGTGTACGGAGTAGTCTTGGTGTTGGAGGAAGGATCATGATGATTTCCAAGCAAGAGTTGATTTCCAATCAAAGTGTGGCGTGGGTGATAACGTAATCGTGGCGTCCCACCACCAACGGCTAAGCGAGGTCTGCAGAATTCACAACCTCAAGAAGAACGTTCAAATCCCCTTCGGACCCCTCCCCCCAGCACCACCACAACTAACCACACAGCACCGAAAAAATGGCTCGCCGTCCAGCTCGTTGCTACCGCTACTGCAAGAACAAGCCGTACCCCAAGTCGCGCTTCAACCGTGGTGTCCCTGACCCTAAGATTCGCATCTTCGACTTGGGCAGGAAGCGTGCCTCCGTCGACGATTTCCCAGCATGTGTCCACTTGGTCTCCAACGAGCTTGAGCAGCTCTCCTCCGAGGCTCTCGAGGCTGCCCGTATCGCCGCCAACAAGTACCTTGTGAAGAACTGCGGAAAGGACGGTTTCCATCTCCGTGTCCGCGCTCACCCTTACCACGTCATCCGTATCAACAAGATGGTGAGTTGAAAAACCCCCAAAGAAAGCGCATCGCAAAACCAGGAGTATGGAACTAACAAATCTTGCAGTTGTCGTGCGCAGGTGCCGATCGTCTTCAGACCGGTATGCGTGGTGCCTACGGAAAGCCTAACGGAACTGTCGCCCGTGTCAAGGTACGCCAAACTGAACCATCTTCTAATTCAATAGCACATCCTAACAATACTGTACAGATTGGCCAAATTCTCCTCTCTTGCCGTACTCGTGACGCTAACCAGCCTCACGCCATCGAGGCCCTCCGCCGCTCCCAGTACAAGTTCCCTGGTCGCCAAAAGATCATCATCTCCAAGAACTGGGGTTTCACCCCTCTCAGGCGTGAGGAGTACGTCGAGAAGCGCCGGGAAGGAAAGGTCAAGACCGACGGTGCCTACGTCAAGTTCCTCAGCAACAAGGGCCCCATCGCCGACAACCTCCGCGCTTTCCCCGATGCCTTTTAAGCAATTGATGATAGGACAAAAAGGGATGCATGGATGAATACCTGGGTGTGGGCGAAGATGCATTGATGAGAGCAGGTCGGGGCGACCGATGTCTTCGTGATGAGGCACGGCAATTTCCGACAACTGCAATGGGTTCAGGCGTTATGCACCAGGATAATTACCTAGTGTAGCTAGGTAAAACTGCTGTTTCTCATAACATATTCGCGTACCTCTGGAAACTTCATTTGTGCAGATGTGATGATTGCGCATCGGGAGATTGTGAAAACGGCTCACTTGGCTTGAATGACGAACTTCGTGTAGACTAACTGAGAAGTTTGGATTACGATGATGGTAATGAGTATATGCTCCCATATAATTTACAGTCAAATCCCGTTCCCTCCCTATATACGCCATGCTAAACCGTAAAACATTCCGATGCGATAAGAAACCAGAGTTTATTTTCCCTTCAGGCATAACTTGCCCAACCGCAATACAACACCGCCAGATTTCTGTCGTCTGTCGCCGTTTGGATCAACTCATTGACCGTTGCTTTCGTGCTGAGCGTCTTGCTCAGCTTCTTTTCCACCACGCTGAGAGCTCTCCCAGCCTCACCAGCCTGCTGCTCGTCTCTCTTCTTATTGCTCTCCTGCAACTGTTCCTCCAGCACTCCGCTCGTGCCCACAATACCACTGCCCACAGGAGTAGGTGCGGGCGTTCCCGCGGGCCCCACAGTGCCAGCTCTTGTATTGGCGTTTGTCTCCTGTCCTTCCTGCATGCGTTTCGCTTTCGTAGGCGTGACACTCCAGTTCACGAGCGGATCGTAACGTAGCACGTTCAGGAGCGTCATGATGGACTCGCGCTCTTCGCGCAGGGTGTCCATGGTGAACTCGCAACACCTCCTGAACACACCTTCTGTCTTTGTATACCCCATTGCGTCGACGAGATCGCGTGTAAGGCGGAATGGCACTACTTCTGGGACGGGAAGGACTCGTCCTGCTTCGAAACTAACCCCAAGATCGATGTGTACAATCTCACCGGACTTCTCGTCGAGCAGGATGTTGTGACAATGGCGATCACCGAGACCAAGAACGTGTCCTAAGATAGAAATAGCCGCCGTCGAGCGGGTGTATGCAAGGCGTTTTTCAAACCACTCGTCTGGGTCTTGGAAACGTTCAAGCAGGAAGTAGCGAAGCACAGGGTGGAAGTTGTCGGCTATCTTTCTCCAAACCTTGACCCGTGTGCTGAGAGAGTCGCTTTGGCAGGCCGCGATTTCCTTCCTGCATTTGTCGGATCTCCAGTCGTTGGGGTAGTACTTCTCGTGTGCTGGCATGACCCATTGGTGAAGAGGTACTGTATTCTGTACAAACTCCATGAGACCAGAGCGGGTCGATAAGGGCAAGACTTTGTATGTCCGGATTCCCAGATTTCGAAGCCGCGTTGCCGTGTGATTCTTCAATAGTCGCGATACCTGGTCGAAAACCTGCTCCATGATTGCGTCCTGTCGTAGATCGTCATTGCCGGATTTGAACTAATAGTTTTAGCTTGATATATGCCAAATTACAACGTACTACTTACCAGCTGCTTGTATGATTTACCATCAGAACCTATCGCACTGATGACCTTGGGCGCACTTAACCCATTCGCAATGCTCATCCTCGGCTTGAACCCTACAATTTTCGGCAAATCTTGGTAATCGCAATTGGCTCGAACCTCCACCTGGAGGGTAGCTGGAGGCACCATCATTACTGGAATCCTCCTAACGATCGCTTTCGATTCGGGATACTTGTCCAGCGCGATTTCGCGGCCTTGCCTATTATCAGCCTCGTTCTTGAACATGGCAAGGGCGTGGTAGAGTTCGTTCGAGTGTGATATTGCAGTCCAGTAGCCCCTCGCTCTCTTATCATTTCCTAAGCGTTCTGCGATCTCGTTCGCGGCACGCTGTCTTGACTTGGCTGCTTCATCTTTGGATCTGACAACATCCTCCCTGGTTATGGCGCCAACCTTCATCTGTATAGCAAAGATTTGGTGCATACCATGGTATGGATGTTCGGCACATATGCGGAACACCAAGTCGGACAACAGTCGCTGGAAATCCGTTCCTTCTGCTTGTAACCGTGAGGAAAGCTGGTTCATCAGCAATGCAAACTTCCCACTCGGTACTTTCGACAAGTACCGTTTGACGGCATCATTGGCCAGCTGCGTGTCGGCATACTCGAGCCATAGAGAGAATACCCGGAGAGCATCGTTATTGTATTCGTCGCTCGCCTGTAAAGACAAAAGGTAGTTCTCTATGCATTGACGAAGGAATTGCTCTCTTGCTTTGCGTAAGCGTTCGTACTCGGCGTGGTCGAGTTTATACCAGTTGTATGCTCGGCCAGCACTCCGTCTGTATGTTTCCCGCATCCCTTTACTTTTATCAGTAGTTGATAGTTTCATGAAATCCTGATGCTCTTGAAGTTTACGGTCCATGACTGTTTTGATTCGAGCGAGATCATCTGCAGCTTCGGGACTTTGAATTTGTCTATCACAGAAGAGAGCGAATTCGTGGAAGACCTGGCCGGGACCTACGCCTTGTACCTGTCCCTTTAATTCATTTATCGCAGGCTCAAGGTAATTTTTGATGATAGTGTCTGGCTTAGCCAGGCGGGCTTCTGCAATATGATGACCCAACCTTGCAAGAAGCACGGGTAAGCTGATGTCTGTGTCCTGTGAATTGAAATTGGCGGTATCGATCAGGTGTTGGCGTATGCGGATGGAGGTATCTGTTTCTCCCTGATCCCAAAGTACATTTGCAACTTCATGTTGGGCTGTAGCTTGAACATCGAGACCAACAGCCTTACAAGGCTGCACAATGTCAGACAAGTAAGTAACACTGGCTAGCGACTCCTGAAGCGCGCCGTGCCGTCTACTGATCGTGGAAGATGATACAAGCGCCTCTACTTCCATATGTCGAAGGGCTCCAGGTCTTGCTCGCATGGAGTTTTGGAGCGATGTGTTTGCGCTGAGCACGCTGAATAACGTTTCTCGACATGATAGTACAAGGCGTACATCTTCAAATCTAATATGTAAGTCAGCAAGAAGTGCACAAAATAATACAAATAATACATACTCCCCAGCACGCATCCATTTTTCACGTGCTTTCATTTGATCCCAAGTATCAAGTACCTCTTCCGTACGTGAAGTACTCAATACCTCGTCAGCCTCCGTCAGCACAGCCAATGTTCGAAGGCGTGTCTTAACAGGGACGGCGGATGACTCTCTTCCTGAAAGAAAGTTCATCGTCGCCAGAAGTTGTCGATCTACATGTGCGCGCGCGTAGGGCACATCTTTAGCATTATGAAGGCCCTGAAATGCTTTAAAAAGGGTACTGGACTCGCTGTGGTTCACTTCTGGTGCCTTTATATCCCACTGTCCAAGATTGCGTGCTGTATGCAGTGTGCTGTCGACCGCATCATCTCCTAGTTCGCGAAATTGATCATTAGATAATAGTGAGTGAGTGACACTGTTCATGTTGAGTGTGATCAGTGACTTGACCATTCCCCGAGAATCCGATGAATCGATAGAATTGGATCGATATTGACTGTCGAGCCGAGCGCCGCGGAACAGTAGGCTTTTGATGCCATCTCCCTCGTATTCCAAACGGTCCAGAACAGATGAAAGGCTAGCTCCTCGGTCAATCCCATAGAAGGAGTCTGGCTCATCTAGATTCTTGTAAATCGAGAGCTGAAGCTCAACTGGAACCTTCGGAGGTTCAATCAGAATGGAAGATCTTCGTGATGCTGAGCTGACAATCGGTTGACCGGAAGATGTCTCTGCGAATAAGAGAGCACTCCTATACATACCGCAGGTGGTAGCGGCTTGTGATGCTTTCAGAAAATCAATTTTTAACCATCGATCTCGGTCCCCACGAGTCACCTCCTTTGGCGTAGGTTGGCTGCGTAGATAGAGGACAGATTGAATGATGATACTGACAAAAGGGGTGTTTTCGGGGCAGCAATTATCGAACCAAGAAGAGAATGCCTCTGACAACGTTTGGCGTACATTTTTGTCACCATCAAATTCCGCCAGTAAAACCAAATGCAAGATGTAAGGGAAGAGTTTCTCGGCCATTTGATCAATCCCAATGAGTACCAAGGACAGTGAGCCGAGGATAGGGTCTTGACTGGTGACTCGACAAAGAAGAACTGTGAGAGGCTTGATCCAACTGGATACGGTCTTGACCACGACTGGAGACGCAGCTTCCTTTAACATGCTTGCAGACACGGCTTCTTCCTTTTGTGATACCGAAGGAATGCACGGGTGCAAGGCATCTGCAATGCGTCTTGGAATGATATTCTCCAGTTCAGTCAGATAACTGTCATTGGAAAGCCGCGAGATGAGTAACCGAACGCACTCTTCCGCCAGACTGACTTCTTTCCGATCATCACTGTAGAATAGATCCACTATTTTCTTGATGATAGCTTCGCGGGAAAACGCCCCTAAAGAAGTTTGAGATGAGCGGAACGGCATAGACCAGGGTCGTGATTGATCTGTGATGCGTTTAACTTCTCCATGTGCACTGAATGCTCTCCCAAGAACCCTTGCGGCCCATAGTAAATAACCGTCCCCAATCTTACTTCTTTGACACGATTCCCAGACTTGTGAAGCATATTCTGCAACGTCCTTATCTGAACCTAGGACATCATCACGCGCATTGGGAGCAGGTTTGAAATTTTGACAGAGAAGGTCCAGGGCAACTTCGCGAGATGTATTATTTAGAAGCTTCCTTCCGTATCGGACATCGTCGAGGATTTGCAACAGCAGCTTGCTCTCCTCACTGCCACGAATAGAGTTTCCTTCGGTGCGAATTCGAGAAGCAGCCGCCATGATTTGTTGGAAAGCCTTGACTGACGAGCCTTTGCCATCTTTCTCTAAGGCATCAGAAAAAGACTCGAGGTAGTTGACGAACCAGGTGTGGAATCTTTGTGTTTTGTTCATTGTGGCAGCGTGTTGAGATTGCTGCGTTGTGCTGTCTTGCGAGGAGCCGAGGAACACACGTATAGAAATCAATATCGAGAGACCGATACCAGTAACAAAGCTGAGATGGGTGCGGAGATAAGTGGAACCGTGCTCGAACAGATACTGTATGATACCCAAAGTGTCGTCTGCGCATTGGATATCTGTAAGAAACGGACGAAGAGACTGAAGAGCCATCTGTAACGGGTACCCTTCGTAGGCTATATTTCCAGCGAGTGCAACAAGGATTCTGATTTTGCGAATAATGGATCGGGCATGAAGGGATCCAAGTGCTGGGTGTATGCGATCCAATAACATCCTTAATACAAAGGTATAATTGCCTGCCGTCCAGGAGTCAACAGGGTTCGCAGAGGTTCGACGGCAAAGGCGTTCGATTTGATCGAAAAGATAGAAAGCCGAAAATGAAGGTTCGATTCCAAGGTCAAAGTCTACTGTCGACTGGCTATAGTTGTTCATTTCCACTAGCGCTTTATTTGTCGACAAGTATGCAGGTCGTTTCTCCAGAGCCTTGGTGATGCGTTCCTCGTGGTGCATTGTCTGGACAATATGCCCCATGACTTGAGGGAAATAGTCCCTTATCAAGACTCCATAAGTGTCAGCTCCAAGTAGTTCTCGCAGGAGCATCGCATTACTCGCGTCTGCTTTGTTGCGTGCGAAACCTTTGCAGGTGTCCCAAGAGAGGGTGTATGCGGCAGCCTTTCCAAAATTGTCCTTCAGAATCTGTTCTGTAGTACTGCCCAGTTGTTGAGCTAGGTAGCTAATTTCCTCTTTCAAGCCGAGCATCATGGCTTGACCAACAGCTTCAGATTCAATATCGCGAAGAAGGGCTGGTAGATCAGCATAATTGAAGGTGCGGTAGGGAATCTCATCAAAGGTCCTTTGCCTATCTAGCCACGTGAAGATGATCTGAGGTGCAAAAAGTCGGAAGAGGTCCTGGGGATCACTTAGGTTTCTGGCATGTGCGACTAGTTCTATGCAGCGCTTCGCATGCTGGCCAGCACCGGAAACTGAGCCAGCAGTAGCAAAAATTCGATAGACGCCTTGTCGTAGGAGTGTATGCCATCGCGACGCAAGCTTGGACAGCACAAGAAGCCGAATCGCTATTCCTTCAAGCCAATCCGCACTACTTGGTAGGCTACTGTCGACGTCCTCTAGAATCTTATCGTGTTCTGGTAGAACGAAGTCTTCGAAAATGCTAGGTAGACATTCTGCGACGTGATTTTTGACAACGAGCTCCCCTTGAGCCAAAAGCTGGAACAGACTCGTACGCACAGAAGGCCCTTTCAGGCTTTGTCCGATATCAGGTTGGTCTTTGAGTAAACGGTGCAGTAAGGTTGCGAGCAAGATTTGCAAGTGTACAGACCTTCGAACTCCGCTCTTCTCCATCCCTCGAGTGTAATACGAATACAAGGCTTCGACATGCTCATAAAGATCTTGACCTTGGTGGTCAGTAGCAGTTGGGGATATTTCGGCTGATGCCCCAATCAGGACCTCCACTACCATGGCATTGGCGACTTCGGAAGTATTGTGCTCTCTTGCACGGGGCTCAATGAGGTCTTCTCCGAGGCGTTCGAGAATCTGCAAGTATGAGGACCCGGAAAACTTGAAGGACGACGATAGCAGAGCCCCTAGAAATTGTCGCCCGCGCAGCAGTTCGGCTTCGTGAATTAATGTGATTTGATGCACGAAAGCCGACGGTATAGTATCGGCGCCATTAGGAGGAACGTCTTTTAAGGAGGAAATGAAACTGCAATACATCGCACAAGATGCGCGAAGAGCAGCTATATCACTTTTGGCCTGTAGATCATGACGAGGAACGTCATGAACCGGATCAAAAGAACCACTAGCTGCTTGAGACTGGGGCACTTGGTCAATATCCATATCATCTTCTTCGCCATAAAAGGACTGTTTGACCTCTCTACGGTCTTGTAATGTTCGTGTAAGGTGTTTGGCTAAGGAAAGCACACCTGTTGATTTGAAGGGTGTGACGGATAAGCTTTCAATAGCACCAATGCTCGGTAAGTGCTTAACATATGCCTCAAGAACAGCGTCAACCTTGTACTGCTCCGTTTCCCTCTTGGAAAGATAGTCGACAAACTTTTGAGTGAATTCATCGGTGAGCGACTCCAATTCTGCCGTGCGAACATCGCCATTATGGAGGGTACTTAGAGCGGAGGAGACAACGCAGAAGCTGACGATGATACGCAACATATCAGAAGTCACAGCTTGTGGGTGCTGTTTCATCCACTCTTCCCATCGTTGCTTAACCTTCTCCAGCTCCGTTTGACAAAATTCTAAGATCCTCTTGGAAACTTGGCTCGGCTGATACTCTATGATTTCCGTGATCAAGGGCTGCGGAACTTTATCAGATAGCTGATAATCTGATTCATCATCAAGAAGCAATAGGTAATGTCTGAGATGAACCAAACTAGACGCTTGGATACGTGCTTGTGCAACGATCCCTAGAACTAGGAACGGCGCTCTAGGGGTAGAAGTAAATGGACGATCGAGACAAGCATGTAAGACTAGAAGCACATCTTGGGCCACACAATGATGCGCATTCAAGGATGAGTAAGTGCGCTCTGACCAAAGACCTAACAATTGTCAAACCGAATACTGCATGACCTTGTTGAGACTGAAACCTACTTGGTGTCCATTTGCTCAATATCCAGTTGAGAACTCTGTCGGCTGTCTGATTATATTGCGTCGGATTCTCGGCAACCTTCTCTCGTACAATTGTAGCCATCAACGACGAGCTTGCTTCACTAACGACTGCAGGTCCGCTAAGCTCTATTGAAAGAAGCATAGATTGCACGGTCTCAGATACGGCTGAGAAGGGAACGATTCTTAATTGAAGAAGAACATTCGCGAGATGGCATGCTGCACGAGATGATGACACGGATGTTACCACACGGGAGGCACTTTGCCAAACCGATATCCAAAGAGGAAGTAACGAGGACTGCTTCGCAGATCGTTGGAAAGCAGTACTAACAGTGTGAGTGTAATCATACAAGAGGTTATTGTCAAACTTACGCAGCCAGTGCGATCATAGCCCAGGATGAATGAACCGGATTCTCGTCAGCGATATAAACTGTAAGCCTCTCGAGTGTCGATCTGACGTCCTCTTCTGTGAGAGGTCCCTCCTGAACCATGAATGCGAGGACTTGTAGCGCTGCCCGTTTGGTATTAGATCTAGACCCAGAGACATGGCGGAGAAAATCTTGAAAATGATTCGTTGCTCGTGGTCGCTTTGCAAAGCTCTCCTCATCATGATCACGACCTTGGGCCTGCACACGCTTGCGCTCATCCAGCATGGAAGAGTAATGTGCAATGGCTGATACAGTAGCCCAGAGTGTTTCACTACGATGATAGCCCATTTCAAGTGAGAATGCATATGTATTGAGTGGGTGTGTATCAAGCCTTGGCTTGCCGATTGAACGAAAACATAAATGATCATCTTCAAGAAACTGAAGAGTAGCATTTTCTTGTCGACGCCGATAATCTGCGTAGATTACCTCGATAAGTGCCTCTAAATCAAAGCTAGCACTGCTGGCTTCCTTGTCGGATAGTATGCTTGCAAGATGAGTCTCTGTGTGCATCAAAGTAATGAGGATCTCGTCTCTCAATGAGATATCAGACCATAAGTTCTTCATAAGCGGCAAAAGTTCCTGTATTATGCTCTTCGTAAGCTCGGAAAAATGTAGGGATATGCGCACTAGGACACAATTGATGGCTGCAAGTGCGGCTGAGTGTCCTCGGCCAGTTCGATGCTGCAGAAACTGAATGAGTGTGTGAAATATGGGGTCAGCCTTGGTCAATACGGGGGCATTTGAGGCTTTTGTCAGAAGAAGAATGCAATGCACAAAGTCTTCAGCAGTGTGTGAAAATTCCTCGGCGATGAAATGGCTTTTTCCTGGCCGGTCTCGCGAAATCGATTTTGTCACAGGTTCTGTCGCACCCAATGGGGTTCGACTACGTGAGGAGACGGTAGTACTCCAACTATGAGGCTGCTCAACATCTGGTTCGACGAAGAAAGTGACCAGAGCATCAGTACAAAAGTCTACTGCTGCGCCCCAGCAATCCTGTGAGAGCCGTTCCACGTGCGGCTGGTACTCGAGCAGTGCTCTTAAAGCCTTGGGGAGGTCTTCCAGTAATGGTTTGATGAGTCCATCGTCCTTCCCAGGAAGAACTTCGATTATAGTTTCTACAATGTTTTCCACCGTTGAGCTTTTTATCGTTCGGACTCCCGAGTTTACGATTTGACGGAGAGCAGAGGCGGACAGCGGTAAGAGGGCGGCGGTTTTCGCGGATTTCGATTTGCCTTTGAGAAAGGTTGACCTTTCATCGCGCATACATTGAAACAAAGTCTCGCACAAGGCGTGATATGCTTTGTTCCCAAGGACTTCCAAAGTAGGCTTGCCCTGGTTGTGACGCAGTATATGAATTAAATCCTTCAGGCCGGCGGTCCGATCATTCAATTTGCTAGATGATATCAAGACTACAATAGATTAGCAAACAAGATATGAAGGCGATTTACTAGGTGCAATAAACTCTACCTTTGGCGTCTTGAATGTTGGTAACCCCCATGGTGGCAGTTCGTAGTCCTCCGCAGACCAAGCATCTCTAGGACACAGCACGATGCGCGAGAGGGAAGAAGAAAGCGACGAGCAGATTGAGACGTTATCATGCGCCACCGTTCAACATGCAGCGATTCTCACATGCCCCTTAGCCATGTCGCGGCTCAAAAAAGTGAATGGCAGGCTCGGAGGAGCTATGACATCTCAAGCAATTGCGGCAGGAAGGCGACTCGGATGGGGTGCCTGCCAAGACAAGCAGGGATTAGACGCGCCTGGGAGCTTCATTGTAATGCTCAAAACTTCAAGCTCACCACTGAAGTCGGATTCCCCACGCGACGGACGAGGATTAACCCATAACCTTGGATTTCTGATACCTGCGGCTGTCTTTGTTCATTGCCAGGACAAACAAAACCCCCAGTGACCCCGCGCAATCACCTATTCATCCACCGCGCTGGAGCGACAAAACTAGGACTACAGATCAACAAACAACCCCCAGAGCTGTCCTGCCTGTCTCATCACTTCGCGCATGATGCTTAAGGTAGGATATAATCGCATACGTTATGTCTGAATTCGAAGATAGCCTCGGCGGCCTAGAGGGCCTTCACCGCGACCTCACTGCTCTCGTCTATTCAAAACTTCCCGTCCTCGAACGCCTCACCGACCGCCTAGAAGCATATCTGGATGAGTTCCAAACGTTGTTAGACAAAAAGCCACGAAACGACGCAAGCCGCAAGGAACTTGCTGCTGGTAAGTAGGTTGCATGGGCGATATATATATTGGATCCTAACAAAGACGCAGACAAGGTCAAGCTCGGCGAGGTGGAGTACAACCTGAACGATGACTTCAAACAAAATTCCCTAGACATAGCTGAAGGGTTGGATCTGGATGAGATCGAGGCAGCCAAACTCTTTCTTGATGCCGAAAAACAAGCCAGGGACTTTGGCGACTCTCAAATCAAGACCGCGTTCCTTCGATTCCACAAACGTCGCGAGTACGTCGTTCTATGCATACGAATATTGATGAAGGCTGTCATGGATAATAATGGAACTGAATTGGAAGACCATGAAATCCTCTCCAAGGCCGTCCGCATCATCATAGGACTCGGCAATGGCACAGGCAATGTCAATTTTGGTCCTGCACATGCATTTTGGGACAAATGCTTGAAGACAATGCAGACAATTGAAGCCCAGATACAGCAAAATCTCGATCGGCTACAAAAAGCTCACATTGTGGGAACGGTCGCCTCGTCCGAGCTTATCGAAATCATCAATCTACAGCAAGATAGCTTAACCCGACAACACGAGCACCTTGCGGCTATTTGCACCCACATGGTCAAGCCCGGATTCGCAAGCTTAGAGAATTTCAAGACGTTGTTATCCAGGCTGAAGACTCTAGACCGGCACGACATCATAACTATTCACTACACACCCATCGTCGTACGTTTGATCTCATGGATCGCCGCCGAAGAAAATGTCTCCACGCGAGATGCGAGGGCACTTCATCAGACACTTATGGCGGGACGAGAGAGCGACAACTGGCTTCTGAGAAGTTTTCATGCTGCTACCATCACCTGGTGGCTCGCCGAGTACAGTGGTCGTTATATAGATCCCAGCCAACAAGATCCCGATCTTCAGGGCATCGATCTCGATAAAGAAGCCAATGAGCGGTCCGAAGCATTTCTCAAAGCCCTCGATGACGGTGCATTTCATTTCATTCTTTCCGTTAGCCAAGACATGCGACCAGCAAAAGGCTACAATCCAACCAAGACTAGCATGATTTCGTTGCTGCTGCAAGACACAGCTGTACTTCCCCCGGACTCTCCTCAACCTGAGCCTCTTTTTCCAATCTTGGTTATGGAGCAACATCAAGTCTTCGTCGATTCCTTTATCACAAACATGCCAGATACACTGCGGAAGCTGAAGGTAGAAGAGGATGACCAGAGGAAGCGCCTCCAGGTGAGCTTCCAAAGAACAACGGGTGACCAGCCATTTCATCTGGAGAGGTTCCTGGTCATCGTATCCTTCGCCTTCGACGGATTCCCAGAGGCCGCAGAAGAGTTCTGGGCCGACAAAGAGAGCAACCTCTACGGATTTCTGCAGTGGGCCGCGAAACGACAACCAACACCTCGCATTGCTATGTTTTGTGAGATGTTGCGAGCAATCTCTTGTGGAGAAGCCAATTCAGAGTCAGCGCACCAATTTCTACTGGAGGAAGGTACTTCTGCATCCGGCAAAATTCGACGGACGAGCTCCCTCAGCTACTCCCACATTTTCCTTGAGCTGGTTGAGTTCCAAACCAATTTACACGAACCAAAGAAGAACGTACAAGGAGCACTCTACCCGTCTGCGCCAAATCCCGTCGATCAGATCGTAGAGCCTGAGAGCGCTAGCATGTTGGAGAGTTACCTCCGCCTACTCTCCCATCTTTGTCAACAAAATGAGTCTGCTCGCAGCTACATACTGAATTACGGCGACTACAATTTTGCGGCCATCTGCTTTGGTCTTTGTGCCGATAATGGGGTGGCTGCCCTTCGAGCGTCTGCTTTCGACGCACTAGCTGCTCTGTTGATCGGCAAGACTGTCGAACGCGGAGATGCCATGTGGTATAATCTAGAGGAATGGGTCGCAAATGGGTTCTATGCTGCTGCAAAACAGTCTGGCGCTATCAATCCTGTTCCTCGGGATGAAGTTTGGGCAACACTTGCTGATGGATACGACGAGTCGCTCGCTTTTATCCGCTTGTTAGACCATCTTGTTCAGCCGTGCGACGGCAACCCCGGGCTCAATGATACACTTCCGTTCCCAGAGAATCTCGGTTCCTCGCGACGAATGCCTGGTATCGAAAAGTTCATCGATTTCGTCATGTACGATGTTTTCGCTGAACATACTTTGGAAATTCAGGACCCTGTGCAACAAAATGTACTCAGATGGCACTGCTTTCGCTTCATGTTGACCTGTCTGACAACATTCAACGAAAACCTGGTCATCTTTGCGAACAAATCAAGCATACCCGTCGACTCGGTGATAGGAACTTCATCCCTCCAGTCATATGTCACCCTCCATCCTTTCTCTCGTGTGATGGAGTGGCTTTTCAACGACAAAGTCATCAAGGCTCTATTTGCTTCGTGCCGCTATGACGTGAAAGTAGTCAATGCTGCCGCGACGGATTCGCCTTTAATCGAATCGTTGCTGCTCGGCATTCAGGTCATGGACTCGGTGATGAAGTTACAGGCTACATACTTAGACATCGTTCGGCCAGTTCTCAAGCAACAATCGTCTTTTCAGCGATCACCAGTTTCTAACCTTTCGCTTACCTCGTTTGAGGATGCCGTACTCAACAATCTACAGGTCATTGTGGATCTCGGCCTATATTGCGGCACTGGACACGAAGAGCTTACCATCAAATCCCTTCTTCTGCTCAGGAAATTTGCCTCTTCGCGGAAACTCGCCGTGTCTCCAGCAGGATTCGGCCAGCGCTCAGGCCGCAGCAAGATTGTTGGGATTCTAGAGAGGGACAATGAAGCTGAACAAATCGGTCGTTTACTTGTAGACACGATGCAGATTCGCGAGGAAGAGTTCGAATATGGACCTGTTGCTCCGAGCTATCGCATCAAAATCCACGTACTTGATTTTCTCAACAGCTGTCTTGCCGCAGTGTCGACACGCCCAACACTTGCACATATCCTCCTCGGCTTCTCATGCGAGAGTACGACAGTGCGAATCGCAGAGGACGGCCTCTGGTCGAACGGGCAGTCGTTGTTCCATGCTATCCTCATCATAGCCGCCAATTATCCTGAGCAAGATGGTATCACTTTCGTTCCTTGGCAATCGGAAATCAAGGCGAGGGCTTGGGAAATTCTCCAGAGGTTGTGGAGGTCCCGACTTACCAGTGCAATTGTCATGGAGGAGCTTAGAACCAACGAGCTTCTCTTCATGCATGCACCTAGTCTGCTGGCCGTGGATGCAGGCACTCTCTGGGACGGGGTATCTCTTGCACAGGCCGCAGAAGAACAAGCCGATGTGGCTTTATCAGACTTCTTCTCGGGGCCACCGGCTGCTGCTCTACAGCATTTCCTCCAGCAACGCGCTGCGTTCCTTGACTATGAGTCAAGAGAGTTGCGTTTGACAGTGAAGGAAAGTATGCTTGGTCTCAAGTCCAGGATACAGTCAGTACTTCTAGGGATTACAATTCGCCCTGGAGAGGATCAGATACCGAACCTGGACATCTTTGATTTATTCGGCTTCACAGATTTTAATTTCCCGGAGCGACATATCCCTGAAAGTAAATTATTAGAGGGTATAAGTCTCTCCATCCTCCAAGAAGACGACGACGGCGTGGTTACATACTCACTTCCTCTTGCTGAGCAATTATTCCTGCTTAGAATCAAGGCTTGGAAAAAGGACGGGACCATAAGGAGTGCAGATGAGGAAACAGAAGCAATTGTTGCTTCAGATCAAATGCTACTGATCTTCGCCGATTACAATCGCCGTACTCAGCTTGCCCGTTACCAGAAAGATATCCTTCGATCATGGGTCCAGGTTCTGACAATAGCCATTCAGAGCGGAGAGTTTGATGAAAATGTTCGAACCTCTCTGATTTTGCAAACAATCCAGGTCATTCTGCCCAAGCTGGAAATGGCATACAATTATGATGCATTCACGGCCTTGCAACTTGCTGGACTCGCCGAGACCTTGATTCAAAAAGTAGATTTTGAATCTACAGCATTTGAAAAGACTAGAACAGGGGATTTCGCTAACGACCGCCTGTCGCAACTATTTAGAGCGGCTTTGGTCGGCATCTACTGTCCCGTTTCCAGCACTGAGCTTCGGGAATTATGCTATCAGGTAGTTTTCCGGTACATCCAAGGTACACTCGACAAAGCTGGCAAGGACTCTCCACTTTCACGTCATATTCTGATCGTGGTAAAGAGCCTGGGTGGCCATATGCTAGAAATTGTGTGCGACGATGCATATGGGGGACAAGGAACATGCAAAGTATCCGCTCTTCTTGTCCTCAGTGCTTTAGTCGCGGTCGCTATCCGCCAGGAGTCGAAATATGTTTTGGAGTCATTCGTCTCTTTGAACTTCATCGGCGTCCTTGTGGACAATATCAAACACATTCCCGATGAACTGAAGGCTGCACCTGCATCTCAGACACCACTCCTGCTATCTTATTACGACGCTAGCTTGGCCCTTCTTCTTCGCATTTGCCAGACACGCCTCGGAGCTGCGTACGTTCTCAATGCGGGATTCTTCCCTGCTATCCGCGAATCGAGAATCTTCGACGTGGATCCAGACATCGGTCTAGGTAAGGTCTAGCTTGGCATGAATCGAGAACTTCATACTAACGATCGTTCCATCATCAGAGTTTGATAACCCCAATGCACTACATAGGTACTTTGATCTTATGCTCTCGATTCTGCGCGTTATCAACGCTGCCGTCATTGCACGAGGTCGACAGAACGAGCAAACGATTTTCCAAGCCCGTGAATTCTTGAAAGAGAACCGGCAAAGCATGGTATCAATATTCAAGAGGAGTGTAAATATAGGTGCCATCAAAGACGGCGTCAATGAAGACTTGAGTGATCTAGTCGATTGCTGGACGGTTCTTGTGGAAATAACAGGTTTCCTACAGGTATGTCATGCATCCGCTTCCTCCTCTATTTGAACAAAACTAACATCCTGCAGTACGAGGATACTTCGAGCTTGAAGAAGACCCGTCCAAATGTCTTCTCGTAAACTATAGCATACTGGATTGGATTGATAATGCAAAATGGGTTACGGAGCATATTGAATCGCGACTATGTCGCATGTAGGATTTCAGAATAGTTGCTCCAAAGAGCATCAGCATATACCAATAATATTTTGACCCAACCCTGTGGTTCTGGTGTGGTGCTATACGTCCCGAAAACTGACCGAGTGGCCGCTGCTATAGTGTAAGCATACTTGAAAACCACCCGCCAACTTCTACAATAGTTGTTCGGCAACTGCGGAATAACATGCTTCTAACAATCTTTCGCATGACTTTCAGATTTTCCTTTTTATCCTGGGATATGTTTGGATGCCGATGCATCGGCCCTGAATGACGTACTTGTTCACCAATAATACAGTGTCTGTTCGCCGAAGTCTCTACTCGAAAGTCTCACAGATGCCGGCGTCTTGTAAGTGAGATCAAGCCACAGAAAGTTCGGCATAATGGGGTGGTTATGGTTTACAATCAGTAACTGATTTAAAGAGCAGGAAAGTCCGCAGGGAATTGGAAATCATCATCTCATCGAACAACATAACAACTTACAAGTCCAACCATATACTAGACCCTATCTCACCTATTTTGATATCAACAATATCGTACAATAAATCTAACTCACCACAACTAATTCCTCCAAAAGACTTCAGAACAGACCCAACACAACTTCCATCATGTCTGAACTCCCCAAAACCCAAAAGGCCGTAATCTTCAATACCAACACAACCCAACTATCCCTCTCAACCACCGCCCCAGTCCCCACCGGACCGCCGGAGGAACACATCATCAAAGTGCACTCAACCGCCATCACCAACGGCGAACTCACCTGGGGCCCCTTCGTCAATTGGCCTGTCGAGCACGTCCCCGGCTTCGATGTATCCGGTACAATTGTCACCACAGTCCCCGGCTCCAAGTTCCAAGTGGGCGACAAAGTATACGGCCGCATCGGAGCGGCGCGGGAGGGCGCCGCAAGACAGTATGCGACTATACTACCCAGCGAGACCGCGCTCGTGCCCGAGGGCCTTGACATGGTTGATGCGGCGAGTGTGCCCATGAGCGCGCATACTGCTTGGCAGGCGCTTTTCGAAAAGGGGCTGATCACTGGCTCGTTTTCTCCCAGCTCTGTCCCGCACGTTGGGAAAGACGGGAACTTTGTCGGAGATCAGGCGAAGGGGAAGAGAGTGCTAGTCCTCGGGGCGGCCGGTGGTGTAGGGTTCCTTGCGGTACAGTTTGGGAAGCTTGCTGGAGCGACGGTATTTGGGACGGCGAGTGCGAGGAACCGGGAGCTTTTGGAAGGATTGGGTATTGATGGGGTGATTGATTACAATAAGACTTCTATGAAGGATTGGATTTCGGGAGATGAAGAGAAAAAGTTTGATCTTGTGTTCGATTGCGTAGGTGGGAAGAGTATGCTGGATGGGTGGAATGCTGTGAAGGAGAACGGCGTCTATGTCTCTGTTGTGGTAGGCTTCAAGGAACCTGATGAGGGCAAGCCGGCTGGTGTGAAGAGTATATGGTTCATCATGGATGCTCGAGGGCCGGAGCTTGAGGCCATCGGTAAAATTATCGCGAAGGGATTGATAACTACTAGCGTGGACAGCATCTGGGCGATCGAGGAGTACGAAAATGCTTTCAAAAAGACAGCCACAGGCCACGCAAAGGGCAAGGTTGTCATCAAGGTGACGGACAATTGAACTGAAACGGCTTTTGGGATTTTTGGTAGGGACAAAATTGGCGGCGCAATAACTCCACTCTTCCTGTATCTTTTACACCCGACTAGTAGATAGATGAATACTCTTTGAACCCGTCTTTTCAGTCTTGGACATTCGTAATTGATGGTGCTCGATTCTTGTTGAAAGCTCATTGCTATGAAAATTACATGTCGCATAAAGTCCACGCCGGTCAGCCTTTAAGCTTCCTCAGTGAAAGCAGTGTACTCCTCCTTGGTCATGAGGGTACCCTCGGGCTCGCCGTCGATCTCGACCTTTGCAATCCAACCCTCGCCCTCAGGGTCCTTGTTAATGCCGCCGGGCTTCTCCTCAAGCGCGCTGTTGACTTCCACGACCTTTCCACCGACAGGGGTAAGGATATCGGAGGCGGACTTGACAGATTCGACGGCGCCAATTGCATCACCTGCGCCGACTTCGAGGTCAACTTCTGGGAGCTCGATGTAGACGACGTCGCCGAGGGCTTTGGCGGCATAGTCGGAGATGCCGAGGGTGGCTGAATTTCCGATTAGATCGAGGATACTAGGTAGAATATATCGGGAAGCATACCGGTCTTGCCGTCGGCAGAGATATCAATCCATTCGTGATCCTCTGTGTATTTCTTCTCCAAAGCTATTTCGCTGTCAGTAGAAGTCCAACAAAGCGCAATTGTGCCTCCATAAATCCTATTTCTGCCTGGTGAAGCTGGGTGAAGCTTTGAAGCAGACCTCTATGCTTCTAAAGGGGAATTGGGGCTTTTGGAGATTTCTTATCGTGCAAAAATGCGAGGGGAATTCCTTACCAGGTGCAGTCACCGTGAATAACCGGGCCTGTGCAGGAGTTGCTTGCCAGCGTTGGCATGTGATGGGTGCGAACGGTCTGCGAATGGCAGAGGAAGTCAATTGACGAGCTGCGCGAGCAACAGAGAATCGAGAGGCCATTTTGAATTGAATATAATTTGAGGATTATCGAGAAAGAAAGATTGTTGGAGCTGGAGCTGTTGTCTTTCAAGTGGGATGACGGAGACAGACACGCCAAGACCGCTAAATCGATAACGCACGGAGCTCTCCCGGAGGTTCTCCGACGGTTGAAGATTTTGGGAATCTCTAGTCTGCAGCAGCAAACACCATCAATATCCACAAGCACCATGTTGTACGAAATGATTGGAGTGGTATGGACATTGTCTATGCGAACAATTGATTGAGACAGATAGCTGACAATAGCAGGTCCGGCCTGGCCGCCTCTCCGAAGTCAAGGAGTACGACTCCCATACGCAGCGCCCCTCTACAATATCGCGTTACTGATCGCTGAATAGAATCGCCAAAACCGCCGGTCGCATTATCCTCGAGAAAAATGGAGTTATTCGAGGCGTTACAAACTGGGGCACATTTCTCCTTCCCAAACCCGCAAAGAAGCTTCAATCATCACACCACACTGGCCACCACTTTATCATGCGCTTTGATGCCTCACCGAAAACCCAGCATCAACTGAGAAGAACTATGAGTTTGGATCCCAGACTGATACGCTACTCGATCGTTAAGATGGGCATCAAACTCGAGGACATTAAGGATATACCTGGAAAAGCAGAATTCAGATGAATGAGAACTGGACAACGAGTACAAAAGCATAAGGGCCACATGAGGAGGGAAAGTGTATTATGATCGGTGTACATTAAAGGAAGTGCATAGCTTTCGGCGTTTAGGCACAATTGCTTAGGATCTGCTAGGGTTTGAGGAACACTCGACCACAAGGGCAATCGGTCTGCTATATCAAATGCGATTCGAATTCTTATCGACATACCAATTACAAGCTTTACTCCAAACTCTTGCTGCGCATCGGTTGCCGTCAAGCTTCGACCACATAAGAGCAATTGAAATCCGTACTTTGGCCTGATATGCTTGGACGGTGAACTTGCAGCCGAGAACCCATTTAGATTCTCCTGTCGTATGACAAAGGGGCACGAGTAACTCTGTCCTTGATTTGCATTCCATTGTCGTTCTGTTACTGGAAGCTTTTGAACAGGCAAAGGCGTGTGGCTGCTTGTCCTCTACCAACAAGTGGTAAGGAAAGTTTATGGACTAACGAAGACCGGATCATCGAAGTAGTTACCCTCAAATGATTGATTTTACTTTCCGGCGAACAGCAGTCAATGATTCCGGCGTCTTTCGAGAAGTCATTGAATGCTCGCAACAGAAACATGAAAGCGGTGATATTTCATCAAGGTATTATGGTACTGCGCTGCTTGCACAGTCCAATGCGTTCTAGTCGACTCGACCACATGCCCTTTGTTCCATCATCGAGCCAATATTGAACGCAAAGCTAAGGCTCCCATTGGTTGGTCCAGTTCTAATAATTGCCGCCAGATCCTCAGAAACTTGTCCCATGATCTGCCCTACAGTGCCTCGAAGCACATCTCGCAGGCAAACATTCGGCTTGTATTTTCCGTGCCAGAACATTGCACAATTGACCAGGGGTCACCATAATTACAAGCCATGTGCGCTGGACCAGAAGAGGGGTAAGACAAGCGGTGTTCATTAAAGAGACACAATACATGGTCGCTGACTCGTTACTACTACATGGTAACATGGAATATAAAAATTGTGCACAAATCATTGTGCATCACACATTACAGCATGACAAAATATCATGAATAAAATTCTACCAAGATAATATCCATGGGGAGTTCATAAATTCCCTTTGTTACCCCGGATTGTCGCTCCACACTGGCCCAAGCTCAAGCTCCCCATAGCTCAGTTACCCCAGGCGACCCAGCATCGGAAAAGGACATCCTCGACCCTGACAATGATTCACCAATTCACCCATACTGACTCCAGATTCGTTAATTCTCAGAATTAGGGCTTGAAAACCAGCATGATAAGCTTTCTACGGCTTTTACTTCAGGATGGACGACGGCTATCAGTGGGAATCGCTAGGCTGGGGTTAACCTGAACGAGGAAATGAGATACATCTTCCCGTGGGGTATATCTATCTGACCAGGCCCTATGAAAATGTTCATGCGAATCTTTCTTTCTAGTTTGCGCCCTATCTGAGTGCAAGACACACACACAAACACGCTACAATGGCAGTCGACGAGAAACAAGAAGTTGACCAACATTCCTTTGAGGGTGATCCTGTGAAGAACTCGGGCAGCTTGAAAGAAAAAGATGAAGAACATAATGCTCAATCATACATTCCACAGAGCGATGAGGAATATAATGTCACAGTCAAGACATGGTGTGTAGTTTTGGTGAGAACTTGACAGCGCCGAATACTGTGCGGCTATCTAATTGCATGTTAGATTCTCGCTATGTCATATGGTATCTCTTTCTGGATTGTACCGGCAATCAGCGCCTGCCAGGCTGTTACCGCCACTCAGCTCGGTGATCCGAGTGCTGCTGCTTTCTATGTTTCACTATACACGGTTGGTGTTGTTTTCTTCCAGTCTACGATCCCGTACTGACATGTCTCCATAGGTGACCGTCACCATTGCGTTCATGTGAGTAACACGCCCCATACGATCTGTCAAGACTATCTAAGAATGTTAAAATTAGGGTTTGCGGAGCCAATAGCGATTTATTTGGACGCCGGTGGTTCATCGTGGGAGGGAATGTCATCCTCTTTATCGGATTTATCCTGGGCGGTACAGCGAAGAATAACACACAAATGCTGGCTGCGATGTCTCTCATTGGATTTGTGAGTTCCCAAGGGGCCATTCCAACGACAAGTAATAACAATCTCATAGGGAGCTGGTAACGCTCAAGTATGTCTGATCTACAAAACACCTTTGTTCCAGTACAGGACTGACAATGATACAGCTTGCGGCCTTCGCACTTCCAGAACTCCTACCCAATAAATGGCGTGCAGCTGCAATCGTGCTTGCTGGTAATTATATTCCCTTTCCTAACTTGAATCTTGCTAACAATGCCAGATATTGGAGTCTATTTCGCCGTAGTCGTAGGTCCCGTGGCTGGACGCTTTGCCGCCCAGAATGGTGACTCAGTATGATGTCTCTTCGTCAGATCGTTTTCTAATACTGATTATCTCTTCAGTGGAGGTGGCTATTCTATGGACCTGCAATCGCCGTCTTCTTTAGCTTTCTGGGATTGTACTTCTACTACTTCCCTCCAAAGCACCCTCGAGGTCTGTCATTCCTAGCCTTTACGATACTGAAACTTACATGTTCTCAGGTCTTCCAATGAAACAAGCCCTTCGAGAACTCGACTATATCGGTGCCTTGCTCTTCACTGTCTCCGCTACTCTCATCCTTGTCGGCATCGTCTATACCACAACCACACCTTCCAGTGATCCAAAGGTCATCGGCACTCTTGCCAGTGGCTTCGTAACGCTCGTAGCCTTCGCTCTATGGGAGACTTTTGCACCACTGAAGCAGCCACTCACACCGACACACGTCTTCACCCGCGGCAAGGGTCGTGAGCTCACTGCCCCCTTTTGCGCGGGCTTCGTCGTGACAATGTTTTACTACGCCGTAAACGTAATCTACCCAACCATGATTGCAGTTTTCTTCACAAACGAGACGACGGACTACAGATATGGGATAGTGCTGACATTGCCAGGCAATCTGGGTAAGTTGAATTGACTTCAATCGAAAGAACAAGAGTACTGATCCTCCGCCTAGGATTGTGTTTCGGCGCAGCACTGCTCACCGTATTCGGCAGCAAGATCGGTCATTGGAAGTGGACGCTGACGGCCTCGGTCACTGTCATGGTAGTGTTCGGTGCGCTGCTCGGGCTCGGAAATCCAGAGCGGAAGGGCATGATGATTGCCTTTGTCTTCCTTTGCCAGGTAGGCTTCGGTTGGGCGCAGTATCTTTCCATCGCCTTTATCCAGTTCGGTGTTCCACAGGTCGAACTTGGTATCTCCGGTGGTCTCGCTGGTGTGGCACGATTTGCTGGCGGCGCTGTCGCTATCTCTGGTAAGTCTGAACTTCGAAACTCTGGTAGTATGGAATGAAAATGTTAACGGCTGCTAAAGTGTACACGTCAATCTTGACAAACGTACAATCCACAAACGCTGCAAGACTCGTTCCGGCTGCCGCCATCGCCGCAGGTCTTCCCGCCGATTCTGCTGCCGCACTCCTTGCCGCGATTCCCCTCGGCTCAGCAGCTATCGCCAAAGTGCCCGGCATCACGAACGAAATCGCAGCCGCGGCGGGTGCAGCCTTTCAGCAATCATACGTGGTTGGTCTCCGCACAACTGCACTGTCTAGTCTGAGTTTCGGTGTGATTGCAATCATTGCATGCCTCTTTTGCAACGAGATCGAGCACAAGATGAATGATAAGATAGAAGTATTCTTGGAGAATGACGAGAACGCGGACAAGAACAAGTTCCATTAGGGGTAAGGTTTTGCTTTGACGGGATTTGTCTATGTTATCCACTTATGTAGCAGAGTACTAAGTTATAATAAATCGATCAATAGCTTGAACATAAGTAATGACATCGAGTCTATAGTAATACTCAATGATGAAATACATGGAATTACACCTCCTCACATCACCGAACGCCGACGCCTTTCTACTATAGATACCCTACGGAGACACGACCTTCGAATCTTTCGCCCCCATCTTCATGTCCTCACCTCCTGTCTCTTCACTCCCTACGATCCCTTTCCCTTGCTCACCACTGGCCTCCGTCCCCACCCCATTCTCCTCAACCTCCTCACTAGCAACCCCATCATACCCCTTCGCCCTCTTCCGCCTAACCAACACCCAAGCCAGTACCGCACCCCCGATCACAACAACAGGCACCACAACCGCAATCGCAATAACCGCCCCCTTCGACAGCCCCTTCTTCTTCCCCCCACATCCAAACTTTCCACCACTCTTCCCATTCTTCCCACTATACCCGTGTCCGCTATTCCCACTATTCCCACCCTTCCTCTTACACTTGTGAGTCCCCGCCGGGTCACTCCAATCAATCGCCGGCCCTGTCGGTTTCGAGTTCGTCGTAAGTGGCGGTGAAGTTGAGGTAGAAGTCGTGGGAGAGGCGGCGCCGTTGTACCTGAGCTGGATTGCGGGAGCGTACAATCCGCCGGCAGCGCTACCGGCACCGTACAGCCATGTCGTTATCGCCGTCGACTCCTTGATCGTGTTTGGATCTCCGGCGCAGAATGATACTTGTTGTGTGAACGTCGGGGGCGCTCTGCACCCGTTCGTTATGTCCCATGTGAAAGACCTACGTTCTCTATCAGCACTTTTCCCTGTGAACATACGGGAAAAAGGGGGAATGGAAATACAAAACTCACGACGGACAACACACGACCCCCGTCTCCGCCTTACCAATCCCCTTAAACACCTTCCCATCACTCCCACTCGTCGCTGCACTCCAACCCCCAGGACAATCCGACGCGGGCGAGAAGTACGCATTCACCTCCCCACCGCCTGCTTTGGCAGATATCTCGGCGAGTTTCTTGCCGGAGGGGAGGCAGTCTGGGTTGAAGTCTGCGACGGGGGCTGGGGTGGTAATGGGGGTTTTGCTGGTGAGGCATGATGCGCCGTAGAGGGCTTTGAAGGGTGGTTCAGCGGCGCATGATGTGCTTGTGCAGAGGGCTGCGAGGGCGACGGTGCAAGAGGATGGGGGAACGAAATTTGTTGGTAGGGGGCCGAGGGCTGTTGGGGTGGTCATGTTGGTGGTGATGGGAGAAAGTGGGTGTGTGCGATTTCGAGGGCATTTTTTTGGAATTGGGTTGGGCATATGTATTTGGTGGTTTGTTGGGGGATGTGACCAAATTGAGGCAGTATGCATGATCGTGATGTTCGTCCCTGCTGTGCCACTGCGAGACATGTGAGCGGCGGTTAGACAGGTGATGCGGTGCAAATTCAGTCCCAGGCAGCGGTTTTCTTATCTTGTATTGCTTGTGTTTTATTGTCAATGCTTAGCTGGTAAGCAACTTGAGGTACTTGTACGTCCAATTGATACATCCAAGAGTTGGCGCTGGGTCAGTTCCTGGATAAAGTCCGTTGACAGCTGAAACACTATCGTCAATCGTCAACAGCATATCAACCACAATTGTCAACTTACAACATTGTACCACCACCCTCAACATCACCCATCTTGAGGATACACCAACCCTGCGTCCCTCCTCACCGCATCCATAAACCCCAACATTCTCACCGTCTGCCCCAACGGCATAACCCCATTCTCCCCCCTCCCCTGTGCGATATCCACTGCCACCGCATCCGCCTCATAAAAGAACTCCAACATCCTCTCCGGCTGCCTAAACTTAAACATCTCTTCTCTTCCCTCATCTCCCCCCTCTTTGGCAGTCTTCTTACTCGAAACCTTACAGGCACGCTGGGTCCAAGTCCGTAGATAGTGATCGTCCCCTCTGAGCCCTCAATGCGCGCGAAGTCCGCACCACCCTTGACGTGCAGCGAGGCAGTGCAGATAGTTATCTTAGACGTGGACTCGCTTCCTTCTGCGGGGTAGCGAAGTACGACTCCGTTGTGAGCATGGTGGAGATCCTTCCCGTTGCGGTGACATTGAATTAGCATTCTGTCTCGTGATATCGGATGGAGTAGTCACCTAGAATGCTCCATCGAAGGACGGGCAGTTGAGGGTTGGATTCACTCATCATGTGAACAAGAAAGGTTTTACTGTCAAATTATGCTATCGTGTTACTCTAAGATTGGGTTACGATCATTATTTGGTCCATCGAATGTCGTCCACATTAGCATCGTAGAGTCTAACAACTAAATAGTGTGGGGTGTGGGCTTGGGTTGTGAACCGGCTCTTCCGACACCAGAATGCTTCTTTTCATCATCAGCGCCTTGATCATTGTTGGCTTTATTGAACCATAGCCTTCTATTAGACGTACTTGAAGCTAGATCGTAGAGAATCAATTGAGCCTCCTGCATCCATGCCAAGCCTGACTGATCACTTCATTCTCGTACACTGGCATACAGAAGCGAAGGTCTTAACAAGTTGAACTTCAATATTATTGTAATCTTACAGTATGTCTGAACGACCGACATATCGTGCTCATAGCGTTGCCCCACGGGTATAATGGTACATAAAACAAATCCCCTCCCCTTTCATACTCTCGCAAGAGAACAAATTTTCCCTTCCTATCATCCTCCATATACCTTTCCTATTTGAAGTAACGAAACGGGTTACTCAATACATCTCATCATCGATTTCGCCCTCAGCGTCAGGATCGTCTTCGCCCTCGGCATCGAGGTCGTAGTCACCGTCGGCATCTGGGTCAACTTCGCCCTCGGCATCTAGATCAACCTCGCCTTCGGCGTCAAGGTCATCGTTGGTATTGGCATCCGTCATGGCTACATCTTCCCCTGAGGGACGATCGTCGGCATCAACCATCTCTGTGTCCCCTCCAGCATCCGTGGGTTGGATTGGCTGCACAGCTGAGCCAGGGAGTTCGGTGTCACTCTTCGGCGTGGCTTTGTCACTCGCTTTGGCCTTGCCTTTGCCTTTGCCTTTTCCTTTGGCCTTGGCCTTGCCTTTACCTTTGCTCCTATCTTGTCTGAGACTGTCAACACGGTGAGGCCTCTGCAGTCTATTCTCCTCAGCGATGATTCTGAACTTCGGGATTTGAATCTCATCGGCTCCAGAGTCAGGGTCTTCTGGTTCTCCTTCGGGCTGTTCTGGTTTCCACAGTAGCTTCCACGACTGCCGGAACTCTACGTTCTTCTTCCGCTTGACGTGCTCTCCAAACCAGTCGTTTCCTCGGTCGAGTAGCTGTTCTCCAAACACAGCCCATGCATTGTTCTTCATTGTGAAACCAGTTTCGGATTGACTTGCTGCGCCGATAGAGACTAGCCATTGAAGAACCAGATCAACCTCGAACCGCTCGGCTGCACAGTCGACGCAGTGCCTTTGTATCTCGGCGGCGGATACTTCTGGTTGGAACATCATAGCCTGTAGAACAACGTTGAGAAGACGGTACCACCAGGGCCAGATAACTGCATTTCCTTCGATAGTGCTCCAAATTGGGAGTGGTGCCTTCAAATCATTCTTTCCTGGCAGTGGGGGCTCCTTCAATGGCAGCCAAGGACCGACATTTGGCTCAGACATCGGCGTATCAGATGGGTTGAGGGGGTTACCGAACTGATATGTGGACGTAGGGACGATATCAATATTCCAGAAAAAACAGGCACGGTCAATACGACGATGGGTGTAGTCACCCTCCCTAAAACCCCACACGGAGATGCGTGGAGCTGGTGCTCGCAGTGTATTGTTCACAGGAGGTAGATGCGGTACCAATCTCACCTGGCCTTCACTGACGAGGGAGAGAAGCGCCATAACTGCGCCATTTAGAGCTGTTCGAGATACAGAAGCCACGCGCTTCTCGGGGTCTTCGTTCGCAAAAACTTCATCGAGCTTTTTCTTACCATCCCTTGCGTCCATGAAATCGTCTAATTCGAATGTGCGTCGGTATCGGAGTGCATGGGACGCCGGGAAATCGTAATTTCGACCCGGCAACAGTCGTTTGAGTTTCTTGGCTTTGATGATGCCTTGATTCAAGAGATCATCCACGGCATGCTCGAGGGTGGGGGTATTCAGTGTCGATAATTTGTCGTGGGCAGCCTTACCATTATATCCAGCCTGCGGTGTCGCCGTGTTTGCACGAATCCATGAGCGCGCACGAAGATCGTCGTCCACTTTGGGTTTTTGGCCATTGGAGTTATGCAGAGGAAGACCATAAGCATATCTGAGCAGCCGCTGAGCCCGCGCAACACTTGACAGTACCCTCGAATTGAAGGCTACACGGTCGAAAGCCTCGTGGTCTGACTCGATTATGAGGAAATCACTTAGTGCATCTTTCGATTTCGGAATGGGAGGTTCAGGGTAGTCGCAATTTCTGAGTGCCCATCGTACCAAAGCAGCCCAGTCGTGGGTTGCCGGATCTTCAATGCTTTCACATTGTCCAGCTTCATACGCTGCAAGGAATTTCGACTGAAATGATTCAGAGAGTTTCTGTATTTGGGCAGGCATGTTCTTCTGTGCCCACGCCCACAGATTTTTAGTCTTCTGAAGATCGAATCGTTTGTCAGATTCGTAGACCTTGGTAACGATATTCCAGTCGATAGCACCCTCCTCGCCAGCCATGCAAGATGCAATGACTAATGTACAGATGACTTTCTTGAATCGCTCCGCTTGGCCAGGAAGCCCGGTACTCTTCTTTGGCGCCCGCTCTTTGTACTCGGACATGGGCTTTGCACGAGTCCATGGTTTTCTCTCAGATCCTCTCTTCCGAGGCGTCCAAGCCCGGCCCTTCGGATCGCCAGTTAGACCTGTCAAACGATCAACGAGAGTCGGATCGACTCTCGATCTGATATTACGTTCTTGGATTGCGGAAAACTTTGTATTGATTCTCCTCCGGTATTGTCGCTTTCGGGGTTGATCGTTACTTGGGTCCGCGATTCTAACTCGTTTCACACCTCGGTGCGAACCTTTTCGTGCTCTCTCTGCAGGTTTGGAAACGTCGAAATCGGTAGAGAAAGTACCATTAGAGGGATTGAAAAAAACCATGGGGGTAAGGAAAGCATGCATGAACGGTTTGGAATCACACTCTGGCGAGGATTGGCCCTCAGCTTGAGGTTCCTGGTCGGCGCCTGGACTGGAAACATTCTCACTTTCGAATTCCGAGCCTGCAGATAGTTCCTGGACTTCTTTGTCCACTCCAGTCGCCAACAGCGCGGTGCGCTGGAAATTCTGAGGCCGAAGATTTGCCAATGGAATATCGTCAGAAGCATCGGAACGCGCGGGAGACTTGGCTCGCTGAGTATCCCGCGTCATTGGCAGAAGAGGCCGACCACGCGTTAAGTGGACAGTTGACAAGAAAGATCTAGCCTCCCTATTAAGTGTGTCTAGTCTTTGACGTCTTGGGCGCTCTGCACCAGCAATATCAATAGATACCTTAGACCTATGATCTGCGGCTGCATTGATTCTCGTCCGGATCTCATCTTGTTGCTGCTTTTTCTGCAGCTGCTCTTCTTTCCGGGCTCTCTTCGTATTCTTGATGCGATCACGTAATTTTCGCGCTGTCCCAGGTATCAATTCACTTAAAGCAATGTCCTCAATGGCAGGCAATTTTTTCCTGCGCGACAAGCGTTCGTCGGCGACCCATGAACCCAAGTGTTCTTTGATTGGGTCTGGATAATGTTTACGAGGGTGCTCTTTAATCATGTTCCTTCGCAGCTCTTTGATCTTCGGATCCGTCGGGGCGATATCCTTGAATGCAATGATGAACTTCTCCGCAGAAGCACCACTAGGTGTAGGTACTCGGAAAGAAAACTTTCGAATCTTATGTTCCGGATCATCAATCATGTTATTGATAGTCTTTGTTAAAGTCGTACGATCAGGTACCGCTGCATCCGGGTAGGCTTCCTTCCACAGAGTAAAGAAAGGGGGCGCGACCTCTCCGTTGAATGGAAAAACGCCGCCACAGAGATTGAGAATACGTTTAATCAAGGATGTACGCTTCTGCCAAACGGTTCCCCTGCCAAGTACCACTCCACGGCGACTCAGATCTGCGGCTCTCCGGTTTCGGCTGTACGCATGAGTATCTGTTTCGGCGATAACAGAGAGGTTATTGTCGTCTTCTATAGCTGCCGGTGTCTCAGCAGTGGGTGCCTCGGTAGCGGGTGTCGGAACCGCTGGCGTTAGGGTCCCGGGAGTCTTCTGGCCTTCAATATTGGAGGCTGGTAGAGTGTCTATTGCCGGTTTGGGTGATTGAGTGGCTACCCCCCCCTCTATTTCCAAGGTAGTATGAGAGCTTTGCTGTGGGGTAGTTTGAACAGGCGCACTCGCGTTTATTGCAACCCAGGAAGACGGCGTGGGGGTAGGTATGCTTTGAATCTCTGCCGATACAGGTTCATCTTGCCCCTCGGATGTCTGGACTCGCTCTTCAGTCTCTGCAGGTCCAGACAACTCATTTCTAGGCTCAATACTCATTACAACTGGCGTTTCTGATACTGGCGTTTCCGGCACTGGTGTGTCTAGTACGGGCATTTCTGACACTGGCGTGTCTGGCACTGTCAGAACTGGCACTGGTGTTCCTGGCACCGGTGTTCCTAATACTGGTGTTCCTGGTACTGGAGTTCCTGATACTGGCGTCTCCACGTCAGGTGTAGACTCTAGAGAAGCAGTGAGTTGCTTTCTCGGAGTTCTCTTAGACTTTTTCCATTGTCCTCGGATTTCTTTCGTTCTCTTCGACTTTGGTGTGCTGGGTTCAGACCTGTTGCTAGAAATACTAGGATTGGATATGAACCAGTCGAATGTTTGCAGCTGGGGAAATTTGAAAATCGCCATCAATGCTTTCTTTGGACGACCTCTTGGGATCGCACGAGTAGCAAAAGGATTGATGTATAGCCCCGGTTTCTCGCGTGTGGTGAATGATCGAATGATCTCCTGCACGCGCTGTTCAAATGTAGATGCTGCTTCTCGGGAGTTCGACACCTGTGGAGATTCCTCTGCAATGGCTTCACCAGGGGTGGATACCAGGGACGGAGACCCAACTGCCGATTCTGGCAGGATGGCTTGGGGGTCTTGGGTTGCACTCGTTGTACACTCGGGTCCTTGACTAATCTCTGCCCCATCCACGATCTGGGGCGAGGAGTGAGAACCTGAAGCTACATCCGCTGCGCCAACTATTCCCTCGGTGGGTTGAGACAAAACGGAGAGAGGAGTATTTAAGGTGTTTGTGTCCTGCGACCTCTTTGTAGTAAGTCCTGCGGAAGATTCTGCTGAGCGTGATGCATCCGCTTGGTTGACCAGCACTTGAGCATCTGGTGTTACACGGATTCTCTTCGCGTTTTCATTGGCCAGAGAATCATCGTCATGTTTTCGCTTGGTGGTTGCTACGACGGGTAGTTGAGGTTGGTCTAAATCGTTGTGCTTTTTAGGAAGTGAACGTTCGTGAACTTCATTTTCTACCTCTGAGTGGTTTGCAAAAGGGACGGACTCGACAGCGACATGCAGTTCCACTGGTGGCGTTGCGAGATTTGGTGGCTCTTTGCCGTCACCCTGCTCAGGGTTTGTCTGGGTAGATACCGAGGCCTCTTCTTCCTCAATCAAGCTGCGGTAGTGTTCGATGACACTCTGCTTCAGGCGACCCTTGAGCGGAAGATTATGCTTTTTCCTGAACTCCATAGTGAATAAAGTCTTGCCTAGTGGCTCGGCGGTTTTGCGTCGGGACTTTTTAGCAGGTTGCTCAGCATTCAACTGCTGAGGATCAAAATGCTCGAACTCTTTGTCCAGCTGACTGTCCCCCTCAGGCTGAAGGACCTCCTCCTCGTGCGTCGATGTTGATGGGGATCTTGGTCCAGTATTCTTGGTGATGACATCTGGAATGGCGGTTGGATCACCAGTCTTTGCCCGATGTTCCCGAATTTGGTTCTCTACATCAGCTCCAAGGCGACCTCTTCTCGCTAAACCTAAAGCTACCCGCTGCTCTATAGAGAGTAAGGGTGGCTCCCGAGGGGGCTGGATTATCTTCGGGGCTTTTGCGGGTTCGGTGGGTTTCGGTTTCTCCATCTTCCCTTCGCGCTTTGCCTGGCTCATGGCGTACTTCTCGATCCGACGCATCTCAGAGGATGCTAGCTTCTCCTCTGTTGACAAGATTTCGCCTGGAGTCCGAACGATCGAAGACATTTTAGCGGGTTTTCTTCCCCTCTTCTTCTTTTCGTAACCTATCTCCTCTGTCAATGCATTATCCCAATGAGTCGATCGACGCTTCGAGGGTGCTATAGCTGAACGGCATTCCTGAAGAGTTGCGGTACCAGTGCGACCCTGGAAGTCAGATGGATTCACATCCATGAAACCCCATTCATTGAGCTCTATAGCGCTCTGCTGTTTCTTGGGACGACCCTTTTTCTCTGAGGCACTCTTTTTAGCGGCCTCCTTACTGACGACTGCCCAAGAAGTTTTCCCTGAATCGACCACCTCTTGAAAATGGTTGTACGTGCGATAGAGGTAATGGACGTAACGTTTACCCATCGTCAGAGCAGTATCCCGGATGATGGCCTTATGACGGAACTCCGGAGGCTGACTTTCTTCCCAAGCATCCGTCAATCGGCAAAGATACGATTCGATAGGTCGTTTCCAGAACCGTCCCGTTGTTCTATCACGAATGCTACCATTGTCCAATCCAGCCACCCCGGCACGATCAATAATTTCAAAAGTCAGATTGGCAATTGATCGATCGGGCGTCCACTGTGGCACGATGCGACCTTCGCCAGTCGTATCGTCGAAAGCAAGCCCTTCATCTTCATCAAGGTCATTGTCTTCCAGATTCTTATCTTCGGTAGTTGAATCAGCTTGACGGCGGAATTTCAGGTTATTCAGATCTTCCTCGTTTGGTGGCCGCTTCAATTTTATGAAGATGATCGAGTCTTTTAATTCGTCTCTATCCTCAGGCTTCTTGTTTCGCGCACTATTCTTCCATGTGCGTCGCCTGTAGATCATACCAGTTTCGGCTAAACGTACCAGTGCCGTCCTAATGGCACGGGACTGCCAAAGCTCTACGGCAACGCCCTGGTTTCGTTAGTTTTGTTTTCATGAGTTGAAATTGAAAGCATACCATTTTGACCCTCAAGTCTCTTTGAAGAATCACCGGGTTTTCTATGAGAAGTTGGTGGAGCAGTTCGACAAAGCTGGAGAAGATAAGCGTTCTATCGCCGAAAACCTCCTCGGTCGTACTGGGTCCATTAAGGAAGTGCTTGTCATTCAGGAACTTCCTATGGATGCAAAGACTCGTGCGGAACTTATTAGCTTGCACAGTCTTCTTCTCTATATAGCCATTCTTGAACAGCTCGTCGGTCCTATGTGGTACGGAGCGTTTGTCTTGACCACTTTGCCGAACGAGATCAGGTTGGAGTATGCCCTTAGGACCAGACGCAGCAATGATTGATAGCAGCATGAACTGCATGCTTGGTACTTTTTTAAGGTCCAAAGAATGACCTGCGACCGCTTGCCAAGTTCGGTTTTGACTAACATAAATGCGAGGGGCTGTCGTCGCATCGGACGGTTCATCGAAGGTGGGCTTGATCATCAAAAAACCTTTGGGGACCTTGCGGGGTCCGCGACGGTTGCCTGGAGCGTTAGGATTTGGTCGTCTTGCTTTTTGTGAGACAACTGGAGCATTTGCGCTCGTATGTGCATCGTCGGTAGAAGTGCCCTGTTCCGAGGGAAGCTGCGAGGGGAGCGACAAAGGACCAGAGGCAGACCCATTTGTACGCCTTATATCCGTGCTATTTGCTTCGTTTAGTGTTTCTGAAGATACAGAACTACCTGCATGTTGCTCAGCAGATGCGGATATGTCAAGTGGAAGACCCTCCGCCAGCAGACGTTGGCGTAGTGAATCGTAGAAAGCGGAACGGTCAGCAGTTGAAGTTTCACTAGTCGCGGCTTCCTTTTTGGGCTCTGCTGAAGCATTGGACTGTTCTTCGATATAGTCAGCTCCATTAGCACCTGTCTCTTGCAGTTCAAGAGCCTCGAATTCCGAAAGGGATAGGTTTCGAGGTTCTTTGCGATAAACGATTTGGACATCACGATGACGGCGGACCCAGTCCCAGACTTTTGAATAGTAGGAGCGATCGACTCCTTCAGGTGGAAGATTCTGTTGTGTGTGTTCGAAGAATTTAGAAATGAAGCGGCGAAAGTCTGCACTTCCAGCACCTGCATGATGAGTTAGTTAAATTCAGTTGAATTGGTTCGCAATGCTATTCATTTTTAAAAAAATGGCGAAAAAGAGGTCGAAAAGGCAGCAGCCGAGAGTCGAACACGAACCTCGCATGCCACAGAGGGCGATCTCGGCGAGTAAAAACTCGACTAACTCATCGAGGCTCCGGGCCATGGCGACTGTTTTTTTTCTCATTCACCCCCCACCCCCTTCCGTCTTTGATTGGAGTTACGGCGTGCGTTGTTGGTCACAGAGGTTTGCGCATATTGGGGTTGGTGCGATGAGTGAGGTTCGAACGCGCGACGCTTGGAAAGTGGGCGATGTGGCAGACCTGCAGGTTTGGTCTTGTTAGTCTTTTAGTCCTTGTCTTGCTTTTTCCTTCAGTCACGGGTGGTGGGATTGGAGGGAGGGGAATTGGGTGAAATTGATTGGTGAATCTCCGATGAGAAATCCTCGAAGGAAGGGCAACGCTTGGCCCATGCACCCCTTCTTATCTTATCGGCAACTCTAGCCGACCATTCCTTTTCCATCATACACAGCAATAATCATCCATCTTGAGCGTCTCGTAGGTAGCGGAACAATCATAACCGCAGTCAATCCTTAAAATACCCAATCATTATTATTCTTTTCTTTTATGATATCGACCGTTCTGTTTAATCATCTTCTCTCGCGTAAAGTAGAAGTTCAGACGATGTGATGTCGTACAAGTCACCTTTCTCAACATCTTCATCAAAGCCTGGGCATGGCTCTATCGTCGTCGCACTCCTCCCACCGAATACCCCAGTACTCCGGGAGGTCTCATATCAATACCCATTGAAACTGGTTGCACCCGACCCTCTAGCACTACCTTCAGATGAAAAAACCGAAAATGCAACGGACCCGTCACCGAGCCTCATCCACACTGTTTTCCTCCTCACCTACGGCGGAGGCATAGTCGCCGGAGATGTCATCAATCTCTCCGTTTCCTTAGAGAGCAAGACTAGGCTTATCCTTTTGACTCAAGGGTCAACCAAGATCTTTAAAACCCCGGATCCAAATCTGGTGTCACGACAATGTATGAATGTATCACTAGCTGCACACTCTGCATTGGTCTATCTTCCAGATCCCGTGCAACCATTCGCACACACCGCGTTCTCCCAATCACAGATATACAAACTCAACGAGGGAGAGGGTAATCTCTGTGTCTGTGATTGGGTCACGAGTGGTCGCTCCGCCCGTGGCGAGAATTGGGACATTCATGAATATAAGAGCAGGAATGAAGTTTGGACGGTTACCAGCGATGAGAAGGGTGCAGCGAAGAAGAGGCTTCTGTTAAGAGATAATCTACTTTTGGACAAGAACGGACATACGAATATGCAACTTTCGGACAGAATGGACGGATTCTCCGTCTTTGGCACTCTTATCATCCGCGGCGCTGTCTTCTCGTCACTTGCACAGTTCTTCATGGACGAATTCGAGGCTCTTCCCAGGATAGGTGGAAGGGATTGGGGAGACTCGGCCCAACAGAAATTGAGCCCTCAAGAGGAACGTAGAGCTAAGAGGCAACAACAAGAGAAGAAAGACGGACTGGTTTGGAGTGCAGCGAATGTACGAGGATTTGTATTGGTCAAATTCGCAAGTAAAGAGGTGGAAGGCTCACGAAACTTTTTGAAGGATATGATCAAGGAGGAGGGCTCGGTATTAAGAAACTTTGGTGAGCGAGCTGTTCTCTGCTTGAAATGATAGAGAGGTCCAATATAGCCTCCTTCGTTCTACCTTCGACATCTGGTTGATTTAGGCCTTCGACGCATAGCATTCAGCATAGACTTTTTGGGGGATGATAATCGCCTTAAGCAAAGCCCTTTTTTGTAACATGAATTTTAAGATTGGAGATAGTCAGAAGAGGCTCTCTACAAATCTTTATACCCATGTCATGGGTTCGTCATGGCTGCGAAAAAGTATACATGTCTATTGGTAATTAATTCGCGCCTGATAAAAGACTTCTCGGACTGTTCGATGCAAATGAGTAGAGATTCTTTACATATATATTACCCCAGGAATTTCGACTATTATATCTCTTCAATTTCATGCATAAAGGCGATATCTTGATGAATTTACCATAGTCCTCCGCGATCACGATCGGACGTCTTGGCAACCCATCGGTGACGAAACAGCAATACACCGATCTCACTATCCAGCACCACCTTCGCAACCCAAACCACACCACACCGCCCACCAAACACCTCCGTCCTATGACCCCTAAAAGTGCTACCCGGGCACTGATTTCTTCAAAATGAGCGGCAGGCTTGCTGCACGCACAGCCCTGCGAGTAACGAGGAACGCCACGACACCGCCGCGCGCCCGACCGTTTTCCTTCGTCACCAACACCATCCCAGCCGGCGGCCTGCTTCGCTCAGAGGCTGGGCTCCGACTCATAAAGCGACGCCCCTGGCCACAGGGAAGCTATGCTCTCCATAATGTGCCCGCCGTACGATCGATCTCGTTTGCGAGGGTTATTCCGAAGCTGGTGACGAAGTTTGCAACTGCGGGTGCGGCGGCGGGTGGCGCTGTCATCGCGGGTGCTTCGTACATTCAATATCAGGCTGGACGTGCGTGGACCTATTCTACTCTATTTGTGTATGCAGGCTAATGGAATGCAGAGGCCGGAACATTCGCTGTCGATTTATTCAATAAGGCGAAAGACGGTGCAACAGGAATCGCTGATGGAGCATTTGGAACTGCGTCTGGAGTGTTCGATCAGATTGGAAGGGGATGGGACAAGACGAAGGGGGATCTGGACCAAGTTGAACTTCCGGAGTGGCTTCAGAAGCTGATGGCAAAAGAAGAATCATCAGGCAACGGCGGCGGAAACGGTGGTCAAGATCCAAAAGAACCCAAAGAACCCAAGAATAGCGGGGCAGGAACTGTTGCTGCAGGATCGGCTGCAGCTCTAGGCTACTCCAAGGAAGATGAAGAAGACAAGGAAGAGGGAGAGAAGATTGCCAGGGACGAGCAAATGATGATGCTTACGAAGAAGATGATCGAAATCAGGAGCCTACTTCAAACCGTGGGTCAGTCCGAGACGCTGACTCTGCCCTCCATCGTCGTTATCGGATCCCAATCGTCGGGTAAAAGTTCGGTTCTGGAGGCTATTGTTGGTCACGAATTCTTGCCCAAGGGATCGAACATGGTGACCCGTCGACCTATCGAGCTCACTCTTGTCAACACGCCTGATGCGCATGCCGAGTATGGAGAGTTCCCCGCCTTGGGTCTTCAGAAGGTCACAGATTTCAGCCAGATCCAGAAGACTCTGACCGACCTCAACCTTTCCGTCCCCGCAAGCCAATGTGTCTCCGACGACCCCATCCAACTCAGAATCTACTCCCCTAACGTTCCCGACCTATCGTTGATCGACCTTCCCGGATACATTCAGGTGACGGGTCGTGATCAGCCTCCAGAGCTCAAGGAGAAGATTGCCGAACTAGTCAACAAGTACCTCAAGCCCCCGAACGTTATCCTCGCCATCTCCGCTGCAGATGTCGATCTCGCAAACAGCACCGCCCTCCGTGCATCACGAAAGGTTGACCCTCGAGGAGAACGAACGATTGGTGTCATCACGAAGATGGATCTCGTGGATCCAGAGCGTGGTGCCAGTCTTCTCACCGACCGTAAATATGCCCTCCGCCTCGGTTATGTCGGAGTTGTCAGCAGGGCTCCTCCCAGTACTTCAGGGGGAAAGCTGTTTAACCGCGGAAATGGAAATATCTCCAATGCAATCGCAAAGAACGAACAGCAGTTCTTCTCAGCTCACGAGGCATTCGGACCGGATTCCCATCTTCAGGTTGGCACGCAGAATCTTAAGAAGAAGTTGATGCAGGTGCTCGAGCAAACCATGGCTGCCAGCTTGAAGACAACGGGCGAGGCAATCCAGCGAGAACTTGCAGAGGCTACATACGAGTACAAGGTCCAGTACAACGAGCGGCCGCTCAGCGCAGAGTCATATCTTGCTGAGTCGCTTGATGCCTTTAAGCACTCTTTCCGTGGATTCTCAGAATCGTTCGGACGCCAACAGGTCCGTGAGCTGCTCAAGCATGAACTTGATCAGCAAGTCTTGAATCTACTTGCACAACGCTACTGGAACAGACCCTTCGAAGACTTGAGTGTGCCGCTTCCCGACGCCGATCCTTTGGCCAGCCTGGCTAAAGCTGATCCCGAGGGAGAGAACCAAATCTGGCAGATCAAGCTCGACAGCTCCAGTGCAGCCCTCACCAAACTAGGTGTTGGCAGACTGGCAACCAGTGTTGTTGCCAACTCACTACAAGCACACATCGACAGGCTCATCCAAAATTCAAGATTTGCTTCTCATCCTTTCGCACGCCAGGCTATTACCGAAGCCTCCACCTCCATTCTCAAGGACTTGTCCTACGACATCTCAGACGAACTCGAGATCTGCATTAAACCTTACAAATACCGCATTGAGGTTGAGGATCACGAATGGGCAAAGGGAAGGGACAACGTCACGAACGTGCTCAAAGAAGAACTTAAGGTCTGCGAGTCAGCCGTCAAGAAATTAGAAGAGGAGGTTGGCGGCAGGAAGAAGGTCAGAGATGTAGTTGCCTTCATTGATCGCGTACGCAGCGGACAGGTCGTACTTGAAGGTGACGGCATCGGTGGCGCTGGAGGTTTCAGCTCTGCTCTTCTGCAAAAAGGTAAGTCGCCATTGTCCTCCAGTAGTGAGCGCTATTTCTAACAACATCACAGGCCGCGAAGCAGTTTTCCTCCGCGATCGAGTGGATGTGCTCAAGATGCGACTACTAGCCGTCAAGTCCAAACAGTGCGCCACCAAGAAGAACAAGTACCACTGCCCAGAGGTTTTCCTCGATGCCGTAGCAGACAAGTTGACCACCACGGCTGATCTTTTCCTCGATGCCGAGCTCCTCTCGAAGTTCTACTACATCTTCCCCAGAGAGCTTGACGCAAGGCTGGGCCGGGGTCTCAGCCAATCCGAGATCGACCGGTTCGCACGAGAGGACCCCAAGGTCCGTCGCCACTTGGACGTTGTGCGACGTAAGGAGCTCCTCGAGCACGTCCTAAAGGAGATGGACAGCCTTCGCCAACTCGAAGCCCGGGAAAAGCGATACGCAGCCCAGAGAGAGGAGGGCAAGTCGAGGAGGAAGGGAGGATGGAGCCTCTTCTAGAGTCTCGTATGATATATTTCTCAATGCCTGAACCAAAATGAATGATTTGCAACCTACGAGCAGGAGCGATAAGAAGTAGCTGGTAAGCCTGTTCGTCAGACATGATATACTCGCGGATCCGCATGGCGTTTATTAGAGAGCATAGTTGGTCGATACCATTGGGACAACGCAGCTTTTGTATTCCTAGCATTCAAAAACGAACGACCCCTCACGATAAAAAATGAAAATCTCCCATAGTATAATATAGAAATCCATTTGCAACCGGACTTCGGCTCCGCCGTGGCCGTGAATGTCGTACTCATCATCGGTCGGAGGAGCAATCACTCTCTACCTGATTGGACGTGACGTGTGAGAGTAGCTTGCGTTGCTGCAACGGGGCGATCTTATCGATAGCGGCCGCCGTCTCTAATAGCTGATTCGGCCGAAACTCGTCGCGTCATCCAGCGACCCACCACTACACTACCGCGGAACCTCAGACCCTCAGTTAGCTAGCTACCACCCACGTCCACAGGACGGACAACAGACAAGACCGCAAAGGGTGCAAGCATAATCAAACCCTCAAGTCTGAGAAATCTCTACCCCAGATTCCACCGCATCGGTGTACACCACCAACCCGACCCAATCACTACGAAAGGGTTTCCGAGCCACGACCTCCCAGGTGCCCCAACTCCTGTACCATAACCACAACTAAAAACGTCCAATGTCCCCGACTCTGAAGCGAAAGCATTCGGACAAGACGATCACAGAGCTCTTCACAACGCAGCACCCCAAGCCCAACTCCACTGCCGCCCTCTCACCCACGAGCAAGCGGTCCCGAATCGGAAGCTCGGAGGCCCCCTCAGAAAGCGCCGCCATGAGCACTGCCAACATGTACCATTTCCCCAGCCGGAGCGGCAAGGAGGTCATCGACATTGCGTCGAGCCCGGACACCAGCCCGAAAGCGCCGCAGCAGAAGAATGGATTGCGAAAGGCGACGCCGAATATCGCTGGTGGTACTGCGCCGAAGAGGATGCTGGTGAAGAACTTTAAGCCGGCGAGGAAGATCGATCCGAAGGCCTTCTTGAACCAGACGTGGGAGAAGGTGGATAAAGCATTGGATACGGTGTTTGCGCAGGGGAAGATCGATTTCAGTCTCGAGGAGCTGTATCGTGGTGTTGAGAACCTGTGTCGTCAGGGTTTGGCGAAGGATACTTGTGACAGGTTGGATGCGAAGTGTAAGAGATATATCACGGATACATTGAAAGAGAAGGTCAAGGAGACGCTCGGTAGGAAGGATGTCGATGTTCTTAGGGCTACGCTTCAGGCTTGGGCGACCTGGATGGACCAGATGGTGAGTTGTGTCTGTTGATTACTGTAATCATCGATACTAACAAGGCTAGAAATACGTTGCCTGGGTCTTCTGCTACCTCGACCGATCATACCTACTGCCAAAGCAAGACTCACTTCACGACATATCTGTCGGCCTTTTCCGCTCCATCATCTTCGAGCACGAAAAGCTCAAACCCCATATCGTGGACGGTGCATGCGATCTCATCGCCACCGACAGAGACGGCAAGGACCTGGATCGAGGCACCTTCGGAGAGGCAATCAAGATGTTCCACGACATGCACGTCTACACGAAGCATTTCGAACCCAGAATGTTGGAGCTCAGCCAGAACTTCATCCACGAGTGGGCTGAACGTGAGAGCTCGGAGAAGGGCTTGGCAGAATATGTCAAAGCCTCGCGGGCACTTATCAAGAGCGAATTGGCGCGAGTCGAGCATTTCAGCTTGGACCGGTCGACGAGAAGGGATCTTGTCACGCTCCTGGAAGACCATTTGATCTCACGCAAAGAATCTAGACTCAGTAAGTTCTTGATATCTAATCGTTCTCCCCTCCGAGTGAACGGATGACTAACTTCCCAAAGCCAACCAAGACGAATTCGCCGACCTGCTCGAACTCAATGCCGTCGAGGACCTCAAATCACTCTACGACCTCCTGGAGCGCCGCAACCTCGGATCCAACCTCAAAGAAGCACTATCGAAATGGATCGAAGACACCGGCACGGCGATCGTGTTCAACGAGAAAGAGCAGGACACCATGGTCATTAACCTCCTCACCCTGAAGCGCCAACTCGACACCATCTGGAAGACGTCCTTCCACCGGAACGCCGAGCTCGGCCACGGTCTCCGCGAGTCGTTCGAGACCTTCATGAACAAGACCAAGAAGACGAGCACGACCTGGAACACCGACAACTCGAAGCCGGGCGAGATGATCGCGAAGTACGTCGACATGCTGCTGCGAGGCGGCGCCAAAGCCATTCCAGCACAATTGAGTCGGAAAGCTGAGAAGCCTGCCGCTGCTGATGGTGCCGCCGCCGACGTGGAAGAAGACAACGAGGACGTCATGTTCGACGAGGACACGGAGGTCAACAACCAGCTCGACCAAGTGCTCGACCTCTTCCGGTTCGTGCACGGAAAGGCAGTGTTCGAAGCATTCTACAAGAAGGATCTCGCCCGTCGACTCCTCATGGGCAGGAGTGCCAGCGCCGACGCAGAGCGAAGCATGCTCGCCCGCCTGAAGACCGGTATGTCATCCATCTCACAATCCCCCCTTCCCCCCCTTCCTCACCTGAACCTCCTTTGCTAACAACCGGCCCCCACAGAATGCGGCGCAGGCTTCACCGCGAACCTCGAGCAAATGTTCAAAGACATCGAACTGTCCCGAGAAGAAATGACGTCCTACAAAACCCTCCTCGCCTCCCGCGACACCACCCCCAACCCCCAACCCTTCGACCTCACCGTCTCCATCCTCTCCGCCTCCGCCTGGCCCACCTACCCCCAAATCCCCGTCCTCATCCCCCCCTCCATCTCCACCACCCTCTCCGCCTTCGAAACACACTACGCCTCCAAGCACTCCGGCCGAAAACTAACCTGGCACCACTCGCTCGCGCACTGCCAGCTCCGCGCCAGGTTCCCGCGCGGCAACAAAGAACTCATCGTCTCCTCCTTCCAAGCCATCGTCCTCCTCCTCTTCAACACCTCCGACCCTACCACTCGAATCCCCTACACCACAATCGCGGAATCCACATCCCTCCCCCCCGCAGAGCTAAACCGCACACTCCAGTCCCTCGCCTGCGCGAAACTCCGCCCCCTGACTAAACACCCAAAAGGCCGCGAGATCGCCCCGACCGACGTCTTCACGCTCAACGCCTCCTTCACGGACCCAAAGTACCGCGTGAAAATCAACACCGTGCAACTCAAGGAGACGCCCCAAGAGAATAAAGAGACGCACGAGCGGGTCGCGCAGGACAGGAACTACGAGACGCAAGCCGCCATTGTCAGGATCATGAAGGCGCGGCGGCGGATCGGACACGCGGAGTTGGTGGCCGAGACGATCAAGGTGACGAGGAGTCGGGGCACGTTGGATGTCGGCGGGATCAAGAGGAATATTGATCGGTTGATTGAGAAGGAGTTTTTGGAGAGGGATGAGGAGGGGGGTGGGGGGTATTGCTATGTTGCGTAGGGTGAGTTGGGGGGTTGGATGGGTGGGTGGGTTTGTTAGATGGGTAGATACTTATATGTACACGTGAGTGAGCTCCGGCTGGTTATCAACTTCAAGAAACGTTCATTTGCAAAGTGTATTCATCGAATTTTCTATCCACGCCTTTTGCGTCGATTCCTCGAACTCTTTCGTATGCTACATCTACACCCACGACACATCTAGCCTTTCCTTTGCTCACATCCCGTCCTCGATCGTTCATTCAGCAAGCCATGCAAAAGAGAAATGTTCCTCGAATAGAATAAGAAATACTACGTCTTCCGGGGGGTATATCGCGTACATCCGTCCTTCCATCCATCCATCCATACATCCATCGTACATGCAATCCATGCAATGTTCCTGTCTTGGAACAGATCCAAACTCCGTAAAACACCATGCCGTGATGCTACCAAATACATCTAAAGAAGAGAAAAGAGAATAACTAGTTGAAGAGCACGACCCGAGCTTTCAACCACCAAGCCACCAGTGGTGTCTCTTGGCGGCCCAATCGACCCGCGTAAGACCCTTGAGGTCGTCTCCGTTTAGGTAGTCCGCGCCCTCCTCGATGAGGACCTGCCAGACGCGGTTGCGGAGCGAGATGGGCCATTTAGGGGTGGCCCAGTACCGGACTTTGAGGCCTCGGCGTTTGGCGCCGCGGATCTGGCCGCGGATGAGGTCGAGCTGGGCCGGGGAGATGTGACCGAACCAGAGGGTGCCAACCGTGGATGCGAAGGAGACGGATGCGTAGTACGAGTTCTCGGATGTGAAGTTCGAGTCGGGGGAGGTGCCGACGGTGCCTTGGCCATCGCGGATGCGGAGGGCGGCATTCGAGTGACCGCGGGTCAAGGTGGTGGTCGTGGGTGCAGGGGGCAGTTCGAGCGGCGCCTTGGGGTCTTCGTACATCCTGTCCAAAGGAGCGTCGAAGAAGATGTCGCGACGGGTCGATTCGGCACTAATGAGATCGAAGGGGGCGTTGCCGGTCGCGACCACGGTAATGGGTCCTTGGTGCAGGGTCGTGCCGTCGTAATAGGTAAGATAGTTCTTCTCGCGGAGGGCAGCGAGCTGGGATAATACAACTGGGTAAATCGCACGGCCGTCGTTCTTGAAGTCGACAAGCAGGACCACGGGTTGCGCGGGTGCGGTCTGGAAGATGCCGTTGACTACCTTGGTTTCCGGGTCTCGAGTAGTGAAGCGGTTCTGCTGGTTCTGCTGGTCCAAGAGCTCCACAAGGCGATCCACGTACATGGAACGGAACGTGCGGTCGTCACTAAGGGCGTTCGTGTCGTGACCGACGAAGAGTTCATTATCGAATAGCCAGACGTCGGCCTCGACGCCAGTGCAGCCATATCGAAGAGCGTCGTACAGCGGGACCATTCGCCAATAATCATTGTGCGAATGGCAAGGAATTGGGGTGACGTCTCTTGTCAGGTTTGCCAATGCTGCTGCATCGACGGCGCCTGAATCCAGCTTCCAGGCTGCTGGGAGCGCGACGTCTTGGTCGTCAGAGACTGGGTTGACCAGAGCCAATGCGACATTGACGAGGTGGGTGATGCCACTGCCATTGATTGTTAGCATTTGTTGCGATCGATCAAACAGGTTTTCAGTCCTCGGCGGTCGTCTTGGTGGATTGCAGATGTCGAATCTGGACTCGAGCAGACCGGAAAGAAGCGGAAGGTCGTCCAAGAAAGCAAGAGAAGACTTACAAGAAGCACAGGATTGCTACGATGAGAAGAGACAGAGCCTTGCAGACCCAGCCTCGGCGAGGGGCTCTCTTGACTTGCTGGTTCTCAAGAAGAAGTTTGTTCTCGCCGAGTTGTAGTGGATGTTCCTCCGCCGACCGTGAGCGGGCGCCATTGCGATGTCGCAGTGTCATGAGGAAGCGAGCCCAGAGACTAGTTGACGATAGATTCTTGTCAGAGTAGCTGGAATTACCATCCTCTAGCGAACGTAATGAGACAACTGGAGCGTTCTGGAGGGGGAGAAGGAGCATGCCAGAGGCCTCGTCCTTCAAATTTGCAATGGAGTCGACGGAGTAGTCGGTAGAGGACCGCGAAGATGAAGCCATTACTGTTAGTTAGGGTATGTTGACGAAGCGGTGGCGTGATTGGTGGAAACCGTGTGGCCAATCAGGGATGGTTGGGATGAAAGTGGTCGGCGCGATCGGTTCCAGTTGCGAGCGGCCGCGGGGGATGTTTGGACCCTGAGCGAGCAAGGAAGACACCTCGGGACGAGGGAGGGATGTTCTTCTCCTGCGAGGTACTGCTGTGTAGAAAAGATAGGCGAGGCAAGACAGATCCTTTGATAGGAAACGAGTGTGAGTGAAGGTTGAACAGAGAACCCAACACGTAACGACACTGTTGCTGTTGTTGCTAATTCTTGATCAACCTCGAGTCAGCTATGGGAAGGTCGAGGTCGAGGTCGAAGTCGAAGTCGAAGTCGAAGTCGGCTGGAGGGTAGCAAGCGCGATTGGATGAGAGCGCAAAACAAAGGGACTGAGGGCGGGAGGACGAAGTTTGATGTTTGCGAAGGGAGAGAGGGAGAGAAGAGAGAGGTGAGGATGGTAGCAATCGGTGTGGGCGATGGTGAGGGCGAGAGCGTGAATGGGGATGGGAGAGAGCGGCCTCAAGGGGAGAGGGTGAAGAAAAGAGGCAAGAGGGAAGGACGAAGGTATATACTATCCATCCCATAGAGAGAAGAGAAGAGAAGAGTAGACTCGAACGGGCCAGTCAGTCAAGGCAATCAAACAGTTACTACTACGGAGTACTCTACCATACAATTCACACACACACACACGCACGCACGGTAGTCGGTCAAGTACCAGGGAACATAACAGGTAAAGCAATCTACCCACTACTGACTGATCAGTAGTGGCTAGTAGTGGTTAATGGGTTGGGTCAGTCAGTGAGCAGTGACAGTCCGGAGTAAAGCAGACAAGCGCGCAAACAAAGATTATGCCGGAAGACGCCACGCAGGTTTACACTACAGTGGTCGATATTGAGATCCAGACGCAGGCGGGATGCAGGGGCCGGACGTGGAGGGACGAGGGGAGAGGATTGGACGAGGATGTTGGACCTGGACGGACCATTGCACTATCTGAGCCGTGAGTGTCGAGTTGCTCGTAGAATACACTTAGTGGCTACTGGTAAATGTAGGAAAATAGACTCAATCATGGACGAGGGGAGGGTGAGAAAGACCAGGGACATTCTCCGGGGGCTGGTCTGGTTATGGTTATTGCGCTATACGGATCATCAATCACACACGCACTAATCACACTCTGCCCTGCCTTGCACTGACTACAGGGCAGGGCACACTGCAACATACTCTAACGAAAGAAAACCCAACAGCCTGTGTTCAGTATTCAGTATTCAGTATTCAGTGTATTGTATCCTGTTGAATCTAGTTCGTGATGGTGGCCGCTACACCTGCACAGAAACTACACGCTCGCTTCCATGGCTTGTGCACGTCCATTGCGGCAGGTAGGTACGGGCCAAACCCATTGAACACTCTCAGCGACAATTATTGTAGATACGAGGAGGACAGATGCTTCCATCGTACCGGATGTTCCAGAACAGATGAGACAATAAGGTCACAATGGGACACAGAGGAATGTTTCGTTGTGTGAGAGTAAAAGAGTGTTGTGTTGTGTTCTAAACCAGCAGGTGGGTGGGTGAATTGGGTGAATTGGGTGAATGGGCGGTGGTGGGGCATCTGGTACTGGTAGAGAGAAGAGGAGGAAGGCACGAAGGACGGACATGGGGCAAGATCAAGCCTCCAAGGGCGGAAATGCACCAATCAGCAAGGGTAGACCATCATCGTGGGACAAGTTCCCCTCGTGTCTTGTCTCTCTTAACTCTCTTACTCTACCAGCCAACTCTCTTGTCAGTCTTGTCATGGCTTGTCTCCGTCTTGTTTTTCTCTGCTCAAGGCCTGGTCCTCTTCATCCTCTGGAGTCTACCGGCCGAAAAGGAAAACTACAAGCGAACCCGGTCCGAACAATGAAGCTAGAACAACGCCAACAGTAGTTATACAATACAATACCTACAGTGAGTGGATAATACACGAAGCTGCTTGCGGAATCTCCACACAGGGTCCCATCATGACAACCTGCACCAATTGTTTGTTTGAGTGCTCCGTACGAGTAGGGGACTTCCAAACATCGTAATACCCTGACACTAACCAGCCAAAACGATATGCAACTTACGATCATCATGCTCCAACGGCACAGGGAACCATCCCAGATCCTTGTGCTCCCTACCCACATACCCACCTACCCACCTGCCGCAAAACCCACGATCCGACCGCTCGACTCCGGGTTGGTCAGTCTCTATCATTCAATATCGAAACTCACGTTGCGGGCGCACACCCACATGTTCACACAATCATCCATCAATGCTCTATGCTGTCTACACATCGTCATCCGGGCATCAACAAAGTCATCACCATTCACCAAACACTCTGTATGGTATAATCAAGTCCTCATCACGCGGACCCTGATCCTCCTCTCCGTCTCACCATCACTCTGTCACTGTCACTAGCACCGTCGTTGTCACATCTTCACCATTTCCCCATTCCGCAAGAATTAACGCCCGATACATCATCATCCATCCGTTCCATCATCTGCTTTGACCTCATCCTACTACCTGTGACTTCGTCAGCACAGAAACCCAACTACTCCATTAAGAATTCACGCACTGACAGTCCCTAACGGCTATCTGGCTCACCAGCCACGCAATCGCGCCTCTACTTTCCCCAATCCCACCAAGCTCGGATAGATCGTTATGTAGTTCTGTTCTATCCTTTCTCCGGTCCTTCCACGCCACACCTACCTCCGAGCTATACACGACCAAATATCAAAATATCGCTCAAATAATAATAGTAGCAGTCAATGTCACGCAGGATACGTACATTTTCCGAATTAACACCATGCAGCATCCGCGATCCTCCTCATTCTCATCCTCATCGTCACCACCACCGTCATAATCATCATCAGTCACCCACCACGGCATTGAACATCCGGGCATTTCCAAAACACGACACAACACAACACAATACCCTAAGCTTCTTCACAATCATGACACCATTTCCCGTCCTATCCTTTTCAAACCCACCTACGCCTCATCCCATTCCATCCGATCCGATCCCACTACCCTCCAGACTACCGGTAATAATAAAAAACGCAGTTGTGGCGCACGAGCACGACTTTAACTAACCTAAGCTTTCGAGGACGAGGTACCTGCTCACGCTAATTTACCCCATACCACAGCAGCATCGCCATAGAACGGCCGACTGGACGGAACACAGACAATTAATCCCCTCAATAATCCTCCATCAAAGAGTGCCTTGCCATGCGGCGCGCCACAGGCTGCCTTTTGGAGGACTAGCCCCCCTCACGGTAGTACCATCTCATACCAGACGTACGCAATCTTCCTTTCCACCATGAGGCGAAGGAAAGGAGTAAGAGGCGTAGATACTATCCACAAAGCAAGGAAATAACAAAACAACCACGCCTCTTCGTATGCGTGAATTGCAAGATGAACAGGTAGCGGAGGTGAAAGGTAGGGGCAAGGGTAAATCTACCAAGCGATGGGTCTGGAACCTTTCGGTCCTTTTCACCACCAACACTTCGAATCCTACCAACGGATCCAAACCCGACGGATTATTATCCTGCAGCAACAGCCAGAGACAGAGAGAGAACGTGTGGGCAGCGCTTCTATGCCCATACTCCCTTTTCTTACCAGTTGAACTAAACCTACAGATACACACATACATACTCACTCGTAGGCGGTACCACATTGATTCCCGCTCTTCACACGCAGATCAGCTTTAATTAATTACTTACCTCCGAGATCCCTAGCAAGCTGCTCTCACAATCTGAGTACTGGACCCTGTCCTAAACCCTGCCCTGATCCAGCAGCAGATCCCCCCAAAAACCGTCCTCCTAGCCCTGAGTGCCCTGCTATGCTACACGCTGCCTGCGTTCCCAAATACCCAAAACGAACTAGCGCCTCCTCTCCTACGCTGTAAACACATCGGCGAAACCGCAATATCAAACATTCAAACACCCCTTCGACCCAAACAATAGATCTTTTCGAAGCGGCCACGCTCCGCCTCAGAAGTGACGCGTAAGGCGTACAGAAAATGTAACATCACAGACACCCCGAAATAATCAAGAAAGAGTAAGGAATGAGATACATGCGCCGGATGTCGTCGGGGGCATTTTCGTATATCGATTCTCCACTGCACTCCATAGCACTTCGCTTCATAGACTATAGCTCGTACGCGTCGGATACTTCGCATATTTCGTTCCCTAACCTTTCCATAATGACGTACACGCGCCCGCACATTCGCACATTCGCACACCGCGGCGCCGCGGTGCGGTGCGGTGCGGTGCGGAGTGGCACTTTGCGGCTGGAGGTGGGAATTGAAAATGTAGGGGGAGGCTATAGATAGTATCATACATGGTGACTTGTAACGTATATCTACGCGCTCACTTACCTTCATAGCTCTCATACACAGATGTGAACATCTGTCTTCCAACGCGTGGCCTTAAAGCCAGTACTCCATAGCCATAGTAGGCAGGCGTGGTTGTATTGCCAAACCTCAATTGAGTGGTCTAACATTAACGAAAGGGTGTAATGCTGCAGTGAGTACATGTCTTGTGGTGAACAGGATGTTTTCTTCAACCAGACGGTACGGTTATATGAATATGTTCTTGACAATTAGAGCGAACTGTAAAGCGTATCTACCCATCCATATCTGCGCGCGTATACACAATATCGACAAACCCAACGGTCATACTTCCAAAGTGTGGGGATAGTGTGGGTCCTCCTTCCATCCCATCCATTCATACCGACATCCTTCCTCTCCAACCAGCAAAAAAAATAAAATCAAGTTCGCAAATGAGATAATTAGACATCTATGTAGTTATCAACAATCAAACAATTTTACGACACGACATATACATCCAACCCTTCCAACTAAGCCCTAGGTCCAGGAATCTAAGACAAACCACACGCCCCGCCAAGCCCACCCTCCGCTTTTCCAAAAAGCTTAGCACTGACGCAGGGCCTGCCCTGCCCTGCCCTCGCATCGCCGAAAAAAAAAGTTTCGAGTACAACTACCTACCACCACATAAACACAACACCACCAACAACGAAACGGCACAGTGAAAAGCAAAGATGCCACACAAACACAAGCGCAAAGCAATCGATCGCGATGAGTCGCAGTACGTGTTCACCCTCGCTCCCCTCCCCATCCCCCATCCCAACTCACAACTGACAATTCAATAACATAGCTACGAACTCCCCCCCACAACCCGCGCAACATCCCTCCCAGTCTCCAACACGCAAAACGCACGCAGCGCGAAGAAGCGAAAAACAGCAAAGACGATCCCCGGGTACGGCAAGGACGACACGCCCAAAGCCTTCTCCCGGCTCCTCGAGCTCAAGAAGACCGGTCGACACCGCAACGGGCTCGACGACGGAATCGCTCCGCCTAAGAAGAAGAAGGGCGCGAAACCCCCCCAGAAACCCTCCAAAGACGACGAAGATGAGGAGGCTGTGACAAAGGAAACGGATACGACGACGAACAGCGAGACGCAACCCCCCCAGCAACTAAAGATCCTCCCCGGCGAGCGGCTCTCCGAGTTCTCGTCGCGCGTCAACCAAGCGCTCCCCTTAGCCGGGCTGCAGAAGACGGGGAAGAAGATCGCGGGCGTGAAGGACCACCGCGTCACGAAGCACGAGAAGAAGCTTAAGCGGCTGCAGGCCGGGTGGCGGAAGGAGGAGGAGCGGATTCGCGACAAAGAACAAGAGGAGAAGGAGCTTGCGGAGGAGGAGAGGGATGAGTATGAGGCCCTTTGGGGAGAAGAGGAGGCGGCGGCGGGGGTGAGTGGGAAGGGGAAGAAGGGGAAGAAGAAGGGGAGGAAGTTGGTGGTCGGGGAGGTGGATAGCAAGGAGGAGGATCTTTGGGATGCGTTGCAGAGAAGGGGAAAGCAGAAGACGGGACTGCATGATGTTGTGCAGGCGCCGCCGGAGATTACGAGGGTGCCAAGGGAGATTTTTAAGGTCAGGGATGGGGCGACGGTGAGTGTGGGGAATGTGCCGAATAAGGCGGGGAGTTTGAGGAAGAGGGAGGAGTTGGGGGTCGAGAGGTTGACGATTATTGATACGTATAGAAGGTTGATGGAGGCGAAGAGGAAGGGGGAGTGATGGGGGTTGTTCGTGGATGGATGTGATACCTGTAGATGAATCGTACTTGTTTGTGATATCAATCCATCGTTGAATGAACTAGCTGGCCATGCTTAAGACGGCAATCGATCATTTCGTTGCTGCTGCTCCCTTTGATATCAACTCCGCACATAGCCGCAAGAGAACATAGACAAAAAGAACCAACACTTTCTCATTTAACTTCATTTCATTTCATTCCATTCCCCACAGATTACACAAATGCATAGGATAGGTACAGATACACAGCCTCGAGTCCACTCGCCACAATCATGACATACATACGTGAAAAAAAGAAGTAAGACGATGATGAAAGAGAGAGCAGAAAAGAAGAAAGTTTCATATCGCTAATAAAAGATTTTCCAGTCAGAACATGAAGAGAGGGAACTTTCCCTCTTCCCCCCCCCCCCCCCACCCCCAATACATCCTCCTGCATTTGAACATCATAGAAAAACACAAAACATGGATGTGATTAGAATCAATCGCCAAGAACGCTTTCTACGTCTGGACTGTGGTCGGAGGCGTTGTTAGCGGCGCCGTTGACATGCTGTCCGTCACCGTCGCCGTCGTCGTCTTGGTCAGCCATTTCCTCGTCGTCGTCGTGGCCTTGCTCCTCCGCCTCCTCGTCTTCCTCTTCCTCCTCGCTGTCGCTCTCGACGACAATCTCCTTGCTCTTGTGCTGCTTCGCGTTGGCGTTGGTTGTGACTGCGTTGGGAGCAGCCTCACCCTCCTTCGCCTTCGCGCCCTTCTTCGCAGCCTTGCTCTTCAACGTCTTCACAATGTCGAGGTGCGCCACGACCTCCTTCCAGTCATGACCCAGCTTCGTCTTATTCTTCTCGAGGCGCTTCCTGACGTCCGGGCCCAGCGTGCCAACTTGCACTGAGTTTACGAGTCTGCTGCCGAGATAGCAGAGGCGGAACTCGGCGAGCAGCGTGCGCATCTTCTTCTCCTCCTGCACGCGCTCGTCTTCCTCTTCCGCCTCGTCGTCGCTGCTCTCCGGCTCGTCGTCCGGGTCGATCGGGTCGTCGTCGATGTCGGGTTCCTCGAGGTGTCGTCTTGTGCGCTTCGCGAGGTTGGATTCCGCGGCTGTGAGGATCTGGAGGAGGACTTTTGTGGTCGGGGCGTCGATCTGCTGGCAGAGTACTTCCCAGTCGTCGTTGGGTTGGGTTGTGCTTCGGCCTTGGGGCTTCTTGGGTGTTTGGGCGCTGGTCTTGACTCGCTTGAGGGCGTAGAACATGTTGTAGATGTCAAGGAGCAGTTGGGCGGCCTCGAGCCGGAGGTCGTCGGCGCCCTTTCTGCTCTCCATTATGCCCATTAGTGCTGTGAGGCAAACGTCCCTGCGTTCTGCGATGTATGTGAGTTCGTTGTCGGGAATCGCAGTGCCGGCTTCGAGATGGTTCGCGCAGTAGCGGAACTTCCAGACGAAATATGCGAGCATCGCGTTCATTGTGTGGCCGACGAGTGCGTCCTCGGCAACGTCTGTGTCTGCGTCGACGTCTTCGACGGGAATGCCGCGGTGGAGGATTTGCAGGAGAGTGGTGATTGGTGGAGTGGAGGGTGCCTTTCTCGAACTCTTTGCCCGGCTCTTGGGGTTTGTTGTTGGGGTGTGATCGAGTATTGAGGGCTCTGAGATCTTGGAAAGTTTGGCGATCTTGAGGACTATGTTTGAGAGGCCTGTGAGTGCATTGGACGGCAGGTCGCCGCGGGCTGCAACGTCTTGTCCAGAACGGATGACGTTGAATGTCTGCAGCAGCTCGTCCCATAGACCCTGCACCTTGCTCTCAGTGATCTCTTGTGACTCCTCGTGCGTGAGATGATGAGATATAGACTGTATTGCCTCGTCTAGGACATGCTCGTTGTGATGTGTGACGAATTGGCGGATGACGTCGTCTAAGAGAGCTTTCAGTGCAGCCGTCTGCCGTAGTTCTTGGAATACATCCAGATTGAGCTCTCGTTCCAGTCGAAGACAGAGCGAAGCCGCTTCAGGAACGGCGCCGAACTTCTTCAGTAATTGAGGAATCAGGGTAGATAGCTTCCGAACTGTGTCTGAGTGCTCTTCCTGGTCGGCCTCCCGCTGTGCTTTGGTCTTCTTCTTGTCCTTCTGAGATTCCGCGAGGCGTTGTAGCGTAATCTTCACGGATGCGTTCAGGACGTCTAAAAGCGTCGTCTCTTGCTGCTCGTCCAGCTTACAGTTTTGTTGGAGCATGAGCTCTACATCATCGCCAGCGCCATCCTGCGCCGTCTTTGAGTGATCGTACAGTAGATAACCAGCAAGCACTTCCCAGGACTGAAGCTCTGGTATTGCGTCGTACACAGCCTGTGTGGCTAAGTAGAAACGGGACGTGCTATCACCCGCCGCGAGCCCCAGTTCTGACCCTGGAGGTGCAATGCGAGCGATTTGTGATGGGAGCTCGTTGTCTTCTGAATCGTATGCTAGCAGTTGTTCAACCAAGCACTTGAGTTTCAGCCACTCCAGCCTGGGGTTCTCAAACTCCTCTTCGCCCTCCGGGGGAGCAAGAGCATCGTCTAAAGCTTCCTGTCCACCCATATCTTCAACCTGCATCTGGTATGCACCATTGATAGTTTCGGCAAAGAAACCAACAACAGCTTTTCGGACCTTCGGCTCGGCATCGAAAACAAGCCTTCCTACAGAATCAACATCATCAGGCTCGAGAGAGCCTGCCTCTCGCAAAATGTCCAATAACTCTACAGCCGCTGTGCGCACGTTCGTCTCAACATCGTGGGTTGCCATTTCCACTATTCGTGGTCGGAATCTCTCTGTGAAAGTTTTTAGTCCGCCCAACTTCTCGCTGTCACTGAAGAGCTTTTGAAGCTGCTTCAGGACTTCAATTCGCGTTGGGGCATGAGGATCAGAAAGCACCCAACCCAGGTATCGCAGATGCTGTCCATCGAAGAACTTGTCTGGGTATGTCATGATCCAGTCCGCAAGTGCCTCGACGCACTCGACCCGGACCCGCGGATCGACATCTCGATATCTGTGAATGTAGACGGTATCGAACCAATCTGTGATTGCTGCGTCTACGACCTCCAGCTTCTGATTAAGCTCCTCCACCTCCTTGTTTGCTGCTTGGACGCGTGCTTTGTTGACGCGTGCCTTCTTCGATTCGCCCTCGCTCTGTCGGATCTTCTTTGCTGTCGTCTCTACAATCTCACTCGCGACTCTTGCAAGTGCGCCAGTAATTGCCAACGAAGCAACGGTGCTTGTGTGTCTGAAGGGTCGATTAGGAGCGGAGGACATGGTGCTGATCCACACCTCAATGTTCTCGATAAGTTCTGTATTATTGTAAAGCAGGCCATTCTGCGCGATGGTCTCGATGAGAGCAGAGAAAAAGCCCTGTAGCGCGTGCTTGAACGCCGTCCCGCCTCGCGTCTTGTTCAGTAGTGGGTAGTCAACAATCTCTTGCTACTTCGTGTCAGCGCGCGTCCACACAACTCCTCGCACGCAACTTACAGCTTGGTACTCCTCTTGTATATCGCCCAGACGGTTCGGGCAATTATCGGGGTCTGCGATGTCGTTTTCATCAATCTTGATCGTGCAGCCCGCGGCGCGCAAGACGAAATTGACCACGTCGGCCACGGCACGCGCCTCGTGCTCGCCGAAGCTCGCAACCCATTGTGCCGCGACGTCCTCGAGCTTGTTTCCGTGTGCAAAGACTTCTGCGTAAAGCCCACTGATGTCCTCCTCGTGCAACGCGCTCTTGCGAATGGGCACCTTCCGCGGCTTCGGCGCCTTCTTGGCTTTGGGACCTGCAGGCCGGATGGCCAGGCTTACTGTCGCGCCATTGGTTTTGGGCTTCTTTGCCTTCTTGCGTCGCTTCTCGCGCAATTCTTCCTCGTCGGGCTCGGCGTCGCTCGAATCGTCGGCGGAGGAGCCAACATCTGCCAAATCGACGTGTTTTCTTTTGGGAACGCGCCCGGAACGTCGGCGGGGAGCTTCTGGTGTCGCGCTCATGGTGGGTGGTGATGTGATGTTGTTTGGTGGATGCGATGAAGACGTGGGGGAAAGCGAGAGAACGCGTCGACCAGTAGTGCAGTCGAAGGGTGCGGTAAGTGTCCGAGCGTCATGGCCACACTCATCATCGCATGTTCTACCTGCTGGTCGCCTTGATCTCTAGTGGAAACATTCGTTCACGGACAAATAGTCATTAATATTGAACAGGGCGATACATGTATTTTATTAATCTACACTGAATCACTTGGTCAAATTAGCCTTCTCCAATGACAAAGCCTCCTCGACAAAGTCCTTAACAGTCTGCTTGAACCCGGTATACTTGACACCCAGCTCCTTCGCAGCAGTATGGCCGTCCAAATCATGAGTATCAACGACCGGCTGGTTGCCTGCCGCAATCCTATCCTTGATCGAAGGAAACTCTTCCTTGATAATATCAGCGACGAGCCCATATGAATACTTCTCCGGACTGGTGACAGTATATCGCTTGCCACCAGCCTCGGGTCTCAGCAGTGCTTCCACATGAGCTACAGCAAGGTCCCGCACGTCGACCCAGAAGGGGACTCGGGCTGCCGGGAACTCCTGGCCGCTTGCCACCTTCCAAAGCGACGCATTCGACTCATTCAGATCCTCCACCTTAGACAGCGGATGGACGACTGGGCCGAAGACCATAGGCGGGCACAGGGTAACAATGTCGAATCCGGGCTTCTTCTCCTCTACGAACTTCCATGCCTCAAGCTCGGCGAACTTCTTGGAGCCCCGATAAGCAATGACTGGGCTCGTCTCTTTGGCTACCGATTCCTCGTAGGAGAGCGGGTTCCAGTCTTTCGCAGTGTACTCGAACCTGGGCGGTGCGGTGCGGTTGACATCGACAACCGATGCAAATGAAGAAGTAATAACGATCCGCTTGACATTTGAGTTCTCGGCTGCTGCCTCGAGGATTGCGCGCACGCCTGCCAATGCCGGCTTGATCAATTCCTTCTCATTGTCCGTGACGTTGAATGTGAAAGGGCTGGCCACATGAATGACGCCCGTAACATCCTTGACCGCGTCGAGAAGAGACGTTGGTTCAGAGAAGTCGGTGACTTGGACGATGTCTAGTAGCTCGGTATACTTTGGCCTGGCCGCCTTCAAGGATTCGCCCTTTTCAAGACTTCTTGTAGCAGCTCGGACCTTGATGTTTCGACGAAGTAATTCGTCGACCACATGGGCGCCGATGAATCCCGTGGCGCCCGTAACCAAAATGTAGGGTTTTTCAGATGCCATTGTAGATGTAGAGCTCTGAGTGACGTTGGTGGGGGAGGGGAAGTATCTAAGGGAGCTACCTAAGATATGGAGGTCCAGGGTATTTACGTGACATGGATCCCTGGGGAAGTGGGGCATGCAACTATTGGTAACAATGTTATTCCAGTAGGGCAATGTCGTGATTTTCTTTCTATATGTGACAACCCATTCTAAGCCCAACAAGACAAAGTATGAGAGAAAAAAAGATTTAACTGAATTGATTGCTGTGATGCAACTCAGCCATACAATTTGCGAGAACGCTATGCAAACAACAACCCGTTAAGGCCGCCACATCCTCATTGAGAAGCGGATTTAATCAATTCACCTTCAGCCTGCTGATAGCTCCGTTCACAATCTCCGCGCTTCTTTGTGGGCTGACCGATCCACTATCAGTTCCGTTGCTTGACTGAGGTAAGACTCTCTTATCCGGGCCAGTAATGGTCTGCCCTTTCGCTTGTGCGAAGCCCGCAGAACGGGAATGCGCAGGGTTGGCTGAGTAGAATTCGTCGATGATAGGATGTATCATGACGGTCTGCTTGTAGATTGTAATGGTCGAGTTTGTGGGAACGGTAACCCAATTGTCTCAGGTAAGCGTCAGTAAATCTTTGCATGCTTAAAATGCTGCAGTATACGCACCTCTCTCAAATGTCAATGGCTCACTTGCGACAAGGACAATGTCAGAACCTTTATCTCTTCTCTCCATCACATAGTCCTTCTTTTCAGGGTCGGTAGAGCTCGTGCTCTCAGTCCCATGTTGGTTTCCTTTTGATTCTTTCCAGCTTGTCCCACTGGAGAAAAACAGACTCGCAGCTTCGTCGGTTCGGGAGCTGACATATCGTGTGCAGATGACACTATCTCCGTCTGTAACGGCAAAGTTCAGCAGACTCCTGCTATCTTCGCTTCCGACGCCTTCCTCGCCCACAATCTCCTTGATAAATCCATTTATCCTTTCGATCGTCTTCAAAATGGCCTTCCGCAGTACAGTATGCCCAAATCCGCCCTTCTTAGGTTCCGAGTCGGGGTGATGTCCCGCTTTGTCCAAGCAGTCCAGGAACAAGGCAAATGCCCACTCGGAATCTGTGGAGCCCTGGACGAGCGTAAACCACTGCTCGTTCAAGCTCAAGGCCAACCGCCTCTTGATCTGCTTGAAACATCCTATCCCTCCATTATGCATGAACATGAGACTTTTGTATAGGAACGGGTGGCAATTGGAATCGGACAAGTTGCCCTCGGTGGTGGCGCGAACGTGTGCGAACAGGAGCGAGGACGTCGTCTTCGATGCGATACGAGATAGGTTTATGCAGTTCCAAGCAGGAATGGTAGAAGTAAATACGCATGGCTCAGGCCCGAGCGATGGCGAGGTGTAGTACCCAATTCCAAAGCCATCGCCATTGTGCGGTCGGCGACGGTCCTAACAGCTAGTCAGCGAGAAACTTCATGGACGGAAGGCAGGGGGAACATACTAATCGCAACCGAGAATCGAAAGACTGTGTGAGAATGGAATGAGTCGGGTTTAGGATGAGTTCGGAGAGAAGTATCTCATCCTTGCCCTTGTAGACCTGGTCGTGTGTCAGAGGGTGAACAGCGGTGATGAGTCAGTAAAGCTACCATAAATCTGCACATCGTGTTCCAAGGGACAATAGCTAAAGCATGCAATGGGAATGCTCAGCTCGGAAGTGTGGATTGTAGGTTGGGTGTGTGGTTCGTTGTGCGCGCAGTTTTATGGAAGAAGACAATATGACTGTAGCACGAGCCCGGAGATGGCAAGATAGGTATTGAGGATTGCGCCATCAGCAAGGTATGATGGTCAACGCTTTCAGTGAAACGCAAACATCCTAGAATTGACAGTCTCGACGACAGCGTATAGGGTGAATAACTATGTACAAACAGAAGCAACTTGCGGATAAAGAAATTATTATTGAGATATGTATGTATGTACACGGATCCTCCCCCCACGCCTATGACGAGCTGGGACTGGCAGACGTGTCGTGGGGTTCGTGGGGTCGGATGCCCGGCCGCCAAGACACCTCACAGGAGCAAGAGGAGGTAAGCAAGCAAGGTTTTCCCCCTCATTGGAACAAGACTACCAGTAATTTGGTAATTGATATCAAAAGACTGTATCTGGATCGTCCATATACGATCCTCAAAGATGTTAAAGAAATTCATGAGTTCTAATAAAGGTAAAAAGCTGGTTGTCACTGGTAACTGTTCACTCATCATGTTCGAAACTGCACAAACTTTGAAATACAACTTCGATAATTGCACCGCATCACTTGCATGGAGAAGATAGATTAATGGGTTTCTTTTGCATTTTGCTATGTTGCCTTCAGTCTCTTCTGTACCCACGCAGGCGGGAATGGCACGCGTCCACTCATGACCAACCCTACCAATGCCATCACGCTGCCTGTGCAAACCGACCCCAAAGGGCCAATGACGTGGTCCAATTGCAGTGGAAGGAAAGAAAGACGTAAACCAAAACTCGCAACTCCGGGGATATGATGCGGCTGAATAAGGGGGTTACATGACGGTGTATCTTACGAGGCTTTCATAATAATCATAACAAAGGGGTCGGTCCGGAATCGGATGGGAACGGTTTTCGAGCCGGGAGAATAATGAATTAAATATACCTGAGATCGACAGTAAACATGTCGCCGACAGGGCTGATCGGGAAGATGAGGGGTTGTGGGTTGAGCCATTGAGGGAGGGGGGCAATGTGGGACTGCATCGGACAGTCTGCACATGGCTTCCTGTACAGCCATTTGGGTATCTCGACGACCAATAATTGTCAAACACTGAATTGGTCTTTCCAGCATTTAGCCTTCTTACAATCTTCATCCCCAGCAACGACTTGCGCTCGAAACGGCAGGAAAGCGAACTATCACTTCGTAACATAGCTCACATATCCATTGAGTCACCGCCGTTGGCGAAGTTGAAGTTTTGCTGTTGCTGCTGAGCGCCGAAGCCGAAGTGACCGTCCTGGTTGATTTGGGGATTGGTCTCGGCCATGTTCTCAGCCTCGCCCTCCTCGTCGGAGAAGTACTTCTCGATGATGTTGTATGCCTTCATGTAGATCTCCTCGTTGGCGTTGTTCTGGCAGTCGTGGATCTTCTCCATGCCGCCGACCTCCTCGATGAAGAGCGCATATCGGTTGATGGGCTCGCCGTTGTTGCCGTCAGCACCCGACTCCTTGTCCATCTCGCCAACCTTCAAGATGTTCTCCAGTCCGTCCAAAGCGACCTGAATGATCTTGTTGTCTGGGCATGCAAGCAAGTCACACAGAGGCCTGATGCAGCCACTCTGGACGAGGTACCTGATCTGAGCGGGCTTCTGAAGACCACCGGAGGTGGCGTTGGAGATTGCCCAGCAGGCTTCTTTCCTGGTCTTGAAGTCTCCGTTTTGGAGGAGGTGGATCAGAGGAGGGATGATGTTGGCATCAATGACTGCCTGGATCTGGGTAGAGTTTCCAGCGGTGACGTTGCTGATTGTCCAGCATGCCTCCTTGCGGATGCCATCCTTAGTAGAGCTCAGCAGAGAGAGAAGTGCGGGCAAAGCACCGCAATTGATGATGACCTGGGTCTGCACATCATCTCCAGTGACGATGTTGCCAACGGATCGGAGGGCCGGGGTTTGTACAGAAGTAGAAGCATGCATGAGCAGCTCTACAAGACGGCGGGGGATGCCGGCCTCGATAACTGCCTGGATCTTGTCGTTGGAGCCGTCGGAAAGGTAAGAGATTGCCCAGCATGCATCGATCAGGACTTCATCGTCAAGGGAGTAGACGAGCTTGGCAAGTACGGGGAGGGCAGGTTGGATCTGGACGGTGTGTCAGCGCATTAAATTCAGTAGGTTGTATTGGATAACGTACAGTCTGCCAGTCGGGCTGGGGGGTCTTGCCACGGCAGAAGTTGCTCAACGTCCATGTGGCATTCCTGAGCATGCTAAGCTTGCGGCTGTCGCCGAGCAGAGCGAGAAGGGGGCGGAGAGCACCAGCCTGGAGGACGAAATCACGGCAGGCGGGGCTATCACCAGCGATGTTTCCAAGTGCCCAGACGGCCTGCTCCCGAACGTCGGGCTCATGGCTGCTGAGGAGCTGGACGAAGATGGGTACAGCACCAGCCTCAATAACAACCTGGGTCTGCTGGGCAGAGCCGGAGGCAATGTTGGTCAAGGCCCAAGCGGCCTCGAACTGCACCAGTGTGTGGGGGGAGTTTAGGAACTCGACGAATCTGCTCACGACGCCGGTCTCAATGACACGCTCGATGGGGGGGTTTCGCTCCTTGGACAATAATTTCCGGAACTTCGTTGTCGCCTGGATCTGCTCATCAATCTGCTCGGAGAATACGCCCTTCACCATCTGGGGGAGTTCTTCGTTGAGCTAGACATGGGCTGTTAGCAATGGGATTCTCGAGGGTTGATGGCGTCGCGGCGCCACCCTGGAAAGTAGCGAGGGGTAATGGTCTCAGACTTACCTGGCTCTCGATGTTGCCGCCCTCATCATCGCTATCGGGAGCAGCACCTAGGCCAGCACCAGGTCGGTCGCCTCCTCCGATACCACGACGTTTGGCGAGGTTCTCTTCACGTTTGGCGCGACGGATCTCGACCTGTTGCTCCTCACGGCGGCGGCGGAGTTCATCAGGCTTGAAGGCGCTCTTTGCCTTGAAGGTAGTACGGCGATGCTCTGGGATATACCGGTCGGCCATGGTTGCGGCGTCGCAGGTGTGGAGCGATGTCGTGAATGAGGTGAGAAAAGGGAAATAGAGTAGTTGTGTGTTTTTGTTTGGTAGAAAGAGAGAAAGAAAGAAAGAAGGAGGGGATTATTATCTTCAGTCGTGGGGCAGGGAGGTGAAAAGGCGGAAGCGGCAAGAGCGTGCATGGTCTAGCTACTTCGGAAATAGCGGGGTCTAGGTCTTGGCGGCAACCATTGTTTGTGTGGTCCTCTTTCACGAATGTTTTTCAAACGCGTTTGTGGTGACATTCATTGTGACTATTCACTCTTCACGTGAGACGGGAGATTCATTTCTACTGTTTGCCGTTTTGATCCTAAATCACCCTTTCACTCATCGACGTTTCCATTCAGGCTTGCCTTGCGACCAAAAAGTGAGCATACACCCACCCACCAACTCCGTCGGCGCGCGGGATAATCAAACCCAAAATCTTGTTGCCAGGGCGGCGGAAGCTCTCGCTTTCACTACTCCCATACTATTTTATTTTCAACCCACATTAAAAAGGGATATGCACTAACCGCTCTCAGATACGAAGCTCTCCACCATGGCTTCGTTGCCTGGATTCATTAAAATCAAGGATGCTAGTAGTGCCGGCGACAGAGCCTCTTTCATTGGAATAGTCACTGAGTTGAAGCCACCGTACAAGTCACGTGGTGACGACTTCCTCCTCCATTTCACCGTTCAAGATGAGTTTGGTACTGGAGAGGCCATGGAACGCCTATCAACTATTAACTGCAAGATATTTCGGAAACAAATGGGCGACTTGCCGAAGCTCGGTGCCGTGGGAGACGTTGTCATTGTCCGTCAGATACGAATAGTCAAGTTCGGAGGATACGGAAACTCCACGAAATTCGAGGCCATTGCATCTTCTAATGTATACAGGTTTGATGTCCTCTTCTTCAATCCAAAAGACATCCCAAACCCTGAGTTCAGCACTGCATATGGAGAGGGTGGACTTTCAAACCTACGATGGGTCGGAAGCGCCAACGCTCCCATGCCTTCACGTAGTGAGCAGATGGAAGTCATCCGCATGAAAGCAGCAGCTGGGACATCAGTATCACCTCTAACACACCCGCAAAATACTATAACACATAAACCCTCCCCACAGGCCCGGCTACGGAGAGGATTCTCGCTCATCAAGGACGTGCAAATAATGAGGTATTACGACCTCGTAGGAGAGGTTGTAAAGACTTGGGACACGGGCTACAACACAATCGACGTTTACCTGACCGACTATACTGTCAATAAAGACCTATTCCTCTATGAAGACCCCCAGCAGGTCGATGACCCCTATTCCATTCCCAACAAGAACTGGCAAGGGCCCTATGGGCAGATCACCATGGCGATCCGTTTATGGGATCCGCACGCTACGTACGTCAACGAAAATATTCAAGTAGGCGATCTCGTTCGAATAGATGATGTGCATATCAAAATGTCACCAGCCAATAAGCTGGAAGGGGCACTCCATGTGGACCAAAGATACCCAGATAAGGTCAAGATTCGCAAGGTCAGCTATCAAGCCCAAACAGCCGCGTTTATGAAGAGAAAAGAGGAATATCTCAATAGTCACGGTAAACGCCACACAGAGATCTCAACCGATCGTGACCCACAGCTGTCGAAGACGGCGAAAAAGAAAGCGAAAGCGGCAAAGGAGCGACGACTGAAGAAGCAAGAAGAGCAGAAACTGTTGCAGGAAAGATTCACAGAGGTAACGTCTGGAGAGGGCTGCAATCCACATATCCGTGCGTCATATTCGAGTATACAATTCTCTACACTGGGAGAGATCATGTCAAATACCGGCTTGGTTACCAAGGGCCCATCAGAGGCGGAAATTACTTTGCCATTTGTCAATTGCAAATATCGTACTCGCCTTCGCGTTGTCGATTTCTATCCACGTACCCTAGAAGACTTCACGCATTCCATGGCGGACTGCGACTGGAACGTTGCAATGAACGACCCGGACAATCAAAACAGACGACGAGACGATGCTTGGAAATGGGCATTCGTCCTGCTTGTGGAGGACGCCGTTGTTTCTAGTAACCAAGAGGTGCAACGTTTGCCGTTGTTCGTCACGGATAAAGACGCACAGTGTCTTCTCAAGATGGATGCAACTGAGTAAGACCTCCTTCCAACTATTGCAGCAAATATGCTAATCATTACTAGCCTCAGAAGAGATACCAATGAGCACATTGTAGAGAAGCTTCGAGAGAAATTGTTCATTCTCTGGGGTAATCTTCTGGAACTGAAGAAAGATCACCAGTCCCAGGGCATCCAATTTCCCCTACCACACGGAGACAACCGGCTCCAGAACATGCCCTTCGAAGCTTGCATTGAAGAATACGGAGTAAAAGTTCTGAAGTCTTCTCAGTGGCCGCTGGGCTGGCAACGCACGCATAGACTACTTCAAACAGTGATTCAGGATTGAATCGGGAGTCATCTACTCGTACGGTGCATGGGATCTGTTGAGCTTTGGCGTATTATTTGCTTTCCGATGTTACATGATACCCTTGATGAGAAACTTATTGCGTTGATAGAACATGCATGATCAGATCCTTCTGCTAAGAGCCCGAAAGTCGGCCAGGAGCGAAGGGAAGTGTCGGCTGTAAATACGAGCTGGTGTATGCAATGTAGGGCTTTATAAGAAGTCTTTTTGGTCGTTGATCTCTCTTAGCCCTCCATCCCAAAGTGACCCTGCATAAGTGTTGCCGTCCTGATTTGTCGCTGGTAGCCCCATAACAACGAATGATCCTGGGGTAGTGAGTCTACTAACGCCCAAAATGGCATCCGACTTAGACTCGGGGTACTTTCTCTCATCCAACACACAAATCCCCAGCAAATCGCAGCGCAGATTTTTACAACCAGGAAGATATTTGGCGTGCGGACACTAATCTACACCGAAACGCCCTTAATAATACCCGCGATTGTTGGTGGTGGTGTGGTGCAATATTCCGCTATGGCGTTGAATTGCGTGCTCGCATTGCGCGATGTCACTTCGAAAATTGGGCCATTCCCGTATTGCAAAGATACTGCATACAAAGAGTTTGGAATCTTCCCAGAACGATTCAAATTTATATTTATTCTCTTTCACTTTCAGACACTTGAAATCGCTAACTACTTAATCCTTTGAACAACGAGCAAAGTCTTTGTGTCAAATCCGATCACTCGAATTCACCGAACCACGTTCCCGGTACGACATCGCAAGATCGGCAAAGTTGCGCAATTTGAGCCTCAACTCGTTGAGCCTCAATTATCTTGAAAAATGGCACCCGGTCTAGACTTGAGTGCACTCGCAAACGAAGTCGTAGAAAAAGACCCTTCAACTCTATCCACCAAATCCAGCGAGCCGACTGCACAATTGTCCTCAAAAGGCGCCACTGTGCTCGACCCATCATTGATCACAACTGAATTCGACGCCTTGCGATTCGAAGCTGCCGCATTCGGTCAATTGAACTCAGCCGACAGTGAGCATGAAAACAAGAATTCAGAAAAAGAGACCATCCAAACATCATCATTTCTGATCTCTTCACCATACAACAACCCCGGCCACTACCTCGACCTCAACGACCTCGACACATCTAACCAAATCTTCAGCAAAGCTCTCACAGCCTTAAAACCCGTACAACCGGATTATGCAACTGCACCGTACACTGAAGGATTGAACTTCGACATTGTCCTCGAGCTTGTCCGGAAATTGGCCAAAGACGAGGGTTTCCAATGGAAAGAGCAGTTCTTCTACGTCGTCATCTTCCGCTCTCAGCTCAATAAAGATATCGACAACGATTGGCTCTACAAGCTAGACTACGAGAGTCATCGCGAAGCATGCGAGTCCGGAGGCTTGTTGAAGTATTGGTTTGGTGCGACGAATGGTGAACGGAGGAATATGGCAACGTGTGAGTATACCCCAAACTAAAAATTTTCAAAGTGGGTACTCATTGTTGAAAAAGGCTTTTGGCGCTCTCGAGAAGATGCATATGCAGGCGGACTTGGACCATGGCATAAGAAAGCCCGGGCTGCTGGCCGTGTCCTGTACGAGTCGATCGTCTTCTCTACGCACAAATTTACTATCCTGGACGACGCTACGGACTTCCGATTCGAGGACTGGAACGAGCCGCATGCACGACCAAAATCTTCTCATGAAGCTTAGACCGAGGTTTCCAATACCGGGTCCAACTTCGACGTGATTTACTGCATTTCCTCACTACGTGCTTTTCTTAACAACGGACCAGGCAGGCTTGCCTAAACATGACCAAGGGATCCCTATTCAGCGATGCTTTCCAAAACATCATAGACAATGCATACTATATTCCCCGCATTCACGATTAAATGGTTTCATTTATTTTCCATCATTTCTGGGCGAACGGAGCAATGGTACAGGGTTAAGCGGGATCACCATAACATCAAAATTCCTTTACAGCAGGATTGTTCAAAGTTCGGTATCAATCAACATACTAGAACACAAAGATTCTGACACACCTTTAGATGGCTTCAGTACTTCTACAGTCAGATACAGTCAGATATCAATTACAAAAGAATCATCAGTTATCCACACTACGATTTGCTACGTGAATACATGGACACTATCAACTTTCCTCCCCCTTTGCAACTACAAATTCTCCTTTTTCTCTTGGATCTGGAAGCTCGCCCACGGGACCTTATCCTGAGTGAAGACCTCATGTATCGGAGCCGGAGTGTGTTCAAACAGCCCACCTTTCAAGATGACCATGGGAGAATCCGGCGAAGTCAAACTGTATATCGGGCTGACATCAATTAGTACGAAAACCCAGAACGAGTCCGCTATATACACATACCATCCACAAGTCCCGCAGAAGTGACGGGTGATGGTATTGCCGGATATGGTGTCACTATCTTTGTACGTCTTCAGCGCTTTGTTGGGGTCGCTGACAGTCACGTCCGCCCATGGGACCATGTAATTGGCCGAGCAGATTCCTGCGCTTGCTCGTCGACAATTGAAGCTGTGGAGGTCATTTGTGGATTAGGGGATGTTTGATGGAGCGAGGAATGGGATGGACGGACCAGTAGCAGAGGATGGGCGAGGGAGCAGGGTCGGGTAGCTTGACCTTGATGCTTCCGCAATTGCATCGACCTTCGTTGGACATGATGGTTTATGTTCTACGTTTTGGGATTATGAGGATCTTGAAGAGAGGGAGAGAATTGCGGGATTGATTGATGTAATAATGGATATTAAGGGGTAAATACAATTGAACTCAGTGAAGAGTCTGGTCTGCGCGCGCTCCAGCACTAAGGACGATGTTTAATTATGAATGAAGATGAGAATACCACGACTCTGAAGACCAAAAGCAATCGTCGGTATTATACTGGTCATCAAACTCAACAACATCCAACTTATACTATCGTCATATTTCCGGTGCACATCCGCTAACACCGTAATCTAATAAAGGTCCACGCATCGGTTTAGTCAAACCTCGGTAGTTGAAATCTAACTTCGCCCCATTCATACCGGGTCAACTAGCGACTCGTTATGGCCGATTCCACTTGTTGAAATCTACGGCCACATCAACTGCTCCAGTGGCCATGTCTGAAGTAATACGGCTGTACGGACTGGGTGATACTCCGTACTAAGTATTCTAAACGGGGTAATGTTCCTTGGGAAATGAGTGAATGGACTAGCTTCTGCTAGATCTCGCAGAACAGATTAGGAAGCAATGACGACGCATATTGATTTTAAATGTGAAAACGGTGAAACCAAGTAAGATCGATATCTGACAACCTGGGGACGAAGTCAACTTTAAGTATGACATTGCTGGTGGCAGTGTCTTGTTCCGGATTAGCGTGATTACCCCAATGGCGCGCCTCGCGGGTCCGTGTTGAAGATTCAACGATCAACATCGATAACAAACCTCCACAACAACCTTCCACCTACTCGCAACAACCAACCTTCAAAATCAGCGCGCCACTGAGCGGTAAACTCGATTATCCGCAAGATATTACCTACAAAACCTCAACACCTACACAAATACACAGAGTCTGCGCGCCACAATGTCTCGAGACAGCACATTCACCTACTTCCACATGCATCAGTCCCACCACGCCGACCTCCTCGAATCATTCACAAACCCCACAAACTCGCACATCCCACCAGAAGAGATTTACATCCCGCCACAGCATCAGCCCGTGAACCCCGAAGACGAGGACGACGTGGTGCCAGATCAACATGCGGCGTTCGGAATACAGAGGGCAACGCAGGGAAGGAAAGAATCGCAATGGAAGGATCTCGGGCTCGAGGAGCTGCTACGTCAGGGTGAACGCGCGCTTGGGGGTGTGGCTGGGAGGTCAGGCACCGTTGGGGGTGCGTCTGCGAGTGGCGTGGGACCTACTGGGGCTGGTGGAGCGGGCGTGAGGAGGGTGGGACAGAGGAGGAGGGATGAGTCTGTTAGGGTGGCACTTCAGAGGAGGCCAGGTGCTGGCGTCGCGGATTTTGGGTTTGGGACTGGTGGTGATGCTGCTCAGAGTAGTGGCGGTGGAGGTGGAGGTGCTGGGAATGGACTTCCTCGATGATGGGCCACGCGATACGAGTGTTCATCAAGGAGACGGGTTAATGCACGTTCACGAAGCGTGGAATTGCAGTGAGGGGCGAGGTAAAGGTCATTTCCTAATTCGATCATGAGATTCCTATCTACTAGTAAGGACTCTACAGGGCACTTTTAAGCTGCCCGTCATGGTTAATCAACGTGACATCTGAACACATGAAATCATATACAAGAGATACCCAAATAGAAAGCAAATAAATGCTGTCACCCACTCATTTCCTGGTCTCTTGCTTATCCATGCTCAGACGATGGACGACTGGAACGGAGCTTGGAGGAAGACTTCCGTACTCCGTAATAACCATATTGATATACTCGGCAGGGGTCACATCGTAAAGGACCTGCAACATCTGGAGATTGTCGGAAGCCTCAATCCATTTCAACACCTCTCCCGAAGAATTGGCCTTTTCCACGCCTGCCTTGTCTGTGCTCTCACCAAGCTTTGTGAGCAGTCCTGCTGGTAGATGAGGCTTTAGGGGAAGTAGCTCCTGCCTCTCACCCTCCGAAAGAACCTCCTCGGATGGGGCGACTTCGTTGCCGACGATAGAGTCCAAAGCCACGCGCTCTGTAAATTTGACCGATTCGCAAAGTACAATGACTGGGAGTGACTGTGCGTGTGCGAGCATGGATATGATCGCAGTGCCCACTCGTGAATAGAGTCGACCGTTAGACATCATAGCGTGCGCTCCCAAGAAGACCTTATTCGCTTGTTTGACTGCATGTGTAGCTCCTGTAACAAGGAAGTACTTCACTGGTATTCCATGGTGGGCCAATTTCCTGGCAAGCTGCTTGCCTTCAAACAAGGGCTTGGAGTCGACGACGATGACGGAAAACTTGATCCCGGCCTTGTGTGTGTGCACCAATGTCTTCTCCACAATTGATGACGATGCGTACGTCAAAATAACATCGCCATTCTCAATTTTCTTCACAGCGTGATCAATGATGAGCTTGTCGGCTGCAGTGACACGGTCTCGGATAAAGTCATCGATCTCGGAAATGAGGTCACGCTTCGCTTCGGCTTCAGGGGTTGAAGGGTCGATTTTGATGATGATGTCCTTCAACCATCGGATAGCATTTCCCATGCTGATGCTGAGCGGACGACAACTTCGAAGGTAGTCTATCTGTGGACTGAGGTGGTGTGATGTGAGGTGGCGTGCCAAACTGGTCCCAACGGGAGTCTGGTAGGAATCTATGACTGCCTTGAAAGCCAATAGCATTGCAACCATGCGAGCAGTACTTCCGCATACAATATAGCTGCTATATTGCAGACCAAGGGCGAGAATGGCCGGGTGCACTTCCTTGGTTGCGCCGACAATTGAATGTTGGCGGGGTTGGTTGTACAGATGACCAAAGAAGAGACCTGGTTGTCGAGAATCCTTTTTGCTCTCTTTCCGGGATTCTTTCTTCGTCTCCTTGAGTGTTACGACACTTGGCTGTGAGTTGCGCCTCCGCATGGGTAATGACTTAGATTTATCATCTTTGCTAGACTGCTTGGATTCTTTCTGTGACTTGGCGCCCTCCTTGTTTGATGGCCCCTTCTGTGGTGCAGGTGGTCCGGATGATTTTGCCTGCGCCCTGCGAGCTTGCTTCTCGGCTTGCTTTTGCTTCTTCAACTCGGCAGCAGAGAGCTTCGTTGGTCCCGCAGCTGCCTCTGTGGTCTTGGCGTCCTTAGAAGGGGGAGCAGGCGGGGGAGCAGCAGTCTCAGGTTGCGCGGGCGTTCCGCTAGTTGTCGTTGAATCATTGACAATGGGAGCTGGAGACGGAGCCGTCTCTCCGCCTGTGGGCTCACTCATGTTGATGGACGGTATCACCTCTATAGTCTTCAAAGGCAGCTCGGCTCTCAAATCGGAATGTGGGGTGCTGTGGGCGACAGACGATAATTCCTGGACTGATGACGAATAATAGCACTCGGCTTCGACTTTATATATCTCTTTCTTAGATCTCTGATGTTATCTTCAAAAGGCCTTTGGTCGTGGACTGGCGCAAATGGTGCGTGATTTGTCGACTGTGGCTTCTCGAAATTGTGGTGTTGAGTCAACGGTCGGTAACTTTTTGCAAAATCGCCGAATAAGTGTGCTAACTATATTAGGACTAGTGTCTAAGTGCTCGTCTGACGTCAATCTGTTGATTGCGACTCTCACTTAAAACATCAACCTGAAGGCAACAGCTCTTCTAAACTTAACAACAACATATCCTTTTGCTCTTCTGAACAACACAGTGCCTTTTACTCATTGAAGCCCACACGCGCCCTCGGTTCGATCAATTTTTTTTTTAAAAACCACCACTAACAGTGTCCTTCTTTTCTCCTTCCTTGTCCTCCCTACCCCACTCGTTCGACTTCGATCATTCCTTTCAACCGCCTTGTGTAGATCACCGTCGCTGCCAGTAATTTCACACCAAGTCCAAACAGATTCTGGCACTTTGATAATGGCAACCACTTCAATCGTCGACCTTCCACTTGATGTTCTGGTCCTGATCTTCCCGTATCTGGACGCCAAAAGCTTCCTGGCATTTTGTGCAACCTGCAAAGCCTTCCAACAGGACTCTATCCGTTTAGACTCATCTTACTGGAGTCATGAGACCAGAAAGACATTCCGTGTGCCCAATCAGCCTATTGTCCAACATGACGGTGACCGCTGGCAGAAGTTATATCGCCGAATGCTCACTCAAACACGCGTTTTCACATGGGGCAGTAATTCTCAAAATCGCTTAGGACACTCCTCACCAGAGTTGCGTTTCCCCGGGCCTCGGGGTGTAAGACGTCCACGAATGGCACCACTAATGCAGGGTTGCGCGACACCAGTCGAAATGGATAGGAATGAGGAATTAGGCATCATTGCCGACATGCAATGTGGTGGGTGGTCGACAACTCTACTCACATCCAAAGGAACCCTCCATATTGCTGGAATACTCAACGGAGAACGTCAATATTACTCACGCCCCCACAGCGGCACGAAATCTCTGCGCTTCCCAGTCGGATATCCTTACACTGCAGCCGTTGCTGCATATGAAGAACCCACCATCGCGATCAAACAATTCTCCGCTGGCCGCTCTCATATCCTTGGATTATCTGATAGTGGTAGAATCTGGTCCTGGTACGACGTGGAGAAGCCATCGTTACATGTGAAGTTCGTACATGTCGACCTCACAGAAGCTTCTTCAGGCGAGTCCTCTCCCGCAGCCAGCCCACTCTATGGTCGTGTGAAGCAGGTGGTGGCAGGCTGGAGCTGCAGCTCCGCCTATGTGTATGGTACAGGTATTGTTCTGTGGTCTCCGGTACAACGCGAACCAATCGAGAACGACGAGACCGATACAATGCTTGTCATGGAGAGTTTCGAGGTGCCACAAACAGCGTACCAGCGCGTCAAAGGTGCTTCTCGAGAGACAGATGCAGATAAGATCCTAAGTGAGGAAGTCGGCGTCGTCCTGAATTATATTGTGCTCGAGAACTACATCGTTTTCGTAACAGATATTGGCCGGGTGTTCTGCGCACACATTGGAGAAGGCAATCGTGTCAACGAGATCTTAGAGCTACAAGCGCTACGCAGCAAGAGTGAGAAACCGCTAGATGTCCAAGGAACGTTCCGACGTTTTGCTATCTTCAAAGACGGAGAAGTCATCACTACATCACAGAGTTATCTGGACAACTGTTGGAACGCACGCCAAAACAACTCCGATCAAGCGGAAATTGGTGGTCTCCAAAGAATACCTGCCCTCCAGAACAACGATGTTATCTCGATAGCATTTGGGGATTATCATTTCCTTGCGCTGCATTCCACCGGAAAAATAACATCCTATGGAACCGAACTTCAATCTTGCGGTGCCCTTGGACTCGGTCACACGGGCGCTCCCGGTACACTTCGAGGCGTTCAGTACAGCAGAGCGGAGGGTAAGCTGATACCTCATGCGTACACCAATGGTCGACAAGTCTGGTTTGAGGATGCTAAGCAAGAGTGGCTGCAGAGTATCGCAGCTGCAGGCCATGACCATGAAGAAGCGAAGGAACGAAGCCAACTATTGACCACAGATGTAGAGGTACAAGCGGAAGTTAGCGAATGGATTGAACAAGAGGCTAAGCACATCTTTACACCAGTTTCCAAGGCTGGTGAGGATGATGGGTTGGGTGCATTCTTCGCGTTGAACGTATGCGCTGCGGGATGGCATTCTGGTGCACTGGTTCTGCATAATTTCAAGGTGGAGAAGAAGGATTGGCCAAATCAGGGGTTCCCCCGGCTTCGACTTCGCGACGGTCGAGAAATGCCGGGTACTCGCGATTTTGATGAATGGAGGGTCGGTCCACCGGAGTGGCAACTCGATGTCGAAGTTTAGAAACACCAGGTCACGAATCTGTGATCGAGACCAGACAGAGCCTACGATCTTCTCATGACAACTGTATTTATATAACGAAGCCCTCATGAGCCTATTCAAACTATTGAATGCTTCCACTTTCATACTTATGATATCCAATAATTCATATAAAACAAACCTTGCCCGTCCCACGTATATATCTCATTTCCACCGACTAGCTCCGCGCATCTCTCGGCATCAAACTCATCAACAAGCTGAACAGACGGGTAGTCCCTGAGCAGGTACGAGAGAAATGCAAGTAGAATAACAAAAAAAGTGCTTACATCACTTCTGAAGTGTTTAGATATTTCAACTGGAATCCGTCCCAATTGAGTATTGTGGTAGTGATTCAGACGGCTAGCCCGAATGCAACATTAGACGTATGATGTAGGTTCCCTACTGTACATACAAAAATAAAACCTGGCAATAGCAGAAAGATACATCAGTAAGGAGTTAAAGGACTCCATGTCCAGCCAATTCAGTCACTTTGGCTATGCAATGTCAGCGGAATCAAGGCAACGTCTAGCGTCGAACTGGTTGCCGTGATAGGCTTAGCGGAAACCAGACAGTCTACTTCCTTCGAACATTCGGGTGCCTACTTGGCTTCCTACCTAGGTATTCATCATCGAATGTTTTTTGTCTCTCCCGCCAGGCATCCCGCTACGACGGCTCCACACCTATGTGTAAACAGTTGCATGCGTAAGAATTAAAGTCCAATTACGACGCAAGGACGCAAGGACTTGGCATGGTCTATCGCGGAAAACCTGGTCGTGGCTGCCAGCGTTGTCGTGAACGGAAGTTGAGAGTACGCAAATGGCAATTTTGGTAGATTTTATATGTACTGACTTGAAGCAGTGTAATCTTCTGAAACCAACATGTGGCGCATGTTCCAGAGCTGGCGCCGAATGCACTGGGTATAGGGATACATCTGCACTTCGTATCAGTGATCAAACCGAAGCGGTTCGCTGCAGAGCCCTACAAAAACGAGCCCAGGGTACCAAAACCGATGCCCTATCTTTTGGCTCTCCTAAGAAGCTATCATTGGACCTGCAAGTCCAAGCGAGGGAGCTGTTCTATGCGTACTATGTGACAGACTTTAGCAGGACATGGGATTTCCTTCTACCGTTTCTGAATAAGACTTCTACGCCCGAATATCTCAATCTCAGTATTGACGCCGCAAGCCTTGCCTTTCTTCATCACCAGACCCGTTCGGGCGCCGCCCTAGACCTGTCGCACAAGCAGTATGCAGCTGCTCTTCGCGAAATGCGCGCTGCACTTGGATCTCCCGAGACAGCAAAAGTAGCACATGCTATGGATGCGTCGCTGGTCTTGGATCTATTCGAAAAGATTTCGAACCCTGGAGTTATCGAACCCGAGGATGTGAGTGTGGCGCATGTTGCCGGCTCCCTCGCGCTAATCCGGCTGCGCGGGTTGTCCACATTTCGCGACCGAGCGAGTTTACAAGGCCTGACGAGGATTGCTCTGAACGCCATGGTAACAGCTCTATATAGAAGAGAGCCGGTTCCTGAAGAAGTTGTCGAGGTTCGAGCGTATGCAGCGTCTTTTATCGATACTACTGATCCAAAGTGGAGGTTGACCGGGCTTATGATCGAGTGCGCAAACTTACTATGCACTTCGAACAAAGACTCTATGGAGAGAGGAGAAATCCTACGGCGTTGTATGGATCTTGATATGAGATTTGCACAACTCGCCACTGACCTGGAAAAGCCACATAGGAATGACATCCCTGAGATAAAAACCGAAAGAATGCTTGAGCCTTACTACGACATGACCCAAGACCGGACAGGGACACAAATGACCAATGTAGTGAGGCTCACCAGAATCATGTTATGCGAAGAAATGACCCAAAGTTCTGGTCAGGCCACAACTGCTGATTCGCTTCGGATGCATCACCATGCACAACCTATCGTTGAGGAGATGATTCGCCAAATCTGCACTTTGACACCACAAATGACGGATTGCAAGGTTGATACCGCACGCGATTTGTCCAAGTACCCTGGAACCCAATCCAGTGGTAAAGTTCCTACTCATACGCTCACTCATAGCTTGGACGTTTACATTATCCTGTTTTCGCTGTATGTAGCGGCGTGGTCATCCTTCTGTCCGCCAGAAACGAGGAGCTGGATTACCAAAGAAGTAGAATATATCGCTGATCGTTTCGGAGTAAAACAAGCGGCGATGGTTGCTACGGCCATGAAGAGTGAAAAAATGATCGGACCATGGCAGGTCTATCAGCTGTTGGGAAGTTATGCATTCGCTGCGTAGATACCATGAGACAGTATCTCTGTATATATTGAAATCAAGCTATTGCAATCATTTGTGTCGCTCAAAGATGTATAATTTAGACTACTACTACGTTCCAAATATCAGGGCTCGGAACTTAGTGGCAGAGACCTGGAAAAAGGGCTTACTCCTACCTGCAAATCCATGGTCATGTGAAGATAGCTATGACTGATGTAGTACATTGACGTAGTGCTCTTCGTTATACTTGACTATAGGGCACTTTTGAAGGATCAGTAGTCTTAACTCTTCAGTCAATGTATGCTGAGGGGCCATATGTGTGAAAGACCCAGCACGTGATTTCGCGACCGCCAAGACAACACCTTCGCGTATCGATAACTATTACCTCTTCGCCAAAACTTTACTTTCGTCGCATAATGACAGCGCCCGATGATGCTTGACTCCAAGCCTTCGTGGGCCTTTATTCCTACTATGCTAGGGTTTCATTGACATCGCCTCAACGACTCCTACGCGCTCCACCTTACATGTCCGATCACTACTGTCCCCGCACACGAGTTATCTCCAGGCTTCACTGATCCGCGTGGTCGCATTCGAAACCCAATCGTTGCACGAACTATTGACAATCGAGCGTTTGATAATACGTACGCATATCCCCTTTATCGGGAGGATAGATCAATCTCGAACACCGAAAATGCCTCCCAAGCGCACCCGTCAGACACGGCTAGACTTTAGCAACGCTGCTAAAAAGCGAAAAGTCAAACCTGACGATGACGGCAACGATGCGCCCGCTTTTGCGACACCGAAGGAATCTCCTGATCTGGGTAAAATTACACCACAAAGGCGCGATGTTCAAAGGGGCATGGAAATGGGATCTTCGGTGCTCCGAAACCGTAAAGGCATGTTCGGCAGTTCTGACAATGAGAACTTTGCTTTACTCGAAAGTTCGAGCGAATCTCCTGTTCCACAGCCTAAAAAGTCCAAGAAAGAGCGAGGCAAGAAAACTGCCAAACCGAAGATAGTGTCTAGCAGCGAATCGGAGGAGGACGTAGCTCCTGCGAAGCGTACACGATCAGCTAAAAATGTCAAGAAAGGAAAGAAGAAAGTACAGAGCATATCCAGTGACGAAGACTCTGCACCGGCGCAACATCCTCACATCTCACTATCATCAGATGATGAATCAAGTGACCAAGGGGTGGTTGCTACCCCAAGGCGTAGCGGACGCCGTAGCGGACGCCGTAGCAGACGGCATGCGCAGATCACCATTGATAGTGAGGTGGACCTTGAAGATTCAGAAGACGAACTCGCGCCGCCAAGTACGCGAAAACGCAAACGAACACCGGACGAGTCAGACAGTGAAGAAGAGAATGACGGAGCTGCCAAAGGGAATCACCAGGAGAAAATGGACTTGCAAGAGGACCTGGACTTTCTGAAGTCTTCGCCGCCGCCTGATAAAGGCCGACTAAGGAGCACTCAATCCAAGCCCTTGAACAAGCGACAGGAAGCTTTAGAGGCCTTGAAACGTCGACGAGCAGGTAATTCCTCTGTCGCGCCATCATCTTCTGCAACTCCCGCACGGAAGCGCGCAGTGATATTGGAGGACTCAGACTCTGATGAGCTCGAGATCATTAGGGAAGACAAGAAGGAAGAGGATATTCGAGATCATAGTGTGCAAGAATCCTCCGAGTCAGAAGAGCAGAGTGACGATGCGGAAGACGGATCTAGTACTCAAAACACAAATCCGTTTGACATGTTCAAGGAAAACGAAGAGGATGGAGACTTCATTGATGATGACGCGGATGACCCGATAGGAGCGCCTGCGGAGCTCACTGCTCTTCCCCTTGAGTTCAGCTCTCTTGGCCGTGCGAAACCTCGAGAGCTTTTCAAGTATGCAGTCGAGTGGATGGTGCAGAAAAAGATCAATCCGGCGTTCTCATCCACGGACGAGATATACACGCTGTCATTTCGCAAGCTGGATGACGAAGTGAATGGACTCGCCTCCTCGAAATTCTCGTCTTCTGCCTGGACATCCGGCTTCACCAGAGCGCTGAGAGCCAGGCCGGATGTAACAATAGACGAAATTGGTCAGCATATCCGAGCTATATCGAGCCCACACTGCGAAGCATGTAACCGCAAAACACACCCGGCGACCTTCAACATATGTTTTACCGGAAAGCCCTATAATAAATCGACCCTTGAACCGCTTGTCGATTCCGACACAGAAGATTCAGACGAGTCAGACGTGAGCTCCGACTCAGGGGCATCCACTGATTCAGATGCATCGGAATCGGGCTCGCGCGAGAAAAAGACCTACGACGCCACCGGCGAGATTGTGCCGCCCGAGTCAAAAGTCTTCACCGTTGGATCCACGTGCAAAGCAAACGCCCAGATGGCACACACTTTGCACCATTGGAGGCACCACCTGAACTCCTGGGTCATCGATTATCTTGCAAGCAAAGGCCATCTCAAAGAAAAGAAGGTGGCCAAGCGCGACAAGTGGAGCGTTGAGAAACGTCGCAAAAAGGCCGATAAGATAGTTGATAAGATGGAAAAGGCTGGCGAGATACAAAATCTCTACAGGCTTTACAAGGACCAGCTTGATTACGCTCTCGAGGCTAAGAACGACTACAAGCGTGGCTGGGGCCGGAAGTAAAGTTGAACATGGTCATCTTCTACGGAGTATTCGGTCTTGCAGCAGACCTGTGGTTTCGGTTTGGAAGTCAGCGTGGGAATTGAAGCAACGTGACACGATTTCCCTGTATAGTTGATTCTATTGTGTCTATTAGGAAACCTTCAGGTTTGATTATTAGGAAGAAGTTCTTGGTCTCTTTCACTGAAGGATGATATCTCTGAGTGAAATTACGACGATCACGCGCTTGAACGCGAGTAGATACCAATTAGTACATCTCTTCATGATTCCCATCTCCCCCTCGATCATGCCTTGCTGATCTCGTCGGCAGCGGGCGCAGCTGGCTCAACAGCCTCCTTAGACTTTTCAGCAATAGGGATCTCTGTCTTCTTATCATCGTTGACATTGAGATTGGCAATTCCGTCAGCTACTCCGTTCGCAGCCTTGTCACCTCCTGCAGCTCCAACGCTCTTCTCGTCACCACCCCAAAGATAGACCTCACTTTCGCCGATCAATTTGCCAGCAGCCTCCCATCTAGACTTCCTCTCTTGCCTTCTGGCAGCAGCCAATGCATCCAGAGCTGGCCAATATGTACCGTGGTCATACTCGAACTCGACCTCTCCTCCAGAATTCTTCATGAGCTGGCTGGCAGGAACGTGATCGGTCAAAGGCTCATTGTACTTGATCTTCGTCTTGGTGACCGGGTCGATAAATGGTGAGACGGCCTTCAGAAAGATGGTGACGTACCAAGGCACTGAAAATGAACATGTTAGTCTTTTGTCTACAGCCTGATGAATTACATGCGGTTTTTTTAGAATACGTACAATGCGTGATGAGAGCCCTTCCCAGCCTCTCAGGGTAATGATTCTGAAGAATATTGAGAACAGATCGTCCGGTACCGACGGAGGGGCTTGATCCAGAACTTGAGTTGCGGAAGTCAATGAGCAGAGCCAAACTCTCCTGGCCTGGTGGAGCCACATCCAAAGTCCTCTCCAACATGAAGACGAGGTGTTCCACCTGCTTTGGACTGGTGGCTGTGTTCTGCTTATTTGGCAACAGGTACAAGCATGGCCTGCCCTCATTATCGAAACCCAACAAGACTTGCTTGCCTGTGGCATTCTCCTCCGAAATGTAATCGGCCGTGAAGGTGTCAGTGCCATACTCGCGTCTCCAGACAAGGGTGTCTTGGAGACGCTTCTCGGCCTGGGCGAGGTGCCATTTCGTAGCTCGGAGGTAGCGGAGGAGGCATTCGCGGGTCAACCAAAGCTTCTCGGTGTCGGAGAGCGGCGCGGTTTCGGCGCCCTTTGCGGAGGTTTTAGGGAGGCTTTCCCACGACTTTACGGTTTGGAGAAGCTCATCGTATTTTGTCTGCTGTTCGGAGGTGAGCTCTGCAGGGGCGGCTGGTTTGCTTGATGGCAAAGGGTGCTCGAAGGGTGTCTTTTGGATAGCAGGGGTAGCCATGATGCCTGAGCTGATTCGGAAGTAACTGCGATAAGGAGATTGTGCAATGTGTTTTATGGGAAAAGGGAGTTGGTTGGCAATTGAAGATTACTTGAAGGTTCGAATCTACGCCGCACACCTCAGCTGGTCCTTCAAGATGTATAGAAATTAGGTAGGAAGGTAAGCAATGGCGGTAAAGAGGAAAGGACCAAGCCAACAAGCGTTCAATCTCGCAATAAACATTTCACCAAATCCCGCTAAGTCCACGCAGTGATTGACGCAGGGATACCACGAGCCAGACCGTATCGAGGTTAGATTACCATGGGAAGGGTCGCGTCTCCCGCGTTCCCTCGACGCGTTTTCTGAGCACCATCCCACTTTACGAACTTCAACCGACCATTGTAAAATCCTAGGCCACAACATGGGCGATAATATCGACGAGATCACCGAACGCTTTGAGCGGTATTGCGATGGCAATATCACTCCCGAAATCCATAATGAGCTGCAATCCATGCTGCGACTCTATTCCATTTCCGCCGAGGAGCTCGACTTCAAATGGCAGGCTTATGCAATGAAAATGGGCGCAGAAGACACAAAGCTGAGCCTCAATACTTCAAGGCAATTCAAAGCCAACATTCAGGATACTTTGGAGAGAGAGTCCAAGGGGAAGGCGGCACAAGGGCGAGATGGGCGCAGGACCGCACCGACTCCCCGCTCTGGTGCAAAAGGCGCTGACGATGTGTTCGGCTTGTAAGTTTGCAGGCTACTTTCTGGAATTTCAATGCTAACTTGGTCAATAGCCTGGACGGTCTCGTACCTAATACTCCCCAGACCGGCACTGTCAAGAGGAAATCGAATTTCCAAACCCCAGGAACAAGCAAAGCGAACAAGACTTTTGGGATGAGCTCACCAGCTGGTGGGCTTACACCAGGCGATACAAACGGTGGAGCGTAGGTTTATGGTTAGAATTCTTCCTCAATTAGGCTCATCATGTACAGGTCCTTCGATTTCAGTGCTCGCGAACATATTGGCGACATCACAGAGCAATTGAACGGCCAGATCCCCCTCTCCGACCCACCTGAAGAGCCCCCAGCCGAATCACGCATCAAATTAAAGGCAAACACCGACATGTCCAAATTCACATACAAGACAATGGCCATGAAATTATCAGAAGCCTCGGAAGTTCTTGATGATCGCATAGACGAATTTCGCCAGCTCATCCAAGAAAGTCTCGAATTGGACGATAGCGCCTTCGGCAATCCCTCACATCAATCTCCTAGCGAGATAATAGCAATTGGCCGTATCGCATCAGACAGTAGCGAAGGAAAACTCAATGGTGCCTCAATCTTGCTTGAAGGATCTCGGCGTTGGGGTTCTGGCCGCCGGGTTCCTTTGAAACTCGATAACCTCACATCATACAACTTCTTTCCCGGACAAATTGTTGCTCTTCGCGGCATCAATGCATCGGGCGACTTTTTCACAGTAAACGAAATTCTCGCGCTTCCCTTACTGAATCAGCCCGCTTCAAAACCAGACGAACTCGACGTTTTCAACTCACGCTTTCTTGATACCCCAGAGTCAGATCCTGACAATTTACGACCTTTGACCATTCTTGTAGCTTCTGGTCCTTATACTACCGACCAGAACCTCGATTACGCACCTTTACACACTTTACTCGACAATGCTGCCACTTCGCTTGCGGATGCCGTGATCCTTTCTGGGCCTTTCCTCGACGCAGAGCATCCTCTCATACGATCGGGTGATTTCGACATACCCCCTCACGTTACGAATCCCGATCAAGCAACCATGACGGACCTGTTTAGACACCATATCTCATCTGCCGTGCAAGCTTTCACACAGCGCGTGCCAACCTGCAATGTGATCATTGTTCCTAATCTCCGCGACGCACACCACAAACATGCAGCATGGCCGCAAGACAAGTTTTTCAAGAAGGAGTTGGGTCTTGGGAAGCAAGTTCAATGCGTCACAAACCCTATGACACTCTCCATGAACGAAATGACCATTGGTATGTCGTCTATCGATATTCTGGATATGTTGAGGAGAGAGGAGCTTGTCGGCGGTAAAGCGAGGACAATCAATCTGTACGAGCGCGGTGCAAGAAATGTGATTGAGCAAAGAAGCTTCTTGCCAGTTTTCCCACCAACTGGACAGGCAAAGCTGGCTCCGCTGGCCAATATACAGGAGAAACTTTTCAAGAATGGGTCTGGAGACGTCGAGATGAAGGACGCCGAGGCTCAAGAGGAGGAAGAAGGTCCTAGCCCCTTCTTACCGTTGGGCACCATGCTCGACACGAGTTATCTGAAGCTGGGCGAAATGCTGAATGTTCGCCCTGACATTCTCATAACGCCTAGTGTGTTGCAAGGATGCGTGAAGGTAGTTCTTCCCCCCCTCTCTAGATCATTTCAGTGTGCTAATGAAGAAATCAGGTTGTGGAGTCTGTCCTCGTCATCAACCCTGGCACTCTCAGCAAACGACGTGCTGCGGGCACGTATGCCAGAATCGTGGTTCAGCCAGCAAGCATCAGCGATGACGAAAGGGAAAGGGGCCTTGCGATTGCACATAAACTTTGGGAAAGAGCAAGAGTAGATATTGTCAAGATATAAAGCGCTGCATAGTCCACTGTTATCATAATTCCCGGAAACGAGCTCTCTATAAATATACCAAGGCTTGTCTGTTTTTTATTGTTACGATCCGCGGCATCCTGAATATAGACGAGAAACATTTGCTTCGACCCCCCAAGTTCTTCATGTCGATATGATATACGATTCACTGGCATTCACACTTGATCATAGCACATTGTAATTGTACGGTTTTCGTATTCGCCGTAGATGTAGACTCCGAACCGTGCAACGTCCGCCCGTATGCACCTAGGAAACAATCCCAAGGAAAAGACATGAGGAATCCGGTAATGCAATGTCCACCCCCTCAAATCACTTTTTTGTTTTGATCGTCATTCATCCGCCTCTAAGTCGTCACTCCAGTACACCATCACGCCCATACCTCCACAATGCCTTTTTGATTCGAATCGATTGGGAATTTATCGGTGCTGTGGATGTGTTAGTGGAAGTTTTGTGTTGTCTGCGTTAAGAAATGTTGAATTCGTACCTTCTTGAAACCGATGTCGGCGGACTTCTCACGGAAGCACTGACGGCAGATGTTCAAGCCGTACTTCCTCTGCAATGGTGTTAGACAAACAGCCTCGTTCCTAGGGGATATATCTCGCTCGAGGCACTTACGATGAGACCGGCGCTGTGAGTGCAGACACGGCTGTAAATCTGGTCAGCTTTCTCTGTCCCCTCAACATGATTCCTAATTTTCGATCCCCCTCATTGTGTAATCCGCCCCAATATCAAATTGTCCAACAACCGAATTGAGAGCTCTGGGTTTGAGCTTACCAGGAGCGAGAGCCCTTGCCGTAGGTGCCTAATATTCAGTTAGATCACTGTAACCGCGATTTTCGGGTTGTGGAGCTCCTTACGTGGGCGCGAATACCAGATAGACTCGTGAGACATATTGGGTGGTGTTGTGTGGGAATTTCGAAATCTGATGAATAGCAGCCCACTCGTTAGCTGGCCAATTTTCCTCCTGAAACTTGGACTGAGGGCATATCGGAAGTTTACGTACGAATTTCGAGGGGTCCGATGGCGTATCGTAGAGGCGGTCGGTCGTTGGTTGCTGTCGTGTTGTTGTTGTAGGTTGTGAGAGATAGATTTCTGTGTGGCTCGGGATTACTTCGGCAGTGGGAAACGCGGGGAGCAAAGTACGTTCACATTGGCTATGATCACAATTGCTCAGGATTTCTCAAGTATGGGAATCATTTCGGCATTGAGGGGCGATCCAGATTGTATAAACTCGACTCAAAATACAGCTTCCTAGACTCACGATACAGGCCTGCCTCTTCTATGTGTTTTCGGCATTCCCAAAGGCATACATGCCGCCAAGTGTTCGGCGAGCTGCGGTTGAATACTACAATCGACGGCTTTCCTCAACCTACTCTTCTAGGCATTTTCATACCATTTTCTGATTGACGAAACTCGCCGATGCGCCGGTGGCCATTTCCTTACAATCGATGGATGCCGCTCTGCTACCCTATCTGGAAGGTTGACCTGGACGTTCAGGCGCTGTTAGCGCTGACATTTTTCGGGGAAATCGACGGTTTTTCTCGAAACTTACTCAATGGGGTAAATAAAATCATACTAAAAGTCTTGGCTGGATGGCCTTTCGTCAAGGGTCATTGAACTGTATCCAATCCCCTGATTGGTGCTCTGGGCAATCATGTAGAGTGACAGTAGACTGCTCAAGTACTACCTGTATTGCGCAAGCCTTTCACCAGATGTATTGTTGAGAAATTACAGTGTCCGTGTATTAGCCAGTCATTTTTCTCCGCTATTCTCTCAATGTGCACATGCCTTCCAAGTTGCCTCCGAGTAGTGACATGAGAGAGGCGGGGTTTTGGGTACACGTCTCTAAGCGTGTTACGAACGTCCTACGAACGTCCTATGAGCGTTCTACAAGCCTCCAGCGAGCGTCCAACAGGCGCCTACGAGCAGCCTATGAGCATCATGCGATCGTTCTACGCATACCTATTCAAGGTCGCCTGACCTCAACAGTAGCACTCGTTCAAGAGTGAGCTAGACGATGGTAGATCACGTACAACATACTGCTGCGAATAGATGTTCTGGCTGAGGCACTTCGGCCTCAGCTTTGTTAACATTGTTTTCTTCAAACCTCCTTTTTTGCCTCCATAATTCTCTGGCAATACTACACTTCGCCTGTCTGCTCTCGAGCCGCTCTTCCATGGATCCCGTGGCAGGCGTTGCCTCAATAGTAGGCCTCTGTTATAAGGTTCTTGGACTCTTCGTCGAAGTCCGCAATGCCCCCAAATACCTGGACGAGTGTCGACTCGAGCTGTCGGATCTTCATACTACGCTCTGGAGATTGAAAGGTCGAGTGGATGAGAGGAACCTTGACAAGGCATGGTATATCAACGCTCAAGCGTTAATGACTAAGGATGGTCCAATCGCCCAGTACGAAGAATCCTTAAGAGCATTGCAGTCAATTTTAGAAGTTGGATTCAGTCGAAGGAATGTCAAGGACGTTGTAATGTGGACTTTCCAAAAAACGGAGATAAAAGGCATTTTCGACAAGTTACAACGCCTGAAGTCGTTGATCAATGAAGCCTTGCAGTTGGACCACTTGTAATTTTCCCTCCGTGTTTCATCAGAAGACTACTAATAGCAGAAGTGAACTTTCTCAAGCTATCAAAGACGATACCAAAATGATTCCAGAGCATTTACCTCGCATGAACTCCAACATCGAAGAACTGCGTAATTCTCAAAGCAGTGAGGAACATAGCAAGCTCATGGACTGGATCTCGCCCCTGGATTACCCTGCTCAGCAATCGGATATCATTCAGCGTAAGCAAGAAGGAACCCTACAGTGGTTCCTAGAGTCCTCGGAGCTGAGGAAGTGGGTAAAAGAACCGAAGGAAACCCTACTATGCCTTGGGATGCCTGGAGCAGGCAAGACTCTATTGGCAGCATCCACCGTTCGCCGTATATATGAAACCATCAAATGAAGACCTCATGGACTTGCTTACATCTATTTGAATCACAAAGACAAGCAAGATGTCACCAGCTTGCTGGCAGCCTTGACCAAGCAATTGCTCGAAGACCGACTATCACTCTCCGAATGCGTAAAACAGCTACGTCATAAACACGAAGGCAAAGGAACGAAACCATCGCTAAAAGACCACATCAATACGCTCAATAATACGCTTTTGCACTTCCCAACCACATATTTTGTTATTGATGCTCTGGATGAGTCTCAAGATGATTATTCTTGTGAAAAACTAGTTTCCATTCTGCGAGAATTCCAAGCAGAACACGACGTCCACCTTCTTGTCACCTCGCGAACGTTGCCAGGGATTATCGAACGATTCAAAGATTCGCCACGATTGGAAGTACGAGCAAGCGATGATGATGTGAAGAACTATGTAGAGGGGCAGATCCCTTTTCTACCGAAGGTTATTCAGAAAGATAAGAACCTCCAAGAACAGATACAGTCAGCAATCACCAAAGCTGCTAATGGAATGTGTGTCAATATTTTCCTGGTACCTAACACCTACTTACTCTGCTTTAGGTTTCTCCTTGCGCGCCTGCACATCGATTCGTTGCGGCATAAGAAAAGAATCACTCAAGTCTGTTCAACGCTTAGAAGCTTCGCCCAATCATCGGACTCACTTGAAAGGGCCTCTACCGATGGCAAGCTTCAAGAGGCCTACAATTCTGTCCTCCGTAAGGCATACGGGGATGCTCTCGAAAGAATAAAAAGCCAGCCGCAAAGCGACCACGAACTTGCAAAGCAAGTCCTGTCCTGGATCACGTTCGCAAAGAGGCCGCTTACCACACGTGAGCTATGTCAAATTCTAGCTGTGGAAGAAGGCAACAAGGAATATGATCCGGGCAATGAACCTCTCATCGAAGATGCTGTTTCTGTTTGTGCCGGTCTCGTAATCATCGATGAGCAAAGTGAGATCGTACGCCTCGTGCACTACACTACCCAGGAATACTTTGAGACACTCGAAGATGAATGGGACCCAGCTGCTCAAACACGGATTGCCATTACTTGTTTGACGTATCTATCTTTCCCCCGATGCAAAAACGGTGGCGCAACCTGCAACCAAGGGTATCAGAGAGTGGATCAAGCAACTCAGGAAGCCTGGTTCAAGGATCATGGTTTTCTAGGATATGCTTCAGCATATTGGAGCAAGCACGTTCATGCTGTTGAGCCAGAAGTATGCGAGCGTGCTAGTGTCTTATTCAATGACTATCACCTTCGCCACCTCCTTGAAGTTGGCAGCGATCCCCACGCCGTACCGTGTCAAAGGCACTACAATACATCGAATTATACGGGTATCTATATTGCGGCAAGATACCAATTCCTTCATATCATGAGGTGTCTCATTTCGAAGCTCCAAGAAGATAAAACTGATCAGATCAACAAACCATACGAAGGAAACAGTCCCTTACTTCTAGCAGCATCCGGTCGTCATTATGATTTGGTTCAATTACTCCTCGCGAATGGTGCTCTTCCTGACTTAGAAGATTGTGACTCGCCTCTATATTCGGCGTGCCGGCATCAAAATGAAGAGATGGCTCGACTATTGATAGAAGGTGGGGCCGATGTAACGGCTAATTTCAAACTCGGATATGAGCTTTTAGGCAATGCCCTACACACTGCTGCAATTTGGGGGTGTCCAATGTCCATGGTCAAGTATCTACTAGACAAGGGAACTCCAATTTATGCGTTGACGTCGTCAGGAGACTCGCCATTATCGATATTCGTTTCCAAAGGAAATGGACCTGCGGTTGCTCTACTGCTTGATCGAGGATTTGACGTGAAGTTCAAGCATTATGCACGACCCGTTGGTTCCGGGTCGCTGTACGACTACTACCAGCCTGGCTCTACAGTCTTACATTTTGCATGCACTTATCTGCAACCTGCAATGGTCAAACTTCTTCTCCAGCACAATTCTGACCCAAACTCAACATGCGATAAAGGCAAGACTCCATTGCATTTTACAGTAGAGGGCTTAAAACTTTCGGTAACAGAGGGCTTAAAAGTTCCTTTCGAGGATTTCGTCTCGGTAATCGACCTGCTCGTAGCGGGAGGCGCAGATATCCATGCGCGCGACTATCTACAGCATACGGCCTTTCATATTGCCTGTATACTTGGTGTCCACGAAGCAGCTTGCAAATTGCTTTCCCTAGGCGCAGACTTCACCGCGGTAGATATCGATGGTGCCACTGCACTCCATCTAGCCGCGAAATCTAAGGATCTCGAGACCTTGAACTTTGTGATTGACAACGCAAAAACGAGGGAATTGCATCGAAGCCTCCTTGGATAAATTTAGCAACAATGCTTTACACTATGTTTTTGGGGTGCCAGGCCCTACAGCGGAAGCAGTCAATTTTCTGCTTCAGGAAGGTGTAGATGGATTAAGAGCCAACGATCAGGGCTACTCTCCTTTGGCATGGCATATCAAGTCATGGAAAAATGCTTATTACTTTGCCGTTTCAAAAAACTTTGAAGTTGGCGAGAGGCTACTTTTTAATCACGGTTGGATGAACACTGATGGTTGTTGCGCAATACTGCAAATAAGCCAAGATGTTCCTTCATGCATCGATAAAAGGGGTCGAAACTTTGGACACTTATATGCCGGCACTTACAGACTGGAAATCAAAGGGCTACGCGTCTTTCAGGAACATGGTGTCGATATGACCAAACGAGATGCCAATAAAAGAACTTTGCTGCACCATGCCGCTAGAACAGGTCGAATCACAGGGGAAGTACTGGACTACCTTTGCGAGGAGATTGGACTGAACATCTGGGAAGAAGATGATCGGGGAAAGAGGGCTATGCAGTATGCTACCGAGCGGCTCAAAGAATTTCCAAAAAACGAGATTGCCGCCGCCAACAAAGAAGTTTTGACTAATGGTGAGGTCAAGTATTCGAAACAACCCAGAAAGTAGGTGGTCACAATGAAAAGCCGTGGCACTGAAATGAAAGGTGGTAGCTGAACGACTCTTTATACTTGAATGCGGCACAGTAAGACTGAAGTCCTCCGGCTCCATATCTGTCTTTCACACCTTCTTTTGGAGGTCTTGGACGTCCTGGCACCACATCACCGAAGACTATTTACTACTTGCGCGTCCCAAGCGGAAAATATCACCAACATTTCGACTCACTCATACGACGTTGTATCCTGAACCCTCTGGTACCGCATTTCCAAGCATCAGAGTCTCTACTCTCAGCCTTCAAAGCATACCCTACACACCCCCGCCTCTCATCTCCAGCCAAAAACCACGCCCAAGCAACCTCCTCACCCCTCACCCATCACCAACATGTCCATTCTAACCTGCTACATCTGCTCCCACCCCGCCACTCCTTCAAATGCCACCCGTGCGGCAAGTTTCCCGGCTTCTCGGACGACGACCGCGGCGTCATCGCCAGGTTGCAGATCAACGGCCGGAGCCATGCCGTGGCGCCGCGTGGCCCGCACCTCGTGTGTAAGGAGGGAAGGTGTGGGTTCTTTGCTAGGGCGACGGATGAGAAGGAGGAGCAGTACAGGATTCAGGATGGGCTTGTGGAGAGGTTTGCTAGGTTGGGGGGTTATTTAGGGGAGAAGGGGAGATGGATGTCACTGTGTGCGTGCGATTTTCAGGGAGGAATGAGTGAAGGGAGGCTTATATAGCCTCCCTCCCTCCCCCCTTTCAGGGGAAAAGAGAGCGAGGAGTGTAGTTCTTCAATGATGAATCAATGAGGTGTATGCCGGAAGTTTTACGCAAGAGAGAGGGCAAGACGAACGGTGACTCGGGAGATAGGAAACAATATAAATGTAGATTCAGATATAAATGTTATGCAAAGTATGATGACTATTACCAAGTTACCCAAAATGCTCGCTCGCTCGCTGATCTAAAATGCAAACAAAAATGCTCAAGTCCAAAACCAAAATCCCCAAAAATACTCAAAGTAAAGACTGAATGAGAAAAGAGGTTAAAAGCCCCCAAGCCACCATCGACTTCTCCCCATGACCGACCGAATTGACCGGACCACATCTCCCCGCTCACTTAAACTCAATCCAAGCTCCATCCCTCTTGCTGAACACCACATCCATCCCTGCCGTCCCAGCCGTCACAACCGGCACGACCTCCCATCCCTTCGCGACGCCCGCCTCCGCCGCCCCGCACTCAAACAGCATACTCCCCATGACCGTCTCCGCCTGCCCCCCCGGCGTCGCCCGCAAGCGTCCCATGAAGTTGCCCCTCTGGTTCCCCTTGCCGCCGTCGTTGGCGCCCCAGCCGGCGCTGCTCTTGGACGCCGCGCCGGTGGAGGTGTAGACGTCGAACTCGAGGGACGACGACGGCGCGATGACGTAGTCTGGGTCGTCGAGCTCGAACTTGAATTCGCACGTCTTGGAGGCGGAGTTGGGGTTGTTGAAGTAGAATTCGATGAGTGTGGAGATGGTGTGGGGGGATCCGGGGGAGGATTGAAGGGCTCCCGTGGGGCTGTCGTAGGCGATGGAGCCGGAGGTGGAGTTGTAGAGGGAGAGGGTGGCTGGGTAGTAGAATTCGATGGAGGGGTTTGTGGGGTCGCCGAAGGGGAGGGGGTGAGGGAGGGCGTTGGTGAGGGTGAGGAGGAGGGAGAAGGCGGTGGAGATGGTGGTGGTGGTGGAGAACATGGTTGTTGTTGTTTGGTGGTTGTGGTTGGTTTTGAGTTGGATTAGGTTTATGTTGAGAGTTTCCCAAAAAGAAGATATTCCCAAAGTTTCAAAAGGAAATTGAGCGATTGTATCAAGGAGATAATGGAAAAACCCAAAGGAAATAGAGACGTAAGGAAAAAGAGGAAGATGTACTGGAAGTTGTTGAATGCTGTTGTTGTGATGATTCCGATATATTCATGTTCGATCGCGTTCTTATAGATCGTAAATTGTTCTCAATGTCCGTATGCCCTTACTGTACCAACTCCACCAACATTCACTGCCTGAGTGAAAATAGCCTGCGTCATACCGGATTCGGTATTCCCCAGTAGAGAGTCCAGGACTGAGCCACTGGGGCGTCCCGTTCGCTAATGCACTGCCGAGCATCAACCTTGCCGTGCCGCCTGAGCACGTGAAGAATTGTATACTAACTCACCGCATAGGGCAGGACTTGGTCAGTAATGGGTAAGCAGCTGGAGAGATGGATTGCACTTTGCAATATTCGGCCAGTAAAAGAAGAACTAGAATGTGCATTTGTAGGCGTATGATGCCAAGACTCCTTCCGCTGTCCAGTAATCTCCTCATCGAGCTGGCTTACTACGCCGAATACCGTAACTGTTCCAAGTACCACAGTGATGTTACTATGGGGGCGAAGAATACGGTAGGTACCGAGTGATGAGCATGAATTTGTCTCGAGAAGTAAGAAATATGGCACAGCGATTGTCGCTTGGACAGTCCTCTCGTCTCAACGGAGATGATGAGAAATCAAAGGGCAGAACGATAGTCGTAGGATTGCATAGAACGACTTTGCAGACTGCTACGTGTAAGCCTGCGCGGCGAAATGCAAAGTTGGTACCAGGAATGATCAATTGTGGACGGAGTCCCTTGAATTGCAGGTGTTTTTCTGCAGAGGAGATCCTGAATAGGTTCTTGTGCGACGACTGCTTACGCATTATATACTGCAAGACATATGGATGACCCGCGTGGAACACTAAGGCATTTCACTCATGCCACTCAGAGAATATTCTACGGAGTCTTGCACGCTGTTCCTCTCCCGTGAAGATGCAATCCGCAGCTCTTTCAGATAAATCGAGAGTCTGTTTACGATCGAGACCGAAGTGTGTGGCCGCCAGATGGTATTCTTGAGAGAGCGGGCTGCAGAAGACACCTACATCATCTGTCTGGAAGAGAATTAGCTTATTGTCGATGGCGTGCAAGGTACACATACACTGAGGGCAACGGGAACAGAGCTGTGTCTCCAAGTACCAAAATGATGATCAGGAAAGCTACCAGTGATCATCTTGGCGTGGACATTGCAGCTGAGACAGAGTTCAACGCCAATATGCTGCGACTCAATTCTCGCGCGAAAAGCGTCGCTGACATGAATCACATGACCCAGTCGATCAGGATCCCATGAAAGAAGAGTGTCTAGCTCTTGATCTGTTCCCGATTCTTGAATCTCAGCAAAGTGCAGAGTTATATTGAGACCTGCCGTCTTTGCCCGCGCAAATACTGGAGTGAAGATGCGGACATCGCCTACAGCAGGATTGCCACAAAGGTCAACACCCACTACTCCTGCCGAACGATACTTGATGGAGAGGTCGACGACCTCTTCTGCTTCGGCCACAGTGTTACGGCGGTCAACAGAGAGGATGAGGAATGTTTTCATGGTATTGGAAGGATTCTCATTATGCGCCTGCAGTATGGCGAGAACAGTCTTCACGTAGTCATCCTTGGAGAGACCTTGCTGGGGAATGCTCCTCGGTGTGGTTCGTAGCTCAAGATAGACGACGCCATCCTTTTGGAAATCGTCGAGGACTGCACGTGTAGAGTATCTATCAAGTGTGTCAGAGACGCTGTAATCAATTGGCTGTGATCCGAGTTTGGCAATACTTGATACTGTCTACGTCATTGCACAACTTATAGATGTACGAGGAGAAGAGTGGAAAGAACCTGGCGTAGAAAACATTTGTCAGCTGTCGTTCTTCGTACATCAAAGTGCAATAGGCAAAGCGCAACGTGCGTAATAACAATTTCACGAGACACGAATGATGGCGTCGAAATTGCCTTACTAGCTCCCCAAACAAGGAAGCGAAGTAGCGGATCGATGTAATTGTCGGTGGTGCATCAAACCATGTCGGAGCAAGGAGGGAGTATAACAATTAGAGCAACAATGATCAATGGTATGCGAATATGCTGGAATGGATATTGAAGCAGGTGGAGCGGAACAAGAATATCGGACTAAAACGGGAATGGGCCAGATATGTGGAGGGCAGACGTTACAATTCAGACTATGGCGAGTAAGATGGCAAAGTTCTGGAGCGTACGTTTTAATGTCATAGTCGACCCTTCCGTGAGGGATGGCGATCAATGGATCTTCTAGGTCCAGAGGAGAACCATTTGCGGTCTTGTGCGTCCATATTTGATGGAGACAATGGCGGGATATGCTGCCGGTAAGGTGTGCATGGAGCTGTGAAGGGGCGTTCATTCGTCATGTTAGCGGCAAGTTCATTCATGTGCGAGTAGCATTTGTAAGAGAGTAGGAGAGGGATAGGGTAGCGGAGTGGAAGACGGATAGTGGAAAGCAGGCCTTGGCGACATGTCGGTGGAGACTCGGGAAGGGAGTGAGGGAAGCAACTAATGCAGAGTGAAGAAGTGTGGAGGGCTACTCGTAAGTTTGTAATACGAGTAAGAACAGACAATAATTTAATTTACCTCGATCTTAGGCAGTCTCCTAGTGAAATCGAGATCGACCGGTAGAGGCACTGTGCTCATGGTGGTGGGCAGTGTTGTTCGTGGAGTGAGCACTATCTACCCAGTATGAGAAATAGATATAGGGTGCGGATATAGTTGATGATGAAGATGTAATTGATGATAATTGTGGTGGTGAGAATGAGATGATGAATAGGGTGGGTAAAGGTTGGAATAAGGTGTGAGGTGGCAGAGGCACTCACGAAGTCGTATGCAGCTAGTAGGATGATGACAATTCCCCTGTATATCTTATGTAGCTACCTTGTAGTATTAAGACTCAAGAGAGTAAGTTGTGAGGTAGATGCAGGCCAATGATGGAGGTAAAGGGGAACGATATGCAACAAGATGGAGCAATGGAATAGGAGGCTAGCGAATGGAGGTAAACGATTTCTTCGTAGTGTCACGACTGTAACTACTGTGTGGCATGTGGTGTGTGATTCTCTGCCTAGGGCCCGGAGCGACCGCTAATTCAAGTTTAACGAAGGAAGAACTAGAACTAGGAGAGGCTCATACCCACTTCCACATCGACCACCAACTGCACAGAGTCCCAGCTAACTTGTAGGGGTCGTCAATATAGAGTAGAGACTGAAAGAGTTAGATGTCGTTCGTGGAGGTGATGGGATGAAAGAAGAGAGGATACCTGTGGAAGTATCCGTACTCGGTACGGAGTACCTAGGTAATTATATAGGGATGTATGCAGCCAAAAGAGTGACCAATTGGAAAGAGCGAATAGCGATAAGATGAGCTTTGTCTTCTCGAACATTACCAAGTACAACAAGGAGTTCTGAGTATATAATCACCGAATATACCCATCCTTTACAGAATATACCAATACCTGTAGGCTGGCAATAATGCATACAAATGTCTGTAATACTCCCCTAAGAACTAATTCCCACGGCAGGGTCCGCGATATGCAGACGATGATAACCCCGTTCTTCCCCCCCTGCCTCTGTCTCCGCCAATAATGGGTCTGCATCTGGTGCCTGCATCAGCCTGCACCTTGTGCTTTTCTGTCACGGCTTCTTGTCAGCTTCCATTGCAGCTTCTGCGTTGTTGATCATTCTCCTTCTTTTCCTTTTCTTATTCCTTTTCCTATTGCTTTTCCTCCCATGTAACATTCCCAATAAGGTTCCTTTCTCTTTCGTTCTTCCCTTCTCTAGCTTCCTCTCGGCCCCTTCCCCATCCACATTCGTTCCTTCCCCTGAAGCTGTTTAGCTTCCAACGCTAGCCCTTATCGGTCGCGCAATATACGCTAGCGAAGAGCCACAGACCTCGTTCGCGATTCAATTCCTACGAGACGACTGACTACTGAGGTTCAACAATACCTACCCGATCCAGGATTGAGTAAAGGGGAAAGTCCATCTGAGAAATGTCTCCTGGAATTGCACTTCAGTAATAATGGATTCCGTTCTCCATACTGTGTGCATGATCGCTTCCAAGAGGAGCGCATCGGTCTAGAAGTTGACTCGATTAATCGATGGAAGCAAAGAAGGAGTGATATGACCCGATGGCTGCCCACCCGTGCGCCTCTTCCACACTTTGACTGCCCATGCCAACCCAGCCACTTGCGCGCGCACATTAACGCACACATAATCCGATGCATGTCAAAATATCTTGACCTTACACAGTAGTTAAAAGAGATGGAAAAGGTCAAGAAGAGGTATGGATTGTTAGAGCAACCATTATTGCTGCTTATTATCACTGTTACTAGTTACCCCGTACCCACTAGTCATACACCTTCCTTCCCTTGTAAGCCTCAACCATCGCTCCAATCAGGGTCGGTAACAAACTATCTATCAACACGATGCTCTTCGACCTCTCCTTCGTACTTTACGATGATGATAGTGAGATGTTCCACCACCACAGAGGGTGTATCTGGATGCTTGCTTGATTCAATGATTGCCATCCATCTCGCTGGTCGTCCGAATCGAGTAGTGGTGTCGCGGACTAATTCGCTTAAACCGACGGAGCGAGAGACGAACGCAGACCATCAATGTCCATGCCCACAGTTCCCTGCGGCTTAGTGGCCAGCCAATTCTTTAGATCGTCCCCCCGAACTGAACTGAGCCGAAGAGAGAAAAAGGTCGAAAGGTCGCAAAATGTGTGAAGTAAGAACAATTGGGATATTGGAAATGAGGAAGAGGAAGAAGCAGCACGAAGGAGAGACCTGACAGAGCAGAGACAGAAAAGATGAAGCCAAGCATGTTAGAAATCCGGCGTTCGGCCCTTTCTCCCCATTGACCATCTCCCGTTGCTCTCTCTGCTAATTACCACTAATGGATACTACTAATTGTCACTACTGGCTACCTAAATCATCTCTCGTACCTCACAGACAATACTGTACTGTAATGTACCTACATGTACCTACTACTGTGTAATCTCCCAGCCTTCCGCCTAAACCGTGGCTAGTCATCAACCAAGCATCTACACTAGACCCGTTCGAGTAGCTGGTATCGATTGATTGGTCCGATTCTGGCCCAGACCATTCCTAATCTGTCCCATCCTCCTCCTAATCCCCCATCTCCTCCATCCTCCACTTGAATTTTTCTTACTCTCACTCTCACTCACTCTCACTCACCTCCCAGTCCTTCCACTTCCACGTCCTCCCTCCTGTTTACCAATCTACCCTATCCATCACCACCTGCACACTCACTAACTGCTTCCAACAGGCTAGCTACAGCAATCTACGGCGGTCTGCTCTCTCACTCTAACTAACGATCCCGTTCCCACGCCTAACCACACTCTCCTCCTTCTCGTACTACTATTGCCTACTGGGTTACCACTTACTTACCATCCATCCTAGTAGCTTCCTTCTCCTACTGCTAATCACCGACGACAAGACAAAAACACCTTCTACTCATCTCTTCCATTCTCACCCTCCCCATCCGCTCCCTCATTAAACAGCAAGCAAGCAATTGCTGCTCTCTCTTTCCCTCTCTTCTCTTCTTTCTGCGCGCGCGACAACCTCCTCGTCCTCGTCCAGCATCCAGGTCTTCACCCTCGTTCCCAGCCTCGTGTCCGCGTCCCCCCCAGTCTCCGACTCCCCCGTCGCTGCACTCCCTGCGCGCGGACCCCCCTGGATCTTGCCTGTCCTCGCCAACTCCTCACGACGCCCCTTCGCCATCTCCACATCCACAACAACCTCCAACCACACACCTCCATCTCTTCCTCTCCCTCCTCCCCTCTGTGATTCTCACATCGTAGCATGGCCGATATGAGTTCAGAATCCATCCAGCAGAAGATACAGGTCGCGAGGCGCGATGCCGAGGCCCTCAAGGACAGAATAAAGCGCAAGAAGGACGAGCTCGCTGACACCACCCGTACGTTGCGCTGAACCTCTCCCATCTCCCAATTACCATCTCACATCTTCTCTTCTTCTCTCTTGCTCAAGGCTAACATTTTCTCTCCAGTCCGCGATGTCGCGAAGCAGCGTGTCGAGGCTCTGCCCCGACTCACCATGAAGACGAAGCGCACCCTGAAGGGCCATCTCGCCAAGATCTATGCTATGCACTGGTCGACCGACCGACGGCATCTCGTCTCTGCCTCTCAGGATGGAAAACTCATCATTTGGGATGCATACACCACGAACAAGGTCCACGCCATTCCTCTCCGCTCCTCATGGGTCATGACCTGCGCATACTCCCCGTCCGGCAACTACGTCGCCTGCGGTGGTCTTGACAACATCTGCTCCATCTACAACCTCTCCGCACGGGAAGGCCCAACTCGCGTCGCCCGCGAACTTTCTGGTCACTCCGGATACCTCAGTTGCTGCCGATTCATCAGCGACAAGCGCATCCTCACTTCTTCCGGTGACATGACCTGCGTGCTCTGGGACTTGGAGACTGGCTCAAAGGTCCATGAATTTGCCGACCATCTTGGAGACGTCATGAGCTTGAGCATAAACCCTCTCGACCACAACCAGTTCGTCTCCGGTGCTTGCGATGCTTTCGCTAAGCTCTGGGATATCCGACAGCAGAAGTGCGTCCAGACCTTCGCCGCTCACGACTCCGACATCAATGCCATCCAATTCTTCCCCAACGGCAATGCTTTCGGTACTGGCTCCGACGACGCTTCCTGCCGCCTCTTCGACATCCGCGCCGATCGCGAACTCCAGAGCTACACAGTGAGTGAAATCTGTCTCGCAAGATTGCGATACATGTGCATATTACTAATACAATTGGTCAACAGATTCCCGAGCCCGTCTGCGGTATCACCTCCGTCGCTTTCTCCGTCTCCGGCCGTCTGCTCTTCGCTGGTTATGATGATTTCGAGTGCAAGGTGAGCAATGATTGGAATATGCAATGAAAGGCACGGCAGGACGCTAACAAATTCATAGGTCTGGGATGTTCTCCGAGGCGAGCGCGTAGGAACCCTCCAAGGACATGACAACCGTGTCAGCTGTCTCGGTGTCAGCAACGATGCTTTGTCTCTATGCACTGGTTCATGGGACTCCATGGTACGTTGCGATGTTGCTCCTTGGTTAAGTCAACACATAGCTAACTTAACGCTACAGCTCCGCATCTGGGCATAAAAGACGCCTGTAACAATACTACGCGAGATCATGTGGCGATGCAACGACCACGAATGACTGTGAGAAAGTTCCTTTAATTTTCTGGCCTTCCTACGATACAAAACCTTTCCTCGATGTTCCTACCACCATACCCTGTTACATCCTCGAAGCTCCACCCGGCGTCATTTCTTCCAAAGCGCTACGGCCGCACCCTCAACATAATACGCACCTGCATCCATCCATCTCCACGGACCGACACGGGCAAAGTCCTCTCACATGCGGGAATCTGGGGCGCTTGGGACCATTTTCTTTTCTTGACTATGTTTTCTTTCTTCGCTGCCATACCACTTTTTATTTCCTCTTTTTTTTCTCTGGGAAGGACGGACTCAGGTCTTGTTCTCAAACTCTGGGTGGGCTTGTTCTGCGTACACGCGAAAATGCCTACTTTGCCGTTACCATCACCATCATCATGAGACTACTGCTCTACTACCTTCTACTACTACTACCGAAATCCACCTCAGCCTTTTTTCCTAGATCATACTACACTTGGTGACTCGCTCGTGTTATCCCGTTTGTTCCCTGCCGGTTTTGTTCAGTCTGGTTACGAGAGCGAGGCTCTCATGTTGGACGATGAGATGGTGGGATGAGTGTGGAGGCATGGATGGTTGGCGATGGTGATGGTGACGGTGGCAGTAGGGTATGGCTATAAGTACCTACTGATCAAAATCATTGTCTTGAATCTCTTTTGGTCCATTCATTAATCTTGGATGGTAGTGCTCGTGCACCCGTGATGCTGTGCCTGTCGTATAGTCAATATCTGCTAACCTTGTCCTTGTCAATCAAATGTAGGTCATTGTTGATGATCCTCTGGAGCAAGGAACCGTCATACATGGGAAGAATAGGTAGTGAAGGAAGTGAGCTGGATTGTAGATGAATGGATTGGAATGGGATGGAATGCATTGGATCAACTAAGTGTGTACTTCATTCTACGAATATTTGTATAAGACTTGAGATTCAATCTCGAACGAGCAAGCTTTATAGTGTGGTGGAAGTAGACTTAATTGAGGCTATTCAGTTTTATGTACACCACGTGATTGCCTCACCAACACTTCACCATACCTGCGAAAGCAAACATCTTCCTGACACAGTTCTATCTCGACCAAGTCCTCTCAGCACAGCTTAGTACCAAACTCCTAGGATCACCAGCCGCTTCCTCCAAACATACGAGGAGCAACTGACGGCAATAACGGGTTCCTAGGCCCGACCAAAAAGGCCAGACATCCTTCTTACTTATATCACCTCTACTATCGAATATCTCAATCAATCAGCAGCAGCAGGTATACTGTGGCGCAGAAATGTAGTTCATTCCGCCCCACGAGCACCGTGTCCAAAATTTCTCCTCCAATAAGCCGTGATAACCGATTGCGGATCTGCTGGGGTAAGAAGAGGCAAAGACGTGGTTTCATGTCAAGTTCGGAGGATTCGATTACATTTTCTTTTCGCGCCTTCTCCTCTCTCTCTCTCTTTTCTCTTCGCTGGAAGGAGATGACACCGTTCGATATCGCTTAAGTGGTGGCGCTTGTGTGAGACGACTAGGGAGTCGTGGCAGGGGTGGAACTTCGACAACTTTACACTCGTTTCTTCTGAACTTCGATGTTTGGCTATGGAGTGCGACGACCCGGCTGTGATGTATTCTCGTCGCGATGGATTCATTTACTTGCAGGATTTAAGTTCATGGCCTACCTATGCGAAGAAGATATCTTCGACATGTGCGCGAGAGTGCTGATGATTGCGCGCAGCGCGATGTGAATAGAGGTAACGTTTGCAGATATGGAATCACGACTTCAAGACTGCGACGGCGCGACCATCTGACGGTGTTGAATAGAGGCACCAGAGGCACCATGAGGGATCAAGAGGCACTGAGAGGAAGTGAATCCATCGAGTGCGCGCGAAATTGGCTGTCTATTCTATATATTCTTCTAGCCTGGTCATTTGGGGTTCTTGAGGATTCGACAAGGCTGTCTGTGCCTCGAAGGAACACTGTCAACGTATAGGGCAAGGCAATGAACAGGTCATCGCTTGCGAAAAGGCAGAAGTTGTGAGTTTGCTGTTACCATTGGTATTCTCGATCCCACGATGATTGTGGCCTCTATAGCCAATACATATACAACCACAATGTTGTCAACACCACGATCCATCCAAAACCCTGACCAGGCCGACCACCTATATATGCGACTTTGTCCTACAACTTACCCACCCAGCTCCTCTACTGATTAGTTTTTAATCAACGCCACTATCAACCGCTCGGACAAGTTCCTTAAATCATTCTCCGCTTATCGCGCTGGTTATACAGAATGATTTTCAACGGCCGCATCATCCATGCTGCGCTCTTGCTCCCCGTCCTGGGTATCAACGCCCAGGAGACCGGTTCTCAAGAAGATGTAGGGGAGCAGCCAGCTGCAGTTTTCCCTAATATTGCCGACCTCAAGGACCTACCTTTCACCTTCAACACTACCTGCGACGACAGCCGCCAGAGGGCCATTGCGCTCGCATGGCAGGACGTCCAGAGCCAGATTAAGCTCGTCAACGAAGCTCCCAGCAGCGACAACGTCGAGAACATCTCGTACCAAGGCAATGACCTCTTCGGTCCCGCAACCATCAAGAAGCTCGGCGGAGAGACCAGGATGAAGACGGTCTTCCAGGAGATCGCCAACCGCAGGTGGAAGATCACCGCCAACTGCGACGCATCGCCCACCATCGTGACCGACAACGAGATGTGCAAGAAGGCAGGTGCCTGGGGTGGCATCTACGGCACCTCTGGAAGCATCAACTACGCCGGCGCGAGCCAGCCGGTGATGAACTCTCGCATCCGCAAGAGGGACGACAACCCGGAGATCTCGATGACCTTCTGCAATGACTTCTTCTCCATGTCGAACTTGGAGAACCATGTCTATCAGACCAGGGTCAGCGGGGAGCTTCGACCCGTCTATGGCATGTACAACTTGGATGCTTATCACAGGAACCAAGGTAAGAAGACTTCCGAAGCAGAGTTGTGGACTTGTGACTGACGCTCGTAGCTACTACACTTCTCCGACAAATGATCCACCACCTTCCAAGGCTGGAGCACTTGGAGGATAAGATCACGGACTTGAACGTCAAGCTTCCCTTCGTCAACGACAACCAAGCGCAGTCGTTGTGGTACCAATGCTACGGCGCCATGTGCGCCAGGATCCTTGCACGAGTGTCCAAGTCTGAGAAGCACTGGAGCTCCTTGAACGGTAGGTTCATTCTTCACCTCTGATGCACAGTCTATGACCAACATACTAACGTCATCATAGCCGACACATACGCTCTCTACGCCCTTTCCTACTACCTACAGAGCAACCCTACTGGTAACGTCCAACCCGAGGCTTTCGTCTACCCCTGGCTGCCACCGGTCGTCAACGCCGTCCCCGGCAACGGCACCCCCGTCCTCACATCCAGCAACCAAGGCACCTTCGTCGTCGGCCTCAAGCAGTTCACCGAGGGCATCCTCCACCCGAACAAGGGCGCCCTGACCGACCTCAACACGACAACCTCGGAGGTCCCGCTCGCCAGCCTCGAGGGGGCCCAGATGACCACCTACGAAGAGTACCCCAAGGAGTTCAACGACCGCTTCCAGAACGAAGTCACCAACATCTACAAGAACAAGAGCGCGATCAACAAGAACAAGGTCGTCAAGTTCGAGTGCGCGTCCGCGGGCGACAAGCGCTTCAAGCTCGGCGACCTCGTCAAGTTCACCCGCCAGGAGGGCTCCGACTCCGCGCGACAGTTCTGCGAGAAGTACAACCCGGACAACCAGTGGTTCGAGCGCCACGTCATCCTGCCCTACATCCAGAAGTGGCGTAACGAGAGCTCCGATGATAAGGACTTTGTCAGCTCGGTCGACTACTTGAAGAGCAACCAGAGAGACTTCTTCGTCTACTCTGCGCTCGAGCTGGATAACTTGCGCTTCACTGATGCGTACCGTCCCGATGCTGTCGGCAGCGTGTTCGAGGGCTCTAACCTCAAGGAGCTCGTTGGCAACTGCACCAGGACTCTCGAGTCTATCATGGACAACGTAAGTTTTATGTTCACATAGACCCCAAAGATCCCTCCACTAACATCCCCCCCAGTGCGACAAAGACAGCCAGGACGGCACCTTCGGCGGCTCCGTCAAAGTCGGCAACATCGTAAGTTCCCCCTCTATTTCCTTCTACTTTCAGCGCTGACCTTCGACCAACAGTTCTTCGACCTCGTCGCGACCCGCAGACAAGAAGACATCCCGCCGCGCGACCTCGGCGAGTTCCGCTGCGCGGAGGTCGGACCCGAGACGCTGCACCTGGCGCTCGAGTACCAGCAGGACCCGTCCAAGACGTGCCAGTGCTCGTACTCCATCTTCCCGGACTCCAAGACCATCTTCTGCCGGCCCGAGGGCGGATGCCAGAACATCAAGGCCGACGACGACCGCCTGGAGATCGACGCCGTAGCTATGAGTCGCAAGGCTCAGAAGTGTCAGTGAGGAGTTTGATTCCGCTGGCCGACTTTGCTTTTCTTCTTGTTGGAACACCCCCTTTTTGTTGGACCTTTTGTGAGGCATTTTTTGTAGGGCGATACCATTGATGCATTGAGTTCATGATTTCTTCCCTCTCGTCGTTTTACACCTTTCCCCCGCTTGACTGGCTAGCTAGATTAGCTTGTAGCATTCAAATTCAGTTTATGTTCGATTCAAAAACAGTGCTGTGTATTTCAGTTTGAACGAAATGAGGGATAGTTCAACATAACCCAGTGTAACGTACATGGCATTCCAATGATCACAAAATCACTGCAATGGGACTGGGTGGGGAATTAGAGATGAGTTCTGAAATCAAGGCTGAGAATCATGACTGTGCTAAGCTGCACACTGCGCTTGATAACTTAACCCTGCGTTTGCACCTTCTTTACAGTCGAGCCAACGGACCGTTTGGCTGTGCTATGCCTAGACATGATTTCCGAATATCTGCAATGGTATTACAGCCTGTCAATTGCATACAGCGGCGAAACTCGTCGTATAAAATATCGAGCATCTTGCTCACGCCGGCCTCACCATCGACCTACAAGATGCATATGAGTGAATGGAATTCCTGATAGAAGAAGTTGCAACTCACCGCCAATCCCCATATAGCAGGTCTACCTACCCAGCAGCACTCCGCACCTAGGGCGAGGGCCTTGAAGATATCCACACCCGACCGAATCCCCCCATCAATATGGACTTTGATCTGACCCTCAGCAGCCTTGACGCACTCAGGAAGCACATCGATCGTCGCGGGAGTACCATCCAGTTGTCTGCCACCGTGGTTGCTCACAATAACGCCATCGCAGCCATACTCCCTCGCCAGCGCCACATCCTCCGCCGTCAAGACCCCCTTAATCCAAATCTCCATCTTCGTGATACTCCTCAACCACGGAATCTCCCTCGCCCACGAATGCGCATCCGAATTCAACGCCACAAACCCATCATCATGCGTCTCCTCTCTTATCATCTCCGACGTCTTCTCCAGCATCGGGAAACTCAACCCACGCGGCGTCCTAAAATCATTCCTATGCTCATTATACCTCACCCCGAGCACGGGACTATCCGCCGTCAGAAACACCGCCTTGCACCCCGCCCGCTCCGCCCGCCGCACAATCCTCTCCTCCTTCGCACGATCATTCATCGTGTACAATTGCATCACGTGCACAATCGGCGCGATGGACCTCGCCGCCCCCGTGACCTCTTCGACGGAGTAGTTGGAGAACGACGACACGCCCATGTGCACGTTTCGCCGCGCGCACGCGCGGCTGGTCGCGAGTTCGCCGTCCGGGTGCGCCATGGCTTGGATCCTGGCTGGCGATATACATAATGGGAAATCGATCTTTTGGCCTAGGATGTGGCGTGACGGGTCTACCTTTGATACGTCGCGGAGGACCCGCGGGCGGAGTTTGTATTTACGGTATGCGGTGGTGTTTTCCAGGACTGTGATTTGGTCTGTGGAGCCGGAGTCGTAGAATTCTGGGGGTGGGTTAGTGGTGCTATGACATGGTCGATGGAAGCTGAAGATTGTGGGGATGGATACGTACCGCGAGCATTGGTTGGGAGTTTCTTTGCTGCGGCTAGTTGGAGGTCGTTGATGCTGAGGATGCTTTTTACGGGTGCGATCACGATTTCTGCCATGGTTTGTTGTTGAATTTAAAATTATGATACTGAGCTGGGTAGTCGACTATTCATAAAGTTGAGATATTGAATCCCTTTTCTATGCGTGGTGGATTCGTTGGTGGAGATAAGGTGGGCGATTGACTAACATATATGTTAGTCAACCCCATGGTGGCATCCATCCCCCACTAAGAGCGGTTACCAAGCACCTTGACTTGCGGTCTAAGCCGACAGACACGCATATATCTTCAGCAACCTCGCAAAACAATACTGTACAAAGCAACCATGGCAGACAACAATTCACCCGACAGAGCAGTCATTCTATCGTCCGAGGCCCCAGCCCCTCTACCTTTCCTCTCGCAGGCCATTCGCGATGGTAACACTGTTTTCTGCTCCGGTCAGATTGCCGTTGATCCGTCCACTGGAAAGCTCGTCGGGGGAACAGTCGAGGACAGAACGGTTCGTCGTATCCATCCCTTGAGCTATGTTTGATTTACTAACTAGAGGAATCAGCGCCGTATTCTTGAGAACCTTTCGGCGGTTTTGAAGAGTGCGGGGTCGAGTCTATCGTTGGCGAATAAGGTCAACATTTACTTGGTCAAGCCTGAGGACTTTGGTGCTATGAATAAAGTCTACGAGACCTTTTTTACGGATGTGAAGCCGGTGAGTTATAGAGAACAGAGTTTTAAGTAGCAGTGATCTAATGGCGATGTTATAGGCTCGGACTTGTGTTTTTGTCAAGGCGTTGCCGTTGAACACGGATGTTGAGATTGAATGCGTGGCCAGCGTGCCCAAGTCCAAACTTTGATGTTAGAAAGTCTGGGCTGTTGAATTTAAATGGCTTATTTCTAGCAAAGCTCGAGTTTTGTCCATGTTGAAGCAAAAGTAGCTGAATTTCTCTCAAAAGACTATGTGGCATTCATGCCAACATTATCAAATGTATATGCCCTTCTGTCTAGCTCAGCGTTCCAATGAGGAAGTTCGTAATGTATGCTAGAGATTTCTTGTGCTAAATTGTGAATGCAAGAGGAAGGAAAGTAGTATGATTTTTCTTGGAGCACTTGTGGTCTCTGATTTGTACTGTGATTAGATGGAGCGAATTAGCTACAATTGCGGGCGGTCCAAGCGTTTCGCCGTCTCATCCCAATGGTCTCATCTGAACTTTCTATAATGTGGGGAACTACACAAGAGTCACCCCAGAAGCATTGCAACCAATGCGAGTGAACGATGGATGCCGAAAATCACCATGATAGCAGGACCGCTCCCACGGATGATCGAAAGTAGGTTCCGATAGTGGTTCTGGAGTTGCCCAACACTGATTGCTTGGGAGAAAACTACGCAATCGACTGTCACAGCGTGCGTTCCGGCAGCGGCAGAATGCCTACGTAAAAGAGCTTGAGGAGAAAGTCCAGAGGCTAGGGCAATCTGATTGCGATAAAATTGCCGAGTTGGAACAGGAGAATTCCCGCCTTCGGAAACAGATTGTCTCTGTCGCGAACAAATTAGAGAGCGTGCAAGCGCATTTAAAAACACTTGCTGTTTCGATGATTGATCTTACGAGAGGAGTCCATACAGTGTGTTTCTCTCTAGCCTCATCCTCGACTGTTGCTCAATACTAGAGCGGTTTCTAACAAGTGATAGGACCTCTATGAGCAAGACAATGCGACTGAGGATGCCTCAGCAAGCAAAACCAAGGAGGCAATTCCAGAGCTATCCATACACCAGCCTGCTAATGTCACAGAATTTGATACCTTCGCGGACCTTCCAATGAACGACAATAGTGGCGCACAACATCCATCATTAGACACAGAGTCGCTCGCTTTCAACAACAGCTACGACCTCGACTGTCTGGACGAATTTGACCCAGGTTTACTGCCGTCAAGTTCAGATACCATATTTGCGGCTCATACAGAGCCTGACTCAGCGTCACCATGCGAGGGCTCGACCTTGTCGTTCTCCGGTGCTCCTACTATAGTCCCACATCTCCCACTCTCCACAACCAGCTCGTCAACCTCAACCTGGTCAAAACCATTTGCAGAATCACCAGATTGCGATCCGACGAGGTTGGCAATTTGGAAAGGAGGACTAGATTCGTCTCCCTGGACAATGTTACCCCGAGTCTGGTCGTATGAGTATCAAATGGGCTCTGCCGCTTATCAGTTCGCACTCTCTAACAAGGGTTCAGGCGGGTCGAAGCTGAGATCCTCCAACTCTAACTTTTCAGACCATATAGCAGGTGTAAAACAGTGCATATTAAACAGCTGGTCTGTCTTGTATGCCACAGCCTCGACGGAAACGTCCTTAATCACACAGTGGGTTACATGATCCATCGACACCGTCCTAGACCGCACTGACTTTCCCTATAAGTCCCCAATTCTATGCTGGTATTTCGCTCATGCTGTCGTTGTTTAATAGCCTCAACCGGCCTCGGATCATGTCATGGTATGCTCCCACAAAGTTCTACCACCACATAACCGACTTGACAATATGGCAAATATGTCCCACAAAGGAGACGTATTCTCGCATGCACTGCGCATATCGGCCCACGGCACTTCAACTTATGGAGAACTATCCTGCCATCATTGATTGGTGTCCTTTTGCAATCATACGAGACAAGCTGATACTTCTCCACTCTGCAAATCCGCTTCTGGACCAGATAATCTGCGATATAGCTACAGCCTACGTAGTGCAAGCGGATCTCTCCTCAATAGTTGATCAACCCATGGAGACTCTGGGATACATCAGGGTGTGGGACTTGATCAATGCCATGGGAGACTACGACCGCATACAAACGAGCCCCTCCTCTCGGGGAAACACAACGGATCAACTATCCCCAAATGCTTTTGATTCCAATAGACCCAACGAGGCCTCCGAGTCTCTGAAACTCCCCGCACCGACAACATCCGCCTTGTTCAACAATCCTGCCTACGCTCGCCTAGCCTTCGAAGCGCTGCACATGCACGACGGTCTCTCCGTATTCAAACTTGATCCCGACTTATTTTTGAAATATCCGGAACTTTACGATCCGCAATTCAAATCCATCGCTTCGGGGACAGCGCTGACCCCGCAGTGTCGTACCACTATCCAACCCCCACCGCCTTTGCAAGTGGCGACTCTGACTACGTACAAGCATTTTGCTGAGTGGTCTCTCGCTGTGCTTTGTGGGTCGAAGGGTGGGTGATAGTCGTTGATATCGCCATGGCATTATATTAATCGAAATGAAATTTTTCTTTCAGCATACTGCTCTTACTGGGCAGTATTGTTTCGCACTAAAATGAATGTTATCGCCGCACGTCTCAACTGCAGGCGGATCAACGCGTGTCGTCTAGCGCGAATTATGAATAATTGAAATGTTATGTACTCCTGTGAGTTTTCCAGAACCCAGCGCATCATTGGTAGAAAAAACTGGTGTAGGGCGTATACTGATAGAGGTGGTGGTTACCGTAGGGCGTGACACAGGGCGTGCCACAGGGCGCGACATAGGGTATCATAGCGGAGGTATTTTTAGTCATCTATAACTTAGTCAATTGAGCCGAAGCTGCTCGGCCTGGGCTCTGGTCACGCATTTGAGAAATCACGAACATGCATAGTCATTGCTGTAGACAAAACTTCTTGTGCTACCATTTCATAGAAGATTCTCTGTCACAGCCGACTGCTCTGATATGAATACGCAGCTTTCATTAGCCTTTCCTAATTGTTCATCTCGATCTCTTCATATTCTATGAGTAGAGCATGATGTTCCATAAGAAGCAATGCCAGTGTCCTGATCATCAGCTTCATGGTCCTGGACTTCAGGCCATCGATATACCAAGGACTGATCCTAGACATCCTTACAATTTCTCCAAGGTCAGTTCTCTAGCACATTCGCTATCACCCGCTTCAAAAGTTTTGATCTGACACCAAGTTCAGGCTAAAAAGTGCTTCATTGCAATCATAGCCGCTCTGGTCATGCTTAACAGTACAGTGTCCGCCGGCCTTCCTGGAGGAGCATCACCGTACTACTCGTCTTCGTTCGGGGTCACCAATCCTTTCATAAGACTTCTGCCTTCGACGACGTATTTGACAGGATACATTGTCGGGCCCTTATTCTTTAGTCCTTTGAGCGAACATCTCGGCCGCCGCCCAGTGCTCATTACGACCGCAACACTGTTTTTGGTCGCCACGATTGGATGTGCCTTCTCTCCAACGTACGCATGCCTGGTTTGCATGCGCTTTCTAGCGGGGGTGGGGGGAGCAGCACCAATCTCAATCATTGGTGGTATTTACGCCGACATTTTCGATGATGTCCGGGTGAGAGGACAAGCTACCGCGGCATATACAGTGGTAAGAACGAGGACGATTGACAGATGAATTAATCAATGCTTACTGGTGCTCTAGTTCACAACCATTGGTACAGTGTTAAGTCCCACTATCTTTGGTTACATCGGGCTCTTTGGCTGGCGATGGTGCTTCTATGTTTCTACTATGTGCGCCAGCGTGTTCGGACTAGGCCTATTGTTTCTCCCAGAGACGCACCTGGACTCAATCAAACGGCACGAAAGCAACCGCAATCGCTGCCTGAGCTGTAACGGCATTATTCCGGCACAAAAGTCAGCATTCTTATGGAGGAACCTGCTCCGTCAACTATGTGTGTCAACAGGAAGGCCATTGCGACTTATCTGTAGCGAGGCGATCGTGCTTCTCTCTTCTCTATATTGCGCTTTGGTCTTCGCCATCCTCTTTCTCTTATTTGCTGGCTACCCTTACATCTTCCATGACATCTATGGATTCTCATATGCAACCGCAGGACTCGCCTTTCTCCCCATGGGCGTCGGTACCGCTCTGTCCCTCCCCTTCTATCTATTATACGACCACTATCACTGGACTGAAACGCAGAAAGGAAAGACATGGACGCAAATTGAAGAATACAGGAGACTCCCCTTAGCCTGCATCGGCGGCCCAATCTTCGCAGCATCTTTATTCTGGCTAGCTTGGACCTCTTCCAAATCGTTCCATTGGATCATCCCGATGATGTCTGGGCTGCCGCTGGCTTTCTCACTCAACCTAATCCTTATTGCATCATTCAATTACCTCACCGACGCCTATGGAGCATTCGCAGCAAGCGCTTTGGCAGCGGCGAGCTGCTCGAGAAGCATCTGTGGAGTCTTGTTGCCGATGGCGACGAGTGCTATGTATACGCACATTGGGATCGGTTGGTCTATGAGCATTCTTGGTGCGGTGTCTGTTTTGTCGGTTCCTATACCTTTTGTGTTTATCAAGTATGGTCCATTGATTCGACGGCGGAGCCCTTTTTGTACTAATCCTGTGGTGGAATCGATAAAACTGTATTGAGAGTTCGTCATTGATACATGAAGTAGACTAGATCAACATTCTTGGTTATCATGGTCTACGCGTAGTTATGAATGATAATGATACACACTTTAATTTGCATCATTGAATAGTATAATAACACAGTCGTGATGGCGGAATAGGTTTAAGTGTGGAAGGAAAGCTTTCTACTTTAAGGGTGCTTAAAGACTCGTTATACGGCAATTGTTTAAGGTAGTATGATCTGGACTCGAATGAATATCTTGACCAGTAGGAAGAGGTTCATCCTAGGCGGGCAAAGAACACTGGGAAATATTTTTTTCAGGATCATTCCATGTTAACGCATATTCTAAATGATCTCATGTTAATAATTTCCGTAGATGTAATGTATCATTGTAGTAACGGATGTCAGCCACTGCTTCCGAAATCTCATCTTCTAATTTTGATCGAGATTCCCGAAATTAATGGATAACAACTGCATGACACTGTTTATGGGAAAGGGCCCCAAGCGCGCGTTCGATGTGGATACATTTCTTGTTCCTGGATACTTCCACGTTGGTATTACCGCGTAAGACATGTCGAAACGTCGAATGACGGCTCCAGAATCCAATTTTCTCGCTTGCTTGCTTTGCCGACCCTATCGAGGGATCAGGAAACCTGGGGTTAAGCACGACGCTACCTTTGCTTCCTCGACTTTTCAACTAATAGGATAGACGAATGAAATGTTCAGAGAATAGTGATGTTCTTTGTAAGTACGGAGTACTCTCGACCTTTTTTTAGAAGTCCTCTGAATGTCTTGAAAGAGTTTAACTCGCCAAGTCCCCCTCTACATCTCAACGTCCAATCACACAGCGTAACAGCCTCTCCCCCTATAAAACCCACTCTCGGTCTTCGACATCCCATCCCTTCTCCACAACAGCGCGTGCGTGTTCCTGGCCAGGCCTCCGTTCAAAGCCGTTTTAGTGGGTGCACACGCGCAGCAGCCCGGGAACCGAGCGTCTCTTCCAATCCAATAGTGCGCATTAACTATGGGATTTCGCTGTATTCGGTTCGATACGACATCCTTCGTCCCCCAAAAGGGGTAAGGATCGTGTGGCCAGGGCCAGACCAAATGATATGCGGCAAACGATTTTATGCGCCCTGGCTAAGCTAGCTCTAGCCCTCAGCCTTGGAAGTTGGAAAAGAGATAGTGTGTGGATGAGAGACAGAGAGCTGGAAAAGGAAACAATCAATAAATATGACTACGCGTGCCCTGCTTTGGTTGTGGCCTTTGTTTTCGACCTTTTTGTAGACTTCCACCCCCTTGAACGATTGCTTGCTTTCTGTACAAACGACTTTCAACAAAGACTCGAGAATTTGCGTTTAATCGACTCATCACCTTTTCCTATTGTCGCGGACATTTTCCTGTTCAATACACACACAAGTAACAGCTACTACATTCGACCATGTTCAACCCAACAACCCTCATCGCCGCACTCAGTCTGGCCGCCCTAGCCACCGCGCTCCCCCACGACCACTACGAGGCACACACAACATCAAGTACGTTACCATCACACCATAAAAATCCACAACCCAACAAATCAATGAAAGAAATCCAACTAACCCCTTCTCCAGCATTCGTATACACAGGCCCCATGTTCAACCCAACTGAGGCCCTAAACTACGGCCCCGTCAACAGCTCCTACTACCAAAACCTCACCACATCTACATCGTCGTCAGTGCGATCGTCGACCACATCTTCGCACTTCACGATCCCTGCTAGCGAGACAAGGGGGTCTGTGAGGTCGACGGCGACGGAGACGCCAAGTGAGACCACAAGGGAGAGCGCAACGCCGACCGAGACTGTGCTTGAGGTTACGGGTACGGGGGCGGCGAGTGGTGCGAGGTATTCGGGCTATGTTGGTGCAGTTGCGGGTGTGGTGGCCGCTGGGTTTGCGATGATTTAGGGAGGGAGATGTGATGATATGCTGAGAGGAAGAGAGGAAGACGATATGGTAGACACACGATTTTCTCTTTGTCACCATATGCTACAACAATTAAAAAGACCTGTCGCGAGATGGATGGACACACTGCCATCGCCACATCGAGGAGCAAAGCAAGAAGACGCGACCACAAACAACGAAACATTTATACAGGACAGGCGGCGACGCCAAAACGGACACCATGATGGAAAACCAAATACCCCAGGACTGAAAATTATACTTGTACATACAATAGTTAATATATAATAACGAAAAGATACCCTCTCAAAGAAAGAAAGAATTGAAATGACGCGATCAAGAATCATCTTGTGATAGTTACTCATGATGATGAGTCAATGGTACATCGTATTCCGAATGGAAATCAACCTCTTGGAACGACTGTGGATTTCCTTTTCATCTGAAGTTGCTAATTCATTATACTCACGACAACTAATTGCAGTCATAAAGAAACGAACCTCACAATCCTCGATCCGGATAAGGAAATAATTAGTAGAAGGGCGGCCCCTATGCCTGATGTGGGTTAGTCGCATGGAGAAAACGACCTTCCTTTTTCTCCACCATCTCACGCTGTCTGCCGTCGTTAGGTGATTAGGTGACTCACAGGGAGATCGGTAGTTTCAATGTTACTTTGGGATGTGACGTTGGTTAAGCGTATTTAGATAAGATCATTTGCAAAAGAGTTGTGGGATATATTTTGTCGTACATAACGCTGCTTAAGACGATTTTCAAGTGCACGGCCCGTTGTTCATACAGTCGGACTTAGAAATTTTATAGTAAGTTTTTTTCGTTTAAGGCAACCCAATCATCTGCCAATTTTTTATATTTGTTTAAACGACTTCTTTCTCCTGTTATACTTGTAAGAGAAAGATTATATAGCTCTGAGACTAACAGTGCTATTACAGACATAGCGTGTAAATAGAGGAAGAACAAACGGTCAAGAAGATAATCATTACTGTATACAGAAAGGTTTAAGGTAAGCCTCCATATCAAGACCAGGCATCAGCCTTATCTTCTCCAGACACGGAATATATACGCCCCAACTCTCTTCCCCTCTCCAGCGACAAAATAGCTAACCCCACAAACTAGCCCATCAACACCACACACATCATGTACATCCGCCCCATGACCCGGGCCGACACGCCCGAAGTGGCCGCCATAACGACTGCCATGTTGGCAGACGACGAGATCTTCCGCTGGCTCAGCCCAGGCCAGGACAAGTACCCAGACGACCTGCGCCGGTGGCACGTGATCCGCATCCGGTCGCGCATCGCGCAGGCCGGGTCCCATGGCTTCGTCATGGCGACCGAGGAGTCGGATCCAGAGTGGAGCGGGAGGGAGGAGGTGACGGGGTTGGCGTTCTTCATCAGGAGGGGGGACGACGAGGCGGCGAGGAAGTGGCAGCGGAGTTCGTTGTTGAGGAGTAAGTGGTCATTTCGTTTTTGATGGTGTTGATGTCGTTGGTGAGGAAGTAAGATCCCGACTGACTTGGACGTTAGAAATCGATTGTCATCTTCTGTCATGGGAGCAGTGGTATGAAGAGCATTTTCTTGACCGCGCCCAAGATACCAAGCGCATGGAGATCTACATGGACAAGCTGCCCACCGACCTGTACAACCTCCTAGGCCCGCGATGGCACGTTGGTCTGCTCGGCGTGTCGCCAAAGTATCAGCGCAGGGGCATCGGCGGCAGGTTGCTGCAGTACGGGCTGAAGTTTGCGACTGAGGAGGATCTGCCCGTGACGCTGGAGGCGAGCGCCAAGGGCCATAATTTGTACCTGAGGTCGGGGTTCAAGATCATAGCGGATGCGGAGATCGTGGATGGATTGAGGAGTGCAGCGATGGTGTGGGAACCGGAGGGGTCGCGGGGGAGGTGGTTGAGGGATGTTGGAGATCAGAGAGCGGAGATTGTGACAAAATATTGATGGATTTGATGGATTTCATATAAAGCGATTGGAATGAGAGGTTCAATGAATGGCTATCTCGGAACGTTGGCTGTTTATTGTCGGTAATCTCGTCATAAGAAATCAAACATTGTTCGACATATATATGGGCTCATGAAAGTTCAAGTGATAGGTGAAAAATCCGGAACTCCCCCAATGTAACCAAAATTCCCGGTTGAAATGTTCGAGATTCAACTGCCTAGCACAGAGCTGGGAGAAAAACCCATCGATTGTGATGTGTGGCTCTGAACAACACGAAAAACTTGACCTTTCTGAAAGAAAAAGATATGATATAGAATACCGAGATTTCGATATGGCTATCACTGCAAAAGCAGGAAGGCTAGGCGAATATCCGTTGGCAATAAGGTCTTGGTCATAAATAAGCGGAATTACCCTCAGGAAAACGGTGCGGCGAACTACAAGTAACGGTATGGAACGAAGTTCCATTGGCTTGATAGCTGTGTAACCTCCATCCGAGCATTCGGATCGCGTCTCTGGTTGGGTATGTCCAATCAGCTTTTACCACATACCTGTCGGCCAAGCGAGTAGCCTTTACTGTTTATATATGAGGCACTGTCAGGAGTAAGCCATAGCCTGATATCGCGATAATGCTCAGTCATTGATGGTTTCTTTGGGGTTGAAACTCTAGTCAGGCTACTTGCTGCATGCAGTGCTTCGTACAGCATGTTTCTATCAAAAGTTATAGATCCAATCAACGGGGAATAGATAATGTGAAAATTCTAGAGCACGCTCTATTCTCCTGTGTCCAATTGTTTACGGGACACGAGGGACGGGATGACGATACAGTTTTGGATCCTTGGTATATGGAAGGAGGGGAGGGGAGGGGAAGATAGTGTTTCTTATAAGATAGTGCTTCTTATACTGGCTGCGAAAGACCAAATGCTCCCTCAGAGTTTCATCTTACGTCTGTAGATTCGAATGAATAAATACTTACTCGACGCTTTCAACTCGAATCCGAAAGTCCATATCACATGTTATCTTCCTCAATTTCTACCATCGAGCTATAGGACGCCAGTCATCAACCTCTTAAACGTCCTACGTCTGACTTCTCACTTTCTTTTTCGAGATCCCGTTTCTGGAGAGCTTGCTGGCGTACATGCACAATTAATCATACATAGTCCCCCTCGCCTCCTCTGGTACGGAGTGTAAATGTGCAGGGCAAGTATCTACCATTTCCCAAGATCCCACAATCGAAGAGCATTCAGATCAATATACTCATTCATCCCATGCCCTAGCCTACGTACATATGTGTACGTAGTCTCCCTTGACACCGATATATATCCTTCCAACACGAACCCCACAACTGACACGTCGATTCAGTCCACGTTTCGAGGGTGCTCTTCATGTTCACCCAGCATCTCTACACAGACAGAGTCCTTGCACTGTTGTATGCATAGTCAGAAATGGACGGTGCATCGACGGGAGAGGTGGCCGGTTTCTCGAGATGAGTTCGAGTGTACAGTGTGTGTTTATCGTGACAGGATGGCGGTGGGAGGGGAAATTTGGGTACAGTCTACTGTGTCCACCGAGGATATTAACAGTTGATCGAGCGTGGAGGGGGTGTGGAGGTGTAGGTGGTACATCGCTGCCTCTACATTCCAGGCTCGGGAAAAGAGAACATGGGTGGTAATATCGAGGTTCATTTTAGCATCTTGGAGGAGATGAATTGGTGGATTTAGTTGATTTTGCGGACCAACACCCTCCCTCCATGTCACGATAACTATCTAGGTACTATAGGAAGGAAAGAGCTATGGAAAGTGATCTGGAACCCAGGCTCTTTACAACAACGTCCGTACTTACGAAGATGACATATCCGACTAGAGTTAGATTATTCCTTAACGCACTTACCGACTTGCCAGCCAGACAGAGCACCGAATCTAAGGTCCAGCCTGCCCTGCCGCGAGTCAGGTCAGTGGGCAAGAGGAAATGTGCAGAACAAACTGGTGTGTAAAATGTCATCTCATTTCACTCTCAGACTTTTCCCAATTCCGAGGTTGCATGAACATGGGAAAGTATCTATCAGCACGATTGCAAATTTAGCACCAGAAAGATTGTTTCAAGATGTTTGGCAGAGCGTTAGGGAAGGATTGTTGTTGTGGTGTGTGTGTGATTGGTTAGTGGTGGTGGGTAGGGCTGTTGGCTAGCACGATAACGATTGCATTGCAGGATTGATTGTGCATGCACGGATGGCTAAGTTAGCTGTGGGGATAGATTACTAAAAGTTGGATTTGAGAACTATTTTATTTTCTTCTTTTTCGTATTTGAGAGTCTGGGTCCAGGTCACGGTGCGTTGAGAGTGAGTAACGTTGTCTTGAAACATGGGAATGTTGGGTGCGCATGTAGGTGGATTATACATAGATCTAGAATTCTTTGAGTGAGCGATCGAGACCAAGAGCATAACGCGAGACTCGAAGGTCTCACTACATGTGTGCATGTAGTCATCGAGCAACTAGGAACACCCTTTTGTGAGCTCGAAACATGTTCGAGCGCAACGACATCAAATCATCTGGCGAAGCATTTCTTACCGTGCTTATTTCTCCTCGTAGGGTGTTTGGTGGTGTGTTTTCTTACTTTATTCCACGTGGTGGCGCGGATACAACGCAGGCATTCATGCAGTGATGATTGCACTACGAGTGAGTAACCACAGGACTGGGTGTGAATACAGTCATGGTTTAAATGTGGGTATCTATTCGTATCGTTGTGTTGGGATGGTGCGCGTACAACATATGTGCCCAAAAGGGGTTGCTCGTTGCGTTGCGTTCGTGTGGTGGATGTCAGATTTGGCTTGATTCCCGGGTTGGGTTGGGCGTTTAATGTCAGCCTACTGTTGGTTGGTTGTGTTTTGGTTCTGATGATGGTCTGATTCAATAATAATGGGATGAGTCTGGGGAACCTGGTTTTAATTTTAGTCTGGCGTCAGGTCATGGTCACGAACAACCTTCCAGGCTAGAAACTTTCCCCAGCGTGCCAGGATACTGCTGTTTATATCATTTGTGAGGGTCGTTGGCGAATGAATGCTACGACTCATCTTTGCATTACTGATTATGATGGGTACTTTTTTTTGGCTCGCAGAGCGTCAAGGAAATTTAACAAATCTTGAAAAAGGAATGCACACTGTAGTTGCTTTTTCTCCGGTAATTGCGCTCTCTCCCTCTTCCTCCTGTGCGGTTCGAAGGATGGCCAAAGGATCTGGCTTCGTCATTAGGCATCACAATGGCTCAGCAACTGAAGATCTATCGATGGGCGCGGATACTGAGACAAGGCGTGAAAGACCTAAGCGCAATGAAGTCAGGATTGAGTCGATCGATCCATCGCTGTGTTGGTTGATCCATAGTCGAGTTGGATGATCGTCACTTGTCTTACTCTGCTGAACAGTACTAAGACTTCTGATACGAGGGCCTTGAAGACTGACAGCTGTCGAGGTAGTGAGTGGAGGGAAAACCCCCGATAGGCATTGGCTAGCGAGAGAGCCGCTGTGAACAGTAAAGGGGGAGGAAGAGGCCAAAGCACAATTCAAAGGCTTCAGAGCGTATTGTACTTCTGCGCGCATGACGATTGACTAAGATTGATATCGAGGATCTTTGCATGCCAACGGTCCTATGATAGGGTAGGGCAGACCAAAATGGGTGCGCCCAAGCGTCGACATCTCGGAGTTGGAATCCGAGGGTGGAAGTCGAGGAGCACACACACGTGGAGCAGGAGTAAGACACTGGCCCGTGCACCCTATTTTTACATTACGAGTACCTGCGAATATGCTTGGCCAGGCGTGGTAAGTCTTGTTATCGTGAGGCTTGAGGAGAAAAGGCAAGCCCGGACTGATGCGCGAACCGATGCAGGAGATTCTAGAAAAGTTGTAGAAGCCATACATTCGTCAAACACGCATTGGCGAATAAGTGACGCCGGATTCGAGCAAGCGCTAAGAGAATGGACGAATTGCCATAGAAGCGCCCCTTTGATCAGCCTGAAAAAGGCATTATCACGGTGTGCAAAGGGCTGGGATAAGCAGGAGTTCGCATGATGGGGATTGCCCCTGAAGATGAAGGCTCCGAGGTGGATGTCCTCCGCTCCGATCAAAGGCATTCGTCGACGCATGACGACGTTGTCTCTGTTTGGCCAGCAACGACAGGTGAAGATGAGCGGTTTGTGCGGCGATGATGTCGGTCTGTGCCGGAGAGCGTTGCAGATGGGGTTTCAGAGACAAAGCAGGCAGAGGGGGTCAATGGAGGCATCGTGGCATCACTCGAGGCGGTCACCTCAGACAAGCAAGGCGACGAGGGTGGGGAAGAGCAAGTGCGTGGCCAGTGGGCGGTCATCAATGGCTCCTTTGTTTCGAAAAAGAGAATAGGCGCGTTTCAGGAGGTGGAGGTGGATGGCTCGAGGGGCTTGAGGGGCTCGAAGGCCACGCGACAGGGCGGCATCCTTTCACAGATTGGCGAGCACAAACCCGCTGCCTCAGCTCAGCCCTAGAGCAACAACGTGTGCTAGCCTGTTGTTGTGTAGGCAATTGGAAGAGACTTGAAAAGCATACACAGCGACCGGCATCCGACAGCGTTCAGGGTAGTCGGCATACAGGATGGACCTTGCAGGCTGTGCTCGCATGGCCAGACACGCGCTCTCCTGGCCTGACGAGAGGAGTCCCGAGCACATTATCGTGCTCATGCCCGCCAACAAGGGCAGTGCCCAATCATGCAGCAGAAACCGGGGAGTAAAATAAGAAAGGATCCCTGTGAGAGAACCGATACAGGCAGAGAGTAGCTGTGGGGGACGCGAATTTGTGGGTTTTGTCCGGGATATGGAATGATGTGTCGTTGTTGGAAGATGTTCTTTTTCTCTTTAGTGGTTAGTTTTGTCTCTTTTCTTTTTGGTGGAGGAGAAGATGAGAGACGAAGGGTGAATTGAATTGGCGGTGGAACGTGAGAGGGTCCGTGCGGGTCAAGGTCAAGGGCAAGGGCAAGGACGACCCAGGCACAGACATCCATCAGTCACACCAAAGACAAAGTCCACCGACCGCTGCTTTGCTATTCACCTTGCAACAAACTCGCCAAACGCACACCCGCCCGGACTTGTTCCATACACCATACCATACACACTCATTCGATCCTACAAATACTTCCTCCCCCTCTGACACATATCACCCTTCTTTTTCACTATGACTTCCACCTCCGCCCAAGACGAATTCAACGAACTCATCAGAGACAAAGACCGTGAATCTGCCCACCCCGAAGACAGAGACCGTGACAGTGACCACTCTGACCCCGAATCTGCTGGCGCCGACTACTACCCTGAGAAGCAAGACACTGACGACGAACTCGACATTCCCAAAGACATGCGTTCCAACTACTACCTCCCCTCCATCCGCTCGGAGGCAAACACCGGCCCCAAGGGTGTCATTGCGGATGCACATGCCTTCGAGCAGGCTAGGGAACAGGCAAAGAAGCAGGCGAGGCGCTTCACATGGCGCAAGTCTACGCCTCCTAGCTCCTACACATGGCACGACGAGAAGGGACAGTCGTCGGAGGACGAGGACAGCGAGGGGTTCCTCCAGCGCTGGCGTGAGGCACGGTTGAAGGAACTACAGAACGCAGGAGAGAGGATACGATCCCGCACAACCAGCCCCTCAAGGCGGATATACCGCAACCTCCCCGCCGTTGACGGTGAGGGCTATCTCGAGGCGATCGAGAAGTCGCCGCGGGGTACCACTGTGGTGGTCTTCATCTACGACGACCTCGTAAGTTCCCCGCACGGAATGCCTGAGCTGTTCCACCAGCTAACCCATTCACAGTCCGACATCTCTATCGAGGTCGAGCGCTGCATGCGTGAAGTCGCACAGCGCAACGAGCTTGTCCGCTTCGTCAAGCTTCACTACGAGGATGCCGAGATCGAGGGAGCCGGTGTTCCCGCCGTCCTCGCCTACAGAGATGGGGAGTCGGTCGCTCAGCTCGTTCCCATCATCGACGAGCTTGCCGACGACTCTGATCTCAGCGCAGTTGCCCTCGAGACCGTCTTCAGGCAGTAAGTACCCACCCACCTGTGCTGTGCCCCGTAATGGTGGCACAGCAGCATCATGAAACGGAACATCAGCTGACTCCACGTGCAGAAAGGGCATTCTCACCATCGAGAACTCCAAATAAAGAACGACTGTACAACGTGATCAGCACTATGCATGCATGCGCGAGCGCAGTGGTGTGCTTGATGCGCTAAGAATTGCTGTGTCGATTCTTGCTTGCGCGCACGTTGGGAGGGCTTGTATGATCGGGCCGGGGTTTCAAAACCGCAACTCCGGTCAGGCGTCTTGCCCATCCATTCCTGACATCCGATCCGCGAAACATCACGCTCCGACTTCGCCACAGTTGATCTTCCGTTTGGGCTCAGTCATTTCTCACAGAATGCGGCTTCCATCGGACAAACTGTGGTTCTACGTTCGCGAGACGATCGGTCTTCGATTCTGTTTTCCTCTTACTTTAGACGCGACACTGTGCATAACGACCATTTCCTTGCGGTCACTACTGGTTATAGAAGGTTCGGCTTTACCACATTCAGGTCTTTTCATTTGGTTATGTCATTTCAGCGTTGGACTCTGGGCGTTTTCAACAGGATCTTGCGCAATCCGTCGGACAATCTGGTCCCTATTTCCTTACTACTCTCAAAAGAAGGCATCTGGCGTGGAAAGGGGCGAGGCTTTCTATGCGCATGATTATACCCCACATACACATGTCCATGTATCTTGTTGCAAAGAAACAGACATGATAACTTATCTCGGAACCTCAACAACACAATGTTTTGGTCTGGGAAATAATATGTAATTCCGATCTTTACAATTGGCTCTCTCTCATCCGTGCTTGATCATCTCCTCCTCTTTCTCACTCCCCTCCCTAACATCCCACAAACCTGATCCTGACCTCTGCGTCGTTTGGCCTTGCTTTGCCTTACCCCAGCACCAAACAACCGGTGTGTTTCAAGACCTGCCCTGCCTGCCATCAACAGAGAAACCTCCTCACCGCCCCAGGCCCCAGCTCTTGCCCATCCACCCATCATCCATGATCCCAACCCACACCTCCTCCTCCGCATATCGCCCTCCCCGGCCACACCAGAAACACGCAACCCCCACAGCCGAGGACGCTCGTGAGATCACCACGCAAACGGCAATGGAGTTCCCCACATAAACGTGGACATGGAGGCGACCGTTTGATCGACCGTGTTCCGCAATGGGCGGCCTGTCCGTTCGGCGTGGCCGTCCGACCGTCGAGGTCTCCATGATCGCTAGGACATCAGGTGTCGTTGGTGCGTTGTCGTGGCAGGTTGAGGGGGTTGAGTGTGTGCGGGGAGTGATGTCAGAGCGTTCATGCGAGGGGGTGTGTGTAGACGTGAGCGGTTGAGGGGCGGGGGTTTGTGTGTGGTGAGATGGTGGTGAGAAGGTGTGGGTATGTGAACTCGACGTACAGTCTCTCGATGAGCAGGCTATCTCAAGGAATTTGTCTGGTGTGCTGGCTGATGGGCTATGTTTCCCACCCGCCCTTCTTGTCTTTCTTCTTAGGCGTTGTAGGTGATGTGTACATGTTCTGCGATCTAACAGATACGCTTTCCATTATGATCATAGAGTCTATGATCTCGATGATGAAATCGGTGTCGAAAACTGGTGATACTCTCACACAGACTCGCACTGAAAAAAAAACCCATATCTCCAGGGCAGTCTGCCATAGTTGAATACTGTATCTCCCACTTTCCCCCTTCACACTCCTTCGCTATTGATACTCTCGCAACAAGCGTTCACGCCGTGCGGTGAGATACTCGGGCGAACGTGCAAGGTCCTCGTTCACGTGCTTGTTCCGTTTGGCGTGGTACTACATTCCCATCCCATTGCCTTGAATCTACCGTGTTTACTTAAGTGGGTACGATCAATCACCAGTCTCTTCATCTCCTCAATTGAATATAATTATCGAAGTATCAATACAAAGTTCGTAAACACGCGATTGGCATGCATCCGTTAATTTCAAGCTTTGTTTCATTTCTTTCATGTTGAACATTTAGTACCCTGATTTATGGTTTTCTATAATAGGAATATGTGATGGTGGTGGTCTGGTGAGTTGCTCATTTCGGTAGACGTGCGGTTTGGCGAATTTGCCTATTTGGGATAACTACTACCATCCACGATGGGTAGGTATTCTGATGTGCGTGTCGACGATTGCACCAGGGACGTGGTTAAGGATATTTATGTTGATCATTGCACAATATATATATTATACAGTGGAAGGTACCTGATTTTAAGAAGGTGTTGGGGTTGTGTGATTTCTTTTTCGGATGTTAGATAGTTGGAATACTTATACGGCATAAACGTTGATTCAGAAATGAGAAAAAGGTACGATGAAAGTGATATAAACTCCACCACCCCTCCACCGTCCACAAACCCATCTAAAACACCGAGAAAACGATATTGTACATATTCGACAATACAATTAAAATACAACAAATCCATACCTCCCCATTCGAGCTCACTCCAACAATCCCAATCCTACATCTCCATCACAGTCCCTCCGTCCTCACACCCTCACCACCACCGTCTTTCTCCCCATCCTTCTCCCCAGCGTGTTCCAAAAGCCCACTCGACCTCAACCGCTCGATGCGCGCGCGCTCGTTCGCCTGGCTGCGCCGGTTCGCGACCTGCCATCCGAGGCCGTACAGCGTTATGCAGAGGAGCATGAAGCCTTTCTCTCCGTTATCAATCGGGTTCTACATGGCATAAAAAAACAATGTGAAGAGGACGGTGTAAGGCACGAAAGACACGGCAGTGGAACGCAAGGGTTTATTCAATTCAATTAGATTCAATTATAAGGGCACGAAAGATCACGGTACGGTACAGAAGGTACAAACAATGCGATGTGGCGGGAGGGTGGGTATCATAAAAACGCACCGATGAAGCCAAAAATGACGCCGACCTCGTGCCCGACGGACGGCGGGGGGTGGTACGGGACCTCGTCCTGCACGGGTCTGTCCTGTGCGCGGGGCGTGAACTTCGCCATCTTTTCTTCCTTGGTTTACAATATCTCTGGGAGTATGTCTTGGGGGATAGAAGGTCGATTGCCGGGTTTGGATAGGCAAGTGCTGGATCGTGGATTGCCCGCGCTTAGGATAGCGCGCTCTTGTGGTTCTCTTCTACTTTGGGTATGTGTGTGGGTCGTGTCGTGTCGTGCTTGTTTTCGCAAGGAGCTTGATTCTTGATTCTTGGGATGATCGTGGATCGTGGCATGGCATGGCATGGATGGGATGAGGCGGGTAGTTTTTCAATCGCGATAGTTACGTCATTGTACGTTTGTTCGTTCACCGCGCTAGTAAGCTAGACACTTGAGTCGGGCTAAAAGCACCCACCAGGGATTAACGAGGAAGAAGCGATGATGGCGGGGGAAAAGAAAACGTGTCGGTATTCTGTGGGGACTAAACTACTGGTGATGAATTGGCGGAGACTTGATTCCTGGGAGTGTGGGCGTGGAATGATTGGGTTATTCTTTTCATGTTGTAGGAGAAGAGCAAGAATGCCAGAACGTAAATCACTTGAGCCGCAAAAAGGCCACGCATGGTAGCCATGTGCGGCGATCTGCGCCGGCGACATTTCTGGAGATTCTGAGATTCCTCATTCGTTCACACGATGCCGAAAACCGCAGAAGTGCCGAGAGAACGGCGGCAGTGTGATGTAATGTCAAAAGCCGGGGAACTGCGCGCAGCATCGGGATTCGAGGGCAGGTTTATTTTAGAACCGGGGATTGAATCGCGGGTTTTCACGACCTTCAAGAAGTATTGTACGAGGTGGTTTCGGCGAATACACATACAATACATGGACACACGTGGGGAGTGGTGGGCAGGACGGGCTTGTCGGGCAACCTTCTGCTCGCGGCGGAGACTAACTACTGTCCTGCAAGAATAGTCGCTGGTGATACGTATGAAGACCACACAACGTCCATACTATCATAGCTATCGCATTATTGCATGGCCGCACTGCATCAGATCCGGCACATGGCATCTCTTGCAGCGATCCAGACCGCGTAGTGTTTCAGCGTTGATAGGCCGAGTAGGCATGCGCATCCCATGCCATGCAGGCGGGGAGGACGATAATCTGGGGTTGTTGACCGGAAACTCTAGTGACGAGCGGAGTGGAGTTAACAGCTTATCACATGTCAGGATAAAGGTGGCACGTAATGGTCGACCAGGCTGAAGTCAAGTCCTAGCTGGATCCGTGGGATTTGAAACAACTACTGCACATGGCATGCCGGGAGCGTGTGGGAGCGTTAGGTTTGTCGTAGCATCAATGAATGGTGGTCGGTAGCTCCGGTGCTAAGTAGTTTTATCCAGTGTCTGGTGGATTATCGAAGGGATCGATCGGATCCAACGATGCGATGATGATGATATTGGGGATCGAAGCATGGATTGGCTGGGGATGGGGGAGGAAGCGTGAGAGGAAGCGAGACGGCGAGCGGCGACAGGTCGCCTCCGCCTCCGCCTCCGCCGTTCGTGAGTCATCGTCCGGGTGGCGGGGATAAAGAATATCACAGAATGAGGGACTGTCAAAGGAAGACCAGTATTCGTACACAAAGGTATGAACTTCACCGATCAGATAAAGAGTGTGAATAGCGGAACGGAGTCTTGTTTGTTATCATCCATCGCATCATGATTATCGCATTTCGAAAGCGATGAACCACAAACGACAAAGAAGGCGACGTTGAAGGTGAACCATGAACGAGTGAATGACATGACATGACGATGAAGAGAGACAGAGACAGAGACAGACAGGCAGACACACCGACAGACCGACGTAGTTAGTTGCTGGGGCCGCCGGACGAATCAGAGTCGACAGACAAAAGTGCCGCCGCTTTGAGGGCGGGAAGGCGATAAGGGGGGTCGTGCGGCGTCAAAAAGAAAGGATTTTATTTTTACCGAGTGTGCGTTTGCGTCTGCGTTTGCGGTGCGGTGCGGTCGCCTCAAGATCCTTACCAGAACGCCTATAAGCCTACACGATGGTTATACGCCCCCAATCCACTCCGTACAGTCCGTAGACAGTTGGTCGACATCAGTGGCATACGTAGGCACCGGTGCGACTTGTGCCGCCTGGCTCGCGACGCATCCCGACCGTAGGGCATAGCAGTGGTGCATTATTATCGCAGCAGCATTTCCAAATGTACGGAGTACTGCAGTGCGCCGTGTGCAGCGTGCAGTGTGCAACATGTGTGCCACAGCCGCAAAAGCAAGCAGGCAGGCAGCAAAGCAAGCAAGGCCAGGGTGGTTTTTTGGTAGGCTATGGCCAGAAGCGCCCGTGTTGCAGAGCCTGCATTCCAACGCGACGCGTGCACTGCGGCCTGCCCCATGTATTGCAATCTGTAAGTACCTAGAACACTGATACACACGACGAGCGTCTATTCTCCTTCATGCCGGAGTCGATCAAAGGATGCGTTGGAGGCTCAAATCATGAGCACCCACGCATTATTGGCGCGATGGATCTGGGGGAGGTAGGTGATGCGAAGACAGGCCGGTAGGAGGCAAGCATGGAGAGAGGGTGAGAAGAACAGATGCACTAGACCAAAGAGAGAAGGAGACGAGACAGACGTGAGCGATGCAAGAATAATGCGATAGGCGTTGGGTTGGGTTTTATTAGGCGTAGGCGTAGGTAGAGGCGTAGGTAGGCGTTTGAGTGAGTGGGGTCCGACCGGTTTGTTGCTTGTTGCTTGTTGCTTGTCGTCGCTTGACGAAATGGGCGGCGGAACAGGCAGCACACGCGTCATCGCCTCTCTTTCCCTCGCCCATGGACGATAATAATTGCAGTCAGATACATAGGTACACAGCCTGATGGTTGTTGGAGAGAGAGTACGGCATACATACGAGACTACGAGTAATACCCGTCCGGCGTTAAAGAATAGCAAGAAAAGGGGGGGCCAACAACGGAACGGGAGAAAAAAACTTGCGCGCACTAACACCCGCTAACTCTTCTCTCGTCCTTACCTTTCCACACTCTTCCTTCTACTCTTCCGTCTCAACACCATCACATCACATCACATCCTCATCTCATCCATACTGCCTGACTGCCTGACCGAGTGACCGACCGACTCACTCACTGGCTGGTTGCGCACATCATCATCATCATCATTTATCATGTCAGCCAACCGTCATTATTGCGCGGAGTCAGGCTGGAATGTTGGGTGGTGTGTGTGAGTCTGAGGGCAGCAGCGACAACGACTGACAACAAAGGAGGCATCACGCATTTTGCTCGTCATGCCATTTGTGGGCAGGGAGACAGTAGTCAGTGAGAGACTCGGTAGGAGAGACAGGAGACAGGCCATCCATAGTCCATCCCTCCATGAATAGTTAATGATGGATGATGATGATGGATGATCGTGGCAGTGAAAGGGAAAGGGCAGGCAGGAAAAGGGTAAGGGTGGAAAAAGGAAAAGGGGCTACCCTTCACCTTCCCACCTTCCCACCCGTTAAAGCGGCAAGTACGCGCTAAACCCGAACCATGGGTTATCGCGCACGGGCCCTCCAGGCTCCTACGCATATATAAGAACAACGTCCCTTTCGCTTTATCGCATCCCTTTTGGTCGCCTTGCTCGCCGAAATCCGCCCTCCGTGCCTCCAAACCTCCCACCCCCACCATTCCATCATTTGCGCAGCCTTGAAGACGTCAGTTTTCATCTGCGCTCCACGAGTTCTTATCTTCGCTGGGTTTTTTATTCCAAAACCCACAAGTGTGTGCACGCCACACGTACGTTCTCTCCCAGAGGTTCCCGGAGCGTTTTTCCTGCGATCGGCACTAGCCTAGTTCCGGCTTCGAAGAGCCTCAATCTCAAAAAAAAATATCACCTCTAAGCAGCCACCGAGGTTCCTCATCCACCTCGGTCTCTCACCAAAGGCTTGCTGGCTTCGCTTTTGGTCTTCACACCCACACCTATAGATACTTAATATACCTGTCGGCGGCGGTACTCCATTGCCATCGGCGATCGCTGGCTCTCTGCTTGACAGCGCTTCTGTGAGGGACACATTCGGTTGTTCATCTCTTGCGTCCGGTACGGTGCTCCTACCTGCGCCCCTCCCAACCTCGACCTCACCTTCACCTCCCCCTCCGGTGTCGATCGACCTCGCACAAAGCTAGCGATCTCGCTCCCCCCCGGTCGTGTCGTCCGCCGTCGTTGGTTCCCTAGATACACATTTCTGACTCTCTCCCAAGGTTGTCAAGGAAATCGCGATCCCCCAATCGTGTCCTCCGCGTAAAACCAAACCTTGCCCATCTCTCTTCTTCCATCATGGATTCTCTCACTACCCACCCGTCCACCGCCGCCCAGGCCAAGACGGTAAGATATGCGTGATGCCTGCAACTTTGTAACTGTTTTCTAACGTTCTCTCTCAGTTCGTGGCTCCAGGATCTCTCTCGTACCCAAATGCGACTGAGCTGACACCGCCGTCCTCTGAGAAGAACGCTTCGCAGGACCTGAACAATGCCAATGGCGTTGCCACTCCTGCTGCGACTCCCGATAACCAGAACTCATCTTCTGGTATCGTGCCCACACTCCAGAACATCGTAGCCACTGTCAACCTGTCTGCACGTCTCGACTTGAAGACGATTGCGCTGCACGCCCGTAATGCCGAGTACAACCCTAAGGTATGTTGAGACTCAACGGTTAGTCGCTGCTGTTACTAATGCCTTGAAGCGTTTCGCAGCCGTCATCATGAGAATTCGAGAGCCTAAGACCACGGCCCTTGTGTTCGCCAGTGGAAAGATGGTCGTTACTGGTGCCAAGAGTGAGGATGACAGCCGTCTTGCCAGCCGCAAGTACGCTCGTATCATCCAGAAGCTCGGTTTCAACGCCAAGTTCACCGACTTCAAGATCCAGAACATTGTCGGCTCTTGCGACATCAAGTTCCCCATCCGTCTGGAAGGTCTTGCCAGTCGCCATCACACTTTCTCGTCCTACGAGCCTGAACTCTTCCCTGGTCTCATCTACCGCATGATGAAGCCCAAGATTGTCCTGCTCATCTTCGTCAGTGGCAAGATCGTCCTGACAGGAGCCAAGGTCCGTGAAGAAATTTACCAAGCCTTCGAGCTCATCTACCCCGTCTTGTCCGATTTCAGAAAATCCTAGACGTTCATACCCTGGGATGGATGATGATCTGGCCATGGGATGGTCAGACATCATCACTTCTTCCAAACCCCTCAGGCGGATCCCAACCTGAACTATCTCTTCTCCCTTCCACACTACCCTTTGTATTTTGTTTGCGGCATTGCATGGAGTCCTGGCTATTCAGGATTGGGCGGACCTGTTTTCCTGTTTCCCTTATTAAAATCGATTCCCCTTGCACGAATAGAAACTGCACGCCGACGGCAGTGGCCAGGGAGTATTACCTCGATCAAATTAGCTAGCACCCCTGTGCCCACTGCTATGTCCCGGCACGCCTCTAACGAGGATCGTGTCTTCAACATGAGCATCCCTCATCCCGCAATAATAGTCTGAAATATGGTACTGCGGGCTAGGGTTTCTCAACTCATTTGCGGAAAGGTCAGATTTCGGCGATGGTCGAAGATTGTCGCTAGTAGCAATTGAAAATAGTAAAAATCATGACGATGTCCACTATGAGTGATGTGAAGTGTCGTGTCTGTTGTTCGCCGGTCGTGTGTCCTGAAGGAGACAGAGAGACTGAGGTGTGTCAGTGAGACGGTGACTGTAGGAGAGGGAAAGAGGGGAAGAGGACCCGGTGGTCTATTAATTGTACTCACTGTGAAGGGCGAGTCCTAAGCCCTTTCCGCCCTAGCCGTCCCGGGAAGGGTGGGAGGGGGGGTTGGAGTGGGACATACACTTTCGAAACTCCGGCTTTGACACACAAGTGTCCTTCTCTGTCTGTCCTTTGGTCCTCTCAGCCTGCCCTCTATCTCTCTCTGTCTCCAGTAATTATCGTATTTTAAACGAACGAACCGTGTCCCGAATCTGCTTTCATTTATCGATAAATAGATCCCGGGATCCCGTCTCGGTTCGTTCGCCCCAGCCCCAGCCCTTGCCCTTGCCCTTGCCCCAGTGCGCCCCTGTACCTCTTCTTGTGTGAATGGATGGACGCGGTGGCATTTACCCTCCCTCCCATTCAGGGCTTTGGTTGTTGAAAGCGTACAGACGTTTACCGTGACTCGATGGATGGTACGAGTACGTTTTTAGGGGGCAGTGAGATCGAGGGCGAGACCCGAGTGCAGTGTAGGGCGATCGAGGGGGGGTCGGGACTCGGGGAAAGCACAGAGGGTAGGCACGTCGGGTCATACGCCTGCTAGTATCATGTACACTTTACTTTAACCTTTACAAGCTATACTGTAGTAAATAAGTGGCTGTAAACGTATATATTATACCCTTTGTATCTGCTAAAAAACACTAGCAGGTGTACGATCCGACGTGCCTGCCCTCTGTAGGTAAGAAGGGAAATGTGGAGGGAGTGTCAGATGACTTACTTACTGTATTTGTAGTGTACTGTACGGGGGGGGGGGGATACTTTGCAGTCCCTCCCTCGTGTTATGTTGTATGTATGTAGGTCGTGTAGGTAGGTAGGTATATTAATACGGTAATTCCCCTTCGTCTGGGGAAAACGGGGGGAGTTGTACCGTGGAGTTGAGCGGAGGGGAGGGTTATATTGGGGGGTGTGTTTTGATTGAAATGACTTTGTTTTTGATTTGATCCGAGGGGTAGTTGGGAGGGAGGGAGGCTTGAGTATTACTTAGGTAGGTAGGTAGGTAGGTAATTAGGTGGTTAGTTAAGTTGGTTAATCAATATGGATGATAGATGGGGGAGGATGACTGGGCCGGGCGGCCGTGTCCATAATCTCCCTTTGAAGATTGCGGTTCGGGTGTTGTGTGTTTACGAAGCGATGGGGATGGGGTTCTTTGGGTATGTCTGTCGTGTATGTACAAGGCGGATTTGGCAGCCTCGTTCTTCGTCCTTCTGTCTGGTTGTACTTACGGGTTTGGTGGTACAAGGTACGGTTCTCTGTTTGTGACTGACGCCGGTCCCTGTCCTTCGCCATTCACCCAGTCTGCACGGGAGGGAGTGACGAAGTTCGTGCCGAGTGGACCTCCATCTAACGCTTCATCGGAATTGCTGAGGCAAAGAACGATGGATGATTGCGGGCAGATCTGTTGATCCTTGACAATGCCGTGGTTTGGACGGGGGATGGATGGTCGCGTTCTGTCTTGAGTGAATGAAGGGGGTGGGAAAAAAATTGATGACTTTTGTGTACGAAGTAGGGGAAAGAGAGTGAGGTCGTCTGTGTGAGTGTGGCAAATGAGTGTCGCCTGGAGGGCGTTCTGTTGGGAGGAAGGGTTTCTGGTTGTCGGGTCGGGGATGCTGGTGAAAGTGATGTTCGCTTAGGGTCGCGTCTACACATAGTCGGCCTCGAAGGAGCGTTCGAATGTACACAAACCAGTTCAGCCCTACTACCCACCAGCCGGGAGTTTAGTTCAAGTATGGGTCTGGCTCGAAAAGTAATGTCCGGACCCGTTTGTTCGTTCACTCACTCCGCACGCGGGCATTTGTGCGGGTTCGCAAATATCCGATGTATGTTTTATGCGACGGGTGGTGTATGTCCGTATCCTGGACTTGGGACTGGGTGTCTTACTTGCTTTCTGTCTTGCTTTTATGGCTGGCTAATGAAGGTTTTGATATGGATACATTTGTTCTAGCAAGGGGCTCTGTGTGTTTTTGAAGATGAGCTCAGAGTGAAGGGTTGAATTGGTTGGACAGGGCACAGTTGGATGAAGTCCGTTTGAATGATTATCATTATACATACGGACATCTTCATGTCTATCACTACCATTGCACATCAGGAAGAGCGCAGTCTTCCTCCGGAGGCAAGCCACTGTGTAAGTATACAAACAAACATCATCTCACAAATTCAAAGGCATCAACGACATTTCGATCATGACTTTCATTAACATTTCAGTTTGACACTGAGTTTCCATTCTTTTGACAGCGGCTCAGCAATCACACTCTCTTTAACAGTACACTGACGTTATTTTTAATGAAGCTTTTTTCAAGATGAAACTCTCTGCCTCCATTGCCTCCACCGTCCTCCTCCTCACCCCTCTCCTCGCCGGTGCAGCCCCCCTCGCCGCCCCTACCACCGCAGTCGCAGACGTCACCAGCATTGCCGAATATCCCACTATCAGGACCATTTCCACCACGCCCAACGCCCGTAGCATCATCGTCGCTCGTGATCCAAAGAAATGCGACGCACCGGTGCCCGATTCAAGAAATAGGGCGAAACCCCTGGACTACCAAAGTGAGATAAGAAGAATGAAAGATTTTACGGCAGCAGCCCACACTGCGGAGAATCAATGCCGCATCACAGATTTTCCGGCCTACTGAGATTCCAGGAACCCTGTCATAAGGGCTTAGATTCGGACCAGGTGCATGAAAGCATATAAGGAGTAGGGTCACTTCTCTTCTTCTTCTTCTCCTCCATCTAGTCTCTCATCTCTTTTTTTTGTCGAAGAAGCTAACGTTGAGCGATTGTAGATGCGTCGATAACCGCCTTGCGGCCACGCAGGTATGTGTGGACCTGGGTGGGACTCGTGATCCAGGCCATGAATACGCTATCGAGGTTTGCAATTATGAGTGGACGTTGTGGAACAAGGAGGACCCGAATAAGATCAAGAGGCAATGAGCATGCATGGCAGGCCCCCGACCCAACCTTGTTCTTGTTGGTTTTTGCTTTCCTGTACTACTGCTGCTTTGAAATGGCGTAGTTGGAGCCTGAGGATACCGCATCGAATTGGGTTCTGCGACGGGTTATGGAGATATCTTGCTTGGACTGGCTGATTTTGTGGCTGATGGTAGGCTCGAGTTTGATCATCTTAGAGGGTTGTAGTATCTATTTTGTTTATTTCATTCGTAGTAATTTAGACTGTAAGTCCAAGTCTCCTGAGATGACGTAGAGATCGTGCGGTTGGATTCTGCTGGTGATATGTATAGAGTGCCCTTACAAACTAGTTTACAGTTCAGTGACGAACGTTGTGTCTTCCTCTCATGCTACACATGTATAGAAACAGTAGGTTGACAAATATTCAACAGTAGAATAGATCCTTTCATTGTGTCTAGTAGGCTGAATGAAATTGGATAACGAAGCATCTACTTTGCAGCGCTCACAGGGCTCGTCTCTCGCGCCCTCTCCCTCTCCCGATCGATCTCGTTGAACTTCTCCACAACTTGCAAGGTAGCATAATAGCTAAACGGCAACGCAAAGAACCACAGCCCGCAATTGATACTCGCGGTAGCGATGAGTTTCGTTGGCACGGCCTGGACACCGAATCCCACCGCCACGCCCGCAGTCTCGATACCCCTGAGCAGCGAACTATATCTGATCTGATCGCCCGGCGAATCCGACAGGTTACCGATGCACCAGTAGATATAGTTCTCGACCATGCCGAGGGAGATACGCTCGAAGAGATATACGCCGAAGCCGCGACCAAACGACGCCTGGTGGCCCCAATCGAGCGTCGGCTTGGTGCGGTGGTATTCGTTCTGGATGTAGACGGCCCAGATCCAGGTCGCGCTGTTGAGCGCCGCGATGAGGATGAAGGTGGAGACGGCGCGTACCTGTCTGCTCTTGTGCCATGGGAGGTCGACGAGGGAGCCGCCGAGCCAGGTCGCGAGCGTGCCGACTACGGCCGACATGAAGCTTCCCAGGGCTCGGGAGCGGACGGTGAAGTAGGTCGCGAGGTATGTGCCTGGGTACGCTTGGATCCAGCCGAAATACCAGAATAAGGGTGTGAGGAGGAGGATGGATCTGCTCTTGAGGAGACGCCACATCTCCTTGCCCTCGACCTTCCATTGAATCCCACGGGGTGCTGCGATGCGGGTCCCATCGTCGCGGACCACTTTCTCAGGGTTGGAGAGCAGGAGACCGAAGAAGAAACCGAGGCACTGGATAGCGATGAAGCCCCAGTACGTCTGGTAGCCTACTTTCCCGCGCTGGTTGATCTTGTGGTTGATTCCCAGGGAGACTGCACCGCCGATGATGTTGCCAAAGTTGCGGAAGGTGAACCACGTCGCGATGTAGCGACCTCTTTTGTGAGACTCGGGATAACCCGTTGCGATGGCACCCTCTACGCTCCAGAAGAAGCCGGCTGATATACCACATGCCACAGCGCCGACGTAGACGAACCAGGTGGAGCCGAAGCGATTGTTGACATACAGGCCTGCGGCGTATAGGGGGTAACCTAGGGTTCCGATTGCGAGTGTGTACTTGAAGCCGATGATGTTGGTTAACCAGGGCCCCGCGAAACATGTCAGTGTCATGAAGGCGTATAGAATGGCATTCGCAGCGTTGACTAGGTCAGGGGATTGAGAACCGCCTACGCCGAGGCCATTCATAGCACTCCATATCCCAGGCGCGCAGAAGGCACATATTCCTACTACGAGAATCTGGAAGAGGGTTGAGCGGTAGAAACTGATCTTGGTTGGAATGGTGGTAGTTGCAGGTTCAGGGGGAGTTGCTGGTTCGGGGTCGGTGATGCTGGTCGGACTTTTTGATAAGTCCTTTGGTGAAGACATGTTGATAATGGGGTCTATAAGAGATACAATCCAATAATAAGTGAGTTGATGCTAGATTGGCCAAATATCTTTCCTTATTTGATATCCTCGAAAGGGGGCCCTAATGGTTGGTTCGGTCGAGTGCTTGTACTCTGCAGATTCCCGGTGTTAGGGAGACGAGGAATGACGGACGAGTAACAATTGTATATCTTAGACGTTTTTATACTGAAAGAGATCGTTCCGGTCTCGCTCACTGCCTCCTCTGATCCTACGTACGTACATATACAGCTTGCATACATGCGAAGCAAAGCACGCGATGCCACCCCAGCTTGACGATCGTCTCGCCGTGCCCTGGCATCTTGTGTCACCCCATTTTTTCGAATCCCCAAAACCTCGGTTGGAGGTTACCGAGTTATCAACAGCACGTTGACGATCATCCCTCGAAGTTTGCAAGTCGTTGTATGTTTGGTGTGCGTTCGTTGGGTAAGGCTGACGTTGCACAATTTTAGTAGGGATTACAGCATCACTTGGCGGGGTACATGTCGAAGTTGACTGGGCCGATCAATGAATCCTATGGCGATGTTCGGTACATGTGAGGGAGGTGCTTGATTTCCCCACCCTCGTCTGATGGAGGTACGCAGTGGGTATTCTGATAGCAGATGTGTGATATAATAAGTATACTCGCTATACTGTCGTCGAGTCGGTCTGAGCAAAAGTGATCCTCGACAGTCAATTCGAGTACATCAGAATACCATTCATCCGACCTCAACCATGGCAACGACCATAGCACCACCTCCAGCGACCGAGCACTTCACACTCGACACTCCCACCTCAACACCACTCATCTTCGAACCCTTCACCCTCCCCTCCACCAACCAACGCATTCTCGGGCCTCCCCATCCCCCCAACACGGTCACTCCCCTCGCCCTCAAACCCTCCACCCCAACCTCCACACCTCCCACCCTCCCCACCGTCCTCTCCACCATCCGCACCCTCCAAAAATCCCACACCCTCACCCAGAAGCTCTCCCAACACGGCGCCCTCCTCTTCCGCGACCTCCCCATCACCAACGCAACCACCTTCTCTCAATTCGCCCACGCCTTCGGCTTCTCCCCGCACGAAATCATCGGCATCGTCGTAGACCGACCCCTCCTAGCCCCCAACGTCGCGCCCGCGAACGAAGCGCCAAAGGACGTCCTCATATACAACCACAACGAGTCGCCGCAGGTGCCGCACGCACCGGGTTACATCTTCTTCTACGCGCACCGGGCGCCCGAGGTCGGCGGCGAGACGCCGATATCGTCGTCGCTTGAACTGTTCCAGCGCGCGAGGGAGGAGCTGCCGGAGTTTGTGGAGGCGCTTGCGAGTAAGGGGATCAGGAGTCGGGTTACGTATAAGGTGGATAGGCAGTATGAGGGGGGTTCGACGCTAGCGCAGGCGTTTGGGAAGGAGATTGTGGAGGGGGATGATGAGGTGACGAGGAGGGCGAAGATCGAGAGGCAGATTGCGAGGTATGGACGTGGGGAGCATACGACGTGGGAGTGGGAGGATGGCGGCGATACGCTGGTCGTGACGCATCATTTGCCGGCGATTAGGACGCAGCTGGGGACGGGGCTGCCGACGCTGTTCACGGGACTCGCGGCATATTATCATAGGAGTGTTGCTGGGGCGGAGGGCGAGAAGAGGAGGAATGTCACGCAGCAGCTTTATGGGGATGGGACGCCGATTCCGGAGGAGTATATCAAGAAGTTGGCGGAGATTACGGAGGAGATTCGTGTGTTGCATAAGTGGCAGAGAGGCGATGTTTTGGTTTATGACAATGTGATCGCACAGCATGGTCGACAACCTTGGGGTGGAGAGCAGGGAGATCGTGTCGTGCTTGCGAGTCTCTTTGATGGCGAGGAGGTTCCTGGAAGATATGGTAGTGAAGGGAGTTGGGCACAAGTCGTGAAGGCTTTGGATGACTAGCTGGTGGTTATATTGATCAGTTCGAATATAATAGTTCACTCACGTATACATCACATTATTGGCGACACGACGAGCAGTGATGGAAGAAAGAATGTTTGTATTCAACTTAAACAGAAGTTCAAGTGTATAAGAGAATTTGTCTCCTCTGCTGCTCTTCCCTGACTCAATATAAAGCCAACGAAAACGAACCGCAAAGGCACTACCTCCTCGTAAGGCTGTAGCTGATTTTACTCTTGCTTCCCTGTCCACACTCGCCATTCGTGGTGCATAACGTTGTGACGAGCTCTAGCATATTTGGAAGCTAAAGTACATGACCGAAGTCATGCTGTTCTTGACCATCATCTCTTTCCCGCCGGACAGTCCTCTCCAAGATGCATTGCATGAATGGCAGCGGTTACGCCGTTTTACCGAGCGAAACCAGCAATTGAGGACTGGCCAGGGGAACAAGAGAGAGGATAAGAATGAAGCCCCCGGAAACCCACATATGGACAGCCGAAACTGCGAACGCCCCAGAAGCCACTAATGATCAAATGCACAAAGTGCATGTGATGCAAACCCACAGAAACCCACTTGACGATTTTGCACGCAGGAACGTCAAACCTGCTCCATGTTCAACTGCATAAGCGCATAGAAGCGTCTTGGTGGAGGAGAACTTTTCACGAAGGGAAACCGCGAGCGGCGATGGATCAGAGTGCGATCGCCTGTCATCCGTTGATATGCATTTCATCATTTTAGTGAGTCGTGCATTCAGCGATGTTGCTGACATCTAATTTAGGCCATATCGTTGTAAATAGTATTACAGCGTTGCCGTATGTGCCATGTCAGTTACCCGAAGGTGTCTTTTCACTAATGGTTGGATTGTGATGGAGCAGAGGTGAACGAGCCTTCATCGCATGGCGGTGACTAGCCTTGACTACCGAGTGGACTCGGGTGTCATGATGCTCATGCTGGCTGTAACATGCTCGGAGTTACGGTTTATTAATGGCGAGTCGACATCGGACCTTTATTGCTTGCGTCAAGGTCATCGTAGTGATGCTTGTTCCAAGCCGGTCCCAAACTTGCTGGTAACGCAAGCCGGCAAGGAATACCTTCCGCTACGTGAGGTCGAGCGGTCGACTTGCAGTTTTGTAACTATCAGTTGGCAAGATGCCCACTTGATGTTGGGTGGTTTTATAAGATTGGGTGCCTCAAGAGTAAAACCTGCCAAGGGTCTCACGACCTGTCAGAGCCATGAAAATGGCCCAATATCTGTCGGCTTCTTCCACCAAGATCGGTCGCCGCGAATGCCGAAAGCCTTTATTAGGGTCCAGCCTCACGGTTTCCTCTCCTGGTATCGGGGGTTGCCCCCTACTCTCAAGGTCCGCTCTTTTCAATAATAATAGAGATCAGCGGTCGTCTTCGGATCGTCTTGTTTCGAACAGGGCAGCGATTATCTGCCTGCGGTGAGGGTTTTTATTTTCGTCGGACTCCTTGAACAAACTTCGGACTATTTCGTGCCAGGGCAGTCCTTGGAGCTCGTCAGTCGCACGTTGCGATGAACATGTCGACGATAGAGGCTCACGAAACGAGCTGTGGTGGCATTGGAAATATCGACCGATGAGCTTGTCAGTCGTCACGCCGTTGAAGGGGAAAGAACTTTCGAAGGAATACGAAAACGTTTCAGACGCAATGGCGGTGAAGGAACGATTCGATCAAACTAAGTTCTCGTGCTGAAATTAGCCAGGAGCGTGTTACCGACAAACTGGACTGTGGGACGTCTCCCAAAATATGCGGATCATTGTCCTGCTGGAATCATCTGTCACATTGTGAACAGTGAAGAGAAAAAGAGGCGCTGTCCCTCACGAAGTCATCTGTCACTTAGTGATCAGAGCACCGAGGCGCTGTCCCTCATGAAATCTGCCATGATGGTCAGAGTAGAGAAAAAGAGGCGCTGTCCCTTACGAAGTCATCTGTCACTTAGTGATCAGAGCAACGAGGCGCTGTCCCTCATGAAAATACCTGCCACATAGTGGTCAGGGAGAGAAAAAGAGGCGCCGTCCCTCATGAGAGAAGATCATCTGTCACATAGTGAACAGTGAAGAGAAAAGAGGCGCTGTCCCTCAGAAAATATCTGCCACATGGTGGTCAGAAATGAGAAAAAGAGGCGCTATCACTCCTTGAAAGAGTTGCTGTCCCTCGATGAAAGTTTTTTAGGCAGCCCCTACTTCAGGCGACTCCTGTAGGCAATCCCATTTTCAGGTGATTGTTTCGAGGCGAACCCATCGTGAGGCGAACCCTTCATCGGATAGACTCTGCATGAGGCGGACCCTTCACGAGACGAACCCTCTCGGGGTAACCACTGGAACCCCTTAGGCGAACTCTTCAATGAGGCGAACCCTTCATGAGACGACTAATCCGTGAGGCGAACCCTTCGTGTGGTGGACCCTCCATATAGGCATTTTCAGCCAGTGACATTCGATTTCTGGGACATGGCCCGAATCTCAGTCTAGGGAGCAAGCCCGGTTTGAAAAGCATGTTTGAGTGCACAGGTTCCTAGGTCCATAGACCATGTTATGATGACGAATGTGTTGAGTGAGAGAGGTATAATGCGGTAAATGTTGAACGTGGAAAGCGTCAAGTATGGCGAAATGCGAGATGTTCTGAGCGTTGGAGTAAACGGATGGAAAGAAAAACGCGAGTGGTGCTCGAGGTTGCGGTCGTTGCGTGAAAAGTGTTGCAGAGACAAACGTATGCGACTTGGTGAAGAAATCGAAAGCGCGTCGGGTGCTCAAGAACGGAGGAGAAAATGCTGAAACAGACTCGAAAAAAATGTGCGCAATGAAAAATGGTTTCGCTTAGAGAAAGCGAAAACGAAAGCTTTAGAGAAATAGAACGAAGAAATGTGGCGGTGGGGAGGGTTTATATGGGTCCTGAGATTAGTGGGGAGTAGAGAAAAAAAAAGGCTGGAGGTTGGGAATTTGACGACGTCGTGTCACGTGTGTCGCGCTAAGAGTCATATGGCACGTGCTCAAAGCCCGTGCTTCCGCGTCATCGAAAGAGTGATTGTAGGTGGGGGACAAGGTCGCGTGGTCGCGTAGGCATTATTTCGCAAAGCTTCGAGTAAAATGGTATGTTGATCTTGAGTCAAATCGAAGTAGTATGAGATACTGATCGAAATAGCCCCCCAAACGTCGTGCTGCTGCATCTAGCAAGCCAGCGCCCAAGAAGCGCCCATCCAAACTCGCCAAAGAACATGGTTTGACTGCAGAACAAGAGGCTGAGATTCGAGAAGCGTTCGGTCTGTTCGCGGTGAATCACCCAGACCATGAAGACTCAAAGGAGGGTGCGATACGGAGAGACGATGTGCGAAGATGTTTAATGTATTTACCTCTTTCTGATCCGCCATATCGAGAAAACATGGAGTACTGACAAACATCCAGATCTCTGAATCTCGCACCCGACAAATCCGAGCTTCCTGACATCCTCTCGACGATAGACCCGCTGAATACAGGCTTCGTTCCATTTGTTCCTTTCCTTTCGTACGCCGCCATCGCTATGCAATCAAAAGAGGAGGGATCAGATGAAGACATGGGGGACGATGACTATGACGAAGAAAGCAATATGGAGGAGGTCAGGACAGCTTATACTTTGTTCACACATGGCAGTACCGGGCCCATCACGTTAGCACATCTACGGAGGGTCGCGAAAGAGCTAAGGGAGGACATTCCAGACGATGTATTGAAAGACATGATTCGCGAAGCGAACGGAGCACCCCAGGGAAAAGGAAATCCAGGAGGCGTAAACCTTGAAGACTTTGAGAGCGTCATGAAGAGGGCTGGGGTGTCTTTTGGTTAAGGGATCTCAGCTGGCTTGGAAGCGTTGGACGACCGTATAATGGATGATTCCCCGATGTTTAGCATGGAGTTCGGCGTTACGATTTTATATAATGTAAGATAAGAGCATCTCTGAGATCCTCGCATGATCTCACTCGAAAATTATTTGTCCACTGACACTCGTCGAGGCTCCCAGTCCACTACTTCGCTTCCATGACCTCGATGACGGACGGAATACCGTAGCACGCCCCGCACTGGAAGAAGTACGTCCCATCGCAGAATTTGCCTGACCACGCACAATTCTGCGCCGCCCAAATTCCATCATTACCGACCCAGAATCCATTATTCTCCTTGGCGTCAAGAGGGCCCAACCCGAGTATCGTCCTGTTGTACTTATCCTTTTCGATGGTCCAATCGTCGACGACCTGGTACCTATTGTTGCCTTGGTCTGTCAGGATGAAAGCGGCTATGATAGCGTAGTTCACGTCGAGATCGAGATTGTCCTCCGTGTATGCCAGTTTCTTTCCAGTTGCGACATCGGTGAGGGTGTATGTCTGATTGGTGCGGCCAGGGCCGAGCGTGAACGTGAACGGTTGCTGGGCGATTACGTCTTCGCGGAATTGCCAGACGCCTACCTAGAAAGACGTTAGGATGACGGTGGCACCAGGAAGATGTGTTGAGCATACATCTTGCCATGTGCCGTTGCGGCGGAACGGCAAGTCCATCCCTTGGTAAGGTGTACTTCCTGAAGGTCGTGGCTTGGGTCTACGAAGCCGTTAGTGAATGGGCTGGAAAGCTTGTAGGAGACGCACTCTCGAGACCAGAGGTTGTATGTCGTTGGCTTGTCACCGAGGGCACGACCTTGCGCCTGGGTTGTTAACGCAGCCAGGAGCAATGCGCCCAACCCGGAGACAGTTTGAAGCATCATATTTTCACAAAGTGAAGATATCGAACAGAATGAAAATGAAGAATCTACCGAGGGAACAAGACTGTCTACATGGAGGAAAGCACTAGTTTAAATTCCAGAGCCCAAGTTATTTCTACAGGGCTGACATCATCTATGAACAGCTGCAATACTATGATTTCCCCATATATCTACATTAGGGCGTTCGTCTTGGCTCTGGGGAAACCTAGCCTAGATTCTGCAAGTTGGACAGATGGGGAGCTGCACATGGTCATGTTGCTATGGAATGTTAAGGGTAGGTGATCGTGGCATGCGGGGCTTCAATATAAATGATATTCGAAGGATCAGTAATATGTTGCGGCATAGCCGGAGAGCGGACCGGAAGAATTATGTCTTGTCTCAGAACATCCTGGGTATGAGTGGAATGTGGGCAGGGCCGGCGTCGAGAGGTACATCGCGGGGGATGCATTTCCAAATGGGGAGGAGACGAGCGAGATGTTTCTGTGAACATATTCAGGAATTTATAATTATATTCAAAAGCCAGACGAGGCTTCTTATGGTGCATCGTGCTCGAAATTTAGCAGTATTAATTGCGTGTTTGGCGAAGAAATACTATTAGCCATTCCGAGAGAGACATGCCGCATATGGATATAGTATCATACGTACGTACCTACTCATCAGTATCAATCGATGAGTACGACGTGTAGTAATGTAGGGCTTCAATGTGTGTAATACATAGTCACACGAGATAACTCATAGGGATGTACGGAGTATAACTGCCTAATATTGCTCATGACAAGTGATGTCTACTTGTATGTTCATTTACAAGTAGTTCTACTCTGTACTTCGTACAAGTAGACTAGTTATATATTATGAGTATGTCATAATTTCGTTATAGGAGAAAGTGTTAGCAAATACATATGCAGCACCACCAAATAAGGGATGTAATGCCGGCTATGAATAGAAAAACGACTTAGACCAGATAAATGTTGCATTAATTCATGATTAGTACGTACCACTAAAAAAGTCTCCTCCATCCTCCGTCTTCCGCCCTCCGCCTGTCATAAGGCAGGAAATCGTTAATAAGGTACCTTTGTAGGAATAGCCTTACCAACAGCCTACAGGTAGGGAAGAGCCAAGAAATCAGGGACAGTCCGAAAAGAACACGACGCGAGTGCAACCGACAAAGGGGGCGAACACGGATTCGCGACTGCAACCAACACAGAAAATACATTTTGGTTAACAAATCCCTTGGCTTGATTCACTCTTTAGTGTTACAGTTACTCATTCATTCACTGGCAACCAGCAACTTGTGTACGTATCTACTAATTACCTAACTGTGGTTTAACATTACTCAATTCCCCCCTGCCCTGCAACTTTTTACTAAGTAAATTTATCGTCCATCTTACCCCCTCCTCCTCTCCTCCGTCTCTCCTCCTCCATACTTTAACTACCACTTAGTTCCCTACAAGAACTACCATTCGCCAGTCGCTACCCCCTCGTATCTCCTAAAATAAACTAAAGCTAACATCAACAACTCCCTACCAGTCCCCCATGCTCTTTCTGTCTCCTTAAACTCCCCTCCCCCATATGTCAAGCGGTGTTGACGTCCGACGACGTCCCGGAATCTGGTCCTATTTCAGCTTCAATAGCGGCCCTCGAAGACGCACCTCCGTTTCTCTCCCTCGAGTCAACACAAACAACTCTGACGACGACCCTTTCGAAAAGCCCGATCGTCATCGCCGTACAAATTCCGCAGGCTTCATGACGGACTACAAGGGAGGCGTAATGAATCAGGGACAGCGCATGCGTTACCTCAAGACGGGTGGCATAATTGCATTCGTCTTGCTCATATTATACTTTGTCGCTCCCCATGATGCGATAGCGAGAGGTGAGGATTGGTATCTACAAGCGACCGGATGCATTTCTAAACAAAAGTACAGTTCCATCTCCCGGCGGAGGAGGCAAGGGCCAGACCGCCGCTGAAGGTGCCGAAACCTCGAAATGCGAGAGGTCGTACTCCAAGGAGAAGCCACTCATCCAGTACGCTCTCATGATCGATGCCGGCAGCACAGGCTCTCGTATCCACGTCTACAAGTTCAACAACTGCGGACCTACTCCAGAGCTCGAGAGCGAGGTTTTCGAAATGACCGCCAAGAAGGAGGGTGGATCTGGTCTTTCGTCGTACAAGGCAGATGCTGAGGGCGCAGCGCAGAGCTTGGATGTCCTCATGGAAGTTGCTGTGAAGAACGTTCCACCCGCATACCAGGGATGCACGCCTGTTGCCGTCAAGGCAACGGCAGGTCTCCGCAAGCTCGGTGAGGCAATGAGCGATGCAATCTTGAAGGCTGTCCGCAACCGTCTTGAGACCAAGTTCCCCTTCCCAGTCGTTGCTGAGGAGAAGGGCGGTGTCCAGGTCATGGACGGCAAGGACGAGGGTGTTTATGCCTGGATCACTGCCAACTACCTTTTGGGCAAGATTGGTGGCCCCGACAAGTCTCCCACTGCTGCTGTGCTCGATCTTGGTGGTGGTTCCACCCAAATCGTCTTCGAGCCTACCTTCAAGGATAGCCCGCACGGAGGCATGCCCGAAAAGCTCGCTCCGGGAGACCACAAGTACGAACTTGACTTTGGCGGTCGCCATTTTGAGCTCTACCAGCACTCCTACCTCGGCTACGGTCTCATGGAAGCCCGCAACAACCTCCACGTTGCCGTCCTTAACAGCGTCTACGAGCAGAACAAGGCCTCTGAATCCAAGGCTTGGCTCGAGAAGCCCATCGTCAACCCATGCATCGCTCCCCGCATGAGCAAGGAGGTGCAAGTGATGCTCCCCCAGGGCCATATCCTGGGCGCCTCTGTCTCCGTCAACATGACTGGGCCCGCCGAGGGTTCGCCCGCTCTCTGCCGCTCTTTCGCCGAGAAGACTCTCGAGAAGGATGCCGAGTGCAAGCTCGCTCCCTGTGCTTTCCGCGGTGTCCACCAGCCGTCTTTCGAGAAGACCTTCGCTCGCGAGGACGTCTACCTCTTCTCCTACTTCTACGACCGTACACAGCCCCTCGGCATGCCCGAGTCCTTCTCCCTCGACGAGCTCAAGGACCTCACCAACCGCGTCTGCCACGGCGAGGGAGCATGGGACGTGTTCGAGAGCGTTCCCGATGCCATGACCGAGCTCAGGGACCGCCCCGAGTGGTGCTTGGATCTCAACTTCCAGCTCGCTCTCCTCCACACCGGTTACGAGATGCCCATCAACCGTGAAGTCAAGATCGCAAAGAAGATCAAGGGCAACGAGTTGGGTTGGTGCTTAGGCGCTAGGTATGTTTATACGCTTGTCCCTTATCTCACTCATTTGATCCTCAAACTAACACATCCTCCAGTCTCCCTCTCCTCAGCCAAGAATCAGGCTGGAAGTGCAAGGTCCGGGAAGTCCAATAAATCTTCTCGCCCAAACAAAATAGACATGTTTCACTTCTTTTTCCGCCTGGCCTTTTGTTCCTATAAACCACTTCGCTGTTTCCCTGGTGCCACATTACCCATTTTGTAATACCCCATTCAAAACTCCCACCACTTATTTCCACGACACGAGTGAGGGGCGGCGCCATCGGATCACCAGCTCAAACCAAACGAACGAAAATTCCACACACTCTGCATCGGCTCGGCGTTCTTTTTTCCTCAACTTCTTTTATCTCCTGTCACAGAAGCATACAAATAAATGACCTCCCTTTTTACACTTTCTCCTACCCCCTTTTTACACTCTTCTTGATCTTCAAACACGACATTGTGTATTATGTAAGAGCTTGGACGGACACGGACATGAGTCTTTCTTCTTCTTCGACACCCTTTTCTTTTAGGGGATTTGATAGATAGGATTTTATGGTTGTAGGGGCACGTGAGGAACGTGGCTTCTGAGGAGGAGGGGTTGAATAGTTGGAGAATTGGAGGAGACAATGCATGACAAGAATTGACACTCAAATCCAAAGAGCACATTATTCGTTTTGATATATGTGATGTCGATGCCCTGACTGTAACTAATTGTATATTATCATCCTTGATAATTCAAGAATATACACAACCCTGACATCTAAGTACGTCACAAAACAAACAAGCCACGAATTCGGAAGAAATCTTTCACCATACCATCCTACACACTCATACGCTTTTAGGTCTAGAAAAATGATACTCGGTCTTTCCTTACAGCTTTGTTATACGCATTGAAATTCACTCACTGCACACACCATCCATTTCAAGCTCAAACCTCAACACCAACGCCGCAACCGCGATCCCCACCTCTACTCCAGATTCCGACCAATACACGAGCTAGGGCCCGAGACTGAACGGAACGAGGCTGTAGGTCAACACCGTGGCTGGCCAGTGGGGAATATGAATCTAGTTCGCAATCGATCGTACGCCAGTTTCCGGTGCCCGTATCACTAGGCCAGATCCTAGAAGATGGGGATACCAAAGATAGATAGAAGTCTAAGCACGGTTGATGAAGACCGGGTTAGGGATGAAAGGTTATCTTGATCTACATTCTGGATCCACGTGTTGTATGTAGGCTCCTGTTTAGGATTAGTGCTAAGCCAGGATTCTTGTGAATTGCATAGAGCTGCGCAACAATATAAGCTCAGCTACACTGCCCCACTAACTCTATGTGCTGCTCTATAACGCTTTCCTCTGCTTTGCATGACTACAGCTCTTTGGCCGTCTGTTTGTCTATGTTTTACCTGCATGTATGCAGTCTATGTCTTTTATTATAACTAGCTTGTCCTTCTTTCATCATGCGGTTATTGCGGATTGAACATGACGGTAACTTCAGTCTGGTGGAATACGTAGGCAACAGCATCCCACCCTACGCGATTCTTTCTCACACCTGGGGGGCTGATGGTGACGAGGTCACCTTTTAAGATATTATCAATGATACCGGCAGATCAAAAAAAGGCATCAAGAAGATTCAGTTCTGTGGCGAGGAAGCTGCTAAAGACGGCTTGGGCTACTTCTGGGTGGATACATGCTGCATTGACAAGTCAAGCAGCGCAGAGCTCCAGGAAGCTATCAACTCAATGTTCCAGTGGTACGCTAAGGCTACGCAATGCTACGTATACTTAGAAGATGTTTCGACCGGTGGCTTGGCCCAAAGCGATCTATCCTCTCAGCAGACATGGAAACTAATGTTCCAAAAGAGCAGATGGTTTACTCGATCCTGGTCACTACAAGAGCTACTTGCTCCAAAATCAGTTGAATTCTTTTCTGGAGAGGGCCTACTGCTTGGGAATAGGATTTCACTTATGCAAGAGATTCATGACACTACAGGAATTGCTATTGAAGCTCTTCAAGGAAGCCCTCTATCTAACTTTAGCATTGCGGAGAGGTTTTCATGGGCAAGAAAACGCACGACAAAACGTGAAGAGGATCTAGCCTATGCTCTGTTAGGCATTTTCGGCGTCTATATGCCGATCATATATGGAGAAGGACGGGAAAATGCGTTCAAGCGGCTCCGGACGGAGATACAGAGATCTATGAACTGGAGCAAAGGTCCCGCGGAATTTGAAGATTGGGAAGATGAAGTCGATTTCACAATAGATCGCGAAATGCCTGAAGACCCATTCGCGATCCCAACAAGCAAGTCTAGTGTAAATCTAAAAGAGGTAAGTTACTCTAGATTCTAAGACAAAATTTCATTATCTAAAATTATGTATACTAACAAGTTATTAAAGCCTTCTGCTCGATACTGTACGGGCGATGAAGTGCGCATGTTTCAAATTGGTAAGGGCTACTCTATTATAAGCAGGTATACAATCTGCAAGGCCCGATTGCACTTCTCGAAGGCATTTTACGAGTACCAACTGCTTGATGCACAAAAGCAGTTATACAAGAAGGGGGAATGGGTCCGAGAGAAAGTTCTCAAAAAAGGCGATCTCACAAAAAAGCTCTATATACATGAAGATATTCCAGCGGACAATCATCACATTGCTAGCATCGACAGAGTCAAGACTGAGATTGACGAAATACTGGACACAGATTCTGATGCTGGGACTGACATTGCGAGTATATTTTCAGATGGGGGAATATCGACCTCGTCAGCGTCGACGGCTAGCCTGAACCCAGTCCAGACCATCGGAATCCGGGAGGTTTCTCGAGCACTGTTGAGTCAAGAGGACTTGAAAACCTTATACACTTTGGCGGTTCTCAACGTCGAAAGACGGAAGGCACGTGTCCATATTCGGGGCTTTATCAAGGAATATGGTCGGAATCTTCTGAAGGAGGCATCGAACAGAATTCTTGAAGTTCAAGCCGCCAAGTTTGTACAGGAGCTCGCGGGACGTATAGCTGATGAAATCATTTGGACCATCGCCGGGTTTGAGGAAACGAACCGGTCGCCGGACCCTAGATTGGGGAAGAAGGACCTGGAAACATGGTTGTCGTCGCTTCAGCCTCAAAGCGTTGACGCAAAGGAGCCGAATCCAATAGGTCTAGCCGAAAGTGCTGACGAGACGTTTGAAGAAAGTGAATCTGACGAGGAGCTCAATGACGGCCTCCTGTTTCCAAATATTGACAAAGTCAAAGATTTTCTCTTAGATTCTGAGGCTTTTAGAATTCATGTTACGGCGATGCGGACTTGGTTGAAAGTTGATGGAGACCATAGCAGAGACACCAAGAAACCAGCGGAAAAAATGCCGGTCCACACAGACACTGAAGAAGAGACTGAGGAAGAGACTCAAGAAGAGACTGAAGAAGAGGCTGAAGTAGAGACTGAACAAACACTCGCGGACTTAGCTGCATCTGAGCCAGGCCAACAACAGACAGAACATGGCGTGAAACTACCTGCTGAGCTTAGAACCTACCTACAGCAGGATATGGCACAAGAGCCGAAATCGAAATCGAGAGCTCGCCAAAATCGTGGCAGTTATAGGGACTTGATTTCCGGTCTCTTGGACTTCTGGGGCGTTTCTTTCTTCTTCTATGATCTTGTCGAAATTCTTGTTCCTCGCGTTCGGCCGGGATATAGGAGACTCCGGTGGCGTTGCGTAAGTCTCGGTGTTCCCCATTACTCCTTGAAGTTGCTAGGCTTGCTGACTGCCCAAGTCCTGCAACACCGTTCTTTGGGGAGACTTCCCCGTCGATGACGACGACGATCAAGCCTTGGATCAGTTGAAGCGAGAATTATCGTGGTGGGGTGGGCCTTTCAGTCAACAAGCCTCTTCAGGCGGTGCATTGACGTCTCCACCGATCGCAGGCTCAGCTACAGGTGTCCCTGAAACCACTCATCTCGGGCATACGCAATCCATGGGTCCGTCTCCGGGCCTTGGAGGCATGCAATCCGCTAGCTCTAGCAGTCAAAAGCCCATAGGTACTTCAAATCCTTCACTCTCTGGGGCGTCTTATATAGTAGATATAGCTTTTCCACCTAGATACTTCGAGGTTTGCGTAAACATTGGCAACTACGCTATCGATCACCACGAAATTGATATCTCACGTGTAAATTCGGACAGCGAGCTGTTCGAGTTGATTTGGGATAAGTACAAAGTGAGCCGCGGCATTAGACTGCGGCGACTCTTCCTTCGGCCCCGGGACGTCCATTTTGTTATGGTAGGTGCTCCACCGCTGCTCCCTGCCCACCCACTATCTGCTAAGAACATTGTAGTTTTCTGTCAGCCGGGATACACAGTATGGGGCCGGAATTCACAAGAAGCCTGATGAGTTTCCACCTCAACAAGAGCTTGATAAGAAGCGTTACGACTATCTGTGTCCTATAACCAGAATGCCGGCCAACGTCTTTCTTCATTATTTACACCGAGCGAGATGGAACGTATGGGGAGAGCATACCCAGAACACTTGGCTTCGGCGTCTGCCTAAGAAGCTGAATGAGAGTGTACTAGCTGAGGTGTCGCAGGATCTCGCAACTAATCAGCAGAATGGCCAGGAGGCAACAATGGACTCAGACCTTTCATTCGGGTGGGGAATCCACATTCTCGATGGACCCAATCATGCTGTGCTCGGTTTTTTACTAGCTATCGGAGTCGCCGTTGCGTTTGTCGTTTCTGGGATGGTCGTGGGGCTTGCGAAAACGCAAGAGCAAGGCTTCGGGGTTGGAAGTTTCCTTCTTGCAATCTTTGTCTGCGTAACGGCTGCTTTGTATCACAAACTTCAAGACCAGTGAAAGAGGACTACGACAGAATCTACGGTTAGTTAGATTGTTAATCGAACCGAGCCGTATCGGTGGTAACTGGATAGATCACTCCCACATATCTCGGGATGTTTCTGCCAACACACTCTACTATGCTGAACAAGACGCATAAGGAGAGGACTGTCAGCAAGTTTTAGGTAAGACAATTATGGGAATAGGGATCCAGAAAGACACTCATGGCACACAGTTCGGGCAGGAAAGAAACCATCCATTTACACATCGTCCCTACGGATTTCACTCCTCGCTTTGCAGACATACAAGAGAATCAGGCTTTCCGATCGCAGCAGGAGCTTGAACGACGGCGAAGCGACGCTCGACAGATCCAGAAGATCCTCCGAAAGGTAACTGTTGGTCAGAGCCAGATGACCGGGAGTAGTTCGAGCGCCCTCGAAGAAGCATTGACTGCTTAGAGGGAGGCACTTCCGGCGACCTTCAAGCCTTGGTTTTAGAATCATCCCTGACCCAAGCTTTTTCTACGGCCAGGTGTCTGAATATATGGCATGGTGAACACGAATATGTATCGCTATAGCTATTTGTTATGCAGTGTGCTCACACCTGCGTCCGTTCAGCCCTAGACTGGCAGCAGTACTACGCCGCGAAGATAATGCTCGCGGTTTACCGCAAGAAGTATAGTACCAGCGAGCCATGCTATCGCATCGACGAACACATGAATGTGAGTGTTTCCAACCCATCACTTTGCTCAGGGGAGACTACTGTATTGACACGAGCATCCGTATCTACGACAGTCCAATGTCCTGGCGCCAACCAGAGTCGTCGGCGGCTTCGTGCTTTCGGAATTGGATGTTGGTCGCGGCATCAATGGTCTGTATTTGGTTACCTGGCGCGGTGAGCAGAATCAGTTGCTCGACCGGCTTGCTGGGTTCATAGATATGATCAAGTGGCTGAACAAAATGAGCGCAAATAGATTGAGGAGGTCATGGCATCCCAATGGGGAAGAAAATGAAGAGGGTCGAAGGTTGATGCCACCTCTTTAGAAGTTGTTTTTCCTCCGCATAACAGTATGAATCGTCGCCGCTGATGTCCATTGGCATGCATCATCCATTGATACCCAAGATAACTCACCAAAATTTAAGCTCCCGAGGTAAATAAACACAACATGCAAAAAAAAACATTCGACTCCCGCCATAGTTTATTGAAGTTCATCAAAAATCCGCCCTGCCCCTGTCAACAAAACGATCCGGATTACCCAATTAGGGTATAAATCGACTCGGGACCATCCTTGGTTCCTAACAACTACCTTCGTAGTTTCTTGCCGGCTCTGGAGAAGGTTTACCGAGAGCGCTCTAGACCAGGTTTTGACTCTTGGTTACGGACGAAGTCCCAAGCGACTAGCGACGACGCTTATTGGGTGTTGCAGAGGACTTAGGGAATTCCTTTGTGTTTGTGCATGTGCTGATTCGCATGGAAAGACTAGTTTAAGGTATTGTGCGTTTTTTCTGCGGTTCCGAAATCGAACGATGGGTGTATGCAACGTGCAAGTCGCGTGTGTGGCGGCGTATGGGATGACGTTCGAACGTTCGAAGCCATGATGAATGTTCTTCCGCCATTCCTCAAAGTTCGATAGGCTTGTCGACCTCTACGCCCCCTTAGCGAGGCTTCGACTCAGTTCCCTGGAACTCTCACCCATCGAATGACTTGCACAAACCCAAACATCGTCGACAAGTTCTGCAGCAGGAAAGGCGTCTTGACCTGTGTTCCCCCATCAAGTTTTACAGTACTATCGGGGATTAATCTGAGCGTGCCCAGCTGCGTCCGGTAGGTCTGCCCGAGGGCGAAACGATGATCTCTTTCCAAATCGTACTAACGATGACGGAGTGTTGTGGGGACCCCGGATTCCACGAAGGACGCTAGCTTGTGAGGCTACTACAACCTTGCGCTGCCATGGCCATGGCACACACCGCAACGCGTGAGAAAGACGTTGGATGGCATGTCGTCGTCGTCGTCGGCCAAGGATATCGACATACCCAAACGGGTATACCTTAAAATTCCCAGGACCCGACTTCAGGTGCTGGCGATCGTATATAAGATGGATGGGTCTGCTGCCATCGAAAGGGATCTACACTTCTGCAGTGGGAAGCACTTTGTTGAAGATAATATTGGTGTCGAGAAGCTCTTGCATATGTTATATTCATACTGCTGTTGACTACTGCTATCGATCAATTTGTCGAATCGTCACCCTTTTGAAACGTCAATATGGGTAGATATTGGTTCAAAGATGGCGCACCTCTGCGTGGAGGAATCGCCAGCGTCTGTCTTGCTGCTTTCCTCTTCTTTGGATACGACCAAGGTGTCTTAGGTGGAATTCTACAGGTTCGTTGATTTCAGAGCCATTGAATCAACCCTTCGTCGTTTACTGACACAACTTGGCAGATGGAAGACTTCAAAAATCAGTTCAACCACCCGGTAAGGAGCGAGCATGTTTCCAACCGTGGAACTTCTCGATTGATTGATTATATCTCAGAATGATACTGAAACCGGCGCTATCGTGTCTGCATACTGTCTCGGTGCTTTGGGCGGATGCATTCTCAACTTTTACACTGGTGATCGCCTTGGACGACGGAAGTCGATGTGGCTTGCAATGGTAACGACTACATTTCCCCGTCTTCCCCTTGGCATCACATAACTAACACACCTTTCCAGTCATTCGTCTTCGTCGGCGCAACCCTCCAAGCATCAGCGTTCACAGTAGCACATCTCGTCGTCGGCCGAGTCATCACAGGACTGGGCACTGGCATTGATAGCTCCACGGTTCCCACCTACCAATCCGAACTCTGCCGGGCGGAAAAGCGAGGTCGCAAAGTATCCTGGGAAGTCATGTTCATCGGCGTCGGTATCGTGCTTTCGTACTGGATGGACTTTGGCTTTTCGTATCTCTCGGGGTCGATTGCGTGGAGGTTCCCGATCGCATTCCAGCTCGTCTTTGCCATCATCGTCACTGCTCTCATCTTCGGTCTTCCTGAATCGCCACGGTAGAATTACCCCCTTCTTTTCATACATTTGAATATTTTACATACTGACAACATCCGAACAGATGGCTCTTCAAGCGCGGCCGCCGCGCCGAAGCCATCGAAGTCCTCTGCGCCGTCTTCGACCTCCCAGAGAGCGACCCCTACATCCAAGGCGAGATCCGCGCCATCGAAAACGCCCTCGACACCGAATCCAACGTCAAGAGCAACCGCGCTCTCTTCAAGAAAGACCGCCTCCAGACCCGCCGCCGCGTCATGCTCGCCTACTTCGCCCTCCTCATGAACCAACTGGTACCTCCACCCACCCCCTCTCACACTCTCCCCCATCCATCCACCCATCCACTAACACCCAACCCTCCCCCCATAGGTCGGCCCCAACCTAATCGTCTACTACATCCCAACAATCCTGACCCAAAACGTCGGCCTCGACGCCCGCACCGCGCAGATCGTCGGCGGCTGCGTACAAATCATGTTCGTGATCGGGTGCTTCGCACCCGCCCTCGCCCTCGACCGCATGGGCCGCCGTCCCACCATGCTCTGGGGCTGCCTCGGCCTCGGAATCTGCATGGTGTGCGCCGCTGGGCTCCTCCAGCCCGGCCACACTACCACTTCCTCCGCCGCAATCGCATTCTTCTTCCTCTGGATGCTTATTTTCGGCGGGACGAGTACGTTTTCCATCCACCCCCCCTTCCCCCTTCTCTCCTGGATGGACAAATTGCTAACGCGAAGGTGAACGATAGTCAACGTCGTCCCCTGGGTCTACGGCCCAGAAATCCTGCCCCTGGAAGCTCGCGCCAGGGGGGTATCCATCTCCGTCGCCGCGCACTGGATGTGGAATTTCTTCGTCGTAATGATCTCCCCGATCCTCGTCAACCGCCTGCGCTGGGGCACGTATCTGCTCTTCGGGGGTCTGTCGTTCGTGTTTGTGGGGGTCGTGTGGAAGTGGTATCCTGAGACGAGTAATTATACGTTGGAGGAGATTGATTCGATTTTCTTGAAGGATGAAGGGGTTGAGGGCGCGAGGCGGAGGAGGATGAGTGCGACTTCTGCGGCACATGCACACGGTTACGAGGGTGGTGAGAAGGACGGAGCGGCGTTCTCGTCGACGGATGAGGAGGGCAAGGGGGAGAAAGTTCACGTCGAGAGGCGGAGTTCGTAGAACATCGAGGTCTTATGTACATATCTGCGGAACTTGGGAGAGAATGGAAAAGAAAAGAAAGAAATGCAGAGGAGGGGATGAGGATGAGCAGGGAGAAGTAGATACGTAATCTTACAGTGAAATGACTATTGTTAAAGACAAAAGAGTTTGACGCCTTAGTGTTGAGTGATGGCTGAGTGATGTTTAGGTTGAATTATCAAGTACGAGTATACAACCGTACGTACGATTGTCGAATGGAAGGCCGTGGTATCGAAGAGACATCAATAGGAAGAGTGATATGATATAGATATATTGTATTTCAGTGTAGTAGTACCTCGTAGTTTGTTTTCTATGATAGGGTTCTTGAAAGGGGGTGGGTATCAAATGAACAGTATAATTACGACCAGACAGGCAGTAGGACAGCGAGACGAAACGAACAGCAAGATAGGACGATCGACCGAAAAGCCCCCCATTGTCTTCAAAACGACCCGCCAATCTGACCCTTCATATTCTTCGCGTACAATGTCTGCTTCTTCTTCATCCTGCTGTGCCCACGCGGCGCACCACGACCACCTCCATCCCCACCACTTCCATTGACGCCCCCCTGCTGCGGCATCGCCATCGCCATCGACACCGCCAACCCGCCCGCAACCCCCTTCCTCGTCTCGTACATGGGCCGCGACCTGCGCTTCGCCTTGCTGAGCTGCCACCGTCCCTTCCACCGGCGCCACTCCCTGCCGATCCTAAAGCTCAGGAGGATGAGGATGGTGACGACCATGACGGGGGCGGCGATGATCCAGAAGAAGCCGTCCGAGTGGTCCGTGACGCCGGAGAAGCGGGCGAAGTTCTGGCCGAAGTAGCCGACGAGGAAGGTCAGGGGCAGGAAGAAGATGGTGACGGCCGTGAGGACTTTCATGGTTTCGTTTTGGTAGGCGCCCATCGTGTTGAAGATTAGGTCGATGAGGTTGTCGGCGGCGCGCCGCATTTGCTCGAGGGAGGCAGTGATCATGATGCAGTGGTCTTCGACGTCGCCGAGGTAGGTGTGGGCGAGTGGGGAGATGGCGATGGAGGAGATGGTGCGGCGGGTGGGCAGGCCGTTGTGGCCTGGGGTGGTGACGGGCTCGGAGCGGTGGTCGCGGAGGGCGTTGATGAGGGAGATGATGGGTTGGATGGTGTTGCGGAGGAGGGAGATTTCCGATGTGAGGATGTAGAGGGCCTGGGAGTGCCAGATGTCAGGGTCACGAAGGACGTCGAGTTCCAGCTCGCCCATTGCGTCTTCGTAGGCTGCGACGACGGGGATGGCGAGATCGATGATGGCGTCGAGGATGGCTTGCACGACCATGCTGCCATCACAGCTGCGGCGGAGGATGGTGTCTTCAAGGTTCAGGCGGTAGAGCATCGGTGCCTCGATCTCCCCGCCAGAGTCCTCGAAGAACGAGATCACCGTGTTGTCTGCACATATGAATATGCATACTTGCTCGACGTTGACGGCCAATTTCCTCTTCGCCAGCGCCGAATGCTGTTCCATGTACAGGATCCGGTCCTGGTTGGGGCCTCCACGGTACCGCTGAAGGGTGCGGAACGTGTCTGGCGGAGTGGCGTCATGGCGCGTCCGACCAGCGATTCTGGGATCAAAGATTTTCTCTGGTGCCGGGCAAGTCCGCTCCACGTCTTTGTGGATTGAGGGTCCTTGGTTGATACCAAAGATCTCTTTGACACGTGCGACGAAAGATCTAGACTTTTCCTTCTTTCGGTCGGAGCGTCTTGGCCATCTTGGCTTCTCATCGTCGTCGTCGGAATCAGAATCAGAGTCGCTGCTCTCAGAATCAGAGTCACTTGGAACTCTCACCAATTTGGATAGAGTCAGAAGTACTGTTATGTTGTTAGTTGTGTTCTATAAAGTGTTGTATCAAGTTATTCGGCGGGCCGATTGCCGGATCCGTAGGTTGTGCAAAAGGGGAAAACCATGTGGAGAACACTTCGACTTACAGAAAGCTTGATCCGAGTACCAGTCTGCTTTTGTGCGGCCCCGCGTATTCATCAGATCCTCAATGGCGAGGCGATGTAGTTTCTTGTGGTTTCCAAGTGCCTTGATGACGTCCCAACTAAGGCCGTTCACATTGATCCATCTGCACATTGCCCACGACTCCTTGGGCCGGGAGAGGAACTCGTCGAGCGTTGTGTTGTTCAGCGAGTGAGACTCGACTCTCTCGTCGGAGAAGTCCACGACCGTGATGTCGCATTCCCTGTGCAATGTGTGATGCACCTCGACTTCCTTTGTGGTATCTACACCTGGCTCTGCGCCTGGTTCCTCCCATGTCGGCCGCGTGGGCGACGCATAGTTTCTGATGGTGTTCGATCGCGTGGGCCGTCTTCGGAGACCCGAATCTCCAGAATTGACGGAGCGAATGGAGCGAATGGGCGAGAGAAGGGAACCGACGTCTGGGAAAGGAGCTGTGGATGTGTTCGAGGTTCCACTCCGCTTGCGAGAGTGTGTGTTGTCGGAGGTGTCGAGTCGAAGCGGTTCGCGGTCAGGTCCAAAGCGCAAATGCGGCGAGGAAGGGGGGTTTTGAGCCTGTGTTTGTTGACCCTCGGTGGATGCTACGTCGGGCACTTTTGGGTCTGTTGGCGAAGTCATCGTGAGAGATTGTGCGTGCCACGACGACGACGACGACGACGGCGCAGACGTAGGTAGGAATGGGGGTGTTCGGGGGTCGTGGTCGGCGCTACACGTCGAGGCCTGTGTATTTTGCGGTGGAATTGTTTTGTAGCAATGACGTTATTTCGCCGAAGCATCTACACCACCCGAAACATAGAGCGCGTTCGCAATTAACACGTCCCTCTGGCGATCATGAACGGGCAAAGGGTGAGCGTGTAGATAAGGTTGAGGAGCCATTGCGGCGATCTGAGACCTGGAGATGGTATTACATTCTCGCACGGTGTGGCTGGTGTACTTTTTTTTCAGCTGGCCAGCTGTATACCCATATGCAGGAGACGGGACGAAAAGGGCATGTGCACTAAATCAAACATTGGTGGATGGTCAAATAAAGGAGAGGACTGTTTCAGCCGTCCACAGCTAGCAATTGTAAATAAAGACGCACAGGTTGAAGTCAGGAGTAATTGGCATGATAGATAAATCTGAGGGGAGAGTATGGAGTAGTCGACTCTTTGTTGTTTGTATTGTATGCATTCTTGTTCAAGTGAGTAGTAAGACGGCGCGTGGTAACTATAGGTAGTCTCACTCTTAGGATACTCATATGGAGTGGATAAAATGAGCAGTCCTTTCCCTCTCCACTCCACCCCTCAAGGACTCATCTCCTCCGTCTCCTCCTTTCCTCCCTCCCTCCCTCCCGAGCTTGTCCCCTCTGAAGTCGAGAAAAGAGGGGCCGCCAACTGGCAGCGCATACATTGCATGGCGACGCATGAAGATGGCGCACCAATAGCGCCATATAGATAACGTGTTAGTTACACACAGGTAATCATACCTCGTACTCGTAGAAAAGACAATGAACAGGAAACACCACACGGAAGCAGAATGCATCCATCCGCGTATGGGAACAACATGATATCAAATCGTTCGTTTGCCGGATCAGCAAACATGATCTACAAGTTCATTTTTCTTCATGATTACCAATTGGTGATGAAAGGCCATCACGAGTGATTACTCGTGTTAGTTACAGAGTGAGAAGTGTTAGTTAACCGTCTCGGGGACTATGCCCAGGGCCGAGGAGATGCCGAGTAGAGTTTCCTCACTGTGCAACCGCATGAACCTTGGCCGTTGAGGATCGACATGGAGAACCGAACATGGACATTGTTGACGCCAAAACATGGAGTAATGTACATACACAGTAAGCAGATGATCATACCAGATGATCGGAAGAGTGCGTGTGCGGATTGTGACTTTCGGACACGGCGATGTGATTATTATTGCTTTGCAGCACGGTGTCTGTCCTACGAGTACCTGTATGTCGAGGATCTCCAGAATAGGCTACATTATTGGGCGGCACGACAGGGTTTCATCCGAGTGACACAGTACCATAATAGCATGATTCCTCGATAATGTGCACGACACGACACTGCGCTACTCTGCGCCATACTTAGAATGCACGAGTAGTGCAGCCTGTGCTACGACACTGGTGGTCATAGAGGAGTGCCAGCAGGTGTAGACGAATTTAGGGCCTGTCGCAGCAGCAGTAGCAGCAGTAACAGTCGCAGCACCAGCACCAGCGGTAATTAGTGGCCCCCTTTGGAGACGGCTTGGTTGAGTGGACGGGCCTGGTATTGTAACATCTGATGTTGGATCGTTTATGCTTGGGGCTGTCGGAAGTAAAGAATCCCTCGAGAGGGGGAACTAGGCTAGACGCCACCAAAGGGAATAATGGGAAAAAGGGCCCCAGCGTCTTCCAGCGGAGAGCGCATTCTGGGTTTGTTACAGACAGAGACAGGACAAGCCAGGACAAGACAAAGCTAGGGTGCGGTGTCTTAGGTAGACTCTTAGGCGGGCGGACAGGATGAGTAAGTGGCGGCGGAGTGGAGGTCGCATGCAAAAGAGGACAAAAAGAGACGAAGAAAAAGGAAGCAAAGAAGAAAATTTCAGTCGTGCTAGGCGAAGAAAGAGTGTGTTGAACAGTTCATACAGCCATATTGTACGAAGTAGAATGACTTGCTCTACCCTGACTGGCTGGCTCCGTGTTAGTGGTGAAGATTCTGAGGATTATTGATGAGGAGGAGGAAGGTTGCAGGCTGGCCATGTCCGTCCGACGACGCCACACAACGCGTGATGTGTATGTATGGTCCGTTATTTCGGGACCAGAATCCAGAATCCAGAATCCCACCAGGCGGAGTGGAGGTTATGGATATGCACGTTGGTTCTATTTCTTTCAGTCTGTTCTTTGATTCCCTTTCCCTTTCAGTTTGATTCCACCATCCATCGGATGCGGATACGACATGAAGAAGTTGGAGTCGTCAATTAGTGACAACAAGTACGAGCGGATATGTCACTGCAAGGATGAGGAGGTAACTAGTAGAGCGGAATTAGATTGATAGCAGATAGGCGGATGCAGTGCGGTGGAGGGGACAGAGGAGGGAGCGGAAGTGGCATTAGACCACTTTGAGCAGGTAATTAGATGAACGATGCTCAACCCATACTGAGTAGAACTGTTCTACTGTCATGACAGCAATTCCAGAGTGGATCTACTCGTACCTGTACTGATTCAGTGATGAGTACCTGGTATGAACTCATGTACCCAATACATCGTAGATACTCACCGGTACGAAGAGAAAAAAGAGGATGGACTTCGGGGTATGCCATGTGTGCTAGGCTACAATTGGTAAAGGGTAGAATGGAGATGTCAGGTCGAGTAGATTGTAATGAAGAGACATATAAAGTCTTAGTATGGAGTGATGGGAAAGTGATGGTAAGATTGAAGATCTATTAGTAGGATTATAGAATTGTTTATTTGGAGAAGAGGAGTGATTGACCAAGACTAGGGTACGGTGTATTACAATCCTGCGTGGTTGTCCAGAAGGGGGCATCATCCTTGAAGTCCGGGAGGGAGAGAGTGAGAGACTTAGAGAGAGAGTAAAGAAAAGAAGAGGGTTGAATGTTTGGTGGCATGATGGATTAATAAGAATTTCGAGCCAATCAGTAGCCGTTTATTATTCTTTTCTGCAAACCTTGACCCTTGATTCCGAGTCTGCGAATCCATCGAATCCACGAGGTCCATGACCGCCGTTCTCCTCCTCTCTTTCCTCCGTTGTTGCCGCCCAGCCCAGTAAGAAGGTGGCCAGTCATGCCAGTCCATTCGGTGAAAGCCAGCAACAAGCCGGTAACAAGCCAGTGAGAGCCAGTAAGAGCCCTACCCTAAACCCAAGCCAGCGTGCCAGCCCAGCCCAGAACCAGGACCCTTAACTCTCGGCCTGCTTCCACCGTCTGCTGGTGCTGCTAAAGTTATCTCCTCCTACTAATTACTGCCTTTGCTTCTGCTTTGGTGGCTCTTCTGCTGGGTTTTGCTTTGCTTTGCCTGCCTGTTCTGTGCTTTCCTGTGTGCCGCGCCTTCCCTTTCCTCCCTCCCTCCCTTCCTTCCCTCTCAACCTCCCTAATTACACAACTCCACTCTAATTCACCTGCACCCATCCCATCTCCCATCTCATTTCCCATACAATCACCACAACCACCACCACGCCTCCACTTTCACCTCTTCCTCCTCCTCCACCATAACAGCCTCATATATCAATCAACAATCAACAACACAACATTACATACAAACCGAACATACATACACAATCCATCTCATCATCCGAATATAACACATCCAACGGAGACAGCCCTGCACCGCTGCAGTGAGCTTTTCTTCGCCTCGCTGTTTCGCACCACTCCACCCAGTGTCTCGCCACACCCACCACTACACCACACGAGCCTCTCTTACTTCTTTGCCTGCCTGTCTAGTCACCTTAGGTAGACCTACCACAGTGGCCAGTGGCCAGCCTGCGAGTACCTGCTCTGCTCACTCACTCACCTTCTCCGCTTCTTCTGTGTGTCCTTTGCCTTGGCTTTGGAACAACCCCTAACGCATAGCAAACATCTTCATCTCCCCCCTCCATCCCTCCCTCCCTCTCCCTCCCCATCCAGCCATTTCTCTCTCAACCACGCCCACTCCTCATAACTACTCAACCCCCCCTTTGGCCGTATCAGAAGTACTCTCCCTTCCATCTCGATCGAGTCCGGCTATTATCCGATCCCTTCAAACCCCCAGTCACCGCTCTCGCCCTCTCGTCTCCTCCTCCCATCCATCCTCCTCTCCTCCTCCACCTTCCTCCACCACCACCTCAGTCATCATCATCAACCTCGTCCTCCTCATCCGCAGCAGTCACGCTTCATTGAATCCTTCCAACGGTACTCGTCCCAAATCGGCCTCGCTGAGACTCTTGCGGCCCACGGACCCGGAGCCTAAGCACGAGCACACGGACCCGGACCACAGGCTCGAGCACCAGTCGCATCACCCAAAGAACAGCACTGCGCCCGTCTTCCTGGACGTTGCGAGCTGCTTCTTTTCATCCGTCTGACTGCTCGATCCATCTAATCGGTGGCCAAGTCGATCTCAACTCTGCTCAGCTCTTCTCACCACATGCAACGCTAGATCTGCAGTCACCCTCTCTCCTTCACTCACACTTCGAATCGTAACACGACCCGACCTCCACGACAAAACTACCCGACGACGACCCATTATGCGTGAGGTCAACTTCAGCATCCCAAATGCCAACAAGGCCTCCGTCGGCATCACCACCGCCCTCTATGACCGCCGAGCTCTCGACTGCACATCTACCCTCCCGCTTATTAATTCTCTCAACCACCTCGCATACCTCACAACCTCCTCTGCCAGGATACGTGACATCCTCACCGTCGATGGCGGCATCGAACGACTGATATGCATCCTCAAAGAGGGGAGGAGCAAGGACATGATGGACATGTGGAAGTGGAACCTTGCCTTCCAATGTCTCTTCAACATCGGCGTACGGGGCTCTGAGAGTGTCAGGACGCGAGTCGTAGAGGCCGACATGGTGCCCGTCATTGCAACCATTCTCGATAATTACATCAAGGTCGTCGATAAGTGCAGGGAGAAGGCAGAGAACGAGCTGCGAAGAAGTACCCGGCTTGGCGCTTCTAGCCGCCATCACTCGTCACGATCTGGCGAGATCGCTTCCAGTTCAGGCCATAGAACGGAACGATCGCGAAGGATGGTCCCTCCCCCTATCGAGATCCCGCAGACCTTCACCCCGACGTTCGGCCAGACGCCTTTGGAGTCACAGGCGGGTGACACCACCCCGACGCCTGCCTTCTCTCTCAGCTCCCCCCCGGAGCGAACAACCTTCGCCCGTGGCCGACCCTCTCATCACCATCATCACCGTAGCCACGAGAACCGCACGCAACTGTTTGGAACAACGAGCAACAGCAACAACAACACCCCCAGGACCGTAGGACCGCCCCTTGCCTCCGCTTTGCCCACCATAGAGACCACGCCCACCGACACATTTCCACTTCGACCCGTTCGAGATGCCGACCGTCTCCCTTCGATGCTTCCTTCCTTGCAGGGAGAGATTACATCTCAGCCGCAATCTCCAACGACACCAGGTGGCCCACACGTACGCCAGAACAGCCCGAGGGCAAGTGCCGGCCGCGGCCGACGCCGTCCCTCCATCCGTCACCAGCAGTCTCTTTCGGGAGAGTCCGACATCGACGCTCAACCTGAACCAGACATTTCTGCCGAGGTGCCCGCAGTTGCAGGTACGGTCGTGAACGAACCGATCGTGGGCATCCAAAACGACATCAACATGGCTGACATGGTCGAGAACACGGAGATGTTGGACCCTGGAGCAACTCCCGTTGCACTGGCTGCACCGCCATCAGAGGGGACTGACGAGAACCACGAGACTTTTAACATCACACACCGCCCAGCTCTTGACGGAAGCTTGATCAACCCTGCCGCCACCCAGACCAATGCCCCCATCGGTGGTTTCTCTCCCGTGCAACCCGCCATCAACGTTGTGAACGCTAACCCTCCGCCGCCGTGGCATCCTCGCTATGCCCAGGACCGTAATGCTACGGCTGGTGTTCTCGCTGCCATGCCCCGCGATGAAGACGTTCTCATGTCCCTACAACTGCTCGCATACGTTTCCAAATATTGTAACCTCAGGGCCTATTTCCAGCAATCTCACCTCGTCCCCAAGCTCAAGATTGGTTCTGATCTCCAACTGCTCGATGGCGAAACGCCTAGCCCGGCCCCGATGGCAGAAGAGGAGGAGCTGGAAGAATACGAACTTCCCGACGACTTCAACATCTTCCCCTTGGTCGAGAAATTCACTGTCCGACATCACACATCGGACATGCAGTACTGGGCTAGTGTCGTCATGCGCAACCTCTGCCGCAAAGACGATGCCCGCGGTGGCATTCGACAGTGCGCCTACTACCAGTGCGGAAAATGGGAAGAGTACACACGCCAATTTGCCAAGTGTCGCCGCTGCCGACGCACCAAGTACTGCAGCAAGGAGTGCCAAAAGAGTGCATGGGTCTACCACCGACACTGGTGCGTGGCCGCCGTTAATTGAGGTGGAGGCTCTCATCATGTCTTAATTTCTTACACATCATCATCATCATCATTGGGAGCACTTTTTATTTATGCCGCATAATTGCATGGCGCTCGGCTTTTTCATATTTCGAATTCCATACTTAATGAAGCAACACGAATCGGATACCACAAATCGAACACTCAGACTGAAAGTCTTATACCAGACGGACAAATCTATGCAGGAGTTGGAGAGACATGGGAGATGCTCTTGGCAGCAATAGTAGGAAGGGCGAAGATTGACTGTCGGGAACAAAGTCTTCACTTATACCACATTATTAGGGATGAGCATATTGCTATCGGGTTCTTTGGATTTTCATGGATCATAAAGGCGGAGAGGAAAAGGGGTTGATTGCAAGGATGATATCCAGTGGGCGGAGGCGGGTATTTTTGATAGCCTTTCTTGAAGATTTGGCTAACATTGCACCCTCATTTTATCTGGTTTATTTTGGTTCATTTTGCTTTCAGCGTGCTGCATTGCAATACTCTTGGAGTTTCATATCTGGATTACCATCTATTTCGATCCTTTTTCTTTGGAAACAAAAGGAAAAGGATGTAGGCTCGACATCTACAAAAGTCTCCTGGAAAGACTGCATATCATCACCAATATTCATTTAATTTCATCCCGAGTATCACGATTGCTTAAAAAAGGACTCGACAAGGATAATCTTATCCATACGTTACTCATAAAATCCCTTGATTCGGTAGGGAGACATCCAAAGGGAGAGTGTGGAGGATTGGTGCCGATGTTCGTGTACGATAAATGGATTGAATGCATACATTAGTTGCCCACCTACATAATAATACCTACTACCTATTCTATACACATATATAAGATATACCTACCTTAGTCATAAGACGTTTCGTCGTTATAGAGGAGCCTGTATATATCATACAACGTCGTTGCATTCACCGCGACACCGCACGGAGTAACCATTGCCAAGCTTGGTATTCCACTATGTGATACGGAGTATCAATGTTTCTAACGTCAGACTTTTTGTTCGAGAGGGCGTGCCCGATGAATGGAGTTGGATATACGGAGTAAATTGAATGATGTTAGTTGAGGACGAGTGTTGGCAAGTTAGTCATTTAGTTCCGACCGTTTGAGCGGCGATATGGGTTGAATGCCAATGCTAGCTAACGGCTCGTCGATGAGTAGTAACAGCATCTACGATACGGCGCCGAATGATAGAAATGGACTCGTAATTAAGTTGGGTTAGTTTGCCGCGATCGAGCGTGGCTGTACCGTCCCAGACCCGTCGCCCAAGAGTCGACCAGAACCAAACTTAACCCACTCCAGCCAGGTACATGCGAGTAACTCTATACTAACAACCGTATTACCACCAACCAGCCCAGCCTGTCATTGCCATTGCCCGCGCCAAACCCAACGTTCACGACTCGTTCGCTCTCTTTCGTTCACCTACCTCCTCCTCCTCCTCCTCCTCCTCCTACTCCTCTCCTACGCGACGACCGACGTTCACTTTTTTTTCTCTCTTTCACCGCGCCGCTCGTGAGAGAGAGGGATATATCCCCCATTAATTCCTATCACTAAGGGTCGTCGGTCGATTAGCCATGACCCTACTCGCCACGTCCGCCTCGAGCGAAAGATAATAATACGATTACGACGCCTTTTTCCGCCCAGTCGCCTGCCCGCACGGCAACGTCACCGAACAGCCTTCCTCGAGATAAACGACGAAACCTTCGAATTGCGAGACGATTGAGGGAAAAACAATATACATTCACTTGTGCGCGCGCGCGTGCGCCCCGCGGAAATTTTAAAATATATAAAAAAAAGATTACACCGAGACATACATTCTCACTCACTTTCGTAATTGCAAAACGCCGATGCGGTCGCTCGCTCGCTATAACTATTCCACATAAATACCACAAACACCCCAATCGCACCCAGCGACCCCCGCGCCGGAATCCAAACAAGAGGTAACCGAAACTCAAACCCAAGGAAAAGCAAAGGAAGAGAAACAATGTCTGGGGAACCCGGAGACCACTCCGGCAGCGGAGGCGGCGCCCCACGCGTGCGCTTCTCCACCGACATCGAGCGGCATGGGACGACTGCTCCTCACGACCACCCGGAGGCCGGTAATGGGGACGCGAGCGGCACCGCGAGACGGCGTCCTGGGACGCCGGATTTGAGCGTGGATACCACCACCACTGCTGAGAGACAAACAGCATCCGCAGCGGCGGTGGCGGGGAGGAACAGCAGTCTCTCGCCTACGTCGCCGCGCAGCACGGGAAGCGGGAGGTTCAGTCCGATTTCGCCGTCGAGTCGGTCGCGCGGGTACTCGCTGCGGAGTTCGCTGTTCAAGAGGAATATCAATGAGCAGCATTCGCCTGTGAGGGGGGAGATTGAATTGGAAGAGCAACACGGGGGATCGTCGCGGAGACATGCAGCGGATCCCTTTATGGACGATGCGGATAAGTCACAGCCGACGAAATTGGAGGACTCAACGGTCACGGTGTCGCCCGTGGATAGGCAGATCAGCCCGCCAACAACGACGACGAAGCTTGGGAAGGGAGCCATCGCGCTGCCGAACTACGACAACTGGCTGCAAGAGAAGGTCAAGAAGCCGACGGTGGTGCAGAAGGCCAAGGCGTTCGGGGTCAAGGTCAGGAAGTTCATCTACCGCATCCAGGACATTCCTCCGAGCAAGGACGGGAGACACATCGACTTGGATCCGAACAGGCGCGACCCCAGGATCGACGAGCGGACGAACAAGCCGTACATCAGCAATTGGATCCGGTCGACGAGGTACTCTGCGTGGAACTTCTTGCCCAGGCAGCTCGTGGCGCAGTTCTCGAAGTTGGCGAATTTCTATTTCCTTTGCGTTTCGATCCTACAGATGATACCCGGTCTTAGTACCACCGGAACGTACACCACCATTGTGCCGCTTCTGTTCTTCGTGAGCTTGTCCATCGCTAAAGAGGGTTATGACGATTTGAGGAGGTACCGCCTCGACAAGGCTGAGAATAATAGGGAGGCTCAAGTCTTGAAGCCATCCCGCCCGGCGGCGACACGTAGTTCCAGCGATGGGGGGACTCTGTCGTCTACGTCTACCAGGGATCTGGAGTGGGAGTTTGTCAAATGGCAGGACCTCCAGGTCGGCGACCTCGTGAAGTTGGAGCGAGACGATGCCGCACCGGCGGACCTGGCTCTCCTGCACACGAGCGGCGAGAACGGCGTGGCGTACGTGGAGACCATGGCCCTAGACGGAGAGACCAACCTGAAGAGCAAGCAAACGACCGCGTCCGTCGTCAAGGCCATCCAGAGCCAAGAAGACGTGATGCACTGTGCCGCTGAATTCGTCGTGGAGGACCCTAGTCAGGACCTGTACAACTTCGAGGGCAAGGTCACGCTCGACGACAAATCCGCGCCCCTGACCATCAACGAGATCATCTACCGCGGCAGCATCCTCAGGAACACTCCCGATGCTCTGGGCATGATCATCTACTCCGGCGAGGAGTGTCGTATCCGGATGAACGCCAACAAGAACCCTCGTATCAAAGCCCCTGCCCTGCAATACGCCGTCAACAGGATCGTCATCCTCATCGTGTTCTTCGTGCTCGCGCTCGCCATCTTCAACACCGTCGCGTATCAGATCTGGTCGAACCGCACGGAGGACAAGCTGTGGTACCTATCCGGCGTGTCGGTCTCCTTCTTCCCGAACCTGACGTCCTTCATCATCATGTTCAACACCATGATCCCGCTGTCCCTCTACGTGAGTCTGGAGATCGTCAAGCTGGCGCAGATGTGGTTCCTGCACGGCGACATCGACATGTACGACCCGGTGTCCGACACGCCCTGCGAGCCGCGGACGTCCACCATCAACGAGGAGCTCGGCCAGATCAGCTACATCTTCTCCGACAAGACGGGCACCCTCACCGACAACTCGATGAAGTTCCGCAAGATGAGCATCGCGGGCATGTCCTGGCTCCACAACGTCGACCTGCAGGACACGCAGAAGAAAAAGATGCTGCACAAGAAACGCAAGAAGGGCAAACAGCCCGTCAGGAAGAGCGTCCGCTCCGCAAAAGACGTCCAGTCCCCTATCGAACCCGCCACCCCCGCAGTCGAGATCCCCGACCCCCTCGACCACGACCTCGAGTCCGAAGCCGCGGGCTCGAAATGGCAGTCCTCCGCGCGGCCCGGGAAGTCGCAGCGCGAACTGTTGACCACCGACATGATCAAGTACATCCAGCGCAAGCCCTTCACGCCCTTCTCGAAGAAAGCCCGCATGTTCCTCCTCTCGCTGGCGCTGTGCCACACGTGCCTGCCGGAGGCGCAGGAGGGCGGCGGCGGCAAGATCGAATTCATGGCGTCGTCGCCGGACGAGCTGGCGCTGGTGCAGGCCGCGCAGGACATGGGATTCCTGGTCATCAACCGCGACGTGCACACCATCACGCTCAAGATCGTGCCGCAGGGGGCAGCGGGAGCGGACGCCGAACCCACGATGGAAACGTACGAGATCCTCGACGTCATCGAGTTCTCGTCGAAGAGGAAGCGCATGTCTATCATCGTGCGGTTTCCCGACGGCCGCATCTGCATCTTCTGCAAGGGCGCGGATTCCATCGTCATGCAGCGTCTCAAGATGGCGACGTTGGCGAACAAGAAGATGGTGGAGATCGAGGCCCGCGCGAATAGGAGGAAGAGCGTGGAGGCTCAGCATGCCATCGCGCGCCGCAGCGAGCAGACGGAGCGGAAGAGCAGCATCGGGGGGAACAGGCGGAGCATGACGCTGGGTCAGGCGGCGCGCGCCTCCCTGAGCATCGGTAGGCCGTCTCTGGGCCGGCCTAATAGTTCGGTCGGCAGGCCCAGCATCGGGGGCAGGTCGCTTCAGCAGGTGGATCAGTGGCTCCGCGAGCGGGAGAACGACTTTGAGATCCAGTCTATCGGGGAGACTGCGCAGCTGCAGACACCTCGTCAGTCAGGGCTCGGAAGGATGTCGATGGCGTTCTCCGAAGCTAGGAGCTCGTTCCAGGTTGAGGAGATGGAGGAGATGGTCGATGAGCACGTTGCGGCTGACGAGGCTGCCGTCATCGAGCGGTGCTTCCAGCACATTAACGAGTTCGCTACGGAGGGTCTGCGGACGCTTCTATATGGCTACCGAATCCTCGACGACGACGAGTATGCGACCTGGAAGAAGGGCTACCTCGAGGCGACGACCAGTCTCGTCGACCGGGCACGCAGGATCGAAGAAGCCGGGGACGAGATCGAGCAACACCTCGAACTATCCGGCGCGACGGCCATCGAAGACAAGCTCCAGCAGGGCGTCCCAGAAGCCATCGACAAGCTTCGCAGGGCCAAGATCAAGATGTGGATGCTGACGGGCGACAAGCGCGAGACGGCCATCAACATCGGACACTCGTGCCGCCTCATCAAAGACTACTCCACCGTCACGGTGCTCGACCACGAGACGGGCGAGGTCGAACAGAGCATCGCGGGCGCAATCCTCGACATCAACAACGGCGGCGTCGCGCACTCCGTCATCGTCATCGACGGCCAGACACTCAGCCAGATCAGCGAGGTCGAGCCCCTGAAGCTCCTCTTCTTCGAGCTGGCCATCCTCGCCGACTCCGTCATCTGCTGCCGCGCATCACCCTCCCAGAAAGCCAGCCTCGTCAAGAACATCCGCAAGCGCGTCAAGAAGAGCATCACGCTCGCGATCGGCGACGGCGCCAACGACATCGCCATGATCCAAGAAGCGCACGTCGGGATCGGCATCACTGGCAAAGAGGGCCTCCAAGCCGCGCGAACCAGCGACTACTCGATCGCGCAGTTCCGCTTCCTCACCAAGCTCCTCCTCGTCCACGGCCGCTGGAACTACATCCGCACGTGCAAGTACACGGTCGGCACGTTCTGGAAGGAAATGGTGTTCTACCTCACGCAAGCGCTGTATCAACGCTCCGCGGGCTACACGGGCACCTCGCTGTACGAGTCGTGGTCGCTGTCCATGTTCAACACGCTCTTCACGTCGCTGCCCGTCATCTTCATGGGCGTCTTCGAGAAGGACCTCTCCGCAGCTACGCTACTCGCCGTGCCAGAGCTCTACACTAAGGGCCAGCGCAACGGCGGATTCAACTTCAAGGTCTACCTGGGCTGGATGTTCATGGCGAGCGGCGAGGCAATGCTCATCTACTTCTGCATGCTCGCTCTTTACGGCGAAGCCCCCTTCACAGAAGACAACAGCATCTTCGCCCTCGGCGTGCTAACCTACACCGCCGCCGTGACCCTCATCGCATTGAAGATGCAGTACGTACCCCCCTTCCCCCATCCCATCCCCCTCCCCATAAAACCCCTTTCCACCCAAGCCCCCAACTAACCCACCTCAGATTCATAGAAACACACTCCAAAACCCTCACCAACGCCATCGCGCTCATCCTCTCCGTCGGCGGCTGGCACCTCTGGAACATCATCCTGTCGCAAACCTACAACCCCTCCAACAAAATCTACTACGTGCGCACGACCTTCGTCGAAACCTTCGGCCGCAGCCTCAAGTGGTGGCTCACGCTCATCCTCATCCTCGCGGGCGCCTGCATCTTCGAGTTCGGCGCCACGGCCCTGCGCGCGGCGTATTTTACGGCGGATGAGGACGTGTTTCAGGCGCTTGAGAAGGATCCTGGGGTTAAGAGGAGGTTCGAGGAGGCGGCGAGTGGGGAGTTGCAGGCGGGGTGGGAGAGGGGGGAGAAGAGCGAGGAGGAGAGGGTGAGGGGGGTGGTGGAGAGGTTGGAACGCGAGGCGCAGGAGAGGAGGGAGGGGGAGGTGAAGGAGTTGTTGAGGGGGAGGGTCGAGGAGGTTGCGTCGCCGTCCGTGGTTCCCTCCGCGGGGGCGGCGGCGGCGAAGAGTGAGGAGCAGGATCCGGATCGTGTGTGGGAGAGCGGGTTTGGGAGGGTTAAGACGGAGGAGTTGAGGAAGGGGGAGGGCGTGTGATGGATATGAATATCCCTCCGACGATTCCCCCCAAAAAAGAAATACCCAAAGTTGTCGGAATCGAAAGAAAGGCAAGCAAGCGAAGCATTCACTGTTCGTTTCTCTGTATCTAAACAACAACCCACACCGCACCACCAACACCCACGGCTGGCTTTTTCTTGTAGCTACTTTACCTCTCTTCCCCTTTTCTGTTCTTCATGTAGTTAGTTGCGTAGCTTTTGTTTTTTGTTCTTTCGACGGCATAGGCATAGGCATAGGCATAGGACAAGTGGGGGGGCATGATACCAGATACCAGATACCAGAAATCGTAATTTCACTTTTCTTTCTTTTTTCATACGAGATATGTTTGCAAGGTTGGACTTTACGTGTGAGTGATGTACCTACCTTTGCCTATCCTAGGAAACGTCTAAACCTGGGTCGTTCAAATCCCACCGTGCCGCAAAATCTGAGAACTACTTTGACTTCAATAATCTATACTTCTACGTATGCGCTGTTGTGTTACTGAACTGTGCAAGAGTTGTGTTCTATAACTTTTCTTGTGGATATATTGCACCGTTCAGTTTCATGTGTGATTGCTACCCTACCCTGCTCGGTACTTCTCTCGAGAATACCCTCCATACATAGCTAGTCCCATACAATCTGTGGCAACATACGTTCCTATCTGTAATAGGCTGTGGCTGAATGTATCAATCAAGACTTAGGTCAGGTTGTATGTCAGCATCCGCATATAACATGAGGGACCTCGCCACACTCAAGTAACGTTACTGTGGGTTTAGCAACTATGTGAGACGTCGTCAAAAAGGGTCGACAAGTGTACGTTTGCTTTAGTCGAGATATGTCTACTCTGGGGTGACGAATTGGGAAATTCCGATATTGGGTTTAAGTCCCGCAGCTTGGTGAATGCGCCAATTGGCTGGTCTCCCCCCTAGCGTAATCTCCCCGCCCTACTGTGAGCTGGCACAGCTTCAGCCTAACGTATTCGCTTTAATCATATAATAACAGCTGCTGTCTTTCAGCCTTCCTTTCAGAATTCACTTTCTCCTCCCATCGCAGGATGTGATTATCTAAAATCCGTCAAAACAACATTTTCATTATATAACGTTCAGAAAGATGGCGTCAAGTGCTAGCAGTTCTGGACAAGGCGATATGAGCTGCGCCCCTATTGTTAAAGCGCACACTGAGGAATGCCTTAGAGAGATGAAGAACATGTAACTATTTCTCCCCTATTGCAGCATCGTCTAATTGACATAACACTACCAACTGGTCTCCCAAAGAACTCGCAAAGGTCTTCATCTTGATTGGCAGAACCGGCGTGGGTAAATCTGCACTTCTCGAATACCTTACCAACAGCAATGGTCACTCCAAAGACAGCCCTAATCCAGGTAAGAAAGAAGCCCGCAAGTAGGTTCAGTTATCAGCTTTGCACGTCTAACAAAATCCACTGAAAGTAACACTGGACTTCCAACTCGAACCCGTCGACCTTGGCAAACGATACTACATTATGGACACGCCCGGCTTCGACACAGATTCAGAGCAAGACGTATTCCGCAAGATCATTGCCGGAATCAATGCCGTACGCCCCTATGCCAGGATTATTGGCGTCCTGCTAGTCACTCGCATCAATGATAGCCGCGCCGAGAAAGTCGACAACAAGCTCGTTGCATTTGTCAACAAACTCTGTGGTCCAGCATACGCCGGCCAGATCACCGCAGTCACGAACTTTTGGAACGTGTCTGAGTCGGTAGAGAAAACAAGATTCGAGGAAAGACTGCAGCAATGCTTACAGCGTTGGCGAGTGGTTCTTGGTGATGAGCTGAAGCAGTATCAGCATGGACGCCGGTATAATTCATTTGGTGATGATACAGGAGAGTGTCTTAAATGGCATGGGGACCGCGACGATATCAAAATGTACGCCAAAGCGATGCTCGATCGTCACTACGGCAATACTAATCTGACGGATCCGGTTATTGTCCAGGAGTTGTCGAATGGCAACCCGCTTTGGAAAACTGCCGCGGGGGAGTTTCTGGGAATCGCCCCTCCACCCGAGTCTTCTTCACGAGCTTCTGCACCCCCTCCAGTTCAAGCCGAAGCAACAGTACCGCCAGTGGACACCTCCGAACCTGAAGAGATCGAAATCCCCATGCCATCAGCCTCGACGCACCAGGCGAACTCGAATCAACCCCAGCCCCCGACGCCCACAGAACCATCCGCACTTGCAAAGTTTTTGGCATGGACGGTAGATGAAGTCGGTATTCCCATACTTAATCATCTGCTCAATAACGTTACCTTTAGTGTAACGAGCGGAGGAGGAACAGGTCAAAGCTTCCCCAGCCACCTTGGTTAGTGCATAACTTTACACTATCGGCTTCAAGCGTTGCCGTTTCTATGTGGTTTTTCGCAGATCCTAACATCAGTGTAGACCCTCTCTCTTCACGAGACCATTTCGTATGGCGTGGCCTGCCCGCAGACCTTGAGTCTCGAACGGAATGGGCCCAAAGGCGCGGAATTACTTCAGAGCCAGGGTCACAGGCATTTGGCGACGCTGTTCGCAATGCGGTCGAGCGCGAAAGGCCAATGTGAACAGGTTACATGTGTCACTCGGTGACACGAACAGAGAGTTACGTGCTTTTCATACAGTGCGCTTGTTACGGCCGGCTTTGATATCTACATGTTTTCTCATACTATCTTCTTTTTTTAGTATAAAGTGGTAATAGCGGGGGCGCGACGACGACGACAATTGCAGGTCATCTAACATTACCTGTGTATTGTAAAGTTATGTTCTTGTCTAGGATATGTTGACCATTATCGATATGTCCATCTATCATCACTGCATCTGTGCTACAGGGGCTCTCCACGTTTCCAATATTCGAGCAATAAGCGCTTCACTTGTTCGTGCTGCAGGGATGGATGTTACGCATATTGTGAATTATCGAGGGGGAGGAGATGGCTTTGGCTCGCACGGCTCGTTATGTCCAGGACACCAATATCAACCCTTCACCCATCACCCATCACTCATAATAATCCCCTTTACATTTCTCATTCTGAATTGAATTTTTTTCATTCCTATCATTCACCGTCTCCTCTCCTCTCTGACTCCCCAACTATTCAACCCCCCTCCTCAGAAGCCGCGTTCCTCACGCGCCCCTGCAACCATAAAACCCTATCTATCAAATCCCCTGAAGAAAAAGGGTGGCCAAACCACTCAGAGGGGCTAATATCCGCGCCCTGACACCTACAACTCTTGACATTTCGTTCACGTTATATAAGTTATATGACATATAAAGCGAGAAGAAGGTGGTTCGAGGTCACGTTCCTAGAACTGTAAGACCCAAGCAAGCGCCGAAATGCGGACTCAGACAGCAGACAAATGAGACTCATTATGCTTAAATGTGGATTGGAGGATTCGGGCAAAGGAAAGCGTTCTAATACGCGGATATCGAGCAGCATGATAATCACCAAGGACGGGGGGAAGGGGATCTGTGCAGAGATTCCTCGTGGGGAGATTTTCGTAGAGAGAGATTCTCCAAGGAGAAACCTCTCCATGGAGAGATTATCTTCAAGGAGAGTGGAGCTTGGGGGAGAATTGCGGCCAGCTTTAACCTGCAAAGCTCCATCGACTCGTTCACATCTCTATGTCACTCATTCAGTTGGTTTGCTTTCAGGAGTTTGCTCATTCATTTGTGCAACCTCACCTTTGAGTCCTACAAGTGTAGATTGGTCTACCTCTTATTCTCTTTGTACAAGCACTTCGTAGCTTTCGAGCATTTGTAATATGGTGTTGAGGCCCTGGTGCGGGGCAGACCAGCTACCTGAGCATTCGGCCCCGCTCTACCGTGCCGTGCCGTAGTCGCTATTTTTCTAGTACATAATGCAAACGACATCACCGCATAAACACTGTCTACCTCTACGTATTCGCCTCTCGATATTCTTCCACCCTAATGGCGGTCCCTATTCAACTTCTACAACCCCTTTCGAGCGCCGGCCCGCGCATCCGCCCTGTGAACCCAGCCATGGTAGTGGCCACAGTTGTCGAGGGACCTATTGGCCGCTTGACAAGAACTCTTCGAAAGCTGCGCGCTTCAACAGATCCGTCCACCTTGAATCTTCCTCTGGAGATTATCCTCATGATCGCAACTTATCTTGACAAATGCTCCGTGGTATCTCTTTCATTGACATGCCAGGGTCTCCGCGGTCTTTGGAACTCTGGCAGTATGACCTTGGAAAAGGTAGAAAGGGAAAATCTGCTACTCATGCTCGAGAAGGATATTCCGTTCCTACAATATTGCCATTATTGTGTAAAGTTGCATCGCTGGCATGGAGCTTGGAGCAGGGCTGTCTCTCCGTGGTACGAAGAACGTCTACCATGCAAGAAAAAACTCGACAAGCACCTCTTCCTCCCCATTACCTGCCACATTCCCTACTACGTTGCGCGCTTAGTCATGAATCGGCATCTGTATGGAACCAAACACGGCCTGCCTCTTGAGGCACTAAAAGATCGACAATCTTGCACGTACAAGAACGACGTCGCGTGGTCGGTTACACAGCACGCACGCATCTCCAACGACCAACTCATGGTACGCTCGGTCATATCAATGGCCCATCCGCGCGGCGATTCAGCAGCGCTCAGAGCCCACATCGATGAATATGGACCCCCGGTCTGCGAACATCTCACTTTTCAGAAAGGATATCCTGATGCCATTCCTATGCAGCTTCCCCAGCTCGCTCTGAAGGGAGGAGACCTACCGAGCGATTTCCAAGCCTGCGGTCCTGAGTTCGGGTCCTGTACCTTTTGTGTGACGGACTACAGTATCGAGGTAAAGTGGCAAGGTGTAAAGAAGGGGTATTGTATCCAGGTGCTCGTTTATCGCGGGCTAGGCGACTGTCGCACTCCGTTCAATTGGCACTGGCGAACCATTACAACGCGTGATTCGGGCGAAGGTATCAGATCGGCGCAATCGCCTGATTATGGCCCTGGACGTGTCAGAGAGAAGTGGAAGGAATTAGGGCCGTCGTGAGGGTTGATGGCGCATATTGAAGGGCTATGAGATGGTAGGTTACTTTGATTAAGACTTGGAGCATTTCACTTAAAGTATAACAGCAAAGTACTTAATTCAATCTCCAAAACACCGCGAAGACAATCAGCCCCATCTATCTAAACGCCGTTCGAAAGTCTCGCGATGCCTAGCACTACACCAAAAGTCAACGAGACCGGCAAGTGTCCTGCGATTGTGTGGAAGGAGCCATTTGTGATTGACTAGGCGTCTGATCCCATCGGCTCGAGGGGAAGTGCAGTAAATAAAGCAGTGTTCTAGTGTTGCTAGTACACTACAGAACGGTACGCAGCGTTTCCTTTGCATATCGTCGTAGGTGGATGGCAACAGCTCTCACGGAAGAATGAGACGGCGTCGAAGGCTGAAGGTGAGGAAAGCTGGTCAAGCACTTGCACAGTTTGTGGCTTGCGAACATTGATCAGGCAGAAAACAAAATTGATTTGGTGACACTATATACATCATGCTCATCTTGGCTTCACCTCTGACGAGGCTACTGAACCCCAGCACCACGGTAAGGTGTGAGCAAATCGCTGGGGAGGGTGAACCCCCCGAAGGAAGAATATCCCTACTACCTGGACGTAGTGTCATCAATCCAATTCGTGGAATGGATTGGGAGTTGCCTGCATCCGTTCCCTTGCCAGGACTTCGGCTTGGGCCTCCAAGTAAACCTGAAGGGAGAACGGCCGGAGCCGCCTCTGGATCTTCGGGTCGCCCTGCATCTTCCGGAGTTCGGCCAAGATCTCGACAAGCACAGGCGTTGCTGGCTCCTGTGAGTGCGTCGTAGATCTATCAACAGCTTCGCGAGTCTCACGAGCTATCACGGCCAGCGCCTGAAAGTCGGTCCTCAACCCCCGAAGTGTCCGCAACATTTCGTGCAACGTCTGCCCACGAGCAGTCGAATCAGTCATCAATGCTGCGACGTCCCTCCGTACTCCCCGGAGGCCTGCTGCTAGGACGGCGCGGATCGATTGCAGCAGAGGGTGAAGTGAATCGCGCTTGACAAACGCGGAGAAAAAAGCGAGGCAGAAAGAGAAAATGGTGAAAACGGCGCCGATCATCGTCCAGGATGACGGAAACCAGAAGGTGAAGGACTCAGACATGCTGGTCAAATAGAAAAGACAAATTTGGCAAAGGGAGCAAGCAGAAAAAAGTGCCAGGTGTCAAGCCTGAAGAAAAGAAGAAGAAAGCGGACGAAGGGCCAGGCGAATCTTTTAAGGTGGTGATGGCATAGGAGTGCACTTGCTCATCCTGCTCTCGATTCACTTGACTGACGGCAGGAGAGCGTGCCTGGGTTGGCAGGAATCTCTATGCTCTTGCATCCAAGGCTCCTTCCCGCACTCCTGGACGGCACATAGTGGTGGATTGACTCCATTTGCATTGCCTACAGCCTCGTTCCGTTCAGCCTGGGGCCCCGTGAGTGAATTGGTCAGGATCTGGCGTACATGGAGGTGGGGATCGCGGTTGCGGTGTTGGTGTTGAGCTTTGAGCTTGGGCTTAGGAGAAGTTGGAGACGGTGGAGAGGTTCAGTTGTAATCTGAAGGAGTTGATGATATATACAATAAGTAGATTTCAATTCGTAGAACAAAGCTGTAAGGAAATACCGAGTATCATTTTCTAGTTTTGACAACGTGTGTGCAGGATGGTTTAGTGAAAGGAATCTTTCGAACTCGTGACTTGTTTGCACTGTGATGTCCTTGGATGTGACGGTTGTGTATATGTTCGAATTTCAAGTATGATATCATACAGTTAGTCACAGTCAGGACATCGCCCGCGACATCACATGTATCAATACAAATCATGTGCTGTTTAGATTTTGAGTGTTAATTCTTGTCATTCATTGTCTGCTCTCCGACTATTCAATCCCCCCTTCCTCAGAAGCCGCGTTCCTCACGTGCCCCTGCAACTATACGAACGGCTTTTTCTTGTACTTACTTACACTTACATTCCTCCTTCCCCCTTCCCCATGTAGTTATGTAGCTAGCTTTTCTTGTCTTTTAGTTTTTTTTCGACGTCGGCATATAGGCAAGGCTACGGGGCATAAAGCTAGGGGCATGCGGCATTGTGATACCACCAGAAATCGGTTTTTTGTCTTTCCTCTCTTTTTGATATTGATTTCTTTGTTTCTTTTTGTGAACGTGGTGAGGTATGCTGTGACTTTCCGCTTTTGGTAATGCTGAGTCACGGGCGTCAGGAGCAGAGAGAAGTTGTAGAAGTGTGAAAACGGGGGAGGAGAGGGGAGGGGAAAGCATGGTGTTTTGAATATCTATTTACTCCAAAGGGCGTCAGTGCCAGACATGATAAGTTCGTTCATCCGCTCATTCATTCATCATACACATACGATTCCTCCATCGTACACAAACCGTTCCTTTAATATCATAAACCCCAGTGACCGACCAACGTCCACACCGTCAGTGACCCTTCAGACTCCACATCACCTCCCCCCTTCCTCTTTCACCAAGCTCTAACCCCGGCAAATCCCCCAACCCTTGCCCCATCTCATCCCAAAACCCGGTACCGCTTCAGCTCTCACAAATTCACCGTCGTCGACGCTACCCGCGTCAGTGTCATCACACAATATACAAGAAATCACAAATCAAAAACCCTCCCAAAGATAAACCCATCACATCGCCTTCCCCTTCCATGCTCAACTAAAGCTCATGTAAAAGCCCGGCGGCAAAGTGAGTTAGCGGTCGGTGAGCGGGCTTCAAGGGAGGGGGAGGGTATAGTGGTGGGATTTGTTGTTGGTTGGGATGGAGTTTGGGATGGTGCTGTTGTGTTTTAGTTAGATTTGGTGGGTGGGAGGAAGCGCTAGGAGTGAGGATACTATGGGTTTTGTGGAAGATGAGGAGAGGTGTATATTAGAAGTCACTTATGAGATGGCAATCTTTGCGAATGAAAGGGTCTCGGAGGAATGATATATTCAGGGGGCAGAGCCAAAGCTTGACAACAGACAGACTCCTAGCGGAGTCAAATGTAATAATAGTGGACATAACAGATACAATTCTAGCTCTTAAAAAATGACATGTTCGATCGATATGGCGGCACCCCGCTACTGTGAAAGTCGTCTCAAAACAGTGGGTTCACTCTGAGCATTTGAGTCTCTGAAACAACGTGCCTCGGATGAATTACTGATGATGATCAACGTGGAGGAAGCACACAAGGCGTACGAGGCAAAGCACCCTATACCGTAGACAATTTATGTTGTGTACCAGAACGATATCGACGCGACTCGACTCGACCTGGCTCTACGCAACGTCCAGTTCTGGATTGTGACGACGCCACAGGTGATGTCGCAGGCATTTGCCGCGTTGTCCTCTGGCGTCGTCGAGACGTTGCGTCTGCCGGTGGGGAGTCATGATGCATCATTTAGTTACCGTTGCTGAGGCTTGTGCTCATGGCTTCTTTGTAGAGTGCTTTGCCTCGTACGCCTTGTGTGCTTCCTCCACGTTGATCTTATCACCGTCCATGAGACGCTCGTAATCCTTAACGACGTCTCTGCAGAATTGCTCCCAGCTATCTAAAAGCAGCTCAGCGCCCTCCTTTCGCTCTTGCTCGGAGAGACAGCTATATTCCAGACTCCACAGAGCTAGTTGCTTCCAGCTATGGATGGTTATTGTTGGTGCGCCGACCATGATTTGATAGAATTCGTGAGACATTGAGTTACTGTCGCCCTGTGTTAGTGATGGACAAATAACTTCTAAAGTTTAGCTTACCTGAAAAGTGATGGGTTATCGCTATTGACCGTGCACGGTATTCCGGCAGCGAGCAGCTCTGGGTAGGGGTGCTCCTTTACGTTTCTACAGAGATGCAGAAGCTCATTCGAGATCGGGCAAAGCTCCACACATATGCCCTTCTGTTCATCCGTCCTCCTGAACTTCTCCACCAAGTGCGGATGCTTCATTAAGGAGAAGCCATGGCCAATACGCTTTGACTGTAAGAGTACAGCGTCATATAGATTTGAGTTTGCTGGATCTTTGGAGCCGCCCGTATCCAACAGAGTCTCGCCTGCATGGAACAGAAAGGGAATGTCTAATCCCTTGTCCTTGCAGGTTTGCTTGAATGCCACTAATTCGTCGTAATAAAAGCCGATATTATTGGGTCGGTCTTCAGCACCAACGAGATCAAAGCCTGTCGCCTTCGTAAGCAAAATTCTGAAGTCATACATGGACAGACTTACCGCAGATAAGATCAGGGAACTGAAGTTTTAGGTCGATGCAATCTTTCATCTCGGATATCATCTTCGGTTTGGGGATCGATCTGGGTGTGCAATACACGATTTTTAGGCCAAACGGAAACAAATGGCCCTTTTTAGCATCCACAAGTTCGGCTTTCTTTGCGTTGACGCCATCTATGATCATTTGCATCTGTTCTGCATTGTTGAGTTTGCCGCGACCATCGTTGGTAGGAATGGACTTGTCCATCAGCATGGGTCGAAGCTCGGCGTACATGACTTTCTCCTCAATCATGCGGTCGATCAATTCGCTAATGTACCATCTGTAGACTTGCTCGTAGTTTAAGAGCCCTTTGAAACACCTCGTAGCTTGATTGAATCGTGCCCAGACACTATGATTGGGTTAGCTTTGTGCGTGTCAGCTTCAGGTCAACATAGTCGTTAACATACCCGTTGACCGTCTGGGATGGTCTATAAGCTTCATCCTCACTCAGCACCATCTTTGATTTCAGCCAATTTTCTGCAGGATCGAGCTTTACGAAGCCTTGCTGCGAGCTATTCGGCTTGTGCCCTTCTGACAACAAGTCCTCCTCTTTCTGCTTGTAGATGCCCTTGAACCTTTTGGGAAACTCTTTGCGGAAATCCGACCACCTCATCCAGATCTGGGGAGCGATTTCGGGGTCCCTCCAATTCCCATCCTTCCCTTTGTAATCTTCAGAAAATATATTAGCATTGGCCGTATCCTCCGGCATGACATTGAAAACCATCTCGGTCACATCGAGGTCCTCCTCCGTCAAAAGGGGCCGAATGCTTCTGATAAACATGTTTGGCATCTTTTGCGCTTCCTCTAGTAGCCGTGCTGGATGTAGTTCGGCGTTGAAGTGGAGATGTAAAAGAGCGCCCTTTGGCACCTTGGTTGAAATATCATAGAGTATGCTTCGCGACTCGATCCTAGTCCTATTTGTCAAGAACTGTCCTCCCATGTCCAGCGTGTCGGGACCAGGGATCGCCTCTGAGGCCTGGTTGCCGAATGTTACGTCCCGTTCATATTCTCGAATCGCAAGTAGTATCTGACCAGCTCTTATTTCATCTTTCGATGCAGAGCTCCGTGCCTTGAAATCCCATGCGAGGAAGCCCTCGTCCTGGAGCAATTGCTTGCGCGCTTGCGCATACGGAGAATGATCTTCTTTCAAACACAAATCAAAATGATCACGTGGTTCGAGATGTGCAGGTTTGCCGTTTGGCAACGGTTGATTTTCAGCCATTTTGAAAGGAGTTCTGCTGGATGGAAGCGGACTTTTAGAAGTCCTCCTTCTCTTCTTAGGGCTTGTGTCAGCCAAAGTCATGACGGGCCTATTTGGGGATTCTTCAGAGACGTGCTTGTCACGTACAGATCTGTGACAGGTCAGCGCCATGATTCTGATCTCTTAGAAGTCAGGAAAAGGAGGCATACAGGTTGGTTAAAGTAAGGCCACACCTCGCCAGCCAGCTTTGGCGAGCCCTACTCGATTCAGTCGGAGACTCGATCTTGGCGTCAATGGGCATGCCGGTGGAAGAAAAGCGTTAGGCAGCTTCTAACTCCAGCGCTTCATGCCGGTGAAGTTGTTGTTTTGCTTTTTTTTTTGTTGACTAGTTGCAGGACGTGAACAGGTCCACGCGTCGTTTATACTGTGTAACAATGATTGGAAACTTGTAAGAAAGAATATTCGAAACTGTGGCCTGCACCGGTGAATATGGTGGGCTGTGCTAGAATTGCCTCGGATTGCAGTTATTGTTTGTGCCGCCTTGATCTGAAGCGTGTTGCACACTATGAAGCGGTAATGATTCAGGATCGAATCTGCCAACAACCGCTTGGAGGATGAATGTCGATAATTGCCAGGTCAAATTTTGGCCTAGGGAACAATGGCAATGTTAGTATTGATCTTCGAAAGGAGATGGCGGATAGTTTGAGGTTGCTGCGCCTCTGAAGTGGTGATAAGGCTGAATCATCCTTGAAGCCTGGTGATGCCTGGCGGCAGTCGGCGGCGGGGTGACTATGACGGGGAAGGAACATGGTATCGGAGTGACTCCCCACGAGGACGGCAACTGGGCAGTGTGATGATATCATGGGGAAAGGGCAGTGATAATATACGAGGATACAAGTTGTAGTAGTATTATTGTGACTCTGAGATATGCTTTTGGGGGGTTAGGCAGATCAACACGACATCGTGTGCCAATGCCAGCCTGAAGCGACGGGGAGAAGTGATGTGACGAGGAGTTGCACTATACATACATTGGAGCGCGCTTCGGCACACAGCTTCCACAACCACGGACGAGTCGAATGTTTTCGACAAGAAGCGAATTACTTTATTCAACTATCGTTTCAAAGCCGAGACAGAAAGCGGAAGTGGGAGTGGATGCTGGTGGGTATTGGGTGTAGTGAAGATGTTGTAACTAGTATCACGGAAAGGCTGGAGCGCGCGCGAAGCTCGAGCCAAGCGGCGGCGGGAACCAGGCAAATGATTGATAGGCGGAAGGCGACAGAGGTTATCCAGGAACCGGAACGGAGTAGAATGTGAAGAGGAACAGAGGCAATGTGTTTCAAAGGAAGGCTATGCGCAGCGATGCGATGCGACAAGCGCCGGTGTGAAAGTAAGAAGGATGAGGCAGACTTGGAGAGAGGAAGAAGAGCGCACAAGAGTACGGAGCACGGAAGTGGTAGCGTGGCAATAGTGAGTAGTGAGTAGTAGTAGTAGTAGTAGTAGTAGTAATAGTGGACAATGGCGGGGATAGTGTAGTAGAGCTGGAACTGTGATGTGTCGTGTGTTGGTTGTTGTGTTGTAAGAGAGATGGGATATCGTGGCTGTCTTCACTATGAGGCTATGCAATCATCCCAAGGTAACAAGGTAATACGGAGTTAACCCCCCCCAATGACTGTACTGTGTATACCAGGTAGGTACCTAACTACCCAATAGCAACCCTACCTGATCGACTTACTCTGGTTACCTACAGATACACAGTACTCCACCTACTCTACCCTGACCTCAACCGTACAAGTCCATGATTGTCATAGGTTCATTGCATTTTACTTGCAAGTTGTAGCTGAAGAGTTCGGCACAACCTGATGACTGCGCCTCCATGCCCTGTCAATCATCAGCAGCCACCCTCCTCCACCGTCCAACCCGGGTACCTCGATAGGTGGTGCAATAATGCAATTGATGTCGCTCAAAGGCAGTAGATTTCTGATCGTACAGAGTACTCCGTACAGAGCAATAAGTGGCTATCATTTCTGAACTGTAACTACTTCGAGTACTTTATAGTAATGGGTGTATTATGGGTGTAATGTCGAGCCCCGTACTGTGTAATTGTAACAAGGCTCTGGCCTAGCAACTCCCGCTTCAGCCCCTTTCGTTTCGTTTCGTTTCGTTTCCCCACCCCCAAGAGTGATCAATCCATGTCCGTCTTTCCTCTTTTCTTCTTTTCTTTTCTAGTCGTCTTTGAAGAAGTTACACTGCATTTGCCTATCTTTCTCTTGCCTGAATTTCCAGGCACTAGATCCATCAAATCAATCAACGTCCATCATCCCCCACCCCTCTCTGCATCGATCCGACATCGTACACTGTCACTTCGTCCGGTGTACGGAGTACTCTTTCCAAAGTCATACAGGTCATACCAGGCAAGCGCCGAGACCCAGACACAGATTCATGCAGACATTGATGCAGATGCACTTCGGCACTCGAAACGGTCCCTCGTTCCATCAATCCACCAGTTCCTCTTTCTAATAGATTCTACTCGTTGCATCTCTTGGAAGACTTGGTCCCTCCCTCCTGGTCCCTCCCGGCCCCCAACCCAAAACCAAAGCTATCGCCACTGTGAGGACGACTGACCATCAGACTTCTTCATCTCTTCAGCCTTGCGAACTTTTTGAGTTATTTTCTTGTCCAGTTCCTCGCCAATTATCACCGCGCCTCAATCCCCTCTTTTCAACGACTTTGTACGCGTGTCTGCCATGACTTGGTAAGGCCACAAGGCCGTTGGACGTCTTCTATATATCGACGCTTTGCATTTACGCCTTTTGCACTTAGCGCTCCATTTGGCCTCATGTCTCTGCCTCGTACGGGATACAGCATCGCATTATTGAATTGATCCTTCCGCACACCGATCTTCTGTATATCAGGACTCCCTACAAGGGAGACAAACATTAAACCATCATCACACATCATCTATCCGCACAGCCTTCTGACCAAACTCTGCGCTATACACACTCTCGATCATGCGCTGGCTCCAGACCGAACCAGGCCAACCCGCCATCGAAGCCTTGCAACTTGACATTGTAGGTTTCCTCGCCATCTTGGGAGAAGGTTCCGTCCTTGCAAACGCCCAAGTGTCGACCCTTTCGAGATGGATCTTTCTACCCCGTCTCATACCAGCACCTCAAGCCCTGATGCGGCCTACGAGGCCGACTAAACTCGAACCTGCTTCGGGCAACGTCGCGGGCGTGTATTCGGGAAACTCTCGAGATTCCATCAACCACATTGCGAACATTGTATGGTGAGTGGCAACCAACCATGGGACGAGTTCTGCTCTAGTCCCGACCCCGCGCTCCCGCTCCCACTCCCGTCCCGCTACCGTTGTTGGTTGATATCTCTTGCCAATATAAATATCACATTTATATAAAATGGAAGAATACAACAATGACTTCACCACATCCCCCTTGATCAACCATGCCCGTCATAACGAACCTCACTAACCCCACCCCAGCGACGCCAACAACCTCCCGGAGCACTCCGTCCGCGTCGTCTCCATCAACCGCATCAACAAAGAGAAGAATCTCAAGGCGCGCACCCTCGCACCCCTAACCTTCGTCCTCTTCCTCGGCTTCTTCCTCTCCTGTCTCCTCCTGGGCCTCTCAATCTGGCTTGACGACGGCATGTCCCTCGTCTCGACCTGCCTCCTCTCCTCTCTCTCCACCCTCATCGGCATCGGCAACAAATGGACGCTCCAGCTCCCGAAACGGGGGGACCCCTCGGGAAAAGTCCCCCGCGGCGACGTCGTCGTCCGCTATCCCAAAGGCAACTTCCTCGTCGTTCGGTGCGACGAACAAGTCGCGCGCGAACTCTACTTCGCACCCGAGAACATCACCTACCTCCTCCAGCACGGCCCGGCCTACCGCCTCCTCTCGCTCGTCGGCACCGTGATGCTCATGGGCGGCGTCATCTGCCTCGCGAACGCGCAGATCCAGCTGCAGATCGCGTGGGCCGGGTCGTACATGCTTCTCGGGTCCGCGTACTGGATCGTCGCTGCGCTGCCCGGGAAACTGCATTGGGACTATTCGTGCTACGAGGTCGTGCATGAGGCGCTGTCGGACTCGACGGTGGGGAAGAAGGGGTATCCGAGCGAGAGTAAGACGTTTACGAAGGCGCTTTGGCATGCGATCGCGGTGACGAAGAAGACGGATTGGGTGTTGAGGAGTAATGCGTGTCCGAACACGGAGGCATGGCTGGAGTGGCTGCAGGAGGCGAAGGCGGTGAGTGAGGATGTGAGGGAGGCGGATAAGGAGGCGGTGCCGGGGGTGCAGACGTGGGAGATCCCGAAGGGGTGGGATCCGCAGGAGAATTTGAATAGGATTTTGGCGTTCTATGCGAAGAAGGATCCGAAGAGTATGAATAAGAGTGTGGAGGAGGTTTGAGCGGGTTACGACTTGTTGTTGTTTGATTGGCATTTTTTGGATCATTTACTGGCGACGGGGAAAACCTGGGAGCATTGGGATGTTGGATACCGTCCCGCCATATTAACGACTTCTTTCTATACTAACGAAGACATCTAACGACCACAGCGCGACATACGTAATTGCATATCACATCATAGCGTTTTCATACGTTTGTATCATTAACATCAAAACTAAAAAGAGCCACATATAGTCTGGCGGCGGCCCCCTAGTCTTTGGAGTTGGGCCTGGTATATTTATTACATATTCATTCATACGTTTGAAAACCCGTGTCTTGCCGTAATTGTGTGCTTTTGACCTTGATGGGTGAATTTGCAAAGCCGCGTCGTGAGGCTCGTGGGATTGATGTATCGCCAGTCTGTGGATGCAAATCCATTGATCTTTGATGTCTCGGCCGTGACATCACCCTCGGAGACTCCGACTTCCTTCCCAAGTTGATCGCTCTCTCTCGAAATCCTCCCCTTCCAACCTCACGTCGCAACCCTCCACCTCTGCTCAACCTCCACCTTCCTCCCCACAACCCCCCTCAACCACGCCTCCAAACTCTGCGCCTGGCCCTCACCATCAACGTCCATCCCCTCCCCCAACCCCACGCCCCCATCCCCCTTACAACAAACCTCCTCCGCCATCTCACACGCCTCATCCCACTCCTCGACCCCAAACTCCCCCTCGCTCTCATTTAACAGCAATTTCCCCTCCCCGTCGAACGCAAACACGTGTATCGAGCGCATCGGTCGCCGTCGGAGGAGCTCGTTCGCGGTGGGGGAGACCAGCATTCCTTGGCCGTCGCGCGGAATCGCGACGACGGTGGAGGTAAGGGTTGTGCGGAGGGGGATGGAAGCGGAGAGGAGGGCTAGGAGGGATGTGTGGAGGAGGTGCGGGAGTAGTGTTAAGCTCTACAGTTCATGTTAGTCCAATTCTTCCTTTCTCATTTCCTATCCTCCCTTCGTGGTGGGAAGAAGGAATGTCAATGTAAATCCACATACCGAAGCCGTGGTCGACGAGTCCGCGCCGCCGCTCTCCTCCTCAGGCAGACTCCGCACCTGCAGCGTGACCTGCACGAGCGTCCGCGGGATCTTCTCCACCAGCACGACGCTCCGCAGCGTGTCGTGCACCAGCGTCTCGAGGTGTCGTTCGCGCGGGGTGCCCACGCCGCCGGCGGGCCGGATGTTTACTTCGAGGGTCGCGGACGAGGGGAGTTCGTCGCGGCGCTGCACTTCTATGGGGCCGTTTACAGAGCCGATGATCGTGTGCGAGAGGTGCGTGTAGGTTGCGGAGCCGTCGGCGCGGTGCAGGGTCGTGAGGTCTGCGGTTGGGAGGGGTGCCATCGTGGGCGGGTTGGGAGATTGTTGGCGGGACAATTGGTTGAGAGTGGGTTGGGTGGTATGTTGAGAAGGGTAGGAGGGGTTGTAGATGGTTTGCGCGAGGGTGTGTGGTTGTGTCGTAAATCTTTTCTTGTTTGTAGATCTTCGCGAAAGAATTAAGATCGTAGAGAGGTTGATACCAAAAAGTTTCGCGGGGACGGATCTTCGCTTTGTTCTCCCTGCGGCCATAGCTCTTCTCCTCCGATATCCCAGGGCTGAACTGCGAGTGGATTGGCTGGACCTCGGCGGTGCCTTTGCTGGTCTGGTCCGTCATCTCGACTTCAGCTCTACAAACCTTCAATCTCTACCCGCATAGATACCCAGATACCCAACCCAGCGCATCGTTTATCCACTTTAACGGCATTTCAGACAACCTTTGAAGCAATCAACAGTTTGAATTTCGATATCTCTATCCGCAGCAACGAGCGACAATGGCGAGCTCTTCACGCGTCCCCAGCGCAACCAAGCGCCTCCTCCACGAACTGCAATCCTACCACACGAACCCCAACGAAGCTCTCCGCGAACTCGGTCCCGTAAACGACGACGAGATAACCCACTGGCGAGCCGTCATGACCGGCGTCCCAGGGACCGCCTACGAAGGTACCCATCCCATCCCCTCCATCTCCATCTCCATCTCAAACCAACCCTCACCAAAACAACCCCCCAACTAACACCCTCTCCCCCCATAGGCGGCCAATGGCTCCTCGACATCCAAATCCCCTCGACCTACCCCAACGCCCCGCCCACCATAAAATTCCTCACCCCCATCTGCCACCCGAACGTCGACTTCCGCACCGGCGAGATCTGCCTCGACCTCCTCAAGACCTCCTGGACCCCCGCCTACACCATCTCCGCCACCCTCACCAGCATACACCAATTGCTGACCTCCGCCGAGCCGGACAGCCCGCTGAACGTCGACATCGCGCAGCTGTTTCGTCTGGAGGATTACGTGGCGGCGGAGGCGCTGATTAGGTTTTATACGGTTACTGAGAGGTATGAGTGGAAGAGGGATGGGGGTGAGAGGGGCGCGGGGAGGGTGTAGTATGTTGGGGGGCTTTTATTAGACGGTGGTGGTTGGGGTGGGGGTTTCTGTTTTCTTTTGCATGCTTTTATGAGGATTGGGAAGAGGAAGGGAGGGGAGGGGATAATGAATTGATTTACGTATATACGCGGGAGGGAGTTGGGTATATATACATACTTGTACGCATGCAAATATGAACATTTTCTCATGTTGAGACAGCAGTGTGACTTCTTTGCATACCTCTACCGATCCTTCAAGTTCCATCTAGTCTACCCCATGACACATACTTTTACCGCAGGAGCAATGGTATCAAAGAATGTAAGCGCTTACCATAACCTCAAGGCCAGACTTCCAAACACATACTCTCACCAGCTTTAAAAAGAAGAGGGATGCCACGAAAGAAAGTACTCCGGAAATGATAGGGAAATGATAGGGAAACTGAAATTATATATGGGATTGTCTTGATTGGGTAAGGTTCAGTACTGAACAGTTTGTGCAAGAGCAAGCGTTCGACGATGTCGGTTGATAGAGAAGAGGACGGAGGGACATGTACATACGTAGTAGTAATTTTCGTAATAGTAGAGATGTCAAGTGACAGAGAGTGTCACAGTCCAGCAACCTACCTTCCACACCAATCTCCAACGTCATTCAGTATATAGGCGAAAGAATGGAAAAGAGAACAATAGTAATGCTCAATACACACGACGGAGGTTCCCATCCGTAAGACATAAACCTATCCAAGGACAGCCACACGAACTAGCAAATTCAAAATCGACCTTGTCACATGCCAACAGAGAAAAACCAAGGATGGAAATCGACGGAAGAGGAGAATGGGAAAAAGGAAACGGGAAGTCACATTCAAACGATTCCAATAAAGCCATCGCATGCACGTTACAACTGTCTCCTTGTGGCGCTAGCGAATACGGAACAGTTCCGGTGCGATACGACATGGTATCGTACTCTGGGGTAAAAGTGAGAGGGAAGGTAAGGTTAAGCGTCTTACGGTGGGTAGGTCCGGTAGGGTGAGGGATGTACCTTGTATGTTCTGTTCTGTTTCTGGTTTGTTGATGGGGGGAGATGAGAGGATGGACCGTGTGGACGGGAGACGGCATGGGGATGGAGGAGTTACTGTATGGGGTATATCGTTACGGCGTCAGAACGGGTTGTGGATGCGGGAAGGGGAGAGGAGGGATACGGTTGCGGTTGATTAGTATAACTACAATAGGGACGTTTTCCTGCATGATCTCCGATCCGATTCTTGGGAGTGTGAAAGGTGAGGAATGATGCTATTCTTGGAGAGAGAGGATTGGTCGTTACAATTGTGGCGTACTATGGAAAGCTAGAAACCGTCCCCCGGATTCTTGATCCGTCCAGCCAGCCTGGTTGAAATATCGAAGGACCCATGTGCAATATAACGCCTTCTATCTAATGGTCGTTTTTCCCTTTCCAGCCGACCCAACCCCGATTAAACACTCCAAACACCCGCCGCCAGTTCTAGAATTATACCTCTTTTTCCCTTTGGGGAGTTGAGGTTCGAGAATGTCAAATGAATAACAATCGTTAAGAGAAACGCTAGAACGGGAAAATAATACTGCACGCGACGATGGATGACCACCATGATGGCGTCGTCGCTTGACCTTGCGTCTGGAACGGCGTTGCCCCACTCAGCTGGTAAGCAAAAAGCCACTACTGCCCAAACATTTCATCCATCAGCTAAGCTCCATCGGAATACTGGTCCTGAGGTGCTTATGTGCGCTGTGAACTTGCGCGCGAGGCGCAATTCTATGCAGCATAGCGTCGCATGACGTGTCAGTTCCTGCTCGCGCGCGGCTCTCTGACGAGAATGGACATTAGGTCGTGTCTTGTGGCTGATGATTCTGATCATCTGAGACATTTTGAAATTCATTCCCCAGAAACCACCCACTGATTGCGCCGCCAACCACGAGAAGACCTCGTGATGGAACCGTGGAGAGTGGATTGGTATGCCGGTATGCTGTTCGTCGACACGCGCCTGGAGTAATCGATTGTGTTGTTGCAGTCCGGCGTGGAAGATTCCTCGACAGCGTCCACCGAAGAGTGCCTTCGAACGGTTGGAAGTGGAAACAGACTTGGATCATAGGGTCCAGGAAGTGGTTTTGGGGGTCCAGTCCACGGATAAACGGGTCTGAATGTTGGTGGAAACGAATTCTGGCCAATTGGAAATGGATGTTCTTTTATGGGTTGGTTCCAAGATACGGGACGCAGCGTCTGCTCCTTATCGAAGTATTGGAAGTTTGTTGTTTTGGCGAATACCTCTTTTTCTGGCGGTGGTAAACATTTCTTTGCATCCTTCTCTTCCCTGGGTGACCGATGGACGATCGAATTGCTCTTTCTCTGCGCAAGGAATATGCTCGTCAAACGTAAACAAACACATAGTGCCAGGACGACCAGTGATATCTTGAATAGATGGGTAGGTCGATTTGATGTTGCTTGGTCGGTGGTTCGGGACTGACCCGTAGGTATAGATGGAGGAGGCATGAAGAGCGCACAGTAGGAACAGAACGACTGATTTTAAAGGGATTGTCTTTGCATGAGGATGGGTGTGGTGTGATGCAGGTATCCGAGGCTGTCCACCAGTCAGTGAAGGGGGAACGCTGGTGCTTGTATAGAACTCACATGCAAGACGGGAGAACCGTCGAAATAAGCACTAGGGCATCAATGTTCCGTCTTCTGTCAGCAAATTCTTTGCGGTTTTACGAACTGTGGGATTGGCACAAGGGTATAAGTATGTCAGGGCGGCGATGGTTCAGGTCGCATCTATATCTCCTACCAGAAGCGCCCCTCATGAAAACAAGGAAGGAAAATACGCTACACCGCGAGGACCTCCCAGCAACAGGTTTCTCTAGAACACGAACTACATGGCTATGGTCGGACGGCACGATGAAACAGTGAGGCAGCCAGCTCTCCTCGTAAACAGTGATCGTGGAGGCATGGTGGGAGGTTGGCAGGATCGCCATCGTTCTTCGTGTGATTTCAGCTGTAACAATCGCGCCTCCCGATGATTTACAGCATAAGGCTGCTGGGATAGCCCCTGGCTCAGCATGGTTTGGGGTGAAATGTGTGTGGATTCAGCAGCGTTGGAGTGTCTTGGGAGGCAAGTTGGGGGAGACTTCAGCTGAGTTGAAGGCACGATGGCGTTCTAGCTCGGTAGTCTCGGGGGTGGTGTGGCCCGTGCGGCTCCTGCAATGTCAACGGCGAGCTGGAGATTCATATTCACACCAAAGACATTCCGGGACTAACTTAACTCTTCACTATACAATGCACTATGGAGCACTCTACCGTGGGAGAGGAGTCCAGTTCCACACTTATCCCGTGCTGCTAGGAACGAGCACTGCTTCTGCCACGCTGCACGCATCTACCGGAAATTGAGACTGGCCATGTCAGGTACTCACTCCCTCTGATATTCACCATCTCCCATCCCGCATATACAGTACATACGTACCACGTACTACTCCTCCCTCTCGATCCAGCCGCCAATTGCCGCACACTCTATTTCAAGCCTCATCTCGATGTAGAGAATGAAACAACGCGTGATGCCCAAGTTTTGATACCCTCAGCTGCTACCATGCCGCCAACCGAGCCTCAGTCCTCCTAGTCCGCGCGCCAGTGGGGCAGTCAAGCACTCTACAACCACGCTTCCGAACCAAGAAGTTCAAGCAGCACGATATTGTATCCACCTGTCAGGCGTGTGCTACTGACGCCGACTCAATGCTTTTTCTTGAACCTGCGGTGGCCTTTCCTCTCTCGTCGTCTCCCACAGGACTAAATACTCGAAATCCGCAAGATGATGTGGATGGCTGTCATACGCGAATCGATGGCTTCTGTGTGGCTTTACCTCTACCTATTCTTGCTGTGCCACAGATCTCGAGTTCTCTCCGATGTCAGATCTAAGGGTCTGGATCGACAGAGCTAGTTCTGCATCGGTCTAAAGTCCTCCACCGCCCTCGTCTTCCCTGGTTGGTCTACCTTAGTAGAAAGGCTTCAGTCTTTTTGAAAAGAGAACGGGATTGGTCACATAAAACTTTTTTCGCTAAACATGATACACCTCATGCCAACCGGAAAAGTACTAACAATAACTCACGAAGGAACTGGGTCAAAGCGATGGATATCCCCGCAAAAAGGACAGCCTATCATGTACATACGGATGACCACAACAACCGCGAACTTTCCACCGTAAGATCAGGGCGGTAGAATCTCCTGCCAGGAGAGCTCTTCTCAGTCCGGATTGGCTGACGCCATAGATCGTGGACCTCAGTTGCGACTGCAAAAACTTGTTTACAGCTTAATCACTGAGCAACCGTACCAGGAATACCGATCTTCGCTATTCATTCGCTACGGCACCGCCGACAAGTATAATAGGAGAAGGTCCTGGAATGATTATTCAGTGCTGGAAAGAGGCCGTCAACATCTTCAACGCCGTTCAGCAATCGCCAAGGGCCTACATAGACTCCGTCATTGGTTAGGAAGATAGGTATGGCTGCCAATCAGCCGCATATGTTGTACCTTTCGGGAATTTTCATAGACCGCGACCTTGTACCGTGAATCCTGTCGCCGGCGATGCCGTTGCCACCTCCTTATGCCCTCTTCTCAAGTCTGACCGATTCAAGTTCCAGCGTGCATAATGGAAATGATGAATTTGGGCCCCGAAAGGATTTTGATATCCTGATGTATGAGGCAAAATAACATGCCTTTCAATGCTTCAGCTTCACTAGTTATATTGCTTGCAGATTTCGTCGAGCCTGGAAGTGGTGAGGACGGTCGGAGTTGGACTGGCATAGCCACACTCTATCCCTGAACCCTGCTGGTTGTGGCGGCCAGACGTACCTATCGCTAAATTCCGACCTCCATTGCCTCGATACACGACTAGGACAACCTTGCTCAATGGTTTACCTATGTATCGCCGCTATTCTCTGACTGTGTGCCTCGTGACGTCCTCACCGGTATTGCCTGACTCGAGCGTAATGCTTCCATTGTTACACCGCTCCGCCTCGGGAGACGCAACCTACGCGTAGCTCGATCCTCTACAATTTCCTTTTCCAGCCTTGAGTTCGCAACAGCTTACCATGGATGATTGGGGCTATTTGCCATTGATCGAGGCTTTGCTTTGAGAATCATTACCATTATCGTCGGGGGTACTCACATCAGCTACGATGAAATGCCTCACTTCACAAAAGAAAGTGGACCGTCACATTCTCAGCTCGCATCGAAGGGTGAATTCTCCATATTGCACAAAAGTTACGTATAGAGGGCATGAATTTTCGGGATTCTAGTCCTAGAAGACTACCATGGCTCCATTTTAGATGCATGAACGCTGAATCCATAATCGTCAGATTTCCTTGAAGCAATGTGAAGAGCTAGGCCTGTGTTGTGCAGCACCCAATTCTCTTTCCAATGTTTGACTCGTGCCCGACGTAGGCTAAGATATGGCTAGAAACCATTCCAGCGGTGACCTAACGGACCAAAGGCCCCACTGCTAGACCTTCCCGCAACAATGTAGTATGCTCAAACGCTATCAAGCGCTTCCGAAATTCTAGATGTCCCTCTGTGCATGTACGGTCACCAGCCTAATTATAGTGGCCACGATGACCTCGCTGGCCTCGCTGACCTCTTTGACCTCGTTGGCCTCGTTGGCCTCGTTGGCCTCTGTCAGAGTTGGGAGTATTCGGTATACGGCCAGGAAATGCCCCGCGAGGTCCTTCGCGAGGTTCACCATGATTCCCTCCACGAGTTTCACCACGACTTCCTCCACCAAGGCCACCACGATTCCCCCTGCCCCGCGCCATTTGGAACGGTATGTCCCCCAAAGGCCCAACTTGGTCCAGCATCTCGTCCATACCCCGTTCGGCATCCTTTAGCTGCCTGTCGAGTTCGGCTTCCCGTTCTTCGGAACGGTCACCAGGCTCCAAAATCTCTCGAAGTCTCGCAATCCAGTTCTGCCGAGTGCTGAATGCTCGGTCATCTATCGGATTCTGTGCGGGCCGGAGCGCCGTATCAAGCTGTGTTGCCATGAGTGACTTATCATGTGATCTTAGTGAATGATACAAACTTACGAGATAGGCAAACCTTCTCTTCATTGTTCGGATCTTCTTGGCATTCTCTTCTTCAAGTTTCTTCTCGACTTTCTCCTCGAGCTCCAGATTCACGACTTCCTTGAGATGAACGTCCATCAGGGCGACCTCGCGGCGGGAAATGTTCCTGCAGAAGCGGCAACCGCCCTCCGAGAAAGGGGCGTCGCAGAGGACCTGGCTCTCGGGGAATTTGAGGAACCTACAGTTGGCGTATTCCGCAGGCACTGTAGGGGGTGAGCTCCTGGCGGTTCGGTACGAACCAGTGGAGTCAGAGGCGACAGAGATGGCTGAGGACTCTGGTTTGTCGTCGATTTCGGCTTCGATGGCCGTAAGGCCTGCTTGTTGGGGCAGGTCCAGGAGGTTTGTGGTCGACATGTCGACCAAGTGTGTATCGCCAACTGATGGCGTTGATATCGGTTCAGTGCGTCGCTTGTGGAGGCCTGCACACTTCTCTGTTAGCTTATCCGGGCGCAGGCTCAAACTGTGCAAGACGGATTTGGGGAGGGTTGAGAGAGAAAATGTGAAGGAGGAAGAAGGAGGAGGGTTTATAGAATTGATTGCTTGCTATTGTGTCCCAACTTCACTTGCTCAGCGACTTCACTTGCTATCCTACGTCACAAACTCACCAGCGACCGCCGCCGCTGCTACCTAACAAACACAGTGATATTGTATAAAGTGATATTGTTTGATCGTCTACCACTAGATCTCAACTTCACTTGCTCATCTACTCACCTACTTAACACGAACCGCCGCCGCCGCCATCCTCTACCTTACTTACCTCACAAACAAAGCGACATCGAAAAAACAACCACAACTGTTTTACGTGTCGCAAAAACTTTACCAAACTTTACCTACGCGTGGAAGGGCTCTCCTCTTCTATCACCCACCACCGCTACACAAACTTACAACCATCGTGGTAAGTAAGAGGAGCAAGGAAGAGATCATTCCAAAAAGCCCTATGGAGTCATTCAGAGCGGCGGCGATCCTATCCTTGCCGTGTTTCCCGCTCCAGCTCCCGAAGGGCTTCTTGAGAACATTCGGTCGGAACAATACCAACAACGCTGTGGTACTGTAACCGCAACTATCGCCCGAGAGGAACAACGAATGATACCGATCTGAGTATCGCGTCTGTGACACCAAACGCTTTGATACCAGCGAATGGCCATGTTCTGATATACGGAAGAGACTCTTGAACATGCCAAATTCTAACCATAACTTCCATAGAGAAAACTCTTCAAAACGAGGCAAACATGGAGAACAACGCGATGAAGTTGTTGATGAAATTCAATGAGTCAAACATTGCATTGATCGAAGAAGTAGAGGAGATACACTGGGAAAAATCAGACGATGATGGCTTCGAGGGTTGCTCCCCAGGCGACTTCACAGAAATCAAGTCATTGACTCCGTATAAAAATGTGGAGAAAGACGTGGAGAGTGGGAAGGAGCCAGAATTTATCTTTAGGAAGATCAAATTCAGTAAGTGAACCAACGTTTCGACGGAGCCGTTTTCCATGGCTTGCGATCCAGTCACTCAATGACGTCAAACAGACTACAAGCTAGTGGGCCGGATCTACCTACACATGATCACGACGATCAAGGAATTCCAGTCATGGAAGGGAGAGTCTGACAAAGAAGCATTGGCAAACCGAGAGCAGTTGGAAGACCTCCTTGAGGACTTGGCTCTCTGCCATGCGGAAGAAGAATCGAACGCCAAGTTCGAAGAGAAAACCAGGACAGATGCCGAACGAAGAATTCAGGAATTTGAGCGACAAGCGAGTGTAGCCAAAGCTGAATTCTACAAAATCAAAGCAGAGCTCCAAGGTGAGCAGAAGCTAAAAGAGCACGTACGCTGCCTGGAGGAAGAACTTGCCGCCCTTAAGGGAACAGTGTCAACCTACAGACACAAGAACAAAGAGCTGGAGAGCAACTTAAAGTCTCAAAGGAACGACCTCCAAGAGATGAGGTTCAGACTGGCAAATTCGGAGGCTGTGGTGAGGGAGTATGAAGAAGCAGCAGCCGGACTCCGCCAGAATTGCGAAGCGGCTGAACAGAGGGCGTCTGATCTAGAGGCCCAGTTCCAGAACAAGTGCTCCGGCTGTACTGCTCCCGAGACCACTACAGTTCTTGCACCTAGTTCTGTACGAGTGCTCGTCCCGAAAGGGGCAGTTGAACGCATAAGAGTTGAGCCCGTCGGCAGTAAGCAGCAGGCAGAGCAGTTCGACGACTCAGTCGAGAACCTTTATAATGTGGGAGAAACTGTGAAGGAAAAGAAAAGGAGGCCAAAAAGGGACCAGAGGAAGAAGAATTTTATAAGCTTTGCAGAGCCATCGCATCGACCAGAACCCGGCCAGCCAGAGTCATGCAGGCCAGAGTCAACTCAATCAGAGGCCAGCGCGACAGAAGATGAACCGCAAGAAACCAGTATTCCCATACCATATATTCACAGAAACCTTGATCCATCCAAGAGAGATGAGAACTTCCCGCCTCTTCCCTTGGATTCACAGGTTTGTTTTCAAACACACGAATCCATCATGGATTATAGTAACATAATGATATAGACACCAGTTTCTAACACCGCGAACACAAATTTGCCAATTCTGTCGATTGTCTCCCAGAAAGGGAAACATAAGAGCCATACCTCTTCGGGCAGTCCTCAATGAAGCAAGTCATAAGAACAACAGTCATGTTTCTTGGTGCTGTGCTTGGAGCCCAAACGACCCAGAGAGGGACTATTGGGTTCATCCCTTTTGAATTCCATTTTGCTGAGAATGTGGAGAAATTCTTAGTTGATTAGTACTGCTGAGCTGGAGAGGATTCGCTCACCTTGTATTTGTTGGGCTTGGAGTGCATATAAGAACCGAATGAGCAATGACATAAATACTTTAACTTGCTTATACATCCTGAAAGTCTACAACGAACGAATTTACTTCCTGAATCCATCTCACTACAGTCGAATGTCGATCTTCAGACAAGATGAACAAAGGCGGGAGTGGCGCAAGCTTTGTTTGTTGACCTTTTACTTATAGATCAAAATATAAGGGTTAATTACAGAGTAGGTATTGATAGAGGGGCTTAATCAAATAGCATTGCTATTGAATAAGTACCTTAATAGCCAGAAGTAAGACTATAATTCCTCTCCGACAAATCTTCTCCTCCGTCCCGATGATTTGTGCAAATAGTTGTTGCAATCATGCTGTGCAAACTTAACACCGGTAGACGAAATCTATCGTGCTTCACTACCGTCTACTCACAATAGATAGCTTGCAATGAAACTGCATTGTACGGATCGTAACAATAAGGACTAACTGATACCTGAAGCCTGGGGGCCTACGAGTGCAAACGCGTCAATAGCTATGTTATTGTGTTGACGTGACGACAGAGTCGCGTTCTCGCAAACCTCCTTCACTTTTTTATCCCCCAGAATCCCAACTCGCTCTTTTACCTGCGGCATCGTCTCCATCACAGGACTTCACTTCCTTTCCGTTCGCTCTTTCCTTTTGCAGCAACACATATAAGACAGTCCCTTCTATCGAACCTTCTCAGACTCTTTACCAAACTTCCGATCTTCAACGCTGTTGTCAGCAGCAAAGAAACATCACCTACAAGAACCGATTCGTCCCCAAGTACATGGTACCACAAGTTCAAGGTACCACAAACAAAAGGTAAGACGCAAAACTATTAGCAAGGATGCTGCTATCCTCAATTCACTCCACATCAGATGGAATTCGACTTGGACGAGTTTTTCGTTGGAACCAGGCTGCTTGACGAAGACGATCCCCTCCCATCTTCCTACAACGGCGGGCCTGAGCAAGTTGGGCCTCACAATCAACCCATTATCGGCACGGGGGATCCTTCCAGCACCGCCCGGGATGTGGAAGCGCTCAGACGCTGGCAGTTCGTCGGGTCGCCATTGCACGTTGCCTTGCTCGAGAAAGCGGAGTTGCAGGAACAGGCAGAGAAGTATAGGGCGGGGGTTGCGTACCTCAAATGGCGCCTTGACATGATCGAGGGTAAATTGTACGATGATGCTCGGCGTACTATATACCTTGAACGGGAGAATCGTCGCCTCAGGTGCGAAGTGAAGGCGCTTGCAGAGCGATCTGGCAGTGCAGATAATGAGGATTCCACACTGGAGTCCGAGGATGACGATACGTCGGCGAGTTATACGGCGACGGACGAGGTGGTATTCATGCACGTCTCGAATATTATACTCCCGAATATAGTAGCAAACCAGGAGGAGCAAAAGGTCAAGTCGGCAGTCCATCACAAGCATCGCCGCTCAGGTCTGGAGAGAAAGATGAAGAAGGAGCGCGATGATGCACTTGCTGCCGTAGAGGAATTGAAGAAAATCAACACCGACCTTCAATCTCAGCTCACGATCGAGCAATCCGGTATTCCGCACCTGCGCGAAGGTGGTCCCGGCGAGGGCATGGCCACGGTCTCGATTCCTGTGGAGTTCAACATCGATCGAGCTGATTTTCGGAAGCTCCAATTCGTGTTCGAGTGGAACCAGATCAAGGTACAGGCCGGGTTTGAGGAGTTCTACAGGCAGTGGAAGAAGCCTGCATCGCTGCAGGATAAGACCGATGGAACCGACCATGTTGAGAACAAGAAGAGAAGGATCCGTATTGGCGTCAACATCGATGATGGCTTCACGACGTTTGGGGAACAGAAGTATTCGCCCGTTTTCGCTGAGCATGATGGATGCCCCTTGAAGCGTGACACCGGAGATGCCTCCTCTGAGGCCAGAGAAGTGCACGACACCGAGGATGGTGGATGTAGCGTATACGAGGAGCAATTGATCAAGAGTACTTTTCCATGAAGGACAGTACAGGTATCCCCTCTCACACGCTGTTCGGTCTTTGGCAGATCTCTTTTCTCGTGATCTCCGCCGGATTGGAATAAGCTTTGCATCGACATTGGAATCGCCTCTTTATTGATATATTTTCAGTACAGGCCAGGATCAAATCAATACCATAACCTTTTCTTTTGTATCAGGGCCATTCCCGCAGTGATCAGAGGCCTTTTGGAGCAGTGACTTGTCATTTAGTCAAGGATTAAAAATAAGTGATCCAGCATATAGAAAGAAAACCACTCCCAGTGGCCATGTTAAAATCAGACGTCTCCATCTCATAATCGCATTCATATTCCATGTAGAAAGTGTTAAAACTGACTGTACATTTCTACATCAATTCCCCGACAAGCGCACGGATCCCCATTGCGGAGCGGGCCCACCGACTCGCACCCGTCCAATCAGGACGACATATCAGATAACCTTAGATGGATCGCATGCATACACACCTACCTCAACTTCAACCCTAAACCTCTATCATAATCAACAACCAAGCTCCAACTCAATTACAATACCTCGAAAACCCCACAAACACGCTTTCTCAGTCCCCTCACACCCGCCCACAGACGAACGACCTCCTTCCTGACCTACCTGGAATCAATTACAATACACCCACCCACCACATCCAACATCAGACCCCTCGGAATCGACATCGAAACCAAGCTCCCTCACCACCACCTCTCCCTCTCCCCCCAACTACAAATCCACACACACATAAACCCGTCGGGGACACCCATGACGACGCCCACGCAATCCTCCTCCTCGGGCGGCGGTGCCCCAGGCCTCCGCTACCCGTCCAACAAAAAGACCATCTACGACCGCAACCTGAACCGGTCGAAGAACGCCGAGCTCAGCCGCGCCGCCTTCGCGTACCTATTCGTCGAGATGATATCCTACGCGCAGAAGAACGTGCGGAACCTCGTCGACCTTGAAAAACGGTACTTACCTCCCTCCCCTTCCCTCCCTCCCCTTCCCTCCCTCCCCTTCCCTCCCTCCCCTCCCCCTCAAACGCATCTATGGGAAACATGTACGCACATGTGAATAAGTACTGATAGAAGAGGAAATAGGTTAAACGAACAAGGCCACCCCCTCGGCCTCCGCCTCCTCGACCTCCTCCTCTCCCGCACCTCCAACCCTCTCTCCTCCATCCGCCCGACACGCATACTCCCGCTCCTCCAATTCATCGCGCAGACGCTCTGGCGGCACCTCTTCGGTCGCCCGGCCGACGCGCTCGAACGCAGCGAGAGCGACGCGGGGCAGTACATGCTGTACGACAACGAGCCGCTGGTCAACCAGTATATTTCGCTGCCGAGGGAGATGAGCCAGTTGAATTGCGCGGCGTTTGTGGCGGGGATCGTGGAGGGGGTGTGTGATGGGGCGGGTTTCGCGACGGAGAGCGTTACGGCGCATAGTGTTGGGGAGCAGCAGGCGGAGGGAGGGGGAACGGGAGGGGGAGGGGGGATGTGGCCTGGGAAGACGGTGTTTTTGATTCAGTTTAAGCCGGAGGTGCTGGAGAGGGAGGAGATTCTTGGGAGGGGCGGCGGTTGATGAAGGATGAGGGGTGTGAGGCGAGGAGGAAATGCGTGGAGAGTGAACGTTAGAGATACTACCAGAGCTCGATATATCGGGCTCATGTATGCCTATTATGGTATGATAAACCAATTGCTATGATCAAAGGCATCCAAACCCCTTGAACCGGTCTATTCATATCACATCCATCAGCCCGTCACACCCACCAAACCCAACCATTCACCCAAACCACGCACCTAGCACATGCAAAGTACAAAGTAAAAAGAGCATCGAAGCCCCCCTCTCCCATCCATTTGTCATACCTTCATCTACGTGGCCGGTCTCTTAGAAGACTTCGGAAAAAGTTCACCATTGTGACTTAGGGGTAGATGACAAGGCAGGACGACACCACACCACACCACAAATCGCATCACAAAAGCAGACATCACATTCAATCCTCAGACATTTTTAAAATTTGAACAAAACCCTCAGTGGTGTTACCTCGGGGCCTCGGGGCTGCGTTTATGCATATGCAATGCAATGCTCTACTCCAAAAGGGGGATCCAAAAAACCCCCACTGTTTACAAAAAGGTGTGTGTGGTAGAAGAAGGGTGGAAAAGTTTAGAAGAGAAAAAGGTGGGAGATCCAAGGACCTGGGCTATCTGTCCCACTTGCAAGAAGAAAAGGAGGAGGAGGAAGAAAGGGGGGGATATGTCGCCGCCAGAAACATCCGTCAAATACCCAAAATGAGAAAGAACAAAAAAAACAGAGAGTAACACGCCAAAAAAAAGATTCACATAATGCCATCTCGCGTTTGAACATGCTTACCCCCCAAATGGAAAAGGGGTTGTGTGTGTGGCAAGTCAGTATAAAGGAAGAGAGAAAACGATGGGGACGCCGATACACCAATATGTGCCAACCGAAACCCGCAAAAAACCAAAAGACCGGTTTTTTTCGAAGGGTCATGAGGGTATATCCTACAATAAGAGTTACGAGATGATGAAGGATTCGTCGATTGCACCGCTGCACCGCATCACCTTCCGGCTTTTGCTGAGACGGGGGATGCGCCGTGTTGTTTCTGCCTCTTGCCCTCCAGCCACTTGTTGAGCATGGCATCTAGCTCTCCGCCCAACTGTGTGACTGCTTTCGACTCCTCCACGAAGAGTTGTGACATGATGGGGTGGTTCGGTCCAACAGGAACAACGCCAGTGGTGTCGTTGATGACAACAAGCATATCTCTGATATCACTGCCATCGTCAAGGTATGTTCGCAAGGAAGAGTCTGACCATGCAGGAAGCGACATGCTTTCTGATGACACAGGCGCGGACGAGTCCTCCATCTCTTTCGTGGGAATGGGCGCTGGGCGAGATGGAGGGGCTCCTGCGGAAGAGGGGTCCAGGAGTGTGGGTGATGGGGAAGCCCCCGCGCGAATAGTCGACTGTTCGGATTTCGACGACGGGTCTCGGGAAGGACCGTCTTCAAGTGTGGGTGTCGAGACCGGTGACGGCGTTTCTTGACTCGAGGTATCGGCCGTGAGGCCAGGAGGATGTTGAGAGTCAGGTTCCTGTTCCTTACCATGTTCCTTCTCTGCAGACTGTGCATCTGCGGCTGAGATGTGGACGGGTGATTCGGAGAGGCGGCCGGTCGGGTCCGATTCGCCTGCCCGCGAAGCGTCAGCTGCAGCCAAGTTGGAATCCGCAAAGGGATCATTCTTGTCATCTTCCGAATCAAAGTCGTCGAGTTGTACACGTTGTTTAGCTTTCTTGACTTTTTCGGGGCGTGGCTCGCCATCCTGTTGGCCTTTGATGATGTTGATAGGGTTGAGTTTGGATGCTGCAGAATTGGAACGCGAACGGGTCTCGGGTGACTGGACACGCTCTTCGATGGCCGCTTTGGGCTCTTCTTCTCGTTCTGGCGAGACCAGGCGCATTGTGGATGTAGGTTGGACAGTGGAAGGTTTATTATCGGGAGCTTCTTTCTTAGATGCTGGCTGAGAAACAGGTTGAGAGAGGTTCGAGTCTGAAGTTTCGGTCTTGAGAATGCCCTTCGCAGGCGAATCGTCTCTGTTTCGTTGCGGCTTTTGCAGCTTGCCTTTGCTTGGTTGTCGCTGTGGTGATGAAGTGACTGGTTGGTCGGTGGAAGGTCGTTCAACAGGTCCATCCATGGATTCTTTAGATTGTGGAGAGTTGCGGCCGAATTCCTCGGATTGTTTCCCGTCAGCATCGCTATCGATAGAGTCGAGCGCACCGCTACCCTTGGACTTCTTGTCTTTGCGCTTGAACAATCCACTAAGCATTCCTGGTTTCTTCTCCTTCTTCTTCTTGTCGTCTTTGACCTTGTCCGCGAATCCGTTCTTCTCAAGACTCTCGAGGCTGGCACCACGTTCTCTTGAGCCTGTCGTTGATGTGCTGGAATCGTCTCGAAGTAGATTGGGCGTAAGAGTAATCTTCCTTGTCTCCGCGTTATCGTCTTTGAAGAAGGAATCAGTGTTGCGCATCGTCCCGTTTCGGGAGACCTTGGGGTCGAGAGGGCGATCAAACATCTCGTCACTAGATCTCTTTTCACTCTCAGCCTTGGCTGCCTCTTCGCTGGAAGTCCTGGATTCAGACTCGGAGTTCGTTTGCTCCTTTTTAGAACCTCCGACCTTGAGCGGTTGCACCTTGAGTTTTTCATCTTGGTCTCCTTGTGCGTCCTCGGCGACGGCCTGTGTCTGGTTTTGTGTCGGGTCCGGTCCGCCAAAAAGTTCACCATCGTCACCTTCATCCGAGGAGTAATCATAGTCGGAGGCCTCGACATAAGTGGGTGCTGCAAATTGGACTGTCTTCGCATTGCGTCGGCGCATGGCCTTCTTCAAGGGGTTTTTCGATTTTTCGGCAGTGTCTCCGAGCATAGTTGCTGAGAGGTCAATGTTTCTATGCTTGTTCAAACGAGCAAGTCTTTCTGTCGGTGTTTCGATGTGTTCGGCGGGCAGATAACCTGGGACATGTGAGCGCCGCCATGTTTCATCTTCTCACGAATACGTACCAATACTACTATCTTTGACGACTCTAACAAGCCACCAATAACTGTTGCTGTCGTCCAACAACACCATTGTGTCGCCCTTGGTGGCATTTGCCTGTCCTTCCACCGTGGCGACGAAAGTGTGCAGTGCGTATACGAATTCGAAGTCGATATCCTCTGTTTCTCGTAAGCATTCGCCTCCCCAGCCAGAATCAATGTAGCGAGGATCAGAAGAGAAAGAAATGCCCTTGGTTTCGTCACTGGTACTTTCATCGAAAGAATCAATGTCGCTGTCAGTCGTCCAGCCAGAGTCATCATCATCATCATCATTGTTGTTGTTGGGATCGTCATCGTTGTTGGGTTCTTCCACGTTAGTCAAGTCCTTGGGAGCATAAGTGGGCTCATCGTCTGGATCGATAAATGTGTCACAAATCGGACTGCGCATGGGTCGCAACATGCTTTGTACTTCATCCTCGTCCAATTCGGAAACTAGTGGAACCTGCGATTCCTCACGTGGTGTTTGCAATTGTCCCTCGGCCATTGAAAATCGCGCGGTCTGCGGGCTCGATGCATCGTATATCAGAGCGCCATTGCTGTCACATGGTTCCGATCCGGGTTGTCCAGTATACTCACCATGGTGATGATGATGATAATCTGTGGGTTGACTTTTCTTGGGCTCGGGAGGAACATATGAAAGATCCGGAATAGGAAATGATACAGTAGAAGTGAGCGTAGGAATGATCTCCTGATCACTTCCCAGCATGTCTGGAGAATTTGTCGCAGAAGAAGTTGAGATTGGAAAATGAAGTGGTGTAGCCGTAAATGGCGAAGAAGAGAAAAGAGAACTTGAAGGAGAGTTTGCCGCATCTTGAGATTGGCGCAAGTTTGGGGTCTTTGGGGACACCTGGTCTGGTGATGCCGTTGAATAATATGAAATATACCCACCATCGTCGATCGAGGGCGAACTCGAGATCTTATCCATCATGTCGTCGTCCATGTCTTCCTCCTCTTCGGCGTCCTGCAGGTCGCCATCGTCATTGTCGCCAGCCATTCCTCCATTCAGTCGTACGGCTTGTTCGTCTTTCTGCGAATTGCCTCGGTCATCGTGTGAAGCGTCGTTGGCCATGCCATTCTGTAATCGCACTTCCTCCGAATGTCTTTCCTCGTTCACATTTCGCAAAGCAGCTTCCTGGTGGGGCGCGGCAGGGCCTACTCCCAGAGGCGCTGGCTGTTCCGGCTGGCGGGTGTGGTCTTGTGCGGTTGGGGAGGTCTTGTCTTGTAGATCGAGGGTATCTGTTCGCATCATTGTGGTTAGCAATCGGGCGTACAGAGTGGCGGAGATGCGTCGGAGTGCCTACCAGCCCTAATAATTTGTGGTCGCGTCATCCTAAATCATGTCCAGAGTGTGTAGCTGAAGTTTGAGATATTTTTTTGGAGGTTCTCCGAGATGTCCTGCCAAGATTGGTGTGGTGAGGCGCAAGGGGAAGAGGGGCGGGCAGGGGCCAGAAGATGTCGTGAGCTGCGCGGAGAGAGCGGTGGTCGGCACGGGAGGTGGAGAATGTAGAGGGAGAGAGGGCGAAGGAGAAGGTCGTAGTCGTAGTCGTAGGTATTCGTGGAGAGAGACGGGTAGGCGCGATAATTGAAGAAGAGTGAACGTCGTGTGTTGGGTCGCGGACAAAAAGAAGGAGTGGCTTTGGCTAGTGTGGTTGTTTGGCTGCTGGGATGTCGGTCGGTGATCGAAGAGGCAAGAACCGACGTTGTTGGGTCCGTCCGACAAGCAACTAATTAAAGGAGCGACGTTGCGATTCGATTGCGGCTCTGGCGAAGGAAGAGACAGAGAAGAAGGAGAAGCGGTGGAGAGCAGGGTCAGCACAGCTGGCTTTCGGAAGCAGGCGGCGGCGGCGCAGATGAGGAGGAGGGTGGTGTTGTTGTGAGGTGGTGTGTAGAGAGAGAGAGAGAGAGAGAGGAAGGAGAGAAAGTGAGTGAGTAGAGTAGCACAGCACAGTAGTAAGTTTACCGTAGTCGTAACTGGTAGTAACTAGTAGGAAACTTGGTGGGTGTGTTGGTAGGGTGACAGACGGGATTTGCGACACAATCCAGGAATTAGTTGTACAGAAATTCAGAGACAGACAGCCCAGACAGACATTATTTTGGGGGGCCTCGCACGGTATCGTATTTTTGCTTGTATTATTATTTATTCGTCTACAGTAAGGACCATGTACGAGTAATCATGATTTGTCTGAGGTGGTACAATACACTATGTGCCGCTGTTGTCATTGATGATGCTTTTTCTGCAACAGTCACCAAATGTTTTGAAATCTATGAGTCCAACTCGTTCAGACATCAGACATTCTTCGATTAATGAAACAACAGTGACTATCTACTTAATCAGTAATCCACTTGTCCACACAGTAAAACGGAGACAACAATTACTTGTAGATACATACAAAGATAGATGGAGATGGACTTGGGCCTTCTCTCCTCCTGGTTCGTCCAAAAAAGATGAAACAGGCCGTGCACCCATTTCGGGGGTCCTGGCTCTTTAGTCTCCCGCTGGCATTGGCTCCCTGTGCGAATGGGGCTAATCTATTTCGGGCCACCTCCCTCGGATCTTCATCAGCCAAACTTCCCAGCCATCATCTTCCCTTCCAGCTGATCCCAGTCCAGCCCTGAAAGGGGGCGTAAAGTAAATCCACATTCATTTGCCATCTCCCTCCCTTTCCCTCGCTTTCCCCATGTCGTACCCGTACCACTCACTCAGGAGAGAAGATTCTTTACCATGGCACAGAGTAACACACTCCAACCCATATCCAGACCAAAAGTCCCCATCTCTGTCCTACAGAATCATCTTCTCTTTTCCATAGCACGCGGCCCAGCACATGCTCAACTTTTTCCCCGCATTCGATGAAACGCCTGCTGTTGAAAGCCTTCCCATCGCTGTTAGAGCTAAGAAAAATGTTAAGTCTTGTTTCATGCTACCTACCCGCGACGCGACCACCGATCGACACGCTGGCGCGGATCCTCATGACCACACTTAAAGCGAGAACTGCTGTAGTCTGCACCTAACAATTAGTACGATTGTTAGTAGAAATTAGAAGCCAGAAAAGCCAAAAAGAAAAGGGGATTTCTGGGTTCTGTGCAAAGAACAGCTATGATCAACCGACTGTTTCGGTGTCCTTTCCTCCCAATTTGGTGGGGAGAAGGGTATGCCCAATGCGCGCAACCGAGACCCCGATACGATGCGCTGCGGACCCTTTGGCGCTCGAGGTCCCCAGAACACTCGTTGGAAGTCTTGATCTTTTCGGCGGCGCTCTACTATCCGATATCTGATAATGAAAAGTGAGAGTGCAGTAACGCTTCAAGTTGCTTTTCCTTTCCTTCTCCTCTTTGGCGAAAGTACCGCTGTGGCTCCACATACCTTTCGCTTGAAATTCCTGCCCAATCACGGAAGTGAGCCGAACCGACCATTGTCCAGTAGGACCACCCACAGAGTATCAGATGCATCACATCACGCATGTCATCTGGCGAAGCGCTCAATCGTCCCTCACACTTGCATTTCTTCAATCCCACAATAGCACGTCAGATCCAAGTGGCACAGCGGAGAGCGCTTGATCGTGTGCTCCGCCTCACGTACCCGCATGAGAAATGTATCTCGCGGGGCCAATCCGAAGTCCGATCCCCGGATCGATAATTACTTCTTCATGATGTATTCTTATTCAGTATCTCCAGAGGCATAACAGCCGATCGTAGAAGCTTGTAGTGACAAAAGTCCGCCGTCCGTTTTCGTCGACCCCGGGCTGACTGTCGCTGCCATAATTCATACTCTTGTGCTCCTCAAATTGGGCCAGGACCTCGAAGTCCCAATCGTGGTTTTCGGTCCGTCTGAGCCTCAGAATTCTTGCGCCTGCGTGCATGCAGCTCGCCAGCAATAGCACCTCAGTGCAGTCTGGGTCGCTATCCAACTTTTTCAGACGCCAGACGCCCCCGCCTAGATTCAGCTCCGCTAGCACCGTCTTCCTGCCCACCACGGGGACGTCCAATAGTCGTATATGATCGTCGTAACTGCCAGTGAGAACCTTCATCTCGCCTTCGGCGATAATGAGGGGCAAAATTGCTGTGACGCCAGCTCCATGTATCTTCCTATTTGTCCATACCTGTGTCGCAGCATCTTCCCCGTCTAGACCTGGCTCTGTGCCATCGGTGCCGTTGGTCGGTCGTTCCCAGTAGATGAGCGCACTATCGTCACCTCCAGAAAAGAATGCGTTGCCCTTGGGTAGAAAAGTTACTGTCCAGGCTTCAAGATCGTGGCTTCCTGCATCAACTGAATGTATATCCTTAACGTCCTCGACGTCGACCACTGGCTTTCTCAAGCAGACTTCTCCGGTTGTCAGCGTCATCGCAACCGTCGTGCCATCCTGAGACCATGAAAATGCCGTGACAAGTACATCCGAAGGAAAGAATTGAAATGTCCTCCAATGAGACAAGATTGGTAGTTTGGGTGGTTCCGGGGCTCCAGTAAGTTTCTCTCCTGCTTCATTCCCAAGGTAGTAGAGGTCGAATGATCCAGTCGATGTTGCTACTCCAAAGCTTGAGGGTGGAAAGTTTCCAGGTGCAAAATGGATGTCGAGAATGGCGGACGGAGTTGGGAGTGTTTGTATTATTTCGCTGTTGAAGTCAGTATGCTATAAAGGCAAACACCAGATACTTGAGGAACAAAGCATCGTCAGGAAGTGGAATGCAAATATCAACTTACACATCATCACCCTTCACTCGAATCAGAATAATGCTCCCGTCCCTTTTCTGTACACGTTTCTCCCCAGCTTCTCGCTCATCAGACTCTTCTTGGGCATCTTTGTTGGTCTCAACTTGATCCTCGTCAGATCTGTCCAAATTATATGTGCCCACTACAGCATACTGAGGATCCAGAGGCCAAAATTCGACACAGCTCGGTGGTAGATCGAGTATAAGCGACTTCAATGATGTAACGGTCGTCATTATCCACCTTAATCGGGCACAAAAACTCTCCCAATTACTGCCGTATTTGACTTCTGAAGGATCAGGTTCGGTGGCGGTTGGAATTGATCAATCAAATTCGGCAGGAGGTGGGATGTGATCGCTGACTAAGCACATCTTCATCATTGCGATTTCCCATCTTCTCCTTCCCTCCAACTTCATCAACCTAATTATAATTCGTGAGGCTTTTCGCTGTGCCTGAGTGGCGTTTGTCTAGCATCTTTGAACGGGCGGTCAAGAGAATATTGCCGCTCAACTACATTGTCGCTCAATCGTAATCTGACATCTATCCCTGCATAGCCTCACTGTTGCCTACACTAAACCTCAGGCATCCGCACCACCTGACCAACATCAAGACGACTTCAATGTATTTAAGTCGCATGATTTCGTGTCTATTTCGTGTTCTCGCACAACGCGACTTGAATCAATTCATTCTTTTCTCAAAGTTGATTAATCAATTGCCAGTTCACGGCTAAACCATCATCATGTCTTTGTCACAATCGGCAATCCAAGATACGAGCTCGACGGGCAGATATTCCAAACGCAAGAGGGTCCAAGTGAATTACTATGTGGATGGTTCCGATATCGAAGACAACGAAAAAGAGGATGAGGAAGATCTCGTGGCATACAAGCCGTCAAAGGTTTGTCTTCATCGTCAGTGCTTGGGAAAATTCAAGTCTGATGCATGAAACAGAAGCGCAGAGTCGCTCGGCCATTGCCAAAGCATAAAATCTTCCCCTTCCTTGAGCTCCCCGCGGAAATCAGAAATATGATCTACGAATATGCACTCGTCGATCCTAAAGGCGTGCACTTATACCCCAACACCCAAAGTTATCGCCGCTCTGTTGTTCGAGCTGCTCCCAGCTTTATCGACCGATACTGGGGAGGATCTCAAACGAGATTTACCTTGAACAGTCAAACTTCTGAAACTCTTCCCCTACGTCCTTTGAGGCTTGTACCATCTCTCCTCGCAGCCAACTCACAGATCTACCACGAAGCCAAAAGTATCCTATACGGCAACCACTTCCAACTGTACGACCCTCTCGCTTTGCATTCGTTTATGGTCGACATCGGACCGCGTGCAGCAGCTATGGTGAAAAATATCACGCTGGCATCGTGGGGCTGGCGCCGCGGCATGCACAAAGCATACAACCACGCATGCTTTACTGCCATGACGAGTGCAGTCAACATTGAGAAGTTCACATTCGGTGGACTACTGTATTGCCACAACGACCCAAAATGGGTTGCCCGTCAAATCTACCGCGACGCATTTCCATTCCTCGAAGCCGTTGGTGCCGCGAAGGGCAAAGTCGATGCAGCTATAGATATATTTGACATATCCGAGCAGAACTTTGATACACGCCACCGTTGGCGAAGGACGCCACAGGTAACTCGCCCTTATGAAGAGAGCATATCGATATTCAAGACCGAATTGAGCAGGCTTCTGGGTATGCGCATGGACAAGGTTCGTAGCAAGCCAGTAAAGAGAAGGAAAGCAGAGGATTATGAGCTATAAGACTGTTAATCGATGACTTTGTCAGAGAGTCTGGGGGAGCTGCCACATGAGGGCGATTACTCGATGCAGATGATTTTATGATGGCATGATTATATGAGTTATTATTCTTCCGGGGTGGGCTGTGTAGGATTTTTTGTTGTACTCTTGGGCAGGTTTCAGACGGGTTTCTATTATGTCAAATGTACCAGTACGGCATTCTCTGTTGCCGGGCGTATCGGTAATTGAACTTTGAAGAATTCCAACAACATGCATGTATTTTGTTCATTTTACTAGCTGTGTCTCAGCGTGAGGGGGAGTGTGACGTTTAGCTGCAGCATACGCAGGCTGTAGTACTCGTAGCATGTGAAGGATTCGGCTCAATTGAGAGTTGTATTATCTTCAGCCGGTGAGAACTACTGGGGAACAAAAGATCTGTTGTGCATCGTGGTCTTTGCTTTCCCGTGTCCACCCCCTGTCGTTGATGAGCCTGTGTACAAGTATTCGATTCGGTTAAAGCTTCGTGCCAATCATTTCCTGGGTGAGGAGATACATGAGGACTACATGGAAGTATGCAGAGAAAGTCACCGGGAATTACTAGGATGTCGGTACTACTCTGGACGCTCGAAGGAGTAACTAGGCAAAAAGCCAAAGCGGCAATGAACGACGTCTACACAAGAGCAGAACGAATAGCAGCATCAGGACGAGAGGACCAGGTTGTTGGGAACAGATAGACATAGCCATTATCATCTTCTGTTATTGAGACTAGACTACGTTGAGGCTCATTGATGCGCCACCGAGGCCGTAGCTCCCTGTAGCTCCTGGTAACTTTTCCATTCCAGACCTCGCCAACCCCCAAAACCCGCCAGAATGCCATCATCGCCAGCGCTACGAGTCGTTACCAGTTCGTTAACGAGTTCGGTCCAGGTACAGCGTAGCGTTTGCCTTCTGGAGGATTGTTGTCCTCCAATTCCTTCTCATTAAAATAACTAAAAATGCCTACCCTATCTCGTACAACAGCTGTTCATATCGTGTTGACAGTCCCGTGAATCTACCCTCGCAGCAACCTCCCGCCTCCTTCTCTTCCATCCCATCCCTCTACAATCTACTCCACTCAGTCCACTCCACCCGTCCCTACGAGATACGCTGTCCGCTCTATCCGAATACGCCGCACGCTGTCTATCGGCCCGTCTGTCTGACGTCTACCTGACGTCCAACTGGTGCATTTTCACAAGCTTGCAGGAGACGAATTCAATCCGAAGAGGTACCTAAGCGCTCGTTGCGCCGGACGCGATTGTCGTTTGGGCTAGCAATTGGAGAATTCCCGCAACGATCAACGGCAGTAGCATCAGCATCGTCAAGATTCCCTGAGAGGCTGTCTCACGGCGTCGCCACAAAAACAGAAAGACCCTGGTGGCGGACGTTGGACGATCCCTCCCCCTCCGCTCCCCTCCCCCAGCTCCAAGCTCCAAAGCTCCACGGTCGAGCTCGAGCTCCAGCTCAACGTCACTCAAACCGCCGCGTATCTAGCTTCCCAGACCTGGCAAACCTGGTATCATTAATCCCCGAAACCCTCGTAGCACGCCGCACCTGACGAGCAGGCAACCACATGCGCCCGAGGTGACCCACCACCAAGAGAGGCCATCATATATCATGCCGGTCGAAGGATCACAGTTCCACTCGCCGTTTGCCTCGCCGAACGCGATTCCGCCCCGCACCAGTTCGCACGGCATCTTCAACGGTGTAAAGCATCGCCCCAGCGTCCTTCGCCCCCTCTCCGAGACAGACTGGATGAGCTCGAGTAAAAAGTCAAAACACTCCCACTCCCCGTCTGTCCCGCACTTCCGCGATTCCTCCCTCGCAGACCCTCCCTCCATGAACTCGATACTGCAGGACTCGACGAACGCCAACCCCGTCGCAGCCATGAACTCGAACGACAACCCATCGCAAGATGCGAACATGACCTCCGGCGCAGACACGAACATGACATCGAACGCAAACCCTCAATCGCATGTGCATACATACCCGCCGCCGCTCTCGCCGCCCTCCCCGAACCCTCTCAACGGCGTCGGCGAGGACCTGATATACAACAACAGTGCGAAATGGACGGAAGAGAAGGAACGTATATTGCTGGGACCCTATGACTATCTTTACGGACACCCGGGCAAGGACATTCGCAGCCAACTCATCGCTGCATTCAATGCGTGGCTGCAGGTTCCTCCAGAGAGGTTGGAGATCATAACCCGGGTTGTCGGAATGCTGCACACCGCATCACTATTGTACGACTCTCCAATCTTGCATACACCCCAATTGCCCCTCCTCCTCCAACTGCTCTAGGCTAACACATGGTGTAACACAGAGTCGACGATGTCGAAGACTCCTCCGTCCTGCGCCGCGGCATCCCAGTCGCCAACAGCATCTTCGGCGTCGCGCAGACGATAAACTCCGCCAACTACGTCTACTTCAAGGCGCTGCAAGACCTCGCCCTCATGAACAACCCAAAAGTAATCCAGATATACACCGAAGAGCTACTGAACCTGCACCGCGGGCAAGGCATGGATCTATACTGGCGAGACAGCCTCACATGTCCGAGCGAAGCCGACTACCTCGAGATGGTCAGCAACAAGACAGGCGGACTCTTCCGCCTCGCCATCAAGCTCATGCAGGCCGAGAGCTCCGTGAACGTGTTCGTACCCCCTCTCTCCCATTCACCCATTCCCTCATGTCACTAACACAACGACATACAGCGACTGCGCCCCCCTCGTCTCCGCCGTAGGCCTCCTCTTCCAAATCCTCGACGACCACCTCAACCTCTCCTCCACGTCCGGCTACTCCAACCTAAAAGGCATGTGCGAAGACCTGACCGAGGGAAAATTCAGCTTCCCGGTAATCCACGCCATCCGCGCCGACCCCTCCAACCTCGTCCTCATGAATATCCTCAAGCAGAAGACCAGCGACGAGGAGGTGAAGCGCTACGCCGTGGCGTACATGACCAAGATGGGCAGCTTCGAGTACTCGGAGAAGATCATCGGGGAGTTGCGCGCGAAGAGTGATGAGCTGATTAATCAGGTGCAGGCGGCGATGGGAGAGAGCGGGGATAAAGGCGCTGCGGCGTTGAGGGCGGTGTTGCAGAAGTTGGTGTTGAGGTGATGAACAGCACATATCGAACGACACAGAAACGCCATTCTATACCCCCATAGAAAGTACTCATCCTTTTCTAACACTCTCGACAAAATCATCTCATGTTGTAGCGAGCATTCATCATCATCATTAGCATGAAGCATGTAATACCCCCTCCCTCTCCCCATCCCATCACCCTCCAAAACCAAAAGAAAAAAGGAAACGAAAAAGAAACGCAACGAAGAAACGCCAGCAATAAAGATGAATGTGCCGTATGAAGGAAATGCATGTATGTACGTAGGTAGTTGTAATTATTAATAGCATACCATTCCTGTATCTATTGTGCTACAGTTATGCAGTTGCAACTCAGTTTAGTTTAGTTCAGTTTGCTTCACTACACTTTACTGCACTTCACTTCACTTTTACCCTACTTCACTTCACTTTCGACTTTACTTTCACGTCACTCTACTTCCACTTCTAGTTTAGTTTAGTTCACTTCACTTCACTCAAACTGATCAAGGACCAATAGCACAAGCGTTTAGCCATGCCAGCTTATCTCTATAGGGCGGATTTCGTAGTAGCAAGTGTATGTATGCATTTGGGTATCCTATATTGGGGTATTATGGAAAACATGACAGAGAAAGAGTGCATGCACTATGACTGCGAATTCATCCCGTAGAAAGGAACATTCAGGTTGTGGTCGCTGAGTGTTAAGTCACCCAACTTGCCATACATGGAAGCAGTAGGTCCATGCATGGAAGCAGATGGCTCCGGCAGCTGCTGTGCTACGGTCGTGTCGAATGCGCCGGTGTTGGGCACATGCGCGCTGCCATACGGCCATCTCCAATCTTCCATCCATTGATTCCCACCCTCTGATGGCCCAGCAAAAGCTCCTTGGACGCTGCCGGCCTCAAGCGCTGGGACAGCGTCAGGCACTGGTACTGCAACACTCTGTACGGTGTTGGGCACGGCCACGCTGCCATGCGGCCGTGTCTCAGATTCCTTCCACTGATTCCCACCTTCTGATGGCCCAGCAACAACTCCCTGGACGCTGCCGGCCACAAGCGCCGGGACAGCGTCAGCCACTGGCGCTGCAACACTCTGTACGGCGCCGGGCGTGATGCTAGGCTGAGGGTCGAATAGAGATGATAAGAAGGGATCGAGCTCCGGCACTACCAGCTTCTGCGATTGCCTCCAATTGACCACCACGGCTCCTTCGATGGTTCGAAGCCAGCTCACGTGGTTCTCATCTGGCGAGTTCAACGTCGCCATCCAACATTTGTGATGCAGTTGGCTCAGCATGGAGCTCACGATGCCGAAGTAATGCGAGGACTGCAGTTCCATTTTTTCCATGCGTGACTTCAGCTGCTGGTTCACCGCAAGGAGCTGATCCCTGTCCATTTTCACGGCTTGGTAGGCTCTAAACGTCGGATCGTACTTTTCCATCTGCGACGGGCGGGGCTTGACCTGCGCCCCCTGATGGGCCGCTGACTTTTTCTTGGGTCCAGGGCGGCTGCGCTCTCTTCGCTTTAATATATCGTGCGTGGTGATGGGAGCCGATAATGTTGGGGGCCCAGGGGCCGACATGGAAGACATGGTTCAGGTTGCTGATTGGTTTCTGGAATGCGTAGAAACCGGAAAGGTGGAGAGTTAGGGTGGCGAAAACTGCTGCGCGAGGGTTGTTGGTAATGTATGTTTGCGATCGACTGATGAATGTTGATTCTCCGTGATGAATTGTTAGGAGTGATGCATTGTTGAGCCTGATATCCCTTATGAACGCTGCAATCTCAAGTGGCTTGAACATTGTGTCCTCCTTTTCCCTTTGTAGCTTCTATTGGGTCTTTCAAGTTGTTTATAATGCTTTTGATTCTTTCCCAATATCAAATTTTGTACTGACTCAGCATTTATCTTCACTCTTCTCCACTCGTGCCGCCCGTACTTCGTAACATTCACTAGTCCCTCTGCTGAACCGACCCAGCAACCATAGATAGATAATGGGCTGTTTGAGGATGATAGCAATCATCATCCTTCAAAATATGTCCCGGAAGTGTTGACATACATATAATCAGCACCGTTGCGCGATTCTGCCCGCGACTGTTTGGGCTTTTCCGTGATCTCGAATCCGAGATAACTTCCCACGGACGAACACTGACACTAATTCAGCCAGTGGTACAAATGTACGAACGAGAACCATTATCCTGTGACACTTTCAGCTTCAATCAATACGTTTGCGGGCTTTTCTATGGATTTCACGATGGTGAACCTGAGCTTCATCATCGTGAATGTTGATCGGATGGCTGCGCGAAACATCGCTTTGTCCAAGGCAACGGAAGACTAAAAGTGGATTCGCCCTCTAGACGTCTTGGTTTTTTTTTAAAAGGGGTTGCTATTCCATAGTATCTTCACATCTCTGGCTGCTGCTTTGGAGGGTTTCAGCAAGTATTTTGACACTGTCTACTGAGTTTCTTATTGTCGACTTGCCGTTACAGCTGGTAACATACATTTACGTCAGACAATCCTGCAACCATGAAAATCCACACTTCCTACCCACCGAAGAGGATAAAGAATTATACGACATTGTTGTGCTGATAGTTCCCATTGTTTAACGAGCTGACATATCCTTATGCTGTCAAGAATGATGAAGTGTAGTCAGACCTTTGTAAACAAATAAACAATGTGGGGAAACTATCCATGATTGGTCCAGCAGCGGAAGCATGCAGGTTCGGTATGATTTCAGCCGTTAGTTAGTACAACCAGTCACGCTAAGAACTTCATTTGAGAACGTACGAGGTACATACATGCAAATACCATTGTCAATAGGTCGTATACGTATACGGATACGCTTTGGAATACGGAAAAACGTATCCAGGAATACCTGTAGGGGCATGAGTACAGCTTGGCATCTGAATTGGTTGATGTCCGCCGCTAGATGGATGTACATATACATTATTGAGAGGGCACCAATGGGGATTGATTTGAATTATGTGCAGTTTGCGGGGAACATGCTTCCATCGGGCCTCAGTTGAAGGGAGAGAGTGTTCAAGCTTCATCAACGTTGCTGAAGCTTGGTCTAGCATCAGCAATGGGAAAAAGAATACCATATTCATGTCACTCGAAATATAGCTTGCAAACAAATCAGAGACACCTGTGCGCTTGAATTTGGGTATGGCATCCATTCCAGTTCAGTTTGCATGTATTATAACCCTTTCATCAGCTCTGTACTTGCCGAACGCTTACAGTCTGTAATGTGATTCAATCACAGGGTTACTACATCCGAAGATACTCCCGCTGAACCTTGTCGTTGAGCTACGCAATTGAACATGGGGTACTTTTGCGGGGTAACATCGGGCAATGCTTGTAGCATCCCTGATCAAAGCTTGCCAGAGATACTCTAACCCCAGGTTTGTTTATTGAATGCTTGAAATGTTGGCTCTAATATGGTCATCTGGACGTCACTATGCCTGGACTGAACATTGAGCCAACTTGAGCCTAACGCAATTGAAGCATGTTTCCGATGCAATGGAAGTCAGGAGGATGTGAGAATAGGACTCTGTACAGTAATGGAGGAACGAAGTAAGTATAAAAACTCGATGTATTGCTACGTTGTGTTAATCAACCTTCCTTTGTCAAGTTCCCGTGTCTTGAAGAAGAGTCTAGTCTCTTAGAAGATACAAGTCTACTCGACATGCAGATCATCAGTACAAGTCTTGCACTACTCGTTCTCGGCGATATAGTTGGGGCATTCGGCAGCGCAGCCAGTGCGTGAACAGACATGTCCATACTGGGTCAAACCACTAACAATACCAGAGCGCGGAGAGCACGAAAATCTGCCGTGGGAGGCCGCTACCCAGAAGGCCAATGAATTCATTTCTCAACTGAATATCACCGAGAAGGCAAGGATAGTGACTGGCAGCCTAAACTTCGGCGGACGCGGTTGCATCGGTAACATCCTACCCATTGAGCGGCTCAATTTCTCGGGGATATGTCTTCAAGACGGTCCCACGGCGATGAATCGCGCAGATCTCGTCAGTGTGTTTCCGAGCGGAATAACTGTTGCGGCTTCTTGGGACCGAGAACTTATCTATCAGAGAGGTCGCGCTTTGGGGGAGGAGTTTAGAGGGAAGGGTGCGCACGTTATATTGGGGTAAGAATGATCAGCAACCCCCGGGTTCTAGAGTAGAGAAGCTGACTTTCGATGATTGACTCAAGGCCCGTTGCTGGACCGCTTGGACGGCATCCACTTGGTGGACGGAACTGGGAGGGCTTCTCCCCAGACCCATACTTGACAGGCGTCGCTATGGAAGAAACCATCAAAGGGATTCAGTCTATGGGCATTCAAGCATGTGCCAAACACTATATCGGGAACGAACAAGAAGTACAGCGATCGAACACATTCGTCAACGGAACAGAGATCGCCGCCATCTCCTCCAACATTGATGACCGCACGTTGCACGAGCTCTACCTATGGCCCTTCGCGAACTCGGTGAAAGCCAACGTTTCTTCGTTCATGTGTAGCTACAATCGGCTCAACCAAACATATGCCTGTGAGAACGACAATATCCTCAATCAGGTTCTCAAGAAAGAACTCGGCTTCCAGGGATATGTCATGTCGGACTGGTTTGCAACACACTCAGGTCCCAAGTCAATTAACGCGGGTTTGGATCTAGACATGCCAGGGGTCATAGATGCAGCATCGCTCATCACTGGGGACAGCTACTTTGGCGGCAACATCACCAAATATCTGGACGAGGGAAGCGTTGCAGAGGAGCGACTGGACGATATGATTCGGCGAATCATGACACAATACTACTTACTTAAGCAAGACAACTCCAACTTTCCGGAAACAGATCCTACACTCTTGATGACACTTGCAGCCTCTGTTGGCCAATTTTTCGGTATACCAGAGATACCAGGTGGTCTAGTTGCTCGTGACGTTCGAGGAGACCATGCCCAGCTCATTCGCCAGATGGCCGCAGAGGCTACGGTTCTTCTCAAAAATACGAACGAGACGCTGCCATTGAAATCTCCTCAAAGCATCGCAGTGTTTGGAAACGATGCGAATGATCCCATCAATGGGCTCTACCAGGGCTCTAATGAAGATTACGAGTTTGGAGTCGTTGACATTGGCGGTGGATCAGGAACCGCACGGCATACCTACCTTGTCTCGCCATTGCAAGCGATACGCGCGCGTGCAGAGAGGCAAAATGGTACGAGATTCCAACACATCACCAACAATGCCCTACTTGCGAGAGGAGATTTCTCATCCCTGTTTCCTGTTCCCGAAGTATGCCTTGTCTTCTTAGGCACCTGGGCATCCGAAGGACAGGATCGGACAGAACTCGAGGCGGACTGGAATTCTACTTTGGTTGTTGAAAATGTTGCTGGAAGATGTCCGAATACTATTGTCGTCACTCATTCGGCGGGTATCAATTCAATGCCTTGGGCGGACAACCCTAATGTGACGGCGATTCTGGCTGCTCATCTTCCTGGACAAGAGGCCGGGAACTCCGTCGTGGACGTTCTTTGGGGTGATGTCAATCCTTCAGGTCGACTTCCCTACACGATTGGGAAAGAGAGTAAAGATTTCGGGCCTCCGATCGTGAATCTAACTGAGGCTGAAGTTACATCGCCTACTGCCTGGCAAGCAAACTTTGTCGAAGGGCAGTTGATCGATTATCGCCACTTTGATTCCGCTGGAATTGATCCGCTGTATGATTTCGGGTTTGGGCTGAGCTATACTACGTTTGAGGTTGAAGGTGAACTGGGTGTCGAATCAGTCTCGGGTGGTGGTAACTTGACCGCAAGAACCACTCCAATGAACACGGCTGTGCCGGGAGGTAACCCGGAGCTCTGGGAGACCATTCTTCTGGCCAAAACTCAGGTCAAGAACACAGGCAAGCGTGCAGGCTCGGCAGTCCCACAGCTTTACGTCTCCTTCCCAGGCAGCGAAGTCCCCTCTGGAACTCCTCTGCAGGTGTTGCGAGGGTTCGATAAAGTTGATCTGGAGCCCGGAGAATCCAAAGTGGTGAGCTTCAACTTGCAACGTCGTGATCTCAGTTATTGGAATGTCGATCTTCAGGACTGGGTTCTTCCAGCTGGTGCTTTTGAGTTCAAGGTTGGCTTTAGCTCGAGGAACACTGCGGTTTCGGCTTCGAAAGCTCTACGGTGACTATCCAGCGACAGCGAATTCAGCTCAACGATGCCATCTCAGGCATACTTAATCAGGTGATAGTTAGACGGAAAGGCAATGACAGTGGTTTGTGCTCTTCAAATCTTTGCACGTGATGTCGAGAGAAGGACCGTCTTCGTATTGCTGTGGATGTTCAACGGGCGCTATTCACCCTCGCTTGTGTCGATCAATGGACCCCTGACGGGGTCGGGCCACTTGGACCGAGCACGCGCCAGCCTTTGCCCTGCAGGACAGAAGTAAGGCACTCGAACTCGATTGTGACAATGCATTCCTACACACTACTTGCTACATACCCAACGCGTGCCCCGCGAACTATTCCTTGACAACCTGCGATATATTTTAGCCCCAGGCCTGCTCGATCGTCAAAACCCCAACAAATTCCAGAAAGCCTCATTGTCGTCCATAGCCCGGCGAACACCGTGGCCATGGCCGCTGCTTTGACCCAACCGCTGCCTACCCCACCGGCCTTAGACCACTCGAAGCACCTCGCGAAGGTCCATAACTGTCCAAAATGCGGGACACAAGTATCACTAGAGCAAGGAGTGGAGGATGCGCAGAGAAGGATACGAGATCTTGAGGCACAGATCGAAATGCTAAAAGAGAAGGCCACCGCAGCAGGTATGTAAGCGCCTGGACTTGTCCGTGGCGAGGGCACATATGAACAAATCATAAAGAAAGGCATTTTTGACTGACAACTTTGGCAGTGGACAAATGTGCGGACTATGAAGACCAGCTTCGAAATATGCGATCTGCACAACAGGGCCTTCTACGCTCAAACACCTCCGATTCTCTTACCGCCGATCGGGCTTCCTCAAACGACGATATCCGACCTTCCACAGCCAATTCCACGACAGCGAAGCAATCGCGATTTTCCTTCCTTATCGGCCGTCGAGGCTCTCCAGCACAAAGTCAACTGCAGCCTCCCACGACACCGCCTCCGCCTATGGCAGATACAGAACTTCTCGAGCAACTGGAGAAAGAACGATCGCTACGCGCGAAGGCAGAAGAGAGGGCGAAGAAGGTTGATTCAGAAATTGAAGAGCTGAGCGTCCAACTGTTCTCACAGGCCAACGAGATGGTCGCTACGGAGAGGAAGGCGAGAGCAAAACTGGAAGCTCGAGTTGAACAACTCGAAAAGAAGGACAAGGACAAGATGGCAAGGCTGGAGAGGCTGGAGAAAGCGGTCTCCCGAATCGATCGCGTCAAAGCCCTGTTGGCAGCACCAACACCTGGCCCCACAGCCCTGCAACAGAAGAGCTAAGGACATCTACTCTCGAAACCAGCTACGACTTGATGCATCATTATGTTACGACTGAGGCCTTCGAGCTTTTTGTAGCCCTGCTACGCCCATTTTCTCCAACAAGATTCAAGGTGTTTCCAAGGATGCAATCTGCCCATCACGGGGTGCTATGGAGGACGAGGGTCTTGTTTCCCCTTTTCGATTCATGAAGCTTCTCTCCCATTACTTTTTTCCTTCAAGATACCCGTCATTGTTTGCCTTTCACTGTCGATTTCTTAGCGCTGCATTTTCTTTTTCCTGAAAGCGAGGGCATGGCACGGGCAGGCGCTGGGCATACATGGACGGTTCAGAGGGCAGAATATACCCCTGTATGTAGAATCATTGTTAGCATTTACGATTTACGGGGTTTCCATTTTAATTAGCTGATTTTGAGTGACTCGTCGGGCGTTGAGAGATAATGCAAAACAATTGAACTAAAGTGCAGGCTGTATATTACCCGACTCCTTTCATGCTGCGCTCTGCCTCCTACGTCTGTTTCTGTTAGCTGCTAGCATTCCCTACTATAGGATTATATTAGCCTACCTGTATACTTTTAAACTCATGTTCTGGTACCCAATTCTCATATTAATCACTGTCTGTTCCATCAGTCATCGCCAAACACGAAGCTAATCCCAGGGCTGAGCACACACACCAAGCCACCACATTCAGCTCACGGCTAAGATTCCCCAAACAGGAGCAGTGCACAAAAACGCCATTAAATTCAATAGATCTAGACAATAGATCGAGAGAAGCCCATGAAATCTAGATAAAATCAAGGATGCCCCATGTGTTCATGTCTTTATATCCCGTTATTGTTCTGCTACCCACTTCCTACTTCCATCTACAAGTAATAGAATCCACGATAATAATCACAACTCGGGAATGGGCTCATAATCCAACAAACCTTGAAATACCATCATAAATACCACCACCTTCATCCAAAACCTCAATCCTCCAACCTTCCAACATCAGACCTTACCCCACAAAACCCACAAAAGGCTGTCCTGCAGATCCAATGCCACAACTTCTTTACCCCCGCTCAAAAGAGCCAGCGACGCCGCGCCAGACCATCATCATCGCAGCCTGCTTTGGTGTTGCCATATTCCTCATATTGCTTCTCGCCTTTTGGTATCACGGGTGTCTTGGAAAGTGCAGTCGGAAGGGGTCACGGCGCGGGAAGGGGAAAGGGCAGGGGAAGTATTCCAAGATGGATGCGGTAGAGGGGGGATTGGCGGGGGCGGGTATGGGGTATGAGGTTTATAATGGGGTGACAAGTGGTGGTGGCGGTGGTGGTGGTAATAGTTATAGTCTTGGTGGTGGTGGAGTTGTGGGAGGAGGATCTGGGGGAGGATCTGGGGGAGGATTGGGGGGCGGAGCAGGAAGCGGAGGAGGCGGGGGAGATGGGGGTATCGGTGGATCGGATTGTGTTGTCATGTGAGAAGGAATTATGTCAAAGTCGTATATACTTTGGTTCAGCACTATCGTGAAGGTATATGCGCTGATGGAGGACTGTGAAGTGAGTTTTGTCATGTCATTCCCAACTTTTGTGGATCTATATAGTACATTACATATGCCATTACGAGAACAATGAAACTTTTAACGAAGAAAAACATCATTTACATATCAAACATCATAGGCCTCTCTCCAAGTTTGCGAGAGTCATAGTTTCGCTTCCAAATTTCGACCTCGCAGCCGCCACGAAGGACGCCAATGCGTGTGGTGGAGAGCAAGTTATGTGCAGCGTTGGAGTGGTTGTAGACGCCTCCATTGAACTCCGCTGTGACGTCCCTTCCAATGGCTCCTTTGATGAGACGTTTTCCACCGGGGTGCTCGTCGATGAAGGATGCGAGGTCGTGGATGACGCCTCCGACGGCGATGAGAGCTTCTCCTTTGGCGCATCGGTCGGTGAAATCATCCCCTAGATGCTAGTATTAGCAGTCATATTGGTCCATAGAGGATGGTAACTATGTATGATTATATGGATTTGACTTACACTCGAGGACAGGGAGTTGACTGAGTGGGATACCCCAGTCGAGCTTCGCTCTCATTTGGTCCACCTTCTTTTGCTGTTGTTGCAGACGACCCTTCTCGATCTCGTTGGCTCGGAACTGCTTCAGGTTGTAGGCAAGTCCGACTTTGCTCCAAAGGTAGATGCACCATTTGGTAGGATCCCACTGATGCCATTCAATTGCGTTTCCTATGTCCGGGTTAGCTTGTTGAACAGTGAACTTATATTAAACAGCAGTGTACGTACGGTAATCGACAGGGAACTGATGGTGGAAGTTGTGGTATCCTTCACCGAGTGTGACCAAAGCTGTGATCCAGTTGTCTCGTGGCGAGTCGCGGTCGTCGAAAGGTTGGTCGCCGAGCCAATGGGCCAGGGAATTGATACAGAAGGTCGCTTGCTGCACGGCAAAGATTCGAAGAATGCCTGCATATATTAAGCCGCCTGCGAAGTCTCCCCAAAGGCCAGCAACTAGGGTAGGAAGTATCAAGCCCATAGTGAGAAGGACAGCGAAGTAGTGCTTGTGTTGCCATCTGACGAGAGCGTCTTCCGAAAGATCGGAAATGTCACTATGACCAATTCGCTTCGGGTCTTGTTTCAAGACCTATCATCACTGTTAGCGTTTTGATGCTCACAATGCAATAATGATGCTTACCATCCAACCCATGTGCGAGTAGGCAATTCCCTTCTTGACTGAGTAGGGGTCCTTATCCGTGTCTGTGTATCGATCTGATTCATTCTGACTTAGCTATGTCCTCGCGGAGTGACAACGGTGAGCTTACGGTGGGATCGATGTTCTCTGGACCACTTTCGGATGGAGCCTTGGATAGCACCACCGCCGAAGAGGGCTAGGAATATCTGAAGAGGCAATCTGGCCTGTGAAATTTGGTCAGTAAAGTATTCGAACATAATCTCATGATTCAATACGTACAGAGTATGTCTTGTGTGCCCAAAGTCTATGATAACCGGCCGTGATACTGAGTCCGGTGAAAAAGTAGTATACGAGTGCCCAGATCAAGGTTGGGAATTTGAGCTCGACATAAGGTGCAGATACGCAGCCGATCAAAGGAAGAAAAACGACGAAAGTGACCTATACACTAGAATCAGTACAGTATGCAGCTATGGTATCCGAAGTTCTCACATTAAGCCAATTGATATGTTGGGCCCAATTGCGTAGGGTAATTGGCTGCTCGCTGATATGGCCAGTCTTTGGTGCCATTGTGTTGGTCAAAGATCGTAGTGATCAGGATGTATCAAACGAATGATTCCTGATAATTCTCTCGAAAGACCTGGAGTGTGAGGACAATAATGGCACAATTAGATGGGCATCTAACAGGTTATAAAGGATCAAAGTAAGCATAATGAAAGTTGCTGACGACTATGGTCCCGCCACCATAAGCTAGAACTTCGCGACGATTACCATATGGGATATCAAACTACGAATTAACTCCACTACGCCCTCAATCACATATTCTCATTTTGTTGGATGGCATCGTTGGGAAAACACGAGGGGTGGAAAGGGATACTTCCTTCGCAACCCTAACCCAATGTGGTCAAGCGTTCACGTAGACGTAGTAGCCGCTCCAATCATGAGGTCGGAATTTTGATCAAACGATATCTGTCTACAATCGAACCACTACGGCGAGACAATTTGCCATGACAATAATGGGAACATAACGGCGGTGTGTGGATATTTTCAATCCTTCCGATATGTGATAAACGAGGCTGGCCATTGTCCTGACATACCGATTTGGCTTCAACATAATAATGATTTCGCGGCCTTCGTCTCCATCAACTCTCACATCATTGAAAAGAAAACCTTTAGTCCGGGATGGTGGCGAATTCACCTGGAAGTCCCGGAGTGAGAATGGACTAGAAAATGTTAACTTAATATGGAACCGCCATCCAGTTACAGTGTTGCGGAGAACGACATCCAAGTCCAGGACGGTGGATACCTTTGATGAATATAATCCGTATGTTCCAGAGTCTGCGAACGAATCCAGGATCATGAATATCTATTAATCAACCAAAGGACATATTTCAACTCTACTAATACGCTGCCGGCAGCTCCCATTGCCCAATTTCGACCACGGATGTATAGAAATACATTACGAAAGAGATAACAAACAGCATTTTATAGACTCTCCAGGCCAATCGCGAATACTCGGAATCAGAACTGGCCCGAAACATATCATTTCAGTCAAAATTAAGAAAACAAATATCAAAACCAATATTTACGATCAGATCCGACACACCTGGAAATTTCACTTGCGCCGAAGATTCAATGCATCTGGTGTAGAAGTGTTAAATCTCAGGGACTGCATCTCATTGTGTTGGTGCAATCGTGTAGCAACGCATTTCTACATGACCTTGTTCTTGCCATTAGGTACTAATAACACGACTCTAGGGCACCACTTTAATTCAACCGGGTCACCACTACATTGGCTGGTACTAAGTATATCAACTAATTGACAAGCTAGACATCATCAAACGAGGGAGATGTTTCCACAAAAGACGAGGGCCACGGCGTCGAATCATCTTCGAAGCATTAAGGACGCAGTAAGGTTTACAACGCAGTTCAACATTGTCAATGTCAAAGGGGTCAAGACCGAACTTGAATAGAAGACATATGTATGACGAGCTTGCTGCCATATATTTGTTGGTTGAATCATTGGTCAGACATAATTGCTGGTTATTGGCATATACTTTAAGAGAGAGAGTTTTGAAACTTCAAACACTGGATTCTTTCTTGAGACCATCGACCATAATAAAACGAGAAAATCGTCATATCGATCAATGGCGATACCTCGCCGAATTAACCTCAAGCTACCAAAGGCACTTTCAGGTCTGCTGCTTTGCGAGAAATACATAAGATGTTTTAGAGTTGCAACAGTTGGTCCACAGATCAGCATTTACGGCCGATAAGTGGATAAAGTCTTAGTGCATGTCTGTCTACTCGCAACGATTGCCCCTTTCATCATCAGAATCTTAACAAATTCTGGAAATCCTACTCAGGATCCTATTTTATTTTTCTTGATGATTCTCTTTATTTTCATGTCCCACGAAGAGAGAACCACGTGGAGCATCCAAGGCTGCAAGATGTCATGACGCAATCTATGCTTAACGTGCTGCCTAAGGTCGTATCTGCCGATAGGGCATCCTTCCACTCAGCCTCAAACGGCCGCCGACACCATCTTCTATTACACCTCAGATTATCATCACAAACAACATTTGATTATTATCGATCTCTGCATTAACGTGTCGCGAAAGCGCAGGTCGGTCCTCATGGCGCGACGGACAGCCGGATTCATTAGCAAGCGACCTCACAAGAAGTCACGTGGAGGCTGTACGACCTGTAAGAGGAAGAAGGTCAAGGTATTCATCGCCTTTGATCGACCAATAGCATGATTACTCATAGCAGTATTAGTGCGATGAAGCCCTACCTTCTTGCGCATATTGTGCGCAGCGGGATTTCGAATGCATATACCAGCGCAGCCCGAACAGTCAGAGGTCCCCTTCAGACACCAGCGAAGTGCCAGTAGAAGCATATGACCCAGTATCGCAAGATATAGAAGAGATAGATATAGAGGATTTCAATTATTTGGGATCAGAATCATCCCTAAACCTCCTGCCTGCTGCCCAGACGGCGATTGGGACGCTTGCAAGTCACGAAATAGAGCTGTTGAATCAATACCAGGCTACCACCTGGACCACTGTGACCGTTCGTAAAGAAGAGCCGATAGTGGAGTACCTTACGAAGACATGGGCACCTCAAGCTGCACTATCCAATCCACATCTTCTATATACAATCTTGAGCATCTCGGCGAGCCATTCAAACAGCCTGGTGCCATCTCCAAGGAAGCGTCACTTGGCCGACGTCTATCGCCAAAAGGCATTCTCAGCCTACAACAAATCCCTCCAAAACATTACGAACGACAACTATGAGACCGTTCTACTGGCATCTATGTACATTCAAGTAATGGTTCCTCCTCCCACATTGCCATGTACCGACGCGGAAATGCTAGCTTGGGTCTCAAGCATGATGCACATTACGCAGGGCATCAGATTAATTGCAGGATTGAAATGGTCTTTTGGATTCGAACACCTCAATGTTTTCCCTCTATTCAAACGAGAACTATGTATCTTACCCCCGCCACCTGATACCCTGTCGACAGAGTGCAAGCACATGCAGGATCCACACCCTTCATCCAGAGGAGACTCACCAAGCTCGCCCAATCATCCCACATTGTACGAAACACCGTCCAGTTCAACAATGGACATTCCGAACCTCGCTTTCAGGACAAGATATTCACGAGAGTCGTCTGCTGACACATCATCCCGACCACACTCTAACTCTGTGTTCTTACCCCCAGCTCTCACAGCTCTCCTAGACTCCATTACCACACCACCAGATACTGGACCTCTAGATCTGCATCGAGGCACTCTGCTCCGCGCACTCCACGCCTTGTCACCCATGTTCCTGACCATATACCATTACCATCTCAGCACGGATCTATATGTCCGAGTATCTGCTTTCCCCACCTTTCTTACGAAGGAATTCCTAGTTCTTGTCAGTGACAGGGAGCCGAGAACCCTAGTGGTCGTAGGCTGGTGGCTGGCATTCTTCAAACTCTTACCTACCGGTTGGTGGTTCAAGGACGTGATACCAAGGGCGCTACAGAGTATTAGCAATCTCATCATGCGGAGCAACAATAAGATACTCATGGATGCTATAGAGGGGGCGTATCGGATGGTTAGGTTAGAAGCAGTCAGAGGGAAAGAGGCAGCTGCTCGAGGGATATTTGAGGATTGGAATGGGGTGGATTGGAAGCATGGGATCAGTAGTGTTTGGGAGGTCGATGAATTTGCAGACCTTGGAGGATAGGTAATAGGAGATTCAATATCAAATTCAGCCATTTCGGAATCTGAATTCTCAGACAAAGCTGCATGAAATAGCTTTATGGAAATAATGCGTCCAATAAACATAATTTACTTGATATCCATTGCACTGGGTGCGGATTTCTCACCATACAATTCTCGCCCTCCCCATATTAGGCTCGTGGCCCCAGCGTATGATCTGTGCATTACATTTACAATAGCAACACAATCAGGATATGCGGCATCAACTACATCGCACGTTGTCCTCTCATCTTATATCACTTTGTCTGGCCAGTGGACACTTTCCATCTTTAGCGATCATGATTGTGAAGTACTTAGTAAGTTCAGATAACTTTATTACCTCGGTGTTTATACATGGCTTGTGGTTGATATTTTAGGATAACAAAAGAAAATCGAGCTACACGGAAAAACCACTCTATGGAACACAATAGCTACGCCGTCTTTAAATCCCGTATACAAAGAGAAATGGGGTATTCGCTTCAGAATATCGGAGGAGTGAACTAAGTTGACTTGTTCCTTTGATCGTTCCCAACGCCGCCACTTTACTTTCGCTCTCCAAGGTACTGGTCCCGTACAGTGCCCAATTGCTCCTCGTCCGAGCTACTCGGACTCCTTTGTTTCGTAATATCCTGGGGAACATACTTTGCTGGATTCAATACCAGCATAAGCACAAGTACCAACGCCATAGGTACTGTGTCGAAAGTATACAGAGTCCACTCATGCGACATGAGATACGAGGCATTTCCCATAGCGTATTCGATGAGACGAAAGATACATCGGAACAGGATGAGGGAGCTGGTAATATACAAAATGCGCAGCATCTTTCGCCAGTCATCAGAGCCATCGACGGCATTCATCTGTCGGCTCTTCCTGTTCATGCGGATATGGAAGTCGGCAGAAGTGATGACGAAGAAGACGAACGTCGCGACCTGGAGAGCGAGACCGGCGATCACGATCTTCTCGCCCGCAATGGCGAGAGCCAACTTCATGGTTCCCATGATGCTAGCACCTGTTGAACCGTTAGCCTGTGGTGTCGATAAGGGATTGTGAGAGAACTTACCCAAACCCTGGACGACGAGAGTGCTTATATCTGCTCCAACAAAGATTCGAGTGCACCATTTTGGCTTGACGATGGAGACCTCCTCACCACCAGCTACACGGATGGTGCGGGCAAGGAACATGTAGATAGTGGCTGCGAAGAACAATGGGCCGACTAAGAGGAGAACTCCCTGGATGATGAATGGGGCCCAGCCTTTGGTGTCGTAGTGTGAACCGATTCGTGCACCATAGCCAGCGATTTCGCCTGGAACATTCAAAAGTTAGTACATGAAAAGTAGGAGAATTCGAATTCAAAGAAAGGGAAGGCAATTTACAGATTGCTCCAACGAATAGCCAGATGACGATTGTCTTTCTGCACCGTAGCCATTGCCAGAATTGAAGGCCAGCAAGGATGCTGAAAACAATGATGCCTACTATTGCCCCCGTGAGGGAGGGGGTGTAGCGGTACATCTCGAAGTCGAATGTTTTCGCCATTGTCAAAGTATCAAAAGGTGTATAGTTCTGCGCGTGCTGGGAGTATTCTTGATGGAGTTACAGTTGCAATGAAGAAGTCTGAATATAACAGTGGTTTGAATTGGTATGAACTGGGACAACAAAGTCCGAGCCCAAAGGTTTTTATATACATAATGAAGAGGTTGGAAATAGTGCTGTGCATTATCTGTAAACGTCAGGTTCTGATGTTGATGTTTCGCACTCGCTCGCACTCGTCTAAGACTCCATTCTGGGAGTTCGCATTGCTCAGGCCTTAGAGCTTCTAGGGAATAGTGTAGCCAAGACCTTCGCATTCGTCCCATCGACGAATCAAAACCCGCCTTTCAGGGTTTTGGAATGCGAAAGCCTTCGATCCAGCTAAGACAGCGTGGTCTCTAAGATCTGGGGAAATGCTTTTTGGACGATTGCCTTACACAGTAAATCAAGGACATGACGTCGGCTACCATATTGAGCAAATAATTCGGATCCTCTCAAAACGCGCATGGTGATGATCTCGCATTCATGGACTCTGACACCAGCGCCAAAGTGTTGTCGCAATGGATGGTTGTCAGTGTTAGTCACTTTCGAATCTGTTGATGACCGACATCTTCCAGTCCCTATCAAAATATACTACTTTCCTCGAAACTACTGATACCCCCTAGCAAGATTGATTTTCTCCCACGAGGGATGCGGATAACGAAGCTTGTCTTTGGTGATTTGGGGGATTCGTCTTTCTCTAATGATCCTCATTTTCGGACGTGCAGAAAGGTCATAACAGAATAGTATCCACCTAACGAAGGATAGGAATGGCATCTCATCTCCGCGCCGTTTCGAGGCTCTGCTAGGCCTTCTACAGTGGGCCGAATACTAAACCGCAGTCTTGGATGATGTGTTGAGTCAACCAAGGCAAATCAACAGAGTCATATTCATTGAAGAAAACGAAAGACTCATACGATTAGGCATCTAAATCATTACAATGAAACTGCGATTGGTCAACATAGAGAAATAGAGGTAGATGTGTCCAGAGAAGAAGCTCGTCGGGGGCAGAAAGCCCGCAGTTCAGGGATAGCTTGGCGCGCCAATCCCCATTAGGGTAGTCGCACTTTCAATTCAACCACGTATCCACGAAGCTCATCAACTTACCCCCTCTCCATCCTCATCTCCAGCTTCTAAATACTCTTCTTCTTCCAATTCCTTCGTCTCTTTTGTCTTCTTCTCTGGTCCATAATCCGCAATCATGAGCGGCTGTAAGTCATTCTCATCTCCCTGCGCGCAATTGCGTCGCGTGCAAGTTCGCAAAATAAGTACCACACGACAGCAGCTGACATCAACTTCTTGTAGTACGGTTTCTCGACCTCGTCAAGCCTTTCGTGCCTCTCGTCCCCGAGATTCAGCTTCCCGAAAGCAAGGTTCCCTTCAACAACCGCCTAGTATGGACGGGTTTGACGCTCCTGGTCTTCTTGGTGATGAGCCAGATGCCGCTTTACGGAATCGTGTCCTCGGACTCCTCAGATCCGCTATACTGGCTGCGTATGATGATGGCCAGTAACAGAGGTACACTGATGGAATTGGGTATTACGCCAATTATCTCCTCCGGCATGGTCTTCCAGCTTCTTGCTGGAACCCATTTGATCGATGTCAACTTGGACCTCAAGTCCGATCGCGAGCTCTACCAGACCGCGCAGAAGCTCCTTGCTATCCTCCTGTCCTTCGGCCAGGCCGTCGTCTACGTTCTCTCCGGTCTCTACGGCCAGCCCTCTGACTTGGGTGCCGGTATCTGCGTTCTCCTCGTCCTCCAGCTCATGATTGCCGGTTTGATCGTCATTCTCCTTGACGAGCTCCTCCAGAAGGGCTATGGTCTCGGCTCTGGTATCTCTCTCTTCATCGCCACCAACATTTGCGAGTCAATTGTCTGGAAGGCTTTCTCCCCCACTACCATTAACACTGGCCGTGGACCTGAGTTCGAGGGTGCCATCATTGCTCTTGTCCACCTCCTTTTCACCTGGCCCGACAAGACCGTTGCGCTCCGTGAGGCTTTCTACCGCCAGAACCTCCCCAACGTCATGAACTTGTTGGCCACTCTCGTCGTCTTCGGTGCCGTCATCTACCTCCAGGGTTTCCGTGTCGAGATCCCCGTCAAGTCTGCCCGCCAGCGTGGTGTCCGCGGCTCTTACCCCGTCCGCCTCTTCTACACCTCCAACATGCCCATCATGCTGCAGTCCGCTCTTTCCTCCAACGTCTTCTTGATCAGCCAGATGCTCTACTCTCGCTTTTCTGACAACCTCCTCGTCCGCCTTATCGGTGTCTGGGAGCCCCGTGAGGGATCTGCCCAGCTCTCTGCTGTCTCCGGTATCGCCTACTACATGTACGTGGACACCGCCTTATTGTTTACTTGACGATTACTAACCTGCCCAGGTCTCCTCCTTTGAGCATCACCGAGGCTCTCGCCGACCCCCTCAAGACTGCCGTCTTCATCGTCTACATGCTTGTTGCCTGCGCCGTCTTCTCCAAGACCTGGATCGAGGTCTCTGGCTCTTCCCCCCGTGACGTTGCCAAGCAGCTCAAGGAGCAGGGTCTCGTTATGGCTGGTCACCGTGAGGAGTCTATGTACAAGGAACTCAAGCGTGTCATCCCCACCGCCGCCGCTTTCGGTGGTGCTTGCATTGGTGCTTTGTCTGTTGGTAGCGATCTCCTCGGCGCCCTCGGCAGCGGAACTGGTATCCTCCTCGCCGTCACCATCATCTACGGTTACTTCGAGATTGCCGCCAAGGAGGGCGACATGTCCGGCCTCAAGGGCATGGTCATGGGTTAGACTTCGAACCCTTTTTCTTTCTCATGAAAATGAAATCAAGAAGATAATGAGGGCCTGGTAGTAATTTTGTCTGGCATCATTCGTCTTCTCTCATACTTGGAGACATCTGTTATGGGGGAGGGCAGTATGCAATAAAAAGTATTTCCACGCAAAGGCCGCGGGACGTGTGTAGGATGCGGAAGTAGGGGTCCCACCAAAGCATCGTTTTTGTATACTATGGGTTTTCGCTGTTGAACAAAATAAATAAAAAGCAGTCTTACTTGACAATTCTTTATCTGTGCAACTGCTCGTGTGATGCAGGGGAAAACTAAACTCGTAACACATCAGGCACATCTTTGTTCACAAGTACACAATGGCCTCTGCAAGCAATGGGTCCAAATAATCATTTGCAAGAACCCTCAACAACCTGTCAAGTACACTTGAAAATTACACCTTTGACGAGCATCAAGACAGGAACAGCTGGCTATATCACAACCACACATACTCTCCTAGCATTCCGAATGACTACGACTACCACACGCACACTATAGCCCCAAAGACACGATTTTTTTGGAGTAACAGGCTTCGGGTCTACCGCACATATCGAACTGCTATGTCCTCCAGTCATTATCTTCTTCCGTCTCTCTCTCCCACATAACGCAAGTCCTGGAATCATCAGTCCCCGTTCTTAAAGATCGACCGCTTCACGCACCGCTTTCATACTTCTCTATGTACGCCCGCTGTCCACGTTCCATCAAGGATACTGTCGATGCAACATAAGGATAGTGGAAAGGGGTATGGCAGCAGTGCAGGAAGTCACTCATACTTACTTGTGGTTACAGAATGTGTGGCGGACGTTGGCACTGTCTTGTTCAAATTGTCTTGGGACGAAACATCGTACCTATGCAAGACTGTGATATCGAAGTATAGAGATACGTTATACAACATACACGTAGTCTTGGGTGTATGCATTACCTGCTAACCTATCTAGCCATCGTGAATTGTACGCAGGATTGCTATATCATTTACGAGTTCTCACTACTCTCCCCGAGAGTATCTAATCCCCAAAGATACACACTCAGATATTGATGCTACCCACCAGCCACGCTGCCCGACAAAGAAAGACATGAGATTCAAGTGTGAAAAGCTCGGAAAGTGACAAACCTGCTTATCAACTCTGCTGTGCTCTCTACGACGACCTGAAGCTCCATCGTCAGAGTTCATCCATCCATGAACACTACTCGCCGGGATAGGCCTTGATCGTTACAGCTCAGGACAGACAGAGTACCTTCAGATCCCCACGGCGGAATAGCCTACACAGAGAATCACTCCCACCGTCCCCTCTACGACTCCGTCGTCCCAACGTCCCAGTTTCCCACGAAGCAAAACGACAGATCCAACGATGCGTCGGGGTGGAGGTCAGTGTTCCACCGAACTACGATGCATCGAAGTTTCAGCTTCTGTCGATACCTTCGTGTATCACGCACATGATATAATTAGGTCACGTCCCTCTACACGACATCAACCAAACAGCTACCGAAGTCAACCATGGAATGACAACAAATGTTATAAACACAGTAATAACAGTTACAGGTGGGAACAAAAGGGCACAGCGCACACAGCAGTATCGTAAGTTCTTACCCTTTTCTATCTATCTTGATAAACTATCTCTGGATTACCTATACATTAGGCGAGAAGAGAGAATTTTTAATGTTCAGTCTTTCTTAAGATTACTGTTTTTATACATATGTATAAGAGGTACATGTATGAGGATTGAGAGTGGAACTAGTAGTACTACTCGATATGTGAGATATTAGTAGGGTGTCTGAATTTCCTTCTTCCTCCCCTTTGCTTGAATGAAAATAATTTGATGTCAGTGTTGAGATATACCAGTCTTTCCCCATCACAAGAGACGAAAATGTGCGGGAGAAAGGCACACCGAACCAAAGATGTAAAGAGAAAGCACACTTGAAGATCTGTTGTATTTTTTGTCTAGAGTAATTAGATAGATTAGAAAGGGGGGTATAGGTGCTATATGCATGTATCAAGTGAGTACGTTTCTTATAAGTAGCTATGTGTACATTGGGCCACGAGAACAGGTTCTAGACAAGGACAAAAGGACGAGAAAGGGAAAAGTAGCAATGAAATATCGTGGACTTGTGGGATGATTATCAATTTAGATATCCCGTGGATAAAGGAAGAGAGGGTGAGAGGCTGGGCGGAAGTGGGAATGAGTTCGATGAATATAAATCTGTATTATGGGGTTCACGAGAGGTGAAAGATGGTAGAACCCGGACTATACGTTGTGACGGCATGATGCTTTCACAGTAGAAGAGAAGGAAGTACACGATTGTGAGGACCGTCGACATTTTGACGAGATTAGAGGAATCTAGAACTAATTGGTGGAGAGCAAGCTACGACGACGAAGGCAGTATCGTTCCCTCTGGATATGTGGCAACGTTTGGGAGAGGCGGAGGATGAGATGATACTCCTCGCAGCACTGCTGCAAGGACAGACTGTGCAAGTGATTTCTCTTTCATTTGGTACTGCAAACAGTGTCAACCTGCGATCATTCGAATGGCCGAGAAGATGGTGCAGGGCGTCGATGGACATCTGGCATCTGCTTCTAAATATCGCCTACTTGCTAAATCGGGGAACAGTGTATCTCTATCAACGAATTTCCTAGACGTATCCTCTCAAGGATCGATGCAATTTCAAATTGTGTAAAGGAAGATTTGATGAGATAACATCATGCCCCACATCTTGATGATGCCTTGGTGATGCCTTGTTTCATCGATATACATTTTCGGAGAATGGATTGTGCGCATAAACAGAAGATAATCTCCATCTGACTGGATCGAAACCGAAACACGTTGGGCGAAGCGGATGGATCTGTGTCACCCAACGGACTCTGTATAAGCACTCTGTATAAGCTGATCTAATAGCGTCTTGTCATGTAGGATCACGGCAGCTGAAGCGACATCACAGTTGGGATGGTTGTCGCTACTCCTTGGATTACGTCTGGGTGGGAAAGAAGCCTCAGCTCGTGTCGCTGAAAATCTACGACCCCAACTATCGACGGGCTGAGAAGTGGATGTGAAATTATGACCTGCTACATTCAAGTCGAACGTGGTAGGTGAGACAACGCCCGAAAAGTGGATATCGCTGCATCGAACATCTGTCTGAAATTTGGAATGTAGATTGTCAAAACTTGATCATCCCGAATGGTAGAATGATGCGTCCAGTATCGTGCAATGACACAGTCAATATTGTTGGGTAGCCTACAAATTGTTGTTAATGGAAGGACTGCGATAAAATTGCCGACAAGCCTAGGACGTTTGTCAAACCAGACGGCCTGGCCAGTGCCAGTTAATGAATTCTGGTATTGCATGTTGAGCCCTCTGACCTGAGTTGATCATGATCACATTGGGGATCCCCAAAGTAAATCTCTCATCCATGGTCGTACAGCTCCACGGAGTACTCAACCATAGTGCGCCATACTTGCGCCAACCCTACCTTCCTTGTTGGCATTTGCTGACCAGGAACGCCGAGATAGATCGATATGAGGAAATGGTTGAGGTTGATCACTACAGTCAACTCATGCGTGCCAGGCCTTGCATGTCACCCTTATTTGAAGGCATGTTTCTCCAAATCGAACAGGCGGCGCCATGGTATTCGGGCGCGTGATCCGTCATTGCTGAGCGTGGCTGTGATTCGTCTACTCTGACTGATTGCGCTGGTGAATAAACGGCAGCTGTACTGTCCTAGGTAGTCACATCGGATGGATGATGGCACAACGCAAAGACATATTGGCTCGAGTAGCCGCTATATCGTTTGTCCAGTGAAAGTGCACCGGAGCCACAACTGTTAAGTGGCCGTATCATATCTAAGGAAATTTCTTTTCCTTTTCCGATCACGGAACTAAAAATACAACGCTGGTGGGTGGATGCAGGGGCCCTCGCCATATTGACTGGTAAATGCTCGGCCGACACGTTTTAAAGGGTCGTTGAGGAGGACTGTGTTGAAATGACCAGTTGCAGTATCGATCAGAAATGGGCAATCAGTCCCAGCCCAGCCGCCGTTACGCACGGGAAGTGGAAGGCCCGTAACTTTGCAGTGGATCAGCGAGGAGTTTAGAGGCACAGGCATGTGTGATTTAGCCTGGGACGTGAATGCTGGTGAGACGGCGTGGCGAATTTGGAGGAACTGTGGCAGATGAGCACCCGAACAAGGTCATGAATGGGTGAGAAGGCTTAGTAGGTGCGGTGTTGCGCGTGCAGGAGTAGACATCCTTACAAAGTTACAACACATATGTGGATAGCCACGGACCGATTAGCTTAAGATACGAGAACGGTTGTAATGATCCCTTTGCGGAAGAACGGAGGCCTGACGGCCTCGTAAGCACGTCAAGGCTTTCTCTGCAGAAAGCTGTGCTCTCGGGGTACATTGTGCTTTTGTCGTTGGTTTAGCTCGTGATTACCGTACGCCCCAGTCCTTTAGAAGGAATATGCACGTTCCATATTCTCAGCATGGAGGGAGGAGGAGATCTGACGGAGTAACCCGCAGATTCGAAGCGCGCATCCTGCTTCGGGAACGGATCAATCAAATAATGAAAGCGAGGAGGAGACTAGGGTTGTCGAACGCACGCAGGCGCCTGAATAATGGTGGTGTAACTGTAATAAGTAAGCATAATGTAGGAGGGTAAGGTTCGGTCTCGGCGAAGAGTCAACCATGTGAGAGTATGTAATAAAGAGCTCGCTATGCTAGCAGCAATGCAAATCTCAATCTGCATCGGCAAGCACCAGGTAGATAGACATATTCCTCGAACACCCTAACCGAGCGTAGCCAAGGTAGCAACGCCCTGATTCTTCCGTGCCGTGCGTGATTCGGCGAGGGCATCGTACGGGGTAAGCCAAAACCAAATGCAACCTGGATATTGGGTTACGATGGTCAACTCCCGTAACAGGCAGATGGCCCGCATCACAAACATGCAGTCCATACATACCTCGTACTATAGCATACGGATAGACATCGGGCTGAAGGTTGAGACAGGATGTGTAATGGACCGCCATTATCGGTCTGGTCATCGGTGCTACGGCGACGTCGAAATTTCTTAGAAAGGCTACTACCTTGCAGACTCGCGGAGAGACATGGATGCTCAAACGCCCTGGTGTGTTCGCTAGATCAACCTACCGAGAGAATCAAAGTTTCATCAGCTGCAAACTCACGACGTGGCCACTGTTCCGCCTCTGCGACCCATGCGAGCCTAAAAAGGAAGTGAGAGAGCTCTGCTCTGGGCATCCCGAGCAGGTGGCATCCCGCTTCCCACGGACAGGCGGCTTCTTACTGCGCTTTGCGTACTATGCAGTACGAGTACGAGACAGCTGCACGATTTGCATTGCGAGTTCGATGTTGTGCTGTCCACTCAATATCGCAAACATCATGGTTGAGCTCCAACTAAACAGGGTATTGTTCAGTGCTAAACACGACAGAACCTCACCGTTCCGGTACCTCGTGTGACCGACATATCGATGAGACCACCCGGATGGTCTTGATGCTCCACTTGACTATGCTGGTAGTTCGTGTGTGTTAACATGATACCCTTACTCGTATGTTGAACTGCAAGATTTGTTCTACCGCATATTGGTACCGGTCGGTTGCAGGCCAGGATCGGATAGAGAAGTGCAAAAAGAAAAGATTTGCTGTCCATTAAGCATGCATAAGTGGCACGCATTATTGATGGATTACATGCCTAGAGAACCCGCGTAAAAAGGGTTGGTCGACTTCTACATTGGGCACTGATCGAAGTCTTGATCAAAGCGAATCAGGCCTTTTGCCTATTGGCTGGTTTTAGAAAAAGGAGACTTTGAACAACAATTTCTGGACGATTGATCCGCGAGGCACTGACATGAGATCATGCAATCACATTCTCCTCGTTATTGCTGGGCTGTTATTTTGGACCCGACGACCAGCTTCGAAACGGTTGGCGGCCCACATGCCTTTAACAAAAGTCTAGAACGCCTGGCATACTTTCGATTAGACTTCAGTCTTGATGATGATCGACCATGCCTGTAAATGCTGTCACTCGCTTCCTGGCTGCATTAGGGTTGTATGACCGAACGAGGAGCCAAAAAGCGGAGGTGGGCGAATTTCGGTGCTTCTCCACGGTGACGCTGTCCTGCGCAATGCAAGCATAGAGAACACTGACAGTTGTTCTGAATCAGCACCTTTCACGAGTGACCTTTGAGTTGCAAGTCAGTGTCATCCATCATGGTTCGATCCTGAGTCACAATATGAGGAGTATTGAAAATAATGATGAGCCTCAATGACCACGAGGCACAACGCTCTGTGGTGGGTTCAAAACATTGCTGCCGCCTATGCCGCAGTAAGTTGTCTTTTCCACACTTTTTCCACGATGCAACGCCACGTTATGACCCACTCCTCTCGTGGGACGCCGAGCGTACGTCATTAAGGGTGTTTTTCCCGTGGTGCAGATTGCCGGGTTGAGGCTGTCAGAAGCTACTTGGCTGATTGGCAGTTTTTCCGAGGATCCCGCCCTACGCTTGCAGGCCCTGGTTAGAAGGTGACCGAAAGAACCAAAAAGAGTTGCTGAAACCACGGGCTTGGCAAGGTTCGATTAGGGAGACTGATAGCAGCCAGCCTGCCCGTAACCAGTGGCTGAAGGACTGCGTGACAGTGTGGCGCTCCGGCTGCGGAATCGTCTGCTTGACACATTCTCCCAAATTGCGAGGCAGCGCTTGCGTTCTACTTGTACGGTGGGCCAGTCAATATCCCCGTTAATTGCGCATTATTCTAACCCCCGACTCTCCGGCAAGAAAATGCGAGCATTCAAGGGAGGGCTGCGCAAAATAGTCAATGACGAATCATGTGCGCCATGCGTGCAACAACGTACTCGTAATGCCGGACGAGGAACATGCTAAATCTAACACTGACATTTACGAAGTGTATCCTGGTGCTTGTATGTTTTTGTAGTGTGGAGCACAATGTGGATACAGGCCTGATGCAAACATCCGTGAGAGCGACCGAGGTTGGACATATTTCAGGAGTCGCACTCGCGAACCGCCTGTGTGATGAAGTGTGGGATATGTACTCCGTATCTACTAGATCATGGATGTGGGCTGTATCGTGCGGTTCAAGGTGCGTCCTGCAGTCATGACTGACTATGGTCAGGGGACCCTGCTGCCATTCTATGCCCCAGCCCCGATCACGATCTATTCCCAGCATGCTGCTGTAATATTTGATATTACTCCGTATTGTCGATAAAAATCATCACAGATAATTGATGAGGCAAGGTCCAAGAGGATGAGCTGGGGCTCGGCAAGAAATATGGATTGAGAACGAACCAAACCATCAAATCATTGCCATGAGGCCCATCGTATATTGAGTTGCGTCAGCATCGACAACCAGCCATCTGAATCTGAATGGCGTTAGCCGTGCAGCCAAGCGAGGGCAAACGATGCATGTTCGGAGCGGCATGGTCACGGCGGTCATGGTCATGCTGTAAGTCTGTTTTGGCCTCTCAGCGCTTTTGTGCCTTCCTGCAGATGGCCGTTCGGGTCTTAGTCCCCTGGCATGATCCAGTTCGCCAGGATTCGAAGTGTTCGCTTTGTGGTCTCGTACCATGTCGATCCCCAGGCGGGTCGACGCGATGGCACCAGGGTTCATCGGCGCTTCGGCTGCATCGCTCAAGCCATCGCCCGGGGATTTCTCGTTTATCCAGTTATCAAACGGCGCTGCCGCATACAGCAAGGCGGCCGTGGGGCAGCACGCTAAGAGGACCTGGTGTCCCCAAACAGCCTCAGACCCGCCGCGGCTGGGCGAGCAGCGAGCAGCGAGCTTGAGCTGTTTGTTTGGCGAGCGGAGTCGGAATCACTGATTCAAGGGACAGTCTGTGAAATACAATGATGTCCGATATTGGATCCACGCACGCTGGACAAAGTGCTCTCAAAGGAAATGTGATCCGCCTCTGCGCATGATGTGCAAATTGCTTTGTCACAGTGGGACGGGTTAACAAAAGTCTGAGAATTAAATGGTGGCAATATGCACTGGATCGTGCTAGTGAGCAGCAGCCAAACTGTCATCTCAGTGCCCGCAGTGGTTTCCAAGGCAATGGTGCATTGCCTGCTGGCAGCACTTTGTGCTGTTGTGTAGAACTGGTCGCAGGTAGAAACAAGTCCGAGCCAGATTGCTAAGGGGGAAAGTGCTAAAGCACCACTATCAGGTTTTGGTGAGTGGGTAAAAAGCCATGTTGAACGCGCGTATGCTACTTGCAGCAAGCCAACATATGCTTTGTGTGTGCTTGGACGCTAGCAGTACAAAAGTGTCATTGCCGTGAGCCTGACGCCGCTCTCCGGCGACTTGTTGGGGACAGTCGGTCCCGGTGGGAGAAGGCCAGGGCCGCATTATTTCGTGACCACAGCTGTGGATGTGGTGGCCCGGTGGAGGCTGAAGTAGCGTGCATACACTGCGCTCAAAGCTATGTTGGGTACATATTGTACTGGCATCCTTCCAACGCCGTTTCAGAGACGGGCTCCACCAAGGGAGCGAAGGGAAGAGGGCGAGCGGTCTATTGTAAGTACGGCCCAGGGATGGGCAGGGATGACAAACCACGGGTGATGCTATTCGTGCGCAGGATTAGCTGGGGGCACAGGCGGTATCCGCGATGGTGGGTGCTAAAGGTAGTACGAGCACTGTAGCACCCACGCCGCCGAGAGGGGTAGTGATGCGACCACTGGGAGCAGTGAGGGGCAGCGCCGCAACCAGATGGAAGCATTTAGCAGGCGATACGAAGCTTAAGTGGAAGCGATGATGAGAGGTGCGTCGTGGCCAGGCGATCAATAATGAACGGACGATGGAACGATTCTTGAAATGATGGGATGGATGGGTGGATGACTCTCAGGCTCACCACTTGATTGATGGATGAAAAATGCATGCACCGCTGACACGTTCATCACCACAATCCGCCAGCCAACAAGGCAACAAGGGCGTGGAGTTGCTGTAGCAGATGGCAGGTCACAGGTGGCATGCAAGCAAGCAGCACCGGCTGGGTAGATTGTGTATGAGGCTGGAGCAGCGATGCTGGGTCGGGGGATTGCAATAATGCAGGCAATGATTAGTGGTAATTTCGGTGGTTGTGCATACCGTTCAGACAGGGTGAGCTTATGTGTGCTAGTATTGTATGGACGCAACAAAGTCAAGACTCAAGACTCAAGAGTGGTTGGGCCGCCTGTCTGAGTTACAGGCAGGGCAGAGTGAGGACGGAGTGGACCACACCACACACTCCCATCGGATGCGCCCAGCCAAGTGTGTGATTGATTGTACCGAGAGTCGCCCCTTGTCCTATCCTGTCCTGTCTTGTCTTTCACCGTACCGTAGTGCACGAGTATGGTTGATGTATGGCAGCAGCGGTAACAGCAGCCAATTGCAGGAATTGGGAGAGGAGGCGAGCGAGCGAGGGCGGTTTCTGGAAGGCTGCAGATCTCGTGTGCATGGCTAGAGCCTACCTAGAGGCCGGCAAACCAAGCTGGTGGCCCTTGACAATGCTTGCTAGGCAAAGAATGCTGAAGGCCATCCCTGTTTCCCACTGTGTAAGAGACAGTATGCTGTTGTGTCCCTGTTGGTCGAAGTGCGAGTGTAAACGTAGTGTGGCACTAAGCTAGACGCATCCAGGAGGACATGCAAGCGCAGAAGACACGGAGAAGAAAAGACATGGGGCGCATAGTGGGCACTTTCCTCCCTCGACCGTCGACGCATCCGATGCGGATGGTGAGATGATGAGCGGATGGATGTAAGAGGAAATGATTGGTGGAGGGATTCGAAACTGGTCGGTCAATTTACTAGGGAGAAAAAGAAGGAAGGACAGGGCAGGGTTAAAGAGATTTCGTTCGAGCGTGGGCGGGATGGAGATTGAGCAGAACCCGGAAAAGGATCTGATCTGGGACGGCAAAGTAGGCCGTATGCGGTGAACGATGGGGATGGTTGGTGGAGGAAGTGATCATCATCCCTTGTACGGAGTACGGAGTAGTTAGTGGGAATAATGAAATGATGATGATGATGATGGATGGCTGAAGCCTGAAGGTGCGAAAAGGCGGATGGGGATGGAAGTGGGATGGGATGGTGAATGGATGATGGTGTCGTCCAGGATTAGCGTCGTCGTGTTTGGTCACGTAACGGAAGAACGAATACGCCGCTAGGTTACTCCGTAGTCAGGCTGGGGCTACTGCCGTGTCTGCTAGTTTACACAGTACACTTTCCTTCCACTATTATTCGGTGAAAAGCAATAATAATAGTCAATAAGTTTAGATGCCTATTTGAGGATGACTTCAGTCTGTACGGCGCACTCTGTAGGTGTCTACGGGGCATGTACGAAGCAGGTAACAACAGACTACTGACTGTCTGCAATGTATGCACTGCACTGAATAACTACAAACAATCTAGCGTACTCCTTACAAAGTAACACTCCATCGTACTCTATGTATGTGCTCCGTTACGAGCACAGCACATTCTTCGCTTTATTGCTTTCTTTTTCCTCCCTTATCTTGTTGTGAAATTGATCATCCGTTCGATGTCTTGCAATTCTTCACAAATCTAGACAATGCAGGACAAAGCACGTTCCAAACAACATCGTTGCCCGTCCATCCTACCCGCCGGTCTGAGTCCGGTCAACAAGGGAGGAACATACCAGATACTGGTAATAGGTAGTAAGATTTGGCGTAGCCCAGTGTCGAAGTTGGGATACGGAGTACATATCGGGTACTGTAATTACTAGGCAGTTAGTACGGGGTACCACATCATCGAGATGGAATACGAGGAGGACACTTGTTGGCCTGCAGACTGTACGTGATTATTGATAGCATACCTAGTTACCTTACTCTTACTCGTACTATTAGTATGTGCTCCTTACACAGTAGGCAATTACTAGTCATTTGTCTCAGAAATTGTACGCACGCTCGGCGCAGGACGGTAAACTCTGTGACCCCCCATATGCGGTAACAAGTATTAACAAGAAGTAATCTAGTACAAGCCATCCACACTTGTGTATGCACACATGGTCTCCCAGATGAAGGATCAGATCATTCAGATGTCGCGTAGACTAATCATTACCAGCGAAACTGATCATCTAGCCAGGCCTGCGTAATGCCCGTAAGTAACTCCGTCCCAGCTCCACCACCACCATTACCCAACAGTTCAGTCCCGAGTACGGAGTCCAACAACAGTCAGTACTTACACATCGTACAGACTCCAGAGTATGTATGCACATGCGTACATATGTACCCAGTATTTACCCAGTACGTATTAGTGGAACTGCTGTGAACATGGCTCTACTCTACAGTAATCACACACGGCGTACTCTGCTCATACTGTACGAACTTACAACGGACTACCTATACAGGCTACATACTGCTCGTACAAGCCCTCCCCTCCGTACATACTACATGCCTTAATAAGAGCCTGCCTTGCTTGCCTTGCTTGCCTCGAATGTAAACTTGTCCTGCCCTGGCCTGGGTTGGCCGCCCTGGCCTGCGACATGCCAATCCAATCCAACTCCACAGGAGAGAAAAAACTTCTCACTTTCTCGCTTTCGAAACTAATTGCATCCCGCCGCCTACGGTAAAAAAAAAGTTTCACTCATGCGCTTGCTATGCGATGCCAGCCCATGCGGCGATGCCACGACCGTAATCCAACCATTCCTCGGCCCCTGAGCCAGTTCATCCTGATTCCTGTCGCATCCGTAAAATGGCGTTGCTCATCTGCTGTGGGTTTCGGTAGCATCAACGCGATGACTCGATAGTTTTCCACTACTACAGAGACTGAATTGGTGGGATGCAGCAGTAATGCAGTCATTGCCAACCTAGTAGTTTGATCACAGCTCGCCATTTTTATCGCAATTTTTCGTTATTGCCATCATCATGTTCCATCCTGATCATCCGCAGTAGCAGCAGCAGCAGCCGTCGCCGCCATCGTACCTGCCTGCCTACGTCCCTCAGTGCCTTCCCACCTGGGTAGTGCCCATTCCTGCCCTTCCTGCCAACCAACCCACCCCCAGTGCCACCCTCCTCTCTCCCCCTCGCCTCCCCCTCCCCCCCTCCAAGCAAATAATCCCTTTCACTTTCACAAACCCGACCCCTTCCATTACACCCCCACATCACCCGTTCATCGTCAATCACCATGTACATGTACATGTATCAGCATCATCACCATTCACCCCATCAAGATCACGGCTCGGTAAAGAATCGATATTGCTTTATTCATCTGCCTGTCTGACTCCTGGACTGAACCACCTTGGCTGGCTTTCGAGCCCAATCCCCGGTGCACTGTGCAGGCAAAACCTCGTCAAGCAAGCAAGCAACCAAGCAAGCAAGCAATCTACACCGTACTGTTGTTGTCGTGTCTACTCTGCTAGTGCAGAGTAAGTCCATAGTGAGAATCTACCATCGTACTCGTGCTAATAATGGACCATCCTCAATCTCTACCACACACCAATAAAGAATGACGAGTCTACAAATGTGCTCTTTCCTGCGATGCCGGCTAAAACATAGGGCAACCCATCACCTCGATAGCCCTTCGATAGCGGCCCCGTTCCGCCTAGATGGATTCCTTGAAAGGGATCAGAGCACCAAAGGATTGCCGAGGGCCATGTGTTGCAAAGTCGCGCCGCCCCCGTCTTCCTTAGTTCGTCTAACGTGGGCGGGTGGAGGTGGAGGGTGGGACACTGGGAAATCATACATACAACAAGTCTCTGTCTGGGCTACGAGACGAGTACGGCTATGACTGACTGCGTCTGGAAATATGGAATGTGGGCGTCGGACGCACACAGCTAGCTGACCGCCTTGACCGCCCCGACCGCCACGGCACCATGCTAGGTGAAGACATTCTTTACCTTTGTCTTCCCCCTGTCTGCACGACTGAAGGACTAATACACCGAGACCGTGCACACCAACTGCGACTTGCTGGTCTGGTGTCTGGCGTCTGGTGTCTGTGTATTACTGTATGTACACTGGCTGTTACATACGACCTACCCTACCTATGCTGCACACTGCACTGCACCGCAATGGACTGGCTCCCCTGTCTCCCTGCCTCTCCCTGCAACCCACACGACACTTACTCCAACCTAGCCCCAGTTCCCAGGACCCAGCTGAGTCGCAGGTCTCGTAGCAGCGCGAGGCCCGACCTTTCAAGGGCACTATGCCGGATCCTATCGACTCTCCTCGTCTGCCACCTTACCACACTGCAGGATAGGCTAGGCGTAGGTGTTATTTTGCTCTACTCGTCACCCTCGCTCCTCTTCCGTCGGGCCTGCTCTTTTGCCCTTAGAACAACCAAACCCCCCCTTGGCGCTTGGCCCCTTGCAAATGATGCACAATGGACTGGCTCACCTGGCTCCCAAGCTCCAACTGGCTTAACTATCCCATTCGCCGCTATTGGCCCGATCCCTTTCGACAGGCTCATTAACGGGCTGTACAGGCTGCCCTGCTTCCTGTTACTTACTGCACCCAGCACTGCCAGTAGTGCAGTAGTGCCACTGTCCGGGGCTCCCTCTTGCTTGTCTCGCTCGCCCGGCCAACATGCGCCGCACGGATCTCCGTTGCGCCATGATACATACCCGCGCGCGCTCAATGTCCCTTTCTCTCTTTGTGACTTGGTCACTCCCACAGTCCTAGTGGTGTTTCTTTTGCTCGCCAGTCTGGTCGTGGGCCTTGAACCATGATGCACCACCATGGTGATCAGCTCCTGCTCGCGTTCCAGCCGTGCGTTCCACTTTCACAACGCCGTTCCTTCACGAGGCCGGTCCCTTGTAGTCTCCCTTAGGTAGGTAGGCATTCATCACCCGTCCCTTGTCTGCATATTCCTCCCTCTTAGTATGAGTAGGACCACGAGTCTTTGCTTAGCAGCTTCCCATGACTTGTAACGCCGCTACGTACCCTGATCTCTTTCTCTTAATTGTCCAAAGCCTGCATCCCAATCTGTCCCTCTATATCTCTTGGCACCCCATATACACATGCACCTCCCCCCGATGGACATTCCATATATGATTTACGAGTACATTCTGTGACCACTCTACATACTATCCGTCTGACCATACACTCTACCACCCATACAACACAACAACATACTTTGTGAAATATAAAACCGCCCTCCATGGCATCAACCTTCCCACCGGGGCACGACCCTTTAAGCAACAACCATCCCTCCATCGCCAACATGGCATATCCAATGGTTCGACGAGCCTCACGCAGCTCTGGAAGCCAGTCCGGATCACGGCCTACCCGCGTGGAAAAACCAAAGAGCACTCATAACAGCCCACGCACCATGGAAAGGCGGAAGACAACCACTGGCCCTGTCAAGCGTTATGCCACACTAGACGACCACTACAACTTCATGTTTGGCGGTTCTCGTGAAGAGGAGGAACAGGTGCAGACTCAAACTTCTCGGCCAATGAGCTGGCACCCATCGTCTTCCCAGTTCCAAGTTCCACCCCGTTCGTCAGGACCAATGGAACACGCACAAGCACAAGACTTTGGCCCTCGCTATAACCCATCATCACGGAACTCCGCCCATGGTTCCGATTTCTATTCACTGTCTGCGCGGAATTCCATGTTCCAAGACCAGATGCAGACCTCCCAGGCAGCAACCTACCCTCACAATCACCACCGTGGCTCGCATGATTCGGATTCTAGCTGGCAAGCATCGTCTACGTCTACCCCGGCTACTGAACCAATGCCATGGTATTTGCAGGAGTGGGCAAGGAAGAACGAGGAACACGCGGCAATTTCACGCAACGGGTCTTCGGATTTCCTGCCCATCCAACATCCATCTGAAGAGGAGGAGGCTATGGACGAAGACATGGAGGACTCAGGAAAAGAATTGATTGGCATGGGCTTGTACGACCTCCCCGACCCTGCCCTGTCCTGGTCCTCGGGTCTTGTTGAGTCCACCGGTAAAGGTCTCAAGCTTGAGGAGACATGGCAACCACCAGAGGAGGATGTTGAGGACGAGGACGCAGATGCGGAAGGCGACGCAGATGACGCCAGCTCAGATGATGCCAGTGTAGAAGACCTACCTGCACCTCCTCCAGCAGCACCGCAGCCTGCACAAACCATTGATACCCTTGGAAAACCTCAAGTATCGAGCAACATGGACGGCCAAAGTTTCTTTTTCGATGATGACGAAAATTACACTAAGGAATGGTACTTTCAACAATTGAAGCAATCCACAATGCCAGTGCGGGACGCTGGTTTGGGATACGGGTGGTTGTGAATGTTTGAATGACTTTCAATCGTTCCTGCCCGGCTTCCTCGACATTTTTATCACGAACAACTTTCAGCATAGCATGGTGTTTTTTTGGATGAACATATTATGATGTTCACATTTAGATTTATGAATCAGGATACCCCTCTAGCCTTCAATGGCATCATTTAACGGCAGCGAGCGACTGTTCGTTCCGGAAGTCTAAGACTTGATGGCAAGTCTTCGATTAGTATACACACCAGCAAAAGCTTGGTGCATGTATGATCATGTCAATCATAGCAGAATAGCATAGTAGTAGCAGTAACATTGCAGCCGATGCATTACACACGATAATCGCATCTAAACAGGCTCAAAAGCTACAACAATAAAAAAACATCAATACAACACAAACAAAAACCTGTCCTGTGCCACTGATTCTCCCTCCCTTCTCTGACCGCTTCTACCTACCTACCAACACACAGAAACTAAGTTAGTGTTGAAACTTGCTTTTAAGTCTCCGACGGTTACGAGTAATCGCCGACCTTGACGTTCCCACACATTCCAACACAAACATAACAATAACAACCAACCCCAAACACACTAACTACTACCTCCACCCGCTCGCATCTGCCGGGACGCGCGCAACATAGGTTTTTTTTTCTCGTCCCACTACAGCGATTGATAATACTCAAGTCCACCGAACACGAGGGTTTCCGCGCGCCCCCGGTAACGTCGACGATCGCTTGTTTTTTTGAAGGGAGTTTGCATACTTTCGTGGTCTGTCAGATGATGATGTCATGGAACGAAACGAAACAACTAATGTTGAAATCGAAAACGAATAAGTCAATTGAACCCTCTTCGAATGTAGTTTTCGCGTGTGTCGTTAGCTATGAGAAGCGTTCGTATTTTCTTTTGCGTTGACTGTTTTGGATGTGTGTGACGGGTAGGTAGTTAGATGAAATAGAGGTATAGATATGGTCGCAACTATGAAGGACATAGATTGGTATTGAATGATCTTGAATGATCTTGGATCTACAACTCTCCCACAAAGCCAATCTCACACACCCAACCTAATGTGCCAATCAAACAAGCTCCCCAACCCTCCACCATCGTCCGCCAAAACCCGGAGATCCCCAAGATTCCCCTACGCATCTCGCTCTCGCACTCGCATCTCGCACTTCGCATCTCGCCTCCTCTTCCTCCGCTTTGCCACCAATTGGACCTTGTTCCATCGCTCGCCTTGATCCCTTTCGATCCGACCACTCAAGCGGGAGGGGACCAAGTATACTTTGTACATCTCCGTTTGCGGAGTCAGGCGCTGTGTGATTGGCCAATGCGCCAGGCTTTGGGGGACGTTCGTTATCGATAAGAAAAAAGTTGGAGCACGTGACGTATATTTTCTCCATTTCTTGGCCTGGGCATGCGTAAAGGGACTTAGGATTGAAGGAGAGAAACGAACGAACAAACGAACGGCTGAAGCTAGTGACCAGGATTAAGGTATTGAGGTATTGAGATTGATATTGAGAAAGAGATATTTGCAACTAGGAAAAGGGCAGGGTAACTAGAATATGGTGGGCGTGGAAGAGAAGTTCGTCGTCACGGCGTGGAGGGATGCGGAGGAGTTGTTTGGGTTGAGGAGGGATTTGTATGGAGATGATTTGGCGGCGAGGGGGAGGGGTGTTAGGATGGTGGGTGCTGTTCTGCTTATCTCTCTGTCGTTCTTTTTCTTTCGTTCGAGGGTTATACGCTTGGATGCGTGGATGGAAGGGGTTTGTGATATGGAGCAGAAGCTAACGAGGGACCATAGGTTCAAGCGTGGAAATTGAGGAAGACGGAATTGCCGCTGCTGCTTGAGTCTACGGCCGATCTCGTGGACGCTGAGATTCAGGATCAAAGGGGCGTGTTGGAGGCGAGTAGTTTGAAGTTGATTTTTGGTGGTGCTATCGCGAGGTAAGACTCTACCGCTTCACGGCCTGAAAATGTGGATTTTCAAACTGCTCGAAGGCATTGAACAAGAGTATCAATTAGTTCTAACTCCCCACCAGATTCATAACCGGCTTCGCCGACACATCCCTTGAGCTCCGCCGCTCCAAACCCTCCTTCCATGCCTCCAATCCCTCAACCCCCTTCCTCTCCCTCCCCCCTCACCTCCTCGAAGTCCGCCACAGCATCGTCCACCGCGAATATCCCACTCTCCCCACCCTCAGACGCTCATGCCGCGAATGCTTAGCCTGGCTCTGGGAATGGTACTGGTCGCGCCTCGACATCGCCTTCTCCTCCCCTCTCACCCTCAAAACCACCAACGAAACAGTCGCCACAGGCTCCCTCACAGAAACCGAACTCCGCACCTCCATCTCCACCCTCCTAAAAACCTACACTAAAAGCCGGAAAACCGAAATCAAGTCTCGAAGAAAGGGATCCTCTCTAGCCGCGAAAAACGCAGCCGACGCGCTCAAGACCGTGATCGCCATGGCCAGCAGCACACCGACGACCTCGAGTCCCGTATTCGACACCCTGCTCATGCAGCTTGTTGATGAAGACGCTGTCATTCCTGCTGGGAAGGCGCTTGGCACGAGTATGTCTGGTGCGTTTTTGCTGTGGTCGCAGCTTTTGGTTGCGGTGTCGGTGATGCACGGAGGGTTCGTTACACTGCTCGTTGCAAGGATGGTGAAGAGGATGAATGCTGCGTGCTCTGCGTCTCCCGCTGCGGTGGAAAAGAACCCGGTCGGCGAGGCGTTTGCGGAGTGGTTGGTTCATGTGCTGACGTCTGAGGAGTGGGGGGATGTGAGGCGGAGGTATGGAAAGGAGCAGCATGGGTGGAAGCTGAGGGGTTTTGAGGAGGAGGTTATGGAGAGTTTGTTTCTGGAGCCTGGGTATTGGAATTTGAGGGTTGTGGAGAGGGTTATTGGGGCGGGGGCTGTGGGTGATGGTGGGAGTTGGAAGGCGATTTTGGAGGCGGCGAGGGGGGAGGGGGAGGGTATGGATGTGGATGAGAAGGTTGATGTTGGTGGAGGAGAGGGAGAGAGAGAAACAGTTGATGGGGTGGTGGAGAAGACGAAGGGGCCGCAGAAGTGGATTGGGCTTTGGAAACCTACACCGATAGGGGTGCTGCCCTTGGGATGGGAGGATGATGAGTGAGTGAATGGTTCTGAGACAGCGTGTAATGGGTTGGAATTTGGTCATCACGATATCCTAGATTGTATTGTATTTCGAGTTGGTATATAAAGTGTGTCTTTGTAGATGATTCATGCTTAGGATGATCTGTCTGTCTATCTACTGTGCATGTCTGCGTTGTCCATAGCCACCAGAATAGCCCTTGGATAATACCCCTATGCTTGATGCAATACCGAGTCCTTGGATTTCCCCTATCCTAACGTCGGTGAAATCCGCTATGGGAATCACTCAGCGTCTCTGAGGTTGTTCCCTCCGAACTTTGTTGTCCGTCTATAGGCATAAACGGTTGTCTCTTCATGAACTCTCGAGGCCTGGTATATAACTACTTGCGTCTTTCCTTCCGTACCCCTTTGGCCCTGGGCTATTGCTTTCTCGCTGGGTCAATTGATATCATGACCCCCCTGCGTGTAAAGGTATCATACGTCTTCCTTTCATCTGCCTCTCCATCTCTTTACATGAGATCAGCATCAGGTTGCCAAAGCGTGAGATCCTTATCCGCCGTAGCCAGCAAATTAGATCGTGGGTTGTAACCAATGATGGCGGCCTTGCTATGTCCAGGTAGATGCTCCACAGGCTCGAGAACGTTATTCCCTGTTGCCGGCCTTGAAATATCCCAGACCAGGACGCCATCTTCAGAGCTGCCACTAAGAAGATATTGGCCATCTGGTGTCACACAAGCGTCACCCTGACCCAGTGTTCCGGAGCTGTTAGCTGGGGCGCCTGGACCAAGCCTTCCCGAAGGTCCTGTTTTGCGATAGCAGAAATGCGTGAGTTTGCCATCAAAGGCGTCGAGTACGAAATGTCCGTTTCCTGCCGTTGCAATGATCAGGCTCTTCCCATCATTTGTGAACTCCAGCTTCGTCCATTCTGCACCCTGGGCGCCGAGGAAACGCTGCTCGTTTTCGAGCATGTCGAAAGTTGCGAAGGGCGGCTTGTCGTAGTGGCGCACATCGTAGAGTAGAATCGCATGCGTCGCCGGTGATGCAACGGCAATGACGGTCGCGGATGGATCGTACGCGGCTAGGTACGGGGCGTGCAACTTGAGTATCCCTTGGCAGTTGTTCGATCCCAGGTTCCATATCCTCACTGTGTTGTCTTTCGAACAGGAGATGAAGGTGTCGTCCGAAGGGCAGAGCGCAATAGATGTGACCGTGTCTTCGTGACCTCTAAAGTAGCGGATGTATGAGTTGTCGTGGGTGGAAAGAAATCGAATGGTATCTGGTCATCTATCAGCTCAGTGCTTCCTGGGACAACCAACGTAAGAGCATACCGTCTACTTTCGTGCTAGCATAGATTATGCTCTGCGCATGGTGGGAGAAGCGCGCCAGATGTACACCATACTTTTGGCTCTTCAGTTCCTTTGCGTGCTTGCCCTCTCTGCAGTTGTATATCTGAAGCGTATCGTCGTCGCGTGCTACGATCGCAAGCTCGCCGGTGTCGTCGAAATCGAGCGAGGTCACCGAAGTCTTACTGTCATTTGGCTTGAATCGCTACACAAGATTATCATTAGTACTAGCACCTCTGATTGCATGTAGATAGCTTACTCTTGATGGGCGGAACGATGTTATGACGTCGCTCACTTTCTGTGTCGGCGGTCCTACCGGAGGTGCTGGTGGGCCAGGAGTCGCAGAACCGGTCGCCATGGTCGATTTGAGGTGGGGTGAGGTCACCGAAAGAACGAGACCATTATACCCGAGCAGATTGTGGGGGTGGTTAACGCGATACCTCGACGCTGGTGGGGAGATGCAAACAATAGCTCTCTTTTGATATTGAATATGGGAATATCTGGAGAAGAAGCATGGGCCACCTCAGGCCAAACTTAGCTTCATGAGGAAACCAACTAAGCAATCCGACGCGAAAGGAAAGCTTGGCTCGGGCTTTACTGGGAATCGCCGTTTATCGGAGGTCGGCTTGTCGGAATACGACTTACATTTAACTTATTATTCAGATCTCCAAATAATTTCTGTCAACCGAGCTCACTCAGCAATCGCCATTGAGCTCTAAGTATCTTCGTGGCCAGGGGCGCGCAACCTCTTCTCTTCTTCTTATCCATTTTCCTGAGTATTTCCGAATATTGCCTGCGGCTCTCTGTTGCTTGCGCCGAGAATTCACGCAAGAGGTCTGGAAGAAGAACGATGTCTACAACTCTAGGGTATGTACGAGCTGAAGCTTCCTAAGTGATTCCTACTGACTTGATTACACCAGATCCTTCATTGCGGGAGGCATTGCCGCCTGCGGAGCGGTGACGGTCACACACGGCTTCGAAACGGTCAAGATTAGGTGCGCCCGCAGCATTCCGAACCTCTCGAGACGAGGTATTGACGATACCCAGGTTACAGCTTCAGGGAGAACTACAGGCCAGGAAGGATGCGCCGAGATTATACAAAGGTGTTCTTCACGGCGTGGGTGTCATTCTCAAGAACGAAGGTCCAAGGGGCTTGTTACGAGGTCTGAGTTGCGCGGTATGTTCATACCCTGGCTGTTAGTCATTATTATACGAGCTCGCAACTAACACGTGTGTCAGTACGTATACCAAATGACGCTCAATGGTTGCCGATTAGGGTTCTATGAGCCAGTACGCAAAACCCTGACGAGCGCGATCTACAACGATGCCGCCGTGCAGTCCTTCGGTGTGAATCTCTTCTCGGGAGCCGCCTCGGGTATCCTCGGTGCAGCAGCCGGTTCACCATTCTTCCTCATCAAGACCCGTCTCCAGTCATACTCACCCTTCCTACCCGTCGGTACGCAGCACAACTACAAGAATGCGGTAGATGGTATGCGCCAGATCTACAGCCATGAAGGCGTCAAGGGACTTTACCGTGGCGTGCTTCCGGCCATGGTCAGGACTGGATTCGGCAGTTCCGTTCAGCTCCCCACATACTTCTTCGCGAAGCGGAGGTTGATCAAGCATTTCGGAATGGAAGAGGGCATGCCGCTGCACATTGCTAGCAGCACTTGCAGTGGTTTCGTCGTGTGCTGCGTTATGCACCCTCCTGACACGATCATGTCGCGAATGTACAACCAGACGGGCAACCTCTACAGCTCGGCGTTCGACTGTCTCTCCCGAACAGTCAAGACCGAGGGTCTCTTTGCTTTGTACAAGGGATACTTCGCCCATTTGGCACGAATCCTTCCCCACACGGTATGTATCAAGACTATAACCCAAGCCCATTGAAGAACCGAGGTACTGACATCTACTAGATCCTTACTCTTACCCTCGCCGAGCAAACAAACAAGATCATGAGGAGAGTCGAAGACCGAATACTCTCACCGGAGACAAAAGCACAAATATAATGTGTCATATTATCCATGTATTCATTTCCTTATCTACGGAGTATGTTGTATATATACCACATGTATGGGTGAGAAATTTCTTTTCGAAAGCATCGTTTGCATAGCGCGGACCGGGATCACTAGCACAGACAGACAATGTCACGCCTGTCTATGTTCTGGGAAGGAGTTGTACCATATCGGAGGCTCGAAACTGGGCGGTGACTTGTGGGGGAAACAAAAATGGGCGGAAAGCTGGACTTGGATACTCGATGCATGAACGGATAACTATCCCGGGGAGAGTCCATCTCATACGCAAGAAGCAATAGAAAAAAATTAGGACCCAAAACAAACGCACACCAACAAGTCGGTTTTTCACAGGATTGGAGCTTCGAATTTTGGGCTTCAACACGTCTCGCTTCTGCCGCAGAGAGCTCATCTAACTGAACTTTGTTTTTTCTCTCTTCACCGGCCCCGCGCTTCGTGCCTCCCTGCTTTCCTTCTTTATTCGTGGCTAACTACCACGCCCAGCAATGCGCGGAAGTTTTTTTAATGTCAGTCATGAAACCTGCAGCATCGGATGAGTTGAAAGGTGGGCCCCTTCGAAGAAGAAAAAAACACGCAAGCTGTCTTGTCGATCCAGGTACCCCCCTTCCAACAGGGCATCACTGCAGGGTCATGGGAAGAGAGAGGGCATCAGTGGAGGACGCCGAAGTGCGCTTTTCAGCATTCAATTCGCAACGCGAGAGACAACAACTCGGATGATGCTCTAACTAGATCGAACATAGCAAGATACTTAGAGGAATCTTTCACGGTCATCAGATCTGACCTCGCATGCTCACTACAGGTCTCAACCCCACACGACGACAACATGTCGTGGCTGTCTAGCATAGCGGTAGTGCAATGGCCTGGGGTGGGCTGGCTCCACGACAGAAACCACTCAATGCACGTCTTATATATTTGCAGACGGTACGTATGTATGTACGCTGTACTCCGTACATACAGCAGCAGGCACACAGGTACTACTATACATTACATACGTCGAGGTGCACCCCCCATCTTGGGCTATTCACCGGACTATACAATTGGAGAAGGACCTCCACAGATGCCCAGAATGGTGCCAGGGCTCTTCCCAACTGGCTACAGGAGAAGCAAAAATGTCGCTCGCTTCAGCTCAATGTATGCGCATTTGCTTGCGCACACCGACGTCTCTCCATACCCTACGTGCCTACGTGCCCTGCCCTGCCCTGCCCTGCCCTGCCCTGCCCTGCTAGACGCTACTTACGATTTCGTAAAAGCTGATGCCAGCCAATAAGTCAACTGCAGAGACTCCCCAAGGAGGATGGAAAACCCCGCACGCAGCTGTTTGTGTGCCAGCATCAGGTCTGCATTTCCAATAATGCAGCCTCGCCCGCCGTGGACGTGGACGTGGACGTGAAAATTTCTTCTCTCCCTTCCAATTGTCTTACGATTGGGCATGTTGGGCAGTCGAGCGATCCTCCTATAGCGAGCAACCTGTGTCAGCGGTGCAATGTGATGACAAGCAACGGAGGCGGAAAACGTAAGAATCGAGATGGTCAAGACCGCCCCTCACGGCCAAGTCGAATAAGAACTGGGGTAATGTCACCAAAGGCATTGTCGTCTGTGCTATTGCTGCACGCAGTTGGCCACCCAACGTCATGGTGGAAGAGGGTATGTCCTCCCTTTTTAAGATCTAGACAGCACCATTCCTCCGACGGGGATCAAGTGAGGCTCGTAGGTATGGTGGCGACTCGAAGGGAAAGCAAAGAAAGTCGAGTCGTGTGCGATGCATGGACTGCAACATCACCATTACACCTCCTTTCGCAAGCCATCTCCCTCTGATTTGTCCGGCTGCGATGCGATGTCCCCTCCGACTCCCGATCAGATTCGTCCTCCTGGACATTCGCTCCAGGATCGAGCCTCCCCCCTTCTCCACCATCACATCTCCGCCATGTCAGCGGGCTTGTCGACCCTGGATCCAGTTTTGATCATCGCGACAGACCCTGATCACCATCGGCTAGGAGATCGAGCAGACGCGTAGGGCACACGACCATCAACGCGATTTTGCTTTTCATGATTTACTAAACAGGTCTTACGAAAGCGTGCGGGAATAAAAGGAAAGTACGGAGTACGGAGTAGACCACCTCGTTAAAGTCGCAGAAGCGACTATTCCTGTCTTCAACGAGGGTACGGGGGGAAGGGGGGGCCAGTCTGGGGTGCGATTCAGAAGGGCTCTCGTTGGAGGAGAGACGAAGGATTCCATACGCTGATCCTTTGCCCCAATCAGGTCGCTACTGGCTACCTCTTCGGCTCAGCGTTCATGGGAGCCCTGGTCCTCAAGCTTTCGTAGCCTCATTTCTCACTGACAGTATTTGGTCTGTTGGAGACATTCTCCGAGGGTGACAAGTCCAATGGCCTCTGAAGAGACTGAAGGTTGGATGTGCTTTTGAGAGACGTCCCCTCCCAAGATGAGACGACGTCGGTGGCACCCATCCACCCAATCTGAGTCGCTCCAACGTGCGCGTTGTTGATTAAATAAATGCCTTTTGATCCAGGCCGCGCTGACGGCGTACAAACATGTCCATAAAATGCCAACAACGTCCCTCCCTTTCGCTCTCCCTGTTTTAAAGACAATCAGCAAGCAATAGCAATACTTGTAATACGTCGCCGTGGCGCGGCCCCATCTTCGCATCGTCGTCCAATCAGCCAATTCCGTTGACCGCATAGAGCTTCGAGGCACGCGGGCACACAGCCTACAGGACAGGACAGGACAGGAGAGGGGAGGTGTGAGTGTCTGTGAGTCTGTGAGTCTGTGAGCGACCTGCGGGTGAGCGTGCATCTAGGCTGCGCTCTTTGCTGGGGTTCTCCGCAATTTGCCCACTGCTTCGGGTCATCCGACACCTCCACCTCGTTTTCTAAGGTCTTTGCCTGTCTTGCCTGTCTGTTTTGGCTTTTGGCTGTCCTGTCAGTCTCGTAAACCTTTTTAAGTTGGTGGAGGGGGTTGTTGATTATTTCTTATTATTACTCGCGGCACCTGTCACTTGCCCTCGAATTCATTCCCTGCAGGTCTTTCCTCTCCCCTTCGACGCCAATCCTCTGGATACCTACCTACTTGGACCTGTATGTAACTGTACAGGACACGACACTGGTACACGACCGGTACTCGATCCTCGACTTGGTATACACATCTGTCGTTACATACTCGTAATACCTGGTGGTCCAGTTCCCTAGATCTCGGTAGCACCCGACGAAAACGAAGACGAGGATCCCATCCCCTACCTTCCACGCCGCCCTGCGACTGGATTCGTCAGATTTCAGAGAGGAAGGGAGTGAAGATTTTCTGGAGGTCTCGTGATGCTTTTCGTGGGCATCGATACGTATGCTCTCGCGCCGCCATCATAGTTTGGGGGTTGGCCAACAAACTGCCGTCGAATCGAGAGTGCTGTCTCTTGATAAACTACCGCCGCTACCTCTGTTAGCTCTCCCGCCCCACCCACATCTACAAGTAGCAATTGCTAGCACTGGCACTGGCACTGCTCGGCCCGCTGCTGTCCACCACCACTACCAGCACCAACATCAGCACTATCAAGTGCACTCATCACCCGTAGTCACCACCAATCGTCGTATCTCAAAGCCGACTTCCACTACCACTTCCACTCCCAGTTCTACTTCCACTTCCACCCTCTTCCTCCTCCACCAACCTGCTGCTACTACTTCGACGCGCGATTATGTCGTGTCGTGCGCAAAGGACTCTGTATTCAAACGAGAGACGGAGGAAAAGGGTCGGAGGAGCATTATGCACAGCGTGCTTGGACTGACCTCTTCGCCCTCACCACCACAGAAGGCCCTTCCACTGAGATTACACGACCAACTGGAGCCAACGACACCATTTACATTTTGTATCTCTCCGAACCCAGCTATGAATTTAACTTTTAACCATCGCCCATCTCCGCCTCGACCAAGGAAACGATGTCGATCCGTGGCTGATGTCGACGGCGAACACTCCTGTTTGCATAAGAAGAAACGCCGTCTTAGGTTGTTTCTCATCACTTCCCGTTTATCACCCGAGTTCTCTAGTCCTGCTACCAACATTGTAGACCGGGGAAGCTCGAAGATTGCTGTTTGGGCAAGGCAGAAAGCGCTGGGGAGGAACCTCTTACGCAAGGCTGCCATCCTCAACCGCGTCAAACGCCGAGACCAATATGCAAGAGAGACTCACGAGGGATTGGGGGTATCCCTCGCTGCTCAAGAGCACGAATCCAAGCAGTTGGAGTTGGCGAGGTTGGCCCTGGTGTATGGCAGTCATGACTCCTATACTCGGATGGTGTTACCACAAACGACCCCATCTACGTCTTCAGACGCCATACGAATAGACAAGGTGGACCTTTCCTCGAGCCCGAGTCCGAACTCTTCTTCACCTAACTTCGCGCCTGTGTCCTTAGACGACGGGGGCCTGATTGAAACAGCAGGCGATAATCCCAACAGTGCGTACGTGTACGCCTACACACCAACGAAGGCGCAAATACCGCGACGGAATCACATCCCACTTCCCCCTTCACCCCTTGGACTTTCTAATTACGATGCTTTTGATCAAGAAGATGCCTTTCCGGATCCTTATGCCCACTTCGATGACGATGATGAGGAGGGAGGCGGAAGCAGTGGGCAACTGTTCGGCAACACTGACTATCGAGAAACGACACCTCCCCCCAAATCATCAATCGCCCATAGCTCGACAACCCCAACATCCAGCACGACACCTCGCAACGCCTCAGGCACCCCACCCCCAACAATCTACTCCGACTTCGGAAAACTCGACCCAGGCGAGTCCATCGTCGGCGACTTCGACCAAGTCGAAGAAGGCTCCGACCCAATCTGGCCGACACAATTCGAAGAAACCCACCTCACCAACCCAACACGTCCCCCCGAGCCATCACCCCCCTCTCCAAACCTCCAACCAGCATCCTGCTCCCCCAACTTCGCCGCTTTCTTCGCGTCAACAAAACAGCACGCACCCGCTGCTCCCCCTGTCCAAGCACAGTACCGCGACGCGGGGAGCCAACTCCTCGATGAGAGGAGTAGACGCGAGAGGGAGGTCCAAGAAGAGCGGCTCAGACAGCGGAAACTCATGTTTCCGCAGTTCCATCCTACTATGTAACGCTGCTCCATGCATCCCTTCTCTTCCTGCCAGCGATTCGTTTGTTGGGTAGCTAGCTAGCATCATCACCATCATCATCATCATATTGCATATTATCAGTCGGCCGGTCGGTTTGCTATAAAATTCTATCTTCATCAAGTAGGGGGCTTCCAAACTAAGCGGGGCGGGCAAAAAATGGGATATGGAATGGGTATAATATATACGTACGTCGTTTGACTGTGCTGTGATGTGGGAAAAGTTTGGGGTGTTGGGGTGGTGATTTGCATTTTGTTTGGGTTGTGATGGGTTCTGGGTCTGTAGTATTTATCTACGTATAATGTTCATCATCCACATCAACCGTCTGACCCATGTGAATCGCTTCGATGGGAGCATGTAATAGCATAGCATAATGAGCAATCATCATACCACACTCCGAACAACAGAATGGAAAAAAGCCCAGGCGGATGTCTCGATGTCATTACTCCCCACCTACTCCCCACCATCTTCATCCTCGCCCAAAACGAACTAACTTAATCGAAGCATCTTCTCTTCTACACAACCCATTCCAAGCACCTACACCTCCAAGAAAAAAGAAGATAAAAAAATATGTATATCCACCTATACTTGTAGTGAAAATATGAGGATGGTAAATGTGTTCGAATTCGTGTTGGGTAGTAAGAGATAGGCTTTTCGTCGGACTTGTTTCGTGAAATTTCGTGCTGGTAATGGTGAGATGATCCTTCCTGTGATGTCGGGGTTCTGTTCGCTTTCTTCTGCTTCGATATGAAGTCCCATCTTCCCTCCTCCTCCTCTTCAACAACCACCACCTCCACCAAAACACCATCCTCTCATCTCCTCCCGATCCCTTCACTCCTCTCTTACCCCCAACTTCCCCACCCGGTCCCTCGCAATATCACACATGGCATCAATCGCCTCCCTCATCTCCAACCCCGGATTCCCCCTATCAATCCTCTCCCTCATATCCCTCATAATCTCCTCTCTACTCCTCGCGTTCACGAAAACCCTATACCCCAAAACAATTAGCATCCCCCTCATAAAAAAAAATACCAAAAGGATCAAACATACACATATCTCAGCCCCGGAAACGCCTCCTCATACTCCTCATTCAACACCCTCAACCTCTCCCCCTCCTCCCCACCATCCCCTTCCCCGCCGGCAAGACTCGCCTGCTCAGCCCTACTCTGCGCACTCTCGACCTTCTTCGCCCCGAGCCGCGGATGCGACCCCAGTATCGCGATCAGGTTCTCCATGGCCCGGGGGTTCTTGGCCCGGGAGAGCTTGGTGAGGCTGCTGTGGACGGAGGCGATGAGCGAGGCGTAGCTTTCGTGGGGGGTGGTTAGGAGGGAGGGGAGGAGGAGAGAGTGTAGGCGGGGTGAGGGCTCGAAGAGGAGGTCGATGGTGGTGAGGATTTCGGGGTGGGGGAGGGTGGGGAGGGTGGATGGAGGGGGGAGGGTCATGGTTTTGAAGGGTTGTTGGGGGGTTGAGGGGTGGATGGTGATGATGTTGATTTTGGGGGGAGGTGTATATGGAGGTAGATGTGGATGTATATATAAAATTGAATTGGTGACGATGATAGCTAGGTAGGTAGATTGTAGATCGGATACCCGCGTCTGCGGTTGTGGTCACGGCGGGAGCCGACCGTCCAGCCAGCGAGGGTTCTAGCTTGGAGTCATTCTGGACGATTCTTCCTCCACAGACGTCTTTCTCACGCGCAAAAGATATAATTGCGAATTTTCTAGATGATGGATCAATGACATGGGAACATGTCATGCATTTCTCTTATCGATAGGGAACTAGGAGCTCGTATGGATGAAATCTTGGATACGGAGTAGTCAATACTCGGGAGATCTAATTTGGATGCAACGAAAATGCGAGCGAGCTGCAAGGGGTAATTAAGGAGATTCCCAAATTGAACAGCTTGGTTCGGTCTATCGATAAGGACTACGAGGATTGAGATATGTATTAATGGATCAATAGCTAGCTGGTTTTAGTCCATCTATACCATAAAATAGTTATAGTTAGCGGTGGAGGGCGTTGACCTGCAGAGCTGATGTCGTGTAGAGCTGATGCAAGCTGCCGATGCTTTTTTGGACTTCATCGATAATTACCTCCAATAGCCTATGAGACACCAGTACTACGAGTACTCCTTAGATAGCGTATCGTGCTATTGGGAGGTCCCTAGAATTAGTGAAGTCCACCAACGACGAGAATGAGCGTTATGGAAAAGACGGCTCTTCATTCTTTGGTACAGTCCATAGTTACGCGTTCTTGACCTGCGGAGATACCGGCCATTCTAGCAGTTCTTGTAAGTGTTGTGGGGAAAACTTCCACGACGGACTGATAAGCCAGATGCATGGCGTACCGTTACGTGCGACCGATCCTGTGTTGTGTATTCGTTGTTGAGAAGCAGGGAGGTAGTACTCGCAGGTATGATTTATGATTAATTATTGCTTTTCGCATCACATTGACAAGCTGATACCTGCAGCCGCCGCCATCTTTCATTCCACGAGGAAGCGGAAAAGAGGTACTACGAGCAGGACGAGGATCAATTCCGCCAACCAGGATGATCCCGTTGAGCCAAGCTACCAGACAAAAGCGAGCAAGTGTCAGGGTGCTGTTGTCCGTTCATCTTGACTCGAGGAACACATGCTGCTCGTTGATTCGCGCCAACCATGTGCGAAATTGAATGTCGCAATCGTGGTCATGGCGAAGGGGAGGGAGATCTGCCGGAACCCCAATTGCTTCATGCCAGGCCGGGCGTGACGCGTAGGACTACACGCCCTAGTAAAAACCAACTGGTGATGGATGATAACAACCTGACAGGTTATTCTTTTCAGGTGGTTCTTGACGGCTGAATGGTGGTGTGAGGGGTGGGTGGACTAGCAGTAGCAGGTAGTAGGTGGTTATTGTATTACTCGTAGTCTCGTAGATAGGTAGTTGGGCCTCTTCTCACTCGCGGAACTCCTTCGTACCATCCTACCACTGTATTCGGAGTACCCTACGAAGTATCCTTAAGCCCAAGAGAGGTGGGGAGGGGGAAGTGACGGGACTAGGCTGGTTCCTGAAAGGTGCAGATGATTGTATCGTAGTTGGCTTAGGTGGATGGAGTCAAGCTGTCGATTGTACAGTGTAAAGGCGCAGTAGTGAGTGTAGAGTTCATGCATGGTGGTCACTGGTGGTACATCGTAGCCGCACCTGAAACGTCAAAAAGTCAACACCCTGGACCTTCACACTGTAGGTACGAATACATGCAAGTGACGACTTTCTCTCACTCCCTCCCTCCATCATCCTTCTCGCTACGATACGGACGGGTACAGCACCAAGTCATTACCACGATTACTCGTATTATCAACTCTCCCCTGGATACTTTCCCCTCACTTCCTCTTTCCATTCCCCTTCCTTTCTTCCCTTCCCTTCTTCTCTTCTCTTCTCACACGGAATGTTCGTGGAGGCCATTTGCATCTGAAGTGCCCGGTGCACACCCACGTCCACCCACCCACTGCAAGCAAAGTAAAGCACATCTTCATCTTACTTGTAAATTCATTCTCGCGCCGACTTCTGCCGCCATCGCTACCAATTTACGAGTAATTACCCCGTACCACCATACCTTCTAATTCATTCGATCAAATGGTCTGAGCGGGCCGGCCACTCTTCGTCTCCAAACCGCATCCCCTGACGGGTGCACTGGCCACTTATCCTCTAAACTCTCCCTCTCACAACGTGAACATCCAATCCTCAATCTATCGTCGACAAACTCCTCTCGTTTGTTTCTGAGCGCTCCACGAGGGTTTCGAAGGGCTAGAGCCTTTCCCTCAGCATCCACCCTGGCCCCAATTCGCCATGTCGCTGAACGGGCTTGATGACGCCAAAGTCGTCGAGGCATACCAGGGCGCCCTGGCCGAAGGAGGCGGATGGTACGGCGCACAATCCCTCACTTCATGTATTCCCCCATTGCACGCCAATGCTAACATATCTTTTCTGCGCAGGTTCCTCTTGAAATATGCCTCCCGAGACGCTGTCGAGGTCCTTGCTCGTGGCACTGGCGGAGCCTCAGAGATCAGGGGAGCCGTCGCGCAGTACGAGGAAACATCACCTCTCTACGGTTTCCTTTCCTACCGTCGGCGCAAGGTCTTGATAAAATACGTACCAGAGGGTACATCGCGATTGTTACAAGGTATGCAAACAATTCATCCAACTATGAGATGAGAAATTGGCTAATGTCACCCTAGCACGTGTCGCCGTCCATTTCACGACCGTCTCCGAGCAGTTCACCCCTCACGATTCCGTCTTCTCCATAACCACCGCCGATGAACTCAGCGATTCCGCCCTCGCGGCTGCCTGCTCCTTGCATACTGCTGCCCCCTCAAACTGCTCCTCAAGTAGCTCATCGCGGCGCAAGCTGGACGAGATCACCGAGGATGCGGAGGAAGGATCAGGTCCCTCGGTAGAGTCCCAATCCATGTCGCGACCGACAACGGCTGCTTCGTCCAAAGATACCGTTACTGGGATATCTCTCACGAACACCAAAAGTTCGGCAGCCCCCTCGGAGCTTCCCCCTCTCACTACTACCCTCAGCCGCTCATCAACGGCTGAGGTTCCAAGGAGCGCCGTATCACATACCACCATAGAGAGTGTTCCCGAACATGCCAATCCCGAATTCAAAGCCTCCAGCTACCGAGACAGCTTGAAGGAGTACGATTCTCTGTTCGAACATGGGCCTGACCCCCGATTCTCCTCCCAGACCGCGCGCCCAGCTATGGCGGACATTTACGCCGAGATCTACGCCCAATACAAACCAAAAGTCAAACTTGGTCCAAGACCCAGGCCCTCGTTGGATTCGAAGAGACCGCATACTTCGGGAAGTGGTACCCAGAATGTAGCTAGGCCTGTGTCAAGCTTGCCTGCCGGCATGCGGGTCGCCAACAGGAAGAGCAACGTGGAACCCAAGAGGCCGAAATCAAGGGACTCCAGCGTCGTTCCAAGCATTGCATTCCCTCCACCCCCGCCGATTCCTCCGGTGCCAGAATTCCCACTGCCTCCTACATCTCCAGGATTTCCTCCCAAGAGCCCAATGAGTGTCAGATCCCTCCCGGTCCACAGCCATAGTAGCCATAGAGACAGGGCCACACCAGAGAAACAAAGGCTGATGAAGGCCCTGGAACTTCGTAAAAAGCAGATGAAGGCCAGACAAGAGAAGGCCGCGAAAGATAATGAAGCAATCAGCGAAACGAAGTCTGAAAACATTGAAAAAGAGAAAGTTTCCAACGGAGGATTGGAGGGTGGAAATGTCGGTGACACTATCGGAGATGAGAAGCCTGCCGATCCGCCTACCACACCGCCTTTGCAAACGAATCCAGATGGCCCCACAGATACTGAAACGGTAACAACTTCTGGAGAACCTGCAGAACCACATCTGACATCGTCCCCTCGAGAACCTGCAGACATCTCTGCAGAGGAACTCCCCCAGGCAAATACGGAATCGACTACGCAGCCAACCCCGGGCCCAGAACCACAGCTAGACGAGCCTAGCACAGAACCATTTGACGCCGCCTCCTCTATGGAGCCCAAGGAGGATCGGCCTTTGACTGTAATCCAACGAAAGGAGGGTGCACCGATTGCAACACCAGAACCTTCTATTGCAGCTGATGATTCTGCGCTCGACACGACCGCGGGTCACCTCGAATCGGACGATCTGCAATCGGCTGCCTCTGCGTGCTCGCCAACCTCTGCACAGACCCAGGGATCCTCTGCCGCCCCATCGACAAGACCCTCATCAGTCTCGGAAGACGAAAAGACTCCTGAACCGGACGAGAAGAAGACGCTTTCTCTGGAGATTCCCACCCAGCAGACAGGGGAAAGTGTGGAATTATTGCAGCAAGCCGAGAAGGAGTCCGTCGAAAGCTCACCGACAATTGTACCTGAATCTTCAACATCGATCCCCTCTTTTGAGGTGACAGTCCAGCAGGACGCTTCGCCTATCCCCACGATCCAAACATCTGCTTCAGACGACGTCTTTACCAGGCGAAGCAAACGGGAGTCGATGGTACTTATGCCGCCCGGCGAGCTAGGCCGAAGATCGAAGCGCGAATCGGCAATCTTCATGCCAATGGGTTCGCATCCCCAGCAGGATGATGTCGACCAAATAAGAGAAAAGCGGGCTTCCAGGCTATTTAACACCACCAAGAGGCACAGCTTTGTAGAAGGTGGGGTAAACGGGCTGACCACTCCTCATATCTCTGCAGATAACTCCGAAGCGGAGTATCTCTCAGATGACTCGTTCATGGAAGAGCTGCGCAGTGCAACAGTCGAAGAAGCGAAGCCAATTTCGGTTTCCAAGTCACCCATCACTCCCGTCTTTCCCCGCAAGTCCTCAATCTCAGGAATGTCTGAAAGATCTGTATCCCAGCCATACAGGACTGGTGGTATGCCCGCCGACCAGGCGATGCCACGCAAATCTTCTGGGCCGTGGCTCCCCCATTCTAACTCAGACACTGCGGTAGTAGCAAAGAAGATCAATGTCTCGTCCGGCATCTCGCAGAGGATCAAAGCGCTCGCGGAAAAGTCTAACAGGGACTCGGTTGCATCAGTAAGTTCACTTGCGACTCCCGAATCTGCTTCGATCCTTCAGCGCAAATCGTCCTTCTTCGCAACCCCTCCCTCCGGGCTTTCTCCCGAATCGCAATCCGTCAAACGCCTTAATCGTACTTCGTTCATCAATGTTCCGTATGCACCGTCGTCTGACCGACAATCTGTGTTACAGCCTCCACCATCCAGAGATGGGTCGCCAACCTATAGTCCCCAGCACGGTGTGCGCAAACCCGAGACAGTTCAAGTCACTGCTCGAATCATTCGAGACGGCAGAGCTACGAGGCCCACTTTGACGATGCCGGATGAAAGCACACCATTGGAGCTTCAGCAGAGCCAGATCACCATCGATCACCAAAGATTACCATCACCAAGGCCTTTGAGCCCGTCTAAGGCAAAGGTGGAGCCGACCTCGCCCAGGCCGCCGTCTTCTTCGCACTCAAAGGATCCTGCTCCCGCTCCCGCCCCTACCACTGTCCCTACCCCTACTTCTGCTCTTCCTAGATCTTCATCTGAAAGCAGCTGGAGATCTTTTGGACGACGCCTCAGTGAGTCGAAGTCAGACGTCAAGACTCCACGAAGTCTGTCGGCACACAGTCTCGATAGCACTGAAGAGAAGCGCGAGGAGAAGAAAGAAAAGAAGGACTCCAGAACAAGCAAGCTGTTCAAACGCATGTCTTCCATCTCGTCCATTTCTCGAAAGAACTCGAATGTTAGCTCAGTACCTGAAGACCTCCTTTCGACTCAACTCCCCTCCCTGCGGGAGCCTCCGCCATCTGTTCAAGTCGGTGATCTCAACGTCCAATTTCCGGACACTTTGGTAAGCTGAATACGCCTTTTGGTTTGATGTACGCTAACAGTATCATAGTTGTGGAAACGCCGATGGGTTGAGATTGATGCTTCGGGTAACCTTGTACTCAGCTTGTCCAAGTCGAACGAGCAGTCTAAGGGAATCACAAAGCGATTCCATTTGACTGAATTCCGTCCTCCATACGCACCTGACCAGGACCGACAAGAATTGCCCAATAGCGTTGTGCTTGACTTCAATGACGGTCGGACTCTGCAGTGTGCTTGTGAAACCTACATGGCGCAAGCGCAGGTCCTTCAGAGTAAGCATTCCATCTCAACATCCTTTTCGACTCTGCTAACGATAATCACAGTCCTTCGAGAAGCTCATGATGCTTGGCTGGCTTATAGCCAAGGTGCATAAGCAACCACTCACAACAAAACCTTTACATCATTTGGCAGCGCCTCTCCTTTCTTACTTGTCGTTTTTGTTACATGTTTTGTAAACCACATACCCAGAACTGCGACACTGTTCTTCGTTTCTTTTACTTTGGCACATCCCACGCGGACCCTTCCTCTCCTTGGGGTTAACCCCACTTCTATTCCCTTTTCCTTGAAGATAACCTCGACGACGAGACGAACTCGACCACCTCTTACTCACCCAAACCATCATCAACACTACAATACTTACACTTCTGACTTGTTCTGTTCTTTCCTCCACCCAGTCTAGAGCATTATGAGCGAGCGTTCCGCAAGCCCAATCCCCTAGCGAAAGGAAGTGGAAAGAAATCGAACCTTCTTCTCACTTTACTCTATACCTTTTATTTCCTTTCCTTTGTCAACTTCTCTTCTCTCGGGAGCTTTTTCCCTTTTGCCCCATGAGGGTTCCTCTAATTTTGAGATACACCTTTCTTCTTCCTCTTCTTCTTCTCTTCAGGTTTCATTTCTTTTTGCATAAGCGGTTGCTCTCGGATAAACTGTGGCCCTTTTTTCCCTTGCCCTTTTCTCGATGTGTGCAAGCGGTGTTTTTCCAATCATAGGATTGGACGTTGAACGGCGATATAGAGTGCAGGATTCGAGATTGGATGTGTGGAGGAGGGAAAGGCGGGAAAATGGCATAGCGTTTTCACATTGACATATTCCAGTGCAGAGAATATCCCGCGGAGAGGGAGGAGTATCGTAGGAGTAGCAGCGTGTAGTGAGAAGAAAAGGTCGCCGCCCATTGCGGGCGGACTCGACAATGTAATCAATATCTTGATATATCCCACCCTCTCACGTCTAACCTCGCCCAATATATACACACATGATCACGAAGTGCCACCCGCCCTACCCCTCAAGCGTATTCCTCCTCAACCTCTCCATCCCCCTCTCCCGCCTCCCCATCGTAACCTCCAACGCCTGCACCAACGCCTTCTCATCATACCGCACCCACCCCTCGCCCTCGACCCTCCTCCCATAAACCCTCAAACACTCAATCCCAAGCCCCTGCAACTCCCCCCTATCCACCTCCGGCGTCCCCTCCCCGGCGAGATGTATAACATGCGTAACATACCTCCCATACTCCTCCCTCCCCAGTTCCTTCCCCCCTTCCGCCCCTCCCCCTACAGACTGCGACTGCGCCGCCGCATTCGCGACCGCCCCCACGAAATCAATCGCCCTAAACGGCCTACTCGACGGCCCCGTCTCCCTATCCACCGTCGAATTCAAAACCAGTATCTTACACCGTATCCGCGGACTCGCGAGCGCCGCCCCCACGCCCCGCAGTATCAGCGAGGGGACAATCGACGTGTAGAGCGAGCCGATGCTGTAGACGACGGCTTGGGCGGACGAGAGCGCGGAGAGCACGCGCGGGTTCGCGGCGAGGCGGATCTCTTGGCCGTACGGGTTGATGTACCAGATGCGTGTTATCCGGGCGGGCAGGTCGTCGGAGGTGGGGGTGGGGGGGGTTTTGGAAAAGGTGAGGTAGGGTTTTCGGAGGGTGGGGAGGGAGCCCGGGGGGTTGGCGTCTTCGATTGTGTCGTGGTATTCTGTTTCGGATGTGCTGGTGCTGGTGGGAGGGGAGGAGGTGGTGGAGGGGTATTCGAGGTGGGAGGGGTGCGAGGGGTGCGAGATGGCGTTTTGGCCGGTTATGAAGGTTGAGTCGGCGAGGCCGGCGCGGATGTGGTGCGTGAAGTTTGAGGAGATGGCGGGGAGGACGGAGGTGTGGCTTGGGACGGAGCAGATGGAAGAGAGGAGGTAGATTGCGGATTCTAGGGAGTTGGTGAAGAGGCGGGCGCTGTTGGGAGGGGGTATGTCAGTTTGGATTCGGACGAAGGGTTGGATAGGGGGTTCATATATGGTTTGTTGTTGAGGTGGTATGGCGTAAGATTTGAGGTGTTTGTGAAGCCTTGAAGGAGGAGGACGTGTCTACGAGATTTTGCAACTGACCCTGTGAGGAAAAGGTTCCCGATGCTGGCACTGCTGAAGTCGAACGCTGAGCTGGGCCTCAGTCTCTGCAGTATCTCATAATTGACGACGTTGAGAATCGATCTGATAAGCTCTTTCTTAGCGGTCGAGATGTTCGCCCAGAGGGCATGATCAGCCTCAATGATCTGCAGCCATTCCTGCTTGGCCGCAAGTCTGTCCTTGGGAAGGCGATGGTTGAAGAAGACTTTGATAGCCGCCTTCTCACTGTCGTCGTGATCTGGGTCATCAGGGATAAGGCGGACCAGGCGACCTGGGTGGGGAACACGAGATTTAGACACAGTTCACAGATTGTCGAGCAGATGAGAATGTCGACTTACTCCTTACGTCGCCAATACCTGTAAAGAAAAAGTCAGACACAAATATTTCCATGAATTTCAATCTTTCGATCGCTGGGGGAAGGCAAACCAGGGCCGCCGAATACGCGTATCAGCTCACTCGAGCTACCACCGTTGTCACTGATCGGAATCACATAGCTCAGCGGACACTTCTTGTTCTCCCTGACGGTCTTGAAGACGTCGACGAGATTGTTCGCTGCGCTTCCTCCCGAGAAAACTACGATTCCTTGTGCTCCTGGTGGGCTGCTCATCGTATGTGGGGACCGTTTATCTGTGAAGTTGAAATGTTTACCTGGGGAGTGACGTTGATAGGATTGAAAATTCCGACGTCCCGTCCGAAGCCAGATCCTTCAGATTTATATATGGCGTGCGAATGGAGCCGAATAGGACACGGTTTTGCTTTAGATTATAGGATGGTCGGATGGGAACTTCAGCAGGGCGGAGCATCCGGTGGAAGTGGATGGGACTGTGCGATCTCCGCCATCATGGAGTTGCCGCTTCGGGATGGTATCTGGCCTAGCTTGAGACGCTTTGATGATGCCGATGCTTGCCTGCCTATGCGGTAACGGTAACATCCGCCATATCTATTATAAACGTAGTGGTTATCAAATCTTTGCCTTTCTGTGTATAGTGGGCTACACAGGCTTGCTAGGTCATTCATATGATTTCTGCAGATAAGCTGCCTCGTGGCTGGAACGTGAGCCTATTGGGCCATACAGCGAGCCCCCATTACCAAGCAGTCTGGTAGTCCAAAGTGGAATGAACGATCACGTTGTTCGATGGAAAAGAACATGATGTGAAATTTTTGATTGGTTGTTTGAGGAATTTATACAGCAATCGAGTCCTCAGGCTCGAAAGGAGTTCAAAGAAAAAACTGTATCCTCTCAGCTCCATCATATCTCGCCCCTCTCCAACAGGCGGTAGCATCAATATATCCCATGCTTCGCAACCAGCTATAACGAACGCGCCAGTCCAACTAGCCATGTCTATGCGCCCATGATCAATCCTCGGTTGTCCCCGCATCTGTCGTTTCCCTCTCTCTACCCACGCCGATGTTTGAATTACGGTGGGCAGGGTCGATTTATGATTCTCCGGCAGCGGCGGCCTCCCTCTCCTTCCTTCGTGCCCTCTTCTCGATCAAAGACTCTCGTCGGTCGGCGAGGAGTCTGAACTGTCGCTGCTCAACGCCCATAAGCCAGTATCCAAAGCTGCCGCCGAGGCCTGCGTAGACCGGGTAGACCCAGAGAGATTCCTTGTTGAAGAGTGGTCGCATCTCAATGCCGAGCTGCCATAGTCGTACTCCGATACCTATATATCATTCAATCAGCCATCGTTTCCAAAGGTCACTGAGCGGGACCGCTGAGGTGTGGAGAGAGAATTACCGAGTCCACTCCAGAAGAGAACTTTGTGAACCATTGTGTGAGATTGGTTTGCCGAGGGGGAAATTCGCTGGCCGCGATGCTACGATTGACTGTTATAGAGTGCGATTGATCGTTGAATGAGAGGCAAGGAGTGGCGTTTGGGCGGCGAGATCGCGTTACTGTTCGGCCTACTTGGATGGGCCATGCTTCATCAATGAGGTTCACCAACGAGAAAGCTCGGGCCACACCCGCATCATGTGACGCCAAGGCAAGGGAGTTCACGTCTCTGATTCTCTTTCATACTCATACTCCCTCACATCTCCCCAAAACATGGCTTAATTTGGTGAATAATGTTCCGCAAGAGAGACGTCCATGTATGAACTCATTATTTCATGTCCAGTTCGACCGTGACACAGCAGCTTGTCGACCACCCTCAATCCATAAATATCTTAATCACCTAACGCGGGAGCTACGTCCGTGCAGCTCCGTCCCCTGCATCTTTTGCTCCAACAATCTACTGTTGGAGAGCAAAACGCGACACGTCACTGCAGGACAGAAGATAACTCACATTTGACTGGCCAATTGGTGCAGCTGCCATGGCAGAAGTCGACCAGAACCCTCCTCCACTGGACGGCGAGGGACCAGCATTACCTCCACGCAAGAAGCTCAAGCTTTCTGATCTCCCCATTTCGCAGACAAAGCGATCAGCCATCGATGGCCTGCACCACACGTTCCGCAAGAAGGGCGAATACGACGCGATGCGAAAGCAGATATTCGCGCAGTTCGAGGCCTCCGTAAGTGTTTCATTTCCCTTCTTCTGGTATTTAATCATGAGAGGATTTCGAAATCGGTCATGTCAGATGCTAATGGAAGGCATGAATAGCCCGCTAAAGACGCCCTTCTTGCTTCTATCGAGGAACTTGTCGATCGTGAGACCGATCGCGACCCGTCATTATTGTCCAAGGACCCGCGACTCGCAGCAACGCTGATTGAGGGTGCTGGAGAGCGTTCCGACATCTATAAAGATGTTTCTGCCTCCCTGAATCAGATGATTGACGAGTTTTGTACCTCCCAGGGTATACAAAAGATGCGCGAGTATAGGGTACAGGAAATCGGTGCAGAGCTTGCTGCAGAAGAGGAAAAGCGCGGGAGCAAAGCTGACGAAGACTACATCCGTGAAGCAGATGCTCGCCGTGAGGAGAGAGCTGCAAAGCGGGCGAAAGAACTCGAAGAGGAACTCGAAAAGGAGAGACAAGAGAAGGCCAGGAAAGACGAGAGAAGACGTCGTGAAAAGGAGGAGGAAGCTGCTCGTGAGAAAGAGCGCAGGGAACGCGACGAAAGGAGGCGCAAGGAACGGGAGGAGCGCGAGAAAGAAGAGGAGGAGCGTCGCCGTCAAGACCGAGAGCGCATCGAAAAGGAGCGAGAGGAGAAGCGAGCTCGCAAAAAGAAGGAAGACGAGGAGTGGGAAGCACAACGTTCGGAGCGTATCCGAAGGGAACGTGAGCGGCATTCGGAACGATACGGTGACCGCTATAGTCGCCGTAGCCGTAGTCGCAGCCGCAGTCGAGATCGTCGCAGAGACAGGAGCAGAGACCGTCGCCGAGATGATAGCAGAAGCAGAAGCAGAAGCAGAAGCCGTGGTCGTGGCGCTGATAGGCGCAATGCAAAGGCAAGGACGAAAACCCCTGAACCCCCTAAACCGGTCAATCTCGACGATATCAAGGTCGACGACGATGCAGCACTGCAAGCACTTCTTCAGGAGAGTGAGCAGATGAAGAAATCTAGACAGCGACCAGCGCTCGAACGATCAGAATCTCTGGACCCGCCGATGCGGAAACCTTTGCCTCCTAAATCACTTGTCCCACGAGATCCTGTTCCCGAACGGAGCAGCAAAGCACAAGACAAGACTCAATCGCCTGAGAAGCAAGATGCTGGTGCTGCGGAACAATCTTCGAAAAGCTCCAAGGATGAAGACACTCCGATGCCTGACGCGCCGGCCTCTGAGAAGGCCGACGAAAAGAAGCCGATCTCGCGCTTCGATCTTCCGCCGCCAGCCAAACCAGAGGAGAAGTCTCGAGGTCATCCTCGATCTCGAAGCCGCGATAGGAGATCGAGCATCCGCAGACACAGTAGAAGTCGCTCGCGATCTCGGGCCAGCAGAGCCGATGAACGCAGGTCGCGACGCGATGACGACCGCTACTCTTATCGCGCCCGTGACGATAGCAGACGCCGGGACAGAGACAGAGATGACCGTGGCGACAAGCGTTCTCGCCGCGAAGGCTCGCGTGTTGATAGGAGCGCTTCCCGCGAGACTTTCTCCAGTCGCCGCAAGTCTCGATTTGATTCTCGAAGTCCCTCACCACGCCGCGACAGAGACCGACGACGTTCGCGATCGCGCTCTCGCTCTCGCGGTGGTCGTAGAGACCGATCGCAGGATCGGCGTGGACATCGTCGCTCTCGTTCTCGAAGTCCAGATGGCATTGATAGATACGTGCCCGGCGCTCGTGGAAAGGGGATAGATCCTCGTGACAACAATGATCGCGAACGTAGTAGATCTCGTAACCGCGACCGCGACCGCGACCATCACCATAACAGGGACCGTGATCGAGATCGGGACCGCGACCGAGACTTCAGGCCTAGAGGTTACGACAGAGCTAGGCCTTCACGCCTCGATGCTTCAGATCGCTACCTACCTGGTCGTGACAACAACGACGATAGAGGAGATCGAAATCGTGATCGAGATCGTGACAGGGACCGCGATGGAGATAAAGACCGAGACCGAGATAGGGATCGCAGGCGAAGGGATAGAAGTAGGTCACGCAGCCGCAGTCGGAGCCGCGACCGTGCTCGTCGATGAAAGCAACCATACGGGGTATGGGATGGCCCATTGCCTGTACCAATAATCGTAATACTGTAACAACAACTCCTTGTAATCTTTCGCGTGGCTGGATGGGCGGTGTAATGGATATATACCCTTTTTCCCTTCTAAAACTCAGTTACTACTGAATTAATATCTATTGCCGGCTTCCAATTGACGAGTTTACTTTTGCTTATGGAGTGTTCGCTGGGCTGTCATACTACTAATTGCACAGTAAAGTGAAACGATATGACAGCAAGGAAGCCAGTCCATTGAAGTCTTTAATGAAACCTTCTACATAACATGAAACTCTATCCAAATATTATAAATCAGTCAAGTCTATGACTTCAATTTCCTTTTCCTTTCTAGGCCCCGGAATACTCCTATCTCCACTTTGCCTCGATGACTGCCCCGAAGATTGAGACGTTGAATCTCCTGTTAGATTAACACAATCTCTACCTGCCTGTGGCTTTGGCGGCGCTCCCCTGGAAAGATGCTGAAGACGTTTTGCGCGCAATTCTGCCAGATCCGGAACTGAGCTCGATCCCGCTGTTGACGCTCCCGACGCATTTGCACGGTGGATGGTAGGTGTCCGATGCTGGCTTTCTTGCTGAGCTACCGGCGCTCTGAAAGAATGAGTGTTGTTCGAACCAGTAGAATCCCGCATGCTTGGAGGCGAGGGAAAACCCGTGTCAAAGAAGCTTCGATCGTCATATATGAAATTCGGGTCTTTTATAAATGCCTTTGATTCCATGCTTTGAAGGTAGGCTTCCTCAATGTCCGCGAAGTTGATCGCGTAGTCGTCATCGTCATCGTCGTCATCTGGGAGGAGTTCGAGTGAATCGTAATCAGGTATCGAGAACGAAGCTAGCCGTGAAGCAGGGGATGAATACGAGGGATTTTGGGTTTGGAAAGTTTGCGGACGTCCTGGGATGGGCGAACTGTAGGTGTTGGAAGGGATTTTCTGCTTCGCTGCTTGATGGGATGTTTGTGCTGCTCGTTGTTTTCCCAAGTCTCTGTTGATGGCAGCAAGGGATTCGACTAGCTTTTGCCGTTTGTTCGATGCTGTCGAGCTCTGTCCGGCTTCCTGGTTGTCGTCGGTGGCTTTGCGCCTTTTGCCTGCTCCCGCTGGCGTCTTGGGTGGTGGTGCTGAGGGTTCCAACACGTCTCGGGGCAGCACTTTGCGGAGCAGATATATTGGAAATTCCCACTGGACGCGATGATCTGGGTCAAACGGTTGACCCACCGTGCCCGTCCAATATCCATTTCTTTCGCCGCCTTCGAAGTCTTTTCGTTGGAGTGAAGATACACTAAACGGAGAGAAGGTCACCTTCTGCTGTAATTTGGTTTCATCGGTTTGCTCTTCTTTATTCTTCCCTCGTGGTCGGACAATTTTGACATTGTGGATGTTTTCAGGAGGTAGAGCGGGATCCCTTGATACTAGGTATCGTGTGAACAGTACTGGAGCCACCCAGTTCATGTAGAATTTTCCCCAGATGTTGAACCGCTGGCTTGTCACCTCCAACAACTGGAGCTCGTCGAGGGGCTTGTTCCATCCACTTTTAAGACACCGTAGGTTCAAAAGCTGTTCATCGGGGGAGACCGTAGGTCGACTATACTTGTGGAGCGTCTTGATGTCTGGATAATTCATGGGAACGTTAATCATGCCAGCGCGAGGAGCATTCTGCAGCTGAAATACAAGAGTTTCCCTCCAAATTCCACAATCTTTCTGTGTCTCTGCAGAACGGAGCAGAGTACCGATTCCTGATTTCACAATCTTCAAGGCCGTAGATGCACCGCAACCTCGTAGTCCCGTCATATCGTAGTCTCCACCAGTTAGCATTGCAAACAGAACCAAAGCATCCCGATCCAATGTATGGTGCCTGCGGATATCCTCGCCTCGAACCACTCGGACACTTTCATAGCCTTTCTTCGTGTTGTCCTTCGATCGGCTGTTAACGTCTTTGTACTTTGCTACCCGATCATCCCGGATGAGAAAGTCGCATCCGAACATCAGCGTGTCGGAATCTTGAGACCAGACTGCATCGACGACACCAAGTGCCTGTAATCGAGCACATTCTGCTTCAGCTTCCCCAGGAGCTTCGTGATAAGGGACTTTAAAATAGCGAAGAAGTTCTTTGAGTACTCGCAACTGATCGTAATCGATCTTCGAGCCGCCATTTCGACCCCGTTTCGCAGGACGCCTCGGCCCGTCGAAGACAAACATAAGATGAACATTGAGCGAGAGAAGATGGCATAGACGGTAGAAAATTGCCTTCTCAATGCCTTGGTAAGGCTGATTTGACTCTTTCAACGCGTAAGTATATATGACAAGTGGGCGTGTGGAGCCAACTTACTTTCTCGAATAACGAATACCTGCTGAGGCGTTAAGTTATTGAATCGCCAGCCAGCCTCGTCGACAGCGATTCGTAATGGTCGGCCATGTTGTTTGTAGAAGTCTTCAGCAAGCTTGGCCGTTGAGATACTATGGTCCTGATCTTTGATCAAGTCCCATAGTCTACAGTTATCAAGTCAGCGAACGATGTCTCCACACTGATCGTAGCTGTATCGGACACTTACGCCAGAATCCCCATTTGATAGATTTGGCGAATAGAACTCGCTTGTTAAGCGCTCGACGCGTGAAGGGTACTCAATAGGGAAATACTCCAGGGTTTGTCGCAGTCAGAGCACATATGCGTCCAACTTGAATTAGGTGATCTTTCCGATCTGAACGTCAATAGTTCACCAATCTAACGGCTTGATAGTTGCAATTGTGGACACTGGATGGGTATGGAGACCTTGTTCTGAGGGGTAGTAGCGGAACGCGCTATCACGTGACATCAACATTATAGGACTAGCTTGATACAATCACCAAGGTGTCTCGCGTCAATCGCTGCATTTAGACGGATCTCCTAGCACGAATATCGCGTTGATGTTAACATCCAATCATCCATTCTTTCAAATGAAGGTTCGGCTTCACGAATGTGCTGCAACGCAACCAATCGTTGGGAAACCACACAGATAAACTTTGATTTTGTCTAGCCATTCATGAAACACATTCGACCGACATTGGGTCCGCCATATCCTCGTAGCCTTCCCACAATTCAGGCCTCAAAAAGGAACTCATATCGCTAAGCTTTTCCTCAACTCCTTTTCGACGTTGCTTCAAAGCGTCCCCAAGAATACGTGCAGCAGCGAGAGCCATGTCCGACTTGCGCCCTAAATACCATAACGCCTTGACGCATTCATCCGCGCGCCTGAAAGAATCCTCCTGATGTACAACATTTGAAATAGACGTGACCGCTGATGACTCGGACTCCAAAAGAAGAACTCCTGCTTTGGCAAATGCCTGTATTAATACTGCCGTCCACGGCTCGGTTAAAATGGCAGCTGAATTAACTGCAAAGTGAAAATCTTGGGATTTGGGGAATGACGCCCCTTCCCGTGGGCACGCACATTGCGCGAGATCAGATAGTGTTTGACAGTTCCTCGCACGGAATACGGCGATGAATTTAGACGAATTTCGCGACTGGCGCATGGTTTCGACGCTCAATTCAGAGTCGTCGATTATTTCTACGAGCTCTGCGAAGAGCAAAGCTGCGAGGTGGAAGTGACCGGTTAGGCAGATGTACCATGATTGCACTCGTGGTGGCAAGCTATCGTGGTTGTCGATGCAGTCCCGGATGAAAGGCGCGTACAGCTGATTCCAGTGGTTGTACACGTCCAGTGACTCTTTCAAGGCCTTTTCGATTCGGTCGCCGCGGGCATTGCGAGACAAGAGGGTTTGCACCCTAGTGATCTTCCTAAAGAGGAGTACTTTTACTGGTGCGGCATCGCAAAGTACGGCTGCGGCCTGTTCGTAAGAGCAAGGCCAGCGGACAGGTGCAGCAGACAATCGTTTCCGCTGTCGAGCGAAGAGATATCCATCCCAAAGACCTTCGCTGGCGGGCGCTAAAGACCTTGAGTCTAGTGGGCCGTTATCGGAGATAGCATCATCTGCAGGCCTTGGATCGAGGGCATAGATATCGCTATCCTCATCGGGTACCACCAAAGGTCGCTTGTGCACTGCTGACGACACTGTGTCAAACATAACACCAAGCCAGAATAGCAGATCCACCGTCGCATTGTCCGCCGCAGTCAATCGATTGGGATTTGGCTTCGAAGACCTCGCTCTCCGTGATAATTTGTTCATTGTGCCAGTAATCGCCATGCGTGACCTCAAGGAATGGATCAGCCTCAATCCTTGTTCCAGATAAATTGGAGGATCTTCTGATTCGATCGTCAAATTTAATTTGGATAGAAGCTCTTCGCAGTCGTCCACTGAGGTGTCGGCTTGCTGGTTCGACGAGGTGTTTAGCATATCCGTATCGTATCCTGTCGATGTCGACACTCCATTAGACATCGAGAAAGAGGCTTCGCTTGAAGCTGCAGGATCTTCAATCGGGTCTTGGGGTCGCTGGGTCAATGAGAATACGATGTGCGCCAGTACTACTCGGAACGACTCAATCTCCCTGGCCTCTTGTAGCGCTTGCCGAGCCTCGTTCCATGCCGTGACCTGAAGTGTGCGATCGAACTCGCTGTACATGGGGAGGATCCCATTGTTCCCGCTGAAGGCAGTGCTTTTGTCATCGGAGCCGTCGCTATGGAATGGATATTTCGCCTTACTCCTTTGACTCGATTGCGCCCATTGTGTTGCGAAAGAAAAGATCGCCAAGTTGAGGGCTTTCGAAGAGGCTTTATCCTCCCTGAAACTCAATGCTCGACCACGTATCGACGATGCCAACCGATCCAGGCGGAAAACTCGATAATAAATCCGGTTCCAATCGGGTCCAGCATCGTTAGCTAGTGACACCTCGGACCCCTTACTGTAAGGACAGGTCCTTTCGGTCAACCAACAGGAAAGCGCATTTTCGAAACTGTCGTGATATATCCTGAGCAAGCCTTCGGTGAGAAATGTGCTATTGGTGGATAGAAAGAGATTATTTGTTAGCGAAAGAAGAGGGTTGTGCAACCGGTCCGAAAGCAAGCTTGAAGAACTTCGTCGTCGCCGTTTTCTTGGTATTCGTACCATTGCTGAATTACAAGTCGAAGCTTCTTCTGAGCTCTGCACTTTTAAATCCCCATTGGGACTGTTACCTTCGACCCCTTCCGAAAGTCTCTCTGAAGAGGTGTCGAACGACGATCCTTTTCCAGAGTCCAGCTCCAGGAAATTATCGCTTTCATCAACCAGGGTGCCATCATAACTACTACTGCCATTGCGGAACGTATGTTCTAAACCATCATACATGAGAGGTGCATGCTGGTATGTCGATAACGCAGAATGGCTGAAATCAAATGAGGGTATGGGTATATCGGCAAATGTCAAACCGAAGTCCATGCCCTCATTTTGTGCCACAAAGTCTCCACCCGCATCCGGTACAGTGGGCGGCGGGGCAGCTGACGGCAGCTGTTGAGGTGCAGCTTCGACGACATCATTCGGCGCATTCTTTGAGGGGCTGCTCTTTCGGCGTCGCTTTGTTGGTGGTGCTGGATTTTGTTGTGGTGCCGCTTGTGACACTCGTTGTGATCGAAGCCATTCGAATGTGCAAGTTTTCTTCGTCTTTTCGCAATTGCTACAAGGTGCTAGGGGCCCGAAGACATCTGACCAGTCAGATAAGGGATTTAAGAGGGGTCGGAAGGCAGTGTCGACTCACCACTGTAATGAAACACCGTAGGATTTGGTTCGCTCGATCCATTCTTGTCCAGAAGAGAGTCTTCTAGGATGGCTGCGTCACACGCTCGTTTGCCCTTCCTGCACTGATCGCAACACCGATTCTGCTTCCGACTTGTCTTGGAAGGTTTTGCGGGTTTATTAGGGTTGTTGTCGGAGGGCGTAGTCCACGCATAATCGAGGAACGAAGCTGGTTGAGCGTCCACAAAGTTCATCTCGGTGTGCGACTTCGACTCGGGACTTTCAGTCAAAAAATGGAAAAGAGGAGAGAGGTGCGCTTGAAAGATGGACAAACCGATAAGACCGGAGCTGTCTGCGGATAGCGTAACACCCCCGCACGTGTTCTGGTAGCTCCACTTTGCGCTGATAAATGCGGGGAGGTTTAAACGACACATCCCATCCACCATCATCCCAGCCCCATCGGGCCGAACACCTGATGTGCTGTGCCTCTGGCTTCTTTTTTCTGTGCTTCTGTGCATACTCCAAGCGCTGTATTCGTACTAACTACCTCGTACCCTGTGCCTAGTTTGAGGACTCGGCGGGATACCCAAGTTCTCGTCCGAGACTCTCCTCCCCGTTGGTGGATGCTCTTCAATCCTCGCAAGCCTCGGTCCATCTGCGGCAGGGAGGCCTAGGATGCCGGACTTCCTTTTATTAAGCATTCCTCCTTCCATTCATTCTCCGCATCAATTAGACCCTTTGGTTGAACTCGCCAGGAGCGGAGGAGGATTTCCCAGGATTCCGAAGGAGCTACGCCGCTGGACTTCCCACATTTGAACGGATGGAGGCTCGGCGCTCCTGCACGAATCTTCCATATAAACGGACTCGAGATTGTGAGATTCGTTGGATACCAGCCCATGTGATGTCATTTCTGCAGCAAGAGATAGCGTTATGGACGATTTAAATAATCCAAGATCCAAGACAGTAAATCTTTAGAGTGTAACTAACGAGAACCTGGACAAGAGCCTGGAGAATGGAAGCCTAGTCCCTCTTATGCAGACATCTTGGGTGCTCTATTAGTAGGCATCTAAAAGTTTGTCTAGACGTACTTCTTTCTCTTCGATTTGGTACTATTTTCAAGCACTGACGAACATGCCACTCGGAGAATTCCTGGTGTTGATGCAAATCGCCTTGATTAACCATGCCTCATCCTCCCGATCTGACGCTCGGCCATGCTACAAGAAATCCTTTGGTTCCTTTCATGCGATATTATACATATCGTCGGAGTAGGATGTGTATAGGAAGATTTTGTGGGGGTTCAGGATAGCATAGGAATGTGCCTCTTACGCAGAGTTGAATTCCTTCACGCCAACTGGAAAGCAGCATGTGCTCGCTTCCCCAAGGTAATATCTATAAAGGCATTTGCAGCCACGTATGAGTAAAGCATCATCAGCAGTTCTCAAACAGTTCTCCTCCTTTCGACCTCAATACCCTCTCCTTAGTCATTTCAAGCATCTATCCCGGTATCTGATCTGACTCTCTCGACTCACCGCATTTCCAACTGTTACTCTCGTTTATTGCAGCATGTTTCATTCTAGATATACTATCCTCTCTGCAGGAGCACTTCTCCTAGGTGCTGCGGTTGAAGCTATTCCACCGCCAGAGCTCTTTACCGATGCACCTAGTTCTGGCAGTGCCAGTTCACAGACATCCACTTCTGCTACGTCCGTGATCACTGGAACGGCAGCCGCTGGAACGGCCGCCGCTGGAACGACCACAGATAATTCCGCATTTCCTCAATTCACATTGGGGCCATTCCCATCAGGCGTCTTTGAGAGCGGTCATTTTCCATCAGACCGATATCCAACCGGCGTGTCCCTATCCGATGTGCTCCCGACTCAAACAGTCACCAAGGGCATCTTCCCACCACCCGGTGTCTTCCCATCTGGCGTATTTCCAACTGGCAGTGGAGGCAGGATACTCTACCCGACAGGGTCTGGTGCGGCTTTCCCGACCGATTCGTTGGACTATTTCAAAGCGCCGGGGGTTCCCGAAGTATTCCCCACTGCTTCGGCTTCAAAAGGGGTTGAAGAGAACTGGGCACCGAGGCGACGGTCCGAATATCATCTCCCCTGCTGGACTGGATTTCTCACTCCGCCATGGTGCAATAATGGTGAAAAGTCCAATGAGGAGGGTTCGCCAACTCAATCTGCCGAGACTACCACCTATACCAATTTCTTCGACGCTTTGCACGACTTATTTGCTCCTACACCTGTCCCCACTGCGCCTACATCTGCGCCAACCAGCAGCCAAACCGACATCTCCATTCCTATCAATGGGCAGCAGCCAACTATCGGAACCCCAGTTCTTCCTGGGCCTTCTGAGACGGTACAGCCAGTCAACGATCTGAACGATCCTATCTATACTGGTGCTGAGATCCCTATTTTCACGGGCACTCAAGTAGCAGTAGCACCATCGGATACTGCTAAACCAGCGCCTGAGAACCTGGGTGCCGGTGCACCTATCAACGCTCCATTGGTAGAATCGTTCGTACCTCAGATCATCCCCGAACCAGTGACTACCTCTTCTGTCGTCCAAGCCCCAAACCCTGCTGTCACTGAACCACCTCAGCCAAACGTCCCTGAGAATCCTGAGAATATTCCCCAACCACCTGCACCCGTCAAATAGGCCATTCCTTCTTTTTTCATTTGTTTCCCCGGATCTCTTGTTCTACTTTTGGCACTTTCCTCTTTCTATTCAGAATTTCACGATCATTGTTTAGCGCGCGGGAACGGAATTTCTAATGACCACGGCTCATTTTGTTACACAGACTAGCCTAGGCTGTGCCTGTCAGTCACAATAGATAATGATGGCACTGGATGGCACTTGGCTCGATTTACGGCGTTTGATTTTCATCTTTTTTGTCCTTTCTTTTCTTCTTTCTTTTACTTTGGCCAAGTAATGCGAACTCTTCGCAGGACCTTGTTGACCAAGGCATTACTTGATTGACCAGAATCCATGCAATATTATACCCAACGAACCTAAAAAATATCAGCTTTCAACCTTACCTACATCAAATTTGAGCATTGAATTGTGAATTGTGATATCTAATTCCATGACCAGGGTGCAAGCCACGTTCCTCGGCTCCAGCGAACATCCGAATCCATTATTTTTATAAACCCTGTCAAGTTACAGTTTCGACGGCGCATCGCTGGATCGCGAGCGGATCCGCTTGGCCTGCTGATCTTGGACGCCCAGGGTGAATGGTGCTTCCCCGAGCCAAGGCCGCGTGACAAGGATTCTCCACCTCAGAACGAAACGTGCGGGGAGACATATGTAAGATGCGCGATATCTCATGACTCGTTGGGGTGTATTCGAACGAATTCATGTCTGATAGGCTGGGGAGGTAGCGAAGTTGAACTACGGTCCGTAGCGAGGATGGCCGTTGGTCGATTGTGTACAGAAGCGACGCGGGGTTGGGCTATTCTCGGATTCTCCAAGGTCTCTGGAGAGCTTCTGACACATAGTTGTATGTCAGACAGGGACGGTAGGGATTCAGTACGAGAAGTTCAGAAAGTTTTAGCGAGTAGCGGGAGTAGGTAGTTTAGAATGGTCATCCAGTTGAGAATAGCTGACTTCATTGTAATCCACCAGAACATGGTTCCAATTCAAAGGGTATATACATTTAAGAGCAATCAGTTTGCTTGACCCACCGTCTATTCATATCTTCTTTTTCCCTTTCGAATTCGGGAAGTATCGTTGCCTCAGCCTGACAGGCTTCATTTCAAATTCTGACACCTCTTCAATGACCACTTCGGCCAGTTCTATTGGAAGTCTCCCACCCAGACAGGCATTGACCTTTTTCCGCAGGTAATATGCTTTCAAGCTATCTTCCAGGAAGTCCCGACTCTTCTTGAACCACCACTCGCAGAGATAGAACGGCACAGTATGCTTGAATTTGGCGTACATGTGATACGGCGCCCTAAGATAGTCCTTGTCAGGACCGATGGAGACTCTGTCCTTCTCTGACCACTCTCCAAGACGTCGGTAGCCTTCGTTCATCTTATCAAGGAGAGGCTGAATTCCCTGAGACCATGGAAGAGTGTTGCTGTCCCGGTTCTCCCATTCATCCATGCATATGCTCAAAAAAGCCTGATCGAGGGACCAATACAAGTTTGTTCGACGGCTGTTCAGCATGTGTTGGAAACAGCTGTTCTCACGCCGAAGAACATTTATCGTAAAGTCCAGAAGTAAAAGGGCGGAATGCGGAAAACTCCCAGGCAGTCTTGATAGCCTCTTTACATCTTCGATGAAGGTTAGGGTATGTTGAGATAGCTCTCGGTCTGCACGGGCAATCTTATCAAAGTCTGTCATCTGTAGGTAGGTTTGCTGGTTTTCGGTCTCGATAGTTTGCCCTGGCCGTATTTCTATCGATGCGCGCACATGTCCATAGTATGGACGATTTAACGACACCCGCGGATTCATGGCCATCACACTTTAGTAAGCTCGATTTTGGTTTGGTATCAAAATGGTGATGATGTTGCGTTCAGAGCCCTGGAAAGATTGTTTTTGGACGGCCGCGCGGTTCGACCTGCTGTTGAAACGGTGGCGTGGGGGCTAAAATCAGGCCCAGGTCTTCATTTAACAAATTTGCAGCACCACTTCTAGATGCCCGAACTTCCTCAGCAAAGAACGTTGCCGTTGAAGAAAAGTGCATTCAATGTTGTATCATCGGGAGCTTTTGGTTGAGGCTCGTTCACACAAGGTATCGCTATCTCGCAGCTAGCGAGATCGGCTGGATATTAGTCCAAAGACCGACCTGGGGTGAGCTCTGTCGATCTCTCTTACATCCCAATTCTGTACATGGCTCTGCACCAGAAAGTGCCCTTACTTTCTGCTAAGTAGATAGGACATGATGGCGAAGTAACGAATGCGCGTTGGCCACGGTGGTCTTTCAAATATCATGCTACGGGTCTCCTCAAAAGCTCCGATCCATTGGATCACATCCTGCTTACCTTCAGGATCTCGTGCTGGCACACTGGTACACATGCCCGGTCCGTTGCGATTCGCGAAATAAACTCACATCGAGAGCGCTGCACCGAGTGTTGATATAAGAAAGTGAGATCTTGCCTACAGGCTTCTAGCTATCAGGCGAGCCATCCCGCGCTTTGAGGCCTCCGGTACAAAATTGATGTGCAGGCTACGAATGGGGAAGCCTTGATGGAGCCGTCACGTAAAGCCATCAGCTCCGGGGCGCCGTGATGATTCCCATTCCTTTTGCGGAGGGCCGGAATACTCTTGCCCAAATTTTGGAATTGACGCGCCTCGCTCTGCGCGTTCACTGCGAGCAACAGGGTTCCAAAATTGGCTGTAAGATATTTATCTGAAGCAGAGAGCAAGGCCCAAGACATTTTTCAGCCGGAATTAGAGACCGACGAACCGGCGAGGACTTCTGGACTTGGTCGCAGTACCATCACATAAGATGAATGCTCTAGAAACAGAATGTAGCAGTTTCAGTACAAGGGTAAGAGTTGGTGCATGCTACGCATTATCATTCCATGGATGGATAATGTCGATTCTGAACATCTTTCAATGAGAGGCTTCGGGATGCACGTTGCCATGTTGGTATGATGCGACAACCCCTTTGAGGTGGTAGATACGATATGTGGAATAAGCCCTTATGGCATTCTTACGATTAGAACTCGCAATTCGATCGTGGGAAAATGTCCTTCTATGCACTTGTAACGCAACATGCAAATGCATTCCCATGCGCTGGAGATCCATGCCAGATTAAGCCTTGTAGCTGAAAAGATACGGGATGTAGGAGGTCGAACCCAGCATCTGGTTGGCTAATTGATGTTGGAGCAACTGCAAGTCCTACCTTCGGCTAGGAAGATTGCATCTTTGACATACAGCCACCTAAGTCAAGGCACTTTGACACGGCAATGGAAATATGTGCGAATTGGCATTGCAAAGAAACCAAATGAATGAGTTTAATTCTCTATGCAAAAACGGGGGACTTTTGATACAACGAAACAATGTAGCAGCTACAAACAACCCAATGATACCAAGACACAACCATGTAAGGTACTTATGCTTCGATCTCAATGGTTGGTCCTAGGTAGACCTTCCTTCCATGAACAACATAATAAACCATGGCAAGAACTATGACGCCACCAGTAACAACAGAGCTGTAGTTCATCGTTGTTTTATCGACGACTGCTGTGGAGGGAAAGCAGGAGAACGCCAGAATGATGGTTGCAAAACCGCATGCAATGGCGTTAAAGACGATGCCGACGATCTTCGGCATCCTCCATGGGCCCCAGATCAATCTGCGAGATCCAGGCGTGTTTTTGAAGCCAGTATCACCGCCCGGTGTCGGCTCCTTGATGGCTCCTGATAGACGACGCCAAAGGAGCAAGTAGCAAGGAATGACGAACGAGATGTAGAATGAGCTGACAAGAAGCGAGATGACCGCATTGAAACCAGTTGCTGACCCGATATAGATCAAAGGGATCAAGAAGTTGATGCCAATAGTTACTGCAATCGCATACCAAGGGAGTGCAGACTTGGGTTCAATCTGTTTGGAGTAATGTGTTAATGATAAGGTTCTCACGAAGGCTACTTATTCAACTTACCCTAGACAAGTGACCAGACCCTGGTAGACCGTTATCGCGAGCAAAAGCCCACATCTGGCGTGAAGCTGTAGCTAGAAGTGCCCATGAACCGAACGTTCCGAGGCAAACAATCGTGCATGTCATCACCGTTGCGCCTTTGACGCCTGCTGCTGACTGAAAGACGGCCATGAAAGGGTATCCAGTCGGGCTTGCGAAAGCACCCTCAAGATCCGTGATACTGAAAAGAATAGCGATGAGAGCCGCAAAGCCAAAGACTCCGTTGATGATAACAGAGGTGACCATGGAGCGAGGTACCACCACGGAGGCATTGTGGATCTCCTCAGCCATATGAGTTGCACCATCTGCTCCCGCAAACGCACCAGCAAAAGCTGCCAAACTGACGAACCATGCCAGAGACATGCTTTCCCAACCACCGCCATTGTTCCAGGAGTGAAACACTGCCTCGGCAGTGATGTGCTCAGACAACGCAGAAAGAGAAATGACCACGCCGAAAAACCCGATGATGTAGAGTATCAGGATCATGCCCTCGATCTTGTTGAAGTACTTGTTTAGGTAGGTGTTGACGAAAAGAGCAAGCAGGATGAAAGCGTATGCCATAAGAGTTGCGTGCCATCGCTCTGCGGCATAGTTTGGATAGTTCAAGATCACTAGACCCTGAACGATGGTTGCAAGTGGCAGACAGACGGCAGAGACAGTTGCTTGCCAGGCACAAACCGTGGCCCAGCCTGCAATATAGCTCAAGATCTTCTGGCAGCTTTCCGGAGATAACATTGCAACGTAATGGTACTGATGGAGCTGTAAGAATCTTTCATGTTTCCAGTTGGAATGGTCGGCTTACCTGACCGCCCGCCGTAGGGGCCATGGACGCGAGTTCAGCAAGAGAACACATGACAGTGATAACACCGAACCAACTGAAGATGAAGCCATAGACGGATCCAGCAGATCCTCCATTCATCAAAGGACCGGCGAAGTAGGTAAGAAGACCGGCCCACGTTGCCATAAGCGTGCAGGAGAACCCGATCATGGACATGAAGCCAAATCGACGCTTGAGAACTTGCTTCTTTCCGATGTTGGCGAGATCAGTTCGATCACCATCAGCGGAGAGATCAGTCCTGTTCGATCTGTTCCGGACTTCTCCTTTACCGTGCACCTCTATCTCTTCCATGTCGTAATGCTCACCCATAGTGAAGCGAATGAATAGACAACAAGGAATGTAGCTGCTAGAAACGAAAGAGCTTCAAAAGAATGCAAAATACTACAGTGCTCAATAGTAATTTTCAAGAAACCGTATTTGCGGCTCAAGGATACCACGTTTTCAGGAACGGAGCAGGAACAATGGATATTGAGGAAAGACATATAACCAGTTTACCCCTTGGTCGCCGGATTCGCTGCCATTCCAGACGGCCTATGAACTGCAGGGACCATTTTAGGTGGCTGCAGGGATCGCGGGGAATCTGAAGCTGCGACTTCGTAATGAAGTTGATAAAGCGATAGAACCGGTGGGGTGGAAACGAAACTGTCCTGCTACGCTGTGCCTCATCGTTTAGGAGAGGATTTGGTTTTCAACATGTTGCACGGCATTGGACCAGGGCCGGAGTGTGTATCTCCGGTCCAATAAGTATGATCCCTCAGCGAGAAATTCGCTTTGGACGCGACATCCCTGCTCTTTCTCTGCATGTTCGTGTTGTTGGAGGTCGAGCAATATACAATCTTCTCCTGCCTAAAATTGCATACCAACATGCACCAGCTGAGAGCTCGAAATGTACTCGCAATATATTACAGAAGGCTCAACTACCGATGCGTGGCCCATGTTCAAATATGCACACAGGCCAAGAGGGAAATTGACCTCTATGCCACTGATATACCCGATATAAGATCGACTGCGCTGGTACCAGGCGTACATAGTCATGTTTTATTAGGCATGTAATGATGTGTTGAACCTGTCAAATCGGAACTAGACTACCTTTGTGCAGATATCCTAACCCTTTCATCTAGATAGCTATTGTTTTATACCTGGCTATCTCAGAAGTCCAAGAAGACTGGAATATCTACGTGATCGGCCACTATCCTTCGTTTCAAGCCTTGCATCGTCGAATGCGCCTACAATCTCGACTCAGCTGAATCCTAAATCCTTTGTTCGAGGCCAGTATGAGCGATACGGAAGTACCTGTCATCGCCAATCCTGAGATATCGCCGCCGCAGGTGGTTATCGTTGTAGGATGGCTAGTGGTGGCAGCTATGGTTGTTGCAGTTGGCACTCGGTTGGCCACGAAGTTATCGATGAAGAGGCTACTGGGGATAGATGACTACCTGATTATCGCTGCAACGGTTCGGAGCGACTATTCCAACTCATCTGCATCGTAAAAAGCTGATCAACAATAGATAATAGGGGTCGGCCAGATGGCTGTGACTTTCATGCAAGCACAGTTCGCTCTTCGAGGTCTAGAGATTGGGGACAACTTCGAGCAATTTGAAAAGGTAAGCACAAAATGCATTTTTCAAGGAAATATCATAGGGAGAACTGTTATACTGATAGATTTCAAGACATATTTCAGCTCTCAGCTTCTCTTTATTCCGGTAATTTGTATCTCGAAGCTATCCATTCTGCACTCCTTGTTCCAAATCACTCCTGTTCGAGAGCATAAAGCGCCTATAATCATCTTTGCGGCTTTCGTAGGAATGATTCTGGTAGCATTCGAATTTGCCACAGCATTCCAGTGTTTTGAGCCTCGATGGGCAGTGCAGAGTGGCCAATGCATCAAACAGGTACGTACAACAGCGCAGCTGTCGAGACGATGATTGATTGTTATCAGACCCTCTACTGGCAGATATTCGGTGTGTTCGATATTCTAACAGATGTTTTCATCTGCATATTCCCTATCTACATTGTTTCCACGCTCCAGATGGGACTAAAGTTTAAAATCGTGGTAGCCGGAGTCTTCGTTACTCGCATTGCGTAAGTTGACAGCATAGGGCAATAACTGAACCGGGTCACTGACATTCCACCAGTGCTATCGCTGCCTCTTCCTGTCGCTTGGTGTATATCAGTCGCAGTCATGTCAATGTCGAGGTCGACGCATTCGCATTCTGGGCCTCGGTCCTTAACACTGAGGTCGAACAAGGGCTGTCAGTCATCACCGCCTGTGTACCCTTTCTAAAGCCATTCTTCGAATCCTTAGAAACTGGCATGATGGCGCCGAGTCATGGACTCACAACAATGAACGGAGCATACGGATCAGGATCTGGGAGCCGAAGCAAAAAGAGCCAGCTTAGCAACAACTCCTACAAGTTAAGGACGAACATCGAGCATGGCATCAATGTCAGCAGGCGTATCTCCACCCATTCAGAGGATCACGAAGGTCTAATCAAGGAGGAGACTACAACATGGATCCGGCCTGTTCCTCCCCATCAAGTCTGATACCAGATCAGGCCGTAGGATAGAGTGGCTGAATATGCCTAATCTTGCCAGCATTTTATTTGTAATTTTCTCTTATGTTGAATGCACCAAAAGAATGCGGAAAAAATCGTTCAACAACCATTTTTGCAAATTGTTCTGCAAATCTTACTCACTGATGGATGCTCCCTGCATCATGCTACTGGGCAAAGTGCACTAACCATGGCTCACACGACACAGGTAAGCTTCTGAGGGCGCGTAGGGACTAGCGAAACTCAAGAAAAATAGCCCGCCGTGCCTCCCTCGAGCGTAAAGTAGCCTACAATTTGCCGCCAGAGTGACTGATACCAAGTTGTTCCCGAGGCAGTGGAAATCTCGCTAAGTATACGAACATTGAGCCAATACGCACCAGGTCTACGTAATGATGTGACTTCACTGAGACCTGGCTGAGAACGCATGAAATATACACTGCATGAGGCATTACGAGGGAATGGCGAGGTTAGGAAAGACCTATAGGCAAGGGTCAAGATGATATGGTAACGCTAGTCTTCTCGGCCCTGTCAATGAGAGAGTCCATACACCATCTGCGGCAGATCGTCGAAAGCCAAACTGTTAGTATCGACTTTTGAGCCTTGACTGCAGCCACTTCCGTATTGCCCCGCTTGATCTTGTTGCTTCTTTGTCTAGAGTGCGATAGGCTTGCAGTTCGAATCAGATCGGGGGATTGCATTCAATCAGTCATCAAGGTCCTGCATATCATCAAAAGGATCTTCATTCTCCCCAGGTTTGCTTTCTCCGACTATATTACGTGTAAAAAATGTGTCGTGTATTTGATGTCAGCCATTGGACGGGTCATAGAATGCAATATATGTTGCCGCAGGCATCGTATGGTGATGTTCGACGATGTCGGCAGGGCAGGAGGCACGGTTCAGGTCATTTCAGGCAAAATAGGTGAAGATCTCGCATACCACAACCAATGCTCGCCGTGTAACCATTTATTTTGGATCAGTAGCATTGCATGGGTGGTTATTTGAACCCCTGTCAGCCTTTGCGCCAATAATTCGTAGCTGTGGTACGGACACGCAGGCAATAGCGAAGTCAATCGATTGTTCGAGAAGTTATAGATTCATTGCTCCTTGCTGTTGATGCGAGATAGGCTGTCCTTGTTCGTTATCAAGACATGGGGAAGACTCGAAAATTATGGGAGTTGAGAAGACGGGCTCAAAGGGTTAACCAGTTTTTGTGTCAACAGTAACGACAGTGTTTCAAGCGACCAACAAGTTTAAGGGCCGACATCCAGAGTCCCCCTGGCCCTGGCTCATCACGACATCTTCTTCCACTAATAGGATAACAATAGTCCGACCGACTGAGGGTGCATGAGCGCTTTCCTAATCTTAGGCCTCCAAACCCGAATTGCAACCTCCGTGCCTGAATCATAAGCTTGTGACAATCAGTGCAGTCTCAGATGATCTGAAATGTCTATCATGTAGGCTTATTCGACATCTGCGTAATGATGGATAATGGTTTCCAGTGCTGATAAACGTTCGTTACTTCAAGAGCCAAATTGGGTGAACACCTGTAACTCACTGCCTGTTGGGGGTGCCTCGATTACTGGTGTAACTTCGTCTCTCTTAGAGGTGCTGTGAGCCTCGACATCGTTATACGAAGCGATAACCGTGTTAAGATCTGTAGGAAATTTGAGTATGATTATTCAGATACTTCAAATGATATCTCTTACTTCTCTTCTCTGCTGACCCATCGATATCCGCATATTTGCTGATTACTGTGTTGAGTTCTGTAACCAAGCCCGTTAACAAAGCATCGGAACCTTCAGATATGCCGACACAAACCTCTCTTCTTTGGCTCGGGCTCTGCAAATATGATTAGCACTGAAACTATCAGGAGTTAGCAGTAGCTTACGGCCTGCCTCCGTTGGTTGTTCAACATCCGCGTACCAGTGGATGATAGTCTCCAACTGATTACCTGCCAGGTCCAGTCGTCAGTTCTAGATCTGCACCGCAAGAATAATTGATTCTCATCAAAGATATACCTCTCTTGTTTTCAATTGGAGCTGCTAAGACGATGGAAACGAGCAGTCCAGCTGAGAGAAATGTAAAATGACGCATGTCGAAGGCAAAAAGTCGGAAGATTCTGGACCAGGTGGTTGGAAGAGTCAATGAAGAAAGAGAAGACTTGGCTGCAACGTTGAGTTCCAAAAATGGTGCGATGAGAAAGGAGACGTGAGAAAGTCGATATATTTATTCAATCGCCGGGACCTCAATGGATCTGCGATTCAATATCGACGCTCAGAGGCCGTGTTCCGTCGAATTCATTTACCTGACTGTAGATTGCCCCCAGCAGCCAAGCATCACCACTGTGAATGAACAATACTGGATCACTTACTCTGGCGAATACTCGCATATGCAAAATCGAGCCAGTCGTTATCGTGATATCAATCTAGAAACCTTCAGACCTAGTCTGGGTAATTTCAGCTGGAGGATGAAAACGCAGTAGACCGTCAACGTAATACGAAAGGTGACAACTCGTTACGCATGCAACGCAAGCCCGTTGTCGTTGAGTCCATATGCCATATTCGACATCGTCAGGCGAACCAACCTTGCCACTTGCAGATAACGGCTCGCACAATGGTATTGCATGCGGAGACTGTTGAAGTGCTGCTAATACGGGTGGCCTATCAATCTGATGTTGACATGCCGATGCCTGCCAGCAACATCTGCCAACAAACTGCATTGCATGATATGCGCAAAAAATAATCCGCAGAGCTCCATCTTTTATTTTATTGGCCAATATTCCCATACTTACTCATAGTTTGCGGTTAAAACATTCCTCAACTGGCGTGCCGAGTCCAGATCGCACCTGTAGCAATATCAGGCTCCCAGATCGAATATAATTTTCCAGGCTACATCTAAATGCTTCTTCGGATTCGGTTCTTTCATATGATGTATTACCCATACCGCCATCCTATTATTCCGGGATCGAGATACTCCGCACGAACTTTGACCTCAGTAGTGGGGTGATCCCCAATCATTCATCCGTGGACAAGTCATTCCCACCCCACTTTTCCTTTAACCTGGCCTCTGGGTCAATTTCAAGCTCTTTTCTGTGTTGCAAGTGGAAAGCGACTGCTTGTTTCCCTCCACAGTTCATCCTTACTGTTGGCTGTTTGCAAGAGACAATTCCATAATCACGATGTGGACTCCTGGTTCCGAGAAGAAGACATATTTGCCAGTCGTAGAAAATTCGGATTCTGGTTCAGAAACAGATGGCATGCTATCTGGTCGGTCGAATGAGGCACACGAAGTTAGTGGCGCTAAATCACGATTGCGATCAATCCTCTGGTCACCATGGTCTCTCCACGGTGGACTCGTGTTGACATATACTCTTATCTTTTTATCATGGAGTACAGTTCATAGAGCACAAACAAGTTGTATAGAGAAGACGTCGTACTATTGTAAGTACTGAACTAGCTATCTGAATACAGATCACTGATGTCATATAGCACCGGCTTTAGAGGCTGCTTCGGAGGAGAACGAGATCGTTCGTTGGAACATATCTGCCAGCTTCCCTTCACAGTGGGCTGGGCCACCATCAAAAGAAGTGGATAATGCGTGGCAAAAGTATACTAATCTCGGTGCGCTCATCCTCTCTGAAGAGGATCTGATCAAGATCAATGGATCAAGATATTCAGCACGCGTGCCCAAGGAGGTTGGAAATGGCTACATTGCTCACGTGGAATGGTATCATCAACTCCACTGTGTCTACATGCTCTGGCAACAGACATATCCGGAATGGTATACAGAAGAGGCAAAAATGCGTGAAAAAGAGCCGGTTTTGTGGCATGAACACCTCGGTAAGTTCAATTTCAAGTCTTTAAGCAACCAATTCCCCATTTTAAAAGTACCAACATGTATTGACATCCACAGATCACTGCGCAGAGACCTTGCGCGCATCCATTATGTGTCATGCAGACGCAAACATCGTACCATCCAATTGGGTCAAAGGCCGCCATTGGCCACATCCAAACTACAATCTCGACCATAGATGTAGAAACTTTGATGCAGCATATCAGTGGATGTACGATCATCAAGCAAAACCTCCGCCAGGCTTTGAGATGTTTGCTAGACCAAAAGAAGGCGGATACAGTGAATATCCAGACCTGCCTTTTGATCCATTCGACAAGGGGTCCGAAGTCCCTTTAAAAAAGGAAGCAGAATGAAAGAGAGAAAAATATGTCAATGTCAAGCATAGGCAGCTATTTTCAAGTCTACATAGTCTCAATTGATAGCATCTCAGACATTTCTGTTGCTCTTTTTCTCTCTTTCCATCCACCTATAATGCAAAGGATATTCTTCTGCAAGACTAGCCCACTCCTGATCTTCAGTTGCCTCTTTGCGAAGGTCCATAATATGGATAGTTCGAAACCCAAATCTTTCATAAAGTTGTGCACCCTCAATTGATGCTTCTATGAACGCTTCGACATCCATTTCGTCTGCTTTGTTGATTCCCCATTGCAGTGCTTGACTTGCAGCTCCTCGTCGCCGGAACTCAGGCAGTGTTGCACATATATCCAGCCCTTACGTATCTTTAGCTGAAAGCTCCAACAACCAGTAGACAGAAAAGGTTTCTTACAGACGTGAGGGGACTGGCATCGCTCCGATGCTTGACCGTATCGCGTGTTGATCAGCCACTCTGCGTATTCTCGTATCTTTGAACCCTCAGGAAGCCAGGCAGCATTAATATGGGGCAGGCCATCAGCGAATGGGTTCTTTTCATGTAATTCCCATCTTGAAACACTATTTTTTGTTATTTGAAATCCTCTTTGGTTGCCAAACTTGGCTAATTTACCTTGTGATCTTCCCGGTATTCTCGTCTACCACCTTCAGCCAGGTTTGCGTGCTGGAAGCCTTCCACTCCTCAAGGTAGTTCTTAGTTACCTCATCAATGCCTTCTTCGAGCGTGGAAGACGACCAATCACCAAGACCGGGAAGACAAAGATCAACGAATGGGTCGCGTGGATCGGAGTTCGCAATGTATACAACTTCGACCATCTCATGCATATCAGCATGCTTAGCAGGGACGAGTTTGAGACCCATTGTGGAAGCTTTCGGTGACGAGAAGAGAGAAGATCTCAATCCTTCAGTTCAATGGAGATTTGTATGGGCTCGGTTATTTAATATATATGCAGGGGTGAATACCGTTCTGTGACAAGGTATTTGTTGTTGCAGGATGCAATCAAAGGCCGATGTTTTGATAGCAAGGAAAGTAGTAATGGACCTGACAAGTTTCAGTTTAATCAATTAAGAAACGCCCTTCCAGCCCTTCTAGCCCTTCCACTACCAAATTCCCGTGGGTCGACGCCATTTGAATAGGAGCGGGATATCACGTGACCGGCGAGCCGATGATTGTTCCTTTGATTCATTGAATCCAGCCTTGTTTGCGTAGCAAGAGTGAAAGGCAGGTATTAAAATTTGTAGTTCATCTTCATGTAATATATATAAATGCTATGCGATCGTCAATGAAATGGCTATAAAGGGTGATATGGACGTTGGTGTGTGTAATGATAGTTCGCTAGGTAAGGTACCTAGGCACTTGGGAGGTACTTATCAATTGGCGAGTACTCACTGTTTGGTATACACAAGTACATGCGAGGTACCTCTTCCCGAGTGAGACAGACAAACTCAGACAAGTCGAGAGTTGTTTAACTTCTGTCGATATTCCTCCATATTCATATATCTTTCAGCATTCGCATAAAACTGCCGTTCTAGCCGGCGGGGAGCTGAGCTGAGCCAAGTCTGCCCCTCATCAACGTCATCATCTTCGCGACGTTCTTACTGCCACCATCTGCTGTATCACCGATCGTCACACAATGTCTGAATTAATCACTGGCCTGTCTAAATTGAGCCCGTTTGCTCGCAAAACCGCCGTAGACGAGGACGATATCGGCGATGCCATCGATGGGGACACCGTCGCAGGCGGCGGCCATGCCTCGCGCCAATCGCCCATAACTAAAGATCAGCTTCGGGTCAGCCACGCCTTAAAGAACTTTCTGATAAAAGAAGGTCTTCTCAACAAACACGAAGCTGGTCTGGATCTGGAGCATCCTACACCGGCTTTACAGAGTCTCCTAAACAAATCGCATATCAACGTTCCTCCGGAAGTCATTGATCGGTCGCACCCATTGCCAGACTACTTCATTAGCTCCAGCCACAATACATACCTAATTGCTCACCAGCTCTATGGAAAGTCTTCCGCCACTGCGTACGAGACTGCACTCTACACTGGATCACGCTGTGTCGAGATTGACGCCTGGGATGGAGACAATGTTGATGAACCAAAGGTCACACACGGCTATACGCTTGTCTCCAACATCCCGTTCCGAACAGTTTGCGAAACCATTCGTGATGTAGTTGACAAAGAGGCCGCCAGCGGCTTTCAAGCTGCACCGATAGTTCTTTCGCTGGAAAACCATTGCAAGGAACATGGCCAGCTGCGCCTTGCCCGGATCATGAGGGAGGTCTGGGGAGACCGCCTCCTCAGCAAGGCACTGCGTGATGAGAACCTGGGCGGGATCAGTGATCATGTTAGCCTAGCTGAGCTGGGCAACAAGATTGTCGTGATAGTTGAACACCATCTTCCCAATGAGGTTGAAAGCAGCGATTCTGATGACGACTCAGAGGACGAGGAATCACGCAAGGCTCATGAGCAGTATCGCCAACAAAAGAAAGACCAAGGTGCAGGACTGATCATTCCTGAGTTGAAAGAGCTAGGAGTGTATGCTCAGTCTGTCAAACCAGTCAACAACTCCTGGTTCGAAAGTGACCTCGAGAATGCACCGCATCATCACCTGATCAACGTCTCGGAGAGTGGATTGCTGACACACATGCCCGCGGCGAGTACCAAGATTGCACAACACAATTCGAAGCATTTGATGCGGGTATACCCGAAAGGCACGAGGATCTCGTCGAAGAACCTACATCCTGTACCATTCTGGGGTGTCGGGGCACAGATATGCGCATTGAATTGGCAAACTTTTGGCGCTGCCTCTCAGGTCAACGAGGCGCTTTTCAGCGGCTCTAACGGATTCGTTTTGAAGCCTGCACCGCTTCGTAAAGGTGGAAACGGCAATCTCAACACGGGAAGGAAGAGAAGGCTCCGTCTCCACGTTGCGGGAGCCACAGATATACAGCTTCCAGCCGATCGTGAAGACGATCCTGTTCCATACGTAACATGCACGCTCGTTCATCCGTCAGATCTGGAGGATAAACCGCCAAAGCGTAAAACGTCTCCCTACAAGCCACACAAGCTTACAGGCTTCTTGCATCGGGAGAACCCTCCGGCAATCGATCCGCTCTTCGAGGAGGTTCTTGAGTGGGATTACGAGGACAATGAGCTCGCATTCTTGCGATTACTTATCAAAAGTGATGATTCTTTTGCTAGGAATCCTGTTTTGGTGGTTGCAGCGGTTAGGTTGATGTATGCGGCACCTGGCTGGAACTTCATCCGAATGCTTGATTTGAAGGGCCATGAGACGAAATGCACGTTGTTGGTTAAGTTCGAGTTCCAAGATCTGTAACCAGACCATTTGCTTATTACAATCATTCAACATAACAGTTGACATTATGGTCATGAATTCAATACGTTTCACTGGTATAATGATTTGATTTGTTTACTTGGTACATATTGAACTGGCAAATGCTCTAACGATTGGGATATTCTCCATACACCAGTATTTTCTCCATGCTTCCAACGCTTTCAACAGATAATAAATTCCTGATATTGTGGTGGGTCAGGAGCCTTGAGACCTTTCTTGCTCTCCCATGTGATTATATCCATAGGCCCATAACAATTTCCGACAATTCTGTATTTCATCTCCCCTTTTTCCGAAGGTGCTCTCCTGACGATGAATGGATATTTCGACCCAGTAAGGAATGCAATTTCATCATCTTTCTGTGCTTCGGCACATGCAAGACCCATGATACCATGATCAGTTCTGAAGAACCGGTTTCCGACCCCAACAATTTTGAAAATTTCGTCAAAGATCATTGGATCCGCTGTTTCTTTAATCCAGTCGCTGTACACTTCAACCGCAGAGAAGAAATCCGGATCCAATTCCTTCAAAATTCCCGTTCCAAACTTCTTGTACCAGGCTACTTGCTCCAGTGCATATTCGCACGTGCTGCTTTCCTCTCGGAGTATTCGGTTGCCTGGAGAGGGTCTGAAACATACTTCGTCACAGATGTTTGCCTCTATAGCGGCAAAAAACATGTTGGCGAGATGTTTGACTGACCCATTGAGTTTTGCGTTGACTGCTACGGACTCCCATGATCTTGAGGTTTCAGCAATCTCGATGTTGCCTGGCTGAATTTGCAAAACGGAACCAACTTCCTCGATCTTTCCCAGGAGCAACCCGTCGATAATCATATCATCGCCTTCGAACCTAAGTCGAGAACAATCCGAAACGTCGCCGCGGTGACCATTATAGCTAGTGTCCTCCTTATTATCATGTCCCATCAAGCGGTAATTTGGTATCCATGAAGGCTGGGCTGCCATGGAGTGTGTCACAACTGCGTGCGTCTTATACAAAGGCAACAGTAATTGTTGCCTCTGGAAGAGCACTTTGGTGAATTCTTTGAGAAGGAACGAAGTAGGCAACGAGTAATCAATCTCGACTGAGTTTTCGTCAAGCAGAATGAGTATATCAAATATGTCCTCGCGAATGTCGGCGGACCTCATGTGCATATCTCCGTTCACAACATAGTCGACATCAAAGAATGTGTCAGCCAATAATGATTGTAAAGTGTCCCAGAAGACAGGCAGTTCTCTTTGAAACGGTTCTTGAACATCGTATGGGTCGAAGTTGATCTCATCATTGCCATGATAGTAAATCATTGACTTGATGGTCTGGAACTCGAGATAGCTTCTCGGCCGATAGAACCAAGGTTGATTGATAATATCCTCGTCTACGTTTTCTCCTGCGTCTGGATAATCATGTTCATTGTCATCTGATTCTGATTCTGGGAATGCGTCTGGGTCATCCCCGTAATACCCGTCTACGTACCTTCCGATTTCGTCTTCGGAATCATACTCGGGATCATCTTCGGAATCGTATCGAACCTCTTTCTCCTCTTCTTTTTTGGGATCTGATATTTTCCCAAGGTAAACACAAAGTTGAGCTGCTTCGCTGTAGATTGACCGAAGCATATTCTTCTGATGGTTTCTTTCCAAAATGTTGGTCTCGTCGACACATAACTCTTGCATGTAGATGACAACCGGCTGGTCAACTTCACGGACGCGACTGAGTGCACACCATAGCACTTCAGACACCATTTTATAGCCATCGTTGATATGAACTGGAACTTGACGATCCCCTTCACTAATTCTATCAAAAGACAAAACATTGAATTTGGGCTGTCCGTATAAATTTGTGTGGATCATGTCGCAAAATATCGGATCAAGAGGTGCCTTGGCGGGGTGGATATTTACGAGCCGCATTGACTGTAGACCAGACAGGACGGAATGTTGAAATCTCTTTGTGGTTTGAGGATGTGGAAAGTCAATATGAGGCCCACTGGCGTAGATCGCGCAGTCACGTTCAGGCGTGGGAGCATGATCCACTCTTCTCAGCCGTCCAAGGTTGCCTTCGTAAGCTTTCTCCATTCCAATTTGAGTCTCCATGTTCCTCGGTTCCTTGGATGTTTCCAATGCAATCAATCGACGCATGATTTCTCTCATGTCAGTCGCCGGCTCGGACGGATCATGCACGGAAACGAACATCTTGAAAATGTCTAGCTCACGGGAATCAAATCGCACGTTAAGGTGTCTTCCTTTGCCTAGGAAGCCAAACGCGGTATGTGATGTACCAGGACAATCAATAGCAGCCCCGAGACGAAGTAACATTTGGACGCGAGGAGGTATTGCACTCTTACAGGCGCAAACGAGTAAATTGGTGATCTCATAAGATCCAGGCCCTATGACTGGAAACGTTTTGTTGACGTCGAATCCATGTTGAGAAACCAGATAATCGAGATTGGAAGGTGAAGCTGCTGAGGGACCATAAATGAAGTCTTGGAGGCGCGGCAAATTAGTAGTAATCAGGCCAGTGCCGTGTTGGTGCATTAAGCGTTTAATCCATTCGAGATCCTCGGAGTTAAAGGCTCTTATACACTGATCGACTGGGTCGTAGGGAATACCGCTCTCCACCAGATACTTGATAACATCGTCGTAGGGGGGGCCAAGGGGCATCTCTGGCATTTCATCGACACGGACACCTAAGTCTATCAGATGCGCAACGCTATCCAGATAGCCATGCCGAATACACTGCCGAAGTAAGGACGTAGCGTCGTCGTTGCTTGCCCCCGCTTCAACAAGTAGTGTACATACTTCGGCACATTCGATGTCAATTGGTTGGCGGGCGTCGATATGGACGGCCAAGCAAGCTTCGATGGGAGAATATTGCCGTCCGATTTGATCATTCGTATGATAAGCTTTACATCGCACATTGGCTCCGCAGCTAATCAGAATAGTTGCAGATTTCTTTCTCCCAGTAATAGCAGCTGCATGAAGAGGCGATGCAAGCCTGAATGAGGCAATCTCAGTCTGCGAGGTCGATTTGACATCTACGCCAATGCCGATGAGCATCTGAATGAGTTGAGTGTTCTCTTGGGAGCACGCTACACAAAGCATCTGGACCAGAATATTGGTATTGCGGCCAGTGCAGTCAACCTCTAGTCCATAGTTTAGGAGAGTCACCATCATGTCTCCCCAAATATCTTCTTCATCTTTATCACGCCTCCGCATCCAAAAACTTGTGTCCAGATTAGATAGCCACTTTAAAGACTGGTCTAGATATCTCTGAAGCAAATTGACATGCAAAGACGGATTCTGTGGTGAATCCTCGATAGTTCGATGCAAGGTATAAGGGTCTGCCCCTGATGCTACAAGAAGCCGGAGAACCCGATGGCACGACATCGTCAAGCAGAAGCACAGTAAAGAATTGCCGTTTGAATCTTCGTAGTTGGCCTCTGTGCCATGAAGGATAAGACGTCGAACGCGATCCAGGTCTTCATCTGATACTGGCCCTATAAAGGGGGCCGGATGACCCGTAAGGAGTAAATATAGAATATTGGGTTCGCGAGAAAGGAGGCATTTCGACGTATCATAGCTGAGTATGATTTCAATCAACTCCCAATCGCGCTTTTTCACAGCGATCGAAACCACATCAAAACAGTCATTCGAGAATTCCGTTGACCAAGGCTGTTCTGTGGCGCAGATCTGGTGAACGAGTCTCTTCTCATGGCCGAGTAACGGGTTCTGGTGATATCGTTCGGGCCTTCGTTCAGCTAAACTTATAAGCACTGATCCTGGGGAATTGTCGTGGATAGTACGCGATTGGGAGAGTTTTTCATTGGTCCCCTCAGACATACTTCCGAAGCTAGATGAATTGTCGTAGCCGAGGAGATAAGGTGAGCTAACTGTCCAAATATTGGAAACAGTAGAATCTCGAATAGCGATTCAATGGAGAGAGTACTCCGTACGGAGTAGTAACTCTAACTTGTTCTTTATGAAAGAGGGAGTGATGTCGCATAAAACGCGAGGTGATCGCTGGAAGGCCGTGTATTTAGGGGATACGCTGGAGTAGCACAAGCGGCTAGGTGGACATGCGGACTTGGACTTGGCTTGGTTGTCAAGTTGTACAAGTACGCGGACTATAAACGAAGGGAGTAACTACGGCAGGGCTGTCCAATCACATGGAGTGTGACCCTTCAGCTGCTCTCACCATCACCCCCAGATTGTTTATTTTCCATCCCAGCATCTTTTTTCTTTTGTCCAACATTTACTGGCCGAGCAACAGCCACCGCTCGTTGTTGCCCAACCGTCAGATTCGTCCCATCAAGAACGTGGTTTGGCACAACCGCCCCCTCTTCTTGATGATCGTAATTCGTATCTGTGATCTTGAAGATCATCAAATATGCGAAAGACGCGATACCAATAACATAGAAAAGCAAAATACCCCCAGCCTCCGCAATGAACGGAATCTTGATGGAATCGAGACCAAAGCAAATGGCCTCACCAGCGCCGAGCACACCACGGAAGACTCCAACGTAGTGCGTGAGCTTCTGAGGCGAGTTCGTGATCGCGCCGATCCAGTAGTACACAATGTTGTGCCACAGTTGGCAGGATACCCAAGTGAGCATGAAGAGTACGAAGATCCAACCAAAACGCGGTTCATCCCAATCGGTGGGGTTCTGAGGTGGCGCATGTCGGTTGTAGTTGCGCGTACGTACCTACGCGTATTAGTGGAAGTTATCATTCGTGTAACGTCGGAGAGGTCGCACCATTTCCCAGATCCAAGCTGCCACGATTGGACCTCCAACTGTAATCAACCCGATCATGCCTCGCATGCGACGACTCCAAGTTGGTCGATCTAGAATCAGCTGCAATCCCCAGCCGGCGGGGATCTGTAGTACGACAGCCATGAAAGAAAGCAAAGAACGGGTCCGCAAGTTGTTTAGGTGAGCTACTCGATATTAGTATCATCATGAAGCGTTCTTTCGAGAGTCTGTACCATTGACCGAGCCACTGTAGACCAAGAAGCCTTCCGAAGGTAGAAATGCAGGTAACATCATCAGCAAGATTGGATCGGTAAATATGAGCAGATTCGATTTGAGCTCATCCCACGCGCCTCTTGCAGGGTTAACAGCGACAACAGAATCATCATCGCGAGTCAACTTTTGGGGTCGTAGAAGAAGAAGTCCAAGCAGCCCGCCAATGATCATGATGACGATGAACGAGATATATACCGGTCGAGGCACGCCTGCTGCTGTGTCGGTATTTCGATTGATGATCACAGGTATAATGCCTCCAATGACCGACCCGAGAGCTTGCAGATTCATCAACATCGTCGCGTAGGACCCCTTCTCCGATTCTTCAGGGTAGGCCGTCGAGATGTACCCAGCTGTAATGAAGACGCATCCCGCCCCAATGCCAATGATAGGCCCAGCTGCATACGGATATCCTTTCTTGCCCGTCTCATCGTAGTACCAGAGCGATCCAACGTACACGACGTAGGTTTGGACGCCAATGCACATTGTGATACCAGGGCCGAGCTTGTTCAGAATCGAGCCGCCGAAGCAAGAGGAGAAGAACCATACTGAGCAAAGAGTAGCATTGACGACTTGTACGACCTGGGCGGAATCTGGTTTCCCGCCGCCAGCTCCAAGGAGGTTGAGTGCAATGTACATGCCGGCGGAAGAGCCCACGCATAGGCCGCTAATGATGTTTTGCATCCATGGCGAGTGGTATCTGATCTGGGGGAGATTTAGAAATCCCATCATGTCGGCATTTGTGGATTTGAGTAGGAGAAATGCGCGACGAGAGGAGAATAAAAGAAGTGGGCTTTTCGATAGAGATCATCGGTGCGATGTGATGAATTGTAAAGGCTGCATGATGCGATGGAGAGATATGTGAACACTGCGCGAGACAAGGTTGATGGACGAACAGCATAGGCCAGGATACCTATCTGTGTTAACTATCTTGGGATATCATCTAGGTTCTTTGTTAGCCTTTAGAAGTCAAGTTAAATGCAATACCTTCGGCGAATATGCGCATCCTTACCATTCAAAGGAGAAAATATTGCTCACTGCAGACGCATTCACAGATTGGGATCATGACTCGGTTCCGAAATCTGTGTCTTTTGATTGGCAAACGTGGGAAAGCGAAGCCCTAAGCAGATGTACATACATGGATATTAACCAAATACTGTGCGAGATTCGCGTAGAATTTGAGTTGACTGGTCGGATGCGATATATTCCTTGCAATTGGACTTGATTACTACCACGGGGCGTACTCGGATGCTTGGCCACTTCGGCAGACCTTATCAGCTGGAGCTGCCAGAGTTGAGTCTGATGTCATGACCATGAAAGGTTGATGAACATGAAGTTGAACCCTGGACCATAATCGCCCGGAGATTTACAAAGCGTACGGTCCACGACTCTAGCCGACGGCCAATTGCGCTTAAAATGAAGATGAAAATATCACGAAGATTTTTGATTGTTCTCAAGAGAAATCGTACCAGCACACCAAAGTTGCTAAGCTTAGCAGATCTCATATTCTCTAAATATGCATGGTATATCGTTGCGATCGCAAAATTCAAGCCACCGCTCGTCTCTCGATTGGCGGTAATTGCCATAAGGCCATTGTGCTAGTCCCACACCTGTCGACAACTGACATTGATACGCTTCGTTCCCATATAACCCTTCCACTTCTTGAATGCCTTCTCTTCTCGTGTCGTAGCACCTGGTGTACCAACAGGCCACGAGGCTAGATACGACGGACAAGTACTGGGTATGCTTCGAGCCATGGCGTGCCACGCCCATCTGGCCTCCCCATCCAGATGTACACAATCGCCGCTTCGCACTCTTAAAACCACAGTCCGAGGAGCATTCGCCCCTTCGCCGCCGTCTTCACCACGGGCCAAGATGAATATTCCATCACATCCCACACTGAAGCTCGCCAGAGCCCGCTGGCAATGTTCGCTAACATCGCGATGGACCGGCATATGATCTTTCGCTGAATACATGAGTACAACGCCGGAATCGGGCCTGATGTGCGGAAAGAGTCCCATGACTAGTTTGGATAAATCTTCGGGGAACGGCGTAGCATGCTTTGCGTAGCTGCGAGTCGGCCAGTCATACTGCTCGCCCAATGTGAGCCACCGAAGTTTGCTGTACAGGAATTGCTCGTTGTTGAGAGGCTTGTTCTTTTCAGGTTCCTTGGGAATGAGTGAGTCTTCTTCCAGGGAGCGGTCACGCGTGAAAAAGGTTGAGTCAAATCGATGACTCGATGGAGAAGTTTGTGCTGGTGGATAAGGAATAGTGAAGTCTTCCTGGAGGTTGATCTTGTGGCTTGGTTCAGCAAGATCCCGATGCATGAGACACGAGGTAAATAGCACTTGAGTCTCGGGGGGTAACAGGCCTGGGATCACTCTTAAACCTGGAAAGTCACGATGTTCGTAAAAGGGAGCGTCCTCCACCGGCGAAGACAGTGGTTGTCCATCATTGTACGCAATGCAGGCAGCTTCAATCTGAGCAGCGGGAATAGCACCTCCTTGAGACCATGCGCTCTTTCGGTCTGCTGAAAATGTCGCCCATTGGCTGAGATCGAACACATCTGGATCATTCTCCAACTCGGCTCTTTTCATAGATTGATAACGCCAATGTTGCCGAGTGACAAACTGCGGTGGCATAGCGTGTGTATCATGGTGATGTGTGGACGTCTCCTATGTCTCATCAGTACAACTCGCCCAACTCACATCATGTGACCTACGAACGTCTGATACAGGAGCCGCTACTGCGCTGGTTGAGAGGTCCATCTTGAATTTTGGAGGTGCGTCTAAGCGCGCAAAGTCCCTAAAACGAGTGGTGCGCCTGGCGCAATGTATTGTGAATCTCGTCGCAAATTTGGAGACGTTCCTGATACTAAACATTTACAAGAAAACATCAAATCGAAAAGGATGTATATCAGAATTAAAACATTGGTGGTTGGTGATGAGGTGAGGAGCAACATTTTGGAGCAAATACTGAAAATGGGCCGTGCACCTAGCGCCAGATTTTCCTTAGCCAATCAATGAATGAAGAAGAACGACTATTTTGAGCCGTCATTGATTTTTGGGCTTTTGCGATCTTATGAACTGAATTATGCAAATACGATTTTGTTTTTTTCTTGATCAGATGCCTTAAAAGTGAAAGGGGGCGCAGAGGTCGAAACGGTCCGTCCCCTCCAGGCCGGGCCATCCATTAGCTCCTCTGACCATTGGACGATTTCCTTGAATGTTTCGCATATTCATCCACGTCTTAACACAAAATAGAGCGAAGCAAACAAGGCGGCGCCCAATGCTGAGATAGGCGAGAATTGACCTAAATATTGCGACCAAGACATTTGTAGGCCATCAGAATAGTTTGGTCTGTGAGTTGATACCCCACTGAAGCTACAACGATCTTGAACTGGAACGTGCAGAGCTGGACGAGATCCGATTTGTTTGAATGATGATACTAAAAATCAACTACATGACTTTCAGAGATATGATTCAATCAACACTGTATGCCGATGTCCCCGTGTTAAAGTAAGATGCGCAGTGATATGCAATTCATTGGTTGTTGGTGTGTCCTGTGAGTGACGAACGGTCCGTGAATATCTTGATACCTCCTGTGTCTCCTGCGCTTTGATCCCAATGTCTAACAGGATGGAGCTTTGAAGTGATTTACATTTCTATCTAGGGAATAGGAGTGCCATTATGTGTCGAATTGTCTTCGTTGGCAAAGTCTACATGTACACAAAAAGCCCTCTGTTCATCGTCGTTACCTGTCCCTAGAAATTACTTCGACATCGCACCAATACATACCCAAAGCAACAACAATCTTTACATATTTTCAACGCAGGTCGTCTGAAAATTTCATTCAAGATGCATCCAAACATCAGCCTCAAGGAGCAACTTGCTCTTTATTTGTCCCGAATTTCGATTTCAGGTACAGTATTACTCAATTTTAGAGTATTAATCTGCGGATGTGACCACTGACGATCGCAAAAACTATGGTTTTATAGGTTCTGACAGCATTCTACAAGACTTGAGCACCAATATTGATGTTATTCGACTTTCGCCAGATTTTTTCACCACTGAACTCAATATGTCCGAGCAGGATTACTACTCCGAATCCTTAGAGCGCCGCGTGGTTAATAAACCGGGCGAGACTAGATGGACAAAAGAAATCACTGCAGAGCATTTTCTGACGCTATTGGAGACTATCTTGCGGACTCATCCTGAGACAGTCCCCGCAATTCGGAATAGCATCAATGGCCCATGGCAGGGGAATCTATCCAACCCAATTCATTGTATATTCAGGAGGCAGAACTGGCCTGGCATGGCGAAATATGACATTCTCTGGAACAGATTGCAGCCCGCCCTGAAGCTTGCTACACGATATATTACCAGCGATAAATTGCAAGGATTTTGGATTCGTACGCTTTTGGGTCACCAGGTACCTCTGAAGAATACCTCAAAAATGGTCATGGTTGGTCCTCGACTTAGCGACACAAATCCAGGAGCAATTCGGTCGGTGGCGAACAAGTTTGAGAAAATAGCGGATAACATTCGATGGGAGTTCGGCGTCATGAAATCGCACGGATCTACCCAATTCGAAAGGGGAGAGGAGGAGGAGGAGGAGAAGAAGAAGAAGAAGAAGAAGAACGCAAAGCACCACCACCTACGTATCAACGTCAATTATTTCCGATTCCTTTTGAGAGGTGATAGCAATGAAGTTCAACGCATCCAAACGAATTGGATGCTTGCAAGCACCTTTGTGCACGAGCTTGCACATGCCTTTTTCACAGCCAAAACCGGAAAGAAGCTGAAAGAGCCCTTGTTCGATATTGATCATTGGGATACCGACCTTGGTTGGGCCTGGGAGCGGTGGATGTGGGGTCCTGGTCGTTTCAATGGTTCCCCCTGTCCCACTACCGGAATCCAAGAATTTACCTGGAGGCCAGAAATCAATTATCCTTTGAACCCCTCTATACGACGCCAAGGTTTCATGACTTACGAAGTTCATGTGCGATGGCTGCACGAACATTTCCTAGAGGAAACTTGGAATCGGCTTGACGCCCTGCCCGTCGCCAAAAGGACTCTCTGGGATGCACCGAAAGTTGGAGTTGCTGTGCTTCAGGGTCCAAGCATTCGCAATTTGAACCAACGGGGTTGGTACTGGGTACCAGATGGCTGCGATGAGATCAATCGAGAGACCGTTAGGTTCACGCCGGCACGCGGTACAGCACTATAGTCTGCAGACTGAGGTGACACACATCGGAAAACTGGTCCAAACTCGGAGTTGGGAAGGGTATATTTGGATATGGTGGAGGAAGGATGATTGACATGGCGGGAGGAAGAATGTAATACTAAATACAATTTTCTTATGTCTCTACATCTGCAATATCGTGAATGGTGTGGTCTATCAGAGAAATCAGTGAGGTTGTAGTTTCTACTTAACTTTGATTCCCACGGGAAGCGAAATGCGGAAGGTGGGGAAGCACCTTCCCCAGGTAGGTTTAGCCTTCGAAGTACTCCACTCATGCATCTTCGGAAGCTATCCTCAAAACACGACCATCACAACGTCAACTCTAGCGACTCGTCGAGTAGCAGTCCTCTCTAGGCCTTAGTTTTACGTCATTTGCGATATAGTCGACCCTGAATGGCATGGTTCTTGCCAATATGGATCCAAACAGAGTTTACATGCGGGGTTTGCCCTCAGGAGATCCAAGAGAACACTTTTATATCTTTTATTGAAGTGTAAACACTCACAACAACCACAAATTCCACCATTGCAAGAAAGACACCATAATACACGCGACATCATGGCAGATAGACTCAAAACAGCACAGAGCCGGCTATCTGCGGTCGCGAATACACTCACAGGAGGATTGTTTGGATCAGCTCATCAATTCCCTGCTTTTGACGACCTGCCCAAGGTGGAGGGCGAACCTCAAGGTTGTTTATGGGGCTTCTTCGACAAGGATGGAAAGAAAGACGAGGTTGGCAGTATGCTTCAATCTCACTGCTCTTGCTCCGACATAATCTGACAAAATCTGTGTCTAGCGATTAATCTTCTTACCCCCTCGATCGTTCACGCCGCCAGTCGCGAGATCCAGACTGGCGATCACGTACAATTGGATTGGCCCCTTCAGAATGTACAGTTTCCTGGCTTCGGACGGAAGCAGTTCCACCAGACGAAAATTGACCTCAATGAAAGCTTGGGGTTCAAATCTATGGATGACGAAATCTACATCAACACTCAATCCGGTAGTCAGTGGGATAGTCTGAAGCATTTCGCGCACCAATCGACGGCTAAATACTATAATGGCTTGACACATGAGGAGGCTACCAGGACGGACCGAAATGGTATCCATAACTGGTGCGAGCGTGGAGGGATTGTCGGCCGTGGGGTACTTGTTGACTGGCTTCGCTGGTATGAGGAGCATCGTGGCAACCCACCAAGTCCAGTATCACGGCATGAGATTCCAGTCGATGAGCTAGAAGAGACGCTTGCCTGGCAGGGTACTACTACCCGTCCGGGTGATATTTTATTGATACGTAGTGGATACGTGCGTTGGCATGAGTGAGTGTTTGCTGTCAAACCAGTCAAAGAAATAGAATCTGACATGCACAGTAACGCAACGATCGCAGAGCGAAAGAGCGGTACTCAGGACAACAGCATTGCCATTGGCGTACAAGGAAACGAAAAGTCAGTGCGCTGGCTTTATGACCATCATTTCGCTGCTGTTGTCGGTGATACTGTTGCGTTCGAGGCGTGGCCACCAAAGTTTGATGAGGGGTGGTGTTTGCATGAGTGGCTATTGACCCAGTGGGGCACACCGATCGGCGAGATGTGGGATCTAGAGAAGCTATCGCAGTTGTGTAAGTCGAAGGGGAAGTATACATTCTTTCTGACGAGTGCACCGTTACACGTCAAGGGTGGCATTGGCAGTCCGCCCGGAGCGATTGCGATCTTCTAGTTTCTGCGGAGCGGATATCCAATGAAGCCATACAATGACATATTCAATTCGAAACAAACACACAGATAAGAGGCACGGAAATCTATTTCATTTGACGAGTCAGTTCATTTTACTACAGCCAGTGCTTGTGCATGGGCGAAACGAGAATCCTTTATGTTTCTTTGAATGGTTGACACTGACTCCCTGATTTCCCTTGTGACTGCAAAGTTGCCTGGTTTTTATGGCTATACTTCATAACATGCCCAATCACGAAATAAATATCAACATTAAGCGCCATGGATTGCTTGTTTGTATGGACGTCTCCCTACCGGTGACCCTTTCTTATCTATCCAGACAAACACAAAGCTCATAATGACCTATAGTATGAAACGTTTCCTCGACGACTGTGCCTTATCCTCGTACTGCATATGAAGGAATCTGCCTCGCCTTTAAATGACTTTTGTCGATACACATTGGATATGCGATCGCGCCTCTTAGATTTCTAATCATGGTGTTGTAGGGAGCCGAAATGGAAGGTAGGGACAGCTGTGCCGTCCGCATGAAGCTGACCGGTTGTGAGCACAGTGCCTAGGTGGGGAACTGATTGCATGATTGCATGAGTGTGGACTGCCTTATTCCCAATATCGCGGCACTATTGCACTTAAAACCGAGCGACAGATATTTTCCATACAATGAATATTCTCTTGGAGGCATATTGGACCCTGGTGGAAGATGATAAACGAGAATGTTACCGAGTGAAGGGGTTGAAGTGGGTTCCCCTCACGTTCTCCTTGGTCGACATTGTGGCTGAAGCTGTCAAAAGTTTCTTGCTCAGCTCTAAACTAGCGCGTGGCTTATGAGTTGACATTGAAATGATTGCGTGCATATGATACGGACACAGCCTCAACCAACGGCAAGCGCCCATCGTACCGGAAATGAACGAACGACGGACTTTAGAAATGACGACAAACGAAGGGACATCGTGTGGACCGAGTGAATGGTGGTGATCCAGTAGGAGTGTTGGATCGTGGCTGAGTGGTATTGAATTGACACAAGCCATTCATCATTGTGATCATTACTCTTATGAGTCTGTGTATTTGATGAGTGGTTTTAATATCAAATAAGCATCCAATAAGTCCAAGGTAAGGTTGTCGTTGGTGTTTGTTTAGTTAGTGTCACAAAGAAATACCGGTAGGATAGTCAACAGCCTGGGAAGGAGCCACAAGCTGAGCTTCCGTGACGAAGATACCCCACTATTTCAAGGCTGGTTGCTGCCACCTGCACCTGCCCACCCACAGGCCATAAGCTCCAGGCCTAAGCTCATTATAACATCACCCAACCTACACCCGTCACTCACCACCAACTCTTATTACTTCCTCTCTTACTCTTACATCCCCTTCTCACCTCTTTTCCTGTTTCTACAATCATCCTCCTCACCACTTCTAATAACTCGCCCTCATCAAAAACACACTTTATCCATCCGTCATCATGGGAGTAAGTAACAGTCAATCGAACCTGTTCGGTGGATGCGCATTTGATAGCTGTGTACCTTGCTACGTACCAGCTACCGCTGCTGCCCCGCCATCAGCCAACAAGCAATAATCAGCATCAATCAACCCACCACGCCATTTATTCTCGTTATCCAGAAAAGATACCGTAAGGCTGACTTTATGCTTCTTCGCTTTTCCTTTCTAGTTGGCTTCGAAGCTCGCCGCCCAGAATGCGGCTCCCGGTGGAGGCTATCCACCTCAGGGAGGTCAACAGCAGCCAGGCGGATATGTAAGTACCTATATTCCATTCCCTTTCCCTCCATCCCTGGTCTTGCATCGTCTACTTTATACGGAGTATTACATACTGCATCGACCGTTTTATCTACCTAGGCATCCACCTAGTAAACACCTCATACATCTACGTGACTACCCAACATGCGCCCAAACGACCTGTACTAACGCGTGTTCAGCCCGGCCAGCCGCAATACCAAGCCTATCCTGGTGGTGCACCAGGTGCCGGCGCTCCGGTGAGTGTGCTTTTTATTCTTACTCTTCTCTCCTTCTTCTTGTTCCTGTTCCTTTTCGTCTTTATTGCTATTATTGTCGGGCTCTCTCGTATCGATCATTGCGTGCTGTGTGCTCTTGCGACCCTGCGTCATCAGTCATCAGCTCCCGCCACTTTGCGCCTGGGACGACATCCAATTTTCTGGAACACCAACCCCACCATCTCCACACCATCAGCATCATCATCATCATCATCATCACATCCATCACCACCACAACCATTATTATTCTTCCTTTTGCGCTCGACCTGCAAACTCCTCGCACTATCGCCTCCTTGAGTTTTTAAATTCAAATCCTGTATCGCTTTTTGGACTGCGGAATTTTGCGAGCGCGTTCCTGTCCCAGACCCCAGGACTCGGCTTTATTGGCTTTGGCTCTGCTTCCGACCTGCGTGCGCGCTCAGTCGTCGATCCCTTCAATCCTCAGATTTATTCAACATGGCATACCAAGGCGGCTACCCGCAGCAACGCCCGAACTACCCACCTAACGGCTATCAACAGGGCCAGAGTCCTGCCATACCTCCGCCGTACCCGTCCGCTTCTCACAACCAAAACCCATATCCTCCTTCTTCGCCCTACCCAAACCCTCAACAAGGTGGATATAATCGCCCTCCCCCGCCTCCTCCGCCTGGCCAGCAGTCGCAGCCTCCGGTTCCTCCACGATCTCCCTATCCTCCACAGTCTCCAGCAGGCCAGTACGGTCAACCTCCATATGGACAGCAACAACAACAACCATACGGGGGTCAGCCAGGCTATGGACAGCAACAACCATATGGCCAACAGCCGCCGTATGGCCAGCAAGGCTATGGTCCACCCCCGGGGCAATACAATCAATATGTTGGTCTTCACTGCTTCCACCAATTCTGTCTGGCGTCCACCTGTTCTTCAACTCCATTTGGATCTCCTTCTTGATGTTTCCAGAGCATGCAATATTCTTTTGTTTTTCTATTTTCATATTTGAATCGGGTGTACAGAAGCTGACTTTGGTCTGATATAGGGTCAACCTCCACCTGGACAATACGGCCAACCACCTCAGCAGCAGTACGGAGGTGGTCCCCCTCCCCAACAGTACGGTGGCCCAGGGGGTGGTGCCCCACCACCAGTTCAGGCTGGTCCTGCAGAGATTCAGGGCTACAAGCAGCTCCTCATAAGCTGTATTCAGGAGAAGCAGCTCCAGAACTTCTACCCTCCCAACTCACCTATCATCGATCAAATTGCTCAGAAGGCACCATCCCTCATCAACCAGGTCATTCAGCGCTGGCGCGTGGCTAAGGAGATCGCCAACGATGTCGTCAAGCTTGCTCTGTACGATATCGTTCTGTACATTGGTACGCGTATAATGTCCCTAGTTGTGTGATTATTTACTAACTTCATACAAAGATGACAGTGGTTCCATGCAGTTCGAGGAGGAGGGAAGTCGTATTAAGGACTTGCGCCTCATTCTCGACCGCGTTGCATTCGCCGCCACGTTGTTCGATCCCGATGGCATTTCCGTCCGCTTCATGAACACCGACCTTAGCCAACAGCGCGACCAGAGCGGCCGTCCTCTCCAGGACGGCATCGCCAACGAGGGCCAGATTGAAGCCATTATGCGTGGCGTTCAATTCAAGGGCCTCACCCCCATGGGAACCGCTCTCCGCAGGAAGGTCATCGACGACATCGTCTTGAACCAGGCCCGAAATGGCACGCTCAAGAAGCCCGTCTTGGTAATCACCATCACTGACGGCCAGCCCGCTGGCGAGCCCCAGAACGCCGTCTTCGAAACCATCAACTACGCATACGGCGAGCTTGCGCGTACCCGCTATGGAAAGGGCGGTCTCGCCTTCGAGTTTGCGCAGGTCGGAAACGATGAGATGGCCAAGAAGTTCCTTGGAAAGCTTGATGAGGACCCTGCTGTCGGGCCAATGGTCGATTGCACATCCAGTACATATCCTAATCTTTCCAAATTCTTTGACATACACTAACCTTTTATTAGACTTCGAGAACGAGCAAGAAGAGATGATGCGCGCTAACCCACCTGTCGACCTGACACCTGATCTATGGATCGTCAAGTTGCTTCTCGGAGCTATCGATGCCTCATACGATTCCAAGGACGAGAAGTCCAACCCTCCTCCTGCCGGAGGCTACGGTGGACCTGGTGGACCAGGTGGACCTGGTGGATACGGACCCCCTGGTGGCCAGCAAGGCGGTTACGGAGGTCCTCCTCCAGGCCAGTATGGCCAGCCCCAGCAAGGCTACGGCCAGCAACCCCAGTACGGCGGACCTCCCCCAGGTCAATATGGTCAGCCTCCTCAAGGCCAGTACCAGCAGAGGCCTCCTCAGGGCGGACCTGGAGGACCCGGAGGCCCTGGAGGTTATCCTGGCCAGCAAGGGTACGGTGGCCCCCCACCACCTCAAAGGTACTAGCATGATCGAGTTTTCTCGATCAGCCGCGTGCCTTTGGAAACTAATTTCCTATCATACGTGAATGCTCCTAATGCAATGGAATGGAAAAAGAAAACGGCCAGCCTACCTCGCGAAAGGGATCAGTTATGAAACGGCTACCCTATAAGAGTTATGGCAAGGAATGATATATTTTAGTGTGACTTTCTAAGTAGTCATCAATATGAAATCCTTGAATTCATGGACGACACTGTCAAAGTAGTGGAAAGATGAGCCTATATATCCTGCAAGACGGCACTCACGTGTTGTCTATCATCGAAATGAAATGATGCGCGATCACCGTGATTGCATTAAAGACTAGTGGTATATTAAACATGACTCCAGAAAGGAAAAAAGTCCCATTAATCCATTAAGAGCAACAGACTTTCTCATTTATCCTCCAGTATTGAAAACCCCAAAACCCAAAATCCCCAGAAGATATCTCTCCCCCCTCACAGCAACCCCACAACCCCGAGCCCAACACCAGCCAACACACCAACCGCCTTCCCCCAAACCTTGACCTCAGCCGTCGCCGCGCTCCCCGCAACCACCGTCTTCGTCCGTCCCACCTCCCCCGTCAAAGTCCCCATCCCGATCGCCCCGCTCCCAGGCGCCGCGCCCTGCCCCGGCGTAGCTTTAAACAGCATCACCACAGTCTGCGGATACCACGTCGTGGCCGTCGTCCCGATGTGCGATTCCACCCACTGCACCGTCGTCGAGTACTCGTCCGTGCGGATCGTGGGTGCCGGTGCCGGCGCCGGTGCCACGCCCCCTGGCACTGCTGGCTTTGGAGCTACGAGTGGAGGTGCGCCTGGAGCTCCCGGAGCCGGGGCGGGAACGGGGACTGGAGGGATGGGGACGGGGGCTGGGAGGATGTTTGGGTTGGGGACCGCGGGGACGCCGGGAGGGGGCTCGGGAGGGGTGTTTGGGTCGGGTTCGGGGGGTGCGTCGTCTTCTTCTTCTCCGACTTCTGGGGAGGTGTCGAGGGTGTCTGGCGCTGGGGGTTGTTGTAGTGGTGCTGGTGCTGGTGCTGGGGGGTTGGGGAGTTGACGGGGACTATGAGGGTTGTTGTTAATATTGAAGATCACTTGTTTCATTCGGATGTATACGTACTATATATCGCCCAAGAGGCCATTCCCAGCGTCCAACAACTCCCTCGCAACCAGCTCATTCACTTGGACATCACTGCTCGCTAGTCCCCCGTCATCGTGTAGGAGACCGTGGCAAATCACACCCGTGGAGAGAAGAAATATCGGAAAAGCGGCTCGCTTCATCGTTGTTTGTTTGTTTATCCATTTGGGGCGGTAGCGGTGGTGTTAAGTGTATTGGTGTGAGGAATGCGAGGGCCGGAATAGGGTTGATGGATGCTTCAATTTCTCTGTGTGGGAGTGTCTGGTGGCTGGGGTACGGGGGAGAGATGGACGAAGGCGGATGGAGTGGTGTTATCTGTGTCCTCAAAGATGGAATCGTTCTTCTCTTAAACTTGATAACACTTCCACGACCGCAGCATAGAAACGAGGAACAAATTCAAAACGCAGAATACCATCTGGACCTCAAATCCAGCTACAATAACACTACCAGCCCATACCAAACGCCAGCTAAAAAGCTCCTGGAGCAATTCTTGAATTTCCCTTTATATCGACTTTTCCCACCTCGCATCCAATTCACCCTCCCAGCATTTTCACAATAGCAATATCGCAACCCTACGTAAATTTTTCTCGACCATGAACCCTACCTACCCTCAACAATAGAGAAGGAGGCTGAAAGGAATGCTCGATCTCGAAAGTGACATCTTCGGGTGCGGAGGAATGTTTCGGAATGTAACAGTCCGCACGTGGGCCATGCAGGTCGAGAGCGGAGGGGGGGAAGTAGTAAGAGGGAGAATCTCAACAAATGACAGGAGCATTTCCGCTAACTAGTAAAATCGTTTTGACGCAAGAGGTCACTATTTGTCTGCCCTGGCTATCGTAGTTGAGAGACATTGCCTAAGAGAAGTAGGTACTCTAGCTTCAAAAGCTGACCAGTCTGCAAAATCTCCAATTCATCATATCCCATGATACTGCCCTGTGAACCACAGACTGCGGCAAAAAGAAAAGAAAAGGCGAACTCACCCATGAACCATTGCATTTACCAATGACCCCAAAATCCCCCCTAAGATCGTGTCTTGTCAGCAGCCATGCAAGTCGCCTTGAACCTGTACCATCCCTATGAAGAAAGAGTGGGGACTCACAAGATGTACAGGCATACAAAAAGGGGTTGGGAGGATCGTACGGGGTAGTTATGCGGATGTGCACGAAAGCGTCCGATGAAAGCAAAGGTTCCACGACCTCGTAAGCGACCTTTGTCGAGATCTCCCTTGATGTCTGTTCCCTTCTGCATTGTGGATCCAGGAATATGGGAAGTTTGCAGATATTATGTACAGTTGCAGAGCATGTCCAGGATGAAGATGAATGGCAAAGGAGAGCTTGTTATAAAACTACTAATTGTTATATTCTTCACTGTTATGCTTTTTCTTCCACCTCCCTCATCAATCTGATCCCAATTCGACTGCTCGATTATGCATCTCTCATCCTTCTTGCTTTCATTATGGGCGCACACTTCTTCCAAAATGCATGTGCCATACAGAAATACCAATCCAAAAACACTGTTTTGATCCAAACTATGCAGTTGAACTAGAGACAAAGCAAGAATGGAGGAGATTATGGACATCCTGATGATAACCATGCCTGTAAAGTATGCAGATTGGTATCTTCCAAACCCTTCTCAACGTCTCCCAAAGATAAAGTAATGTCCAGGCCAAGTATATATATCGAAATTCATTTCCATAATGTGGAAATGCTTTAAGAAACATTAGTAAGCGCGAAGGTTCGCACTCTGTAAGGGAATTGAGGCGAGACCAACGGGGCGCCAATGCGGAAGAAAACCAATGACGCGTTGGTGTAAATTTTGATGCCATCTATTCGGTCATTCGCATGAATTCCCCATGGGTAGTGTTTCCTGAAGTTGCGAATAGTCGAACTGCGTTCCGAACTGTGAAAGGAATTGATGAATGATCCAACAGAGGCGGCGTAATTTTCCGCGTAGGTGGAAAAAAGAAGTGTATACAAGGAAGTAAGTGGAAATTAAAGAATCCGTCTGAGAATAATTAGAGCGTATACGCTCATATAGAAACGAGTCGTCGTGATCCAACTGAAAGTCCTTTCCTGGCATCGAAGACGATATCAGTGCCGATTCAGACAAGCGTGGGCTCTATCATGAAAAAGAGATCTGAAGAAGTTCCCTCAAAGTCGGAGTTGATTAGAAGTTCCCCAGATCCATGCAAATGCCGTTGTCAGTGGGTGATTAATGCTGGCATTCACGCTGAATTTCAACCCGAAGAGTAGACCAAGCTTAAGGATTATTGTAAGCTCTCGCACCTGGGGTCTCGGTTGCGATCGGAGACGTTATAAGCCAGGAGATGGAGAGTTTCATTTGCTCATAGAGTAGCTCCAGTAAATTAGGTGTGACAGCGTCAAATGTCACACACAGAAGAAGAGCCGCGTTATAGTTGTAGTTCCGAGGTATGTGGCGTCAGGTGTGTCGGTTACCATGGGAAGATGAATCAAGATCTTCTCTCTACAGTACCAGAAAGCAGCTGAACAGGACAACCATTACTGACGCGAATATTGTAGTAGACGGCCTGGCCGCGCCGCTGTAGGGGTTGTTGTTAGTATGAGCGATAATCTGGCCTGGAGCTTTGTCTTTCTCTTGGGTGAAGAAGTAGGTCCTTGCAGTCTGATTGCCGCTGTCTCCTCCTAAATCAGGAGCTCCCATTTGCTCGGGAATAGTGCACACTTGGCTGGCGTTGAAGCTCTCACAGCGCTCTTTGTACTTATCGTTACGTTCCTCGTCGGTAGAGTTGAAGTAAGCCTTGATATAGGAAATCGTCATGGATTCGTCTCGGGGTGGTGGGCCTCCAGACCACCTTGCATCCCCGTTACTCCAGTGATTGAGGTACAAACGACCAGGAGTCTCTGGAACACCGTGGCCCTCCATCTTCCAGAGGAACTCGCCATCAATATAGAAGACAACTCTTCCCGGGACCCAATCGAATCGGTATTCGTGGTACTTATCGTCTGGTCGAAATGGTAGATGCGCAACTTTATATTGGGGGGTTCCCGAGGCGTCGTACCCGTCTGCGACCGACTCTATCGTATGGAGCACGAGATTGACAGCGCCTTCTGATTGATTGAATTCTCTCGATAGGAATTCCATGTCGATCTCTTGAGAATCGTTGAAGAACTATAGGTACGTGAGCTGTCTTGAAGCGGCCAATATTTCGAGGTTTAGTGTCATACCCAGAAGAATCCTCCACAGGTTCCCGAGTCTGCCGTTGCAAGTTTCATGCTGGCTCGGAAGCTACCATATCTCTGATCATTTCGGACGGAAACAACCTCCGCGGCGCCCAAGTAACCTGAGGAGTAGTCGTTTCGAGCCCACAGTCGCATGCCTGCATCGCCTCCATTCTCCGCCTCGCCGGACCAGTCAAACTTGTTCTTCAAAGGATTCGCCTCGACGTTGTTGAGGGTGAAGTTCTTTCCGTAGCTCCCTCGTGCCTCTCCAACGTCCATCTGGTATACTTGCGGTTGCCATCCGATCGTTGTCAAGTTTTCTACGACAGTGTGGAGGAAGTCATTCTCCATGAGATCGGTGAACACGGCAAACTCAGGATCGCTGGTACTGTTTAGTGAGTATCCGCACTCGCAGTCTGCAAGCACTACATTGGATTGTCAGATGAGGAAATAAATACAATCCTGTGAGACTGTGGCTCTCGACATGGTACTCACCTGGGCGAGACATGGTTAGCAGTAAACAGGGCATGACGCTCAGTGCGTCCAGTAATTTCTTGTACATGGTGACTTCTGCACAACTCTCCTCCTCTTTTGGGATGTCGTGTGCTCAAATCTTGTTAACGTGTTACTGCTAAAGGTGTTTGGTCGTGCAGTGGGCGTTTGTTTAGTAGCGAAGTACTGAGGTTGGATCCGTTATGGATATGGTCCAAATTATTAGAGTAGGCGCATTGGAAGACCAATGTACGAAGAGCGAACAACGAAGAGAGCAGAGAAAGTCAGAAGGTAGGTGCCGATCAAGAGGGGAATGGGGCAAAGTACAAGTATTAAAGAGAGTGACACAGCACCAGACATAAAAGTTAGAGGGAGGGCACGGGGGTGCAGTCCAGGCGGCGGGCAACAACGAAAGAGGCATGGTAATGGAGCCAATCAATCGATTTTCAACTGGTACCAATGGTATTTGAAACTCTCCTTGGGAGAATGGTCCAGGGAAAGTGCTATGTGACAAGAAAGCCAGGGACACGGGATGTTGCTGTCGTGGTATTTGGAAACATCGCAAGAAGGCTCTAAACAAGAGACTCCAGTTCTGCCCTTCGCCTACGAAAATCGAGACTGGGACAACGAAAACCAGATGCCGCCTAGATTAAAAAGCACAAGGATGCATTACGCAGTAAGTTTGCAATTGTGGGGGAAAGGCTCCAACTCAATCTCGAGTGTAGTACCAGGTACCAAGCACCAAGCATCACGATCTCAGGATGCATATTAAGGTATATTGCGTCCCAAAGTTTACCGATCCAGTTGGGATCGAGAACCTGCGCCTACCAAGCTTTTTGCATCGAAGCAACCTGTCAAATCCCAGGACGCTGCGGCTCTCCCTAGCTATCTTGTCATTCTCCTGTGGTGTAACCATGGATCGTTCAACGGCGTCTATCCCCGGTTACAGCTGCTCGGTTCCTTTCCTGGCTACTGCAGGGACGAGCGTATGCAACTTGAATGCAATCGCCTCTCCTACCCTCCGTACAAGACTGGCCTTTTTGACAATTCATATTCGCCCTGTCTGAATTCTAAGTTCATTGGCCTTTCACATCGGCCAGAAGGCCACATCACGCTCCATCAATACAGCATCGCCGTGAGGACAATCTTACGGAGAATATCACAAACGAGTGTTTCTTATGCTCCTCCGACATCGACATAAAAGTATAGTAAGTCACCCACGAACTGGCCTGGCCCAAAACAATACAGCCTCCTCCCGCCTCCGCAACGCCTCCACCGATACGATGCCATTACATGCATAAACGGGCCTGCCTACGCGTTCGGTCAAACAGGCGTAAAAGGGAGCGTTACACTGCACATCCGCATCCCCCCTCTCCGGAGAGGAAAAGAAAAAAAATCTCCCTTGCATCGCCCAAAAGTCTGGCACACTCTGGCCTCTGCGAAAAGGGTCGGCTTCAAGAAATTCACTGGTTGAGGCGAGTAAGGGATGTTCCCTGTCATCTTTCCAATGCCCGCCCCGCCCATGTCGGATCTCGAGTGGGATAAGCCCTCGCCCGGACTGACAAGCGAGGAATCGAGCCAGATATGGGGGAGAGGTTTGAGAATTGTCGCCGGCCGTCTGGGAGAGCCTGAACGTCTTCGAGACATGACATTATTTACTTTCTGTGCATGAACGCGTGAACCGAAATCCTATGTCGCTGCTAATCATGATGTCGAGGAAATCCACCGACTGGCCCAAGACGTGCCCATCCCGCCCATGCTGTGCATCTCACATTCGTTTCAAGAACTGCATACTGTGGCTATCTGGCCGAGACTCTTCGCTCTCTGGTCGTGCAACCCAAGCCTCTTCGTTTTCCTCTGGCGTTTCCTCCCGATCTTAGTCCTGTCCGAATGGCCGAAGAGAGAAAATCATTCGCTCTCATGATAGTGACTGATATGCACTCCTATCTCCATCTTGATCAGGATGCATTCGCAGACAAGCCATCAAGGCGTCCACGGGCGATTCTCGAGACAAGCATATCATAGCATAGCCCTAGCATGCGCATCCTCCTTCATGATTTCCATAAAATTACAACAGCCTCGCCAACACAGCAGAAACGAACACCCTACGTAGCGGAAGACTGCATTGCGTAGGTATCTGGGTATTGAGGGAGTAGGTAGGTAGAAAGAGCTTCGTGTATATCTTCATCCATTGTAGATACCAGTAGTAACTATACTCCGTACCCCATCCCAACTAATCTCCACCGTTTGCCCACCGAGCGAAGACGACGACCAGACACCCATCACCCATCAACCAGCATCCACCCCTAGCGGACGTAATCAGGAGAAGCAGCAACTCAGCTCACGACTTCAAGACCAGACAGACGTCAATCATGCCACACTTTCACAACACTCCCATACTCTCTCATAGAAATGAATTGATACGATCCAGACCTATCGCCCATTGCCCCCCGGGCGGCGGGTCCTTCCTTATGATGGTCTACCTCTCTGCCATCTCATCAGGACATCGACGAGCCAAGTCGATCCTTAGATCGCTTAAGGCTGTCTGTTTGACCGTCTTGTACAACATGTGATTGTGTCTGAGACTAGTTCCGCGTTGGAGACCTTTCCTTCTCTGATGTCAACACCACCATTCTTCCTCTCCCCCCAAAACATCTCTCATCCACACAACAAATCTCCCTCCACACAACAAATCTTCCTCCACATAGTCCAGAAACTCATCAACCAAATCACCCCCAATATCCCCCTCCAAAAAAAGGAAGAAGAGTAAATATCTTCGAATCCAATCGAACCAAAGGAAAACCAGAAACGAAGAGAGGAAAAAAAAAACTCCACCTCAAAATATGGAAGAGGAAAGAGGAAAAGAAAGAAAACATGCCATGGAAAAATGCCGTGCCTCTTTGCGCCTGTGGGAAATCGTCGTAATCGTAGCTTATCGTCGTAGATATGATGGTCCAAACGAAGAAAAGGGAGGAAAAATAAAAAGGCGTATATACACACACCATATACGCGCCCCCGATCCGGACTTAATGTATGTTGACTTCGTAAGAATATGTAGTGGTTTGAACTCGCGTTCGCGAAGAAGAGAGTATCTCAGAGGCCCGATGGAACGCCGTTCGGTCAACATGTCTCGCGGATGATTGATACATTCAACCAAGTTCGTCCAGCACGTAGACCGTTTTCTTTTCTTTTTGTGATTTATGTTTTTGCCGACGGATTGTCGCCGTCGTTTATGAAATTGCTGTTGTGGCGGGGGGTATATCATTCACAAGAAACCAGACTCAGAGAGAAGTCTATCATCACGATTAGTAAACACTGTCCTTACGAGTCATCGTGCTAAAAACGGTCGAAGCCGTCAAGGCGTACCTTGCAATCTTCTCGTCTTCACGCTCGCGGGGCTCCACCTGCAGACTCGTCTCGTACATGCCATGTACGTCACCCGCCGATTGCATATTGGTCAAGATGTAGTCTTGTAGCTCCGTGACTGGCTGGAGCGGATATGGCACGTTCTGGTACTGTTGGATGTCACGGATCACCTCGGCGGTCTTTGCGCGCTTGGCAAAGTTGATCAGGTTGGTCTTCTTGATCAACGAGGGAATACCGTCTTCGATAAACGTCAAATCCGTAAGATACACACCTAGCAATTGGTTAGAAATGCGAAACAAAATGAAGCTTGCTGCGCTCACCAAAGAAAGGAATGCAGGGAGGATTGGCTTTGTGTAGCGTATCTCGGTATTCTGCAAAGTTCTTGGTGCTGCCCATGAGTTTACGCATGTTCTCCAAGACCGCCATGGTTCTGGCGTTCACGGCAGCCCATGTCCTATTAAGTCGATGAATAGGAGCGGTGCCTAGCGCAGAGATAATAGATGTGAGGGTAGAGAAGTTGTTGAGCATGCGGCATTTCTGTTCATGTCAATATGTTGGCTTTGTCTGACCTTGGAATGGGTTCAACTCACATCAGCCACGGTAACGAAATGTTTGATGACGACAACTCGTCGTTTGACATCCTGCTGTGTTAGAATCATTTGTGCGACCCAGTTAGTCAATTGGTTTGAATGAACGATCAATGCCTTGACGTTCGCTGCTGGATCAGGTTCGCCGGGTGCCAGCTTCTTCTGCCATGTCTTGTTAAGACATTCTGTTGGTCGAATCTTGCCGTACAGTCTCGACTCGATCACAGTGAGCTGTCGAGCAAATTCAGTACAATCAATGTCCAAGAATTTCAGCTTCTTCATATGTTTGGGAAGGATGGGCTGTGGCGTTTGGGCGTTGTGAGTGTACACTAGTCGCTTAGTTGGCATATCGGGACCCCGAGAACGCTGCTCAACCGAGGTCATCAACGGAGCAGCTCCAGGAGTACTGGTAGTCGCCACATGATCCTTTGCGAAGTTGTAAACCCTTTGGATAAGAATCCTCGCGTCCTCGTCATTGCCTTCCATCCAGTAGTTGTCAAACCAACTCTTCAGAATGTTAACCACACGGAATCTAATAGGCTTCTGCTTCTGCTCAACCCAGGTCTGGTAGTCTTCCTTCGCGAGTCCATACGGAGGTTGAATGCTCCAACGCTTGACCAACATCTCAAATAGCTCAGAGGCGGTCGTAAACGATCTATAAGTGAGCAGGAACGTGTTATTGAAAGCAGGATCCAGACGGTCGTGACGAGTGAGTTGTTCAACCAGACCTGTGAGAGTACCTCCACGGAGCTGCGGTGGCGTCACCTTATGATCATAAGATATCTCACCCTCATGGTCAAGCTTGAGGAATTCGGGTATCTCTTCAACAATGTTCTGAGGGATGACAGGGACCTCGCCAAAGAAGTCCTTCAGCTTCTTGGTGCTGTTGGTAGTCCTGACCGGCTCAAACTTGGTATCGTCAAGAACTGTTCCCTCAGAATATGTGTGCGATTGAGGTACATCCTTAAGCAACGGTCTGCCATTGGCAGACACCGATGGCCCTCGTGAATGTACAGTTGGGATTTCTGTGTCAGTGTTCCTTCGCGAATCAATACGGGCTACGTCTGACAATGGAATAATTTCAGACAGCTGTTGGAGCAATCCGTACTGCTGGGCGAGGTTGGCCTCCAAGTCCCTCGTGACATTTCGCACGGCAGCAAGTCGATCTTCCAAAGAGTCACCTCGTACTCCAGCCCACTCATCAGGTAGTGGGGCAGCGACCCCTTGCGCAGAAATAACCAACTCGGAGACTAGGTCATAAATCTTCTGCTTGTAAACGCTGAACTCGCTAAGCTGTTGTCCCTTCCCTTGTCCGTTGGCCGACAACGAGGACAGGTTAATGGACTCCACAGCCGAAATCCATGGGCGGCATAAATCAAGTAATCTGCCAGCTGCATTGCAAACATTGTCTCCAATGATTTGGTGTCTATAAGGCGTGACAATCCTTTCTCGGACTGTCAGTTGTTCTTCCAGTCGTCGCATGCTCGGAATGATCAATCGCCTAATGTCTTCTAGCCTTTCCAACATGCGGTTGTCAAGCTTGACGGTGGGCTCAATAAGAGGCTCAAATCCTTCCTCATCAATGAATGTCAGAGACGATGATGAAGAATCTCGTGTTTCTACGCCATTGTTGTGCCAGCTTCCTCCGGAATTGCTGCCGACGACAAAGCCAGGGACAAGGCGAGGGATTTCCTCGCCACGCTGTTGTCTGGCCACCTCAACGAATCCATAAACTCCATTGAGCACGCCGTCTGCTTCTTTGAGGCATTTAGAGTATGAGTCTGGTGGGGGAAAGTCGGCAGCAGCGATGTGTGACGACAGGACCAACTTAGAGAAACGCGACATAGTCTCGCGGAAATGGGGGTATAATGCTTTGTTTGTAGAGATAATAGAGGGGTTTCCAGAATGGTTGTCGGTCGTGCCAGAGCCAGCGGCGAGCAGCAATCGTAGATGATCTGAAATGTCCTCTGCCCTCTTCACGAATTCGGAACGGTCGCTGTTGTTGATGGCTTGACGGTAGCGATCGACAGCTCGCTGCATGTCATCCACCATCTTATTCCAGGTAAGAGGGACTGGATTAACGGCGTCGTCGTAGAATCGACGAGACGAGGCAACGGTCGTCGGAGCCCCACCCAGATGGTTGTTCACAAAAGATGTTGTTGATGTTCCCATGGGTGGCATGGTCGCGCCTGTAAAGCTCATCCCGTTCGTGTCTTGAGCCGATCGTGTTAACGGTGAAGTAGTATGCAAGGAGTCTACAGATGTTGCTGGGGACGCGCCGTCTGATATCCGTTTGCGGGCGGGCTGAAAAGATCGTAAGCATAGTTCAGGAGTTTGTGTGACCAATTCTTACCAGTGAGCTGTGAGAACCCATCATTCCTGGGCCTTCGAAGTCAGATGCCGAATTCTCGTCGTCTGTGTCCTCGATGTTGTATCCAGAAGCCATCAGCTCTGCAGGCGGTCTCGAAGAGTCTGGAATGAAGACATTTGCGCGGTCTCTCGGGCCGTTCTCGTTCACTCCTGGTGTCTCCAGAGGAAGCTCCATGGTGCTCACACCGGTGAGCGTGTTGAAGTAGAACAACCTTCCATCTGGTGTCGCCTGTGGGATCCAAAATGCAGCCTCCTCTTGCTCCCTATTTCCATTTCGTTCGATCGGCAGCGACGTGTCGTTGCCATTGACAGACTCGGTGTCTGAGTTTGTGTATTCTGTGCCTCCCAGCGACTGGGTATCCTGATCGTCCTCCAGCTCTCCGCCGTTCACCTCGTTCTCCAACTCTTCGGTCGGGCGAGGCACGACTGCGCAGTAATTACTCGGGAACCATCCCCGAACACCATTGATCACTCCATCCCACCATCCACTCTCCAGCTGAGTTATGACCTGTATAATGTCGCCCTGGCGAAAGCTCAAACTCGTCCGGTCGTCTGCTTCGTAATCGTAGAGTGCCCGCACGTACATGCCGCCTGGAGGGGCCACTGTACCGCTGAAGCCGTTCATCGCGATGGGTTCGGCGGCGCACGCAGATCCAGGGAGGTGTGCGGGCTAGTCTGTGTGCGAGAAAGAGGAGAGGAGAGGAGAAGGGAGGAAAAGTGGCCGCTGTCGCGACTGATAACGAGGGGAATAGCAGTAGCCTGACTGCGGATTAGGGATTCTCACAAGGCGATAGACGCAAAAAGTCTAAGAACTCCGCGTCTTAAGGCCAGGGTTGAAGAGGTGTTGCTCCTGTGGAGGAACTGATTGGGCTGAGGGGGGGCGGCACCGGTGGGCGCTGAATACGAATGAGAGCGCTCACATTCGCGCCGAGCAACAGTGGAGTAACGAGTAGTATGGCAGAACCAGCACGATCAAGAGAAAGAGTAGGAGTAAGAGTGAGAAAAGATGAGATGAGAATCGGAGAGAGAGGGTGTGTGGAGAGTGCAAGGCTATGGTCTATGGGATATTTGGGGGGTGTATGACCGGCGGAAGGAGGTTTACAGGAATCGCAGGGCCACCGTACGTAGGTAGAATAGTTACAAGACGTTACTGGCAGTCGCTTGCACCCATAAAGGAAGGCATAAGAGTCTAGTACTCGTAGGTACAAAGAAGCTAGGCACAGTACGACGAGTAGTAGTAAGGGCAGAAGTAGGGGAAGAAAGAGAAGAGCTACTACACTAATTCAGTTAATAACCTCCCAGTCCAGTTGTCCTCCACCTTATTATTATTGTCACTTGGGTCTTATGAGACGCCTCCTCCCTGCGTTGAATCGATGACCACGTGACTTGTGTCTTCTTTGGACGGGTTGGATAAAAGGTAGCATGCAAGCGCAAAGACGACTCGAATAATAATGAAAATAATGATAATGGGCAATGCGGGCCTAACTGCAGCAATAAATAATACGACGATCCGGGGGTTGGTTGGTCGCTTTGTTGCATGTGTTTATTCTTCCCCTCAATAACAAGTAGCATGTGGGAATCCATCTACCTACAACGAGTACATACATACATCCATTGTTCTGTACTCCGCAGGTAATTGGACATCTGCAGTGCTTCATATACGTTTGGTAGATCTGCCCATGTACGGGGTACATGATGCATCGCAATGCTCGACGCAACATATATATAGATGAGCCATCCATCTATCTCTGTCAAACACCTGTCTCTACCCGCAGTCACGCTCTCGATGATGTGCATCCACTGGACATCCCCAAGGTCACACAGAAACAGCCCATGTGCATTCATTCCCCCACAAGTTGGAGGAAAGGGCATCTACTCGGTATCCGTCCCATCGAATCTCTGCCGAGGTCGCGGAAACGCCATTTGTCTGTATGTAGGCGGGCAGGTACGAATTCTCCTCCAACGGGAACGAACGACTTGACGTGTCCAAGAAGCATACCGCTCATCTGCGTGCTTGATGCTGATGAATCCTTCAGGACAGAACCCTAAAAAGTGATCTTGTCCCGGTATCTAGCGACTGTTGAGCCGGGTGCCGTTCGGTAAGTCGCCTACAGTGCGTACGGCACGAGAGGACGGAGTAGCACGCCCCGCAACTTTTGGATGTTGCGGTGAGGTTGCCGGGTACGCCTTGTCAATAACGCAGCATAACATGTGTGCAATATGATTCTAGAAAGTTTGACTTGACTCGCATCCATGGAGGGTGCGCTGCGCATTGTTGCTCTGCAACAGCCCCCCTTCCCCTCCTCCCCTCTCCCCTCACCACAGTGGAGAGGATCATTCTGTCACAGGTTCGCTCGTGTATTCACATAGAAAGCCTCAATCGAGATAAGAATTCGCATCATATATTCCGAATGCTATCTATTGTGACAGCAAGTCAGTCTGTAGGACCGATGGCTTTTGGGGAGAAGAGCACCCAAGACAGTAGAGGTATAACTGGTGCTGTCTTATTAAGTGTACTAGTTGGCCTGGATGCGCACAATCGTGAGGTGGTGGTTCGATCTCCTAATCTGCATACTAAGCGCAAGGATATCTCTGAACCCTGCTACGGTTCAGCAGCCTTTTTCGAATTCCGTGTTGTTCAGTGTTCGGTGAAGAGAAGTCGAAGTGGTTTGCCAATATGTCCTGCTTGACCGGTTTGTTGATACTAAAAGCAGGCCGGCGCGTTGACAACTCCCCACTATGCAAAGGTTTTGACGATTGCCCGCACAACAAAGTCCAGAGTCCAGACACACAAGTACCGGAGCCCAGCAAAAGGGAAACGAGCAAGGACACCCACAATTCCTACAACCCTAGGAAATGGCCGGAAGAAAAAAAGAGGAGTGGCACCAAGCCCTAATTCGCATAATCATTCGCGTGGAAGCGGATGGAGGGGCTGCTGTGACGGTGGCTTCAAACGGGCAACGTAGGGCGGGGCTAGCTTTGAGCTGGATGGATATGAGAGAAGAATGAGGGAGAGGGTGGGTTTGGTCCACTTCTGTGACTGTTCAGTGTCCACACAAAAGCTTTCGTCCCTTCATCAGCCTGTGAAATGTGCCCAGAGGCCAGGTACGAGTACGATTCGAGCACCATGCTATCCGTCTGGCCTGCACCATACACGTGGGCTGCACCGTCGCAGAAGGCATAGTACGCTGCACTTGCATGTCCCTTGTGCTGGATGGATTAGCGCAAAGAAGGTTGTTGGATATATGCCAACGTCTATCATCCTCTTCTCACCTCCGGATCTTTGTTGTCTCTTCGTCTATTCCTCGACATACCTACCTCAACACAATTTCCTCAGCAATAATGTCTGTGTAATAGGCCGTCGGTCAGCGCCTGTGCTCTCGCTCATATTGCCAATGCGAAATAGGCCACCATGCTGAAACAGGAGCGCAAGGCGGCCCTATCTTCTAGAGAATTACGGAAAATGACCTAGCGCGGGGGGGACTGTCGCAAAAACGAACGAAGAGTCTTCCATGACACCGGCCATGCCGGGAGATGGGAAAAGGAGGGGCTATTTTCTTTTTTGAGTTTCTGATTCTCTGTGGAAACTGAATCGCAAAGTCGCTGGAGGTGAGGAAGGGATGTTTTAGCCAGCCAAGTGCAGTTTCATTTGGATATCAGTAGTCTCATCGCCCGTGAAGCCGCGAGGACTACTTGTATACTAGTAAAGTAGTGAGTGGTCAATCCGGGAGACAACCAATTGGCTGGGTATGTGCTGGCGAGGCGGCGCCGTCCGCTGTCTGCGTGTCAAGGTGTTTTCCCGCTGGCCATGCCATGCCATGCCATGCCTCGTAAGGATCAAGGCCCAATTCATCCTGGACTCCTGGAGGGGAGGGGGGAGCGGGGCACACTCGTAGCAGCGCATAGCAGCGCACAGCTCAAATTACAGGTGACTAGGAACGCACGAGACAATTTGCGGCAGCCGAGCTCTTCAAAAAGCATGTGTGAGTGTGTGTACCTTGAGTTACAAGTACGGAGTATGTGTGTGTATGTGCGCGGGCGTGAGGGTGTGCAAGCATTCTGCCTGCAACGAAGGCATCTTTGCAGGTTCTCCTTTTGGAGTGAGGCGCCGTGCCTGATAGTAGTACGGAGCAGACCTCGGAAGAGAAATTGAGTGAGATTGAAACCCGGCGATTATCTGTATGTGTGAGTTACGAGTCTGCCAACATGGAACGAGTCGAACGACACAAGGAATCAATTGAATCGGATTGAGGGGAACTCTTTCGATCCTCCTCGTACCTGATGCGCGTAGTCTTCATAATTGTTGCATAAATCATCAGCTCTTTGTAGGTATGGGAGGTGTTGACAATGAAAGTGTAGGTAATTAGTAGTAGCTAGTAGGTACGAGCAAATACCAAGTTAGCGGAAATAGCTTTCTTCCCCTCCGTCCGTACTCATAGTGGAAGACCGTAGTGGTAACCCCCTCGGGCCCCTCCCCTCCCCCTCCTCCTCCCTAAGTCAAGTCTAAACAGCTTCGACCGACTAGGTCACTAACTTACCAACCCAACCCACCAACGTCTGCTTTGCTTGAAGAGACGATACTAAAAATGCCCTTTGGTGGGTCTTTCAGCGCCGCCAGCGGGGAATGGTGATCCAGTCCCGCTAGGTCGGCACGATGGGGTCATTCTATGCCAGGAACGAGTAGAGGTGCCGTAGATCGACCGCCTGCACCTTGGAAATTACTCGTGTGCAGCTGCTGCATCACTTTTCCTGGGTGACAAGCATCGGAATTCCTGCGTACTATGATAATGTAGGTACGGGAGGGAAAAGATTGGAGGTATCTCTCATCTCCTGGCGTCATCATTATAGAGGGTGCGGATGTGGACGTTGTTTTTTTACCCCTTTTTCATCCCCCTCGCCCAGTCACTGTCTCTCTCTCGGACCTGTCTGTGGGCGCTCGTCATCAGATGAGTAGTGGGACAGACAAGGGTTGGTGGTAGGTGTAATAATAAGCCACATTCTCCCCCGCTTTGTTTACCGTTTTTTGCAAAGTCAGCAGTATTGAGTCTTTGGTTTATTACCTTACCGCTACTTGGACAAACTTACCAAGTACAGTTACATCTCCAGGTCGTCAAATGTGTGTACAGATGTATGAACTCGTACAAGTATTGTAGTACGTATACTTGCAGCGGGATTTAGTACTGTAGCATAGATAGATAAATGAAATGCATGTCTCTGTACCTAAAAGGCACCTAAGAGGTACCTAAGAGACACCTAGACACCAAGTAGGCGCAAGGCGAGTACTGAGGCGGTGTGAAGATGCATCTGTTGCTGGCAGAAGTAGACTCCATACGGGAACTGCCAGAGTAGATATCTCATACCGCTCTTTCTTAAACGTCCTACTGTGTACTCCAGTACTCCACCACCTCGGAACGTTGACAGCGCCGTCGTACCTCGCGCAGCAGCCGCAGAAGATGGAGACTCCCCCACCCGCGGTGAAGATGGGGAGCTGTCACTAACTACTCCGTATAGGCTCAAAGAGACAATACAATGGTTGGTTGTCGAGATGCCATGTTGCCAACTAGACAGGATGTGTATGTACTGTAGTCAGCCGTGCAGCCAGGGAATGCCGTCCATGTGGCTGTAAGTTGTATTTGTGCGTGTACGATAATTATCTTGAACGGGAAGCTCCCGCTCCCGGAGCGGGTCAGAACCTAGAAGTGTAAATAATTACCAAAATTGTGCGATGAATCCAATCGATAATTTTTCTGCGAACTGTGTATCGTGCCGCGCCAGACGGCGGCGAGCTATCGCCGCCCCAACTCGGAGGAGAGTGAGTGGAGAGTGCGAGGCGAGAGCGGGTGGGTGGGTAGTGTGCAGTAATATTGTATGAGCAAGTCGTGGAACAACAGTCAGCGCCGCCTCGACCAGCTTCGTGGTGGCGGCAAGTTATGCACCGGTGACAGCTGCGGTCGTGAATAAAAATAATACTCCGTACTCTGTGCTCCCAAGTGACGACGGAAAATGTTCAGTTGTTGAGGAGAGTTTATTGGTTTGTATTCATGATGAGGCTCAACCAATGTGAGAGCGGAGTGATGCATAGCTGTTTACGGTATGGCCGTATGATATTATGGTATGGCTGGATATGTATCTGATTGGTGATAGCAGTACCCCGCGACGTCCATTATTATCATCATCATTATCACTATCAACGGCGATGATGAAGGGGGAATGGCATCGACCGGATTTTATGTATTTATTTTTATCGTCTTCATAATTAGGGGTATCATTTTGTATTATTGAATATACGTAGTACACTTTTAGTATGACCGTATGTAATTAATTACAAGAATGCCAGGGTTGTTGTGTGAGCGAGCCACACCAATCGCACTAATCATCATGGAGGAGTAATTATTATGATTTCGGGGGGGGGAAGGAGTGGTGGAGTGGGTGGGAAGGTAGGGAAGGTAGGGAAGAGGGAAGAGGGAAGGAGGGGATGGGGGGCTGGTCGCTGGGTTGTTGCTCTGGTTGTTGCTTTGGTGGTGGTTGCGCACAGATCATCTCTTCCTCCCCCCCCCCCCTCTCACTCACTCGACTCTCTCTACTGTCTACTCTCACTCTACTTGTTCTCCTCCAAAAGCCCGCGCGCTCCTTTTACTTTGCGAATTTCATCCACCCTTACCCATCCCACTTTCACATTGATTTTCCATCATCTTCACTCCATTCCCAGGCTTCAAAGCCCCTCCTGAATCATCCCATCCGCCGGCCATTACCGGTTTTGCCATCTTATCCCCCTCTTCCTCATCACCAAATGCTAGGGAACGATCACGCTTTCACCTCAACCATCCCAATTTAACGCCTTCGCGCGCTCGGCCGGCTCGACAGCTCCATCATCACGGTCCGAGACTTCAACATCTACAATAAAAGAGCTCTCATGCCCTCTGCCGACATGACCCTCGCGTCCGCCACCCCGGCACCCGCCCGCAAGTCAGGTTCTGCACCCGAGAAGAAATACAAATGCCAGTTCTGCAATCGCGCCTTCAGCAGGAGCGAGCATCGCAGCCGTCATGAACGTTCGCGTGAGTTGCTTCCCCCCTCCTGTGATGGATTTTTTAATTTTCGGGGAGCTGTCGCGACGGATCTGATGCAGGTCGCGACCGCGATGCGGGGAAGACTGACACAGTGTTGCTAACTGCCCCTCCATCAACAGACACCAAAGAGCGACCCTTCAAATGTCTCAAGTGCCGCAGCACTTTCGTCCGCCGCGACCTCCTCCTCCGACACGATCGTACGGTCCACGCGAAAGATGGCGGCGTGCCCCTGCACAGCGAAGTGAAGAGGCGGAACACAAAAGCTCCCGAGGTCTCAGCTCCGGGCCCCTCCAAGGCCTCGATACCCATCGACACCGCCACCCTCGAGCAGATCGAAGCCAGCAGCGATGGCATGGTCGACATCGAGACGGCTGCAATGCTGATGACGGATTTCCACCACAAGGCAATGGCGAGCCAGGAGCCGGACATGGCCATCGACGCACCGGCACCCGTGATTTCTCCCAACGGTCAATCCCTTCACGAATCATCGGGGGCATACAATGCTCCAGGCCAGATGTCATTGCCGCAAATGCCCTGGGACTCGATGGTGCCGCACAATGTTTCCGATTCGAAGCCTCAACAGTCTGCCGCCACATCTGGCGACACGCATTCTGCCTTCACCAACGCGGGTTCCATCAACTCTCACCAGCTGCCACCAATCATGGATCGCCAGATGTCTGGTAACGAAAACATCGGGCCCTCCTTCCCGTCAATGAGCAGCTCGGCGCCTGGAAACGGCCTCGGCACTCCCGGTGCTCTTTCGCCCTACCCATCCATGCTTGGCCCCGTCTCCCCCGTCGACTATCGCAGGTCGCCCGGACCTTCCCAGGCCTTGACTGTGACAAAGGCGCCCCAGGTAGAGTCCGAAGAGCAGTTGGCGAAGATCTACGAGAACATCAAGAACTTCGACAGCGAAAACGCACTCCTCGATACCTTCCACCTCCCGAGCTTGAACACGCTCAACAGGCTTCTGAAGACTTACTTCGATCTGTTCCATCATCATCTTCCGTTCCTGCATCCGGCAACATTCCACCCAACAGAAGTGTCTGCCCCTTTGCTTCTTGCTGTCTTGTCGATCGGAGCGCTCTACATCTTCGATCAGGATCAGGCTTACATGCTCCACATTGGCTCGAAGGTCCTTGTTAACCAGTTCTTGCAGAACAAGGAGAACTTCAGCTCCCGCAAGTGCCCGCTATGGACGATGCAGAGCAGTCTGTTGAACATGATTTTTGCCAGCTGGAGCGGTGACCCCAAGGGACTCGAATGGGCTTGCTCGATCAAGAGTTTGTTGGCTAATATGGTTGCTGGCAATCGTTACGAGCTCAAGCTTCGCTCGGAAGCTCGTGATGGAACACACCCAAGCCACCAAGAGTGGGTGGAAGACGAGCAATGCCGTCGGACATATTACGCTGTGTACATCTTCTTTGGTCTGCTCACTTTGACCTACAACCACACGCCTGCCATGGGTTTCAACGAATTCGATACGCTCGAGCTCCCGTCTTCTGAGTCACTCTGGACCATGGATGTCGCGGATGAGGGGTCTTTCAGGGATAGCCTGGCCACGTCGAAGATCATCACCTTCCGTCAAGCGCATGACAATCTCTTCCAGGGGGAACCTGCCCGCTACAGCGCCTTCGCTACTCGTGTCATGATCAACGCCCTCTTCCTCGAGGTCTGGTATCACAAGCGAAGCCCCGAAGCTCTCCAAGATGTTGTAACCGAGTACAAACTCCGACTAGCCCTCGATACATGGCACAAGTCGTTGGAGCTCTGCGAACCCGAGACTGTTGTTGTGCAGCTGAGCGCTCCTCACAAGGGTCATCCTCTGATCTTCAACGCGATGGCCATGTACCGCAACACTCGCACTCGTCTTGTCGTAGATCTCAAGTCCATCCAGGAAGCTCTCCGTTACCACGACTCTTATGAGGTAGCGGCCGCTATGACGAACGCGCGAGACAAGGTTGCGCGTTCCGAGGAGATGATCAAGGTCATTCAGGAGTGCTTCGACTGCATAGAAGTCGCTGCGGTTCAAGGTATTCGATGGGTTGCGCGCACCTCTGCCACCAACTGGAGTATCGAACATCCTCTCTGCGGTATGGATCTCATGGTCATCCTCACGCTCTGGCTCTATCGTCTGGAACATGATGAGGAGCCAGCTACAGAGGAAGAACTGGCCATGTACAACAAATTGCGAAGCCTTTTCGACGATGACTCTGTAGATGTCTATGGAGCCAAGCTCAGCTCCACAGTCGCCCGACTGTGGGGAAGCATGATCGACGAGGTCGTAGTATGGGGGTAAGTGCAAATCGAACACTATTCTATAGGACACATAATCTAATGATGAACAGCATCACCAAGCTCATGGGTGAAGCCTTCAAGCTGCATTCCCAAGCCCTCGTCGGTTATGAAGACGCCATGACCGAACGCTCCGGTTCCGGTACGCCTTCAATGGCACCGGGTGGAGTGCAAGTTCTCGAAGTGCAGATGGCATATTAAAACAGCCACCTCTAATGCTTTATCTTTACGACTCACGACTATTTCTTTTTGGTATACATCATTCTATCTCCTTCCGCTAGACTGGGCCGTCATTCCGTCTCTTGTCATCTCCTCTCTGCATATGGGAGCATGGCTAGGAGTTCGGGCATTACCCTTTATTGCATTCTGGGAGTGGTAATTTTTTGTTTTGCTTTGCCATCTCCGATATTTCCTGCTTCACTATACTACGCGGAGTACCTCTGGCGAACTGGGTGGGTCTGGTCCGGTTTATTGTACACTCGCGGGCTCAGGCTTTACACTCAACCGGGGCCTCTGGGGCCACACACTAATATCTTTCCGTCTCTCTATAATACCCTCTCTCACATACAGATCGAACTTGATCGTTTGACTGTTCTTGGTGGCTGGCCCCACCGTTTCCCTACTTCTGCGCAAGTTTATCAACGCAACATCACTTTGCTGCTGCTGTTGCGATCTCCTCCCCATCGCAGCTCTTTGCATGCAAAACCTAATCAAACCATTCCCTTCACCTCTCTATTTTCGTTTTTATATCTCTTTTCCTGATCTCATTGTCTGTCTGCTTGTCTTCTCTCTCCACATCATCCTTCTTATTTTCTCTACATTTATTTTCGCCAGAACCCTTTTTTTCTCTTTATTGTTGCTCTGCATATACCACCAGTATAGTTTTTTCTCTCTTCATCTCATTTGTTATCTCCTGTGCTTCTACTTTCTCAATGAATGCGAGGAAAGGCGGGGGAAGGGATGTGTATGTGTCGAGTGCGGCTTAGTTTAACTCGTTGTGGGAGGGCAACTGCCCGTCCTCTACGGAGAAGGGGGTCTTTGGAATTCCTGTACAAATATATACCTTTCTCTGCGCGAAAGAAAACTTGCTATACCCTGCTCTGTGGATCGTGATATGCCATTCCTATCTAGTAATGCTCTTGTGACAATGTTCTTGTAGCGAAACAAGGGTTGAGGATCAGTGACTTACGACATCTATGGTGTGGAGTCATGGGCTGTTGCATATCACTTTTCTGTTATTTTAATTGCTGCTAATCGTTCGATTGTTCAATTACCTACTCAGAGCTGTCAGTAAGTTGAGCTGGTTGATCATACCTATGGACGCTTTGGACGTGTATGCCAAGGCGCTAGGCTGGACCCACAATTTTTCCCAAAATTCTCGAGCTTCTGCTCTTTGCGAAATTTTGTTCTTCGCGACGACCCAGATCCGCGACACTCACCAACCATCTCCTACCCTCTCTACCCCCAAAGAGCTTCGGAATCCAAGCTCAATTCCACCCATACCCACCTCAATCCCATCCCTACCTAAGCATTAACCCGCACAAAAATATAAATACCCGCAAAAATGGGCAAGGATTCCGCCGACAAGAAGCTCAAGAAGGACAAGAAGGAGAAGAAGGAGAAGCGCACCTCCGACGCCGACGGCATCGTCAAGGCCTCCAAGAAGAGCAGGAAGAGCGTCAGCAAGAACGATGTCTCGGACGCACTCGAGGCAGAGCTCGAGAAGGGCGAGGACAGCACCATGATCAGCGTCGTCGACGGCGATGTCACCATGGCTGACGGCGACGACAACGACTCTGCTGTCGATGTCAAGACGGCGCTCGTGCCGTTCGCGTACCCGCTTGCTGAGGAGAGCAAGGAGGTTAAGAAGATCCTTAAGACGGTGAAGAAGTGTAAGTTTTTCTCGCTTTTCGTTGCGTTCAATGGGTACGGGTAGATTGGTTCGTGCATGCGGCTGGCTTGTTCGGAGCTCAACCGATACAATCGAACCACCAAGTGGACTACCTCAATCTCCTCCCGTCTTAATGAACGAGAACTTTTGAACCAACATACTAACCCTCCCCGTGTAGCCGCCAAATCCAAGACCCTCCGCCGCGGCGTCAAAGAAGTCGTCAAGGCGCTCCGCAAATCCTCGGCCAACGGGCCCTCCTCCTCGGGCACCAGCTCCCCCACCGCCATCGTCATCATCGCCGCCGACATCTCGCCCATGGACGTCATCTCGCACATCCCCGTGCTCTGCGAAGACCACAACATCCCGTACATCTACGTCAAGTCGCGCGCCGAGCTCGGCGAGGCCAGCGCGACGAAGCGGCCGACCAGCGTCGTCATGGTCGCCAAGGACAGGACGAGCAAGAAGGCAAAGGACGTCAAGGAGGGCGATGCCGACGAGTTCGACGAGGCGTACGCTGAGCTCGTCAAGCTCGTCGCCAAGGCGAGCAAGACTGTCAAGAAATGAGCGTGAGCGTGAGTAGGGGAACCAAATAGGCCAATGCCGTCTGCCGTGAGGATCATTGACGCATCTCGTATGTTTTCCTCAAATAAGACGACCGAGAAACGAACGCCGACCGACGAGGCATTGGCCTTTCCCAAGTTTCCGCACCACAGCAGCAAAGTAAAAAGAACCAGAAAAGAATCATCATGTTGGAAACTTTTTTTCTCTTGGGGAGTTCATCCGGCGTCATTGGGGTGGAGGGCCAAATAGGGTTTCTCCGTGTGCTTTTTTCCGATTTTTCAATTCAACGTATATGTATTGTACGTCATGCTGTGTAGGAGGGAGGGCAATTCGCCGTGTCAATTCGAGCGGCATCCCGAAACGAACAGAAAAGAAGCATCCGATAAAAAGCTCACTGGCTAGCTGGTTGGTTAGTAGTGGTAGCATACGCGTTGGCAGCCGGCATAGCTGCCTATAGGCGCAACGCAGCACGCACGCGTTATGTTTCCGTACAATGAATGCAATACCCTCAAATCGAACTGCTGCTGTCTAACATGTTTCTTTCCCTGATATGCAATGCTATGCTATGCGTATGAACGTGTTGACAAAATAAGAGAACAGGGGCCTGCTAGATTCTACTGCTTCT